AGGAGGAGTCGGGAGGAGGCAGGTACCTGTCTTCTCCGGATTCCAAATACGCTGTCTGATGGGTGAGACTGCGGCTGCTGTTCCACTTACTTTCCCCTTCTTTGAATGCTTGCGGAGGCATGTGTTTGATAGACCACTGGACAGCGTTATCGCCATCATGGCTATCACCACAGGATCCATATGAGCTATGCATGTTGTGGATGTCCGCTTCAGACAGCGTGCTACTTTCCAGCGCACTCTTGGAGGTCATGTAATTACTATGGATCTGTATTAGGCGTTGTCGCTATGCGAGTACGACCCTCTTCTCTTCTCCTTCCCTAGCCACCAATTGCCACTTCCTTGGTCGTCGAGCTTTTTTTCCGGAGGTAGGATTGGCTCAGATGCAATGTGATGTGATAGCACTACGGAGTATTTGAGTATTTGGATGCTGCATCGCAGTCAACTCCGGATGACTCGCCATGGCTGACAAATGGTGTCCACTTGCATTCCCCTTCTTAGATCTCTTTTGGTATAGATTCAGAGTGTTTGGGTCTGGTTCAACGGCCCCTTTGGGACCCAGAAAGTAGAGACATCTGGTTCTACCGTTTCTCCGTTCGGAAGCGGATAACCTATCTCCAGTAGGGGCAGGCTTTCCGCTGTCAATGTGAAAGTTACCTTGCCAACTCCCCCACCGGGCCGTGCCAGAGATTCAATGGAGTTCGCCTAAAGTCTATGGAGATAGAGACCAGAGACAGTTGTGTTTGTGCGGCTGCATATCGGACACAGCACGCAGTCCAACAAACTCTAACCCAAAAGGTTGAAATCCTCCTGACCCTTCACTGAGTATTCCCAATCGGTGGGCGAACCGAACCGTCCTGATCCGGACCAACCATGATAAGGTGGTTGATGCACCAGAAGAGAAGCCAATCGTCTCCGTCGAAACTCAATCTCAGACCCTAGGCGCAGGTCAACTACCTGATGGAAATCGTATAACCAGAGCTCAAAACACACACACACACAGAGAGAGAGAGAGAGAGAGAGAGAGAGAGAGAGAGAGAGTCAGAGATAGGCACATAATAAACCCCTTGTTATTCCGTATATGTACGAAATACTGGATCCCGAGTAGCGCTAACTGCGAGAGAGATCACGGTGGACTTTGCAGTAGTGGATGGGTAGTCATCCGTAGCTTGGTGCTACATATTCCCAAGAGCGTCGAATCACCTACCATGGCCTTGGGCTACTCTGAGGCCGGGAAGTCGGGGACCATGGAAGAGGATCACACGAGAACCAGGATCCAGACTTCAGGGCGTCCGTGCCGAATCCAATCGACTCTACTAGCGCGGCCTCTTCCTAGTCTATCCTGTAAGGAAGGGCGTCAGTGCGACGAATCCCGCTCCATCGATCTGACATCTTGATCCCAATTCCTGGTAATGGTGGCTAAGCCTAGCCTTGATCGATCGATTTGTCTTTTGTCCTGTTCAGGAGAGATGCGAAGGATTGAGATGGTCGATCCCATACGCCCACTGGAGGATCAGATCCCACAGTCCAGACTATTCCCCGTTAGTTCACTTCACACTTTGCATTTCATAAATTGCTGATTTGCCGCTGTGATCAAGCCAGCAGAATTGATAGCGCCGTTCTTGTATCCACCCTCTGTGCCAAAAGCAACGTCCACGGTCCCACTGGATCCTCTTCTGACAAATTCTCCGCCCTGATATGGACCTGTGTGCATGAGGAAGATGACTCGTCTCGTCGATCGATGGTCCATGTGTTTGACTATTCAGTCTTCAGCTCATTCTAGACATTGCACAGATTAAGCGGAGCTGGTAGTGTCGTAGTTCTAGAGTCGGCAATGAGGATAATAGCATTGTGGATGTATCATTCACGATTGTTTGGGTCAGAGGGAGATGAGGCTTGGGCAATTTTGTCCTTTAGCCTCTTCACTCTGTTTTGTTCTTGTATCTCCTGTATCTTGGAGACTGGAGTATTCTATATTCCGCATTCGATACGCAGTTTGACCAATCCAATGGATGAATCCTTTTAGGTGCTCTCAAGCAGGTACATCATCATCTCTTCAGTTTTATCTCCTATACTCTCCATAATAATAACCATGAGTGGATCACGACTGATAGCAATCTTCAGGAATCAACTTGAATATGGTCTGCCATGGCAGCTCCTCATTAGAAACAATGAACCCAGATTCTATCAAGGAGTCATACAGATTCCCAGCAACAAGGAAAACGATAGCACTTCTTGACTTGTTACATCCTGCCAATGCCAGATAGTCAACCACCGTGTGCCTCTTACTATCGGTAAAGTCGATGATCTGCGCCTTTCCGAATCAGGCAACAGATCCTCTTTTTTGGAAGAAATCCTCTGCAGCCAGGTGAGCACTGCCCTTGCCCGCTGGGGTAGCTCTGACATGGATACTGATGCCTGCTGATAGGATCGCTTGTAATTTCTGGATGGCACTAAGCGAAGGACATAGACTACTATGTCAGATTGACCTGTCTCTTCCTCTGACCTATCGTCCAGGTGCTCGCGGGCCTGCTTTCTATCAGACTGCGTGAACCGCAGCACCGTCTGTCTGCGGGTGCCATGATATCAACACCATGTTGAATGAGATACTCAACAAACATTGGGGTCATCCAGCTTGTCATCAGTTAGGGCCCAATGGCCACCACAATATGGGAGCAGCTTCCGGATGGAGCGCTTTATGGTCTCTCGGGAGTTGACGCGAATGATGGGTCGGCTCCAGGATCTAGTAAGGACTCGATTATCACCTATAGCTGCGCTACTTACGGTACTCCATCAGCATCTTGATACACTCCAGGTTTCGCTTGTGGGCCGCCGTAAGCAAAGCAGCTTCGTCCTCGTCTTCATCCGGGCCAGGGAGGTGCGTCAACTTTTGCGATGTAGATCTTGCGGATTGCTCGTAGATGCTCCGTTTCCTACCTTCGCTGGACGGTCTTGCCGTTCTCTTCATGATAGTCTCAGCCTGACATGCTGACCAAGAAGGCGGCAAGCATAGTGTTTCATGGCCATGTTCGGGAGTAAACATGGCGAAAGGCTGTTGCGTGCTACAGGCTGTATTGGGTTAAAAGAGAACGGAGCGGCCAGTACAGAAAGGTTCGAGGTGATGGTCATCACTATTATCATCTACGACGCCTGGTGAAGCTATTTAACCCGCACCACGCAAAATGCTCAGCCCTGCATCCAGATATGTGAAGTCATATAGAGAGAGTAAGAATTGAAAATATATTTTCCATTGAAGCATTGAACATCTATGTATGACTGAGCGCTGACACTGGAGATCCATACTTATCATTAGGCTGGACACCATAGCCAAATCTCGTCACCTACCTCGCAAAGAGATAACATAGTCTTCTGCCAAAGAGAAAGAGAGTGATATACTTCATACACTCGCGTACTGGAGCCAGAGAGCCGAATTCTTCGGCCACTGTGAGTCGACGATAAGGACTAACTTCTTTCGAAGCCTGTCTCAGATTTTGATAGCTATGGCCCGAGAGCCTGTGACGAAAATTGGTTCATTTATCATCATCGATGATGACGGCGTCTTGCTACAGTTTCATCAATCCTGAGAGACAGTTGGGGAAAAGGGGAACATTCTGGTATACCGCTGCCCTTAGGAGCCCTAGTGGCCTCTTTCGTGTCTTTTACGATCACAACCAACTGAGCTTCGCCAAGAGACATGAGGACGATGAGGACTTTTATTGAATTCTGATGTACTACTGGGCAGAAAAGACCTGAGATTTCATAGGGAGCGAAAGTACAAGACAAAACCGAATATGACAGGCGACTTCGAGATGCGTTCAACGATTAGCCAAGGTCTACTCTAAGACGAGATAAAATATCCTGGCGCCCTCCAACAAAGGTAGATTGATGTGATCCCTTGATTTCCATTTCGATCTTCATTGACTCCAGTACTCTGCACCAAAGCCTGGAATTTCATCCAACAATGCCAAAGAAAACCCCACCTGGTTGCGTTGAAGTACCGGTAACCCTTAAAAAGGTCGCTTGAGCACTCGAGCAGGCTATTCGAACAGACGCAGACTTCGATAACGGTGCCAATTTCTCAGATAGGCCGGGTATCTCTCTCCAGCGGCTCTGACATTGTTCCCATTTCTGAGGATGCATTAGCGTCCGTCCATTCTTCGTCTCAAGAGCCAAGACTCCGATCCTGATCACAACTGGGCTGCTTCTGCTTATCTCCAGATCCTCATTCTGCACCGACGGTATCCGACACGCTCAATCTAGATTGCCAATGAGAGGTGCTGACAGAAACCCGAAAGACCAAATCAACACATACCGGACCCGGGGAAAATGCACATTAATACGGAGTACCGTCAAGGGAATTGTGTCAGACTATATCTAGCCGAATCGAGAAACAGGCCTTGGAAGTAGTGCTGACCTGACCTGACCTACCCTCCCGCTGTTGACACCGACGCATGGATGATGATCCCTCGACTGGCATCCTGTCCAGAGCCAGAGCCAGTGGTGAATATGTTGGCGCTTGCGTCTGACGGGTTCCAAGCCAAGCTATCAATTAGTATACTGTGTGCGGAACTACGGGGGTCGGGAGTCCGGAGTTAACGATATGTGTCTGCATGCCTGAGTGTGTGTGTGTGTGAACACATAGTTCCGGTGGTAGTAGCAATTTTGACCATTGAACTGATCCAGGTAGGACAGTAAGTCACGGTTGTGAAGATGAAGCTGACAGGATAATGAGGGGGTCAGATGCTGTCTCTCCATGCTATTCGATGCTAGTAGGGTGTCTGTCTTACATCATATATTAGCAGCCAAGGAAGGATTCGACTCATTCCTGTCAGCAGACGATCGTAGACTGTATAATGATACTGTGAACTTTCTATGCGTGGAATATTTGGAGTATAAAGCGATGCGCCATGATCATTGTTCCTTCTCAAGAGTCTACAGAACCCGGCGTTGCAACAACCTTTCCTTCCCATAGTAAAGTAAGGACTCTGTCAACACAGCCCAACATGCCTCACCAAAACAGCCCCAACACGACCCTCGAGCCATTCCAGCTCCTCAGCAAAGTCCTCACCTTCCCAAACGAGGACCAGCGCGACTGGTGGCACAGCACCGGACCCATGCTAGCCAAAATGCTCCGGGACGCGGGCTATGACATCCACGCCCAGTACGTGCACCTCTGCGTGCACCACAAATGCATCGTCCCGTATCTGGGGCCGTATCCGGCGAACGGCCAGGAGCGGTGGATGAGCGTGCTCAGCCGGTTCGGTCTCCCGTATGAACTGAGCCTGAATTGCTCCAGGTCGGTTGTACGCTTCGCATTCGAGCCCATCGGGCCCCTGAGCGGGACCGAGCAGGATCCCTTCAATGCGCATGTTATCTGGGAGTGTCTTGACATGCTTGCACGGTTGGATCCGTCGATCGACCTCCAGTGGTTTACGCAGTTCAAGGAGGATCTGGTGCTGGGTGATGACGAGGCGAGGTTTGTCCGAGAACGCGGCCTGGATCGGGGCCAGGTGTGCACGCAGAATAAGCTCGGCCTAGATCTGGACGGGAGCAGGTTCGAGGTCAAGATGTATATGTATCCGTACCTGAAGTCAGTGGCGACGGGCGTCCCGATCGATCAGTTGATGTTCGACTCGGTCCGGAAGGTGGACCGGGGTCAGAAGCTGGCTGGCCCATTATCCATCCTGGAAGAGTACATCAAGTCTCACAGGAATAAGACGCTGTCCACGCGCCTGATCTCCTGCGACCTGGTCGATCCGAGCCAGTCACGTATCAAGATATACGTGGCGGAGGAGTCGGTGGACTGGGAGCATCTCGAGGACATCTGGACCCTGGGACACCGACGTCGGAATCCCGTCGCCATGAGGGGGCTGGAGCAACTTCGGGAGCTCTGGGATCTGATCAACATCCCCGAAGGGCCTTCGCACTTCCGAGATGGATACCTGAATCTTGGATCCGAGGTCGATGAACGACTTCCCCTGCTAGCCAACTTTACTCTCTCGCCAAAAGAGCGATACCCGGCTCCTCAAATCTACTTCCATACGTTTGGTATGAGCGATGCAGCGGTTGCAGATGCCGTCGCCACGTTCTGTGCCCGAAGAGGTTGGACGGAAATGGCCGAATCATACAAGGCGAATCTATTCTCATATTAGTGAGTATAGCCCCATACCTTACCTATTGTTTGACTATACGTATGCTTAACCATACCTGCAGCCCAGATGGAGATGTCAATGAAATGAACTATCTCCAGTCATTGATATCCTTCTCATATCGAAACGAGAAAGCCTATTTGAGCGTATATCTGCATACTTTTGAGACAGGTGGTTATAGAAAGTCTTGGAAATTGTGATCGACCCCAAGGACAGGGAGAATCATGACCTGGTTTGCAAACTAGGGAGTGATGGGATGGGGGATTTTTAGCTGTTATATCACGACAGAGAGTCATAGCAGCAGTCTCTTCGATATCAGGTGCTTGAACGTACACACTAGAAGACATTGCTTGCGAAATCGTCCCGTACGAGGTCATTAAACCACTCCAGAAACTCGTGAGGAATCACTGATGCATATCCTTCTGCTTATTGCATCTCATATGCCTCAGTAGCCGCTCGAGTTGAAAGCTGCTGTACAGGTTTTTCAAATAAACAATCAAAAAAGGACGCGGATGATTTCGAGCTTAACGTCCCCTTGAGAAGAAAGACTCCAGGGAAGAAAAAGTGGACTAAGTTGTGATAGACGAGGGTCTTCCTACCCCGGATTACAAACCATGAACTCCAATGGACAAAGGCACAGCCAACCAAGATAACCTCATTGAATCAGTAAGATTTGACCAGACACTGGCCCGTTCCTCTCTTCGTTGGGAAGTCCAACAAGATGACAGACCTGTTCGTGCTGTGTGGTACCACGGCGACGCAGGACCTTCTCGGCTTCGGATGGTGAAGAGAGTAGGGTGTGAGGTCGATGTGGAGGACTACGGGATAGACAAGACGGAGTGTTCTGGGGCCATGTGAAATCATTTGCATCATTTGCTCTATCATGTTGAAGCAGAAGGACCCTCTAAGAAGCATGTCCGTCTGTCGAGATTCATCCCCAAAAGGATAAAACGCCGTTCCCCTATTCTTTAGATCGTCAAACCCGGCTGAGCTGCTTGCGCAGCTGGTCATGGAGATTCGTCATGGATCCGTACCACAGAAAGAAGAAAATAACACCAACACCGGTATGCACATCAGGAATTACCCAGTATTCGCTCTTAAGATCGAGACAGAAACACAGTTTCCAAACCCCTCTAAATAGGGAGTCAGGGTGAAACCAAGATGCACACATGATAAATCGCGAGGCTTGACCAATGTAAACACGCATGGGGGGGAGATACATAGAACAAAGACCCAAATAACCCAGAAAACAAGACAGAAAGAAGAAGAAGAAGAACGCTCAAGGGGTATATTCCAATGTGTAGATCATAACCAGATATCACCTTCTTCGCCATTCACCCATCGTTTCCAAACCTGATCATAAGCATTCTCCAAATCACGAACCCAGCGTTGGGTATCAAATAACCGGCTGCCCCATCTCTCCTCGAACAACATCCGACGGAGATCGGTCAGCCTGCCTCGCGCCTGTCCGCCGCATCCGTTTTTGTACTGAAGGCTGAGGCAAAGGCGGATAGCTTTCTCTTCGTAATCCTCATCCGACACCGCCATCAACTCCGTGCGAGCCTTGTGGCCTGCCTCGGAGTTGGGCAGCGCGCTACTGAGGATGCTGCTCGCCATCCGAGAGCACATCTTATACTTATAGCGGGGGAAGGTCAACAACGGCGTCCCACTCCACAACACATCCGTCGCGGTTGTATGGGCGTTACACTCGGGAGTGTCGAGGAACAAATCCAAGATCTTCGCCCGAGCTATATGCGTGTTCTTCGGCGCAACATCGGTGAAGATGATCCGAGACGCGGTCTCCTGGCCAGCCCAAGCAATGGCCGTTTCGCGGAGATTCTGCTCGCCCAGTTCCGGGAAGCGAAGCAGCCAAAGAATCGCATTCGGGATGCGTGCCAATATACGTAGCCACGTACGGAAAGTTGTTGGCTCAATCTGGGAAGACGTCAGTGAATCAAATCCTTGCCGATCACACAAAAACAACTCACTTTATACAGTTGGTTGAAATTGCCAAGAATAATGGTGTCATCGCTGAGGTTGGGAAACAGCTCTTTGCGCATCCGCCAGCGTCGCTCCTGTTCCTCTTCCCAGGAGATGCGCGCATCTTGCGCATCGGGGGCGCTTTGTCGATGGTCACAGCAAAAGAAGGTGTCGCGCGTAAACACAATCTTCTCCCCGTAGACCCAGTCCTCGAGCTCCTCACCGTAATCTTCCTCCAAGAGTCGATCCTCGATGCGAGCGTGGCGCCTTCCGGGCCCAAGCGTCTCGAAAGGGATCGAAAGCTCGTCCGAAAGAATGTAATCACACCATTCCGCGCCTAATGTCCCTGCAAAGCCCATGAAGGACATATGGATCGGCGCAGGTCTGGCAGCAAAGACTTCGTTGCGTGCGCCTCGTGTGTATCCGTTAAGGTTAATGAGGATATGAATCCCGTCGTCAACAATCTGCTTCACGAGGCGCTCGACCGGCCACCCGCTGGCATCGTAGAACACGGGGGCTTCCTTCTCGATCTGTTGGCGGTGCACCGACTTATCGCTCGCAGTGGTCGCGTAGCAGTATGCTTTAACCTTGGACGGGTTGTGCAGGCCAAAAACGGATTGCATCAGATGTGCGAGGGGATGGTTGTTAAAGTCCGATGACACGTAACCGACCTTGAGGTAGGGGTTCGGTGGGGGTGGGGGTGGGTAGACCGTGGCCGGAAGCCATGGTGAACGGAGGGTCGAGCACGAGATCCGAAGCCCGTTCCTTTGCGAGATCTGACGGATCTGTTTGGCGGAAAGTGGGCAGGTGAAGGTATGGAACGGAAGTACAGTGGGCGCATTCGGCGCAACAAGACCCAATGGAAGTTGGGGTCGCTGGTATTTGGCAAGCGGGTATTCTTTGCCATAGATATAGCGATCTTGGTACCATTGCCAGGTAATTGACCGGTTCGCGCGCTCGACCAGTCTCACGATCCGCGAGCCTTCCCATTTCTGGCCCGCCCAGGACTGCAGGATAGCAGCCAGAGATCCCGACGCCGACCGACGAGACTCCAGCGCGGGGGCAAGTTGAGCGCAAAACTGTTCAATCATAGCCGGTGTTAAGATGCCACGACCCCAGGTTTCCCCTTCTTTGAGCTGGCGATTAACTATATCAATAACACGCGATATCCAACCGGCACCGGTCTCGTTGCTGGACGCATCCCGAAGCATGCCCTGCTCATTGACGTGCCAGCGATCGCGGAATCCGTGGCCCTTCGCAACGCCGCCACGACCAACCCAGTTGCAGACGGAATTCAGGGCATTCGCCAGTCCGCAGACTGCCTCGGCAAAATCAGGGTTCACTTTCACGGCCCGTTTGTAATAGCCGATCGCATCGTTGACCCGACCAGCGTCCTTGACGGCGTTCGCCAGGTTTGCCAAGGCTATATCAAAAGTACCGTCACAATGCACAGCCTGCTCATACATACGTATAGCGGCCTGGAGTTGCCCAATATCTTTGAGCAGACTACCAAGGTTAGTGTAGAGATGCGCGTGCCGCGAATCCAGGTGTAACCCATAGTTGTAATACGCCAATGCAAGTGAGATTCCACTGCCCGGAACTACACCAGGAATTTGTGGGTGTTGAACTTCCCCGCTGGGGCGAGATGGCTGCCTGACGGTTGCATTATTCTGGATCCCCGCGAGCAATATACCGACATTGTTCGCTGTCGACGGGCTCGGCTGAAGAGATAGCGAGAGGTAATAAAGAGCCAAGATATCCCGAACGCCAGGAGATTTTCGGGGGGGCCCTGAGCCAGAGACGTTGGACATACCATCTTGGTAGATTTTGGCCAATGAGAGCAGCGAATTGCTTGTAGTCGACAATGCTGCTTTCCTTGCGAGACCCTCGGCTACAAACATGATCCCCGGGGGAGTTCCACAGGGGGCGAAGACCAGCTTCGAAGTCTGGAGAGCTTTGTCCGGGTAGAGAAGAATGGTTTCTCTGAAATCATGAGAATCCATTGGCGGATAACCTTGACGGGATCCCTGAGAGAAAGCAGCAAAGATCTGTTTGATCAGACTTTGGATACCATGGCGTCTTCTCCCCGCAGCAATCAAAACAGCATCCTCAAACGCTGCCGCAGCGCCTGTATTGTCACCCAGCGCATAGAGCATGTTACCCTTGGCATGCACCAGAGCAAGCATCCTGCCATTGTCACACCCAGGAATGGCATAGCCACTCGAGCCAAAACCAACGGAACTTGCTTCTGATGGATTCCGACTGCCAACCATTGACTGGCCAAGGTCGTCATCATAATCGAATGAGGCCTTTTCGTAAGATCCCACGCTCGACGCCCTGCTGTCAGCATCGCTCTCGGTCTCGCTCGCATGCTCATCGGCGGTGAAACAGTCTCCGTTCTGGGGCGAGCGTAGAGAGTTCTGGACGTAATCGATGATCCTCACGGCTTCTTTGCCGCGGTGGCTGGTGCAGTACAGTCCGATTAAGTGCTCGACAGCCTCGAAGAAGCTAGGGCGCAATTTCACAGCGCGAAGCCAATGCTGCAGAGCGTCTTCGCGGCGCTCAAGCGCAAGGAGCGTAGCTGCAAGGTTCGATATCGCCTCTACATGTCTAGAAGGAGTTAGCTACTCCCGATGCCTCTTGAAGTATTCACCGCATTCACTTACGTTGCATCCCGTGCGATGATCCGCGAATACCATCTCATAGCCTTGTGGTAATCGCCAAGTCCATACGCAAGGCAACCGCCTAGGAGCATCCCGTCGATCCACTCCCAGCCACTCTCCATGCAAAGATTTGACAACATCTCAAGAGCAGACATAGCATTCGCTGTGGGTGAGGTCTCGCGGAGTGACGTAAGGGAGAACCGAGAGGCGGGCGCCGGAACTGCCAATCGACCAGGATGTCGGAGCCTGTCCATCATCTGCGTATCCGACGCCGCAGTGTGTTGGAAATGGCCGCCAGAAGGACGGTGATGGCCAGAAAAGGAGGACGTGGAAGCCGTTGGCCTGTTGTTGCCCATGGAGTTGGCCCTAACAGGCGCATCATACTGGCTTGAGGGGTAGCTGTTGTGGCGATGGAATTCCGGAGCACTGGTCTGAGAGAAATCTAGGCCAGGTTGACGTGGTGGTTTAGGATATATTCTTGGTTTCATGAATCGCTGGGCTTGCCCATCACCATCGGCAGTTGAGACACTGTTTCGTCGCGCATGATGGATGGATGCAAGTAGATCAACATAGACACCATGAGCCCATGACAGAATCTTTTCCTTGAATTCAACGTTTGCAGTGCGTGAGTGCAGCACACTGGTATATGTGTTCGGGTACCCTTGCCCGTTCGACCCAGGCAGTGCCGAGAATTCAGCGCCATGTTGCTGTGTTGCAAAGCTGGCATTAGGATCAGTACGGGTATGATATGCCAAAATGCGGTGATTCAATGTGGAGTCCAGTGGCTTCTGATCAGAATGACGAGGAGGGAAGTTTGCTTTCACTGACGCATCGTGACAGAGCATTCCCTGAGGGGTGGCATTCCACCCGAAACCCGCTTCGCCATGGCTATTTGGCAGAGGGATCGGGTTCAAACACTGCTGCTGCCCAGTATCGAAAAGAGGCAGGGCGGAGTGGTGATTTATTGTTTTGCTTAGCGAGACCGGGAGGTTGTAGCGCGTATCCCGAAAGGCCGCCGGACGATAAGGAATGTACACACCGTCGGGCCAATATGGCCCGTATGGACCAGCTCCGGCCGACGCTGTGGGGCCGAGACATGGTTGTAAAGTCGCTGGTAGAACGGTGGGGACGTAGGAGCCATTTTGCATGAAGAATCTCTGCTGCGCTGGCTGCATTGGCAAGGACTGGTTGAGCATCGAGTCTGCCCCTGGCATATAGTTCAGTGAGCGGACCCAGCTCGCCCCGTTGAAATCCGGTACTATCTCCCCGGGTGCGACATTAACTCGACCAGGATCATTTTTGTAAACAGGCGGGAAGTTCATGTGTTTGGCGGTAGAAGATTGGTCCATCATCGCCTGCTGCCAGTTGTCCAGGGCGAACCCCGCCTGAGGGGGCACAAGCTGGTTAGAATCCAACGGTGAAACCAGGATATGCTTTGTCGCCGGTGGTTGAATCGCAGTATCGCCTGGGGTCCCATCGTATCCAGCAGCCAGAGTTCCGTTCGGCGTTTTCCTCCTCAATGCATGTTGAGCGTCGCTTTTCGAACTGGATTTGGGGCTAGCAGGATCATGAAGTCCCAGACGTTGAACCGGATGTGGATATTGGAATCGGGTGCGAGAAAGCGACAGCAAGGACTCCTTGCTATATGCACCGCGAGGAAGCGATGGGAGGAAAGATGCAGCATTAGAGTCGAAGGGTGGATTAGCGGAGTCGGTAGTGTGATAGTGAGGAAGATGATGATGCGGTTGTACCGACGGAAACGCCGCCACGGAGGGCAACATGGTCAACTCGAATGACCACCAAGGATATCGATGAAAACTTCCGACGAGCGGGAAAAGGGGGGGGGGTGAAAAAAAAAAAAAAAAAAAAAAAAAAAAAAAAGCAATCAGAAAGGGCAGAGGCGGTAATAATAGTTAAGGTGGAAGTAATTCGACCGGGATCTTCAAAAGAAGCAAAAAGCGAGAGGTTGTTGAGAGCGGTCACAAAAAGGTTGACAGACGCACGCTCGGTGCTTGCTGGATCGATCAACAGGCAACCTCCTTGAAACGTTTCCTACACCTCATCCTGGACATAAGCCGGCACTCTTGATGCTCAACGGAGCCCCCCACCGCTTGTCGCTTGGGTCGACATGAGAGCTGTTGATGATGGTCGGAAGGTTTCGATACCGATGTGGGCGGGAACAGATGGTAAAGGAGGGGGACGGAGAGAGAGAGAGGAGATCGGTTCAAGACTAGGGAGCATTCACGAAGAAACAAGAAAGAAAATCGCTTTGAGATCGAAGTGGAAAGGCTGACAGAAAGGCGGATCCGCGCCGAGGACACTATTGTGATTTGCTATTTGGTCGTCGTGAAGAACGAATGCAAGGGAGGAAAGGGACTCCAGAAGAAGAGTCACCCACACTGACGCAGGTGCCCGTGAGACAAACGATCGACAAGCAACTGGGGAAGGACAACCTTGACCGATCTTGGCAGAAATGCTGGGCCCGGGAGTCGGGAGTGCAGAAATGATGAAATGAAACGCGAGCGCGCTCAGGGAGAAGATATGGATGGAGATATGGAGGAGAGATCGATCGATGGAAGAAAGATGGGGAGTTGAATTCAGCAGGCAGAGAGGATGACAGCACAAGAAATAATGATGGATGGGTTGGTTGGTTTGGATTAATCTGAATGGTTTAGCGAGTAAGGTGTCCCCGTCTTTATTTCTCTTGTCCGGCTTGTCTCATTCGACCGGTTTTAATTCCACTGGAACAGAGGATATGGTTACTGCTGTCGTGGTAGATGTACGGGGTAGACGGTAGACATGAGACAATCAAACAAAATTCATGGAGAAGCCGATGCAGGGAAAGAGGCGGCAGCGAAGGTTATGCAACGGTGGGCGGACAGATGAAGCATCGGAGTACTCTGTTGATACGGAAGGAGGATGTCATCTAGATTCTAGAGGGAAGAGGAAGTCCGGGGTAGAATAGTAATTAGTATTAATAAAGATGGGATAGGGTGGGAAATGTGCCCATCCAAGTGCAACAAATCGCAAGTCTGAACAAAGAGAAGTTCAACAGGAACCTTAAAAAATAGATGAAGGTGAAAGAAAGAAAGGGAAGGGGAAAAGGGGGGGGGAAAAAAAAAGAAAGAAAAAAAAAATGATAATGATAATGATGGAAGAATCATAAAGGTGATGATACCACGACTTTGATGGGCCCAGAGTGGAAGCGGGCGGAGCTTCAAACGAAAACAGTGGGTGGCCTTAGAGCCTGAGATATCTATGGAACTACAGAGCATCTTAGGTACTACCTACACAGTACTTACTTACTTACTACTAGTCTACTACTGTACCTAGAATCCTACTAGAGGCTAGATAGTGGTGACTGGTGGTGATGTTGTGATATGTGCGAATGGAGCAGCGGAAGTGGAGCCAATGGGAGAGAGCTGAGGTTTACTCCGTAGTCGATGGATGCTGGAGACGACCTGAACCTTGGGTGATGAGATACTACTGTATATATCGAGATCCTCAAGAGGGAGTAAGTAGATGGACATATCATTCTAGGGATCATACAATATTAAATCCATGATTATGCTGAGAGAATTGATAGAGATCTAGAATAGCCACCTCCAAATTGACCACCTACATAGATAGTACTACTATGATAGTAGTACTATTTCCACCCCTCCAAAATCCCCTAAAACAACTAAAAAGAAAAAGAAAAAGAAAAACAACGACAATTTCCACCAGACCCACCTTTACGATCCAACGGCCAGGATTGAAGACGGCGCTAGAGACTCAGCCAGTGTGAGCCACCGACTGAGCGAGCTGGGCTGTCCAACGTCAGTGGACCAGCGCCCACCAGACCCCCGGTCCAGTGGCGCCCGCTGGGACCAACCTAAGCCTTGGAGAGGGGGTTTCTGGGCATGCGGTTGGTCCGTTGGCCGGCGGAAGGGCCGATCTGGCACTCACAGTCACAGTCACAGACTACTAAAGGGCTCTAAGCTGAGCTGCCGTGTTAGTTGCTTTGCAATCTGGCCTCTGTTCGTTTTGTTGTTCATATCGAGTAGGTTGTTGGCATGTGGGAGTGGGATTTGGTATGTACCTAGTAGTATGTAGTACCTTAGGTAAGGTAGGCAGGCAGTCTATCCATTATCATTGGTTTTGAGTCATTTCTCTTGGGAAATGATAGACACATATCTTTCTCATAAGTCATAGAGCTCTTTACCTCCGGTATTCTTAACACTTAGTGAGACCGGGCTAAGATTCCACCAGCAGTCGGCGCCAATGCTGTAGCCACAAAATACATCCAGAGGCTGAAAGACGCACATGCCATGGCTGGAGCAAATCATATCTGCCATTATCCAAGAGTAGTGATGGGGGATCAGCACAATACTCCAGAGACAACACACACACACCCCCCTACTATCTATATGACTATCAGCCTTTTCTGGGACTCTTACATCTTCTAATTAAAATATTCCCTGCTCCCCCCACGATCTCAAAGACAACGATATCCCCATATCATTCTTGTTCTGACCAAGTGAAAGACATACTACTTCCTCCCCTTCATAACTAGTATGATTATACACAGTATGATAGTATTCTGATTTCTGACCTGACCAAGAAACCACCGGGCCCAAACTCAAAATCCATATCAGGTGGAGTGGCTTGACTAGTTTAATGGCTTTCTCCCCCCTCCCCTCCACGACACCAATAGTTAGCCTGTAGATGGTTCCTTTCGGCTTTTCCTTCTTTTTCCATGATTTGCTCGGACTGGGAGTCTGGAATCTGGATCGTAAGTCGTAACTCGTAAGAAAAACAAAATCAGGAAAAAAAACAAAAAAAATAGTGTCAGAAACCCAGATGGCCAGATCAGCGCCAAAAGTCCACACTAGTAGAACTTCCACTTGCAGCCTCAACTCCCAGTGTCTATCTACTTGATATACTCATGAACATGAACATGAACAACATACACAGCAGAATAGATGACTCCGTACAACTTCCCCATCTGCATATAGATAGATAGATAGATAGATAGACCACCCAGCCGCTCACCAACCAACCAACCAACCAACAACCTACCTAATCAAAATCTCACAACTCCCGCCCAGATCCCTCTGCAACCGCGGAATGTGAAAAGGATCCCTCCTTTCCGTGTCACCGCTTGGCAGATATATATATTTACATAGATATATATATATTTTACCAAAAACTCCCCCCCACCCTTCCCCCCAGCAAAAAACCAAACAAACCCAACTATCGATGTTTGTGTTCCGCGAGACTTGGTTCGGCATCTAATCTCGCCTCGCACAACCGACCCTCCTGTATAACAGAGACCCATGAAATTTGTTCTCCCGGAGGCGGAGGGGCGTTTTTATTGTCGTGACTCGTGAGTCGGGACAAGCATGGGAGGGCGAGGGATTTGCGATGATCGTCCTACTGAGGTTCGGTGGGGATTTGATGGGAGATCAAGATCGGCGTGTCTATTTGATGTGGCCGTGAAGGAGGTATACAAGTGGATACCAGGATGACACATCAGCGATTTTCCATGATTCGTGTGTTTTATCACATGGAGACTGGAGATTTGTGGTCGTGAGTCTCTATCAACTCTCCAGTCAATGCGACGAGTAGAAAAGCCCTAGGATCATATCACAGCGACATCGCTCCACTAAGTTCAAAGAAAATTGATGATTTGGATTGTTAGAAGAAATGACTTCAGATTGTATTGACTATGGACAGCCTACGAGGTCAAATAACTTGACAGCCTACTTGGTAGGAGTGTTGACCCAAAATATGGACCACTGTATCCACAGACGAAAGCAAGCTTCCTTCCAAGAATACCGCGGTGAGTAGAGGGTCAGTTTGATCTTCTTTGCGTAAAATAAGCCTATACCACGTTGCAATAGTCCAGTCCGGGCCCGAAGGCGGGAAAGAACGGTAAGAGCCAGAGTGTTGCAAAGGTCATCTGAGAGGGTGCGAGTCGTCATGATCCCAGCTTGCATATGGGGAAGCAAGGGAACCAGGAGAAGCATAGGATGGAGGAAGAGAAAAGGAAGATGGGAGTGTCCAGCGACAAGCGTAGGATTTCTCGAAACGAAAACAAACTGGGAATCTTATGGAGGTCATAACTCGTTAAAAAAGTTCTTGGTCCAAGGCAATGATCATATTCTATGCAACTAGCATGCCGTTACAAACTGAATTGACGACCGCCATGAATTTCGATCATTTATTCCTCAGGAACTAAGCCAGAATTAGTGCAAATTCGTCAGAATATATCCAAGTCAACACTTACCATCGATCTCGCCAGCCTTGACGTCGTCGGAGACATCCTTGGGGCTGCGGCCATCAACTTGGCAACCGACGGAGAAGGCGGTACCGAGGATCTCAAGGACGGTACCCTTGAGCTCCTTGGCGAGGGAGCGGTGGCGCATGGTGCGGGCAATCTCAACAATCTCATCGAAGGCGATGGACTTGCTGTGCTTGATGTTCTTCTCCTTCTTGCGGTCACGAGGAGGCTCCTTGAGGGCCTTGATGACCAGGGAGGAAGCCGAAGGCACAACCGAGACGGTGGCCTGACGGTTCTGGATGGTGAGCTTGACAGTCACACGGAGACCCTTCTATAGTGCCGAAGATAATCATATTAGCAATTGATCACTGTGACAATGCTTCGATGTTTTGTGCGGAATCTTACCCAGTCACCAGTGTTCTTGGCAATGTCTTCACCGATCTTCTTGGGAGACAGACCGAGAGGACCAATCTTGGGAGCCAGAGCAGACTGAGCTCCGACCTCACCACCAGTCACTCTCAGGTGACTTATCGTCTTGTTAGTATCGTCATCGCACACTTTTTGCGCAAAAGGAACACCAGGCAAAACTTACATGACCTTCACCTCATTGGGGTCGAACTTGGGAGCTGCCCAATGGGTGTTATGTTAGTCGCCATTTTGCTTATAGCCAAGGAGATGATACTTACGCATGGCGAGTGCGAAAGGTCGTCAATCGTCCTTGGAGAGTTGGTCGGGGTGGATGGTTCAAAGAAGCAAAAGAAAAGTTCCCCCGAATTTTCTTAAGAAGTCATGGATGTTTTAGCTCGACCCGCAACTCAGCCTAAGCGAAGACTTGATTGGGAAAAGCTACTAGGGTTGAGCCCGCCCATGGTCACGTGACATGATATCAACTTGACCTCGATTGAAATGTTCAGATGGAAGGTACGACCTCGCGGGCATCTACGGTTTTTTTTTTTTTTTTTTTTTTAAATTTTCTTGAAGTACCGACTGGTGGGATTTGGATGGTTACTGTATAGTGGGTAAAGGGCAGAAAGATAAAAGAAAAGAAAAGAAACCAAAATCACCGCAAATCACCGCTAAAGATACAAGAGACCCGAGGACCGACGTCAAACCGCCCTTTGCTCTCGCTACGGCCATTACCTCGTCACATCTAGCTGGTTCCGGAAACCGCAAGCCTAGAACAACAGTTAGCACAAATCATTGATCGGGGGTCGAGAATGAAGAGCTTACTTCATCAAATGATCCATGAATGTCTGCAACGAGACATCGTCGGTGAAGATAGTCTGCGATGTCACGCCTCCGCCGTATCCTCCTGTCGTGTGTGTAGTTGATGGGTTCAGCTTTGACAGGAGGAAACGTGCTTGCGAACCACCGGCGTCACAAACAATGAAACGGGGTAGCGGGAAACGGTCCGCAATCAATTCCTATTTCGCGAGTTAGCGTAGACTTTGAATCGTGCCAAGAAAGGGTCAACGAACCCTAGCGTCCTCCTTAGGTTGCTCCAGGAGAGCCTTCAGGTTCTCATAACCCTCCTGATCCTGGTAACCGGCCTTCCTCCATTCCGCAATCGTTTCTCCGTGGAAAATGAGAATATGGAAGAAAGTGTCGAGAAGGAGGATGTGGGTAGGTTGGATCGAAGCCGAGTCCAGAAGAACCGGCTGGCTCCCTTCGTGTTCAAGGGAATACGAATCCAGTGTGGGCTGGATCATAACCAGCGAGTCACCCACATCCTCGTGGTTGAGAACGTGTCTGTAGAATGCGGTCTCATCGGGCGAGTTGTTGAACACCTGCAGGAACTGGCTTCGACGGAGATGGAACATGAATTGGGGATAAAGAGTGAAGTTCTTTTCCAGGCGGAAAGATGTAGGATCATCCTTCCGGTAATCTGCGAAACGAGAGCAGAGTCTGATAAGCATGCGATCTACCCATCTGATGACATCCGGACCATCGTCGACATCTGCCTTGTAGACAGCGATACGCGCCATGAGCACCGCAGCGGCTTCCTGATCGAAGGATTGAGCGAGTGCGGGGTCTCCAGTGGGACCGCTCAGGGGTCGGGCAACTGTCGTGACACGAAGATGATAATGACCGGACGAGTGCTGGTAGTAGGTGAGGAACTGCATCATTCCTCTCTGAGGGCCGGGCTGCACTGCCGCAGGACCTCCCTGGTTGGCGATCTCAAAGTAGACACCGTAACTCGACGCCGGATCAATGCCGCACATCTTCCAAGCACAAGTGTTGCCGATACCACACTCTGTCTCTCCAACCGAGCTTGACTTCTTGTTGAGAGAAACGGCATGACCAATGAGACCAGTAACCTTGAGTTCCTTGGTGGTCAATACCTCAAGAGAGGCATTGAAGCCCATGAGAAGGTTGTCGTTTGCATCTTTATCGAACACTCGGACGAATGATTGCTTAAACTGCGAGGACGTGAAGCTATCTGTGAGAAGCATGTGACCACCGGTGAAATTGGAGAGGTTCTTCATTTCCAGAAGACCGACTTGATCCAGACACCCGGCAAAGATGTCGACAACATGTCCATTATTAGCTGCACGCTTAGCCAAAGCGTCGTAAAACTAGATGACATCAGCGCGATAACAATCTGTACCGAGGCTAAATTGGTGCCTACCTTGACGGCCTTCTTATAATACTTGATGTTATCGCGATCAATGTCGTGGTGGGACCGAATAGGTTCCTTGAGTTCAGGTCCAACAACATGGCCAGGCCCCTCTGTGGCCGGACCGCTGGTGAAGACCATGACGCGCCCACCGGCGTTCTGGAAGGATGTTTCAAGCAGGCCAACGGCAACGCTCAAGGCCACACCGGTGCATCTGAGGGGACGCTTGTCGTTGGCAACGGGCCAAGGGTCACGCTGCAGCTGCTCAAGGACGTTGGTGATTTGGAACTCAGCTTGCTGGACGGGGAGAAGGAAACGCGCGGCGGGGCCGACAGGCGGACGGGCAGGTTGCTGGGGCACGTTCGGGCGAGGACCAGGGGCAAGGAGCCCAAGCATCTCCTGGACTTGCTTCGCAGCGTAGTCCTTGCTGCCTCTGAAAACATATGACTTGGCACACTCGGTGTAACCAAGCTCATGAACTTGAGCCTATACGCACAGGTCAATACGTCACTCCATGCGCCTCGGAAGCTGTAGTTCGTACCATTGTGCCAAAGGTAATCAGTCCGACAAGGGCGTTTGGTGGCAGCAAAGATAAACTCAGAATCAGAGTATCCTTCAGCGCCTTCAGGCTGTCTTCCTCTTGACAGGTATCGACGACATAGACGAAGATGGGGGGAGCGGGGGCGGGACGCGCCAGTTGGTATTCGATCGTCGTGCTTTGAGGGTGAAGTTCCGGCGGTATCGCATTCTCGGTGATATCCTTATAATGGGGAGGGAGGGGGTTGCGCATCAGACAGAAGGGACATATCCAGATCCGAGCTCGGACATCAACATTGCTACTCTTTGTCAGTCATGTCGTCGAGATTCCGCAGCCAACAGGGGCACAAATCATACGCGTAAGGGTTCAAGACGGCCCGGCAAGGTGCTTTGCAAGTCACCGGTTCGTATTGTAATAATGGGGATTCCGGTTTCTCCTTGAGGGGAGTGTAGACAGCTGCAATGGGAACAACAAGCCGGGATGCTTCCTGTGCACGGATGTGGATGAGTAGGGGAGCGCATAGAAATGAATGGCTGCCGTTAAACCAACCATGCGAGTACTGGGAAATGTATTCCAGCTGAGCCTGATGCCATCACGTTCCTCGACATCGCTCCATTGATCCTTCAACGCTTCATAGTCCATCGTGGGCGGTGATGGGGGGGGTGTTCTTGGATAAGGAGGGGGTGTTTATTGCTCGAGATCCAATATACTCGGCAGGGGAAAAAAAGCTCTATGGTCCCGTCAATTATAGAGAGTAAGAGGTTCCCGTAGCATAGTCTTGTCTTCGAATAGGCAGCTCCAGCAGCTATTGTCCCGGGACCAGGCGTAGATCTGGGGATATGTTGTGTGAAGCTGGTACTGTTGGCATAAGGCCAGGTTGCAGCGTCCCTGGTCACTGCGGGCTGCCGCAGTATCCACTAGCGCGGCCGCACTGCTATAAATTTCGAACTGTCCGCACTCCCGTACCCTTCTCTTCTCTTCTTTTTTCCAAATTATAAACCGCCGACAACATGTCATTTTATATGATTATTTTGGCAACTTCTGTCCACCTCCATGATGAAGTTGTTTTCGCGTCGCGCGAAGAATAATTTGACCCGTCGCTGGGCACCTGGCTTTGAAAGGTCGTTCCGATCCTTTTCGATAAAACGGGAATCAGCAGTGGTTACAAATCTCTTCGTACAAATTGGTGCTTGATATCTTAGATTATATACATGAAATTGGAATTGATTTTTTTGGAAAAATCCTGGCCAGACATAAGCTTCTCAACATCTAGCATTCTTTACTCAAGCCGAGAACTTGTGCGACCTGCCGTGCCCATCCCCAAAAAACGCCTCGTGGAGAAACAGGAGGAAATAAACAGGAGAAAAGAAAGCGTAGCTTCGTTAAAACAGTTTCAATGCGCTTCAAGAATCCTTGGTCGGCTTCCTCATCTGTTTAAGAAGATAACTGCGCTTGAAGTATGTGTTCGGGTGCACAATGGTGTCCAAATCCGTCTGACTCCAAGTGCCATCTTCTTTGACTCTCTTGATGTCTGCCTTGTGTGCCCACTCGAAGACTCTGTTGCAGGCGATGTGATAACGGGTCTTTCCAACGTCTTCTCGCACTCCGCGAAGTACTTCCTTGTCGTTCACACCTGTGGCTTGGAGAAGTCCAATCAGGTTATCCACCGAGAAATGACGATATGGACACCCATGGGTCTGGCCGACCCCGGGATTAGAGTCGCTGAGGATTTTCTGGCACGAGTATGGAGGATATCCCCGACCTCGTCGGTTAACATCACCACCGACGTCACCATAGGCGTGACGAATATTGTACTTGTATCTCGAATTGAATTCATCGTCCGTAAAGCCTTTGAATGACTGTCGCCAAAAGAGAATACACTCTTCCAAGGATAGACCGATTCCCTTTAAGAAGAGCGTGTATTGAAGTCGACCAAAGTGCTTTAAATGATTGTCTTTGCGCAGAGTCATGTGGAGATTGCGCATGCAGAGGGGAAAATGTTGTGAGAGACGATCGATATTGTTTGCAGTGATAGAGGCGCCGTCGACAACGCCCTCGCCTTCCGAGTAGACAGACTCTGCGCTGCCAAAGTTCTTCGACAGGTGGTTCAGAATTGGAGTCAGACGGTCGTCTTCGTCCAGACGGGGTAGTGCTCGACTTGTGAGCTAGTAGCTGTTAGCTGTGAATCAAGCTCAACACACTGCTAGTACATACCTCCAGGGCGCGTTCCAGGCGAGCCGTGAACTCAGCCATTATCATGCTTAGCTGTTCTCTGCCAGGGACATAGGCCTTGCCTCTGGACAAGAGCACTGCCCGTCTCTCCACCAGCTCCGGTACTCGCTCCCAATCTACTTTGTACCAAGATTCCTCGTCGACACGGCGCAGACCGGGAGTTGCATTCGCCAGCTTCTCCGCGAGTTCACGTCGCTCCTCGTCACTCACAGACTCCCAGTCCAGATTCAGGGACTCAATGAAGGCGCGTCTTTCTCGAGAATCGTCCAGTTGGAATCTAAATTTGAACAGCATTGTCTCTGCGCGAACGAACCGCCGGCGAAGATCTTCCGTCGCCGAAAACGCCAGGCGGAGGATGAAATGGGAGTAGTGATCTTTCTGGCGCTCATTCTTCAGTCGTTGATCTGCCGCACCGGAGGAAGAGGATGTGTTCGACGAAAGTGGAAGATATTTCTGGAGGAGAGGGGTGATGTGTGCGGCTGTCTCGGTAGCCGATTTGTTTCGATATGAACAGGCTTCGATTTCAGCCAATACTGCGAACCTTGTGAGCCTAGGGAGAAAAGTTGATCTCGAAGCTAGGGTTCATACTCTTCAGCCTGTCAATAGCCCATTGCTCAAATTGCTCCAGAGTGATTTCTGCAGTGGGTGGAACATCGTAGAAATTCAATCGATGTGGGTAGTCCTGCTGTTTGTATACCGGCGACGCGAACTGCTTCTTTTTATGGTCCAGCGTCGCTCTCCTTTTTGGATCAACCCTTTGAAAGTCTTGTCGTATCATTTTGAACTGCAGTTGTTATACAACTGCCACTTGAAGCGTTTCGTTGTCTCCCTACTCAGTCGTCAAAAAGTGTACCAATATTGCTCCCACTGACTGGTTATCGGCTGGCTTCACGAAGATAACGCGAGACGCGCCTCTCACGCGTCAGACATTTAGGCACGTGATATCATGTGGTTCTTGCCGTCTCTGCCTCAGGCTGCCAGGCACTGCCTTGGCCAACAGCCGAGGAAGCTTCAAGTAGTGACTCCAGATGGAGTCGGGGACTTTTGAATACGGGATTTGTCCGGGTGGAGTCTTGATCACCGGCAAAGGCCATCATGATTAATGACAAGGTATGCGATTGGACTGGGACTGGGGAAGTGTATCAAGACACGCATGTGAAAGAATGTAGTTATGCTGTATATCCCCAGAGTGACACATCTCTACCCCTCTCAACACTGTAAATGATGCTCAATTCGAACTTTTCTTTTGGCATCGCCTGTATAACTAAGGTCCTCAACTGCTAGTAACTGGTTGAGAGATCCTCCCGGACTGTTCTCCGAACTCCGCTCACCGATTTCCTAATACAGCAGACATCCCCAAACCCCACGGAAACGTCGCGACTTTCCCCAATTTTGGCGATAAAGTATCGGAGTGGAAAAAAGTCACCCGTGCATACAACAATATTCTCCAACAAACATCTTGTATGCCGTATTCATTGTATATTAGCTTGTCCACTTCTGTCCTGCTCTACCAATTCCGCCAACCAAACTCACTTTGAGATTCCTTCAGACTGACCATAGACGGCACTTCACCTAGTCTCAACATCCTGTCGCATTCGATTGAGTATATTGAATAGCAGTGTATCTCACAGCGAAAGAACTCCCTATCCTGCGACGACTTGAACATCGCATAATTTCGAATTCAATAACACCGAGAGCGTTTCAGGCACACGAAAGAAGGGGATGAACTCCATCACCAGGCAGCTGAGGAAGGCTGCCCGCATCATCCTCATTGGCGCTCCAGGAGTTGGAAAGGGAACACAGACAGAGAGACTACTCGCCAGATATCCGGAATTATCCTCAATCAGCTCAGGAGATCTTCTGCGCGAAAATGTGCGGCGCAAGACCCCCCTAGGTATTTCACCTCGCCTTCTCACTCTCATCCAACACCTCTGAGAAAGATGACTTCTAAGCTGCTCCCCCTGCGCAGGTCTCAAGGCCGAGGCTGCAATGCAGTCTGGCAACCTTGTCCCCGATTCCATGATCCTCGAACTCATTTCCTCCGAATTTCAATCCAAGGGTTGGCTCCCAGCGACAGCACCTCTCGCAACAGCCTCATCACATCACACCTCGCGCCCAGTCCCGTCATTATCTCCCTCCGCGTCGTTTATCCTGGATGGGTTTCCCCGAACGGCGAGTCAGGCATCAAGCTTGGACTCCGTTGTCCCCGTCAATTTCGTCGTCCATCTTGTCACACCTCCCTCTGTCATCCTCTCTCGGATCGGATCGCGCTGGGTCCACGAGCCATCCGGAAGAGTCTATAATACCGATTTCAACGCCCCCAAAGTTCCCGGCAAAGATGATATCACCGGTGAGCCCTTGACGCAACGACAAGACGATTCGATTGAGACATGGAAGCAGCGTTTACAAAAGTTCGAAGAGACCAGCAAGGCGCTGCTAGAGCACTACGAACGGAAGGGCTGCTTATGGCGAGTGGAGGGCAACTCCAGCGATGAGATCAGCCCGCAGGTATTCGCAGAGGTTGAACGCAAGTTCTGTTAGAACTTTGTAGCATTTGGACATATCGTTTTTTTCGCGGGCTTTTTCTCTCACTTTTGTATCATATTCTGCTGGTTGGCAAAAACCACGATTACGGCTTCCATTGTTATGGGTTGGGTACAACTATTTCATGAAATAATGCATGTCGAAACCCCCTATCAAGAGGGTCTTGAAATCTTTCGTTCTCAGGGCTTCTATCGCACATCAGTCGCTACGGATATTATTATAGCACCAAGTGATCAATCAGTCGGTGCAGATCTCACTGCATAATATAAGAAATGCACACCCTCCTGTCAGACGACGGCATGCATGCCAAATATCTGCGATCATCAACATTGCGAGCCAGAGGTGTCGTACAATAGATCGTTCATTCATCATAAAGTCTATTTACTGATGCCAAAGCATATACCGCGTCATGGCCTCATTTCTTACTCTCCACCCGAGGCTGTACAGCCTCTTCCAAGCCCATCCGCGTCTTATATGCCCTAGGACTCTCCCACTCTTTCTCATTCCGGCGAAAATCCTTCCACAGTCCAGTACCCCTGAGCTTCGCCCACCACTCTGCCTTCCTGTACTTGCGCTCCATAGCCTCGCCGCCAAATTCCGCACCCCACTTCGCCTCGTAAACGGTAGCCAGTCCCTGCTTCAACATCTCATACGACACGTCGCGTCGGCGGAATGGTATCGGAAAGTCCAGAGCCCGCCGCACGTAGACAGTGGCTACCGCACGCTGGTACTGGTCTGGGCGATGGATATAGGCGCGGACCCGACGGTTGAGGAGATACGAGGTCAGCCACTGGTGGGCTTCGCGAGCAAAAGGCTGTTCGGGACGGCCGAAATGTGCGAGCTCGGGGGCGTCGACTCCGGCTAGACGGATATGCACCTATACAGGTAGTGTTAGACAGCCAGTTCCCCAATTTTGCGCCGGCGAGTGTGATGTCAATCAAACAGAGCCTTTGATCTCGGTCGACATACCGTCTTATCTCTCAACTCTTTCTTTGACGTCGGAACCTTCTTCCACGGCAGCCATCCCCACCCCGCAAGCCTTCCCCCGGGCGTATGGTACAAGCGGAAATTGTCCCCGTCACCAACACTCGTGACCCGGCCCAGCAGACTTCTGCGACGGAAATGTGACGGCGTGATGCTCCCTGCGTCGGGGAAACGGCGCAGGTACCGGCGGTGTATGTGGAATGCGCCCAGGAACCCGCTTGTGAGGATTACGGTAGGGATGATCGTTCGAGGTTCTGCAAAGGCAGCCCAGTCAATTGCGGTGACCGAGGATTCCCAGCTCTTGCTCTTGGAGCCGTGTTCTTTCTCATTGTGTTCGATTGGGGGTTTCGTGTTGTGTTGTTGGGCTTGTGATTCGGAAGCCCATGGCGGCCATCTCATGACGGCTCATGCTCTCGTACCTTTGCGGTCGGGGTTTGATAGAAAATTTGTGCCTGGTTGAGTATGTGTTATGTGGTATGAGTTTTCCCCAGACCCGGCGTCGAGAAACAGAGGACAATTGTTTATGGGGTAGAGTGCTCCATGGCGGTCAGTCCCGAAATATAAATATGCGGGCATATGATCCAGCCTCCCCGCAACCTCTATTATTGTCAAACGACTTGGAAGGTTTCTAGTCCCAAAATTGTATATACGCTCCCTTATCATTCACTTTTGTTATTCGGAGGTTGCAGTGTACAAGTCTATCTTGGTAGTATGCTTGAGGTAGAGGTCATGCTCTATAAATCGTGGCTGCCTCTCAGAAAATACACGAAGGTCAAAGAAACATTGAAGGAGGAAAGCCCAAAAAAATCTACAACCCAAGCGCCATGTAGAGATAAACAGAAACAGTCGCAGATCAAGAGAGTCGTATGATAATGGACGAACAAAAACCAAGAGATTCAGAATGTTTATTTCAGGGTCGCAGGGAGACTCGTCTTGGCCTTCGAAGCAGCGGTATCAATCGCCTTCTGAAGCTTCTTTTGCTTGAGTTTGCGCAGATATGCGAAGAAGAGGATAAACATAAGCTCCATCCGTTCTTTAGTCATCATCAAAAGACCCTGGACCAGGAGCCCCTTGGTAATCTGAGGTCCAATACCCTTGAACAATGAAAGCGCTCCTTCTTTCTCGATGATATAGCGCATGACTTCACCAAAGGTCTTGAAGGGCTTTCCTTCGCGACCTGGAGGTGGGCGAGACTGGAGACCGACTTTCGCAACGATTAATGGTTGAGTTGCAATGGTAGCAAGCGCTTTGGAAAGTGCACCAAGGACTGCAAATATGCATTAGTTTTTCAATGAGGTCCCAATTCAAAGAATGGTTGACACTTACTAAAAGCTTCCCATGGCTTGAGGTTGTTCTTTCCCGGAAAGATGATCTCCTTCAGCCGCTGGTAGGCTCCATAGGTGATGGCGGGGTTAACAACGAGAATCAAACTGGCCTTGAGACCGCGCCATAGTCCAGTCCAGCCGTCCTCACTGTTGACAACTTCCTTGCCGGTTTCGATCAAGCCTTTCTTCTCTCCCTTTGGCTGAGTTTGCTGTCTGGTTGTGATAACAGCGACCGGAATAGTGAAAATCTGAGCAACAGCACCTGCGACAGCACCCAAGCTCAGCTCAGCGGCGGTACCAGGAGTCTTGCTTCCCCGGCTTGACGCCATATAGATGGATCTCACAATGCTGTACCAGTAGAAGTAGGCGAAGTTGGTTGACGCGACACCAATCAATGACCCAACGATTCCAGAGTACAGACCCTCGATTCCCTCGCTTTCCATAATTTTGTTGATGGCATCCCAAGTCGATTTATAGTGTACCGCGCCGTCTGAACCCTCGGTCTCTTCGCCTTTCACCTGGACTTGCAGCCTCGTCTTGACTCTGTATGTCCATAAAGATTTTTGGTATTAGTCTCGCATCGTTCGTAACCTCATAGTGAGAAGGAACCTTGACGTACATATCTAGAGGATATACCATGGCGTTGGCGAGGACAGCACCAGTTGCACCTGCAACGGCACTCTGCCACGGAGAAAGGCGCATCGGCTTTGATTGACCCGTCATTGTTCGCTACAAGCTAAGTGCTCCCGGATATACAATTATGAAGATAGAGTGGAGAGTAAAGAAGAAAGGAGAGAAGAAAAGAGATAGACACAATCTCAAGAGTCTGTATATCCGCTTCTCAGGTTCCCACTGAACTCTAGGCAAACCAGTAATTGGCAAAGAGAAACAATCTCAAATGTGGAGTCCGATAAAGAGGCCGAGAACAAGAACGATTATGCTGAGTGACTCGTGTTGCCAATAACGTTCAGCTGGAAGAAGGAAGCAAATGCACTGGACGCATATCACTCCGAGTTTAAAAAGAAAATATGCGACAATATGCGCAAGGGGATAAAAAAGATCAGAACTGACCCCAATGCAAGCATCTGCTCTAACCAGATACAAAACACTTTAGGAGTTGTTCGTAGCACCTCGGTGGACCACGCATGACGAAACGAGCCGAGGTATCTTGTCGGAGGTGTGTCCAACTCAGATTTGCTTGTCCACTGGCAGTTTCACCGCCCACCGACTCCCGTTCCTCCCCGCCGAATTGCCCACTAGTACTACTTCGTAGTAGCGTAACTACTATCATCATTGTACATTGGAATGGGATCATCCACATTCTCAGACTTTCATACAAATCAAGTGCATCTCTTGCTTATTATCTCCTATCTTGAGGCTCCAAGCTCATTTCTAAACTTGGTTTCGCTTATAACTTGTGTCATATCACCCACACTGTTTATTCCTCGCCAATCAGAAAAGCCTGGTTGAGAGATCGAGATACTTACTACTAACACACCCACAGGGAGGGCAGTATTGACCTCGGATGTCAATCTCGGAGGAATCCCCTGGGACCTTTCGGAACAGTCACAAGCAGAGTCTACCACTTTCATCCTTTCGAGGTTCTGATAGGTGATTTTTGCAAGCTTGTTTTTGTATTGCGGATGGCTGTTGCGGGGGTTACAGCTCTGACAGGTCATTACACGCTGGGAATCTAGATACTGTGAATAGACATTTCGATTTCAGACGCTTATTTCGCGATAATAACCCCTCGTGGGGCAGGATGTCTAGACCCCACACCTCTCCGCAGAAGTATCTGATCTCCCAGGCTCTGGTAGGTACTGCCTCCACCATTGGCGATCCAAATTTAGAGATGATCCCAACTAATGCGATGACTAGAAAGCTGAACGGGATGTATCTGCAGCAACCTCTCAACGGCAAGCCCTGGAGGCTGCTATTACAGTTGCTGAGCATTACATGAAGGCGTTAAGTCTGGCAGATAATACCAAAGATAGACAGACGCTCGACACGAAATGCAAGGAGTGGCTTTCCAGAGCAGAAAAGATCAAAGAAGCAAAAGACTGGCGATCTGTGAGCCGTGCTCATGCGCAAAATACATCTGAACTACAAACGCCATCGTCTACACGCACCCTCACTACTAGGGAAGAAATCATTCTTCTCGAAGGGGCCAAGCTAAATGGCTTCATATTTCCACCATGGGCAGGGCCACCCAGTCTAGAAGAATTTGAACTTCTACAGGGGTCAGCTTTGTTCACGTAAGTTCATGTGATGTATTACTCTGGATTTCTGGGCTCTAACAATGGCTAGCGACAAGCCCGACCTTCATCTCTCTGAGAAGCAGAAGGCCATATTTAATGGCTGGAAGCGGCCTTATGAACTACTGTCCAAGTCTGTAGTCGGGGCAATGTCTGTAATGTCTGCCCCAGAGAAAACCGACCTTGTACAGGATGTCTTGACAGACTGCTCAGTAGTCGCCAGTCTATGTGCTACTACCTCGAGATCTGAACGCGGTTTGGACAAGGTAAGAGTTATTCCGATATTTGCGGCCTTCTGTTTCGGGAATTTGACCTGTAATAAGAACTATCTCCCTGTGATCTATCCTTGCGAATATTACACAAGCTATCCCAAACCTTCACCTTCAGGAAGATATATCCTTCGTTTCTACTTCAATGGGTGCTTCAGAAAGGTGATCATTGACGATCGTTTGCCATCGACAAAGACCTCGAGATCACTTCACGTAGTGGATCGAAACAACCCGAACTTTCTGTGGCCAGCGCTCGTGGAGAAGGCATATTTGAAGGTTCGAGGAGGTTATGACTTCCCCGGGAGCAATTCCGGAACCGATTTATGGGTATTAACAGGCTGGATACCAGAGCAAGTATTCCTCCATCATGAGGACGTGACGTGCGAGCAGCTCTGGAAGCGTCTCTTCAAATCATTCCACCACGGCGATGTATTGTTGACAATTGGCACTGGGAAACTAACGGAAAGGGAGGAGGAAGAACTGGGCCTAGTCAGTGAACATGATTATGCGATTCTTGATATGAAAGAAATTCGAGGCCGTCGCCAAATGCTTGTGAAAAATCCCTGGGCTGGAGCGGACATTGCTACCGGAGAAAGGCACTGGGAGCCTAGAAACATACCCGAAGACCGGTCTGCTCTCTCACCTGGGACTTTCTGGATGGATTGCGAAAATGTCCTACAAAATTTCGAGAACCTCTATCTCAACTGGAATCCTACACTGTTCAAATTTCGAGAGGACATTCATTTCACATGGGATCTCGCAAGCGGTAAGGGAGTTCCTGGTTGTTTCGTGAAAAATCCGCAATTTGCAGTATCCACCGAGACTGGAGGTACTGTCTGGCTGCTACTCAGCAAACACTTCAAGACCGTTGAGCTTTCCGGTCATTCCTCGCCAGAAAACAGCCAAACTGGCTTCATTAGTCTGTATGTTTTCAATGCAGATGGCAAGCGAGTCTCCCTGAGTGACGGGACGCTCCACCGTGGGCCTTACGTGGATTCACCCAACACGCTCATGAGACTGGAAATGCCACCTAAAACGACTTTCACTGCAGTTGTCTCCGAAGAATCTCTCCCTGCTGCGAGCCAGAGTTTTACATTGTCTGCCCTCGCAATTGCACCTGTGTATATTGCACCATCACAGAATAAATACATGTGTGTGAGCAAGGTACAGGGTGCTTGGACGCCATCAACAGCAGGCGGTAATGCAGAATCGGCCCGGTATCCTCTAAACCCGCAATTTAGCCTCATGCTTTCCAAGGCGACTGATATCTCCATTTTGTTGGAATCGTCTGACACTGAGCTTGCCATCCACGCCAAGCTTTTTCATTCGAACGGCAAGCGCGTGTCTAGAGTTCGCAATCGCGATATCATCACTGACAGTGGCGACTACCGACGTGGCGCGGCTCTCGCGGAAACAAAACATTTAGAAAAGGGCGTATACACGATTGTTTGTTCCACCTTTGCTTCAGACCAACTTGGTCGGTTCACGCTATGGGTCTCGTCAATGGTTCCTTGTGAGGTCAAGCCACTCGCTCCAGAAGCAGCAGGGCGACGAGCCGTTATCTCAGACATTGGCATCTTGTCACCAGGGAGAGACAGGATGCTGGCTCCTCTTCAAGTATCTCGCCTTACGAGAATTAAACTTATTGCGAGAAGTCGTCAGTCCACGATCGGAAGCCATCCTGTCGGCCCTTCGCCAGTGCTTATGACAATCGAACTGGGCCAGGGTCCTTACAAAGAGATTTTGGCCACCTCAGAAGACGGAGATCATAGCGATGCCATATCCGGAGTACGCATCGAAGACTTTGACCTGCAACCGGGTCTAGAGGACAGTGGCGGAGTCTGGATTGTCCTCGAAAGGATCGGAGGCCCTGGTGGCCAGGTAGAAGATCACTTTGAGGTGGAAGCCCTGGCCGAAGAACGAGTTGGGATTGGAGAATGGATTATTGAAGACGCTTGAGAAGGACTTCTCAAATGAATGTCTAGGTTGATTAGTCTTGTCATGACCATGTGCTTATCAAGTCAACCTGGGATATGGAACGATAGCATGATAACGAGACATGACCTTGGTCAGATGCTCCGCGCGGGGACAATTGAGCGATAATGTGAACATTGCTAAACTGAAGTGAAGACGACTCTTCGACCGCGCTGTAACTGTAAATTTATTTCTCTGCCTTGTATGTAGTTTGTAGATGCGGAGGAATACTTAGTATGTACACTGAGTGGACGTAACTCCACCAAGCTCGGCACAGAGACTAAATTGGAGCTTCAACGTCATCCCCGCTTTGGGTGCGTCTGTCCCGCTCCTCCACCCAAACAATCGCCCACTCTACCCTGCAAAATTGCTGTTGAATCCCCTTCACTATCTCCATGACGAGTCATATTCCGGCCAGTCTAAAGTCCGCGGACATTGGGCGCTTTGCCATCCGGGCAGCCCAAATTGAGCGGGTGAAGCCCGTTGTGGCCTATTGGTGTGAGTGTGCTGGTTCATCGCTTTTAAGGAGATACCTGGACTCACAGATACCCTTTTACGGTTGCAGGTAATTTCTGGATCGTGAATCAGATAATTGAGCGAGGTCTTCATACGTCCGACGATGAAGTCAAGCTCTACACGACGGAGCTGGTGGAGAAGCTGGAACAAGTACGTTGAGCGGGGGAGTTGTCGAAGTATCTGCACCTTGCCCTGGAGCACTGACTTTGGTCTCCAAGTTCAAAAGTGAGAACCCTGATAACGACACGGTGCTTGATGCTGTCGCTGCGAATGCCTACGTGGAGCAGTTTGGCCTGGAGGTCTTCAACCGGGCGGAAGCGACGATGAGAGCGAACAAGGTGACCAAGTGTGTACAAATCGGTAGTGTTGCTGCTTGAAAAGCGACTAATGGGGTAAAGACAAACAGCAGATACCTTCCAGGCCGCCGCTACGTTTCTCGAACTCTGCCAGGTCTGGAACCCCCTCGAACCCGAAATCGCCGCGAAAGTCAAATTCGCCAAATACCATGCGCTCAGAATCGTGAAAGCGCTCAAAGCTGGAGAGGATCCGAACGCGTCAAACCCGGTCATTGAGGAGGATAAAGATATAGAAAGATTGCCAGTGGATGAAAGCGAACTCGATGTGCAAGCGCGACAGCCGTCTGTGGAGGAGGTTCCGGATGAATCAGACCGTATCCAGCATGACATTGCGCGGCAGTCATCTTTGGATGAGTCGCTGCATCCTTCAAGGTCCCCCTCGACGGTTCGGCCGCAGCATGCTGACGGTTCGATCCATATACCGGATGTCCCGACAGGCGCTCCACGCACGCCTGCTGGAGAAACAAGCCCCAGTATTGACCATGGCCCGACGTTGGACCTTCCTTCCGCGCCGGCCACTTTCGCGTCTTCTTCAGCATCGATACCGAATCTGCCAGATACGCCCGTGGACCTGAGTGCTCATCACAGCACTGCTCCCGATTCGTTCCAGTCATTCCCGCCGCCGTCGAACATCCTCCCGCCAAGCGCTCCTGCTTCTTCTCATGATCCGAATGCTTTTTATAACCAACCCAGTGCCAGAGTCTTAACCCCGCCACCTGCGCAATCCCATTCGCGGTCGGTACCGGTTTATTCACGACCGGCTCAGCAACATACCCCTGCACCTGCGGCTTCAACCTCGAGTCAGGTGAATTCACACAACGTCAGTGACGACGCCATATCATTGGCACAAAAGCATGCCCGCTGGGCAGTGTCTGCACTTACATTTGATGATGTCAACACCGCAATCAAAGAACTCAGGGAATCTCTGAGATACCTCGGGGCGGAGTAGCAGAGCGAAGGAGTAATGCCCTTCTGGGAACGTCGTTCCGAGCAATTGCCCTTCAGAATGGTGCATCCTCAGCCATATTACCAAGCTATGTGTGAATGATCTTGCTCTTAATGTGTTCTCTGGAAGACTTCTGTTCATTGTAAGAATGAATAATGATGACAATGATAGTATATAGCTCTTTTACCTTATCTAAATACATTAATCCAATCTCAGCTGAAGGAACCATGAGGCTATCATACTGAGTGAACACTGTTGTTGAGTCATGTATATCACGCGCAAGATCTCAGGTATTGGAAGAACTAGGACTCAGCCCCATTTTTATACAATCCTGGGCTTCTTCAAACCCATAGACTACCTGAGTCCGCCATAAGCACAAGAGTAAATCGATCACTTCTCATAACCAAGTCTGGCGCATCATTACAAAGGAGCAGAAGGGAAGAGAAGAATAGCAAGCTCTTTCGATGCACACTGAAAAAAGCCGAAACTTTTGGCACGGCTCAATGATGTCCGCAATAAATTTGCACCCTTTCATTGCAACACTTCTTTCTTTCAGGCAACACTTTACTCTCTACTCCTCTGAGTTGAAGCTCATGTTGCCCCAAAGCAGATCTTAGTCAAGATACTCTGCACGCTCTATCCAAAATGACTCTCAACACAAGAAGCCAGGAAACCGCGTCGACTGACCTCTCAGATGACAACTTCTTGGGGAAAGCTCTGGATGAGGGCGCCCTGCGCATCAACCAGCGATACCGCGACTTTACCCTCTTCCTTGACCTGAAAGGCAAGCACCATAAAGAGTTCCTCTCGCGCCTCTTCGACCATGCCGAGCATTTTGGCTACAACTGGGAGATGCTGCAGCATTCTGAACTCGAGCGTAAGTCGTGTGCTGAGAGTTTCTTGGACCAGTATGGTATGCTTTACTGGGGCACGGAGTTGAACAGGGAGCGGTATCTGATGGGAGATTCGATTGAGAAGCCGCAGATACTTTGTGTCTATCCGGAGAAGAAGGATGAGTGAGTATCCTCCTCCCTGCTTGTTGGTATAGTATGGAAGATTTTTGGCTGATTTTCTCATCGTGAGAGCAGTATCACTAGGGTGCTTATGATGTTGCTGGAGAAGAAGGCGAGGAGCTTTCTGAGGACTAGTATGGTCAGTAGAATAACTATTCCCGGAGCCTGAGGTATGGGTACTGATGCGCGAGAGACACAGGCTTCTGTCCCCACGTCTGAAACACCAACGAACGCCGTGCTTTCTTCTTCGATGCACGCTCTCACGGCAGGACGGTCGACAAGATTATCATCGAGAGCGGGCGACAACAGTGACAGCTTACGCAAACGAAGAGCTCCAGATGGCCCCGATGCTTCACCCTCTTGGCTTGCCAGTGCTGGCGGCAGCGAGATACGACCTTTCAGCTCGATTGCCCACACAGGTGGCAGCGTTGCGGGAAACGAGACCCAGGGCAATCATCAGGAAATGGACAGAAGAGTTGCAACCATGGGCGGTCTCACCAGAATACAACACTCCAATGGGGGCCTTTCTGCATACGCGCACTCAAGCTCGGACATATTGAACGTTGTTAAGAGCTTGGAACACAGGTTCAGGCAAGAGACAAAATTCCTCGTGTTAGCTTCAACCCAGAGCTCAATGGCACCAGTTTGGGTCCCGTTCCAGGCCTACCAGTCTGCATCCTCGTTTCTCACCCACATGGCGGATGAGTGCGAATTCCACGAATGGGACCCTAGCGCTCAGTTGCACAACGAGATCTCAAAGTGGGACGGCATCCCCTCGGCACCGCAGACCGTCGTTGCGGCTTCGGTGAAATTTGGCTGGTCCGGGCTGCACATTCGCGTTCGCCAGGACCGGGATGAAGATTGGGAACTTGTAATGCAAGAACTTCTCGATGCGTGGAAGCTCAAGATGGAGAATGGAAGTGAGGGAGTGGCCCAGCGGTTCCATATTCATGTTATGCTCCATGTGTTTTGATGGACATCATGGCAGTTCGAACGCAACGGGAACAGGAAATGTGAGGCTAGATAGTTGGGCATGGACGGCGGGAGTGTGTGCTGCGATCTGATCATTGTGGATGGGATATTTGACAAGTAGCTCTAGCCTCTGGCTAGCTTAGCTCAATTTCTACGCCATATTTGAGGCATACACAGTACAGGAACCGGATCAAGATTGGGAGTGGTTGGTGCGACGGCCCGAGAGAAATCAATAGTTCATATCAGACCCGAGACAATAAATGGCATGGTCTGCCTACAATCAATTCAGATTCAGACAATGGTTCGATTGTTCAATTCCCAATCTCTTGTCTAGACAAAAGGGGTCAGAAAATGGAGTTGTATTGCGACAGACTACAGTAGCGCGCACCGTCGAGACTATCTACGGGATTTGAATGGCGCAGTTGTGGCTCAAGCCCTATTGAAGTCAAATTGATCGGTACTAGAGAACCAGATTCTTGCTCAAGAGTTCAGATACCGTGCGCTGTTTATGCCACAGAGCCCAGAGGGGGCAACCGGCCAAGATCCGCGACAGTGACGAGTTAAAATGAATAGATGTCGATCATATGAATGTGAATCCCGAAATGATCAGCTTTTCCCTCAAAAGCTTGACCACAACTCGAGTTTCCAGTCCGCCAACCAGGATTTATCCTGTGCACAGGTGTCCTGTATGAGCGTTAACCGGTGGGACAGTACTCCATATCCAGTGAAGTATCCACCATCGTGTCCTTTCATTTTGCGTATTTTTAGAAGCCCCTCGCTCTGTCACGACGTTCTTCACCGAAGAGGAGGACCTTTGCGACGTTGCGTCTTCTTTCCTCTCACTAAATACTAGATAGACACCCCCCTCCCTGCGCGACTACCTCTCTTTCGGATTGTGGCTTCGCACCTCCTGATCGCAAGCCCACTCAGTAGCGGAACTATGGTCGCACGGTGTCCCTGAAGAACAGAGGGCGTCCCACTCCGCGCGCTTGGCAGGGGAAGAAATGATAAATCATTTACGGGGACTTTTCCAGAAAGCGAGAATGAAAAATCTCCACCATGCTGGCGAAATTTCTAGATGCAGTGCGGACGGAGTTTGGAACTGGGACCTAAGGCCTTGGGATTGGGGGGTATGGAGTTTGGACAACCCTCTAGGCCTCTGTCCTTTCTCGCAGTCCCTCGATGCTAGTGATACTCATTATAGCATTTCGTGTTCTTTTAGGGGACAATTCACGTTTCAATGACTAGACTTCGGTTTTGGAAGAGTCAGTAAGCTCAAGAGTCAAGAGTCCTGGTGGAACAGAATCCTAACCATGAATAGTCTTGAATGCCGGTTCCTTGGGTTTGGCTCGGCTCATACCGTCAACTAGATAGATGTTTAGATAACCAGAGATTTTAGTCAATCCAATCCAAGAGAAACAGCGGAAAGATTATGGATGGGATGCCGTCATTGGGGGTGATCATCTCCATGGTGTTGTCGACGCGTCTCGAGTCAAGGCGATCTTTCAGAGAATTTATAGAAGGATGAAGAAGGCATTATCCATTTCTCCGATTGTATTTTGTATATTTTGTAGGAGTCCAACATGGCAGCCATCTACGGCTGATCCGAATCAAAGAACAGAAAGAGGACTGTTTCAGAGGCCTGGCGAGTGGATGCGTTGGTGGTTAGTATGGACTATGGAGTACTTGGGCTCTGACTCCCTTTAGGCTTGCAGCTGATACGCCCCGGCTCATCAAAGCGTCTCGTTAGTCCCAAAATGGCTGCCCCCGAAGTCCCCCCCCCAGTGACTCTCGTGCCTGGCATCCCCTTTTTCTTCCCTCTTTCTTTTGAGAGTCGACCGTGTTGTTAATATAACTCCTCATACCGGAAATAAAATAAAATAAAATAAAAAAAGCGGTTTCCATTTTGATCTCGAATCGCCGACAGCTTCATTTACCCGCGATCATCCAGTCCAGCCTCATCGTCACTCTTCTTGTCCGGTTGTCCCCCTCCCCCTATTCCATCTTCCCCCCACGTTCTCCTGCTTCTTGAGTCTTGGTGCGGGGTGTTGAAGCCATTATCGCTTGTTTGAGATAAAGTATTCTTTGCTCGAGTCGACTTTTCGATTCCAATCTGACTATACTGCTAAATACACACCGAAGATAAGAGGTGGTCGAGCCGGAGTATTTGTGACCGCATCCTGGAGCCAATCTGTTGCATACAACCATGGCTAGTGATCAAGGGAAGAAGCCGGCCGTGCTGATTGTTGGAGGACTAGGTACGCTTAATCGATTTATTTTTTTCGAGCACAATTCTCAGGGGGAAATGGTCAGATCCGGCGACTAACCTACGTACGATTCTCTAGGGTTCATTGGTCGCCATCTTGCTCTTTATATCCATGAAAACAATCTCGCATCCGAAGTCCGGTTAGTGGACAAGGTACTTCCCCAGCTCGCCTGGTTGGCACCGGAGTTCGAAGAGGCGTGCTCGAAAGAGAAGTTCGTTCAGGCAGACGCCAGTCGAGAACGTGAGTGATTGAATCCGAATATCAAGTATATCCATACAATGTATTGCTGCTAACTTTGCGGCCTTGTGAACCGAAGAGCACTTCTCACGCATATTCGACCGTGCTAACGGGGAGCAATTCGACTATGTGATCAACTGCGGCGGTGAGACTCGACACTCTCAACCCGACGATGTCTACGAATTGCGAAGTTACAATCTCACGGTGGCTCTGGGTCGCGAAGTCGCCCGTCGGGGCATCGGCTCGTACGTCGAATGCTCAACTGCTCACGTATACAAATCTGGATCTTCCCCACGGAAAGAAAACGACAAACTGGAGCCGTGGCATCGGCTCGCCAAATGGAAGATGAAGGCTGCCGATGAGTTAAGCAAGATCCCCGGCCTCAAATATTGTCTCCTGCGGCTCCCCCACGTCTACGGTGAATACGACTCGGGTTATTTTGCCATGGGTATCTGCCTTGCGCGAGTCCACCTGGATATGGAAACGGACCTGGAGCTTCTCTACACCAAGAATCTCAAGATCAATACGGTCTATGTAAGGGACGCTGCAAGCGCTCTTTGGAAGGCAGCTGAATGGAGAGCGAAAACCGCCGGTGACGCCTCCGTCCCGACTGCATTCAACGTCGTCGACCACGGCAACACTCGCCAGGAGCATGTCGCAGAAGCCCTGTCCACAGTCTTCGGGCTCAAATGCTCGTTCCTCGGCTCGCTGGTCTCCCAGTTGGCCAAATTGAACCTGGACGATGTCGTCGACGATATGAACGAGGTCAGTCTGCAGGGTTGGGCCGAGCTGTTGGAGAAGAAAAACATCGCCCGCCCCGGTCCTATCAGCCCGTTCCTCGAGAAGGACGTCATCAAAGACCAAGATATGTCGCTCAATGGCTCATTGTTCGAAACAACAACCGGCTGGAAACCCACACGGGAGCGCTTCGACGCGGACGGGGTTCGGGCAATGGTCGAAAGCTATAAACGGATGGGCTGGTGGCCTTAAGAAGAATTTTTTCTTCGTCTTCCTTTAAACTACTTCAATAATCACCTTGCTTCCGAGGAGCAAGAAACCAAAGAAGAAACTTTCTTTCCTGAAGCCTCCAGCCAGACCAAGGGATGAGCGAAAAATCACAACGACAAATCCCAGCTTGTCTCATGATCCCTCGCCTAAAAAAAAAAGCATCATCCAGGCAGAAGACGCACGAACTTTGACCATCCCCGTCAACAACGACGCAAACTACCCGCTTTCCGCCCGTCAGATAACGATATTTCTCTATCCTGACCAAATCCCTTTCTCTGTAATCTAATTCTTCTTTCCCAAGCCCCCTCTTCTCAAATCACCCAGCATGTCCAAGATATCCGGACTGCGTTCTGCATCATCATGCTTCACCCCCTGCGCATGACCCTCATGAACATTTAGACCTAGGTGTACATAGCTTCGCACCCTAGCTGCGCTGAAACCTCCCATCTCTCTTTGATATACGTCTTTTCTTGTAGTTGAAAATATACATTAGAGCATTGTTGTCTTTATAGGATATCATGTAGAAATGCTCGCGTTTCCCCTGATATGTTGTAACCCTGGTGAGATATGGGTAGGGCAGGGCAGCGTTGAATCGCAACAAGGCATCGGGATGATTGCACTTGTTCTGAGAGAAAGCTCTACATCTACATTTTATACTGAGATTGTGTGATTCCCGTCGACGATTGCATTGTTTCAAGGACCCAAGAAGACCGTATGGCTGGTTAATACCAACCAAGTCAAACGGAAGGAAAAAAATCCAAATCTGGATAGAGCGCTGTCTAGAATCCACGTGCCATCCATATCACATGTAATGAGCAGAGCATGGCAGAAGAACAAGGCGATCAGAGAAAAAAGGCATGAAATGCAGAGTATGCTATGGTCCATTCCATCTAGTCGCTATGAAGGGTGATGCTGATGAGGAAGAAAAGCAAAAATGGGTTCATGAAGTAATACAAATGTTAGGATATGACTCAGGTGCCTTAAAAAAGTCGGCATCTAGAATTCCCAGTTTTCGTCGACGGACTTGATCGCCCACTCGAACTTCTCCCGCAGCGATTTGGAGAAGAATTTCTCGATGGGTACGTTGAATTTCTTGCTGAACACGACCGTGAGACGAGGGTCGATATAGTTCTAATTGGTGTTAGCTGAAGCCCCTTTTAATAAGGTAGAGACAAAGTACTCACGATCTTGGACGTTCCCAAGGCCACTTCTTTGTTGTCTTCCTTGTCCTGAGCTTGGAGCTCCATCGTTTCGATACGTTGCTCGAGCTTCGTGATGGCAGCCTCAATCCTCGCCACGCTTGGGCTCTTGCCCTCGGCTTCCACTTTACCAGTTTTGTTCTCCTTCTTGAACCTGAGCTCCATCTCCTTGACCGCTTCGAGCCGGCTATCGAGTTCGCTGGCTTTCATTTCTTTCTCTCCTTCCGCGGCGAGCTTCTCATTCTCTTTCTCGAATTTCTTCTTGATCTTTTGTTGTTGCTCTTCGAGCAGGAAGGCCTGGTGCTCCTTGACCCAGTCCATGTCCATGTCCTCATCCATCTCGAAGAATTTGGCACCCTTCTTCTTCTTGAGAGTGGGCTCCAGGTTGAGCATCTGCTGCTTTAGCCGCCATCTCTGGTAACGCAGCCCTTTAATCTATTGAAGGACCCTCAAATCAGTATTGAGAATGGTAGCAGAATACTGCGGATTGATCGACTTACACGTTCGCTCATCTTCTCCATTTGATTGGCATGTGACGCGGTAACGGTCCGCTTGTGGTTGCAAAGGATGGCAACTCTGCGATTTGCATCGTTGTATGCCTTTACCTTCTCTGCATTGTTGCCCGTGGCTTTCATATCCTTGAGAAGCGTGGCCATAGTATATGAAGCATTGTATGTACGGAAGACCTTGGCGGTCAAGCCCTGCATGTAAGTAGAAAGATGCTTGTTCAGGGCGGATGTCTGGCAATGAATCAGCATTTTCTGAAAGAATTGACCCAACCATGAAGAAACGTACCGTCAACCTGTCAAAAATCTCATCACCCTCTTTCTTGGGCGCCTTCTTGAAGATTTTCAAATTCTTGAAGACCTGAGCATCGACCTCAACCTCGTCATAGAATCGGATACTGTCTTTACCCAGGAAATCAAAGATGACCTTATTTGGAGGCTTGAGGGTCACATTCTCGTATTTCAGAGAACAGCAACCGACTGTATCAGCCTCATCCTCACCCTTTTCATTACCCGCACGCAGAGCGAATTGATCAATGAGATAGACAGCTGTTGCCTTCTGGCGTTCAACCATCAACTCGTGTTTCAAGCTCTTCTGATAATCCTTGCGGATGCGATCGATGTGTTTCTTGAGTTCACGGGCCTTCTCGAATTTCTTAAAATCACTCTGACCCTTGACATCTGAATTGGCGGCAAGCATCACATATTTGTAATTGCCATTGATGTTCTCCTGCCACATGGCGAGCCATGTGCCTTCTTGATCATGCTTGACCTCCTTCCAGCGATGACCTTCAGGCGGGGGAGGCACAGGTGCGCCCTTTCCAATGTTGATTGTAATCTGTTCCGGTTGGACTCGCGCCTTGACACGGCCAGTCTTGGGATGTTCGCCACGGCCGCGGAACAGTGATGGGGGTTCGACTCGGAAGTTACCAACCTTCTGCTTGCGCCCATCCCAGAGACAGTACATATAGGGCGCTTCAGCGGCATCTTTCTCAGCCTTCAAGCGTTTCTTCTCAGCTGGAGGAATATTCCTCTTTTCAATCCGCTTGGCATCGTAATAAGCGAAGATTGACTGGAAGTCGCATTTCGAAAACTCCTTGATCTCGATTTTGTTGCCTTTAGGGTCTTTCGCGCCGCCTGTCTTCTTCAGGATGTCCTTAAAATCCGAGAAAAAATTCTTTTGGAAGGTCGGATTTTCCACATGCTGAGTCGCGTTCAGCATGCTGCCGAAGAATCCCGCCACTTCTTCGGCTTCGGGGTGAAGGGTGACCGGAATACCATCGTATTTCATCTTGACATCCTGTGGTAAAGGTTCATAGGGAGGAGGGAAAACAACACCATTATGTTCTAGGGTGGTCCACTTGATGGTGCCATCACCCTTGGTCGGATCGTCCCACCACCTGTACTCTTCTTCTTCTTCCTCACCTTCTTCGACTTCTTCGCTTTCCTCCTTCTTTACTGGAGTCGCCTTTGCTTTTCCGTTCCTGGCGGAGGCTGCAGTCTCGGTCTTGGTCGGTCTGGAGGCCTTCTTAGCGACCGGTTTCTTTTCATCCACCGGCTCCTTCTTCACTCCATTGACCTGCTTCCTCTTCGCGGCAGCAGTGGTCTTAGTCGCTTGCGCTGCTTCGCTCTTTCGAGCCACCTTGGCTTCCTTCTCAGCCTTTTGCTGGATTCTCAGTTTTTCCGACGCGAGCTTCCGTTCGATCGGAACATCGGAGTCGGATTCTTCGGCACCAATACGAGTCTCCGAAGCCTTAGGAAGTTTTCTTCCATTGAGCGCAAGGGGCACGTCTTCATCCGTCTCAGGATCTTCATGCTTCACGGATGTGCGACGGCGCTTGCTCTGTCGAACGGTCAGCCGCTGAAACCAAACAGCGACAAATGCGTCGCGACGTAAGGGTAACGAGGGGGATGGCGTAGGCAGGACTGGCGTACCAAAGGCTGATCTTCCTCCTCGCTGCTCTCCGGTTCTGCATAGGATTTTCTCTGACCAACACTCGTCCGCACCTTCCTCTTGCCAGCCAGACCTGCGTGGGCATCTGCAGCATCTTTCATCTCCACATCTCCCACGCTCTTCACAGGGCCAAAACGGAGGGATACGCCCGGGTCCACATGGCCGTTAGTCTCGGGGGTGTTATCCATCTTCATGTCCGTAACGGGGCCTAGAGTGTACGATAGTCAGAGAGAGGGAAATCGGTGAATCCAATGGATAAAGAGTTAGATTAGAAAATATCAGTGAGAAGGCGCGCGCTGAAAAATCGGGTGAGAAGTGAAGGGGCAGGAAAAAAATAATCCAGTCATGCGCTCAGTCGCGGAAAGTTGAGGGCTATGTGAGATGACGGGTACTCACCTGCAGAACGACCATTTGTCTTAACGAGCGGGGTATCATCTTCCGAGGAACTCATGATTGCAAAGCGCTGAGCAGTAAATGGCCAGTTCGAATACTGCAAATGCAGGTAAACACGGGCCGGAGAGGTGCAGAGACTCGGTGCTGGTCGCCTGCCAAGTCTGAAGGACCGAGACAGCGCTTGACAGAATGATGAGGTCAATGAGACCTTGAACGATGAAGACGCGAAGAATGAAAGGATGATGGCGAGAGATAATTGTACAAAGTCAATGATTGACGAAAGGAGAGAAAGGTGAAGGGGGAAGAGCCCACACTCCAGCGAGGTTTAAGGTTGACGAGAGGAAGAAGAGGAATTGAGGGAAAAGAAGGAGATGGAATGGAACCTGGAAAACGAGGCCTGGGTCTTTTTGGCGGCCTGAGGCTGCTGCTGAGGCGATCTTCACGTTTCTCCGGAATCCGGAGCGCCGCCACTCGTGTTATCTGCCTTGGTGCCTTGGTTCACTACTACGGAGTACTATGACCGTATGCTTGGCGGCCTGAATGCCTGGGGCTTGCTACGTCACGTGTGTATGTGTGTGGACTGCGCACTTGGTCTACTTCGCTATCCGCTCAGAGTTGCCTGATCAGGCTTAGTGCGGCTGTATTCCCGTCTCGCCGGCTTGTCGGAAAGAACGAACAGAAACAGGAGTCCAACCTCCAAAGTGAACGACCTTCTCTTCCCGCAAAAGCAGAGGATTCTCATCGCCCTCCACTCCTCCCGATTGACCTCGCGGCTCTCCCCTCCGCTTTCGTTACTACCTGGTCTATCTTCCCTTTCGGATTCGCCATGTTTTCTCGTGCTATTCGTCCGGCCGTGAAGGCTGGCAGTGCCACTCTGACCCGGTAAGTTTCTCTTCCGGATGTCCATAATCCACCAAGCCATATCATATATACGCCTTTTGTCCCAAACACTCCCCCACCTCGAATCGGACATCCCGTCAGCATTATAATAGGCCCAATCGATACGGATGGAATTGTGTTGTGAAGATAAAGCTTGGAGGAAATGTGAATGCTGATATTCCTGGAAGCACTGCTCCCCCCAATGCCGCCAACTTCGCGACTCTGCGTGAGATTGAGGGCCGCCTCAAGTCCATCAAGAACATCGAGAAGATCACCAACACGATGAAGATTGTTGCCTCGACCCGTCTTACCCGCGCTCAGAAGGCTATGGACGAATCTCGCGTCTACGGTCAGACCTCCAACAAGGTCTTCGAGGAAGCCGAAACCAAGCCCCTTGAGGACAAGAAGACCCTGCTCGTCGTTGCCAGCTCCGACAAGGGTCTTTGCGGTGGTATTCACTCGGGTCTCAGCAAGGCCACTCGCCGTATCCTCCAGCAAATCCCCAACGCCGACATCGTCGTTCTCGGCGACAAGGCCAAGGCCCAGCTGTCCAGATCCAGCGGTGACCTTCTCGTCCTGAGCTTTGCCAACGTTTGCAAGGACATTCCTACCTTCGCTGAAGCCCAGGCCATTGCCGATCAGATCTCTCTGCTGCCTACCGATTACGCTAGCATCAAGATCATTTACAACAAGTTCATCAACGCTCAGAGCTACGAGGCCAGCACTGTTGAGGCCTACTCCGAGGAGGCCATTACCAAGTCTGGTCAGTAATCCGTAATGTTGATAATGGTCCAACTGGGATACTAATATTGCCTAATCAGCCAACCTCTCCACTTTCGAGGTCGACGAATCTGCTCTTGCCAACCTTCGCGAATTCGCCCTTGCCAACAGCTTGTACTGGGCTATGGCTGAGGGTCACGCCTGTGAAGTTTCTGTAAGACCTCTCTGCTCCTTGAGATAGAAAGAAGAATCCGTACTAATGTTCTCAACAGGCTCGTCGCAATGCCATGGAGGCAAGTATACCTGGGGGATGAGAGTGAAGATACAACAAACTAACCAATATTTCATTTACAGAACGCCTCCAAGAACGCTGGTGAGATGATCAACAAGTAAGCACGCTATCTCCTGGAGTTATATATATATATATATATATATATATTCGCGAGGCTAATGATTCCCTTAGGTTCCAGATTCTGTACAACCGTCAGCGTCAAGCCGTCATTACCAACGAACTGGTCGAAATTATCACCGGTGCCACTGCCAGTGAGGACATGTAGGAGCTTGCATGAAGCTTCTGTGGGAAGGAGTCGCCATTTGTGTAGACTTACTCAACAATACCTAGATTCTTTTTCCGCCTGTAAAATCAGTCTCAATCTAACTTTCTTTTGTGCAATTCTTTTTCTGCATCAATTCAACATATATCAACAATCACAACAATATCGCTGGTACCAGCAGTGAGCCTTTGATGTCCCAAGTCTGATGCTGCTTATTCCTATCTTTGATCCTTGAAACACCCTTTGTGAGTTTTGATGGATGGATGTTGACTTCACCATCTTAGACCACCTGGGAGTCTGCAACTGCGATCTTATTCTTCACTCAAGAGAGATTATCGATAGCTGATGCTCTAATAGGACTTCCTTGTTTGGACTAGAGAGCTGGATACAAGTTGACTTCACTTTTTCTTTCCATCTTCTTTCTCATTGTGTGCTTTTGAATTCACTCCCACCTTCATCTATCTCCATCACTCACAAACAGCTTCTTATTGATTGTGACCTATTGTTCTGAGCTGCAGGACATCTTTCACCTAGAAGAGGACTCTGTGCGTGTTTCTGAGACCTCCTTCCCTTGGAAACTCAATATCGGGTTTGGAGCTTGTTTTCTAGTACATTTCCCTGCCTTCCTCATCCATCGCATTCAGCAAGCTCTTGCACACTGTCCAGCTCGAGAGCATCGTAAACAGCCCGGGAATCTCTTCTTTTCTCGACAACAAGAAAACCAATCTTGGATCCGACCTCACTATGTCCCGAACGACAGCCGTGAATTACTACGAGATCCTTGGCATTAGGTCCGATGCGACTATCAAGGATATTAATACCGCGTACAAGAGGCTTGCTCTTAAGTATCACCCAGACAAAGCAGGCGGAGTTGACACATCTCAGACAGAGTTCCAGAAGGTATCAGCCGCGCAGGAAGGCCAAGAGAAATATTACACTATGCTAACGCAAACATTCACTTCCAGATCCAGCAGGCCGTGGAAACGCTTCGCGATCCATTTCGCCGCAAGACACATGATCTGGAACTCGTGCGATTGGGGAAGATTTCCGTCCAGGAAACGACTTTCCCGCGCGCCGGCGGCGCCGAGTGGTCCGCTTACGGGTTCAAACGGTATGACGATGGTAGTCGCTACATGTACAGCTATGAGAACAGCGTGCATGTAAGTCCCCAGAACAAGGAATCGAAAGAGGACATGGCGTGGGTTGAGCAGATGTTGAAGGCGGAAGAAGAGTACAGGAAGAATCTTGCGAAGCAGAGGGAACAGGAACAGATGCGGGCTCAGAGGGCAACGGAGGAAGAGGAAGAGGAAGAGGAGGGAGGATGGAACGAAAACGATAAACAGCAGCAGCAACAGCCCTGGGAGCATGGTCATCCTGGGCCTTTCCAGCAGTACACCTTTACCAAGAACCAGTTCCAGGCAGAAGAGGATGAGTATGATTTTTACTCACCCTGGGAAATTCCTGGAGGACCTCACTGGAAGGACAGGAACATCTGGGATAGGTGTGCACGAAGGGCTCCACAGTGGGGACAGTGCGAAGAAGAGCAAGAAGAAGAATACTACCAGGATGAATGTCAGGGAGCTCAAGAGCACGAAGACATCTATGGAGAGAATGCTGGAGATGAACATAAGCGCTACGCAGGCGACGAATATGAGCGAGGGCTCTATGAAGACCCAAACCAAATCCACAAAGTAGAGGCCGAAGGTGGAGAAGAGTTCTACCAGAACCAAGAGGAAGGTCAGCATGAGCTCTATGCTGAAGAAGACGAAGATGACCAAGAGATCTATGAAAACCGAAATGAGCTTTATGAGGGAGACGATGAGGATGAACAAGAATCTTACGCTGAGGAGGGCGAAGACGATTCAGAGCCCGATGAATATCAAAAAGGTCCGAGCGAGGCAGAGGCTGATGGCGAACAAACTAACAACGGAGACCAAGCTCAAGAAAAGTATGGGGCTTACGAAGTAGACTACGAAGACGAACAAGAGGCCTATGGCGATCATGCTGAAGAGCAGCATGGTTTCTACGAAACAGAAGCCGATCACTACCAGGACTCGTATGAAGAGGAGGCCTACTATGAGAGCGAGGATGGTGATCAGAGCATATATGAACAGGAATACAGTGAGCATGACCATGACTTTGGAGATTCGTCCTTCCTTCCTGATGATCAGCTTTCTGAGTATCTCCCGTCTGTCTGCGAATCCGAAGGGGAGTACGCAACTGCGAAGAGCAACGACTCCGAGTTCCAAAACTGCTCCGACAAGGGAAACATTGGCGCTGTCCCTCATGACAATAACAGACATATTCTGAAAAAGGCACACAATCCAGAAGAAGATACAGGCGTATACTATGACTTCAGCGAGGCGAACGCAACCCACACATCATACAACACAAACCCTCCGTCAACGAATGACCCTAATGAAATCGAGAACAATCATGAGACTGAGAACAGACCGCGATTTCCGCATAACGACTTCATCAACGAGTCAAATCTCCAGCACATCCTTGCTCCTTTCATTCCTTACTTCAGAGGCAAGCTCGATGATCCCAGCGGCCGCTACACGGAAGAGGACCTCCGCGTTGAACTCCGAGGAATTGTAATGGAGATCTTCTGCGGTTGGCTCGAAAATCTTCGCCTTGCGGTTCCTCATGCAGAGATCCCAGCCACCGGCAACGATCCAGAGCAGTGTCCCCACCTTGGAGCCTGGGTGAAGCGGTTTGATCGGCCGGAATGCAAGACCTGTCATCGCTGGAAGCCGATCTACACACTTACCTGCCCCGGATGTGGCATTAAGGCCTGCGTTAGTTGTCGATTTCAGTAGAGGATGACTGACTGAGAATTTGGTCGCTTTCCGCTTGCCTTTTTTTCTTCTTCTGTATCTTCTGCACATTACTGTACCTTGGGTCATATTTGAGGTTCCTGTGATGTGTTTTTGACCTTCTTGTCCGTGAGCTTGGGAATGGATTGTTTGCTTTATGCTCTTATCTTTTGAGCCCGGGTCCATTGGCTTGTGTTACCATTATCAGACTCCAGTTGCTGAAGAGGGTGGATTTGGATGTGGAGGTATCGGAGTGAATTGTTAATTCTGGTGTTTATTCTACTTTCTGCTTACTTCAGAATACTTCCAAGGTTAGTAATTGTTGTATCAGTCTGTATTTAGGAAAACTAGATCATTCCAATATTCCCAGAACCATGATAATCCACCGCTGTTGATGTCCTCCAAATTAGAACAGCCCTTGTGGATCTCGTCCTCTAGAATTTGAGGACGGTAACCCATTGGGTCTCTCAAGCCTGTTTCACTTCGACCTCACGCAGTTCCGCGGGAACAGAACTGGTAAGCCGCCCCAGGGCTTCATCAAGACCAATCTCGCGCGAGATCTCAGCCTGGCGCTCGAAGTCGGAGACGGCGGTTCCCTCGGAGCCAAAGATGACGTCCATTTCCTCTGATAACCAACCCATTAGCACTGCCCTAGAGGCTAAGAAAGTAACACAAAAAAAAAAAAAAAAAAAAAAAAAAAACTCACCGAGAGACAGCTGCTTTGTCTCGGGAACCAGGAACGCAATGAACAACGCGCCGAAGAAGGTAATGACGCCGAAGAAGATGTAGGTTCCGTATCGGATGTCCTGGAGCATGTCGGGTGTGACCTGGCCGACAATGAAGTTGTTCATCCAGTCTGAACATGTATGATTTAGAGTAAGAGATTGAAGAGGGTTGTGAGGGGAAAGACTCACTGGCCGAAGCACCCAGCGCTGTGCCCTTTGCCCGCACGCTGAGCGGCCAGATCTCCGCGATGATGATCCAGGCGCATGGTCCTGAGTGATGCGGTTAGCATAAATTGAATAGCGGGTGGGGGGGGGGGGAAGAGTTGGATGATTATCGCACCCCATGAGTATCCGAAGTGGACGACGAAGAGCCAGACCATGGCGACGGCAGCCCAGCCAGCGGCTCTGTGCGAGTCCCACTGGTTCTCGTTCTGGGCGAAGATACCCGCGATGATGAAGTGGCAGGCCGCCATGCCGATGGCTCCGACTACCAGGACGGGTTTGCGGCCGAGGTTGTCGACCCAGATGACGGCTGGGATCTGTGATGGTTGAGTTGTGGAAGAAGAGGGGACTGGGTTGGTTTTCTTACTGTTGCGATGAACATGGCAATACCGACGACACCGGTGGCGAGAAGCGAGGTGGTATTGCTGCTCATACCGAGCTGTTCAAAGATAGATGGGGCGTAGTAGAGCACGGCGTTCACGCCGGTCCATTGCTGGAGGTTATTTGTTAGGGGTCGTGGGCCCAAAGGGAAGATGAATGGAGGCTCACTTGGAATGTCATCGTGACTTTGGGTAAATGTCAGCATGCTTGGATACCTTTTGGGCGTGCAGTCACTGACCTGTAGCAACCATGACGCGTCTGAACATCGGCCAGGTCGTGAAAAGACTAGCGAATCCCGCCGCCTCCAGCTTGATGTAACTCCAGGTATTGGTTCTCTCTAGATGAGGGAATTTTTCCTTCTCGGTTCGTTTCTCAAAGAGACTCTGGGCTTTGATCTCCAGGAATTCAAGTTGAAGAAGCGGATCATCTGCAGAGAGACCGCGAAGGCTCATGAGAACCCTCTTGGCTTCCTCCTCTCGGTCATGGTGGACGAGCCAACGAGGAGAGAATGGCATGAAGATCATGCCAATTCCGAGAACAACGGCCGGCACAAGCTGCAGAGCAAGCGGTAGAAGCCATGCGGTATCCTTCTGGGCCGATCCTGTGCCGCCGATATGGTTTGTTCCGTAGTTGATCCTAGTATTGTCAGAAAAAGAAGCCATCCGAGCTGGGTCTAGACTGACCAGAATGAAACCTGTGACATCGATTAGTATGACATGATCGCATAGTTTGTGAGGGTGATAGCTGCCTTCTTACCATGATACCAAACGTGATAGCGAGTTGTTGCATGGCAACCAAGGAACCTCTGACCTCTGGCGGTGCAATCTGCTTCACATTAGCATATGCACCTCGTAGCCGGCACCCAGCAGGGCGCATACCTCCGCGTTATACATGGGAACACTCATGGAGAGACTAAGGGTAACAGTCAGGGATCGATCTAAGTATTCCATCACGGCAATTCCATACCTGCCAACTCCCATACCTGTCACGAAACGACCACCCAGGATGTGAGATGAGCCAGCACCACTGGTACCAGCTGTCGTCTGAACTACAACGCCGATGCAGAAGATGCATACGTTCAAGAGGATCGTATATTTGCGGGAGATTCTCTCGCAGAGAATTCCAGAATACAAAGCGCCGAACCAGGCACCGAGTTCGAGAATCGCTGCACGTCGTCCTTAGCCAATGTCATACTACCATACAAAGTGCGTCCCTTTTTCTTCATACCAGTCAACCAGCCTTTCTTCGTTTGATTGGTGACAGCGTCACCCATCTGTTGGGACAATATTAGCAGGAAGTCCTCTTGAAACAGCGAAGGTTGAGGAGACCATACGTGCGTCTCGAAAGAATACATTGTCACTCAGGCAGACATCAGTATGACCTGTCTTTTGATCATCGACATGCTAGCGACTTACAAACGCCTGAAAACACTCCCTGTTCCGCAACAAGCATCGTATTAGTTTGAGCTCCCATACTTCACGCGCTGTATATGATGGACGGTCCCGACTCACCTGGTTATAACCATACAAAAGACTTCCCTCGCAGTCAGTATTTCTCCCACAAGATTCAAAGCGACACGGCTGAACCTACCCTCCCAAGCACGCAAACATGGCAATTCCAAAAACCTTCCGATTCTGAACCAACCCTGCCATGCCGGAGGAGCCCCGGAGGGCAGCCCTGCGCGCCTGCGCTGCAGCATCCATCGCCGCTGAGGAATCAACAGCACCGCCCATGGTTGTTCCAATGTAGTCTTATCGCTTGAAAAAGAAAAAGGTGTATACACACGCAGGTACGAACGAAAGCCTCAAAATCGGACAGAGGAGCAAGGCCAGAAGAAAGGAGGGAACCCCGGCGTAGTCATAGCATGGCGCTCCTCGCCATTTTGGCTATTCTATTCTTCCGCATGCTGGATGATCGCTAAGCTTGCACGCCGTATCCTCAACCTAGCTCTTGCGAGTTTGTTGACAAAGCGTGGCGCCGCTAGGTCAAGAGTCTGGCTAAAATGCATGGGGGGTCTTGTCTGGGGAAGTCCGGGGGGCTAGCCTAGCAGCTCCAAGGCGTGCCGGAGATTGGTGATCGGCTTGAAGCATGCGACAACAGTCACAACACCCGAGGCTTGACGAAGCTGCTGCCGCCAATGAATGCGGACGAAAGGGATATGGTGATCTTGTTATGCCAGCCGGTTGAAATGTCCGGATAAACGTCATTTAGTAGTTAGTAGACAATTTCTGAGCGGGATGGCTGTCGAGCTTTGATAGGGAGCGTTGCATGCCATTGTAACATGGGGAGAGGCCTGAGCCTATCCAACGGCCGGAGACAGCGTAGGGTCTTACGCCAAGGGCTTGGACGAGAGAGGAGAACAAAGCCACGCGCACCGAAAAAGACGTGTTGGGAGATTCCTGGATATCTAACTTCGTTCTCGCGAATAACCTCTGGCCAGTGGCTTGATGTTAGAAGGATATTTCGGCAGCTCTCTCTTTGAAAGATGCCGTGGAATAACTATGGAGGTTGTTGGAGAGGAACTTTGGGTGACCAACCAATGCCTCTCCCACTGTCAGCGTTATTATTATTGCTTCATATTGCTAGAATGGTGGGTGGCTCTACAGTTGGAAGCTTCAAGAATTGTATGTAATGATAATCATGAAATATCCCAATGGCTAATGTACAATCTATCCCAAAATCATCACTCGTCAACCCAAACAATCCATGACCATTACCGTAACCCGTCTATATGTAACAAACCACTATCTGCAAAACGCCTTGGAAAAGGAGGAAGAGAAAATTACAGTGTAGGCGCTCTCTTGAGCCCAACACAATATCGCACAAACAAAGCATCAATGAAATGACCGTGACGGATCCCCGGTGCCCGTTGCCTCTCGAACTCATCGATGGCTTCTTGGACAGTGAAGCCCCGTCGCTCAATCAGATAGCTGACGATGAGGAAGCCTGTTCTATTGAATCCGTAGTGGCAATGCACTCCGACCACAGGCCGGGGACCACTAGTATTACCGGATTTCTTCATCTTCTCGGTGATCTCATTCTGTAATCGATCTACCAGCGCGATAAAATCTCTCGTCTCGTCGGGGGTCGGCGGAATTTTCGACACCGTCGGGTGCTTGTGATATTGAATCCCTCCCTTCTCCAGAGAGGCAGGGTTGTATACGGGGTTCTCGTAGCTGATATCAATCACGGCGTATATTTGGTCGCGGTGCTTTTGCGAGAACAACACGGGATTATGCTCTTCGTCCACCTCTCGCAACATCTTAAGCGCGACGAAAGTGTCTGCAATTCGCTGGGAAACAGGCGGAACTTTCTGCCATTTGGCCAGGTTTTTGACATCCCACTTTCCAGAAGTGTTCATGTACTGTAACTGCCACCCAAGACTCACGCGTTGGTCAATATGCTGCGAAAGAAAATCTTGAATGATACCCGCCAGGGTGCGGTATGTAGCACGGTCGTAGAGAAGCGCATGTGAGGCTGGTGCGGGAAGAATGACGGTCTTGACAGCACGTTTCTTTTTGCTCGATGCCTCAGGTTCGATGACCAACGTCTTCTCGCTTGTTTGTGCCTCAAGGCCGTATTCTTCCTCATGCGCAAGGTGATCGTACGTCGTAGAAACAGTGTCATGCACTTCTGAAGCATCAGGGATAACAGCACTGCCGTTGGTACCCATATCGACTTTCAGTCCAGTTTCGCCGAAAAACTTCAGAATCTTCTGAAGCTCTGCCGGCTTGGTGACCGCGTCGGACTCACCCGCCACTAGAAGAACCGGTGTTTTCACTCCGGCCCAGACTTCTTCTCCTGGAATACCACCAACAGCCTTGCCGTCCTTGGTATAGGTGGGAAGCGTTCCCCAAGCCATGCGTCTCCAAACAGGAGTTTTACTTTGTTTGTTGTAGCGCACCTGGAGCTCTCTCGTGTCTGGATCAGCATCAGTGCCAACAAGTCGATTGACACTGGTACTATGTAGACCGCCCCGTCTGTCCCAACGGCGCCACATGTCAAAGATCGTCTCTGGCACATGAAGAAGACGGCGAAAAGAGGCGACTTCGTCAGGAGTCGGAGGTGCTGCGCGGGGGCAGATAGCAAGAAGCCCTGAGATGTGCTGCTTCAATTCGGCCCCGATTGGTGACGTGGAAGATGCGAGAAGAGCCGAGAGAGAGCAACCCAAGCTGTGGCCGATCAAGACCACTTTCTGGCCTGCCTCTCGGTCACGATGCTTTTCAATAGCTGTGCAGAGCAATTCTGCCAAAGCTTCGACTGTATACGCGTCCCAAGAAGTAGGGGCGAAGGTCGACAATCCGCATCCGGGGAGGTCGATGCCAAAACAGGGTCCCACGTTGGCCAAGCTCGTCAACAGAAGACCAAATTGGGCCAAGGAACCACCCAGACCGTGTACGAAGACCAGCAGTGGTAGCGGTGTTGGCTTGGTGGGGAGCTTGTCCATTTGTGGATGTGGACAGAAGAATGTTCTGATGGAAGGATAGGTCGCGATGGATGTTGTGTAGGAGAGGAATGAAGAACGCTTCTTGAGAAGGCCGGGATCTGTGCTAAGAGCTACACGGATTGTTAGCAGGTAAGAAACAATGCATGAAGAACTGTTGGCGACTGACCATCCGTCGACTGCTCGCGTTGTTTATGGGTCACTTTCTCTTGTGGCATGGCAGCATTGGTGCCAAAACGCAGTGAGCCACTGCTGTCATAATCATCCTCCTCTTCTTCTGAGGATGTTGTCGTCCCCGCAACTGAGGTTGAGTGCTCTTTTTGAGCTCCACGACGAAGAGGCTTACGGTCCCGGGACCGCTTGAAGACTCGACGCCGTACGAGAGAGGAAAGGAAACCACAGCCGGCCATGGTGATGAGACAGGTAGTCAGAAACACGACCTTTCCCCAGGTTATTGTACCATCCGCATCAAGGGTATGGAAAGAGCGTGAGAAACCAAGGAACGCAGTCGAATGAGAGAGAGTTGCAGAAACAGAATCCCAGAGTTGTAGAGCGGCGCCAATATCGAAGAAAGAGCGGGGCGACGTAGACGAAGATAACGAAGTACCGGCCGAGATCATGGTGAACTAAGGGTGCCGATTCAACAGTTATATATTTGTACTAATAGATCAGAGGCTAGCGATCAAGCCCAGGCGCAACAATTAGGGGATCCTCTGCCCTGAAGGGCTCATGCAGTCATTCACCGACCTTCCACGGCCCACAGTTTCTCGGAACCAGCGATGATAAGCCACCTCAAAACTGGGGGGCTCCCAAGCAGCTGGACCGACGTGACTGTATTCTAGGATCCGATTTGGACTTGTAACCAAGATGGCGTATGGATCCTTCTTGGCAGACAAGTGCTTGCTGGGCCGAATATCGATAATGAGACGACGAGCTGGCCGATCAAAGCAATCCGGAACTAGGCGGGGAATATCCCTTGCACGCTATTTGTCCTAGACTGCAATAAGGGTATCGTGAGGTAAGGAAGTGGATGAGCCTGTCACTACCCCAGCGTGAGGGCGTTTGGCCGAATTGACCAATAACCGTAGGATATCCACCACGTTGACCTTTCAAATGTCCCGAGACGCACCAGAGGTATATGACACCTCCACCGTTTGAGCCTAGAATAACAGGGGCCGATCTTCTAGACTGCTGATTGTCCGATGTGCCTTGCGACCTGGGGGAGTGGCTTGCGGTCCACTTTGGAGTGTTTATGCGCGTTCAAGCGTGTAAGAACGAGGGTTAGACGAATCGGAAGAAAGGAGCGATCACCAAAGATAGATATTCTATATCGAAGTAGTTGTCACTGTGGAATGAATGAGGAAGAATTAGCCATGACTCCCGGCGCAAAGCAAAGCAGGTTCCAAGTATGAGGGACAAAAGAATTTAGTTTGCGACAGAAATTTGCAGCCTTCTTACCTGAAAGACGGCAACCGAGGATCATCCGCCCCTAGACGTTGGTATGTTTCTTGGCTTTTTGGGGAAACAAACTCCTTACTTGTGTAGAAGTCCAGAAATCAATGTGTGAGTACCCAAAATCCAGGTTTCAATGGTAAAACCACCCAGAAGCAGAGAAAGAGATGTTTCGCAGCCTGTCAGCGAGTCGGGACGAGCACCGTGGCGGTCGCAAAGGCGGCCAGATGACGGATGAATCATCCTCTGGTCCGCCCACTCATGGCGTCAGGCTGCAGCCCGTGGCGGCCTTAGTGGATCATCCCCTAAAGAGTATCACAGATCAACTTACTCTGTATAGATCACTCTTGAGGACTATCTATCTATCGGCTTGCACAAGGGCGATGCAGAACTACTACTTACTATCTTGGTCTCTCCGGCATTGCCACTGAGTTGACTGTTAAACTACGGCGCACATTACTGGGCACGCACATTGATCATGAGGGATAGGTTCCTTGATTAAGCACACGGTTTTTTTTTTTTGGCAAACAGAATGATCTCGACCAGCTCTTGTCAAAGGATCTACTAGAATAGATCCGTCATCGCGCCATGAGAGGCATCTCCAACCAGCCTGGCATACTTGGCTAGTACGCCACGTGTGACATGGGGCGTTGGGGGCTTCCATTCCTTCAGACGCTGTCGAATCTCCTCGTCCGAAACATCCATGCTGATGGTGTTGGTCTCCGCATCGATGGTAATCACATCGCCGTCACGGACAACAGCAATCGGTCCGCCAACTGCAGCTTCGGGGACAATATGGCCGACGATGAACCCGTGACTGGCTCCTGAGTATCGCCCATCTGTGATCAGCGCCACGTTGTTGAGCTTGGCTCCCATGAGCGCTGCACTGGCTTTGAGCTGTTCCGGCATACCCGGTCCGCCCTTGGGGCCTTCGTAACGGACAATAAGCACCAGGTTCTCGCCACGAGGAATTTTGCCCTGGGTCACAGCATCGTTCAATTGATGCTCCTTATTAAAGACACGGGCTTTGCCTGTGAATTTGGTTCCCTCCTTTCCGGTGATCTTGGCGACTGCTCCTCCAGGTGCCAGGTTTCCGCGCAAGATCTGCAGGTGCCCAGTCGCCTTGATGGGCTTATCGAGAGGGCGAATGATGACTTGATCTTGAGGCAGCGATGGGAAGGAGGCAACGTTCTCGGCCAACGTCTTGCCAGTGACTGTGGGGATATCGCCGTCGAGGAGACCCGCTGCGATCAGCAGCTTCTGCACAGACGGAATGCCTCCGATATCATACAGGTCCGCCATGTAGTACTTCCCGCTCGGAGCCAGATCCGCGATGAAGGGGATCTTATTGCTCACTCGCTGGATATCATCCAAGGTGAGATCCACCTCGGCCGTCCTGGCCATGGCGAGGAAATGCAAGACACCATTGGTGCTTCCGCCCAGCGCCATGGTCATAACCAGGGCGTTCTCAAATGACCGCTTGGTCAACAGATCTCGGGGCTTGATGTTCTTCTCCATGCAGACCTTGATGGCTTCAGCCGCCTTGACGCACTCCCGCATCTTCGATGGCGACGACGCAGGTGTCGACGATGATCCGGGCAGAGACAGCCCCATCGACTCGATCGCCGTGGCCATCGTGTTTGCCGTGAACATGCCTCCGCAGGCGCCTGCCGTGGGGCACGCGTGTCTCTCCAGGTCATCCATGATCTCATCCTTGGTCTTGCTGGTATCGCCTCCGTCGTCCGGTTGGCGCAAAGTGTCGTATGCATATGCGCCCGCGGCCTCGAAACAAGACGACACGTTGATAGGCTTCCGCAGGAGATTGGAATAGCCGATCTGAATCGTGCCACCGTAGATCATGATCGACGGCCGATTGTGCCGTGCCATGCCCATCACCACGCCAGGCATGTTCTTGTCACATCCAGGGATGGCAATACAGGCATCATGGTACTGCGCACATGTCACTGTCTCGACACTATCGGCGATGATCTCGCGCGTCTGCAGAGAAAATCGCATCCCTGTTCAAGAAGAAGCCCCATTTTCGTCAGCCCCCTCCTTCCCGTCCCAATTCTTGTATGTAACCTGGATTTTAAAAGCCACTCGGTCACTCACCATCACTACCCATCGTAATCCCATCCGAAACCCCAATCGTGTTATACTGCCATCCGATCATGCCCTGCTCCGTGACGGCTTTCTTGACCGTCTTGCCCAAATCCAACAGGTGCATGTTGCACGGGTTTCCCTCCCACCAGACACTGGCAACACCAACCTGGGGGCTCTTTGTCATGGCATCGCGATCTGGGATACCCGCCGCGAACAGCATTGCCTAAGATAAGGGTGATTGATCAATTAGCCCGGCAAGGACACAAAACGCAAAACACAGAGACACAGGACGAACCCGGGCACCAGGGAAGTCATGGCCGCGAGTGATATAGGACGAGTATCTATTCAGCGCAAGCGTGCCGTCGTCGTGTTTTGCGTCATCGGGAAGACTGGGGAAGTTGATATATTTTGCTTCGGATGTGCTGGACAGCGCGGGGTTGGAGGCATCCATGACGATGGGACGAGTGGTGGATGCAATCGGCGTGCTTACAGTCTGGCAACTAGATATCGAGTAGCCACGGATTAGAATATAGCAGATCAACTTGGGAAATCCCCAGCAGCCACCAAGCCCAATATATGATGCGGTCCAAATTCGAACAGCTGTTGACCACTGAGGGGAATTCGGAGTTTGGCTGCTCTCTCCGCTGGTTGGGTCGGCGAGCAGTCCGATGCGGGGTGGGAACGTGGGTCCATCTGGAGTTTTGGACGGAGTAACTGGTAGCTACTCAAGTGGCCTACACTATCAGGTTGGTAGATGGATGATGAGTGCTTTTATTTGCATGCGTAGTGATTCGCCAGGCAGTGGCATGAGCAACTCTTTAGTCTAGTCAGCTAGTCAGACCGGTCATTGAGGGAGACTCCCTTCTTGAGGTCATCGATCGGGAGCAGACGACCATGTAGTAAATAATGACTGAAACAGGAGAACTAAATATGTATCATAAATGGGTATATATTTCTGGGTATCTGTCCGGAAAAGCACTCCCCCGTATCCATCTCACCGTTGAACTAGTGCATGAGAGAAAAGTGTCAACGCTGCCTGGCATCCAGCGAGCTGTTGCTGCTAATATACATCCTGCAGGCTCATGAAAGAAGACCGCGGAAACATGACAATAGCTAAGCTGTGTCTCGCTCGGTTTCTTGGTTCTCTTCATCTGGCTCAGCCTCCGCTTCGTCCTCGGACTCCTTGTCGATTTTGGACCACTGGCTAGAATGCTCCAACGCCTCATCGTGTTTGACATCTTGCATTTGTTCTGAGTCGCCAGACGGATTGTCATTCGCCTTTTCAGAACTGACATCACGTGCATCAGCTTCCTCATCTATAGCAAATCCAACAATCTTTCCAGACGTCGAATGTGTCCGAGCCTCTTCAAGAACGTCACCGTTCCATGGCTGACACCTTTTGACAATCTCACCGCAGCGGAGACAAACCCAGCCTTCTCCCTCTTCACCCTCCACCTTTTGCACTAGACAAACGAAGCAGTATATGCAGCCACAGGGTATCGTCTCGTAGGGGTTTGTGATATCCGTCTGTGCGGATCCGACTATTCCTCCCGACGATGCAGCCATGACTTCGTTCTCTGACGTAGACGTAGGGTTCTGATCTTTGTAACAAATGGCACATGTCCGCTCGGGAAGATATGCCAGTTCTCCCTGCTTCTCCACCGGCTCATCGTCATCACCGCTCGACCGGATCGCGGATATCATTTTCCGCCAGACTCTGGATAGCCATCGCCGCCAGCGACTGATCCCCACAAGGGGCAGCAGGAAAAGAAGGAATTCGGTGAAGGCGTGCCAGACAAGTTGCCGGTTCAGGTATTCAAAGGAGACCTCGCGGGCCGACTGGGCCGAGGGAGGGGTGAGGCGTATGCGAAGGATACGATCGACCAATGTCCGGTATCGGCCGTTCACGAGAAAGACGAGGAACGAGGTGAAAGCTGCAATCGAGTGTGTGGTGGAAATTAGATCCGTCATGCGTGATAACATTCGGACCTCGCGGGATGGCTGTTCGGGTGAGCATGAGAGCAAGACAATTGTCCCCGGAAAGCACGAGGTCTTACCTCTTCATAGCCACCTTCTTGGTTGATCAGCCAACTTTCCCACTTTTCCCAGGCGTATCGACCACCGACAGTGAGTAGTCCATAAATAGTCTTTTGCCATCTTGTAGGCGTCGAATGAACGGGTCCTTTGCTGCGGCAGTCGACGTATCGCAACCCCTGTAATGCAGCACCATAAGAGGCATTATGATCCCATATCGAGAGCTTGAAAAGTAGTGCACGGAGAACAAATTGGATCTCGTGAGACCAGTCTTCTCGTAGTTGAGGCTATCAGAGAGAAAAAAAAAAAGGAGTTAGCGATGTAGCGACCGCAACAATGGTTGACCATACCCCGAAGTATTTCAAAGCATCGCCCACTTGGTTCTTCAGCAAACCCAGGAGTTCTTCGTCAAGTAACTCGGCATCAACCTGACCCACACGAAACGCCGGCCTGTTTCCTTCTCGACCCTTGATAGAATTCCATAATGTGAAGCCTGATTGTGGTAATTTGTTCAATGGGTAAGGCAGTCGGTTCAGCGTTGGATGATTCAGCGGTGACGCCCGCTGCTGTTCCGCCAGCCGGGCGCGAGAATCGGCCTCGCGCGCGCGACGGCGTTCAAGGACTCGTTCTTGAGCAGCAGCGAAGTTTGTGGAGCTCATCGTAGGACCATTGTGTGTGAGATGTAGGACTGAGGAAGCAGTAGATGGAACGATAGACGATAACCGCTAGGCGATGCGACCGTCAATGCGTCGGTCGGTTCCCCAGATCGGAGATGGGAAGCTGCCGAGGTTGAAATGTAGCACGTGACTTTTCCAGGGTCAACTCCCCGAGATCCATGATTGTTAGTATCAGATGAACCCCATTCAGCCAGCTATCACCACGATTGACCTCTTTACAAGACAAAATTTGCGGCCCTACTCAAGTTACAAAAGGGAGACATAATGTGCGGCAATTGACACTTAAAACCCAGATCACAGTCCCAGCTGAAGCAATACGACCACATGTCACTATTATTGTCTTGTGGTGACCTGGACCCTGGTTTGGTCCTATTCTATGACCTTGGTTCCTCTACTCCCAGTCTGTCTTAGTAAAGCTTCACACGAAAGTATGCAGGAAAAGAGCCCGGAGAATTTGCTTTTTCTCAGGGTGAACTTCAGCACAGCTTTTCGTGGGAAGAATTACTGATTATGCTGCATTCCTCCACAGTTGATTAGAAACTTCGAACCCCACCGTTCGACATTAAAAGCTTAACATACCCTTGGCTGAGAGACTAGGCTTGACCTGTCGGGTATCGGATACCGGTTCACAAACGCTGGCTTGGAGAGTTGCATCTGAATGTAGAGTTTGTGCCTTCAATTCTCAGTCGCTCCGAGGACGAGTTCCGAGTGGCAACCATAGGATTCACTGCATGTCTAGGATCTCTGGATGACATCCTAGCTCTCTGATATGTATCTAGTTAGTTCTTAGAACATCCTGGAGATATGGTGAACCCATTTGCAATCCCAGAGGTGGACAGAGATTGTTTTGAAAGCTAGAATGAGAGTACAAGCAAGAAGCCTCCAGTCATTGCCTCGCTCAACTGTCCCGGATCATTTCTATCCGGGTATCCAGGTGTATATCTAAATGCATATAATGAATGCCTTGACCTGCTTGACTCCATCCCAGACACCATGGTTGCCATCAGCCTTGCAATGTTGTTGACCAGCAATTTCAGCACGTGCTCGCTTGGAGCGCATCCCAATCAGGTTAGACCAGGCTAAGCCTTAGTTCAAGCATTACATCGACCAATCAAGAGCAGTGTATTGCTTTCGCCCCCAGAGCCATGGACCCACTGGGGATGCTTACTTAGTTGCTCCCTTGGCATCAAAAGGCACCATCCGCTCTCTGGAAGCAAGAAACAACGCTAGAATCATGGGGCCTGCGTTATTTACGATCCCGGCCAGTAAATGTCTTGCTAACTTCTTCTTCTAGTACTGCTACTACTCGGGGATATCCATCGAATGAGAATTAATCCACTGACCGCGTGGTTCAATCACTGGCACGCCCTGGAGTGACCTGACATCGCCTACTCGGGACTGTTGGCTCACGAGCGTGTCTCCCACGTGTGGCCGACTCTTTATCCATCCACCTTCCACAGCTATAAATTCGACTTGCTGCTTCTGCCAGGCCTCTCACCTTCTTCGGATTGTCGATCACTCTCATCCAAGCAAGCACGATAGGAAGAAAATCGGTCAAGATGAAGTCTCAAGTTGCCGCCTTGCTTGCTACTGCCTCTCTGGCTTATGCCCAGACTGCTACTGAGAAAGAGCCCTCTCTCCCTGCAATCCAGTCTGCGGCCGCTTCCATCCAGCCGTTCTCTCCCGTTTCGAACGTCCAGGGTATCGCCTTCAACCGCCTCTTCCAGGTGTGGCTTGAGAACATTGTGAGTGACGACCTCTTGAATAGGATGATCATCTATAATTCTAACTACTATTTCTAAAGGACTACGAGGATGCAGCAGCAGATGCGAATATGAAGTGGCTGGCTTCGCAAGGAATCCAGCTGTAAGTCCCCTACACTGGTTTGATTTATTGAGGCTGAGGAGCTAATCACCCCCTGTAGCACAAACTTCTACGCAGCCACTCATCCTTCGGAGCCTAACTACTGCGCCGCAGCGGGTGGTGATACCTTCGGCATGGACAATGACAACTTCAACCAGATCCCCGCCAATGTCTCTACCGTGGCCGATCTGCTCGACACGAAGAACATCGCCTGGGGAGAATACCAGGAACACATGCCACATGCCGGATTCCAGGGCTTCAACTACTCTAACCAGCGAACTCACGCTAACGACTACGTGCGTAAGCACAACCCCCTCGTTCTCTACAACTCGGTCACCCAGGACAGCACCCGCCTGCGCCAGATCAAGAACTTCACCAGCTTCGAAGATGACCTGGCCAACAAGAAGCTCCCTCAGTGGGCCTTCATCACCCCCAACATGACCAACGACGCCCACGACACCAACATCACCTTCGGCGCCAAGTGGGAGCGCAGCTGGATCGCCCCCCTGCTCAGCAACTCCTACTTCATGGACGACACCCTGATCCTGCTCACCTTCGACGAGGACAGCACCTACCCCAAGTCCAACCGGATCTTCAGCGTCCTCCTCGGCGGCGCCATCCCCGATCACCTGAAGGGCACCCAGGACGACACCTTCTACACTCACTACTCCGTCATCGCCTCCGCCTCCGCAAACTGGGGCCTGCCCTCCCTGGGTCGCTGGGACTGCGGTGCCAACCTCCTCCAGATCGTCGCCAACAAGACCGGCTACGTCAACTATGACGTCGACACCACCAACCTCCACCTCAACGAGACCTACCCTGGTCCCATGTCTGCTGGCGAATACTCCAAGTTCTCCCCCGTCTGGCCCAACCCGCTGACCTCCGGCGACTGCTCCGCCGGCCACGGTATCCTGGACATCGTCAAGAAGACCTACGCCAACACCAAGCCGACATACAACTACACAAGCCCCTTCCCCTATGACACTGCCAGCGGCTATAACACCAAGGTGACTGCCACCAAGAAGAGTGCTAACGGAACGGCATCCTCCTCGTCGTCGTCTTCTTCCTCCACTGCGGGTCTCAAGACCACCAACGCTGGTACTTCCATGGTTGCTCCTGCAGCTGGTGTTTCCGGCCTCGTTCTGGGACTGATCCTGAGCTTGATCTAGATGATGCTGACAAGGCCTCAACTACCCAGTGAGTTGGTATGCCTTCATGAGAGAGACGAAACAGCAACTATCAAGTTAGGGCTTAATAGATAGCTTTAATGTATCATACATCACGATCTTAATTTAACTCGTTTAAATCGTCATGGCCTTTACTTCAACGACCCCTGCTAATTGGCACTCCCTTGGTAAAGACGCAATTAAATCACCTACCATACTTGAACATCGTTGACCGTAAGATTTAAAGAGACTTGCTGAATTGCTGAGTTGCTTGAAGAAGTCCAACTAATAATAACAATCGCAAAAAGGAGTAAGAATAATTATCTAGGCACATTGATTCCCGTACTGCCTCTCCGTGGGAGGATTGGGGAACAGCCCGTTGGCAAGCAAATCCTGCATGTCCCAACCTGGCGCCCCCTCAGTCTTCCACGTCCAGAACAGCCAGCCGTTCTTTCCCTCATATGCATCAAGCTGTGCTTCGATGAATCGTCGAGTATCACTTCTCTCCTGCTCCGACAGACCCGAGCTAGAGCCCTGGCGCTTGTTTCCACAGTCGCCATATCTAGGGCTGTTGGCCCACTGCCCTTCATACCGTGTAGGGATGTCTTTGCCATTAAGGTGCTTGGTGCAGTCAGTCAACGCGCCGGTCCATTCGCCGACAACGACCGGCTTGTCTGATCCCTTGATTTGGTTGCCAAATTCACAGGCAGCTCTCACATGGGCATTAATGTCCAGGCTGATCAGAGTGTTATCGAACATGTGGTAGTGATGCGTATCCATGACCACGTTCTCGCCATTTGCGTATCCGTTCCATGATGCTGTTGCCAGAAAGCCGTCACTCAGAAATACGCCGGCATCAGGATTGATGCTGTGCACCACCTCCAGAACTTGGTTGTAGTATTCCTTCAGTTGGCCTTCGTTCACGCCCCCCGGAATGTTGGGCTCATTCACAGCCTCAATTGCAGTAACCACGTCACTCTCAGGTAAATATCGCTCGGCCAAAGCCTTAAAGGCGTCCACGGTTCTTGCGACAGTATCGCCTTGCTGCCAGGCAATAGGTCCCTTGCGTCCACTGTTATCGAAGCCGTTTTGGGATCCCGGAGCTGTTTCAACCTGATCAGCATCCCATTCAGTAATAACGTTTTGCTCTGGAGACTTACCTCCATGCAGATCGATCATGACTTTCAACCCAGCGGCTCTAGCCCAGGAGATTGCATTGTCGAGGAATTCCAATTGGCCATCCACATATGGCTCATCAGGAGCAGAGACAGCCCAATAACCGACAGGGATACGGACGTGGTTCATTCCCGCTTGAGCAATCTGATTGAAATCATCCTGTGTGATAAAGGACGACCAATGCTGAGACAAAATAGCCCTGGCTTTATCTTTCCCCAGGACCTCGGCCAGAGTCCATTCGTCAACTGCAGCGCCTCCACCATTTTCAAAGATCGAGGGTGTAATCCATGGCTCGAGGACTAGCCAACCACCGAGGTTGACACCGCGAACAATTTCACTCTGATAATTGACCGAGTCTCTCGTCTGGATGCGCCTATCAAATAATATTCAGTCGCTGTGTGCAAGTAACACAATGAAATAGCAACTTACATCCTAGATGGGACGGCTTCTGTCAGGACTGTCATGAGCGACAGCGCCACAAGCGCCGTCTGCGAGAGTCTGGAAAGCATTGTTCCCCGAAGTCAATAGTCTTTGCACCGCAGCAATGAGGAGGCTGGGAGAAGAATGATTGTTGATGCTGATGATATGTGCTGGAATGGGAATCCCCTGGTTTAAGTAACAAATAGATAGAAGCAGCGGTTGCGCCTGGACCGCATTCAGATCTGGGCTGTCTGACGGAACTGATTAAGAACGCAACCAGCCCTGACAGGTACTGAGAGGGGTAAAGAAGAGAGATTCAGATTGAGTACTCTCAAGATTGCACGAGCTTCACTGGAGCGTAGAGCGAAGATGGGTCGAAAGCGGAATCGATCCACCCGAAAACGGAAGAAATATAAACAAACGAGTAACAAGGACAACAATAACGGCAAAACATTATGTCAAGAAGTGGAGAAGAGTCAATCACTTTGTTCCTGTCATAGATTCTCCAGACCTCTATCTGGGGCCTAAAAGAACTGACATGAATCTGACGTAGCACTGCAAATCAAGCCTCGGGTATCGACATTATCCTGGAAGCGGGGAAGGAGTGCTTCTCAGAAGTAAAGAGAACATAGGTATACTCTTGAAGAGTTCTCCTCTTCCTTCCGAATGTCCAGATGAAAACATCCGGGCAACATTTGGACTCTCAGTGCTGGAAAGAGCACCCCTACGTTGTACGATTGCATTGCGGGCAGTCTCTTGGACTATAGTTAGTTCCACGTAGTTGAGCCTTCCTAGTACCTAGGCGCCACTGAAGGGGCTCTGATTACCCGGTGGTCGAGTACAGTGAAGCAATTAAGACTGAACGGTTGAGACAGGTGATGCTCTAGGGACAGACCCTCAGTTTTGACATGAAGCGTTTCGTGAGACTGGCGTCTAGCATAGTAATATTTTACCATGCTAGTCCCATAATCTCTGCATCCGGAATCAGCTTGCGAAGAGCAAAGAGGAAGACCATGTTTAAGGCTAAGGAAATAAGAATGGAGATTGACGTTGAAAAGGAATGTTGGCGACGGATTCGGTTGAGGCACATGGCAGTAGTAATGTATTTACCGTATTGATAGCTTATTTGTGTGCAGCCTGGGCGTATTTGGGGAATTATACGTATTTTGTTACAGATTTACCAAGATAGGTCTGACTGAAGGTCCTTCCACTGCCTGAGGCTATCATTCTTTTAACCGCCTGCTGGGTAAACAGTGTCTTAGAGTTGGTAATTTCATCAATGCATCATTGTATGTTCATCTATATGGGGTATTCTGAACTACACAGACAGGAATGCTCGGCGCAAATAATCAGCTCGCTCTTGAGAAGAACAACTACAGCAATCCCAACGCTCCAAACGCGGCGACCACCTCACGGTCCACGTTGAGAAGCCAATCTTCCTGGAACCGTTGTTCGCCCCCACATCCCACAATGAGAGAATGTAGGTGCTGTCGAACAAAGTCGCGAATATTGATCTTATGAACAACGTCGGCGTTTGCCCAATGCCGTCGGCGTTCGTTCTCTGGCGGTTCATGCTCGTCGTATTTATTCGTCTGCCCATTGTTCCAGTAGATCAGATAGTCGCCACTGCGGGGGTCGTTGGGGTCACCCTCTGCTCCTTCCGCGAGCTCAGTGATGATATCTGTCCAGATATTCAAGTATGATTGCAGGTGATTGAGAATGTAGGCTGGGGGCTGCGTATCTGGGCCATTCAAACCGAGAAGCTGTGTGAGTGCGAGTGCATGCAGTTTCTTCTGTGTCACGCTACCGATGTTGTCGTAATGCAAGAACCACTCCGTGAGAAGCCAAGAGAATACCTGCTCTTCGGGTGTCTGCGTGGCGGCAGAGACGGCCGACGCGAGGATCCTGGGGTACGCCAGAGCCAGACGGGCGAGGACGGAGAAGTAATCCGTCTCCACAACACCATAAACAGCGGTCTGTTTACGGCGTGGGCCCGTGGTCTGACTCGCCTCGTGGGCAGAGTGGAGACCTTCCAAAAGAGATTGCAGGAAAGAACTGTCGATGAGAGAGCGCGATATGATGTTGTAGGTGTTCTCACTGCCGCCGTCAACAGCTTCGGCACCACGAATCATAAGCTCTACAAGGCGGGGAACAACCCCAAGCCGCTGGCGGGTAGTGGACTGCAGTAGAGCTTCGAAGGATGCGAGAAGGGGTAGTCGGATCCGATCACTAAGGACTTCCTGGGGAGCAAGAAAGATATAGGATTCCGCAATTTGCAAAGCTTGAGGAACACTGTCGATGGCAGCTTCGAATATGGGGTAAAGGGCGGGGATGAGAGCTAGAAGCTCAGGTGATGCGGGCGCTGGAGTCTGCGTGAGGATGGCAGACCACAGCTCTAACGCCTCGTCAAGAAGGTATACTAACGTCTCCTGTTCCTTAGTTAGTCGCCGAAATCTAATGACCATAGGGTGTAGACCACTTACTGAACCTGGTTCGACCGAGCTATGGATCAAAGGTAGGACGAGGGAATGGTACTTGATCGAGTCTTGCTTCAACGAGTTAATAAGTGACGAGATCAATGTGAGTATAGCCTGTTTCATGAGATGTTCTTCGCCGGACTGCTCCCATAAGGGAGGAAGAAGAGCTAATATTTGGTCAGAGAAGGGCGCAATCTAGACTTTCGTTAGCAAATCTTTTGAGCGTCAACGTATAGGATAACATACATGATCCTCCATTTTCACCACCAGCACGCGAACACTATCCAGAAGCCCCATCTTAGTTTCGGGGAGCTCAACTTCCTGGATGAGTGCCATCAAATCCTGGAGAATGGATTGCGCATATGGCATGAAACCTGTAGCAGAAAATTCGAAGGGGTCCAGCACATTCTTAAGCTGTCTACCGGTGGTAATCCGGACAACCAGGTCATTCAGTGAGTCCTGTTTACTAAGAAGATGTTGGAAGATCTGATAGATTGCATCCCTATTCAGCTCATCCGGCTTGACAGGAACCCATTGTCCAAGGAGAATAGCGATTCGTCTTCTGAGGACATTGTACCCCTGTTCTTGAATCTGAACTTCAGGGACGAGTGTGGCCTCAAGAAAACTGTTGAAGTTCAACTGTTGTTCTAAACTGGCGGACGCCAGTCCGATGGCAGAGTATAAAGAGTCCTTCAGCAGTACGTCGCGCTTGTCGGGACCTAGCGGTGCAGTAGTCAGCGTAGACCGCGGCTCGCGTCTTGAGGTTTGGAGCTTACTAGCAAACGAGTAGAAGACATTGAGTAGACGTGGGATCAACAGTTCTTTGAAGTGAATGACAAGGTCAAGGAATAACTTCTCGGAGCATGATCGGATGGAAAATTCCCAGGCTTCGGCAATATCCTCCTCTTTCCTTTCCCACTCTTCGGGCTCAGCTTCCCATTCCTCAAAGTCGGCTTTTCGAAAGCGGAAGAATTGGGTGACCAGAAGCTCCATAACAACGACGACAAACTCCTGGGTGAAAAGCTGCGACTTGATGAGCTCAATAGATCTTTTCTTCTCCTCTTTATCTTCTGGAGTTTGGTACTTGAACGATTGCGCGGGGTTAAATGCCATCTTCGAGCAGGCTCTGATCAAAAGAAGGGCTCTAAGTCCGATTTTCTCCATGAGAGACTTGCCCTCAGATTCGCTATCTTCGCCCAGCTGACTGTAATTTTCTCCCAATTTAACAACCAAGGTCCAGTAGGATTGGACAAGATGGATGCTATCCGGCAAAAGAGCAAACGATGCAGGACGTTCCTTCGCCATTTCCACGTGGAGCTTTGACAATTTCAATAAGTGCTTCTCAATTGACCTTTGCACTTGCTCTGACAGAGGCACGGAACCATGAATAAAGGCAAAAAATTTGCTGAAATGAGAATGGGTGAGGAGCCAAAAGTCTCGGGCCTCCTTATCACGGTTTGGATGCTCGAATCCGGCAATTACAAGACGCCGAAGAACTTTGAGACAAACAAGGCTTTGTTCTGCCTCATTCAGCAAGGCTGCCTCATCCGTGCCGCCATGTTCTAAAATCGCTGTCCATTTATTCACTTTTTCAACGTAAATTCCCCCCAGAAGGTGGAAGATTTCGGGAGTAACAGACTGGAGACTGGCGCGATTTCTTTGTAACCGAGCCGTTGACAGCTCCTTGATTATTTGTAGAAGGATTGTGAGCGTCCGGGGCAATTGCAGAGGGTTAACACCGGGCAGAGTCGACGACCGAAGGTAGGAAATGATCGAGGAAATTCCATCGGGCCTGGCAGCCATTAGAGACATGAAAATCCATACCGGATAAAAGATTTCACTGACCAATCTTGTGGAAACTCAGAACGCATGATCTTGGCAATCATGAACGCATTGTGTAGTGCTAGCAGAGGAGCAGGCTCGACAACACCAGCCTGTAACGCCCTCAGTTTGATCTGTTCCTTCTCTTCTTTCTTTATTGCGCTTTTGCAGATGTCAGCGTTGAATATCCTGGCTGTTCCAGCGGCCGGAGAACCTACTTCGTTGCAGTCTTTCGCCAGTACTTGTCGATGCCGTTCTTTAGTTGGATTATAGCTAGATATCGGGCTTCGATTGGTACTGATTGGTCTAAGAAGATATCCTGGTAGAAGAGGGTATGTTAGTTAACCGAAAAGAAGGGGGACATGTCTAGAAGCCGGCGCTGGAACAAAGAAAACCAACGTACTTGAAGTAAGGTGAAGTACTTTTCTTGCTTCTCCCAGAATTGAAGTTGTTTGGTACCCGTCTGGACTTGCTGCTGCGTCGAACTCGCAGCGAGGGCAAGCGCATTAAGAAGATTTTGAGGACTCAGCGGGTTTGACTCGCCGTGCAGTTCGACGACGTGAGACATCATGGACGATCGTTGGCGCTGTATCTATTTACTTTGGCTGTAGGGAATCCAAACCAAATCTCGGCCACGTCAAGAAGGTTCACAGATTTAGTATGCCATATGTTTTAAGGGGGAAATTCGACTTCGGGGAGTCTCGGCTTGTGTTGAAGGGCAAGAAGAAAGAGAGATGTTTGCTGCAGTTGACTAGACCAGCTTAGATACCTCAACAACGCAACCGCGAAGCTCTCTTTGTACAATGTTTCTATGAACTAGTCCCCGCAGCTCTGCAGCGGGATGTACCGGAAGACCGTTCTTCCGCTCCGCGCCAGCCCTAGGTTTAGACCCTCTGCGCTAGACTTGATTTGGATATCAAGTTAGGGCTGAGGAAGTATGAGCAGATGGACCATAAAGCATGAAGTCAGACGACTGAAGATCATCGTTCGTCGCATGGCCAGTTTTTAGCAGAAGGATCTGCAATCACCCTGACTGAAGGACCCAAGCCAGACAGTCCCTCACCAAGAGGATCAACTCCAGGACAAAGAAGAATTACTCCTACTACTCCTACTACTACGGATCTGAAAACAGTGGTGGGTTTGTGACATCGCCATGATGTGTTATGGCAATGATGCAATGCTACATATCTAAGATCCCTAATGAAAGTCGACATCAGTTCTCTGAGCATTCTTAGGGTATATATTGTATGGGGTGAACTCGCTGGATCAGTAACTCCAGCTCTACACTACAATTAAACTTCAAATAAGCTCTATTCCGTTTCGAAGCAAGCACATATATCAGTCAATATGTCCAGTAACAAGAATTTCAGACTCGCCCACCAGGCAGAGAGGGACCTGAACAGCTACCAGGCCAAACAGGGTCTTGGTCCAAAGAGCGACTCCAGTATGTTCAGCTCATTTTGCAAGGCTAAACATCTCATTAGCCCAAAACTAACTTATCAAGCCCTTGACTCTGGCGTTAACGAAATGGTCGACAAGAAATTCGGTCAATTGACCGGTATTAAAACCGGCAGGGAAGCGGGTGCCTCGAGCAGTGATCGCAAGCCGATCCCTGAGGATGAAGGTGGTAGCAGAGATGACCGTGGCAGGTGAGACTAACTTCAATTGATCTGCTGGAGCTGCTTGGGTAAAAGCTAACATTCTTCGCCATGATAGGATCTCGAAAGCTGGACAATTTCAGGGTGCAGGTGGCCCCGAGGATAAAGTGAAGATAGAGTCAGAACGTCGTCCTGGTGATGACAATACTCTCAACCTTCAAGACATGAAGCGTGAAGGGTTGGTCTAGATATATCTTAATCTCTGTAATATATATGTACGGTTAGCCACCGATTACACAAAGTCAACTATTTTGGTTTTCTGACAGAATGCAATGTCCCACAGCGGAACACATGTTTTTCTCTATTCTTGGCTCTTCCATGATTCCAGTAAACAAGCTTCCACAAAACTTTCCTAGGTCCTAAGGGACGTTTCATGAAAGAATCATGGGATGCGAGACGAGTTAATACTGCCCGTGATAGATGAAAAATGCCTGAAGCTTTCCATAGGTTTGCCTCCTTTCTGCAGAGTTCCACTAGTCCTCAAAACAACAATCCTCTCAATCAACCCTTTCACGAATACAACGTCTGCAATTCATGTTAGTATCATTACACCACATACTCCGTGCATTCGACAAGACCTTGTTTAGGTTTGCAAAAACAAATTAAAGTTGTGACAGGGACCTTCCAGGCTTTGGGATTCAAAAAAACAACTTGGCTGCATCCCGCAGACTTGAAGAGACTCTCAGTGAAGAAACAAAAATGATTCTATGAATCTCTTGAGGCGAGGACTAATTGGTCCTGGGGCTTGTTAATTGGAGGACACTGCAGACGACGCTTTACAATTCAAACAAACCCAACCCCGGTGCAGAAGACGGATCATAGCAGTGATACAGCTTGATACCACGCTGAAAGTCTTCAATCGAGCAATCTCAGAGACGGGACATATGCTCCAATCAGACGGGAAAAGAGGCTTGCCCTGAGCGTAAGGCATAGATACGGGATGGTATGCTCAATCGTTCCCCCTTCTTTCTAGCCGTTAGCGAGCTTGGGCCATACCCGGCCAGACAGGCCCCAGAGTTCGTTTCGGAAGTCAGAGTGAGCCCACAGAGGTCACACAGCAACGCTATCGATTTGTGACAGGGGCTATATCCACATGGTTTCCGAAGAGATCTGGACAATTATGGAGTACGGCTGGTGGGCATGACAAGGATACTCGATCTGGATTAGGGAATATCCACCTTGATATTCGGGCCAGCTGCACGGAATCTTGAGTTCCTAAATTGACGGTCTCCTTAGCGACTATTCTTCAGTCCCCGCAGCTATCTCAATACAGGCGGCATACAAGTCCCCATCCTACAGGGCTTTGATAGCCGAGACAATGGGGCCAACCATCGGGGTTGTTTCATAGCCCGTCAGGGTTATGGACCCTATTGTCGAAGAGCAAATATCGCCTCCCAGTCCATAGCTTCGGGCTTTCCATGAGATTGGATTCATCAGCTTTATCAGTAAATGCTGAGGCGAGCATCTTGCAGACTCGCGGTTCGAGGACACCATATAATCTCGGAGTAGTGCGTTCGATTTCCTGCAAGATCTTTGACTTTGGCAAGGATATCAATCCAATCACCGCACTTATAACCATTTCTATCACTTACGTCCAACGGTGCGAATTTGACGCACTGACCTAGATTCATTCTGCAGAGGATCGGGATCTACATAGGCATAAGCCACGGCCAAAGTTTTCAAAGGCATTGAATATGAAGTACCTTCGTCTGGATGCTGGATATCCAGGAGCTGGCTGTGTCTGCGATAATTGGGACTTATGCCCCCTTGCCTCATAGATCAGTGTGTTCGCCGAAAGGCGAGCTAGACATAGTGGCATCCATGCGATGACCCGATACGAAAGTTTTGGTTGGGACTTCAGGCCTCATTTGGAAAGGCTTGCGGCATCCTCTTTGAAGTCTGATAAAGAGATGGGCTTACAGAAACATTATCAAATTGGTAGGTATAGGCTCATTCGATGAACACTACGACTGGCACCATGGCCCAATTTAGGGTATAGATCAAGTAATCAGATGACCACTGAAACCAGTGAAGCTGTTGTGTCTGATATTTCACGATATTCCTTCGATAAAGTGTGGTCTTACCGTCGTTGAGTCTTCGATATAGACCAGTCCCATGCAGTAGATTATGATTATTGCTAACAGCAAGTACGTTTAGCCAATTGCAAATTAGGCTTCAGGATCCGCTTAGGTACATACTTCTATACCGTGAAAGTGAGATCTGGTAAAATTCTTTTTGTATTTTTATTTTATTTTATTTTTTGTTTCTTTCCCTGGAGATTGAACGGGAACTGAACTTCGGAACTTCGATGTTGTCATCATTGTCAGCATAGTGCCACACATCTGATGATCTTCTTTCCTATAAGCTCCGAGGAGATTGATCAGCGATATGCATGCAATAATCGTTCCATATGCTTATTTCCTGAGGCCTGGGAATGCAACGTGATGCTTCGGCTAGAGAATGCCAGGGTCAATCGGCGAGCTGCCTCAGGTATCATTACGTCAAGCCACTTCGGCTGGGGAATTACCGAACGAGCAGCGTACCGATTACTAGGTAGTTACCCACTGGTTTAGGGTACCTAACATTGGGCGGGATTGATCCATGAGCTGACAGCTTACAGGTCACCTACCGGAGTCAGAGCTGTCAGGTTTTTGACACAACTTTATTCCGTCTTGGATGCCCTCATGAATCATGAATTCATGATGCATCTTGGTGTTACGAGTTTCAAATTTAGCAACTCCGCTTGGGCCTTGGAAGTTGGAACAAGAAAATGCTCTGTCTTGAAATCTTCTGACCACCTTCCAGATGACGCATCCGAGACTGATTGAGAGAATTCGCCTTTCCCTGCTAAGAATGGACAAGTCGACATCATGCCATACCCGCTCCGAAAATTTTGATGCTAACGCTTCGTAGGTACCAGACTAGCAGCTACCAGATAACCAGAGTAGGTAGTAGGTACTCCAGTAATAATGAGAGGAAAACCTACCATGTAGAGTCGTAACCTAACTGGTAAACACCTACTCCGTACAACTAGTAGCTACAGGCCCACCCCAGGGCCGATCAATAGGGGGTTACGGCCCCCAAGTGCAACCACCCCCCCCTCTAACTGCCGCTACTATCAGCGTCTAGCATGGAAGGTTCACGGGAGTCGGGTGAAAGATCACACGACAACGGATTCCGATTATTTGAGCTATTTACAGAGTAGTTGTGACGCTTATCTATCTGTCTCCAAGATCGCCAGTTGCCCGTTTATGCTCCAACTATTGAGTGATGAGTCATCGTCGCTTATTTCGCTTAGATCTGGTTGGGTTTTGCGTACTACGTAGGTGATATTCTGGATTCCTGATGATTCCGATGTGATGTATTGTCCGATACCGATACTGCTTTCCTCTTCCTATACGAAACAAACGTCAAAGAGCTCAAGACAAAGACACAGAAATGATTTGACAGATCCGGAAAATCCTCGGCGAATTTAATCAGTATTCCGGGAAATTCATTATGATCTCATCCTATGATCCTGACCGTAGTCAAGGCTGAAGAGTGAAGACAGTAGCCAAGATACATTAATGAGTAATACTACATACTGCCTGGTAGTTGAAGCTGTAAACTCGGTCCCTCGGCTCCGAATCGAGACCTACAAGGCTACATGCAGATTCGGAATTCAACGGGTCAAACTCAAAAGTCTGGAGCCTTGCAGACCGCATGTTAGGACTTGCGAGCTCGAAGGAATGACGATTTTATTTCCTGAGGATGAAAGATCATTAAAAATCTGAGGTCGATATGAGAACGATCAGAATAGATCCGTATCATCTATATGAGCTATCTTATTGTTCGAGATTAAAAGTGGCATATTGTAACGAGTAAACAATAATAGAGATCTGGGAACAAAGTAAATAAAAAAGAAAAAAAAAAAAACCGTCACGATAGAGGCCCCACAATAGCACGTGTTTTATGCCTATCTTAAGCTCTCCAGATTATTTCATTTTCAGCATCTCTGTCTGAGATTCAAGGATCATACCACTGGAAACCTCCTTCCAGTTACGAACATCCCGGAGGCGGAAGCTGTCTAGAAGAAGGAATGGAAAAGTAGGAGAAAGAAAAAAAGAAGTTTCCGGGGTTCATGACACTTCTTGTCCTCATGATAGGTCTAAATGGCGATTTTTGGAAACCCCCCCACTCTCTCACTTTTATGGAGTAGCCGGTAATCTTTGTATTTCGAAATGATTTTTCTGGTGCGATAACCCTTTTCGCAACGGTTTCCGTGTGGAGTGCTCTTAGACCAGGGAGGGTCGGAGGTTATTGCTGGTTCCATACTCCATGTATCCGGATCTAGCCATGCCATCTGGCGTGGAGGACGAAAAATAAAAAGAAAAAAAAATATTGATACGTGCGATCCCTCAGTATGGACACCGAAGGAGCGTATAAAGGGGACAAGTTGCCTCATATTATGAGCCTGCTCATTCCTTGGACCTTTTTTTTTTGAAATCATCTTCAAACCATCGAGAACTCCAACATCAAGAATAGCCTCCCCTTGTTTCACCGATCTTCGATAGCCGTGTCCCCTTCCCGCAAGTGGTTCTTGATCGATCTCTATCCACATTTGTATCACGTATCTCCTCGGAGGTATACGACACCGTCACACACACTCACACATACACACATACACACACAACTGCCAACCATGCAGGCCTCTGAGGGAAGGAGACAGATGGAGGCCCTCCTCGAAGGAGGCCGTCCTGTGAAGCACGTGAGCCGAAAAGAGCTGTATACCAGACTCGAAGCTCGCATCAACTATCTCCGTGATTTCCTCGACTTCAACTCCAGTATGTCAATGTTTGTCGTTATCATGTTTGTTTTGATCAGAGCTAACCGCATGCGCATAGGCGACATTGAGGCCCTGACGACCGGTTCCAAGTACATCAAGGCTCTGATCCCTGCTGTCGTCAATATCGTCTACAAGAAGCTGCTCGAACAAGACATTACCGCGCGCGCCTTTATTACAAAAGATACCGCTGATGAGACAACACACGTCGATGACTGGTACACCGAGAACAGCCCTCAGATCCAGAATCGGAAGATGTTCCTCCGCTGGTACCTGATCAAGCTCTGTTCCGATCCCACCCAGATGGAATTCTGGCGGTATCTGAACAAAGTCGGGTGAGTTTGACCACTGCTTCAGCTTCCATCCAGTGCAAACAGGTCACTGACTTTTGCGTCCTCATAGTGTAATGCACTCTGGTCAAGAACGCCGCGTCCCTCTCAATATCGAGTACATCCACATCGGTGTCATGCTGGGATTCATCCAGGACATCTTCACCGAAGCCCTCATGTCGCACCCCACTCTGTCTCTGCAGCGCAAAGTTGCGCTCGTCCGCGCCATCGGCAAGATTATCTGGATTCAGAACGATCTGTTCGCCCGGTATCGAGTCCGCGACGGCGAGGAGTATGCCGACGAAATGTCCGAGATTATCATCGACGACAAGGAGGGCTTCCTTGGCGACAAGAAGATTCTGGGCGACAACAGCTCGTCCGCCAGCTCAAGCGACGACGACCGGTCCAGTATCTGCAGCATGGCGCCGTCTACATCCTCTGCGTGTCCGTTCTCCGACGTGGCGAGATCGTCCTCAGAGACTAAGATCTGGGCTGGAAAGTGATCTCAGTCCCGCCTCGGCGACATTTTCTGCATAACTCATCATCATAAAAAAGGCGCATAGATGGCGTGGGGGTTTTTTTATCCAATATTCTTGTTCCCCTCGGTCGTTTTTTTCTCCTTCTCATTTCCGTCTATTTGTTTCTCGTTTTCAAGGCATGCATGCGTTGGTGTTTTGGGGACTCATACTTGGCACACAAACCTTTTGAAGATATCCGCCGATAATTGGCATCACTCCGCTTATGGTTCATCAAAACACATCAGAGATCCTATATATTGATAATCATGACTTCTTGCTCTATACTTTTTGCACTTGGGGGAGACACAGTATTGCCGTTTTCTTAGTAATCGAGGAGTCCCAGGGTAGTCAGCAACCCTCGTCTCCCGATCTAGTGTCGCTGCAAAATGCAAATACAATAGTTCAACTGTCCCGGAGTCCCGAGGTGCATCGTGCGCGATGCTAATAATTAATAATAGCGGGTGCAGCAGTGGCAGATGCTCAAGGCAATTGGGAGCGCAAGACGCTTATGCTACGGTGTGTCAGCAGGGCTTTTCACCAGTGAAGTTGGAGGCTTCGAGCGGAAATCTCCCCTTTTTCCTTCTGGGAGACCCGCTGATGTGCGGAATTAAAGGGGTTAGCATGTAATTTCTAAGCAGCATCACCATCAACTAGATACTATCTACTCCAAACTATATGGTGCTTGGCATATCGAAGACCCTGAAACGATGAGTACATTGTGGCTTCAGTGAAAGGTTTCAAATGCTGTCGAAGTTTGTTCTCAGGTATTGCCTCTGGTATCCAGTTACGCAGAAGCTCTATCCACAAAAGAAACCCGAGGTTGAAAACCCGGACTTTGAAGGAACTACTTTGACGATCTCATCTACGGAGTAGATTCTCCGATATCATTTCTGCGGTTGTCGGATTCTGTCCCCCACTTAACAGCCGAACCACTACTTACATGGAACGCGCACACTATTGGAGAGAAGAACCAAACTGCCAATCGCAAGGATCAACAGTCGAGGTATGAAGGATCTCTAAGTGCGGATAGGTCACCCTCAGCGCGTCTTACAGAGAAATTCGGCTTCATTTCCCCCCTCACTCCCGTTGTCGGATACATATATCGTTGCTTTTGTTCGAGTTTTTGCTTCTTGTGTATACCCCCCCCATCGCATAGTCTTTCGGTTGTGCCTTTTGATATTCTTTTACTCTTCGTCCCATACCTTAACTCCGCCCTCCCGCCAGACGGAAGATTTTGGTCAAGATGGCCGCCAACGAAGCTGCTGGCGAGCACGCCGTCATCCCTCTCATCATCAACAATGACTCAGTCGTAACCGAGAACCTTCTTGATGTTTATGGCCCTGCAGAGGGCGAATTCCTTTACCGCTCCGCTGCCGCCTCAGTCGACGATGCCAACCGTGCCGTAGCAGCCGCCAAGGCCGCGTTCCCTGCGTGGAGCAAGATGAAGCCTTACGACCGCCGGGATATCCTGATGAAGGCCGCCGATATCATGTACGCTCGACGGGAGGAGTTGATCCGATACCAGATGGAAGAGACTGGCGCGGGGAGGATGTTCGCGGAGAAGACATGTCTGTTGGGAGCTGGTTTCCTGAAAGACTTTGCCGCTAGGATCCCATCCATTGAGGGCTCAGTGCCCTCGGTTGGAAAGGATGGCGAGTGCGCTATGGTATTCAAAGAGCCATATGGAGTGATTCTGGGAATCGCGCCTTGGTAGGTCTTCCGTTCTTTTCCGGCTGTGCTGCTTCACTTCGCCAGGTGTGGAAACTGACATATCGACTTGGTTAGGAATGCACCATTTATTCTTGGAGTCCGTGCCGTTGCGCTTCCTCTCGCAGCTGGTAATACCGCTATTCTTAAGGGCTCAGAACTGGCGCCGAAATGCTTCTGGGCCATTGGCGACATCTACCGGGAAGCTGGTCTCCCCGCAGGATGTTTGAATATTCTGTACCATCGGACGTCGGATGCGGCCGCAGTCACCACTGCTCTCATTGCTCATCCGGCTATCCGCAAGGTCAACTTTACTGGAAGTACCCAGGTCGGCTCCATCATCGCTGCGACCGCTGGAAAGTATGTCAAGCCGGTCCTCCTGGAGCTGGGAGGCAAGGCATCGGCCATCGTCCTGGATGATGCAAACCTGGAGAAGGCAGCATATTGCTGCGCCCTGGGGTCCTTTATGCATGTGAGTGGCGAATCCGCATTGATCTCCCGTAGGTGAATGCTGATCAGAAGCCAGTCTGGTCAAATCTGCATGTCGACCGAACGCATTGTGGTACAGCGGGCAGTTGCAGACAAGTTCCGTCAGCTACTCGCCGAGTCTTCGGAGAAGCTCTTCGGCAAGGCGACACCGGCACCTGTGTTGGTAACATCTGCGGCCGTCAAGAAGAACAAGGCACTTGTCGCTGATGCCCTCTCGAAGGGCGCCAGTGTTCTGTTCGGTGATGCGAACGCCACAGAATCCTCTGAGCATAGCCTGCGGCCCGTAGTTGTGGACAATGTCACCAAGGACATGGACATCTACTCTACCGAGTCGTTCGGTCCTACGGTGTCTCTCATCGTCGTTGACAGCGAGGAAGAGGCCGTCGCGCTGGCCAATGACACCGAGTATGGCCTTACGTCTGCCGTCTTCACGGACAATCTGTTCCGAGGTTTGAGAGTAGCCAAGCAACTCGAGGCTGGGTAAGTCAGCTGACTCTGAAGATAGAGGGGCATCTTGCTGATCATCGGTCTCTCTCTAGTGCGGTTCATATCAACTCCCTGACCGTGCACGATGAACCTGTCCTTCCACACGGCGGATGGAAGAGCAGTGGCTTTGGTCGCTTTGGAGGCGGCACGGCCGCTTATGATGAGTGGTTGCAGACCAAGACGGTCACTTGGACGCAATGAGGTACATGCGTGTCGTCCCAGAACTCGTAGATATGTCACAGTGTACAGGACTGGCGGCACAATTTTCTCTGTAGCGTCTTTGCCATTCATTCCATTACCTGGAGGTTCACCTGTCATTGCCATAGTAGCTATCATGCAGTATACAGCATGTGTACGGAAGACTTGCCCTTGTTTTCAAACGATTTTGTCTCTTCTTCATCCCGAGAAGATAATTCGGTCTATACCACAATTAGGATGGCCGATGGTCAGGATGGTATACCGTGTGCTGCTCTGTCCCATGTCATGTACACAATATGATCTTGTTGAAGAAGCCAATCGAGCTATAACAAGGGTTTTCTACCCCAGAATTCAGGAAGAAGATGGGCACTTGGGAGAACATCTCTGGAAATTCTGTGAACCAAGCGATATGAACCCCCCCAACACTCCAGGACAAACTGGTCCATGAATCCCTTACAGACTCATTCAAAAATCCAACCCGCGTATCCTCCCCAGTTTAAAAGTACCTCTAATGCATACTCCTAGGACTCCATAGAATTTGAGCATTTCCGTTGCGACCGCTATATGAGGATCACTAATCGTCTCCACGCAGTGCCCCAAGTGCCCAGCAGATGAGCCAATACAGCAATACAAATGGCGAATAGCCGGCTTGGAAACTTGCGAGACACCATAGTCATTTGTTTTCTCCCGACACATGGCCAGTGAAACACCAGGACTGCTTGAGGATTGAGGGTTACACTGCGACCTGCATATGCAACTCAGTATCTAGAATCTAGGATCTACTCCGTACTGCTCCTGACTTCCTTGAGTGCGTATTATGGACTCAATAGTCCCTGGAATATGGGTACTTAGGTAGGTATGGATGGAATGCCAGGTCCACAACCAATGGTAACCAGCGACAGCTTAGCCTCCGATCAACTTCCCAGGGCTCAAGGCTCAGGCACAATTTCGAGTGGCGCTGGACTGCCCCAACGGCTCCACCAGCCATGTCAGGAACAAGGAACAAGGAACGAGCGACCGAAGGTTGTCATTCAGGGAATCAGGGGTAAAGGCATAAGGATTAAGAATAAGGAGTGCTCAGCTGTGGTTGCCAAAAAGTGTATTTTTGTTAGTGTTGCGGCCGGGTGGCGTATGTTTCATTTGGATGAGATGATATGGAGTCAGTGTGGGCGCACCTGGACGCCAGTGGGATGGGACTGGGAGACTGAAAAAAGATGGTTCTGGTTTAAATACTACTATACAGAATACGACACGAATAGCTAAGGTAGTAGGAATCTATTTATGATCATAGACTGGGTAATATCCGGAGATTTGAGGTGGCAGTCAGTTCGACTAAGGTATTGATCAACCGAGGGCAAAGTAGACGGAAGAGGAGGAAAGGGAAGTAGCTCATTTATTACTGCAGGGAATAATAGACTCCAGAGTGACTTGAGTAATTCTTCAGGAATTCATCCCGTGAATAATACTCTCTTGAGACAACTGACATACTCCGAGTAACTACATATTGCGTGCTGAATGAATGATGAATCTCCCTTGGCACTTGGCAGAATATTTCCCCTTTCCTCCACGCCTCAACGCAGCCACGATGAGAAATCCCCCGAATCCAGGTTGAGACTCTACAGAGTATGTACTTCCGACTCAGTTTTGGACATCGTTTTAGCGGCTGATGGGCCAACTATCTTAACCACTCTCATCATGGGATGAGCACATCTCATTTTACTCTTGCGACCAGTGAGACCTGTGAGATGAGGTTGTGTTTGAATTCCTGCGCGTGTGGGACATTCCACCAGGTTGCTCCCACGACAACAGCAAGGAAATCCTCCTCAGTTGTCTTCGACGCGACTCTGCCGACATTTCTTGTTTACCAACGGCAGAAATGTTGACACTCCAATCTCCATCCCTAATAGATGTTCCTGAGACCGTTGGCGTTGAGACTAGAATCCTAGGGTCCTCGGGTGATTGGTGTCTGGCGAGCCCCCTTCTGCCTCTCCTCCAGGAGAGACAACAACCTAAGGCTTAGTTCGAATGCTAGCTTACTGCTCTTCGAATCTAATAATTTGAATCCCTCCTCCTCCCTTTCTCATTCCTCTCTTCCTTTCTTTCTTCTCTCCCTTTCCCCCTTCCAAACACTGGCATCTCTTCTCGTCGTTTCTTTCCCACGACAGTCACTCCTTTAACCAACCCAGTCATTCGTTCCAATCAATACCAGTCACTCTTTACATTTGACCATAACCCACGTATCTCTATTTCTAAAACCGAGAAAGAAAGAAAAAAAAAAGGAAAGCAATAAACCATATACACAAAATGCGTTTCATCACCCTGGCTGTTTCTTCCCTGGTGGCCCTGGCTTCCGCCTACACTGAGCCCAACTACGCCAAACCTCCTCTGGGCAACCCTATCCTCAAGCCTGGTCTGAACGAGCAGGTGTCTGCTGGCAAGTCCTACACCATTGAATGGACTCCCACCACCGAGGGCACCGTCTCGCTGGTCCTCCTCCGCGGCCCCAGCACCAACGTCGTCCCCATCGACACTCTCGCTGAGGCCATCCCCAACTCGGGCCACTTCGTCTGGACCCCCAGCACCAAGCTCGATGACGACGTCACCCACTACGGTCTCCTGCTCGTCGTTGAGGGCACCGGCCAGTACCAGTGGTCCACCCAGTTCGGTGTCTCCAACCCCGGCCACGCTGGCTCCTCCTCTTCCTCCGCCTCGGTGTCCGAGACCGTCCCTGCTGCTGAGCCCACCGCCACTGCTAAGCCCACTGCCTCCGAGGTCACCATCATCACCACCGAGAGCACCACCTACTGCCCGGAGTCTGAATCCGCCACTGCCACCACGCCCACCGCCCACGTCAGCCTGACCAGCATCCCCATCATCGTCGGCACCGGTGGTGTGTCCGTCCCCGTGGTCTCGCCCACTCAGACCCCTTACCGTCCCAGCACCCTGCAGAGCACCTATGGCACTAGCACCCCCACCGCCAGCGGCCCCTCTCCCCTCTTCACTGGTGCTGCCGACCGTACCGCCATCAGCCTCGGTGCCGTTGCTGCCGGTGTCCTCGCCGTTCTCGCCTTTTAAAGTGCTCGGGCAACTCTCTCTCCATGATGTGTACATTTTTCGGTGGATATAATTCTTCTTGAGTCTTTGAAGCTGAGCTTATCTTCTTTTTTTTTTTTTTTCTATTTTCCGTCTGTGTTTCAGCGTAGCCTGAAATATGATGTAATTTTTCTACCCCTGAAGGTCTTTCCATCTGTAATGGTCCTTGTACGCAGCAAGAAGATGGACTAATGAATCATGCCACGACCACCAGTAGTAGATTAGATAGCATCTTACATAGCCAAGCAATGCATGACGACCTGTCCTCGCGTCTATCGTTTTTTTCTAGAACACTGAACCTACCTACCAGACCTATCTTGTCGAGAACCCTCAGCCCTTCTTGCCTTTACACCACCAACATAAAACTTACTACACAGGGAGAGTCGAAACTAGTGTCACCCCTAAGTTTCATTTTTTGTTTCAGAAACTCATCTCTGATTAAGTGGCGGGGCTGGACTTTCTTATCTTATACTTATGCAATCTCATGTGAAGTCCTAGCTTAGATCAGCATTCATAATTCATCAGCTTAGTCATTACTTGCTTTCTAGTTAGTTAATTGACCGCCCGCAACGGCAGAACAAAGACCAGCTTCAACAGCGACGCTGATCCCCAAAGTAAACAAACATTCACCCCGTCTTCCGCTTTTACCATGTCAACAGACCATCTTGAGCTCAAATTATACTCGGAGGACGAGGAATTTCTTGTTCAAGGAAAGACAGAACCCAACAGCCGCTCGCAGACTTTGATCTACTTTGTGAAGGACACCAGGTGGTGGATCAAAGTAACTCTGATTGGTACAATCACTAACCTTCTCAACAATGGCCAAATCCAGCAGGCTTCGAAGCGTCAACGCCGCGTGTTATTCCAAGACCTCATTAGGCAAATCAACTACAAGCAACTCCCTCTCCTTGCCGACACTGTGACTGAGCTTATACTGGAAGCAGATACGGCAGCAACAAAGCACAATCTAGAGGTCGGATTAGTTGGCACCCTGGGCACGATGGAAGTTCTCAACATATTTCTGAAATACAAGATCCAAGAAGATCCCCTTCGTGTTGTCTATCCCGCGTCCGCCGATTACCCTTGTTTTCGAAAGATTCACGATGAAGAGCTGACACGCGACACGGAAATATCAGACGGAGTATTTCCAGTATACCACAACGGGGTACAATATATTCTCAAGATAGTTAACCGTCCTCTTTACGAACCTCGAGATACCCATGTCTTTCAGAAGGAGCTGGAGAATCTCGAGTACTTCACAGGCGTGCCCAATATTGTGCAGGCTGAGGGGGTTGCCGTATCTAGGAACCCCTATATGACTACGAGTGGTAGCGATGGACCCCTAGTTGTGACTGGGATTCTACTAAAGGCATATTCCGATGGATCATTGCGGGAGATTCTTTTGGAAAACCGTGTTGCGGAGTACGCTTGGAAGAAATGGCCCGTCCAAATCGGAACCGCGCTCAATCGCTTTCATGAGGCAAAGAAAACCCATATGGACGTAAAACCTTCAAATATAGTCATTGACAGCGGAGGAAATGCAGTGGTCATTGACATCAGCGGCATTGGCGGTATAACTCGGGAATGGTGCTCCCCAGAAATCCAAGATGAGGCGGCTCCCTTTGATCTTTCGTTTGAACAACGCCGACTTAACGATGTCTGGGCGTATGGGAAACTTCTGTCCGAGATCGCATTGCATGCGAGAGATGATCCATTCACGAAATCCTTGGAGCAGGTTGCAGAGTGTTTAATGAAAGACAATCCCCAATCACGCATGAGTTTACCATGGGCAATCAGATAGGTAATAGGCTAGGTTAAAGTAGATAGCGGTTGGATGTTGTACTAGTAGACTACAAAGTAGTCAGGTATCATGGCCAAATCATCTCAGATCGGACAGGTTACCCCGCAAATGGCCTGCCCCCTCATTGACAACGAATACTTTTGGATCACATGGGTACAAGAGGCCAAATACCCAATCAAGTGCCTTTTCGTCTCATATTGTATGTAGGTACCTGTCAAATGCGACTGTGCTAGCTATGCAAGTAGGTACTCAATTGTTAGGCCAGAATTCCGAAAGTGCCCTTCCGCGCTTTGCTTCCTTCTACCAACAGTATCAACACACCACTCAAGAAATGTGCTAAAGCCTTGGTCAGGATTTTCTTCAAATAGTACATACTGTAGTACAAAATCCGGGCAGTCTTCTCAGATAAATCTCCCCCAATCAAACTCTAACCCCACAAGCAAAGAACACCCAACTGAAAAATCCCATCCAAAACCCAAAACCAAACAAACAAACAACCAAAACAATTACATCACGTGACTGATAACCCCCCAAAACCCCCGATAACCAAAAAAAGAAAATCTCCCCATCCGATAAGCAATTTTCTCCTCCAGCCCAGTCCAGAGTCGTGTCCACCAGTTCACCCCCCCAAAACTCCATTTCGAGTGCTGCAGGCAGTACACACATCCGAACCCCCCCCCCCCAAACCAGAATCCGAGCAGAGCAGAGGAACAGATACCGGATACCAGATACCATGGCCCAAGGACCCCTCAAGAAAGCAAAGCCGAGCACGGCGAAACGGTACCCTCGCCTTTCTCCCCCATCACCTTACCTCAAAACCCCCATCTCGTATCATACCATACCATATCATATCATGGTGTGGTGTGGTGTGGCGTGGCGTGGCGTGGCGTGGGATATTACCCCGAGTCAAGTGATGAAACGAAGAGAAAGCAAACATGCTGACGATGAATTTTCGCGTTCTGTTCTGTGTATTAGGCCGTCCGCGCTCGCCCCGAAACGCGGGCCTCGCCAGATCGCGCCGAAGAAGGCGACGCTGATCAAACAGCAGAAGATTACCAAGGTATGATCTGCGTCTTATGTATATCTTCGGGGATGTTTGGGAATTAGGGGGCGGGGAGAAGAGGGAGAGGGAGAGGGAGAAGGAGAGGGCTAATGGGTTTTGGCCGGAGTAGAAACTTACGGCTGGGTTGATCTCGAAGACGGAGCGGAGTCTGGCGCAGAAGGCCGGACATTTGGAGTTGCTTGCTGGGGGGAAGAAGGATAAGAAGGCTGCTGCGGCGGCGGCGGCGGAGAAGGGGAAGGATAAGGGGAAGAAGTGAGGTGGTCTTGTTTTCTGGGAGGGAAATGGAGTTATTTTGGGAAGAGGGGAAGAGTTGTATCGATATATATCCATGACTTAATGAAGTGAGATACCCTGATTTACTTTGTATTTACTCCCGTATATGGTGTTGGGTGCGAGACGGGCTGAAGATGTAAAGTATCATGGATCTTATGCGGCTATGTACAGAAAAGAATAAACATGGCATCATCACCGTCACTCGTACTTGAGCATAAATAACATGACAAAGAAAATATAAGACGCTGTATAGGGTATCGTATCAAAAACTCCGGTTCCAATCCATCAATGATCTTTTTTTTTTCCCTCTTCCGTGTCTACATCTTCGAGACGCGGTTGGGAACACCCGCCTGCTCGATGAGCTCGCGGCCTCGCTCCATCCAGTTGCTGAAGCCGTCTTCGCTAGGGTCCATCGGGAAGTCGTCCCACACGGCATTCTCCGAGTCCGCGTAGGTCGACCAGACGCCCTTGGGGACGTCGGCGGTCGTCCAGGAAGGAAGCTTGGCCAGCACACAGGTATAGTAGACATAGAGGATGCGGCACAGCAAGTCGACCCGGTCCACGTAGTGCTGCTTCGACGGGTCGGGCTCGCGCCCGCCATCCCCGAGGCGCCTCCACCAGGACACTCGCCACCGGAGGGAAAGGAGGATATGGCCGAGCTGGCTTAGGAAGCGCAGGTGCGTCTCTTGTGAGATCTGTTTCCACTTGATGTTGTAGAAGTCCCGTTCAAGCTTCCGGAACCCTTCAACCTCCAGCATGCGGCAAATGATGCGAGACAGCTGCGCTGCCAGCAAAATCTCTCGCTGATCCTCGGGGTTGTGGATGTCCATCGGCCGTTCTTGACCGCCGGCTTGCAGCGGAACGAAGCTGTAACTAGCGCGGCTGGGCATGTTGTTCCATTGTGAGAGTAAAGACTGGGGAAAAGATCAGCAGCAGGTTCTAAGTATAAAGTGCCGAACCCAACTCACGTAGACATTGTTCATTGGATCGCAATCCTTGACACAGCTCAACCAGTTCTTCGACTTGTCCTTCGACTCCACGATCCGGCGGTCGATGAACTCGATGAAGGTAGACCGAGAGTTACCGTTGAAGTCGCTCAGGGACTTCAAAAACTTGTACGTCTCTCCCAGGTCGAGAACGTACAGCGAGCCCCACGCTTGGCTAGCACGGATGTTGAATCGTCCTTGTCGCTCGCCAAGGAACGTCAGAAGATCATTCAAGTCGAACTGGGACGGGATTTCCATCCGCACCCGACCCGACCGATCGACAGTTGGATGATTCACGGCGCGTTGAGCTGATTCCTAAGTTAGCTATGGGATCCAACAAACGGAATACTGAATCCATACAGATATAATTGCATGTTCCGTACTCGACGATATTCGCAAAGCAAGCTCGCGCGCATGGCTGTTCGTGGAGAGTAGGACGACAAGCGTCGCATGGTGAGCTACCATCACACTACTACCATTAGCCCGAACATTCTTGAAAAGAACGATCGACAGAAAAGAGATGGAGACAAACCTTTCGCTTGTTCAGGCGACACTGAACACATGTATCCTTGTTCTTCCTCCGCAATCCAGCGTTGGCCCTTCCGACCATGCTCAAGGGCCCCTTGCGGCGTGCCCCGCGCGGTGGGGAGACAAAGTCCGCAGAGGCGATCGAACCACCCTGGCCGTCCTCTTGAACAATCTGCAGCGGTTTGGCTTGACTCTGGTCAAGATTCACGTTCGAGGCTCGCTGCTTGCGCTTTCTGACGGTCGCCACCGACTGCAGAGCGAGAGCCTGAGGGCGACTTGATGCTCGCTGGGCAGCAGATGATGAAGCCCGAGACCGAGCGGAAGCTGACATGAAGAAAGTCTCCTGAGGATTCTCGCTGACCATAAATGCGGCGGCGTTTGGAATCGACTGTGGTGTCTCGGAGGGAGATCCCTCCTTCGACTCATCTTTCCAGGAACTGTCATCTTCGAGTTGTCTCTCCGCAAAGGCGGGCACCTCCTCACTCAAGGAAGAGTAGGAGCAATCATAGACTCCCGAAACGTCGCCTGAGTCCGATGAGCTTTCCGACTTGTATTGAAATGCATCCTGCACTCTCCCCTCGTCGCTGTGGAACCCAGAGTCTTGCGGATTCGTCGACCACGAAACCGGCGATGTCATGTGTGTAGGCAGCTGTGATTCAAGACTTTCCAGCCAGCGCGATTCCAGTGAGCGCGGAGAGCCCTGGAATGCGCGAGATTGGCCGACATTCTTGTTCAGGATCTGTGGTCCTAACGGAGGGGGGAGCGATCCTTGAGCCGACACATCAGAGTTGGGGTTGGCCGGTTGTTCGGCCCAAGGTTCGGCTGTGAAGGAGAATGCTTGAGACAGATTTTGAAAGGTCAGGTACTGATCCGGGTGAACGTCCGGAAAACCTTGACCGTGCGACAGCTCCCCAGCGTCGTCAACGATCACGGTGTTGTTTGGGGCCGCCGCGTCTTTAGCGTATGGGTAGAACAGGGGCGCATCCATGGGCATCCCAGCAGCCATGGAGTTGAACAACTGGAATTGCGGCCATGTCTCGTCCAGGTGGAAGTTGTCGTCCGTCGAGGAGGGCAAGGTTCTCGGGCTCACCGTCCCGCTGATGGTTCCTTCGATCGCGGCATCGGCGATGCTGAACTTCTCGGGGGAGGTAATTCCTGGATTGCTGCAAGCACATCGAATCCGTCAGCTAGCGATCGCGCATTGTACAGGAAGAGACAAGTCGCGAACCTCAGGTCAGAGTTCTGTCGAAACAGAGCTGCGTTGGGCTGATCGTCAGCCAGAGAACCTTGCAGGATCCCTAGATCTACAATATCCCCCTCATCTTGATTTGAATCCTGGCTGGTATCCCACTCGAGTTGCTGCTCGTAAGCAGTCTGTTCCCACGACGAGATGGAATAAGCGGTATCGGATTGCCAATTATCGAGTATTTTGGGGTCAATGCCCGCAGCCGTGCCAGCAGTCCCGCAGTCCATACAGGGGATATGCGAAACGAAAAATATCGGAAGGAAAAAAAGCGTCGATGACCTCTCGAGCCGGTAGAGACTCGAAAGGAACAAGACTCCCTAGAGACCAAGGTTTTTTTTTTTTTGACGTGTAGTTGGCGAAGCGGGAAGAGGACCTCTTCCCACCAGATAGCGAGAGGCGATGGAAAGTGGGTTGGAAGAACTTGGAAGTGACACCAAGTCACTCGATGATGGAGACGGAGATGAGTTGGTTGAGATGGATGAACGAGCGAGGAGTTGGTCGAGAAATAATAATAGAAAACAGGATTCAAACTCTCGTCTGACTCTAGTAATCTAGTAATGAGGACAGAATTTCATACAGCGTGGCTGATCTGACTGACTGACTGGTGGTGTTTGACGATTCCCCACCAAAGATTTTGCGGCGATCGGCCTCCGATTGTGAGGCTTGTCGTTTAGTGGGACGCGGCCGCCCTGCAAATGGCGACTGGGTGAAAAGACCGTTCAGCGTTCACTAAGAAGAGAATGGCGCGCTTTGATAAGCCCGCACTGGCCCAGAACCATTAATAAATGGGTCGCTTGGGAGGGGGGAGAAGGGGGTATAGAAAATTTGAATGGCTTCAACCAAGGTCTTGTTGGATGTTGTTGTTGTTGCTGTTATTGCACTACAGTGTCAAGAGATGACGAGAGGGGGGGGGGGCGCTGGGGGGGTCCTATGCACTCTTTTATTCTTATCTCAAGGTGCTCGATCAGCATTTCTACATAGTACCATCTGATGGGCATTGGGTGACTGCAGGCTACGGATGATCGGATGCCACGGAGGACATCCTTGTTAGTCAGTCCTCAGTAGTAGTAGTAGTAGTAGTAGTAGAAAGAGTCAAGCGTAGAACGTCAGTCAGGGGCGGCAGACGGGATGCTCAAATGTAGCGAAGATCAAGGCGGGCACGAGGTGGGTTGAGATGGTTCATTTGCTAGTTGGACTCGCTACGGGCGGCGTCCACTCCCAATCTCTGGGCATTATTCTTCCTCTGGTATTATTATTATTATTATTATTATTATTATTACGATGGATGAATGATGATTAATGATTTTTGGTTTAGGTTTTTTTCGCAGCTAAGCCAAGCGCCAAGTCATTTAAAACGATGTGCCTCTGTTGCCATTGACTGGCTGAGCTGCAATAATCATCCACTTAATCATATTACTACAACGGACGGAGCAAAGTGTACCAGTGCCAATGCCAACTCCGTCCCCAACTCCCACCTCCTAAAGGGGGCCAAGGCTCAGGTCTCTCCCAAGGTCGCAAACGTTCTGGTTAGTCGTTATTCGTGAACAAAGGATTTCCAGATTTGCAGATGTAGCGGATAATTATTACGCGACGGTATCATCTCATCGAAACACGATACGGGGAGGGGGGGTGTCCGTTGTCGTCCTTCCTCCCATCCCTTTTGTCTCACTGCAGATGATGCCACAGAGGACGGACTTCTCAACTTCTCATACGGTGGGTGTATGGGTTGATCAGTTTCGCTTCAAGTCGGCTATGGTTCGATCTATTCTAAGCATTATTTTCTAGCAGCATAAATCTTGAGGGATACCTTGCCGTGGATAACCCTATACAATCACAAAACATGCTGACAGCCTGACAGTCGAAGAGCCTCCACCTTGCCGTGATCCAGGACATTAACGACTTCATATTATTATTATTGACATCGAATCCCCCAAACTGCATGAAATCAAAATCGTCCACTGGGCTTAAACTCAGACAAAGAGGCTTTCTCCTTACTCCATAGTCCATACTCCATATAGTATCTTTAGTGTACTGAGGTACTCCGTAGTCATTATTGGTATTATCTGCCTTTCTACCCCATATCTCCTCCGTGCCCTATTCTGTAGTCCGTTCCCTGTACTCCGTAGGTTGTTGCTCTCTGATCTATCTACAGAGTACATATCTCAGATTACCACAAGGGGTAAAAAAATAAAAAAATAAATAAAAATCCTTCACCATCCCACGATGGACTCTGACCAAGGGTTGGTTTCCTTTCATATCTCTCAAATAGTCTTCAATCTTCCACTGAGCCGCTGACCACCGTCTTCATCTCCTGACTAACAATACCTTTCTGGAGTATCTCTCTACCGAGGAACGCTGGACTTCCTTCGGTGCGCTCTCAGTTTGCTTATCATCTTCACCGCAGCCTCTTTTCGGTTGTCCTGTGTCTCGTCATGTCATGTTCCATACAGTACGACCCCCCTTTGCCACTGTCCAAGTCTCCCCCAATCCTGACAATATCGTCCAGTATGGTACCTGCCATGACGGTCTTTTCAATACCAGATGGGCTCCTTGTCGAGTCTTACTCCAGCGTTCCCAACTCGCAAATTCCGGTGCCCCCGCAGCGCAAAACAGCTTCACCGTAGCCAGATTGGAGACTCCCCGGGATGTTTTCGGTAGTCGGGGGGAAGCATCGTTTGATTCAAGCTTCTGCATGGCTCGATCATTGCCCATCGCTGTCTCTATTATAAATACTTATTTCCCCAGTGCTGAACAGACCAAGCCGCAGCACGAGGGCAACCATATCATCATCCATATCTTGCTACGTGGGGGGAAACGGTTTCGGTTTCGATCTTTCTCCGCATCACATCACATTCTTCGAAGCATCCGCATCGCCGATACAAAAGTTCCAATCTCAAACCAGGCAAAGGACCCGGAGATTCCAAAAGAAAAAAAAAAAAAAAGGGTACTATTGAGAGCATTGACAACTCAGCATGCATATATTGGTAAGCTATCTACTTAATTCCCTCCATTGCTTTTTCCTCTACAGTTACCCGCGAGACCTTATCGGCGCATCAGCGAACAGACGAAAGAGGAAAATACTCATGTGACCCAATTGATCTCCAGGTTGTCAACGACGACGGACCGCCCTCGCGGCGTCTCTCCCCATACATTCGCCCTTTCGTCGACGCCCTCGAAGCCGCAGGCCACCAAGTCTCCGTCGCAATCCCAGCCCGCTCCCGATCCTGGATCGGCAAAGCGCACATCATCGAAGCCACCCAAGAAGCAACCTACGTGCCGCCGGACGCCTTCCGGGAAGACGGCACCTGGGACGACACGCACGAGCATGACGCCTCCCAGTCCGAATGGGCCGTCATCACAAACGGCACCCCCGCCAGCTGCACGCAGCTCGGCCTCTTCAACCTCTTCGCCGACCGCGCCCCCATTGACCTCGTGATCTCGGGGCCCAACCACGGCCGCAACGCCTCAACCATCTACAACCTCTCCTCCGGCACCGTCGGCGGCGCCCTCGAGGCCGCCATCTGCGGCAAGCGCGGCATCGCCATCTCCTTCGGCAGCAAGGACGAGCAGCCCGCCCCCGTCATCCGCGCCGCCGCCCGCCTCGCCGTCCGCATCGTCAACCACCTCGCCCGCAATTGGGACCCGCGCGTCGAGCTCTACAACATCAACGTCCCCATGCGCGACGACGTCGAGTCCAGACCCGTCCGCTACACCCATACCCTCCCTTACTACTGGTCCACGGGCTGTCTGTACGCCGAAGTCGCTGCTCCCGAGAAGAATGGGACGGCGGCGGCGTCGTCGTCGTCGTCGTCGTCGTCATCGGGCCTGGCCAACGGACACTCGAACCACGTCGGCGGCGACGAGAAGCGTGTGAAACTGTCGAATGGCACCGCGAAAGCCGTCAACGGGTGCGGCGGCGCGCATCTCAAGAAGCGCAAGTTCGTCTGGGCGGCGGAATTGTCCGAGATGAAGAAGGCGCTGCAGGCGAGTGAGGAGGGGACGGATGCGCATACGGTTCTGAATGGGAGTACCAGGTCAGTAGCTCTTTTTTTTTTTCTTTGGTGTCTCTTGATAACTCCAGCGCGTGCATGCGGTTTGCTAACTTTCCTGTCTTCTAGTGTGACTCCCCTGACTGCGAGCTTCTCGCATGTTCCTGGCCTCGCTGGACCTTTGAAACTTGATGATTGATTGAATTTATGATTTGTGGAAGGTGGGGGAGCTAGTTGATTGAGATAGATAGATACCCGCAAAGGTTTTTTTCTCTTTTTGCGTTATGAGAAACATTTGACATGACTATTGACTGAACGCTGTGCTGGATAACTTTGGTGGTTATTGGTTGAACAATCCTATGTAAGAAAGATACAATAACGGAAGCTTGATTTTGATATTCATCGGTGGCATTGGACGGGGCTCTAAGTTCTATGGACGCTTACGGAAGCTCAGCCACCAGATGGTGAGATAGAGCCACCAAGGCTACAGATGTTATGCACGAGGTACTACTATGTTTACTTCTTCGGGTCGATTGCATTGCCGAACCAAGTGAACTACTATGTCACAAGCTAATTAAAATACAAGAATGAGCTCGTCTTAGCTTCGCCAGTATAGCTACTAGACTCCAGCACCACGGTGAGGTGCGAGCTCGTCGCTGGAGGCCTGTCCGTCGGTTCGTCGAGCGACCCAGACGGCCAGGCACCTACTGAAGAATCAGTAGGATTTGCCCACAATCCCACAAGCCCCCGGAAGCCCCATTGTTAGATATACGTTTGTCGACAGTTATTGACACTGCAGGCTTGCAGGTGTCAATGGTGGCACTTGGTTGTGCTGTAAGTGCGAGTCAAAAGCCCCCGATCCCCTATATGCCGCTTAATAGTGACGTCGACAATTAGGGAAATGGCGTGTATGATGTGAGTGTCGGTTGTTGTGCTGTTGCTGCCTGATATTGCTGCCTGCTGCTGTCGTACCGCTATCGATACTGGTATCGATATAGTAGGTGCTATATGTTATCTATGAGGCGTCCCCAAGCTGTTTGGAGAACAGAAAACATATCGGTCACCAAGGCCTCTCTCACAACAAACAATCTCAAGAGAGGAGAACGATAATCACCAGCATACCACCCACACCAGCTCGCAAAGGAAGCGCGGTACCGCTAAGACTGCTGAAGTCAGAAACGATCACAGACCAGTTGAGGATGATGAAGATACTGACACTTCCACTCTTTCACCTTTGGCCGGCGCTGTATGAGTGCGACTCCCCAATGGATGTATCCATTGAGTTGCAGTCTCTGCTGGCCAGGCAGTATCTGCAGTGCTAACACGGCCTCCTAGCACAGCCTGTCGGTAAAGAAAGAGCCAAGCACTGGGTGAGTAGGACAATGCTTTGCAAGGTTGATTCCCCGTGGATAGGCTTGCGCCCTGGTGGTGAGAAGAAGAAGAAAAAGAGGAAGAGTGAAGGGGGGGGGAAGGGGTGGTATAAGTAGTGGGTTTGGGTGGGCTGCTTGCGTGCCTGCCTGGTAGGCACTCACTCTCTTCTTTCACTGTGACGCCTTCAGAAAGAAAAGACCCAGCCCGTTCAAGGCAGACACTGCCAGTTTTTGTTCTATGACGAGCGAAGAGATCCTCAGTATGTGGATCCAGAAGACATGAGCAAATTCAATGAGACTTTTCTGCCTGGTTCTACAATAAGGGATGCTCTGGAGATTTCTTGATGCTTTGTGGGGGGTGGTGCCATTATGGAAGAACACTCCTCTTCTAGCGTCTACTTGATATATCCCTCTAGATTCGTTCCCATCTATAGGCGCTCAGGCAATACACAGTGCTGGCGTGGTGGTATCTGGTTGAGTTGGACAACTATTGCAATATCGACTTGGATGGAATGATGCATTGCGTTTGATCATGTCCATCAGGACCAACTAAATCTTTTCTCCTCTGTTTTCTTCCCTTTTTCTGTTTATTATACTCTTCTGCCTTGTTTTGCCTCCCATGGTTGAAAACTGATGATGGAATCAACAGAGTACATTCACCCACCTATACCTGTAAACGATGCAAGTTGATCTAATTCAAATCTCTTGCCTCAGGCACTGCATGCCCTTCTATTCTTCTTAATTGACTCCGTATGGAAGGCCAAACTTTGGGGTGCGACAGCGTGCAATTGAGATTCTGACAAGGATATGGGACGTGATGTACTTGGGTATCCTCAAGGTCGGCCAGCTCACCCGGAGTAAATGACGAAGGACATCTACATGTTAATAACAATAAACCAATTGTATGCATATCGGTGTGCATGCAACAAGATTCAGGCACAGTGGTTGGGCTCTGCTATCAGATCATGGCTCATAAAATTAAAGGCCGGAACGTGGTTCTACGGATAAGGTATGAACATGTTAAATCACACAAACAGGCAGAAGAAGTAAAAACATGGAAGAGAGGAGACAGCTGATGTATAACCTATAGCGCCCTTGCAGCTTCTCCCGCGCCACTGTCCACAACCGAAGCCTGTTCAGCTCGCATCTTGCCCTTGCCAACGCCTCCCTCACCCACTCCCATTCTGCGAGCCACATAGCGCTGTGCAACAATGCCAACAGCCAAGGACAAAGACTCCTCGAGCCACTCCGACACCCATTCACGCGGATCGACAGCCCCGCTTTCGATAATCTCAGCGATCTCTTCCGGGACACTTGCACGCGGCACGTCCTCATCCCCTGCGTCATTGTCTGCAGATGCAGGAGCGGCAGCCTCGAGCCAATCGATCCATTTCTGCGGGATAGTCTGGGAGATGGTGTGAAAGGCGATACCGTGGATTGGGTCGTGGAGATAGAGTGCAAAAGCAATCTCCTCTTCTGTGGCCTCAGGCACATCAACTACGCCCGGCGGAGTCGCCTTGTCCGTTGCTGCTCCTGCCTGGAACAGCTCGGGGGAGGAAGTCTGGCTGATGGCCTGAATAGCCAAGAAAATATCGCTGCTCCGGACTGGATTTGATTCGCTCAGGATTTGAGTCGCATGTTTCGCGGCTTCTTCAATGCCGCCCCTCGAGGCGAAGTATTCCGTGGCGAAGGACTCCGCACTCGCCCGGGCGAGCTTGGTCGCTTCCACAGTGCCCCGAACAGCCGAAATGCTGCGGGGTTGCCCTGGGGTAACTGTACGCCACCACGGACCGTCATTCCAGCCTGTCCCGGAAAACGAGATACCGAGATCAAGTCCACGCTTTGGGCCCGACTCTTGGCCCCGCTGAACGACCAGGAGGTCTCCACCTTCTACTTGCGCCATCACGCGCGCGAAAACCGAGTATACGATAGGATCGATAGCGGGATAACCAGAGATATCGTGGGTAATGTGTATTTGGAGACGCTCGTGCGAGGAAATGGGAGGTGCAACAGTGTGAAGAATGGACGTGAACGTGGGAAGCGCTCTGTTCTTGAGCTCACCACCTGCAGCACATTGTTAGCACAGGTACAAGACGAAAAGAATGCAGATGACACTTACCCAGGTCCCTGAGAGCACCAACATTTCCGCGCATTTGCTGAGCCCATTTCTGGGCCTCCTCGTTCTGTTGGATTTCTTTAACTGCAGCTTCGGCCTGCTTCATGGCCGCAGTGGCGGTTGCGAAAAAGCCTCCCCACCATCTTCCACCGCCTGTGCTAGCAGAGGCCTCCTGCACCGTTGGCTTTTCAGACTCAGGCGGTTGTGTATTCGCAGCTTTGTTTCCGGCGCGGAATGAACGGGTGCTCTCCCCTGATTTACGAGTGCTCGACTTCTCTTCGCTGGTTTGGGGGGTAGATGCTGCTGCTGCAGGCTTCGGTGACTTAGTAGCCGATCTGGGCTCAGTCGTCGACAGACGGGGTGTGCCGGGGCCACTGCTCGGTCGTTGCGTGGCTAGATTGTCGAGTTCCGCAAGTATGTCTTGTTCAGACTGTGTAGCAGTAGGTGCAGCTGCCGTCTTCGGGGGTTGCTTATCAGTGTTTGAATCGATGCCGAGGTCGTCGAATTGAGCGAGAAGCTCATCGCTCGTTGGTTTCGTGCTTTTGGGAGGCATTGCCCTTGTGGCGTAAGTATTAGGCCCTGTTTTTGATATCACTAGAATGCTTGTACAGTAGTATGTTTGAGGAGAGATGCTGGTCAGAGCTTCTTGAGGGGGAATTTAATGTTTTGGCGGTGGGGAACTGATGACCTGCGCCAAGAACCGTTAGCGTGTCATTTGACAACGAAGCTATCTACAGAGTACTGTGTAGATAGTCCATACTACAACTTCAATAATGCTAGGATTAGTATCATTCTATGATAGTCTATCCTTTGATACGATGCAGCTAGCTCTAGCTTACTCAAGTCAGAGACTCTTTCAACCTTTTCTCTCGCCGCCTCTTCGGCGTCCAAGGCATCATGATGGTTTGGTTAGTACATAAGTACGTTTTTAAGACCAATCAAAATATATACGTACAAATCTCCGTACCACGTATCTCTCTTAGAAGGTTAGGTTGGTATCTGCCAGTCTTTTCAAAACCATTGTCTGCTGATCTCGCCATCCTCGTCAGGGTCATGAAAAGATTATCTGTATCTTCAAGTTGAATCCGAGAAAAGCGGAGCAATTCCGCGATGTTTGTTGTAGAAAAATGGAAAGCCTCCTTTGGCTGCTCTTCGACAGACCCATTGAGTCCAGTTTGGTTGATTGTAGTGAGCTCAAATTATGTATCATAACGCTTGCACTTCAATGTCAATATCGGGTTCTCGGTACGTCGGGTGAGGAGCTTTCAGATGTAGATAAATGTCTTTACAGTGGCTGGCTTCTATATCAGACGCGGAATGATTATTAAGGGAAAGAACTCTAGAAGAATCGACACATCCTATATCCAACCAAGCCTGCTTTCTGTCAAAGCAGCATTCATTTCTTCAAAGCACAGTTGACGGCTCCTCGTTCATCTTGATAGTTATTAACCCGCGGTTCGGGCCCATTTCTTCCCCGCGGCGGGGCCCTTCCCGAGAGAGTGTCATCAACCCAGGGCCGTGGGGCATCTCGATGATGAACATTTAAATAACGCAGAACCCCATGTTCAACAGTGGACCACAAGACGTGTATAGTATCATAAACCAAGGCTTGGAAGATCCGAAGACGTGCCATCTCAGTCCGATTCAGGTACTCTCGTGCAAATATCCCTCGAAGTAAGTGTCAACTACAACGATATCAAAACCAAAGTGCATGACTCATCACATACAGTATAGACATCGGCTGATTGGAGTTAGTTCTTGAACTTATCAACTTTCCTTGAACCGAGAATATCTCCCGAAACATCACAATGCGTCTTCCATACGTTCCAGAGCCTCCTCCCACCACCACACCCGAAGAGGCAGATATTCTGGCCCGAGTACAGGCGAGACGTACTCCCGGGGGCTTGATCCCACTTGATCGCGCCCTTCTACACTCATTTCCAGTGGCAGACGGGTGGAATTCATTCATTGGGGCGATTCGGACAAAGACAAGCCTGACAACTATCATCAAGGAACTGATCATTTGCCGCGTGGCCGTTCTGAACGGAGCATGGTTCGAGTGGGAACACCATGCTCCTTTGCTGCAGGAGGGTGGATTCAGCGAGGACGGGATGCTCGTTGTCCGAGATGCGCGGGCAAATATAGCCCAGAAAGTCGAGGAGAAGGTCTTGAGTCCAGCTGAAGGCGCGGTTCTGAAGTATACAGATGCTATGACTCAGACGGTTGCGGTGCCAGATCTAGTGTTCCAGGATCTCAAAAACTTTTTTAACGAGAAGGAAATTGTGGAGATCACGGCGACTTCGGCGGCGTATAACTGTGTCAGTCGATTCCTTGTTGCGTTGGATGTTGGTGAAAGAAATATTCAGGATTGAGTATATACTGAGCATGGAGAGTGACTAGCCGAGGGCAAAAGCTGTCAAATTAATATTCCACATCACAACAAAAATGGAGACTCAACAATATCCTTAACAGTAGACGATGATCCAGCAGAAGGCGCAATAGATCGTAAGAAAGAGTACTAGGCACTGGCACTGCAAATGGAGAGAGGCATACTGACCTTCCTAGGACTACATAGTTGCCATTTTAATCCGGGAGCAAGGACAAGGAGCATCTCACCAGCAGCCAGTCATACAGAATGATGAAAAAGCAGTTTGTGATTCGGGAAAGATAGTCAGAAATCATCAAATAAGAAAAATAAGTCACCAACGAACCCTATGCCGGCATACGAGTTTAATATGAGGCCCATAAGGTCTGATAGGAGTTAGGGGACTTGGGATTCTCGACAGCTTTTCTACTTCGTCCCAAGCTTTCACCTCTTCAATACCTCGTTTGAACTTTCAGTTTAGCCAACCTTCGGCAATCAACGAAGCAGGGACTGCTAGTGTGGATATACATTGTGGTACAATGACTAATACAAACATATTGCAATAGTTAGAGTAGTCCTCATATTACAGGAGATACAAGGAGTCCATATAGTAGGTTAATCGACATGGGCGCTTGGCGCTCAGTTTACCGAGTTGCTGCACTATGATGCTGCATGGAGACCTTTTCATGACAATTCCAGATGAAGTCTTTGCAATCGAGATGTAGATGACCTACTGCTGAAAGATCATAATCAGCTGAGTCCATGCCAACATATGTCCAATAATTCATTTGAGATGGGCCCCATCACTAGCAGCCCTCTTGGGTTGCGCTCACTTGCTTCCTAGGGTTGGAAGAGCTACAGTAGAGTCTACAGGCTACCGTCGTTACTAGGAAGTAAGATAGTTTAAACAAGCGCATGGTGGGAAAGAGGAGTGGAGGACACTCAAATAATATGGCGCTGATGCTTGAAACTGAGTAGCGACATGGGGGTCACGTGGAGGGATAAATGGGCTCTTAACGGCGTCGAAAAAGGGTCTCTCTACGAGGTAGGTGGCCCGCAATTTACAGGCTGCCTAAGGTACTAGGTAAGGTAGCTTTACCAGAGTATATCTACTTAGCTATAGGGGCGTTGGGAGTCGGAATATGGCTCATTGAAGATGCACCGGCCACAGTTATCCTTTAAAATGCATTAGGATCATGTAGCCATGGTTGATTTGATCTATGCTGGAAAGCCAAAAATCTAAAGAAGTCAACGTGATCGTGCAGTCACATAGGTAAAATCAATTGTTCATGATGGTATTATGGTAATATATTGTAACGAATACATGACGGAAAACAGAAGATATACAAATCTCAACCATCGTGATTGGTTTCTGGATTAAGTAAAGTGGGCGGCCGTCCTCTTCCGGATGGCTCAAGGCCACGATTTTGCGGGTGGTGTGGGTCTTTCTGTATGGTAAAGCAGGTACGGCTAACGCCTAGTAAAAGCCCAAATACCTTACCTTACTTCCATTCATGATAACAACACCTTTTTTAGGCTCTACAGACTCTTCTCTTGGCCTCACTACTATTCATTTTGACTACTTCCATATCCTCCATCCCCTTGTTGTTCATCTGCTGTGCCTCAAGTAGCTTTGGATGCATTCACTATTGATGGTGTCTAGTATACATTCTCTTCTTCGATCTTATCTCTTCTCCTCCTTTACTCTTTTCTCCTTTTTCTCTCCATCTTCCTACTACATCATCTACTACTACTAACACCGACTCCACGCCTCAACAAGCATTTCCAAAGCATTTTTTTAATCAAGCATCTTGAAATACGTTCAATTTGACTTTTTTATCAATATACCTACTGCCTATCATCTTTTCTCTTGACTCGACTGTGTTTTAGACGTGGTTGGAAACATCTCTGCTTACCCATTCTTCTACTTCAATCTACTCCATCCTTCATACTATCCCTGTCAACCTATCGACAAGACAGGCTTCTCTCAGGACAAATAATCTTCCTCGAACGATTCTTCTGATCTGAGAATCTAATATCTCTCATCATTTTAACTCGATTACAGACTGGCTCTGCTTCGAATTTCCTCCAAGGTACGTATGGGAAGATCGTGTGCTCCAGCACCACACTGCTTTTTTACTGCTCGAAACTTGCAATACTCTGTACCTTTTATGCCATCGCATCTCCTAATTTCACCAAATCACTATCACCTTCAAATTGAATCTCAGATCTGTTCCCCCTTATAATTAGATATCTCTGGTATCTGCTCCTCTCACTCCTTCATACTGTGGCGGCTCGCACAGCATCCAATACTGCTGGCGTCTTGGCATTTTGCAAGCGAACTTTTTTCCCTTTCGGAGTGCATTGGACTAACTGTATGTCTAGAGCTCATTTTTCCTTTTTGTTTTTTTTTGGGGGGAATATCCAAAGAGACCTGGATCCGTTATCTACTAATAATTTCTGAGCTAACATCCTGGGACTATACGTTGTCCATCTCATTTTGATATCTCCGTTGTGCCGTTATGGCTCCTGTCGCTCAGAGCGACCTTGAGATGAACACCCATACTTCGGACATGGCCAGCCAGGCCTCTTCTCTCCGCCGACAATTCTCCGAACCACTCTCTGCTCATTCTGCTTCAACCCAGACATCACAATCTCCTTCTTCATCGACGCTAAAGTCCAAATGCTACTGGTGCGGTGAATATTTCAGCAGCTCCAAGACGACAAATAACGGATCTACTCCTCTGAAGGAGCATATCGTCGCAGCACATCCGCACATAGCTCAAAGATATTCTCTCTACGACGGTGCTGTTGACGAGAATCTGGCTAATGGAGGACTGCAAGTCTCTCAGGCGCCATCAGAAGAGGCTGCAGCTTCCGGCGTTGATGAAATTGAAACTGGTGAAGCTGAAGAGGCTGGCACCGTCAAAACGTACGAGGGTGCTGCGGATGGTGAGACCGATGTAGCATCTGACATAGCATTGACCAATACGTCTCTGGGGCCAGCTCGTGGCCAGACTTCGATCATTGAACAGCGTGTCCACAATCTTTGGAACATTCATGATGTCCACAAATTCTCCCCAACATACGAGGACACTCTAGCCGAGGTTGAAGACGTCTGGGATGCGGCATTCCGCAATCCAAAGCGTGGCACGAAGCGGGATGCATCTGACCTTCCAATTCGCCCCGGCCCATACAAAAAGAATACAGGCAACAAGGGAGACTTTTTGGAGGTTAACCACCTGGAAAATCTTTTATCCCAACTTCGTGATCCGGAGTATCGGCATGTAGATGAACTATATGCAATCACAGCGAATGTTAATCTTGCCTTGAAGACATGGCAAGAGGAGTACTTTGCTATCGACAAACTTTACAAGCTTGCAACTCGCCAACAAGGCAAGCCTAGCGCGGATCCAAGGAAGCTAGAAGAGATCGCTGTGTTTGAGAGCCAAAAGGAGGCAATGCTCTACGGCTACAAATATGATCCCAAAGCACCTGGTGGCATCCAGGATCCTTTCGAGCAAGGTGGCTTTACGCCCACTACTTCCCAGGCCCTTAAAATCAGAGCTAAGGGTGACCCTAATCCTGATGGATGGCCGATAATCCACAAATTCGGCGCCGCCTACGTGCCCATGTTACCGAAACCACCCGCCCAATCAACTGTCGCCAAGAACACTCGCCGACGCAAAGCAGCGGAGATGGAGGCAGCAAGCCAAGCAAACGAGACAGATGAAGTCAATATAGGAACGCCTACGCCCGCAGAGAACAGAGACGACTCTCTGCCACCAGCGAAGCGGCGAACTCGCCATCGCCGCACGGCGCCCGATGCAGATCAAACACAAGACAACACGCCTGCACCTTCGGCCCCTGCTTCTCCTGCTCCTGTTTCTGTTGCTGCCCGGGGCTCCGGTCGTGCACGCGGTCGGGGACGCGGTCGAGGTGCCGCCCGTGCCCCTTCGCGGGCCGTTTCGGAGACGCCACAGCCTACGGCGAATGCGACCCCAGCTCCAGTTCGGGGCCGCGGCCGCGACGCTAAAGTGGTTGCCTCAGCAGCGACACAACCCGTGCCTTTGCAGGCTCGTCCTCCATCCATCTCATCTGGAACATTGTCCCAACTCGCTCCAATTGAGCCGGCACCCAGTGGCGGTTCTGCGGCGGTGTCCCCCGCGACCACTCTTACAGGAGATGCAGACATCAACATGCCGTTAGATCCATCTGAGCTTGCCAGGCGAGAGAAGATCGCCAACGCCAAAAACCCTCGACGTACTGAGGCTATGCTCAACCATTGGGCCCGATTCAATCGGGAGGGCCGGATCCGCCGACCCAAGCGGTCGAAATCCCAAGTGGCCGCGGACCGCGCAGCAGAGGCCGCCAAGAAGGCAATCGAGCCCCGGAAGATTGGGATGAAAGGACCCGGGTCCCAGACTCCCGTTCCCGGGGGTTCGGGAGTCGACATGGGAATCGCACCAGCTCCAATGGTCCCCCCTGTGCCGCTTCCTCTGCCCTCAGGCCCTCCTGGATTGGCGCCGATGCCTACAGCCCGAGGGTCTTTGACATCTCCCTACGCACCCATTGATCCGCGGGCTGTGTCATCGTTCCCCCCTGGTCCTCCCGGACCATTTCAGCAGCCGTCTGCTCCAGTTCCGTATCGTACCCCGTACCCTGATTATTATATCCCATACGGTGCGGCGGCGGCTGGGATGCCTCCACCAGGTCCCACACGACCTGCGTGAGTAGGCAACTACCTTGTGGGTTTATTGCTTTGGCTGTTGTCGAAGATTAGCTGTCAGCTCGCCTTCTGTTGGCGCTTTACTCGGCCACATTGATGCATACCGATACTTTTGTGTTCATTTGACACAATTCAGCGTTTGGAGTTGAAAAAAAAGCATGTATACTTGACCCCTATGTCTTTTCCTGTATCATTATTCGGCTGGATGTTTCTGGTACTCCTTGGGTCATTGCGCTGAGATTGCAATCACCTAATCTCTTTTTGCAACGCAGATCTTATACATCACACCTTTTTCGGCATTGGAGCGAAAGGCGCCTGGGTTTCGTTCTTGTTATGTATACTTTTTGTTTTGATGGTTGTTTTGTATCATTCGCCACGCTGGTCGAGAGGATCTTGTACAAATACCTACCTGAAATCGGCTTGATACTTTAGAGAGGTGTCTCCTTCATGACGAAAGCACTTAAAGAGATTGTTTTGGATGATTGTCGCGTCGACTTTAAGGCTCTTAATCAGGAATTTTGATTTCAGACTCTTGTCAATATGATATAAAAAAAGCCTATAGTCACTCTTCTCAGCCGTCAGTCACACGCCAGACCCATATTTCTTTGACACTCTTAGACAATTCCATACAGCCATTGATCCCTTGTTGTCCATGTATCACCCATGCCAGATCACGTGAATGGCCGGAGCTGAGACCAGACGGTTCACGTGACTCAATGATTTCCACTTCGGATCCACGAGTTCTCAATCCAGCGGCCGGGATATCAACGCGTTGACGCCATCGGATTCTTCTCTTGCCTTTGATTTCAATCTTCATCCTTAGGCCATAAGCTCAACTTACCATCCTTAGGATCTACTTTCTTGACCTAGCACAATCACAATGGGCAAAAAGAGACGTGGGCCAACGCTCGATGAGCTCTTGGCTCGTCCATGGTGTTACTACTGCGAGCGTGATTTTGATGACCTCAAAATCCTCATATCCCATCAGAAGGCGAAGCATTTCAAATGCGAGAGGTGTGGACGACGGCTCAACACTGCAGGAGGTAAGTCAATCAAAGTCCAAGTACTTTGTCGAGGATCACTCATTTTTTGCTGACCACGACGTAATCAAGGCTTGTCGGTGCACATGAGCCAAGTGCACAAGGAGCAGCTTTCAGCAGTCGATAATGCGCTTCCCAACCGCTCGGGTCTTGATGTGGAGATTTTTGGCATGGAGGGTGTTCCCGAAGATGTTGTTCAGTCGCACAACCAGCGCGTCATTGCCCAATTTCAGCAGGCGGAGGCCGAACGGCAGGCCGTGACGGGAAACCCTCCTGCGGGAACGACGTCTGGCGGGCAACCGGCGAAGAAGCCCAAGCTTGAAAATGTGTCTGACTTGAAGAAGCGCTTAGCTGAGCACAAGGCCAAACGTGCTGAGGCTGTTGCTGGAGGAAGCAGCGGAGAGGCGACACCTGTGGGAGCCGGACAGACACAAGCACTGGGTGGCTTTGTAGGTCTCTTTCTTCTATGGAAGCTTGACGTCTTGTTCTCATACTAATTGTCTGCCGCTTTCATAGGCCCAATCCCCCCAGAGCACTGCTGCTCCCACGCCCCAATTTACGTACTCGCAACCGTACGGAGGCGCCACTTCTCCTTTCCAGCAATCGGCGAGCCCCGTATATCCGAACTTCTCACCAACTGCGCAAGCACCGTATCCTCCTGTCACACAATATCCACCGGCGGGGTACTCTCCGCAGTCGTACCAGGCTGGTACGCCAGCACAACCTACGCCAGTCTACGGAAGCACTCCTCCACCATTCCCACCCCAGCCACACCAACAAGCTCCTCCCTCGCACATGCCCCCACAGATAACCCCATCGTTTCCACAGCGGCCGGGCAGCTTGCCGGCTGCGCCTAGCCTTCCACAACGGCCTGCTTTTGGGGCCCCACAAGTCAACGCATACCAGATGCAACAGATGCATATGGGCCATCCCATTCCGTCCGGAGTGCCACCTACAGCCCCGAATGGTAGTCGAGCAGAAGCTTCATCGATCTCATCCTCGGTTAACGATCTCGTCTCTGGGGCCGCGAAGGAAGCTGACCAGGCGGCCGCCGCGGCAAAAGCTGGTGCCGGTACTACCGAAGAAAAGCCATCAAAGAAGGACAAAGGAAAGCCGACACGTTTGGTATATTCCGATAACGACACCAGTCCGGAGGAAAAGATGGCTAGATTGCCAAGGTACGCATTTGTTCCTGACCATCGAGGAGAGACGACTCTTGGAGAGCTCCCTGGTTCTGTAGTAGTGGGTACCATCCGGGACTCGGACACGATCTTCGATCCTGCGCAATAAATACTTGAAGATAATCCCTTGCACGGAGAGACGATGAAGCGATCGAAGACCTGCGAAGAAAAAACAAAAACGACGGTCTCTGCTCTGGAAGCCTCGCGCGATTGATCCCTCATTGCGTCTAGTCTCCACGCAGAGGGAACAAAACACAGACTCCAGCTAAGTTTCGATGCATCAAGTTTTAAGCTACATTCTTTTCACCTCCATCCTGCTCGTTGTTCTTTATTTGCTGCTCTCCCCCCCGATTTGTCAGTATACTGCCGCAATTGAGTGCAAGAACAAAAGGAGATTATTTTGAAACTGAACAGGGGCTGCCTCATCATTCCACGTGATGCTTTGTTTCGTTGGCGTGATTGCCGAGTTGGGACCAAGTGAAATTCACCAACAGCGGATTACAATTACAACGAGTCGATGGAGAAGCATTGTGAGCGTGTTGGTGAGTTGGGCTGTCGACCTTGACTGAACGAGGCTGATTTCGCTGGCTACACTGGACTGGAAGCCAGTCTAACGCGAACCCGATTGCTCATATACTTGCGTCGCTGCATCGCATTTGAGCCGGGCGGATCGACATTGAGCCCCGCATGGTCATTTTCCCACTCTGTTACATGATTACTCCTGTAAGTCCTTTAGCAAAGGTAGGCAATGAATCTATCTATTCATACCATACCAACCATAAGACCACAAATCAATGGCCTCATGTCACATCATATTTCAGCCTTCAATATCCTAGTAAACCTAACGTACAAGCGTAACCTCCCGTAACCCCCCTCCCCCCCCCTTTCAGCTTCCCCTATCTATACCCTCATCCCACCGTCCCTAAACCCGCGCAGCCCTCTTCTCGCGGAACGCCAATCCAAACACCACCAGCCCATACGTCGCCAACAAACTCAGCCCCACAGGCACGGGCTTACCCTTCTTAATCGCACGCGGCACGGAACTCCCACCCAGCACAGCGGACGCCAACAGACCGATCTCCGCGCCGTAGGGCTGGCCGTTCTGCAGCTGCAGGAAGCTGTAGAGGTAGAGGGCGCCGACGGAGAGGCCGGCGGCGATGGAGGGGACGGAGCCTGTGCGGGCGTAGCCGACGATGCCGCCGAGGGAGGTGAGGAGGGAGAGCGCGGCGGCGGAGGTGGTGGGGACCGAGGATTGCGACTTTTGGTGGTTCGTTTTGTTAGTTGGGGATGCTTTCTTTTTTTTTTTTTTTTTCTTGGTTTTATTTCTAGGAAGGGGGTGGTGTGGAGGAGTACCATGTTTTGATTTATTTATTTTGTTGGTTAGTTAGTGGTATGGGGATGTGGGATGGTTGTTGTTTTCGTGGATGGGTCGGGTCGTTGATGGTGAGGACTGAGGAGTTAACTAAGGTATGGGACTGGGTTGGGGTTTGGATGTCGGAGCTCCAAAGTCCAGAGTCCAAACTCCGAGGCTGGAGCTGGTTTATTGCCAAATGCCAATTTGTCATTGGCTGTGGGGCGGAGTAGGTCAGCCTCTCGTCCCGAGCCGCGGCAGCATTTTCCGTATAGCTGACAGTGTCATGCCATCTGGTCCTCCATCATAGTCATACTTCAGGTATCGGGCAGATAGAGAGTGTGGGTTGCAATTGAGAACGCAGGTGATAGATATGTATTTGTGCTAAATGACAATGACATCGAGATTCATATACACATGCAACATGCAACCGTAACTCATAAAACATAAAAGGTCAAAAACAAAAAAAGGTTCTTTTAAACATCTCCGGAACAAATGCGTCAAATCGTGAAATGGTATCCGAAAACAAAAATGCGAGTCTAGACGCCGGTTCTTCTTTATAAGTGTTGGAAATTTAGTTAAGGAAAGTGGTGAGTGTACGGTTGGAGTCCTGTAGTAAAAGTGCTTGGTCGAAGTTGATATAGGGTGTAGGTCGCGAGCAATCAGTCATCAGTCTCTTCGTCTTCCGAGCTCTGATCACCTTGGAATCCATCCGATTCCACGACCCAGAAGAGGGGTACGGCACTCAAGGCGCCAAAGACGGCCAAAATCCACCATGGGAGAATGACATAGCCTCTACTGACTCCGTAGGAGAAGGTCGCGCCGACAAGGGCCGGCCCCGCCGCACGTCCGACGGCACTGACGCTCGTCCCGACTCCGTTTAATGTGCCTAGAACGCTGAGGCTGGTGGCCGAGTTGGTCATCATGATGGTGCAGCATGGGAAGCCGAAGATGGTGCATGCGAGCTTTGTGAGCATGAGCATGAACACGACGTAACTCCGCACCGAGGCCGGGGTGAGCGCCATGAAGGGTGTCAGGAAGTAGATGATGGGGAAAATGATGCTGACGACTTTGAGGCAGTTGAGGACGCCGAATCGCTTGGCGGCGGTGGGGAAGATGAAGAATTGCACGAACATGCCGATGATGCCGATGAGGGTGTAGTACATGCCGATTCTTTGAGAGTCTAATCGAATGAGTTAGGAATGCTCTCGCTCACTTGTCACTGAATTACGGAAGAACAAAATGCAACATACCAACTCCAAATCCTCCGATAAACTTGAACGGCAGCTTAACGTCTGGATTCCCATCAAGTCGCTGAAGCGGCGTATGCAGAAAGACCGGAAGCAGGGAGTCGAACGCCATGTTGTGCATCGCCAGCATAGAATAAGCGGCAAGCACCAAGGTGGACTGGGGAGAAAAGACCTCCTTCCAGCTCGGCCTCTTGGTAGCTTTGCCCGTGCTTCGGCTGGCCTTGCCATGATTCCCTAGCAAAGCAGTCCGTTCGTCATCCTCCTGCGTTTCCAAGTACAAAGACTTTTGTCTGCGCCCGGTGCAGCCGCTCGTCAACGCCTGGCCCAGACGTACCCCAACGTCGGACTGATGCTTTTTAGCTGCCAGTGTTTCCTAACGACCATCAGCTAAGTTCCCTCCGTTTCAACCATACCACCCTCTCACGGAAGCACACTCACATGTAAGAACAGAAACCCCGTCGTGATCCCAATAACAAACAAAAGAGCCGACACCATATTCGGCAGCAAGAACGGATATTCCTTGAGTAAGTCCCAATTGCCAAAGATCTCCGGGTGCTTCTCCGCCGGACGCGCCAGCGCCCCGCCAAACGCAGGGCCAAAGATACTCCCAATCGTCCAGACGAGCGGCATGATGCTGAATGCACGCGGCTGCAGCTCCTTCTCCGGCACCATCTCCGCGACCATGGTCCGGATAATGCCCACGTTGCCGTTCATGAAGCCCAGGAACGCGCGCGAGACGAGCAGCATCCCCATGGTCTTGGACATGCCGAACATTAGGGAGAAGATCATGGTGAAGGTGAGCCCGCACAGGATGATGGGCTTTCGGCCGAGGGTGTCGGACGCCGTACCCCAGCTAACGGCCATGGCGGCCTGGCAGCTGGAGGTTACGGCGGAGGTGATGCCGACCCATCGAGCGACTTCGTTTTTGGGGATGCCGATATCCTCGATCATTTCGGGCTGGGGTTATGGTGTTAGAGTGAGACTGCGCATTTAGTGGGGAAGTTATAGAAGTGGGTTGCATACGAGATATGGCAGAACGGAGGTGTACACGACTATTTGGAAGAGAACAAGTTCAGCATTAGGTCTGGTGTGTTTTGGGAGATCAATCGTCTATCAAGTGGAATTTGAATCTGTATCTTTGGAACTGGACATACCAGGCTCGGCGAATCTACAGATTGCTGCATTCAGAACGAATTAGTCGGTTTACTGGAGATATGACTCAGCCAGACGCTACCTACAGAGGATGAGCAGCTGCGAGACAGGCAGCTTGGGAGTTTTCCCAGGCATCTTGAAGGTCTAGTCCGTAGTATACGGAGTACCAATCACTGCTTATCAATAGAACGAGAGAGATCTCGGTACAACCCGAAGAGGCAGATGAGTAACCGAGGGAAGGCAACTTAGAGCATGGGGTGTCTGTGCCAAAGTCATAGACTAACAAACAGACTCGGCGAGAGAACAAGAGTGATCATGAGAAACGAAGCCAAAATAACCAAAGAGAAGAAAAGGAGCGAAGAGCAATATTTAGTTGCGATGGTGCATGATTAGATAACTGAGACTTGAAAGATGTTTTGAGTTCTTGTGTCTGGTGATTGGTCAGCCTCGAGAGTGGGGAAAGCGGATCCTGTTGGAGCCTTGGAGCCTTGGAGCCTGGAAGTTGGAGTTGGAGTTAAAAAGAGGTATACAGGGTACAGATCAACAGTCCAGTGCAACAACGAGAGACTGTCTACTATGCTAGAAACAATCACAACAGGTTCGAGTTCTGTCTCAAGCAAGACATCCACCGGAATTATCACCACTCAGGATTTGCAGTATCCTTCTGCCAACGCCTTCGGAGATTCGGAGTGGAAGCCTTGAATCACTAAGAGTATACGCAAAGTGTGCACACCGCAGATTATTATCCCAGACTCGACATGCATGCAGCAGGTCAGTTGGCCACCCCTAGCCGTGACTCAAGCATATTCCTTGAAAGTTGAGATCCAAGGAGGATCGCTCAGGCCCTTCATCTCATCTATTTTATCACAGAGGACGCGAGAGACTGGCCGATTGCCCGAGGTCAATAGTACCGTTGCACGCGGAATCTTTTCCGGGGCGGATATACATGGATTTTTGTTCGACTCGTGATGTGCAGATCGTTGACACACACTGTATAGATACTACTCACATTCATGGTGGATTCGATTTGATGCTCCAACCCAGATACTTCGCTGTGTGATTTTGTCTTCAAATGTGCAACAGTTTCATGTACTTCGTAACCCAAAGAGTAACTATTGGCCCAACGCCTGCGACAAAGCTACGCCCTTGCCGCTCCCTCCACCTTTGCAGGCCGCTTGATTCCTTGGCCTTGTCAGTTCGTCAGTCTAGAGTCTAGGCTCATGGAATTGGCAGAATGCTGCCGTGCTCTTCCCACAACTTCGCATATTTACTGCAACAGCTTCGTGGCGTCGTCAATACGCTCGCGGATAATAGCGCGCCATTTCTATACATCATCAGTTACCACACTCAAGAGGCACCCCAGTGAAAATCAATGAGACAAACCTTGGCATTCTCTAAGTCACCTGCTTCCAGACTCTCCACCAGGCCGGGATACGTCGCGCCTGAGTATCCCGTCCAGATGCCGGGCGCGAACACCACGTGTTTGTACCAGTTCCTTCCGTCCAAGCCAGGCTGGTACAGGAACTTGCGCTCAATACCCTTGTACTTGTCGTTGACTCCCCGGATCAAAAAGTACAGTCGCACCTTCTTCCACCAGAGCCACCACGGGAGGTTCTCGTCCAGTTGCGAGGTCAACTCTGCGGCTTCAGCGTCGAATCTGGCCGCAGCTTCTCGAAGCTCTGCAATAGCCCGGTCCAAGGGCCCAAAATCGAAAGAAACGTGGTCGGGAAGATTTTCCGCTGCAGGCCTGATTCGGTCCAGATACGTGCCCAGTCCTACGGCATAATCCGTAGCGTTGAAGGCTAGCACGGGCGTCTGCGCCAGCCTCGCTGCGGCCAGAGCCCAGATTTTGGTGCTTGCTTCGTGGTAGAGCCAGTCTGAATCACCGAACCGATCCATCCAGTCGAAACTGTCGTAGTTCGAGTGATAGTGGTACACGGGATCATTCGGCCCGTGGCTAAACGCTAGATCATAGCTGGGAATGCCAGCAAAGTCCTGGAAAGCAGTAAAGTCGCTTCCACTGCCCATCGTGGCGATCTGACCATCCCACGTGTCCCGTACGGTCTGGCCCTTGACCGTCTGATTTGGCGACTGGACCAGTCCCGTCACCTCGTAGATCACACCGTTCAGTAGCGGGCTTGCCATGGGGTTGAATGTAGTTCCAGATGCGGCAACATCGACATTGAGGTATGCGATCGTGGTCTTACTCAGCCAGGGAAGCATATCTTCAACCCACTCAGTAGATCCAAGTAGTCCATACTCTTCGCCATCCCAGCTGGCAAAGACAATGGTGCGCAGTGGCTTCCATCCTGCTTTGAGTGCCTCGCCGAAACTGCGAATGACCTCGTTAAGTACAGCAGATCCGCTGTTCGGATCTCCAGCTCCACCTGCAATCCACGCATCGCGATGGTTACCGAGGATCACAACCTCGTCTGCAATAGCCCCCTTGATAGTGCCAATCACGTTCCATAACGGGGTCGTGACATATTCCTGCTCATTATAGAGATTGATGACAACATCGTCCGGAGAAGGTCCAATATGATACTCCACGCCCTTCGGTCCGAGTTTACCACCCTGCCACCACTTATTGAAGTCCGAGGCTTTGGGGCCATGCCCATTGAGGGCTTTCAGGAATGGCAGCACCTCCTGGTAGGAAATTGGCAAGGAAGGGATCGAGGGGATCGTGTTATGGGGGTCCTGTCGTTCACAGCCAGGTTTAGATGGATAACCGGGAGTGGTAGGGTCACCAGGAGCGATGCCTATCATCACACAACCGGTCAGCGTGGTCCCCCAAGAGTTCACACAGAGCACCGTAAAAGTGATAGAGAAACATACTCAAGAACTGCGTACTGCCTCTCTGCACCGCACTAGGATTCCGAGCCGGACCCTCAGGATACGGCTTGTAGCCATTATCCTCCGTAATCTCACCGTCTTCCTGAGGATCGTCGTACATCACCACACCGACCATCCCGAGCTCCTGCGCCCGCTTTACCTTCAAGCCCCGGAAAATGCGACCATACTTGACAATCGCAATCTTACCCGCCAAACTGACATTGGCATCAACCAAATCCTGGTAATCCTGCACGGTACCGAAATTCGCATACACGAAGGGAGCAGTGACGTTCCCGCTGGCCGAGTAGCCGTGGAAAGTGGGCACGCGCTCAGGAAGCCCACTCGTGTGATCTTCCTCGAGGACGTCTTCCTCCAGGGAAGCTTCAAAAGTAATCTCAGTTTGATCACCGTTTTGCTTTAGCAGAGCGAGACGGTGGTCGACGGGGTAGTTGAGATAGACGTCATAGGCGACGACCTCGGTATCTGTCACGCCGAACTCTTGCCACTTCTCGCGGGTCCAAAGGGCCTGACTGAGATTCTTGCCGGCAAGATGAGGGCCGGCTGTATAATACTTACTCCAGTCGCGGGCCTTGGCGGCGGATGGGGTGTTTTGGAGAACAGCCTGCAGCTCTTCATAGGTGAGGCCGTGGCCGTGGGGCCATGACGTGTATGGGAACGGGTTGGCGCCGGGAAGATACGACCAGATTGAGCCATGTTCGCGAGGCAAGATGGCAGACGGGATGAGGAATAGAATCAGGCCGATGGAAAGTACCAGGCTGAGGGACCAGCTGCATGCCCGTCGTAAGGTATGATGGGGGTATCGATGTCGCTGGGGAGCGACATTGACCACGAGAAGCGGTGTTGTCTCGGAGGGAGCCATGGCTTTCTCCCTCATTGCGACCGAATGAGCCTAGCAGCCTAGAAAACGATGCAGATATAAAATATGGTGATAGTCTAGAATAAAAAAGCTAGAAAGATGCCATGACACGCTGATGAAGAATCGAGTGGGATACTTGAGGGGATGCCCCAATCCTCCAATGCTGCTTGCTTGCTGATGTTATCAGTTCGGCCGCTCCCTCATTAACTCCGCTCAAGCTGGGATCCACAATCCAGTCCACAACATCCACAAGTTCAAAACTAGGTGCCGGAATGCCGTTCCAGTGGGTCGTCTTGGTTGAATCAGTGGATGAGAAATGCTCTGGAGAAGCTTATCAGCCTGCCTAAGTGAGCGCTTTTGATAACAAATGCAAAGCCCCCGAGGCTGTGATGGGGATTCTAGTGCAACATTATTAGTTGCTACAGCATCGCAGCATGACACCATTCAGATCCAGAATGATAGCTTTCGAAGGACCAATGGATGAAGATTCTCATCACATCACTGCTCATGACTAGCTGATCACCAACCTTCTATTCGCGATGCTCATCTCAGTCAGATCCACCCGCAGAAATACAACATCACAGTGACCGATAACGCTCATATAAAATGATTTGATATAATGCTCTCGGAGGTAAGAGACACAAACAAAGTGGTATCAGCCGAAATAATATGTATATACAATCGCTAATTTGTACGCAAGAATGCAAACCGGCAAAATCGTTGCGTTCAATCACCGATAACCTCCGCTTCGTCTTCCACCGGGATCGGAACCACATCATTCAAGGCAAAATTCACCTTCTCGCCGATATCGATACTCTCTCGCAGGATCTGCCGCGCCGAATCATCATTGACCCCCATATCCTCTTTAACCAGCCTCAATGCCAGTTCCGGAACCAGCACGGCTTGAGCGTAGCCAACCACTCCGGCTTGCTTAACAATGTGATCCTCTGTTGCTAATCGACGGAGCTTGCGAGAGAATCGCGCAGTGATTGCTTCAAGCCTGTTGCAAAGAAAAAATAAAAATGGTTAGTTTAAAAGAGACTGGGGGACCGAAAGGCATGAAAGACCACCATACATTTTGTTAGCTCCCCGGGTGCCGTAGTAGCCACAGCAAATTGTCTCTAAAGCGTCACCCGCGAGCGTGAGACGGAAGTTCTTGGCCTTGCCCGCTTTCAAAGTCGTGTCGAGGACATTCCTGTAGTACGAAGAGCTATCCGGAACCAGGATCTTGTCCAGGTCATCGAAATGACCCTTGATACGTCCCTCGAAGTTATCCCAGTCGATAAACGGTAAGCCTCTTTCTTTCCACTCTTTCGCTGCCGTCGTCTGTTGATGTGATTCGCAAAAGCGCTGCTGTTCCCGAACTCTTTGTTTGGGTTGCGCCTTGAACTTCATCAACGCCTCGGGGTCCACTGACTTCTTGCACCATGGGCATAGCGACGGCTCGGGAGCGGCTGGCTCTGTCTCATTCCTTTCGGAGAGAAACATATCTTCCATGAGGTCGAATTCTTCGAGCATTGCCTCGGAAGCAGAACTAAGTGGCACGTCCGTCGAGTCGTCGTCAGAGTCGAAGATCGTAGGTATTTGCGCAGATGATGTGACTCCAGAGCTGGTCGGTGGAAAAATGAACTGCGGTTCCGTAGCAGCTTGGTTCTTGGCCTCATCCTTAACTTCCTGCGAGCTGCGAGCTGCCTTGGGCTCCGGAGCACTGGAGGAAGGTGAGGACTTCGGCCGCGGGGAAGTAGCATTGGAGCTCCGCGCCTTCCAGGAAAGCGAGTCGCGCTTCTGCTTCGATAGATAACCATGTTTACTCCTCTTTTGGCTCCTCTGCGAGCTCTGAGAGAACAGAAACTCTTCCTTTTCCGCCTCTCTCTTAGCCTTGTCGGCAGCGTCTTCCGCGGTTCGTTTCCGGCTCGAGGGGGGGGATTCGGAGTCTAGCTTGTGCTTCTTCCCACGGTGTGACCTCCTTCTCTGCCCCATTTCACTGTCGAAATCCTCGAAACCGGGCGGGGCCTCGTTCTCCTGGTCATCGGAGTAGGTGCCGGGCGAGCTGGCCGGTTGGGCTTGTATATCCTCGTTATCGCTATCTTTGCGTAGGTATGAATGAAGCGATTTCCCATGATAGTTTTTCTTCGTTAGCCGAATCGAGGCATGACTGGGGTCACGACTAGACCGAGGAGTGACCATTGTGAATATTTCGATGCGGACCGCTCGGGGTGTACGGTATGAAAGGCGTCAGCAGCGAAGCTGGGAGGTCAACCGACAATCTGCAAAAAAGACAATTGGCATTGATGACTGTAATTGGGAGTGTAAAGCGAGGACCTGTGAATTCCCTTTTCTGGTTAGTTTTGCTGTTTTGGGTATGGTCTCTCGATACGCCGTCTTGTAAACACCGCCTGCATTGTGACCTCCAGTATATAAGAACTGTCCCCTCGCTGTTCTAACCATCCTCTCTCCCAACTTCTTCTTTCTCCCCAATTCCCCCAAATATTCTACACCCTTCCAGTCGCTGCTGTCATTTCATCTGCCCCTATGGCTACTACCAACCCCCTCTTTTTTTCCCGCCGTCAGCCTTGACCTGTCATTAAGCTGGCTAAGCTGATTATCTCCCCTTTTTTTGCTTCCAGTGAAATCATTCATATCCTAAGGAAAAAGGTGCATTGCCTGATTATCCTCAACTTATAGTAAACCCTGTTAACTTAAGAGCTATAGTTCCATGGACGGTCCTCTATATTATTTACTTAACTTTCCCTTCTAAAGGAGTAAGACGCAGATACTATAACTTTGAATAACTCTAAAGTTAAATATGCCTTACTACCGCCCCCACTCCCCTACTCTTTCTAGTTTCTATAGTTACTAGTTCTAGCATTATATTTAACATGATGACGGCAGGTTGGATTCTTGATATAGCGTCGTATATCGAGATACACATTTTGATTATGGATATGTATCGAAGACAATGTCAACAACTAGAGAAAAAGTTCGTATCTAGGTTGGAGAAGGGACTTAACCAGGTATCATGCCACCCAGCATCAGAATTTGGAAAACCCCACCACATATCAGAGTTAGGGAATGGCTGCCAATTCATAACATCTTGCTTAAGTATATCCCACAACTAAAGCAATGAAGTGGCGGCTATAGTGTCTATTAGTTTCTGCCTAGCTCCTTAGGAAAGCAGCTCTTAATGAAGGCTTAGCATAAAATCTGAAGTCATAGATGCTGTATGCAGAGATGCATGCGTTATTTCATTAAGTATTCTGTTTGGAGTTAACCTTTGATTCAACCAGCCCATATTATTCCGGTCGGCTTGATTTTCGTCACCATTTGGATGTTGAACCAGTCCTTGTTTCCAAGCCTGGCATCAGGAGGCATGGATTCCTAGAGTCTGAGCCTAGTTGCACATGTTTTTGCAGAGGATCATCAACTTTAGGCAACACAGAAGAGGATATGTCCGCTGATATTATTAGGTGAGTTGTAGGGGTTAAGTGAGCTAGGTATCTTACCATCATAAGTAATTTAAAACTCACTGAACTATTTTGATAAAGACACTAAGACATCTGGGATCTAGAAGGACTTGAGACTATTCAGCCCTGTGGATAATTATATACAAGGGATTTTAGCTTTAGGCTCAGGAGGGAGTATAAGATTAATAAACTAAGGGAAGTCTTTAAAACATAGGTGAATAAAAGCATTTACATTTAAGGCAGTAAATACAGATATTATGCTTGGTAGATTAGATCTTCTAGATTCCTGCAGTTGCCTCCTAAAGAGCTCCTCAAGCACTAGTTGCTTCAAGCAGAATGGCCTCTTTCTTGTTAGATTCAAGTTTAATACTTGTGAGGTATCTTCTAGCAAGTCCTGGTCTTTTCTTAATAAGATGGGAATTAGAATATTAAATGCCTTCACAAGGTTTGCTAACTCGTGTAGGTTCTCTAGCAGCAAGTTAGTAGTTTATATATTTAAGGCCTATTGACTGCTGCGCAATCCCCCTAAAAAATTAGTTAATCTTCCCAGGGAGTTTACTACCTTCCACACATCAGATATCCTTAATCCTATAGTCCCTTTTCTCTATTCTTCGTGCTTTTATAACATCTTTTGGGCGATCTCTTAAGAATATATAAAGCTACTAAAGGGTATCCGCGAATGATTTAAATAATTTATTCAGCTAGGATACAGGGGATTTAGGTTTAGATATTAGATCTTAGAGAGGTTTAGAATCCCTAGTGCTAGGGTCTGTAGGCCCTGCTTCCTTCTCTAAATCATCTAAGAAGAGCTGACCAGATAGTGGTGTATTATGACTTGTTGTATTACTATTCTTACTATTAGATGCTTCTTTATTACTAGACTGGCCTGAGCCATCTAAAGTAATGGAATATCTCTCAATCTAATGGATATATATTTGCCTCTACAGTCACTGATAGAAGGATTATCTAACTTAAGTAAGAATATTAGGTTTTATTAACAGAACTAGGCTTCCCTCTCACTTTTAATTACTTACTTATATCAGCCAGTATTAATAACACCTTGTTATAATGGCTCTGAAGATCCTCAGTTCTTGCCTTCTGTAGAAGTCTTAAAGCAGTTAAAATATCCATATCCTCTTGGCTGGAAATGAAAATTTAGGAAAGAGGCTGACATTTGTAATGTAGGTGATGCCACTATTAATGTTAGCCTAGCAGGTTGATGGATTTAACCCCTCAAACTTAGGAGACATGGCGTGAACTACTCTCAATCCCTTTTCGGATATAGCGTCAATATCAAAGACCAAGTGGTTCAGCCCAGGAACCTAAGGGACGGTGCGATGTGGAGAAACCCACCTGGGGTTCTATTCTTTGATTCGCTGAGTAAGTCTCCAAGCAGGTAACTTAACTATGGCCCGCCATGTATCCATGTGACTGGTAAACAACCGAGCGCTTCAAAAATCAAGAGCCAGTATCGTCACTCAAGGAACAGACCGGACGTTGTGGAAGACATGAATAACTGGGCGATAGAGCAATGTGTATCTGGAGAGATTTCAAAACAGAAATAATCATATAAAGGTCTCAGCCCCTATCTCATTGGATATTGTTGAGGAGGTTTGACATGTTTAGACAGCCCCGCCCTCACTTTCAGCAGGTTAAGAAAGGGTGTCCCATTAATTCACCAGCTGTTTGTCTATCTTCTGGAAGCCAGGCAAGCATCTGTTTAACAAAAGATAAGAAGACTAGCCTCTCCTCCTCTTCTAAAAGTTGGATTGAATTTTCGAGTTTTCGGCTGGGTATTAGATCATCATAAAAGAATTCACCTGTAAGAATGAATGTCAGCAAAGAATAATGGTATCTATTAGATGTTTCTGCACCACCCACCTCTTTTATTAAAAAAGGGTCCCTCAAAATACTCTCGCCCATTTCTGGAGAGCTTGCCTCTTTCATTTCTGATAGAATTGGGCCATTTAAACTCTGTCATGGCATCAGATTTTGCGAGTAACTCTTTTGGAGGTGGGCCAAGCAACGCGATCATTTCTGCTATGTGCGCTTTAGCATCATAATGCCCTTGAGCATCATTCACCTGACGAAAAAGCTCCGTGCACTCAATATTGTTCCAGGCCTGTTACCAATAGGGGAGTCAGTTGCAACTCATGATATATCCCCACCTGGGAATGATGTAGGGTCTGGACTAATAGACCCATTTCCATTGTTGAAGGATGATAAAACAACTAGAGAAAAGTATAACTTTAAAATAGGGATGTCATACCAGAACCCCAAAATTCCATATATCTGCACTAAAGCTCCATCCACAGCCAAGTATGACCTCTGGAGCACGATACTGGTCCGGTTGTATTGGGTGAAGACCAACTTCACTCTTCCCTGCTTGTCCTTGGCTGTTGTTCTTGAGTGAAGTCGCCAACCCTAAATCAATGATTTTAGGCACCATTTTTCTTAGTTCTCTCCAGTCTAGGGGCCCAAAATCATTGTGACAGCGATAGATTGTTTGCCCAGTCGGGATTGTTTTGTGTTGCATGGGCAGGTTATTGATCTGTTCTTTGAGAAAGTTGGGGAGGATGTCTTCATTTTCAAAGGTCATCAAAATATTATCAAGCTTTAGATCTAGCAGGAACCAGAAAGATTAGCAACTTATTTCTTAAAGAAAGTCTTTTGGTGTTCAATGTAGTAGATGAAAATTAGTTACTTGCCGGTATGGACAACCCTGCATTCTGAATGGAGATAGTCAAGACCAGCAAGGAGAATAAGGAGATATGCCTTTGCAATGGGGAGAGGGAGTCTTTGATCAATAAAGCATTTCTGGAGAATCCACAGAGGTTCCCGCATAGGTTCATATGCAAGGCATAGATGGCTCCCTTCAGAACTTGTCACCTCAAAACTGTCAAGGTGGGTCCGAATGATTGCATGGCCGCGGTAAGACGGATTTTGCCTTGAAATGTGCTCCTCAATATCACGTTCACAGTAGGCCTCATCAAGGCTGCGGTTGTTTGTTATTTTCAGTGTTACAAAATGTTCAGACTGCCATCTGTATCTAAATAAAAAACCCTTAGTATATTAGACTATTATTGCAGTTGGCATGACAGGAGCAAAGTCAGGTGTATACCTTGTGATATCTTTTGCCAGCCACGTAGTCGAACGTGTGCCCCAACCGATCTTCACTAGTAACTGATAGTGATTGGCAAGTATCTCCCCTGGTTCAACTGGATAAAAGTATTTGGGGTTGTAAGCTGGGGAGGCTTCTTCATCAACAAGTTCGTGCTGAGGAATTGGAGGGGCACACTGAGCCGGGGGGAATTGGAGTGGTTTAGTGTGGAGGGAAAGCGTGCGCTTCATCATACGGCTTATGGACCGTACTGCAGTCATAGAGCTGAGTAACATGCGCGCTGTGGGATACACAGCGTAGGGAAATGGACTATTTAACGGAGCTGTTGCAAGCGATGGCTCGTTCTGGTGTGTGATGAAATGGTCCGCTGCTCAACTGCAAGCTCAAAGAGGAAGTTCAATAGGAAATAGTCAAGGCATTCAAAAGCTGGCAATTTGGATATCGAAAGCGCTTAAAGATACGCCATTTTCTATTTCGAGAACTGATATAATTAAATGATAATGAGCATTGTTGCTATTCTAGTAATATCTGGCGTCCTCTGCGTTTGCATCAACGCCTACGGTCTATTTATTCACATAGTCAAGGCCCAGGCATGGCGTTCTGCCCTCCACGGCCGCCTATGCAGTAAGCGAAGTTCACTGGAGGTGCTATGGGTAGTCTAGTACTCTATTGGCTAGAACTTTATTCTGGCATACTGTGTACCAAGGGCTAATCCCGCGCAATCCGCTAATACGCTACGAGGCTTGTTGGGCTGGGCTAGAGGTCTGTGCTCGTTGTGCACAGCGAGCACGGACAGTCTACCAACCAATGACATAAAGATCTCATGGTGGGACGAATGCAGTGGCGCTTTAATTTGCTTGAACCATATTCGGAGTCGTGTAGATCATTACGGATATACGATCTGGCTTTCCAACCAGCTAGGTTTACCAGTAAGATGAGCCACAGTCAAGAGCTGCTTCGCAGCACCTTAGGCTTTTTGCGCTACATACCAATTTATCCCTCATTAGTCGTAGGAAACATTCGTGTATCTCCGGGATAAAAGTCCCAACCCATAATAGAAGGGAAAATGCGAGATGATTGCTCTGTGATCGTTCTCGCATAGTCCCTGCATAACCGTACAACTGGTACCCAGAAGCCCACCAATCGAGGAAAGATTAGCATTGTTGCTGGTATTGACTATTCTTGTTTTGTTTATTGAGACGATGACAATACGATCGAGCTCTCGATCTATAGCCCCATCCGTGCCTTCTCTGCTCGGTGGAAATGGCATGGTAGTCATGGAGCACTGAAGCCAGGAGACTTAGATCAATCCCAGCTCTGTAAATTTCGCTTGACGGCAACTATCTCTCGATACATTGTCAGCAGATACATCCGCCAACGGTCATCACGGTATGTTGCATAGTAATAGCAGCTGCTTCTTTTCCTATGAGGTGAAGTTGGGTACATAAGTCAGTCTTCGCAACTCATGACAGAGGCGATCTCATTCAATCAGGTAAGAGATCTGTTAAATTGCCCAATCCATAGTAGCTAGCGAGCTCATACTTCTCCATGATGAATGGCTCAAATGTCACCTTGAATTGACATATAAGGAGGCCATGTGCACCCTTAGACCTCGACGCTTCTCTACTATGAGACTCATCAAAACACGTTGGCATGGTCTTCTCCAGCTGGTCAAGTTCTGTTGCTTCTCTGAAGCGGCAAGCTGAGCTATTTTCAAACGTACTACAGTGCTTTCCTATGTCATAAACTTCACACCGCAAGTCAGATTACTCTGGGGCGGACTTGGTTGATTATACGGAGGATCTCTTTTGTATACCCGGTCTCTCTGCGGAAGCTAAACGAGAGGATACCATTATGGATGACCTGAAAGTATGTCTACAACTGATTTATTTCTGGCAATTGCTAATAATACAGGTTGTTCGAGTTTGGTTCACTGATCCCGAGTTATCTCCAGAGTCTGCCGTCTGGCACCACAATTTGAACGATGTCGTCAAACTCATAGTGCCTCTCCCGTGCCAGTGTGGAAACAAAAAGCTAGCAGAGCTTGCTGTGGACAAGGATGGTGTTGAAAGGGTCCGCAGTTGATATGAAGCTGTGAGGTCTTTGCCGCTAGGCAACAGAGACCCAATGGTCCTCGCTCAGAAACCAAGAGACTTAACCCTCAAAAGAGTCGAGGCCTGCAAGCAGCTACGTGACGCCTACCGGGATCGTCTAGTGAAAATGGACTTCGATGACCAAGACCACACCCGGCTTGAACGACAACTCGATGCCCAGAGCCGCACCTGGCTTGAACAACAACTCCGATCAATAGGCGAGGTCCTAGATAATCTTCAAAACAGCGTCCAGGTATGTCCCTTCTCCTGCCTGTGCGCAGAGTACTGATATTGAAGACTGTGTGAATATGGTACCCTGTTTGCCAAGGACGCTTGACGCAAGATGCCAAAGATAAGGGCATAGGACATATGATCCTAGCAGAGGTTCAGCTGGAAGATCTTAGCAATGGATATGCTCCAGCATATCAAAGCCATCGCCCAGCTGGTACTATGTTAGTTGACTTGGCCATTCTGCTGGAACATGCTGCGACTGTTCGCTCCAAATATTTGCTGGTGAACTTTGCTCCCTTGAGCGGCCATGATCCTTTGGTCTGCCCAGAGCCAGGTGACGATGTTGACCTGAAGAGAGCTCTAGCTTTTAGAAGAGTCCTTTCAAGATATGATAAAGCACAGAGAATCCAACAGTCCCGGGGTCAAATACTGGAACCTGAGAATGAGCATATTAGCAACTGGTTTAGTAAGTGTATGATGGAGCTTGAAAGCTGTATCAAAGCAATCCATGGTTGTGAGGTAACATTGTGTTGACCTCTATTCAAATAAACACTAACAATACAGGCCATACGTGTATGGTGTTGCGGTCACTAAAAGTATCCCATAGCCAGTGTTTGATCCAAAGGCCTTCAGGATGTGGTCAGAGCAGCAGTGCCTCTCCAAGATCCTAACTACTGATGGGTTGCTGATGATAAGACAGTCCATCCAGACGGCGCCATCCTTGTAGACCTAGCTGTCCACGAGGAGGGTGTCCGCAGGGTTCTGCTCTAGTATGGACCTACTAGTTTTGTTCTCATGACTAATGATGATCCTGTGGTTCTCTCACAACCTGGCGAAATAATGCAAGACAAGCAGGTTGCTGCTTATAAGGATATGTTGGAGAGGTATTCTTATTATCTTTGTGAAGATTGCTGTCTCCTTGGCCCTATGGCCAAAGTCTGGGTTGCTGAAAGACTGGCTGGAATTGATATTCATTTGTCGCTCATTCATCCGAGTCGCCTAGAGGTGAGTAGTCTCCCTGTTCCTCATTATGTACTAACTTTCTAGACCATACGAATTTGCTGTCCGAAATACCAAAGCCACCCTTGGGAGGTTATCCAAAAGCTGGGTCTTGGGGACGTTATCAAAGAAGCAGTCCCTCTCGAAGTCCCCGTAATTTCCAACAACGGGGAGCTTTTCCCCCTTTCCCATCCCACCAAGAACTTTCACTTTTCCTTTCACCTTGTAACGGAGAAGGGCACTGTACTCAATAAAATCGAACACTTTCAGCAATGCGCGAAGATGTAACATGTTGATTAAGTGATCGTGCTACTCTTACAGTACTGTACCGTGGGGATGCAAAAGTTTTCAACCACCTACCTTACCACCGAGGCGAGGCCACGGAATCGAGAGGGTTCTGATAGGGGCGAAAGCGCTAACTAAAAGGGGCATCATGAGGATGAGTCAGCTTAAAGACAATGACTGCAAGCCATGAAAACTCCTTTGGGCATACGATTTCAGGCCAACGTCACTTAACATCCGCAGCTCTGGCACAAGAAACCACCAACTATGGAAATATATTCATTTGGCCAAAGGAACACCAAACGCCCTTAAACTCTACAACATACAGTCCGAACCACATCAATAAATTAAAACATACCTCACTCATAACATCAGCTCATTGGCCAAAACCATAACCAACATATTTCTGCCTCAGCAAAGCCATATTAACAGCGAGTCTCCAAGAGATTGCTCTGAGATGCTTGCGTGAGAATTACTTCAGGTGCGGATTTGGCTCGCCGTTAACAGACTTCTTGGAGTCAGATTTCTTCTTGTTCACCATCTTTTGGTTGTTCTTGACACCAGTAGACGGGCGGTTTCGATATATATGCCAGAGATATGAAAATCATGCGGATCATAGTTATACCTTGGTCTGTCCCATGGAAGTAGCGCGACTATGCAGGTGTGAGTTGTCCAAGGTCTTGCATGCACCTTGCCAGACCAGCCTGACCTCATGCGGTGAGACACGTCAGCGTGTGGCTCATAATATCATCACTCGAAAGTCATTGAGATCTCTTCCTCGTCACAGTGGCCAAAGTCGTGTTCGGCCCAGGCGTTGGGCTCCAGAGCCATGGCTCCGAAGGCACTAGCACCAAGTGCGGTGGCACCAACAGTAGCTTGCATGGTTGCCGAGGATCGAAGAGGCGGCCTCGTAGGTTGTGATATATCATCCGCCGGCGCAAAAGAAGAATGAGGGCGCTGTGGTGGGTCATTATAAGAGACATCGAAGGTCATATGGACCTCCTCCTGGCCAGGCGATGGAGACTGACGTTTGCTTGACGGAATATGGCTTGGAGAAGGTTCATTGGGCGTCTGAGAGACAGGCGGAGTCATGAGACTGTCTTTGGAAGGTCTATATTCTGACGGAGTTGTAGCAGCAGGTGACTGGGCAGAAGGTGAGTTGAGGTCCAACTTCATAGGGGGAAGCGTCGATTCGAGCTGTTTGACTTCGATCATCTCTGAGGCTAATTCAGCCCGGATTGCATCGATATCAAAGAGGACCGTCCCGGTTCCACTGCTGTCGGTAGAGTTCCGCGAGCCCGAATCATTGCGGCTGACGTCGTATGTCTCCCATCCTTTCTTGTCAGCCAGCTTTCCGCGTTTGAACAAGCCGAATCGTTTCTTCTCAGGTTGGGCTTCGGCTGCTTTACGGGCCTCGTCGATTTCACGGATGAGCTCCCGTTGCCGCTCACCGTGGTTTTCCGGGTCTGGGTCCTCGATTTCAGCAAACTCCTCGCTGAGGACTTCCCAGCCGACTTCCTTCAGCAGCCGGGGTATCGCTGCGCGATAATCCATGTGGCCGTTGACAAGGCTTGTAACGTCAACATTTTCAAGGCCGGGAATTCCTTCTACTGGAGCGAGGCCGGCCACACGCATGATACCACCGCTAGTAGCTCTGAAGAGATACCCCAGAATCCAGTCATTGGAAGAATATCCATTCACAAAGCGACCAGAGACCACACTGCGTAGCTTGATATATTCGTCTTTACTCGCCACCATGGGCGACCCAAAGAGATAGACATTCTGAACCAGTCCATGGGCGCCTCGGTCCGCGAGTTCTTTCAGACAAGAGAAGATCACCCTTGCTCCAAGGGAGAAACCAAGTAGTGTGACAGGTCTATTCCCCAAATTGCGATCCATCAAGGAATCGGCGAGAATCAGTCCTGCTGCATTGGCACGAGCCAAGGAGACATTCCAAGGGTTGTCAATCAAATACGACAACTTGGTCAAAACGAGAGGCAGTTGCAAGGACGCCATCAAAGCCATGAGGACAGTGCTTCCCAGGACTTGTTGCAAACCCTGAGTCAAAGCCTGTGCAAGATATGATCAGCTTCTTGATAACGAAATAGCAATTCCAAAAACAATTACCTCTGTGGCCAGGATATTGATGGTGGCACCCATACTCTGAAGCATTTCGGGTTCCCACAGGACTGAATACAAATCACCCATTATAGGGTCGACGGTACTGAAAGGCAGTCGTACATCATCAACTTTGCCAGTCATCCAACCGGATATGGCAACAATCAGGTTGACCCGCTTATTATTATGCAAAGGACGATATTCGAATGTTTGGACAGCACCAGTGCGTCTGTGGGAAGCTCTTAGCCCGATTGTACTTCCAGTCAAGGTAGCACCAGAAGCAATCAGAGCAGTACCACCAGCTCCTCCCAAGAAAGCGCTGGTTCCAGTGATGCCAACGGTAGTGAAACCAGCCGCAAGGCCCGCGCCGATGACAGGTGCTAAGAGACCGGCCGAAAGTCCGATTATCAAGCCTCCTCCAACTGTGGCTAGACCCATGACCATATATTTGCGCTTCAAAGCCATCTTGCGTCGTTTTTCCATGTGTTCTGATTCATCCCAGGTCTCCTTCTCTGCAGCTTCCTGCATCTCGAGTGCATCGATGACTCGCTTTTCAAAGCGAGCGATTTGAAGCCACGACACTTCCATAGCCTTGCCGACCCTTTCCAGTAATGCCCGCGACCGAGCATCATAGGATGAGTCCGCTATAAGAACTAAGAACAAGTCGCACAGAACGGTCCAACGAAGGTCAATGTCAATTTTGGCGGAGGTAGGCATTTGCGAAGGGGTTCGCACTTCCGGTAGATCATCATCGTCTTCATGCGCCTTGTAGGGTGGAGGTGGGTCGGAATATCCATCAGTCTCGCTGGACAAGCTTGTGCGGCTGCCCCCCTTCATGTCAAGAGACGCAGCCGAAGACATGGACGCCTTGGGCGAATCTAGCTCGTCGTCCGCCAAGGGGTTTTTAACCCGAGCATTTTGCATCAACGGTCGAACAAGATCTGCAGGCTCTACACCATGCTCGGCCAATTGCTCAATCATTATTTGCTCGGCCGGATCGATCTCCATGTGAGTATACACCCTACCCATCACCAGCTGACCCCATTTTCTCAGAGAATCGACAGCTTTCTGCGTTGCCTTGCGCGTGGCTCTTGTTGTCGGTATCCTTTCCAGATCCCGCGTCATTTGATATATGACCAGCCGTGTCACGCCGACATACGCAATCCGTTGGCTCTCAGTAAGAAGATCTTTCGTAGCCTGAAGTTGGCTGGTAGGATCACGCAATTCCTCCTCAACACCCACGGAATTACCACCGGGTTCCTTGAACAGGTAACTTGTATCCTGATCAAGACTTGTAACTGACTGGGCGTCTTCATCGAACTGCACTCGTGTATAACCATTTCCGGCACCGCCTAGGCCTCTGTAAACTGCTTCGTTGTCCTCCGCCTTATCCCCACGGGCGACTAGTCGTCCGTAATCATCGTAGACATCAAATTCGCCCAACGCGGGCATATCTTTCCATTCCCCTTCACTCTCCTCGTCGCTTTCCGTATTTGCTTCTTTATTCTCGCTTAAGCGCTGATGCGACCACTCTGATGGCTTGAGACTCGTTTGTCGTTGGTGGGTACTGTGAGGTTGAGGCGAAGCATCCTGACCGTCCGAGCTCGGTTGTATTTTTGAGGGGGATTGGCTGTCTTGCTCTTTGAGCGAGGGTTCTTCGGACGTGGCTGGCAAATCGCTCTTCTGGACAGTATCGTGATTCTTCTGCGATGCCAAACCATTTTCGGTAGGGGGAGGTGTCACTTCCGAAGTCTGCGCTTGTTGTCCGCTAGCAGATTGTTTCTTCTCGATGGGACCTTGATCGCCGCTAGCGGTAACCTCTTCGCTTTGATGCTTTGAGCTCACTTCTTGTGAGTGGAATGAGCTCTCTTGCTTCTCCGACTGGCGGTGCCCATTCTGATCCGAATACGTTTGCTCAAGATCATGAAAAGTTTCAGGATCGTCAGAGCTAGCATTCGTTGACAGTCCAGGTCTAGTACGGACCCGAATCGGAAGCCCAAAGTCATCCACCTCCTCGCTCACATCGGTATCCCTGTTCCCATTGTTCACCGTCGGTGTATTTCCCGGTATCTCCTTCAATGGATTTGTTGCCACTTTCTCATCCTTGCGGCCATTTATTTTCTCATCCTTTGCGTCAACAACGGTGGTCGACGGTTGAGCATTCTCTGAGCCTTGGGAATCGGGGTGCGGAGGACCGGCGGACAAGTCGACAGGGTGGTCAATAGCGGGTTGCGAGGGCGAGGGCGAGGGCGAGGGCGAGGTCATTATTCATGGACGTTTGGTGAGATGGCTAGTGTCGGTCTGCCCAAATTCCTACACTTGTGCTCCCCTGAAGAGATACCTCCGTGCGTAATCCTACTCGTACCAATGAGAGAATCGCCCATCCGCGCGGGAAACACACGTCTCCGAGTCTTAGAATCCACGTAGCGATTTTTTTTCCCTCCTGTGCCCTGAGCCCAGATAATAGTTGACTCAATAATATAAGCCTCTCCAGGCAAGTTTATTTCCGGTCATTGGAAGCTTAAAGGGGTAGCGTGAAAGGAGGATGTCTAGGCCACGGGAGCTGAGATAATGAGGGGGCGGAAATCCTTAGAAGCAAGATAACTATTAAGCTGATCGCATACTCAAATTCGCAACACACCGGTGAAGCTGGTAAAATTTGAAGTGATCGAGATCCGAGTTCCCTTCGATGCTGTTTGTTTGTCGACACGAACAATTGCGGAAGCTTGTTGGGAATCCGACTGCGACTAGGAGAACGATTTAGTATGGGGTGACCCGAATGCGGCAATTGGAGTTAACCAACGGTCGTGGTGGGCGACTCCATCACGTCAGGAGTGCCTCCACAGCTTTGAAGGTACATGCTGCCCGCTATCTGGAGCTGCATTGGTGGTAACTCGGAATTCTCTAGGGGATTTTAGAGCCGATTAATGCTCTCAGTTTGATATATTCCCTGGGTATTCGAGTCTCCGACCAGTTGAGACAAGATCCCTCTGTGATCTGAGCGTTCTCTTGTATGCCCATGCATTCTTGAGGCAACGGACAACAATCAGGACAGCTTCTTCCTGCCCAGCTACTGTACTTTGAAATGATGGTGCAGCATGCTCAACAAAGATAATAAGATTTCTTGCTCAGAAATTCATCTGTCAATGGAGCTAGTGTTTGAATACACGCCTGAAAGACAAAAGGTCTCAACATTCGAGTACACCAGTGCTTAAAGGGGGATTTGATCTATTCCATGAACATAGCAAAAGCAGTCCGCCATAAGAGGAAACAGACCCGGAGATCAATATCACCCAGCATCAATTCAGCCACAAGGTAAATCTGTACTGACTACAGGGCCATTCAGCCTACCAATCTGCAGTAAAGGACATCTCTTTCCCGATCACCGAATCCCAGCAGGATCTCTTGTTTTATCCATCCTGCCGCCATATCAGCCATATCGCCTCCAAGACAGAGTACCGAGCACTTACATCTTGGTTGCAGGAGGAGCATCAACAGCCACCTTGGTCGTGCTACCCTTGTCCCACACAGGCTCGGAGGGCAAATCACTCTTATCGTATTGCACGCCAGCCGGGTGCTCAGCAGGGTTCTCAAGGGCCTCTCTGATACTGTCAGGCTGGTTCCTGGCTCTCTCTAACAGGGCCGCTGCAGACACGTCAGTATCGGGCCGTTGTCTAAGGCTCGAGGCTCTAGGTGCCGCGGAGCAGAGGAGCGGAGTTACCAGTTGAGGGTTCCTTGCGGGAGAGATCGGACATGATCGATTACGGAATGGATAGGAGGTCTGTGTAAGGCTTGCCTAGTGATTCTGCTGGACCTTCTTAGTACAAGTCCCCCAGCAGAGTTCGAATGGGCGGCGAGAACGCTGAGGGTTGACGACATTACACGTCATAAGATTGAGGGTAAGGTACCTGCTACGAGGTTAAAACATTGCTATGGATATTGAGGCCATGTTCATATGTGTATACGCGCTGCAATGTTGCTCTTGGTTCAGAGAAGCTGGCCAGGATCTCGCATACTAGAATGCCCCCAGAGCACTGCCCCCAGTGTCCACCGGAGTCTCCGCCCAGCCAGCCCAGTAACACATGTCGTCAAGCCACACATCCATCTAGACTACTCCGTACTCCGTCGTCTATATGTAGATATTTACTCCGTACAATTGACGGAATTATGTTCAATCCTCCTTTTAGATATTAAGATGTTAATACGTGAGTACTAGCCGAAACCTCAGTCAGCCAATCCGCTTACTCTCACGATTTTCCAAGGCTCCTCAACGAGGAACCGGACGCATCGTAACCTCCGGGCAGTGACATGTGTCGTGGCATCGACCCCATTGACCATCGATGGATATTCACTCCACGAGATCCAACACAATTTCTGTGATAATTTAGATGATTTGATAGATCCGCTGTCTTAGAGAGATTGGCATTAGTGCGCTGGTTGGCTACACGCCCGGGGCATGGCATTCGTTTTTACAAGAACCCAATTCGGTTACATCTCCATATCGGAAGTTCCGTGTCTACCGACGCCCCGTGAGGGTGGACTGGGATCGTGGATGGAGCAAATGTACGTGCCAAGGTTTGAGCCACTGAACAAAGTATTTAAATTCTAGGGTATCCCCTCTGCTTTTCTGCTTATCATTGGAAAGTTGAAATTTTCTGTTCATTTTCCTCTTCGTTAGGCATGATTAGAGCGTCATTGAGCTCTGCTGAATGGTATCGTCAGAGTGCCGCCACGGTCGTATGTGAAGGTATCTTGACTGAAAGATAGACAAGAAGAAGATATACAAAGTGTGGACCAATGCAGTCGGTATTTCCTTGGTCCTTGTTGGGTAGGTGCTACTCAAGGGTGACAGAGTCAGCCTCTGAAATCGTGATCCGATCAAAACCCTGGTAAAGTCGGTGCGCCAAATATGCTCCCATCTGGAAGCCATCCATCCAATTCCATCCCAGTCCTACGAGATAGCGGAGACTGGCTCTGGCTGTGGTCCGAAGGCACCCCTCGGTGCTGAGGTTCATATCCGTACTGAGATGGTATGGTCGGTGGCTGATATTCCGAATATTGGTAGTGAACAGGCGCTGCCGAACGGGTTTGGTCCATTTGCCACATCTGGTTCATGACAATGGGAACTGCATAGCCACTACCCATAGTGGAATATGTCGACGCTTGAGGAACACCGGCAGTCATAGCGAGAGCCTCTGCAGAGCCATGCGGGTCGTGAGGACCAAAAGGCTGGTGGGCCTGGACGGTTAAATGAATCTGAGACATTGGTTGACTGACATCCATATGGGGCGCAAAATTGCCCTCTGCTTGCGCTTGCCGCTGCTGCAGCCTGTCATACCAGCCTCGGGCTTTGATAGCAAGCACATAATACCATCGGCTAGGTATTTTGTACTTCTGGCCACCGCTCGCCTCAGTCAGTCGTCTGGTCATTGCATCCAGGTACAGCTCAACCTTGACGGTCTGAGGAGACACGAATTCTCCCAAGGCGCCGCTTATTACGGAGAAATATATCTTCAGAAGAGACATCATCGCAACTCCAACACGTGAATATATCATGTTGGGAAGTTTACGCATGAGCTCCGTGTCGCAGCCGAGAAAGTAATCGAGCATCTCTTGAGCTGCATGCATCCATTTTATGGTGATGTCAACGCGAATTGCACTCAGCGGAGGGGAGGCGCGCTCAGCTTGACGGTGATCTTCGGGCGCAGGAAGCGTATAATACTGCTGTTTGATCGCATCAGGGTCCCGGTACCCTTCCCCGATGGCCAGCTCATATACGGCAAGATTGGTGAAATGATACTCGAAGCTCATGGGAACTAAAAAGAAAAGGGAGTAAGTTACCTTCGCGCGTGTCACGTTTCGGTGAAAGGAATTACCTGTAAGCATGTCTACCGGGATTTTCTTCTTCCAACTTTGCATTCGACTATCGAACCACCTCAACACGGCTTGTACGCGAGTTTCTGTCAACGGCGTGGTGGAACTTGTGTCGTCAAGGCCGAAGGAGGCCATCGCTTCGTCAACGATCCTCTGGAGCTCAAACCAAGTAGCCATATGTCGGTCAATGGCGTGTGGTGAATTTTCCAAGTGTTTGACGCATTCACCCATCCAATCGTTGAATAAGAGCAGATTGGGTCGGCGAGTCTTCATTGCAACACTATTTCAATCAGTTAGCGACACGACCCTTCAGTACACGGTTCTGGACTGCTTACGTAGATGCCAGATGGTAACATTCCAAAATGGCTCTTGCTTGTTCTGCCATCTGCTCGTCAAACGGAATCTGCTTGTCTTTATTGCCACTTGCTACCCGGGATACCCTGCGCTTTGAGGCTAACCCAATTTCTAAGGCCATAGTAGCAGCGACATGTGTGTATTGGTAGTGCTGCAATTTCAACGGAGAGTTGGGAGGAAAGTAGAAGACTGTCATTAGCACCAATGCCTGAACGAGCTCTAATGACTTGTCGCCGTGGACAAAGAATCGCTCGGCGTAGAGTCGAACCATTTCTTGATTCAGAACGGTCGCGATGCTTGCATCGACGGCAATAGCCGCAGCAGCGATAATAGAAAGAAATAGCACAGGCTTCGAACGACGCAACTGCGCAGCTGAGGTTCCAGGAGGCAACACAATGACGGGCGCGAAGGCCATTAATTCACTGATAAAGAAAGCAACCAATTCATTGGCATATTCCAAAGGTATCAAACCCCTGTCGATCACGTCGTCACCCAATGGCATTTCAGGGGAGAACGCGGTGCTGATGGGGTTGAATGATGGGACAGAAACAGAGCTGCTTTCGACAGTGTTGGCATATGAAGAAAGTGGGACACCGGGCTGGTCTGTATGTCTGGTTGATGCCGATACGCTGCTAGGAGCCTCTGGGATTGAGAACAGCCGTTCTTTCGATTCGATACCGAGCTCGTCAGGTTCCGGTGATTCTTCCTTCTCGCTGTCCGTACTTTCCGCATCGCTTTCATCCACACGGAAACGATCCTTCAAAAGAGAGCGCATTTGCCGCATTTCCCTCTCCAATTGAGCCACTCTTGAGTCGGTGCGCTTTCTCGGCCGCCTTTTCTGAGGCGCCACGAAGATACAAGCCCGACCAGCCTTCGCACATCGCTGGCATTGGGTCGGCAGAGTCGGATCAAGGATACAGCGAACTTTAAGACCTCTACATGATTCACACGAACGATTCAATTGCTGCGAAGAGGCCGATTGCTGCTGTAGGCTGCCTTCGGTAGGATTCATGTCGGGGGTTGATGACATTCTTGTCCACTGACCGCCCCCACACTGGATGGATGGGGAGGAAGGCGCGGGGGGGGGGGGATGTACAGGTCCGAGTAGGTAGTATTATTAGCAAATGTAAGGACTGATTCTGGAAGACGGGAACATCAGATAGTGTGTGCAACGATGGGGACTGAGTCGACGCCCCATGTCCTGAGTGAATGTGGTCGTTCTGACATTAAACATGAAAAACTGGCGGCGGGAAAAAAGAAAGGAAGGATGAGCAATCACGAAACGATTTCAGACAACGCTCTTCGTCAGAACGCCTTCGACATGGCACCCAGGAAAGATAAGATGAAACGATAGAATGCTGCAGTCGAAAAAAATTGTTTTGAGGACTCTGATCTGTTCTGATTTGATGACGATGAGCCGATTCCCTACACAAGTGCACAGTTCTAGGTGAGACCCAATTGGATGGCTGTTTAACTGACAGGACTTCACCTCATCCTAGTCGGGCCCTAGCTACCACTTGGACCGTAGGTATTTAGTTAGAGAGAAACCGTGCCTAATGCCTATCTCAAGAAGATAGCAAGCCGCAATCATGTAAGACGTAGTCCAGCCGCCCCAGAACTCTGAGGGAGAATCACAAAGCGAGATATCCTTCTAACTAGTCTCCTTTCTCCGATCGATCGATCTGGATTGGACTATTTGAACTAGGGACACTTGAAGTCGCCACTCCATGATGGCAGCGGGAAGGTTGGTCAGTGACTGGCCAGATATGCACTATGGCAGATTGGCAGACTGCAGGGTGCACGCTGCACACTAGAGATGCCGAGATGGAGGCTCCCCTTTAGGGCTATTGGGGCATATCCGCCCAGGACTGGCTGGAGATTGGATCAACTGGGAAATCTAGTACAACCTCCGCTAGGTGTTAAGGTGTTAACCACCTAACTAATGGAGTACGGAGTTCCAGACTTCCAGTCACCAACCTTAGTCAGATTCTACCATCATCCATGATTACTCCGTACTACAGTGAGGGGGGGTTAACTAAAAGATTGTACTCCGTGGTAGTATCTGTGATTCGTGCTTTGTAACAAACTTTCAGAGTGGTCATTGCATTGTTATGCAATTGGTAAAAGGAGTTGTTGCATCTTTCGAAAGACTATAGTACGTTCTCCCACTAATGCCACAAACAACAATCCCATTCTTCAGTTGTTTCTCTCCCCATGTCCAGAACTGGAAGACTTGGTATAGTCAAAGAATAGCCTGACGATCAAGGGCACCACTTCATAGAGTTTTGAAACTTACCAAATCACTTCGCATTATTCCCCAACAACTACTACTAGGTACCATTCAACCTAGCTTTCTATCCGTCCAATCAGAAAAAGCTTAGGTGCTGGCGGGTCCGCAGCCTGCCAGTTGCCAGATTTTGTACGTACTCCGTAGATAGATACCTAGCCAGCTGAGGTTCAATTAGGGACCTGTAATCTGTATAGTAATGGACGATATGAAAGTAGGAGAGCATACCTCTTTCCTTCTGGTAGATATCAGCAAAGGGGCGTCTCAGTAATGATCTTTTATGGAAGGTTCTATCATGGCTGAGACGAGTCAAATGAGCTACACGAATAGTATCTAGCGACAAATCATGACGGAGTCTATTTTTGCTGCCTAGAACGACTCCCAGATAACCAGGAAGTATCAACACACGCTCTCTCAATGCTCACAGACCACTCAACATTCTATCAACGACCAGCTTTGCAAAATGCCTTCTGCAAATCGCGAGTTTAACAGAAAAGTTTCTTCATCATCCATTCAGATCTTGAGAATATCAAGGGCGGATTATGCGCAGGGCCGACACTCATAAAGCGAGAGTTTCTTCTAATGATGACACTTTGTCTCCACGCGCCCCACGGGTTTGTTGTTCACCAACTCAAAGATGACCAACCCTTATAATGACGACCTACTTGAGCATGCTATCTATGTGGTGAAGCTTGTTCACGCGTACGGTAAGTATGGTCTTGCACACACACACACACAGAGAGAGAGAGAGAGAGAGAGAGTATCCTTGGTGGAAATGCATTAACTGTGTCCTTTTCAAAGACGACGTCCAGCTGTCTACGAACAAATATTATATCCGAACTCAGTCGTTTCCAAACTCCGGTCGAGTTGCAATTTTCCCACTGTAACTACCTGACAAACGCAAAGACAAATCAAGAGACATGATCAGGGATGTGTTATCTCTGGTCTTGAAGCGCTAGAAGCCGAAATCGAGTACTTCGGCGGTTTTGAGGCCGCTCATATTATACCAATAGCTCATGAAGCGGTCCTACTTGCTGAAAATCTCAACGTGTATATAACCGGCAAAAGACCAAGAGAATCCGGATCAATTCAGTACAGAACGGCTGAGGTTGCAGAGCACACTACACAAGTGGTTTGACCAGTACCGTTTTGCGGTGAACCCATATGTAAGTCAAACCGTCATTGTCAGTTAGACAAGTACTGAATCTACTGTCAGAATGGATACAAGGTCCACACCTTCTCACGGACACTCATTTATACGGAAATGTACTTGACCCAGTGTGCCGCCAACCCACCGATCCCCATCGAGTTTCAAACAGACTATTGTGGTGGCACTTCCAGCAAGCAGTGCTTGCTAACATGAGGGGTGCCGGAGAACCTATCTTTGAGGATGACTTTCCTCCTGGCTCAGACCAAGTTGGAGAAATTCTGCGCGGACCAAACCCAGGAGCACACATGGAGTTCCAACTTGCCACGCGTCTGCACCCTCAAACATATCCTCCCGCTATAATCAAGACGAACCAGAGAAAAGAGTATAGGAAAGTGCTGTATTGGGTTCTCCATTGGCCGAGAGATCTTCAAATGTGCACAGGAGCCGCCGTCAACACTAGAGTTACCCCTCCCAACCCCCAGCCGCTGAGTGCTGGGAGGGCGGGGAGTCACTATGCCTAGGAGTTGATATGCCTGGACATTGGTGTGCTACTTCATAGGTGGTGATATCTCTAATGGCCTACTTGAGCGCTCCAGTGAGCATTGAGTTTGCTTTTTGCGCATTTAAGTATAGAGGTTGCCCAGCTTCGTTTCGATTCCATTTTCAATGCAACTGACCCTGAGCTGTGGCAGATCGCTGAGCCGGGCATCACTTCCACGAGCTTAACGACTTCCTAACAGCTGTCTCCCTACCCCCCCTAATACCACGCCTATACAGGGATACTTTATGGCTTATAGGCTTTTACCTTCAATACTATAAGGAGGCTAGCAAGGTTAAGAGCCAGCCACCCAGGGTATAGATTATTTAGGAGACGCTATTTAGACTCACTTCTCACACCTTATGAGACCCCTTACCCCCAGCACCTAGCATGCTGGGGTCCAGGGGGCGTGTAGCCCCCTAATATCTAATCTATTTATTCAGGAGGTATGAAATTTCACTTGGATGGCAGCTAGGGCTCCATGTGCAGTGCTGCATGGGTGCTTTCAGCATGGGCATAAGCGAGGAGTCGAAGGCTTGTCAAGTCTGTGAAATCAGATGTACAAATTGCTCCGCAAGATCGTCTAGCGAGCAATAGGAACGCTGTGAACGAGCAGTTATCGATTTTTTACTGCGTCATCGGCACAGTGAGTCTCATTAGTGAACCCAATTCATGGTGTAGCCGTTGCAAGTACCCCATAAATGACCAAGGTCCCGGAGTATTATGAGCAGAAAGACTGGGAGGATCCCATCGAGTGGAAAATGGTCCGTTCCAGTTCGCCATGAACACCAAGCCGCATTATTTCAACCCTTATCAAATGCTCCATATTACCAGGCAGTGTTCAACACGGCCATAAGACTCTCGCCGCGTTCAAAGCTGGCTTGAGTTCTTTCCCGTCGAGGAGAGGCTAAGTATGCAAGAAGCGGCTTGCTTGTTGACGGGCGGTAGCCAGGGAGAAGACCTCGTTTCCTTCCGATAACGACCCCCTCCTCCCCACGCTCCCGGGAAAGCCTGTCCTTGGGCGAGGGCATTAAGAATCTACCAGCCAAGATCGAAGGTCAGGAACATGATTTCTTCCGAAAACGACCTATCCAAGGTGCAAAGGCATACTACTTGTGCACCAGGACTGGACTGGCCCCGACAAGCAAGTCGTGCAGATCCCGAATCTAGTTCGTGACGCTATGACCCCGAGGCCCGAAGTCTCTCCTCCTTATCGACGGACATTTGACACCTGGCCCTGAGCATAAAGTGCCGTTATTGTCTGCTCTAACCGATCTCTTAGTGACGGTCTCATTATTTACAGCCGGAGAACGAACACGAAGGCAATTGGAGGCTTTGCTGCACAAGGCTGCGTTGGAATTAGTCCAAGCGTGGCTACCAGCAGACGCCGTCGTTGAGCAGACGATGTTATTGGAGGCCCGCATTAGACGAGTGACATGAGTCGCGACCTGCGTCCTACGGAGTACGTGTATTTTGTTTCTAGTACTATTAGGCGACGCTCTAGTGGGGAACTCAGACAGGGGGATGTCGTGGACGTTGCGTATCACTAATTCGCTATCAGCCACGGCCATGTCTCGAATCTCGATGGTGCATAGGAACTACTCCGACAAACGCCCTTTTTCCGTCGCGGTCTTCTTGTTTCTGGAACTGTTCGCTTACGACGATCGAAAGGCTTTGTAGTTTGTTGTGGCTTGTTCTTGATTTCCCGATATTATTTTTTCTTCTTTTGGAGGGGTGGTGGATACATTGTGGCTCCACACACGACATGAGTACACGACGCATTCTTGAAGAATGAGAAAAGTGTGCTAAGAAGATAGACTTGACTTGACTACACTACTACTAATAGATTCTGGCGAAAGAAAGAATTCAGCTTCTGAATAGTATCGCACGAGTTTGTGGAGTATAAGCCAGGGATATTAAATCTCAACGGTAAATGTAACCTCAGTCCTTGACATATGTCATTACCCATTAACAGCGTGCCTTCAAAACAGACTGCGAAGCGCCATGTACCTTATGACACGACGTGGTTTTTGTACTGATATGTGAGTGTTTTACTGGAAAAAAAACATGACAAATCAGACGGAGAATGGAACTGGATTACTCTAGTCTCTTATCTAGTAAGTACCTACGTATGCATATCAAGAACTGAATCATATAAGTAGTTACATTATCTACCTTGTTAAGTAGGTTCACGATTCAACTAGATAAATACCTACGAGGCTAGGTACGCGACACCACTGGCCATACGGCGGATAAATGGCTGTATTTTAAGTTGACATTACGTAGACATGGTGGAAGGAATCTTTAGCTCAAGCCCTCAAGCCACCGAACAGCTCCAGAAGTCAGAAAGGACAAGGAAATAAGGAGTTCAAGCCTTCAAGGATGAGGATTACGACGATTTTACTACTCGTCTCCTATCTCGAGATACTAGCACAGGGGTTATTATGCCCTTCAACATCACAGCACCATGGCATATATAGATAGTTATTGACAGGAATCTGGATGGAAATCATGAATCATGATCAATGAAGGAGCCGGATGGCTTGGTGCCAAGGTTCCGCAGGGCTGGCACTTGGCAAGAAGTTGGCAGACTGAAGCCTAACCGGCGAACTGGCAGAGCCATGGACTGACGAGTGACGGGAGAGCCAGTGCCACTTTCTGCGACCATTGACCACTGGGACGTTGGCGTTGATTGACAGTGAGTGGTACTAGTTAACTAACTGACTGGAGAGTGATTATTATCCAACGAATTTTTGAACAGGGTTGAGTAAATAAGCACGCGACTGTGGGCCTGATTTTGTGTTCTTGAACTGGTCATGAATTTCCAGTCTTGATAACTAGTTTAGATACTTCATTCATTTGATGTCTTTTTCTCCTTTCGATCTCTCATTGCATCTTTAACCACTGTTGTTTAATATATTAAGAAGACGTCTCTCAGCGGTACAGTACGCGATTTCTTCTGCCTGATATTATCCCCCCCCCAAACTCGCTCTGATTGCTGTACTTCCACCTCCCACCTGATATCATATTGCTCCCACCCCCCTGCGCTGTGCACGTACCGACATCATCGTCTTTTTTTATACACACTGGACCTGGTCGACGTCCCTCCCCTGTACATCAAATGAGAGCATGCTGTCATTAAGTCGCTAAATTCGATCCACGGACACCGAAGCCTAATTGCATGCGCTATGCAGTTATTCTCAACAACATGCCTGCTCTATCTACATGCATTGCTTCTCACGCTGGTGGCGCTCGGTAGCGCCAAAACCAATGTCGATTTTATGAGCGTGCGAGGGGAGTTTATGAAGGATTATAGTGGGAAAGGGGGTGAGCCGGGGAAGAAGTATTTTGGTGAGGGGTTCTCCCTTTTTGTGAGCCGCAATCGTCGGGTATCATGCTAACATCTTGTTAGTGGAGTCTGAGTATGTCAAGAAGAACCACACGGATATGATGCCTGTCGAGAAGCCATGCTAACTGATCATGCCAGCTTCCATTATCACTATGATGGACGGTATGCTTCCCCCCCTCCAGATCCCCGCCTCGACGTATTCTGATCATTCTCTAGCTTCGCAACCGAGCCTCTCCCCGACGGAGAGACAATACCGCACTTGGTGGCGCTCATTCAGACCTACCTACAGATGATGGCAGACTTGGGCGCAGAGACGTGGATAATGCATGGAACGCTCCTGGCGTGGTGGTGGAACCAGAAGGTTGGTATGCCCAATCCCATGGGCTCGGAACCAGAAGGTGGCGTGAATGGGATACTGACCAGCATTCAGATCTTTCCCTGGGACAACGACCTCGATGTGCAAATCACGGAGCCCACGATCCACTTCCTCGCCAAGTACTACAACATGACCGATCATCATTTCGACCTCCCGGGAGTCGAGGGCGGCCGAACGTATCTGCTCGAAATTAACCCGCAATTTGTCGTCCGAACTAGCGAAGATGAGGACAACGTGATCGATGCGCGATGGATCGATAAATCCTCGGGGCTCTTCATCGATATCACCGCCGTGCGCAAGGACGACGAGGCGCGAGAGAAAGGTCAACCCGGTGCCTTGATGTGCAAGGATCTTCATCGATTCGACGTAAGTGCCTGAGTGACAGGGAGTGAAACATTGCGAAGGACTCTAAACGGTCCCTAGGAATCCGAAATCTTCCCGTTGCGGAACAGCTATTTCGAAAATGTTCCTGTCAAGATTCCCTATAAGTACAGCGAGCTTCTTCAGGAAGAATACAGTGCCAAGGCGTTGACCACTGTTGACTTTCAAGGGTTTGTCTCCATTCCTCTTTCACTAGAGGTGCAATCGACTGACCTGTGTTCTCTCTCAGTTATCATTTCAACGAGGAGACCAAGATCTGGGAGCCAACCGAGTGAGTGCCAGCAGTGTTTTGGAGTGGGGGGAGGGAGGCTTTCGAGGTTCCCGCTAATTCTATTCCTGTTTAGAAACAAACGGAAGCGCTCACGACGGCGGCGAATCCTCAACCTTCCCGTCCGAACAACGCCGCTTCTATATCGCCTGACATGACCGTCCCGACCCCTTAATGTAGATAGATATCCGTTCTCGTTGATACATACCTTCGGCCTCCATGATGACGACCCCCTGACTCAATTCATTGCCCATATCCCTTAGAATGCATTTTGACGGCGTTGTACTGCTTCTTCGACGTGTTCACAATGTTCGGTACATATTTCCTGGACTTTTGTATCGCATCGCCTCTTGTCTGCAATTTGGATGGTGGACTTTTGTGGCTTTTCTCAACGATTCTCTTTCCAAGGCTCTCCCTCCTGCACATGTCTTTAACATGTCCCCTGAGCTATTGCCGTCTGATCTCACTTTAATCCATTCGATGCGTATAGCATTGAACAGTACCTTTGATATATATACTTGACACATATATGATGATGGAAATAGAGCCTGATTATCTCTATCTTAGGCACAACTTGCTATCCCGATCAAGGACACCGCGGAGCTATGAAGCCCGTCCATGTGGTGAACCCGGTGACACGAAGATAATCCGGCTTCCAAAGAGCGAATACGACTAGAAGCCCACATTCCGCTACGCATGGACTGCAAAAGTCAACTCCACAAAACAAGAATAATTCCCCTTTCGGAAATTCCCGAGACCGTGATCGGGGATAAGCGAAGAGATTGCCTGGAGCTCAGGGGTGACTCATAAAAAGTACTCTCGGGATGGAGAACACGTGCCCGGAAAGGGCTTGCTAGACTTCATTGTAATCTACGTGTCGTTTTCTTCTGCAGAGGTCATCTGCTAACCGTGCAGTCGTTGCTTTGGCCGATCCTTGTTTATCTGATCCTACTTTGTCCGAAATAACTGTGTGTGCGAAAAAAAAAAAGGCTGTGAGCGACGAAGTGTCAGGCTGTCAGCATCTAAAGTTGGTGCTTTGAAGAGTTGCAAGATTGTGACGTCAGCCCCATCACGATGATTACTCCAGAATCCAGACTACATTCTTCCTTCTCCAAATAGCCATAGCGTTCTATATAGATATCGCAGATAGCAATGAGGTCGAGGAAGCTGAGTAGCTGTGGCAGAAACACACCATGATCCATCATCTCGAATTGAAAGCCACAGCGTACTACCGTTATCACTTTCTGCCTAGATGCCGTAGATGGAGGCGGATGTCTTACCTGCATCGGAGGCATTAATAATGAAACGAGGCTGGGCAGCCACTGATAGGCCCAGGAACCAGCGCAGCGCCTCAGGCAGCCAATAGCCAGCAATATTGTCAAGTCTCCACTATGAGTCGATGACTGAAGCTCCAACTCAAAACAGAATAGAAAGAAAAAAAAGAAAAAGAGGGAACTGATAGCTAATTCTACAGGGTTTATATCACAATGATAGTTCTCACGGCCGGAATGGTCTCCTCTGTATTTTCTCCTTCAAGTAAATATTTGCCGCTGGCAAGAATGTAGCAGTGTTCCTTTCTTATCATGTCATCATTCCCGCCTTCTGAACCCACCTCATCTGCGAATAAGCCTCTGCCGAAATCGCCGCCAAGTACCCGATCGCGCTACCCTACAGGTCCTACAACGATTAGCAGCGGGGTTACAAACACAGTTGATACTGCGTCGTCAAATCCCCACGGCCATGCGATTGCGCAGTTCGCGCCGGACGCCCCTAGCATCCGCAGCTGCGTGACCTGCCGCCGACGAAAAGTCCGCTGCAACAAGCGCACGCCATGCTCGAACTGCGCCAAGGCAGGCATCGAATGCATCTTTCCTCCGCCGGGGCGGGCCCCGCGCAAGACAAAACGGCCTCATGATGCGGAGCTTTTGTCCCGACTGAGACGCCTGGAGGGTGTCATTGAGCATCTTAGCGGGCAGAAGACTGCGCCTGCCGAGTCCCAGTCTAGTGTCTCGTCGCCTCTGCAGCAGGAACATGGGGCCGTGGAGGCGAAGAAAGGGGCGGAGACGAGTCCGCAGATGCAGAGCGAGGAGGCCGGACTGTGCCCGTTCATGCTGGATCCCGATCCGAAGGCTGCGAAGCCGCGGACCTTGGAGCACGAGTTTGGGAGACTGGTTATTGACGAGGGACGGAGTCGGTATGTGAGTAATCGGTTTTGGGCGAGCTTGGGAGATGAGGTGAGTTTGTTGTTCCGAGGGGAGAAGGGGGGGCTAGTGTTGAGGTCTGTTGCGCTGATTGCTGTTGGGTAGATTGAGGAATTGCAAGATATCTTGGATCCGTCGTCATCAGAGGAGGAAGATTATCCCTCCCCCGAATCGTCTTCGACATTGTCTACCAACCATGATGGATTTCTTTTCGGGTTTTACTCTCTTTCACATTCCCTTCGCAGTTACCATCCCCCGCCCTGCAAAGTGCCATTGATATGGGACATCTATCAGGATAATGTAGCACCGCTCATACCTCTTTTCCACAAGCCCACCGTCCAGCAGCTTCTCATGAGCGCTGCTCAGAGCCCAAATCTCTTGGACAAGAACTCTGAAGCATTAGTTCTTTCGATCTACCTGGTCACCGTGGTTAGCATGTCTCCCGAACAATGCTTATCGACACTAGGCGAAGATCGCGATACTGCCGTCACGCGTTATCGATTTGCAGTCGAGCAAGCGCTGTCAAAAGCAAACCTACTCAATACACAGAACCTGATGCTTCTCCAGGCTGCAGTCCTGTTCCTGATTGGGGTACGTCGTGAGGATGACACAAAATTTGTTTGGTCCATGACTGCTATTGTTCTTCGCCTTGCGCAGGGCCTCGGCCTGCATCGAGATGGCACAAATTTTGGTCTGAGGCCTTTCGAGACTGAGATGCGCCGCCGATTGTGGTGGCATATCTGCCTCCTGGACATAAGGTCGGCCGAAGATCATGGGACGGACGCGCAAGTTCACGAAATAATGTACGATACCCATCTGCCGCTGAATATCAACGATGAGGATCTCACGCCTGGTATGCTGGAGCCACCTGAGGAGAGAGTGGGTTTCACTGAAATGACTTTTTGCCTGGTCCGCTGTGAGATCACTGCCGCTTTACGTCGGGTCAGCTACATGTGTCCTGGCGGCCAAGATCGTTCTGAGAATGCACAACGACCGTCCGATGCTTGTGGAAAGTTGATACAGGAAGTCAACAAACGGGTTGAGGAGCGGTATACCAGGCACTGCGACATGAATGTACCAGTGCAGTGGGTCTGCGCTACTGTCGCTCGTTTGATCCTGGCAAAGCTATGGCTCATAGTCCACCACCCAATGACTCGAATTAATCCCGGGGCAAGCAATTTAACCATGGCGTCTCGAGAGAATCTATTCGTTACGTCAGTGGAAGTTGCTGAATTCACACGCTTATTGGGACAGAACAAGAACACCTCCAAATGGAGTTGGCTTTTTGTGACAAATCTGCAGTGGCACTTGATTGCCTTTGTCTTGTCAGAGCTCTGCGTTCGTCCAATTAATCCGATCACAGACCGGGCGTGGCTGGTCGTGAGTTCATTGTACGAGACTTGGGGCCGCACCGCCAAGCATCAGAAGGGAATGCTCTGGCGCCCGCTTTCACGGCTGATGAAGCGCGCAGCCGCCTTTCGAGCAAAGCAGCAGGCAGGGGTGCAAATTTCTCCTAGCATCAGCTCTCCTTCGATTCCCCTCCCTCCATATCATGGTCCTGCTTGGCAAAGTATGAGCCAACCTCATCTGGCAGCTCAGGTCCAAGGCGCGGGGACATCAAGCACCCAACCCGCAAATCCACCTAGCACCGGTGCTCACTTCGACACCGAGACTTTCAGCGAGTTTCTCCCGAGCGTCAATTGGCTTAGTGGATCCAGCTCGCAGACAATGCCAACTCAAGAGCCTTTCAGTGCAACTTCATCATCTGGCATATCAGCGAGCTTCTTACCTTCCTCCTCGACCAGTCAAGATCCAGCCCTACTCGACCACAATTGGGCTGCATGGGATCAAATTATGCGCGACTTTCAGATGGATGTTCAGGAAGCACAGACGAACCATCCATTAGGCAACATATCGGACTGGTTTGCCTAATTACAACCGATCGTCCTGCGGATCTAACGGATTTAATGGCCTTTTACATTCTCCTACGGCCCAGGTGGCCATTATCAAGGACTCATATATAATACTCGAAACGATAAACGCATTTTTTGCTTCATGGAAAGTGCTTCATCCTGATTTTCCATGTCGCTATTCAACTCGACCAAAACTCCCCTCTCACGAATTACTCTCCACTCATGACGAATGATGAACGCATTGGCTGGTCCATACTGGCCTCAAGTTGATCGAGTGCTAACTGCATGACTTGACAGCAAGATATCCTGTTGTTGATCTTATCACGTTTACACATCCGGAAGATATCAGTTATTGACAGATGGCACACCTGAGAACATGTATACTAGTTATAGCATATTGTACAGTATGAGCGGTCTGCAATAGATCAAACTGATGATATCCATGACCAACAATCTCAAGACCCTAAGCCAACCGTAAACTAGTTCAAGCGACCGACACGGTTAATTCTCCTTATATGCGTTTATTTTGTGCTCTTCTCACAATGCTGAGAAAAGGTCACGTGGTGCATGCAATATAGCCAAACAGTCTACGTAACCATCGGCATGTGGAGCATACAATACTCCGTATCGGGATGTGTACACAGTAGCTTCATCAAGAGCTAGCTCACTGCTCAATTCATCTACCAGACGTCAACATCGACTCATCTGTTGCGATCGCAAATTATCTTCTCGATCCATCTCCCTACCATCCCGCCCAATTGACCAACATGCCTTCCAAACGAACATCAGCGCCCAGCTCAACCCCCCTCTCCTCCGGCCCGCCCGTCCTCACCTCCAGCTCCTCCATATACCAGATCGCCAACCATGTATGGCAGCAATACCTCACCACGACACCACAGCGCACTCTGCTTCTTGACGCCTTCATGGCGTTCCTTCTCCTCGTCGGCGCCGTGCAATTCGTCTACTGTGTTGTGGCTGGGAACTACGTGAGTGGTTCCCTCGTCTTTTTCTTCTGTTTCTCTATTTTGTTTTCTTTTTGGAAAAGGGATTGCAGGCTAACCACGCACTGCACTGAATCTATAGCCCTTCAACGCATTCCTGAGCGGCTTCTGCGCCGCGGTCGGTCAGTTTGTGCTTACGGCCAGCTTGCGCATGCAGACGAGTAGCGACGAGAAGACGGCTCGCAAGCCCAGCTCCAAGGGGAAGAATGCGCGGTTTGCGGCGCTGGAGGGTGAGGAGCCGGGGGTTTCTCATGAGAGGTGGGTTCGATCTTTTCCCTCCCTTCTTTCTTCTTGTTCATCTGGTAGCCTTGCAGGGCTATAGCGGAAGGGGTTATGCTGACTTGGTTGTGTTCAGGGCGTTTGCGGATTATATCTTTGGGAGTCTGATCCTGCACTTCTTCTGTATCAATTTCATTAACTAGAAATGGGAAGAGAGGAGGTGGTTGGGTCGGTATAGAAGTGCTGCTGAGGTTTTTGAGATTCCCTGGTGGAGTATATCGGCTATTTACGTCGTTGCTCTGTTGCCATTTTCCGTGCCGTATGGTGCGGTGCTGGGCTGAGCATTAAAAGAAACTTGCTTGTACTTTACTGGATTGGTGCTTGACCACTAGGCATTTCGAATCAAAAAGGATTATCAATGTCTGCTTATCTGGTTGATGCGCTAAGGGGTATCACATATCACATTTCTCTAAAGGGTATGAACAAATTTCAGAGCCCGCTCTATACACCATGTCACCCGTGATAACATCGTAAATCTCTCTATAATCATTCGGCAAAAATCGACATATTAGAATGCTCGCCCTGGTTTTCTCTTGATCTGGGGCTTCTTCACCACGCTGCCTCCTGCCCCGTTCGCGCCGTTTCTGGCCGAAGACGCGGTGACACCGCCGACTCGTCGTGCGCCGGTGACAGGGGGGCGGCGCACAACAGATCCCACCTCCACTTCCATCTTCCGTCGAGACGGGTCGTTGCGCTCTTGCTCGCGCTGCTTTTCTGCCGCGGCTCGTTCTCGGTCGGCAGCCATCTGAGTCTCGATCTCCATGCGCCGGTTGAACTCGTGTTCCGTGACGCGGCGTTCCCGCTGCGAATAGCCCTTCTCTTTAACTGAGTAGAAGACGCCACCTAGTTCGGCGAGCCACTAGAAAAGAAGTTAGTCTGATGTGTGTTATTAGAGGGGAAGATAAAACATACATGTGGGTCAACAGCAGTCACAGTCGACATGTACTCTTTGCTTGTCAATATCAACTCGTGATACACCACGTATTCAGGCACATAGCCCAAGCCGTACAGAGCGCTTGTCGGGTGAAGCTGCATGCTCACGCTAGTCCGAAGATTGATAAACTCGCCGATTCCCTTGACTCTTGCCGCCTGGTGATAGAAGCCGGAGCAGATACACTTGCGGATAACGTCCCAGTCTGTGCCACAGCTGTTGAGCGGCATCTTCTGCACCGTCATGATATCGTGGAGTTGGTCACGGACTTCTTTTGCTCGCCGCAAAGCTTTGGGATGAAGGAAATGTTTGATACACCATGAATCGGAGTAGCCATTGGTCTTCCACTGTGTGTAAACATGGAGAAGTGTTAGATGATCAGATTCTGGGACGAAGAATTTCTCGCGCGCCGCATCCGATTCTTCTTGACGTTCCTTTGGGCGGTAAAATACGCTCGGGACAGAGAGCATGGACACAATTGTCAGCATCTCCTCGCTGCACCCGTACTCCTCGGACGCAGTAATAAGAAGCTTGGCGAGTGGTGGGTCCATAGGGAATGGAGTCATGGCACGACCGAGCGGAGTGAGGTCGCCCAGATTGTCCAATGCGCCAAGAGACCAGAGCTCGAAGAGTGACGTCGAAATAGTCTCCTGCGGTGGAGGATCCATGAAATCGAAATCCAACAGGTCTTTCACGCCAAGCGACTTGAGAAGCAACACCGTGTTTGAAAGACTTGTCCGCTGAATCTCGGGGATCGTTTGTATATATAGTTCGTTCTTGTAGGCAGCCTCAGTATATAGACGATACGCCTTTCCAGGTCCCGTTCGTCCTGCTCGGCCGGACCGTTGATTGGCGTTGGCTTGGGAGATAGGCGTTATCTGGAGCGTATCCATACCCATGCGCGGATTGTATACTTTCAGCTTCGAGTATCCTGCGTCCACAACGAACATAATTCCATCAACAGTCAAACTTGTTTCCGCAATATTGGTGGCAACAATCACTTTTCGGACTCCAGGTGGCGCCTGTTCGAAGATCTTCGCCTGTTGCTCTGCCGGCATTTGACTGTATATAGGCAAGATGCTGAGTTTCGCTGGATCATTAAGCATTTTTAATCGTTCATCGATCAATTCGCATGTTGTTTCGATGTCTTCCTGGCCAGTCATGAAAACAAGGATATCGCCTGGACCCTGTGAGACATGGATTGCCAAGACCTGCTTGACTGCACTATCGACATAATCCTCACATGGGGTACGAGAGAAGTGGACGTCCACCGGAAATGTTCTTCCAGGGATGATGAACTCTGGAGCGCCGCCAAAGAATCGAGAGAAGCGTTCCGAGTTCATCGTAGCAGACGTGACAATCAGCTTCAAATCTCTTCGTCGGGCCAAAACCTTCTTCAAAAGGCCCATCAGCACATCTGTATTCAAAGCTCTTTCGTGCGCTTCGTCCATGATGATGCATGAGTACTTGTCCAGATCCGGCTGGACCAAGGACTCTCGGAGAAGCACACCGTCTGTCATATACTTGATGACTGTATCTTTACTTGTACAATCTTCAAAGCGAATGGCATATCCAACTTCCGCGCCGAGATCCACTTCCATCTCTTCACTCACACGTTTTGCAACGCTCATGGCAGCCACACGTCGGGGTTGCGTGCACCCGATGAGACCATACTTAGAATAACCGTCCTCATGCAGGAACTGTGTCAATTGGGTCGTTTTCCCAGATCCGGTCTCACCGACTACCACAATCACCTGGTTATCCCGTATCACTCGTAGCAAGTCCTCGCGCACGGCAAATGCAGGCAAGTACTCCCTCTGCTCACGAAGCGTCTTGCTCTTGCTGAATGAACTCTGGCCTGCATCTTTCTTCAGGTGCTGCGCAAACCTGTTCCCGCTTTTGTACGTATCCTCAACAGGCATAGCCACGGCACTATCGCCTTCGTCCTCCTTGATACCCATGAGATTTCCCAGTGCCGTGCCCGCCATTGTCGTAGCCTCTTGCGCTTGTTTCTGTCGCTCCCGTTGCTGGCGTCGGTTCCGTACAACTTTGCTGCCTTTTCGACTGAATACAGCCATATCACTCTGTGGATCGCGGACGGCTGAAATAGGCTCCAACTGCTTGGTGAAAATGGTGCGCCCATCGAGAAACGGCGGCCGCAGATCGTGGACGAGCAAGTGAATGCGAGTGCCTTCATCGTCTTCCGGCATAAAATCGCCTTCGAAATCGCGTCGCTGGGCAACTCCAGACGTGAGCATCCGGTTTGTTTCCCAGTTGTCGATGTCTTTGCGCTTCGCATCGCGCAAAAGATGTGGCGGGAGATTGGAGCTCTTCAGCCTTTTGGCTGGAGGCCCATCGGACGCCATTGTAAAATGGCGTGAGGAAGACAATCGTTTATGTAGGATTGCAAGCACAGGTATCTGAAGTGGCACACAGATGGGTATTGAATGTATGCTCAGAGCTCAGTATTGATCAGTCCGAAGAGGATCTAATAATGTTCGGACTGGACTATCGCCGTTGAGGCAAACGATGCAAACTCAATTACTATAGTCACGTGATATTTAGTATGAGGTGTCTAGACGGTCCTCAGTCTGAACGATTAAACAAGGTGATTAGGTGGGTTGCTGTGAGAAAATAAAAATGGAATATGTTACCAAAGGGATTTATATATGTGGAAGTCTTTTCAGCCCGTAGAGGTGATGCTGTATCGAGATACCTGGCTCTGGTCGCACTTCGTAAATTGGATTGCTTCTCTCCGCGCGACAACTCAAGTCAAGCACAACGCCCCGCACTACAATTTCAACATTACAACCACGAAGTGACGACGTTATTGCTACAAAAAATGGCGACTCAAGCTCAAATTAACCCACAGAAGCAACAGGGTAAGCCTACTCGGTGTATTCCAAATCTCAATTTCACGGCGGAATTGATCCTAACGTCAATCAGAGCTTCAGCTCCAATATACGAACTTCAAGAACACTCTGACGCAGATGGCACAAAAGATTGGAGACATTGAGCAGGAAGCTGAGGAACACAAGTGAGCTATTCCCGATTCTATGCTCAGTTTTGAGTGGTATTCCCATGATACTGGTCTCCTTTCAAATGGTGTTATGATTGATATTTAATGCTGATGAACTGCTACTTAGGCTCGTCATCGAAACCCTGGAACCCCTTCCACGAGAGCGCAAGTGCTTCCGAATGGTTAACGGAGTGTTGGTTGAGCGGACAATTGAAGATGTTTTGCCTGCGCTTAAGACAAATTCAGATGGTCTGAAGCAGGTGTTGGAAGAGTTGGTCAAGCAATACCAGGGCAAGCAGTCCGAGCTGGACAGCTGGAAGGTCAGTATTCCTGGTATCCTTAGGCTGTAGCCTCTGATGGTTGATACTGATGATTAATTTGTGTCCTTCTACAGAAGAAGAATAATGTCCAGGTGGTCCAGCCTTGAGCGGCCTCTTCCTCACTGCTTGTGATGCTGTTCTTGGATATCGCTTCTTATCCACTCTATTCTCGCTTTCAGGCGTTGTTTGTTTCTCTGCATGAGCATAAACGGGAGTCAGGATAGGAAACGGCGTTCGGAGGGTCTTGCATGTCTCGGTTCAGCCTTTTTGGGACACCTCTTAGTGTCCTGCGGGAGCCATACTCAACCAGCTTGCCGGCTTTGCTGTAATCATTTGCTCACTGCGGATAAAGAGGTGAGAGGTCAGTGCAGTACGTTTGGAATTCAACTCGTATTCGTGCCTGATGGCCAGTTACAGAGCCGTTGGGATATCATAGCAGGCTACCTTGGCAGTCTTACATGAGAGTGGAATCCATTGGGAATCACCATCGAGCTCGGCTAAGTTCAGGACAACGATTTTGACGGCGAGGGATATAATTATAGTCTCTTGTTAAACTCTTCCTTGTCTATAGGCAGCCACAACTTATTGAGGCCTGAAAGGCTTTCCTGATCGAGGAACAGATATTAATCTCTATATCCCGATTCTGATGCTTCAACTACAATTAAGCTCTAGCAAAGACCTGTGTGAGAGGTTGCAGATCTGAAGTAATTGCGCCATATTGACATTGCCCTACTTGGTAACAACTACTCAACTGACACTCTCCTTATGGTTGCTGGTGTACACTTCGCCGTGCATTGTCATTTGGCTGGCTCTTCTTTTTCATCAAAATCACAACTTATCCCGCCACGACGTTCGATCTATCAGTTGCCGACCTGATGGGAGAAATAGCTTCGGTTTATGCAAAAGACAGAAGTACTGGGCATCACGCGTCCGCAGATATGTCGCAGAATCAATCGTCAACTCGGTCAGGCTGCGCATGATCTGAAATTGTTCTAAATTGTTGGAGAATTCTTGATATGTCTGGTTGCATCATTGGTGCCTGATATGTACTTTTGAATTCAGATCTGACGAAGTATGACGGACATGTTGGCCTTTGAGCTCTCGATGCCCTATCGGGGCAAATCAGACTAAACGGCCAACTCTGACTCTGGAACAGTCTCGAAGGCTGAATATTGTCTCCTGATATGCATTGTCAATGCCTAAAATGCGCATCGTAGGTGGTCCAACACCCAATAGCCTCACTGGTGAGTTGTAATCCAACTCTGTCTATAGTCCCGTTAAAAGACAGAATCCCTGTTGATCGAGAATATGAACAGCATGCCGAATAATACCGGGGATCAAGCAAACGCAGCAGCATAAGATATAGTGCAATTGTCCAAGTCCTGTTGATACCCTATACTGTGTAGATGCTGCTCATCACGTGTCTTACCGTATCAATACAGACCCCTCCCTAGCTTGCGTGATCAGGCAGGCCACTTCTGGAAGTTGTATATCGTGGTCCACGGTAATTACATGTAATGGAAGTCCTGAGGCCACCAGCCCAACACTTCCTTCCCTGCAACTTCTCGAGTCTCATCACATCCTCTCTTTCATCAGCTCTTTCGACCATCGATGACTCGGGCTCATCAGTTGGACTAAAGCAAGTCTCATCATCGTCGGGCATCAAGCTCGTTTGTGTCGTATCCTTCCTCTCTGTTCGGAGAAAGATCTCTAGTATCTTGATTCCCTCCCATCTTATTGGCGTTGTTCGACAACCAGTGAGAGTTCCCCCGTTCTGCCCACACAGCTCTGGTTCGCCAATTGACTACCGCGCGCATTGCATCCGTCTCCAGTAATATTTTGAAATATCTACTGGACAGTCGCAGTGTAGATTAGCTTCTGAGTGGACGAGGTGGACGAATTCTACCACGCGAGGACCATTCAAGCCTTGCTTCCTAAAAATAACCCCTTCGTTCTCTTTGTTGCTTCCCGTGGGATTGTTTATCTTTCTGCGCAACGTGCCACTGGCAATTTGACCCACTACTGTTGCATTGACTACAGCGCACGGAAGGCCCGCGTCACAGCCAGTTTCTCCGGGTTCCCAGATCTCCCGCGTCTCGAGCGTCCCGCATAGTTGACGTTACCACTGCACCACTACTCTCTGCAGCGTTGTAAAGCGGAACCATCCAACAAGTGAGAAGTGTCGCAAGGGAATAAAAATTAACGATACTTACATTCCGGATTCTCGGCTCATCAATCCTTGCGACTAGGCGTCAAATCGGATTTGTTCGATCGAGTCACCCTTCCCACCCGTCGCGTCTCTTGTCGAATAACGATACTCTCGAACCTTGCCCACACCGCCAGGGTAGAAGCTACCGCAGGGAGCATTGCTTATCCCCCGCACGGCTGATAGTTGTTTTTCTGTTCAGGCTGCCGTGAAGCGAATCGCTGCCCAGCCAGACACAACTCTATTTTGCCCTTGACGCAAGTGTATCATAGCGCTCGAGGTCGATACATCGAGGCACGCATCTCTGACGTGGTCTGCCAACGGAGCAATTAGACGAAGCCTCATCCATCACCTATCGCGTACTCGCTGCGCGTATACCTATAGCTAATAATCATGTCGACCTCCCCTTCGAAAGAACCTGAGGTGGAACATGAAGCGCAATCAGGCGAAGACCAGGAACAGATGGATAAAGAGCAGGATCAAACGCAGAACCAGGGAGAATTTGAGGTGAAGGAACAAGATCGATGGCTTCCAATCGCAAATGGTTAGTTACGTTCCCTTGCAGCTCCTCTTGTCTTTCTGATTTGCGCGTACCTTACGTCCAACTGCTGGCCAACAGCCGTCTGCCATACTATACTTTCATTGCACCCTGCATCTGTCCATTAGAATCCTCAACTCTTCCCCACCGAACAAACGCGGTACTATGAAATCCATCATATTTCTGTGGTTCGAGTGTCTTTTGGCACACAAAGGACTGTCTTACCTATGCGATGACAACCGCCCATTCCGTTATACCCTCACAATGTGCTTTCCGCATCCGCCATGACCTTCTCCGCAGTTATTACTTGCGCTTCTGAGAAAAGGAAATGGAGTGTTGACTTTGGATGCTAACACCCATGATCAAGTGGCCCGCATTATGAAGCTGGCTCTTCCAGAGAATGCAAAGATCGCGAAAGAAGCTAAGGAGTGCATGCAAGAATGCGTGAGCGAATTTATCTCGTTCATCACCAGTGAAGGTCAGTAAAATGCCTCTTCTGAGGAATACTGTCTCGTCGAGTTTACTGACGTGTATTTGTACCTTTTAATAGCTTCCGAAAAATGCCAACAAGAGAAGCGCAAAACCGTTAATGGAGAGGACATTTTGTTTGCCATGACCTCACTTGGGTTCGAAAACTATGCGGAGGCCCTCAAAATTTACCTGTCAAAGTACCGTGAGGTAAGACTTGTACAACGCGCTCAGACGGCCTGTCTCCCCACCATCGGCTGGTGGTCTCATGGGCCTGTGTGAACATGTGCTAAAGACTCTTCCAGACTCAGTCCGCCCGAGGCGAACATCCGAACCGACCAACAAGCAGTGGTTATAACGCTGGCGGCCCCGTAGGCGGGCCTGGGCCCCAGGCTGGACGACCTGGTGCTTCTGCTTCAGGCGCCTTTCCTGAAGCTGCGGATAGCACAAATAACATGATGAACCCCGGCCTGGACCCCGCCGAACAGGATACTTCAGCCTATGGCTACCCTCCCATGGTCGGCCAGCCTCATAACGGGGCCGGAGGTGAATCCTACTAGATGATCTTCTGTGTGACCAGGATTCCCGTGCGAGACTCTCACACAGTTTCAGGCCGGTGCCGGCAGAATCAGAGTCTATCCTTCGAGTCTCGCAAGCTAGGGCTATTCCCGCGTCGAATCAAGTCTAGCATCACAAAGTCTCGAGTCACCGCGTACGGGGACACTTCTGATCCTTTCTCTGGATCATACTCTGCATGCACAGTTATTTTACGACGTGGTACGACACACTGGGATATTTATAAGGTAATCAACGGAGGAACAGGCAGGTTCCGGGCTTAACAGGACCATTCAGGGCGCTTCTGTACTCATTTACACCCGTCTTTTTTCTTACTTCTCTTCTGAAGGCCGGGTTATACCACGTCCATGGCCCCCTTTTCTCGATTTCTGCTTGTTATGCCATATACAACGGTATCTGTACACTTCTTGTAAAGGTGTCGTGTGGAAAACATTTTCACTGGTTTCATTTACAGTCATTTCAGCGGATGGGATATTTGCTTCTGGAAGGAAGGGGAGGAAGGGAACAGCTACTCGCAATCTTGTGGGCTACTTACGTGTATTTCACCTATTTTAGTTGTCAGTGATTTGACTACCGATGTATGAGAATTTTGGAGTGATACGGCGGCATTGACAGATCCATAGAGAGAAAGAGAGGACTTCGCTGTCCTGGTGAGAGATGGGCTTGTACCATTGGTTTCTGGTGATTGGACATGTTTTATTGAAATCTTGACTGAAAATTTTCGTATCATTTTCTAGAGATTTGCTCTTGGGTATATCTGACACTGCCGCCCCTTTCGTATTGACTCGGAGGCGTATGTAGATTGATCAACCTATTAAAAGGAAATATGATATGTTCATAGACAAAAAAGTTGAATGCAGAGATGCATACGGCCGTTAAGAATGAAAATTTGGAAATCATTCCATTCATCACACATCACCACGTGAAAGGGTCAACGATGCGATGGACAGGAAGGATTCCGTAGAAGCGCCGGACTAGCCATGCATCCAACCTCCATCCTGGAGGAGATCCGACATGGGCGTTTCCTGCCAGTAGATCTGACGCCATTCGTCCTCCAGTTCCGTGAGGCCGTCCATGGCCACTGGGAGAACAGACTGATCGGGATCGGTGAAGGAGAAGAGTTGGCGCCAGTCCAGGAACTCCCTGGGTTGATCCATTGGGTCTACTGAGGCGAGGTTGGTAGAGGGAATCCAGTTATCGAAGGGCTGGTTCTGGTGTGGGGAGACGGTTGTTGTAGTTGGGGGGAGCTGGCTAGAATCGGGGGTTGGGACCTCGTAGGAAGGGAGGTGTCGGTCTGGTTGTGAGGGTTGTAGGGCTGTTGGCGTGGTGTTAGAGACGGGTCGGTTCTTGATATGGGTTTGGTTCTGATCGTGGGTAATGCTGAATCGTCGGGGCCGTTCGCTGGTGGCTAGACGGAGGTCTTCTTGTAGGCGCTTGGAGTCTTCGAACAAGCGCAAGATGGTGCTGGCGTGGGACCAGTATTTGGCGAGTTCTTGCAGGGAGTAGGATGCGGAATCAAAACGTCGCAGGGCGTTGATGGCTAGAACTGGATTGGAGAATCGTAGTTCGACGCGAACTTGGATCATGGCCGTGAAGAGGGTGTGGACACCGGAGTACCACAGGTACTTTAGGCGATTGTTAAGCCGGAGTTCTTCAAAGATTGATGCGATTACCCCGGCCGCTGCGCTGCAGATCTCAGCATCATGTGGGCCGTAGTCGTCGGAGTATGCAGATGCCCTAGGATGGGGCCGATGGAGCAGAATGAGAAAATTATTGTAGGTCAGGTGAAGCATGGCAGACCAGGGGTCCATATCCGAGGCACGCAGTCGCAGATCATCGGGAAGCCTCAAAGACCAGTTTGCAAGGGCTTCATCAGCTTCTTGCAAGACGGCTTTGCGACGTTCCGTGCTGACTCGTAAACCAAATCGCTCGCGCACAATGTAGGATATCATGGTGCAGAGCTCCGAGAAATGGATAACAAAGTCGGTCTGAACTCGAGGCCCACAGCCCTCAAAATCCGAAGCTGTCAGAGGGGACACGTCGGAATCCTCAAGATTTCTGAGAGAAGAGAGTCAGAATCAGCGATGAGGCGTTCAAAAATGAGCGGTATTACACTTACATAGCCTGAGGTCGACCATACGAAAGAGAGACCATGACATCGAACTGAACCAGGATATACCACAATCTCCTCCACATACGGCGATCTCTGGGCACGAATCTGCTCGAGACTGGATTCCGATGCATACCAAGGCCCGTCGCAATACGACCAGCTACACCAACCCAGTAGTGGGCATTGGCAGCCACATCATCATCGGCACTATCTGAGTGCCAGGTCATCAGCAATGCGGCTTGAACCAAAATATCGCGATTGCGCTCAATTCGATTGTCGAACAGCCACTTGGCGCGGCGGAAGAAGACTTCTTTGAGAGCGTCACGCTCTGGCTTTGGATGCGTAATGTGACAACCTACAAGTAAGATGGCTTGCAGCAATAGGATAGGTGGGGGATCAGACGGATCCCGATTGCGATATTGAGTCATAAAAAGGTCCTCTTCGACGATGGGATATCCCGGGTTCACATGGGTGAAGTAAGCCTGGACAAGCTCATCGGCAAGAGTCGACTCCGGTAATGTGAGTGCATCCACAAGGAGCTGGTCATGGCCTGTTTTCAACTGTCGTCGGGGAATCTCGTTGCCAGCGAAATGGTATACGTCGTCATCTTTGTCTCGCTGTTGACGAATTAAGAAGGACATGTTCGAGAGCTCATGACCAACATAAATTGCCCGTATACCGCGCTGAATTTCCCGGCTGCCTGACCCTTCCTCGTCATCAATCAATCTCACCAAGCGTTTTTCCAAGTCGGTGTGGGCGTCCTGTTCGACAGAGCCTTCTGAAGCAGGCGGGCGGTGATGTTCCTGTGCCTGCGGGGGGCTGTTATGGTGGGTTGTGCCATTGTGATTGTGTCGGCTGTGTTCAGCCGCCGGGTTGTTGTTCGTTGGGGATGTTGATTCTTCGGGCTGTATTCCGCAGAAAGCAGTGGTGAAAGCGCTAGGCTCGCCGGCTGATGCGGGGGACGCTTCAGTGACCGATTCGGAGCTGGGGATCGGTCGACAACGGATGGGAACTGGATCGAGGATCGAGCGGACCGCCAGACGCTTTTTTTTCTCGTGGATGCGGCAGTCTAATTTCCCGGAGGAGCGACAATTGGAGCACGGGAGACCGACAATGCGGGCATCGCATCGGACCTTGCGCCGATGGCAGTGAACACAGGCAGCGGAGCCTAGAAAGATAGGACAATCAGCATGGACGATGAGACGACGGCCATGGAGAGTCAACAGAGGCGTCATTTACCTGACTTCCGCTTAGTTACACCATTGCCGGTAGGCGAATGGCTATTCTGCGCTGTGGATGACATAGCAAAAGGCAGAACATCGACACCGATTCAGGGCCCGAAGACTCTCTACCTCATGCTGTACAGCGTGAAAGGCCCGAAATGGAGGAGGCTTGAATCAAGAGCCCGTCATGGCCAAGCAGTCCGTGACAGTGAGTCAGAAGAAGACGTAAGAAAGAAGACACGGTCGAGAGAAATAATAATAAGAAGTAGAACAAGCGAGTGGGGAAAGCTGCGTTGGGGAGAATCACGTGGAGTGCGGAGAAAGCGAAATCATAACGGAGAGCTGGAGAGTGAAGCTGATGAGACGCAAGGGAGATGCAGTGCTTGAGAAATAGACGGCAGTCAGTCGAAAGAGGATGGAGAGTCTTGCGATGAGGATCTCACAATGTTGTGGTGTGGAAGGCCATTCCCAGCGTTTTTGATGGAAGTAGTCAACTAGCGATATGCTCCGCCATCGGCAACTCGTTCGTTATCAGTCGCTTGGCCTAGGCTACTAGTTAAAGGTTATCTAGTATCTACCACTACCAGTCTCCACGACCAAGTGGGATGTCTTCTGAAGAGGCCAATCATAGGTGTTATGTGAGTATCAATTGTTGGTCACTTTGTGCGATCCACGGTCTGATTTGTTGGCTCTGGATTCATGCCAGGGTTCTACGCAAGATCGGCGCCGATGACTGGTTGATTCTAGCCTCTGCTTGTGCTGGGTTTGGATATCTTCGATGGAGTGAACCGACACTAAGGACGCATGGTTGCCAAAGATTGTAGGTGTCGTATGCGCCAGTCTCACCACCGTCAATGTCTCGCTGGGGTATGGTAAACGTGCCACTGTGATCGCAGACAGACTTGAGTACATCCTGTTACTTAACTATATCAGCTTCATATTTGCTATTATCTCCTTTGCGGTACCAAAGCTAGCCATTGCAGCCTTGTTGACTCGCCTTTTGAATCCGAGCTTGATTCAACGCATCATCCTCTGGGGGAATGACAAGCTTTGTATTGCTGGTCTCCGTAATCTGCATTCATATTCTCTCCATAACGTGCAATCCTCCACAATCCCTCTGGCATACGTCACTCATTGCGTAAGGTGCCACTTGCCGTGATGCTTGGGTCCTCATCGGCTATTTCATCTTCAATGGAGATACGCCAAAGCTTTCAGATCATTTTCTCCGTGGAGAATTGGGTGCCTTAATCTTGACAATGTCCTCGCAGTTCTCTCCGCATGCGTAGACCTCTAGCTTGCCATGTCGTTGAAGAGAAGAATTGCTCTCTGTGCCGCGTTAGGCCTCCTGAACTGAAAATGACGGTTTCAGCTTCAGTGCCAGTCCTTGAACGTATTGCTATCCGAAGACAAACCGTCTCCAGTTGTCTCCTAGTCGTTGGACCCCTTGTCTGAGGGGCCATCCACGAAGATCACAAACTTGGCGAGCAACTTCCTCCAATAAGTCGTCCATCTGCTGCCCAGCTGTATGCAGGTCGCTCTCGATGAGCAACCTGTCTTCTGGTAGAGCCTTGATAACCTCGATGACCTTGCGGGACGAAGACGTGCCGAAATTGATCACGCTAGAAAAAGAAAAGTACACATCCGATGGGTTTGACGGGTTCAGAAATTGCTTCAATTGTTCCACTGGCCCGGAATAGGAATGCATACAGATTCGGGGCGGGTATGGTAGTGGCGTGTCATTTCGTTTCGCTGAATTCCCTACCGCCTCATCTTCGGCGTCGCTCTCTGCGTGCGCATCTTCAATACTAAGCCGTCTCTGTCTCTGTCTCCGAGACAGGATCTTGCGCTCATGGCCCGCCCACAACTCCTTGAAAACATCGAATACAGCACCATGTGCTTGGACACTATGGACAGAGACTGGCCGTCCAAGCTCACCAGCCAAGCGCAGCTGGGCTTTGAGTATAGCCTTCTGGTGGTCTATTTGTACTCGATAGGGGGAGAGCTTCCGGCCTTCACGAGACCCAGGCGTCATCTGTGCATCACGACTTTCGGCCTCGTCTTGGGTCCAGGCTTGTGGAAGTCTGAAAGCGCGGTCAAGGCCGACTTCGCCAACTAGGGCGCTAGGGAACTTTTGGAGCCGTGTGCGTGTTTCAGAGAGGAGTTGCGAGAGCGTTCGCGGATCTGGTAGAGAAGATAAAAATTCCTCATCATCTGGGGCCGGTGTCAAGACTTTGCGATAATGGTCTTTTTTGCTTCCAGCAGCCGTTTCAGAAGATGCTCCTTGGTCATCGATGATGTGGTGCGAAAACCACGGGTGCCATCCGAAGCAAGGCAGTACGCGATCTTCCTTTGTGCTCTGCATGTTTGATTGGTCCTCTGCAGTACTTTGAGCTATATTGAATACTAGGTCCTGATCCTCTGCTCGAGTAGCCATGACCGTGAGAGTTGTCGCTTTCATCTGTGGGATATCCGCAATGGATGACATGGTATCAGTGGGATGACAATGGGCATCATAGATCCCAAGCTCCCAAGGGAATGCGGAGTCATTGTTTCTTTCTTTATCAGACATGGCCTTGTTGCTGTACTACTGAGATGTTATTATTGACCCTATTATTCAGATGGGGATGAGCAACAGAAGGAACAAAACCGAAGCGTGATGCGATGATGTAATAGGGACCAAAGCATATCGGAATACCGATACAGTACAGTACAGTACAGTAGCTGTAATGTATGCCTGGGGCATCCTGGCATCAGCATCAGCAGCACCATATCACATGCTTTTCTCCGCAGTGAGTGCTGCGGATGAACCGACAAGAGATGCTTGGACGCTCGATTTGCCATTCAGGTTCTGCTTCAAGATGTCCTGGCTTCGATCTCCTGATCGATGTTACAGCCATGCAAGGAATCCCCTTCCTGGAAATCCTTGAATCTCTTCGTGAACTTCTTCATGATCCCTCTATCTTGGGTTAACCACCGTCGTCGTACATACAAGCTCTATGTCAGGTACATTCTCCACTATATTTACAGCACCTTTTCTGGCCTTGGTTTCCATTCCTCTGGTCTTCTTTGCATATATTACCATATGGTTCTCTGCGGTGGCATTGTTTCTGCGGCTCTTCGTCATTTGCATCGAGCTATGCTATGCCATAATATCAAGCTACTTTGTGATACCAACATCAAGCAATTCCTCTCTTCTGAACTTTGCCTCTGAACCGACGACACCAGCAGCCTTAAATACGCCTAAGCGGCGGTCTATCGATAATGGCGTTACTATGCTTGTATCACAATCCACAATCCATCGCCAGCCGGCCCCTCTATCCCATGACCAGAACCGCTCGGCATCAGTCCGACGGCGTACAAGTTCGATTTCGTTGGGACCTCACGAGGGCGATCACAGCCGACCGCCGCACAAAGACAATCGGCGCAGAAAGACACCAACGACCCCCCCAGCTCCCCTGCTGAGTCTCATCAGCGGAGATGAAGGCCGCGACTTCGAAGGCCTGGGTGGCTGGCGCTGCCCACCATTCGCTCGACCGCAGAGTCATCCCTCGCGCTCCGCATCATCGTCCTCCAAGGATAGCCTGAGCGAAGGCGCAGACGACCGAGCCTGGCTCTCCATCAACCATCGCCTGGAATTGCCCTCACAGCCATTTCCGCTCCGAAACCATTCTGAGACGGCAGATTTCCTCCCCTGGACCCACAGCCAGCCCGCCTCGCAGAATCCCGAAGGTCGCACAGAGCGCCATCATCACCGCGCCGCGACTACCTCCCTGCTCCCGAGTCAGACCCGACGAGCACCACCTTCCCCGTCCATGGCTCGGCCACACCGCTCGCGAGCAGTCTCACCGCGGCCACAGTCTCAGCACATCATGTCAACGCATTCCGACTTCTTCCGTGCGATGGCTAGTGCACCGCAGACGCATGCGCATCTATCCGGTCTGTCGGACGCGGCAGGTGGTTACTTTGCGTTCCGGCCGGGGACTGGGGTGAATAGTCGTGAGAGTGCGACCACAACACCGGGGTCCACGACCCCGGTTGAGGATCGCTCCGCTTCGGGGAGCGTTGGTAGGTTTATGGCTCACTACCCCACAGGGGTTAGGTATCGTAGGCAAAGCATGTCGGGGTCATATTCTGGTTCTCAATTGCCTAGTCCTGTTTTGGGTAGAGATCGGACGATGTGATTAATTGGGTGTTTGCCTCATCTGGGGGAAAGAAGGTCTGGTAGTCTTGCATATCAGCGATGGATGCTGTTGCATTTGTATCTATGAATTAGGTATTGGTACGTTCTGTATATATTATGTCCAAAACACCATAATACTTGTAAGTTACTCGAAAAAAGCGCCCCGTTGACAGATATAGGGATGTGTCGCAGGGGGGGGAAACAAGGTATGTCGCTCACGATTAAACAGCATATATCACATTGTCTTATGGTCACGTCCGAGCCCCATCCCTCTGACTCACTTCTTGCATTTCGTCCAATACGACTTGGTTGAATTCCTGCCACCCGTCAAGGTAGAGATGGTGTCCCGATCTCTTAATGATCACCACCTTGGCCGAGCCGTTGTCGGCCTCGCGCTCTTCTGGCGTAGCGTTCTGGAGCACACGTTGTTTCTCCTCCTCAATCTTGGCTTTCGCTGCCAGACCACCCGCTGCATCCATCCAGTCGTGGTCGCCGTACATGAAGACCACCGGGATACCTGTCTCGCGCTTGATCGGCGGCAAAGAAGCCTGGGCACCAGATGTAGGCTCTGCTGGGCCAGAAGCAGATGGCGATTGCACAGAAGAGGCGTCTGTGACTTTGGCGGGTTCCCAGCCGCCCGACGAGGGCTGGATCATCTGCCGTCCGACGTTCTGGATGCGCCGGATCAGGGGGCTGCGAGCGAAGGCTCCCGGAGCAAGGATGTAGGCGAGAGCATATTCTCCACTGCCGCGTTGGCTGAAAATCGAGTATGAGTAGTCATGCAATGCTTTTGCTTCTTCGGTTGGCAGATGGGAGAAGCGTCGTGAGGTCCAGCCGGACACAATGCGGGGTCCCAGGGGCCCAGCCCACCGGACTAGACTGAAGGGAGAGATGTTGGCATCCCAGAGATACGCGAACCATTTGGGAAGAGTGCGACGGGGTGCACGAGCTTCTTGCGTAGCTGTCGCCGCATTGCCGTATCCTCTGAGGAGAACGTTGTTGTCACCTTTCTGCGCTATTTCGGGAGGGACGGACGATGATGTCTCTGCGATGGTTTGCTGATCCTGGGTGAACTCGTTGGCCAAAGTGGAATCGGACGCCTCGGGCATATCGGCTGTGACAGCATACGGATCCTCCGGTATTCCGACGGGAGAAGCCAGAATGAGCTTGTTCAAGCGGCCTGGGTATTTGAGGGCATAAGCAACCCCCATATAGCCTCCCAAGCTGTGACCAAGTAACGTAAAGCGCTCAATTTTGCGTTTCACGCGCCATTCTTCCAGCGCATCAACAAACCAATCCTCTGCTTCCTTGATGGCGTCCTCTCGGTTCTTCGCCTTGATACGGAACGGTGGGCGAGTACTACGGCCCATACCCAGCATGTCCAAGGCGTGTAGCTGCCAGCCTTTCAGTCGACTCAGAGGTTCGAAGTTCTTGTAGAAGAAACCCAGTCCCGCACCGTATCCGTGCAGCATGACCAGGTGCTGATCAGCCTCCTCGCCGATTCTTTCCACGGAGAACTCGTTGAGAGCCCTATTCTTGCCGCTCAGTTCAACCATGCTCGATCGCCAACGGCGCGGTCCGTACGGATCGTCGAGAGAATTAGTCGCCACCTCGCCTTGCTGACTCGTATCGGCGGACTGGAGACTCTGCGCTACGCCATCGGTCCGGTTGCTGGTCTTACCAGTCTGCAGATGGGTAGGGGGTTCGTGCTGGAGATAGGGCAAGAATGAAAGGACTGTGTGTTCTGCCGCGGCAGCTGGCATACTAGCCCACTGGAACCAAAGCTCAGTGACTATGCAACAACTTGATCATCTTCCCTCTCCCACTTCAGGGACTTACCCATTGACTGAAGCCTTCCTTGTAACCCAGTGGAAACCACGAGGAGCGGGCCGCGGCCGTGTGAGCGGCTCGGACAGCATGTGGCGTATCGTCTCGCTGAGCGGTATACGGCTCAGGCTGACTGCGATCATGAAGATCGTCTTTCGACGATCTCAATGACTCTGATGCCATTGAGGAAGTTTGTCGGGGGAAAAATGTCGAATTCGGCGAAGAACGAACGCGAGGGGGACCAAATGACGTCCAGGGTCGGAAGACCTGGCAAGAGGGCGAAAAAAGTCGTGTGGCCGACAGCTTGTCGCGGTGTAGTTCAGAGTGACAGAGGAACGATTCCCGTCACCCCCAAAGAAGGAAGAGTCAAGGCAGATTTATACACGGGAGGCGCAGAGGTCATCGACTCGTCAGCAATGGATTTAAGAAGGCCAGGTAGGCGTCGAGGCGTATCGAAGCGGTAAGACACGAAGCCAAAGACCGCTTAACCCCGAAGGCAGCGAGCAATGACGATGGTAGACAAGAGAGAGAATCGGTTAGAGGTTCATGGGGACGTTGGGTATTTGAAGTCGTCGTAGAACCCTAAGTAGATAGATCGATATGTCGAGAAAGATTGTTTCCAGATGGGTTGACTATTAACTAATTTATTGACGGGTGTTGGGGTGGAGACTCCACGATGACGATGCTCGCTGGTCGATTTTCTTCAACGTTTCCCGCAGACCAACAGCTATATCATATTGTTGTTGAGTACTAGGTAGACACAATTCATCCGTTCACTATCCACCTACATCTACTCATTCGTTGTCTCTCATGCGGTGAAATCATATTTGGCCGCAAAGGCCGTGCTATTCCTCTTTAAATCTCGTCATCCTCTGCTGCTTCAAGGGGATCGATCTGCTCTCTTTTGGTCCGCTCTGGCCCCCCTCCACCCTCTACAGCATCATGGTTTCACCGAGTCGGAGCCTGGATCAACTAGTCAAAGGTTCTCCAGCTTCTGGCAGTCATCCACCGTCATCCTCGACTGCTTCCAAGCAATTGAGCCCGCTTCAGCCGGCCTTCTCCCCAGAGTCGCCGGACGCCTCGTCCCCACCCCGTTCGTCGACCCCGGATCTGCTCTCGACTTTACCTTCCTCTCCGCCTCAAATCTACCTAAATCTTCTCATCCTCGAGAGCTCGCTGAGAGCTCAATACCTGGCTTTACGCGAACGCCGACGACAAAATACCTTCTTCCTTCTCCTGCTTGCCGCATGGATTGCCTACTTTGGCTACGCGCTCTACCTTCGGCCGCGGGAAGATGGCAGTGGGGTGGGAGGATCTGTCTACTGGATGGTTGAAATGGGAGAGAAAGTTGCGCTTCTAGGAGGTGTCATCACGGCGCTGCTGGTTTGGGGTACAGGACAGTGGGAGCAGGGAATCCGATGGCCCCGGCGCTGGCTCGTCGTCGCCAACCGCGGTCTACGCACCATGAACACCAAGATCGTCATCATCCGAGGTCCTTGGTGGCAGGAATTGCTATCCTACCTCTCCTTTCTCTTCCCGTTCTCGGTCCCCTTTTTCCCTTCCCCAACGGGGAACTTCCACTATCTTGAGCGCCCGTCGTCGGAGAAGCGCGGTAGTCGGCAGCACTATCAGCAGTATTACAACAACGTCGACAGCGAATCGGGTCTGGTGGAGGAAGATCTCAGCCCCGGCGGCGATTACATCCGGTTGCTCCTCCTTCCGAAATCCTTCTCGCCCGAATTTCGCGAGAACTGGGACGACTATCGCTCTGAGTTTTGGGAAAAGGAGAACGAGCGACGCGCTCAGCTGCGCGAGAAATTGCGGCAGAAGGAACGCCAGCTGGCGCAGCAGGAGGGCGGCTGGTTCTGGTGGCTCGGCTTGGGCTGGAAGGCATCCCAACGGCGGCGACTTGTCGCGGCAAGCCTCAAAGCCAGCGAAGGCGACAAGCACCGCCTTCACCACCACCATTCCTCCTCCAGCATCTCCAAGCACGGCCACGACCTCAAGTCTCCGATTCGGCGTAGCACGCGCTCCGAATCTCACTCGCGCACCCCTTCTCGTAGTTCGACCCCAGTGGACATCGACGACCGGCCCCCCTCCCGCTCTTCTGGCACCGGCCGTCCTCGTCGCGGAAGCACCACCCCGTCCTCGACCGCGTCAGGCACAGAGCACGGCTCGCAGCAGCGAAAAAAGAAGGGCACAAAGTCGCTTTCTCGCGGGCTATCGCCGTTGACCCAGGTTCAAATCAGGGAGGGCATTTACAGCACCCCTTCGTTCTCTTCCGACGATTCTTCCTTCATGGGCATCCCGGGAGAGAGAAAGGAAGGCAGTGAATCCCGAGAGCCGAGTCCTGCGTAGTGTGGCTGTCTCGTCTCATGTTGATAGTATATCTCTGCTTAGAGCCATTGCATGTGTTGAGTGGACGCGTTGGTGTATGTACAAATGGAATTTCATGTTACGTTTTTGTTGGTCCATCTACCTTTTTACCATTTCTCAACCATACAGCTTCTTAGGCTCCATCCAGACATAATAGAGGAATGTTCTCATTCTTTGGTGTCTATTGCAGCACTATAGCTGCTGTTGTTGCATAGGCTAGGATAAACCTCGTCAAAGTTAGGTCAGGGGCCATGCTTGATGCCCATTCTCCAACATGGTTCATCAAGTCACTCCCACGCATAGGAAACTCCGATACGCCAAACAAGTCAAGCCCAAGTTATAAATCGTCATTATCCCAACATCCCAGTTCTAAAGTATCCATAAGCAACGTGCTTAAATACGGTAAACAGTCTCGTCGTCTTCCAGGAACCTATAAGCGAAAGAAGATATCATTAGTCAGGTCCTCATGACAATGGAGGATAATTCTCAAGTTGCACTTACATTAACTCGTTTCGTTCATTCATGGCCTTCAGAGCCTCGATTGCTTCGGCGCGCTGGAAGACATGACCAGCACCGAGAGACGTCCGCACAGCGGTATTGACGGCTCCGATGAGCTCTTCCACATCCGCGGTATCGCCGCTTACAAACAACCGCGTACCCATGAGAGGTCCCAGAGCCTGGCGGAACATTGTCAACCGCGCAGCCTGGATGGGCTGGGATGGAGCGGTAGATCTGGTAGCCGTCTGTGACTGTGAATCGTCTGTCTGAGATTGGACGAGTTGCGAGGCTGGTTGAGAAGAAGCCACGGACATCCGCGATTGACTCTGTGTCTGTGTTTGCGTCCGTGTAGTCTGGCTAGATCGCAGTCGCTGGCCACGTGGGCTGGTCGAGTACAGCCCGTCGCCATCCTCGGAGACATCGTCTCCTTCTGCATCCATCTCATCGCCGTTTGTGGTCGAGCGAGTAGCTGTCGATCGTGTTCTCAAGGTTCCACCACGGGGGCCCGACCGAGGGGTGGCGGTTGACTGGTTGGCAGGCGTGTTGTCATCGTCGGAGTCGGACTCGCTCGACTCAGAGTCTTCATCGAACGTCGTTACCTTTCTTCTCTTGCGGCGCTCATCCTCCAGGACTTCCTTAAACATGGCGAAGCGCAGAATAGACTCGGCAACCTTAGCATCCCGCTCCTCAACCCGGTTAGACAAACGAGCTTTTGCATGCGCAGTGGACAGACGAATCAATGTCTCGAGCGTACGAGCAGTGATAGGCGACGTCCGGCGCTGGTTACGTGAAAGCTCATCGTTTCTCAGGGCTGAGTAAGTCGCAACAATATGGTCGGCAGCGCCTTTCGTGAGAACCGGCTTGACTCTCGATTTCGAGTACTGGATATATTTTTTGATGAATGGAATGCTCAAGATCTCAATGCTCTTTCCCTTCCGACTCGAATTGGCCATTCCGGCGTGGAGCATGACATTAAATTTCTCAAACACCTCTGTCGGCTGATTGGAGTCCTGGCTATCCTCAAGCCCGACACCCAGGCTCTGATTAAGCTCTTCCCGGACTGGCGCGCCTTCCTCAGTCCCAGGTTGGCGATAGCGGTGCATGCGCAGGACGTGTTCTGACACCATTCGGTCCCTGGCATCCTCGATATCGTCCGTCACGACAAAGAGCAAATCGAAACGCGACAGAAGTGAATCGGGAAGGGCAATGTTCTTGTGGGGATCCTTATGGGGGTCGTACTGTCCGTAGATGGGATTGGCAGCTGCGAGGACACTGCAACGAGCGTTCAAACTTGTGTGGATACCAGCTTTGGCGATGGTGACTGTTTGCTGTTCCATAACTTCGTGAATAGCCACACGGTCCACATCGCTCATCTTGTCAAATTCATCAATACAGACAACACCGCGGTCACCTAGAACCATGGCACCAGCTTCCAATCGGCGCTCTCCGGTCTCCTTATCGGAAGTAACGGCAGCTGTGAGACCGACACCTGAAGAGCCTCGGCCAGTAGTCGCAATCGCGAGAGGCGCGGTATTCAGAACGAACCGAAGAAGTTGGGATTTGGCAGTCGATGGGTCACCAACCATGAGGATGTTGATATCACCACGCAGGTGTGTGCCGTTATCAAGATTCTTTTCCATACCACCAAGAAGCATGAGTAAGATCGCCTTCTTAATATAATCGTGCCCGTAAATGCTTGGTGCAAGAGAATTGGAGAGCAGCTCGAACACATTCTTCTTCTTTGAGACCTTGTTGATGTTCCGAATATCAGTATCCGTAATAGTAGCCTGCGCAATTCCTCCGCCCGACTTCGAAGACAATTGAATGATATTGTTGGCCATGACGATTGTGCGGAAAGTCGAGGAGCCAGAGCTGGTATTTCGGTTACCCAAGGAACGATAGATTCCCACCAGCTGGATTCTGTCTCCAGGTTTCGCACGGTCCACCAAATCATCGTCCAGGATCACGTCCACACTTCGAGGGAGTTGACCAGCTGGCGCTCTTTCGGGCATCTCCTGAATCGAGATCGTCTGGTGGTCCAGATATGTAGAATAACCGTACTCTGTGATAAGCTAAAGGCAGAAAACTGTCAGCTATAGCGGCCCAACCCAAGCCGAATCATCATCATGGCATACCGGATTCTTTTCATCATCCTCCTGGGGATAAACATTCATGTTTGTGATACCGGTGGTTGTCATAGTTTGATCTCTGTACCGCCTGGCGAAGAAACGATCTTTGCGTTCGCTGTAATGCACACTCTGTATGACTTTCGGACGCACCAAAGAGCATTTCGTTACAATGCCCTCCAGAGAGATCATTCTGTTCAAATGCGATGACCCCAGGGTCCTAGGGTTACACGAGAACTCTCCAAAAGCACCAACATAAGCACAATAGTAATTCTAAGATCGATTAGACACCACAAGCCAAATGGCCGAACATATAGGAGCATACCACATCATCGCCCGTTTCCTTGGACGGTCGGTTGGGTAACGTCTTGATAACTTCTTTGAGAGCCTTGTCGAATGCTTGCGAATAATCAAAAGGCGACGTGAGGAGGCTGGCAAAACCATCAGTGAGCCATATAGTCTGCTAATACACAAAGCAGAATTCGACCTACCCATCTGCCAGTTCGCGGTTGTGAGCTCTAATCTCATCGATGCTAACCTATGTGCGGAAAGAGCACCGATTAGTCCCAATCCCTCGATTATGACATCCATGCATAACGTACTATCAAGCGGCGCAGCCCCCGGTTGAGCATTAACACAACATCGGCACGGTAGCTATTCGCTCGTCAGAACAATGCGGTTTACAGCAAGGGAGGCGGGTGATAGATCTCAACGGACCTTCGCGCGCGAGCATCACCTATAGAGAAAAGCAAGATTAGTTGTTCAAGTCTCATTCAGAGCGCATTGAGATGGGCAGACCGTACCAGGATCGAGAAATTCGACTGCGGCTCGCACTCGATCTTGAGCAGCCTCATCGCGGAGTGGCCCATCCATGGCAAAGGATACCCACAAGTCGTGGAATTAAAAGGATAGGAAAGAGTAATTGGACTGGGGTATCAAACTGCAAAAGATTGTGGCTATGTTTGATCAACACCGTGAGCTATCGCATACAGCGTGGTTGTGTAGAGGGTTCAGCCTCTTCATGGAAGGGTGGGTTTGGTGGAGATTCTTCTTTGAGAAACACGACATCCAAATTTGGTATAATTGAAACGCGCCCGTCTTGAGGGTCAACGCGTCGCGGCATAAAGTGTGCTGATTCAGCAAAAACTCAAAGTGTCACGTGAACAGATCCCAAGTATATCGGGTCTTATGAGGAGTAGTAGTACTACTAGAGTGTGTGAATATCTGTTTGTGGTCTAATTATCAAGTTATATTGTACAATGTTTCTTCGAGCCGGTTCTATATATCTATGTACTATACAATCAGGGGTTTCTGATATACAATATGGAACAAATCAGTAATATAACAATCCTATGCATCTTGCTTCACGCTGCCGTCATGGTTTTCATCTGCGTGCTCGTTTTCAAGTTCGGAAGGTTCTTCCTCTTCTCGTTGTTCTTGCCAAGATGCAAATTCATCCTGCACTTCTTCGTCTTCATAAAGATATTCATCGGTCATCTCCGCTTCATTCTGCTCATCGATGTTGACGCGATGTTCATTATCCAATAGTTCTTCGTTCGCTTCTAATGATTCTCGCTCGGCCCCCAGAAGGGTCTCTGCCTCAATATCGAATTCGTCTTGGTAGTCAATGGTCTTAGCGCGAAGCGAGACCAGGCCTTCCGGTACAGGTTCTGTGTTAACGTCGAACTTGTTTGTGCCCGTAGGAGCTGGCTCTGACTTCAATTGGTCGTTGGTCGGCGTCTGCTCATCCTTGTTTGCTTCGACAGCTAGCTGTTCAACCGCCGTTGGGGGTCTTGGTTTACCACCCACGCCGAGGATGCCGCCAGTCCAGACGAAGGGATCACGTCCTCCCAGATCATCTTTTCTGTCACCTTGCTCCTCACGACGTCGGAGCAAGACTCCCTGAAACTTCTCACGAAGATAGGGCATTTCTGCGATGGCCGCAATCGTCTTGGGTGCAGTCTTGTAGAGGGATTCCACTTCCACCCCTCCGTCGAAGATACTCCTCTCTCGGAAACCATGCAAGGCCGACGCCAGATAGACCATCGAGATGTAAGTAGGCTGCATGAAGTCGGGCTGGATTTTGCTCCAGTAACGTCGAGACTCCTTGCCAAGCACATTGGGGGGCTTTCCACGCCTCGGGTTCTCCATGACATCGATGGTAGAAGGCACGCCGAGAGGTTTTAGTCCATAGCCCCGGCGGATGTTATTCCATCCTGGGAAGTTGGGCATAAACTTATCTTCAAAGACAGTAAACGCCTCAACCTGGTCGGAAGCCTTGTCGGAAGAGGCCAACATCTGCACAAAAGTGGACCAATTGAACGTGGTCAGGCTGAATCCCGCTTTCTGTACTTCTGCTACTAGATGGGGTATCTTCCAAGACTCATTGCGGTAGGCTAGTGACCGCATGTACAGGGAGAGGGGGCGCGATAGCAGGAATCGGCATGCTGGCAAGATAGAGGGTCGATTCAATGCAGTGCACTCCGAGGTTGTGGAGCTGACTAGCAGCTCCCTACGGCCTTTGGCAGATTTTGGCAATATAGGGCGAGGTGGCTCTGGAGTCTCCGTAGGTCGTAATTGATCGGAGAGCCATCTGTCGAGATCGGGCGCGGTGGCCATCTTAATGGCACGAGGAAATGTGATTTTCCAACACTCTTCCACCTTTTTATACTGCTCCGACTTCAGGTAATTGAGCATCAGTGCCGAAACGAGGCGTAGTGGCGCCACATCATAGATATGTTCTCCAGAGGCGGAGGGTTGTCGGCCGTCAAGAAATTGATCGAACAGCTCTCGGACTTTCTCAGAAGCACCCCTAGTACCGTACGCCGTGATCATAGACTCGTAGTACATAGCGGGAAAAGCTCGGGTAGGGGGTTGTCTTCCTGCGCCAGGTGATGGTTGCTTCGACGCCATTTGAGTCCTGTCAAAATCGGCAATAGTCTCTGCGAGGAACTTCTCTGCATTCTCAAGCCGTACATGCGCACCACTAACTGCCCTGCCGCCGGCCTTGATGAGCTCCAGGTCACGCTGCAACTGGCTTTTGAGGACAAGGAGTCTCGAGCTGAAACCAGGTCGGTTGAAACGTTCCTTGATCTCGCGGAAAATGATGTGGACCATGTCTCGGTTCCGATCTTTCACATAGCCATACAGGATGATGGCATAATGGAACTCTGTTGCGTACATCCGGTGACTCCGATGGAGGGTTCTGAGAATGCGACGCGCGGAATCCGTCTGCCCTATAAGAACCAAGCTGAGCATGAGAGCCGCGTATGTCATGCCATCGGGTTGTAGTCCAGCGTGGTCCATGCGAGAACGTATTCTGGAAATGGAATCCAAATCCATTCTAAAGGCGTAGTTCCACAGAAGAAGATTCCACATTCTGACCCGCGATCCTTTGACATCCAGACCAAGACAGCTCTCGGCAACACTCTCGGCCATTTCTAACTCTTGGTTGTTACAATAAGCTTCAACAATCGTGTCAAGCAAGGGCGCGGTGATCTGCACAGAGCGCTTCTTCGCGAGGGAAAGCAGATGGCGAACGGCGTCGATATCTCCCCGGTTGGCACAGAGACCCATCAACGTTCCAAACGTATGTGAGTTCGGCTCCACGTCCTGTTTCAGCATCCTCTTAAAAGTCGCGAATGCGCCTTCAAAGTCATCCGCATTGGCATACGCAGTGAGAAGAATATTCCAGCACACAGTATTCTGCTTGAGACCAAATTCCTTCGAAATTCTCTCAAACTGGCGCAGGGTCTCTCGCACGTCACCGACCCTAGCGTGAACATAGAGAAGAGGAGTCAAGAGTCTTCGACTCAAGGGCTTCCCATGGTCCTGTAGAAATTTATCAAACACACTGCTGATATTTTCCACATCTCCGGCTCTTGAGAACACAATCAGCGCGTTTTTGTATGCATCGATGGATGGCTTGCCATAAAAACGGGTGTATTCATCTAGAAAATACTGGATCCCAGTTGTAATCTCAAAATGAGTCAGGGATCGCAAAAAGCCGCCTAGAATGTGTGTTGAGGGCACTTCGTGTTCCATCTGCCAGCGGAAGTTGCGATACACCACAATAGACTTGATGAAGGTGGATCGAATATCTGATGACTGAAGGGTCCGGATGAGTGTGAAATACTGTTTCACTGTGATGATACCCAAGGAATTGTACTCCCTCAAGAGGAGAAGGAGGTGGTCTGTCGACATACTTTCTGCTACTCGTAAATTGGAGAAAGCGCAGTCGAGTAAGAATCGAGCGAGGCCGTGCGAAGACCGAGAAGGCTCCCGTCTCTCTAAATTTCCGGCGAATGCAAGTAAAGTATTGGGCAGGCTAGTCTCGTCCAATTGAGAGGTGAGAGCGTCGAATAGCTCCTTCTCCGAAGATGGTGGTCGCGAATCCCAAGCCTCTTCGGCAGAGTTCCATTGTGCTTCGTTGACAAAATGTGCAAAGGTAAAAGCCCAGCAAGGAATATCAAGGCCCCGGCTTTTGGCATCCCCGCACACCTTGTTGATTTCAGCGGGCTGCCCAACAGCCACGAATGATCTTGCCATGTGCAGATAGTCTTCAGCGGATCGAGTATCCGCAGCGATGCTTTCAAACAACCTTTGAGCCCGCCTATTATCATTGGGGCTTGACGAGGTGCTCAAGCGCGCCAGGAGAGTCGTATTCACCTCCGGAGGATGACCAGCTCTCGCGTAGAGGCCCCAAGCCTTGTCATACTGTCCTCCTTCAGGGTCGTCGAGCAGTGATCGAAGGTCTTGCTTTGCCCGTTTACGATCGGCTTCGTCCGCTCTCCCACCAATTATTTCTATCGCTGTCTTGTCTAGATTCGCGGGGTGATATAGATCTGCGGCTTCAGATGTATAACTCCTGGAAAGAGCGGAGATCTGCTTCTTCTTGCGTCGCAGGACAAGTCTCCGAGATGGACGTAACAAACACAGGGCGGCGAACTCCTGGGTACGTGGGGGATAGAGGAAATCGAGGACCGGAGCCCGCATGTTGGCCGTAAGTTTGCTTGCTTTCGGAGTGGCATCGTCGGTATTCGAAGCTCGGTGGTCTGATGTCGAAGTGTGTAAATGTGGCCGAGGGGCACCGTCCGCATTCGTTCCATTTTTTTGCCTTATATGAGAATACCACGATCTTCGACCCCGAAGCACCCCGTTGGCATCCCGGAAGAAACGCCGACCTGCGTTCTCAAGGCATCCGGCAGCCCGTTCCAGCATTACCTTAACCAATCACGGTGCCAAACCCTGAAATCACCGAAGCTCAATCGCAGTGCGTAACATATCGCTTCTAAGCACCTGGATTATATCGAGCTGTCCAACAGGTACTTATTCTTTCGAGGCTTTACAGAGGCTCCGGAAAGAAACGAAGGAGTACCAGGGTGAGGAATCTCGAATAGGATACTGGGAAAATTGCCACCAACAAAGTCGCCGGAGAACAAAAGGATACGACAATGCTTTCCCAGTGGTATCAGACGTTTAAAGGAATAGGTGAGGCCAATCTGATGGTTGAAGTGACGTGGTGGTGGTTGCCAACGAAATTTTGACGGGTCTGGCAATGTGAGCTCAAAGGAAGCAGCAAAAGACGATCCCGCGAACTCAGCCGGGCATTCGTTTGGCCGAGATCTGACCACGCCGCCAACCCGCACTCTGGACTCTCCACGCTGGATCCAAAGTAACCCCGATTATCCAGAACCAGTTTGACTGCTGTGGGTGTCTAGCTTCTAGTCGACAATGGAGATTACCGATTTTGTTTTCAAACAGCGAGAGGAGGTCCTCCTGGCCGGGGACTACAATGCTTACCGGGCGCACACAACCCGCAAGCTTCACAAACTCCGCAAGAAGCTTGGGCAGACCACCCCTAAGGGTCGCAAATATACAGCCAAACCCCCCGTCAGCGCAGAGGGGATCAGCAATAATGTGGCGTATGTTGTTCTTGATAAGCCCACTTTTTCTGCGCAACATTATGTACCACCATACTGACAATTCTATCCTCTAGATACGTACATACGCTTCTTCTCAGCTCCGAGCGTGCTTGGGCACAAGCAATGCACATGAAATCTACGCATTCTGCAGATCCATCGGCAAAGGGAATCGCAGGCTCGGCTAGGCGCCATATCATCTCTCGCCTAAACAAAGCATGCAGCTACTCCCAACAACTCGTTCTTCTGCTGGAGGATCAGTCAGTTTCCGGTGCGACCGATACTGATATCCTCGAAGCTCGCGCTTACCTCGCCTCTCTTTTGGGAGCCTTATATCTGGAGAAGCGCAAATGGGAACAATGCATCCAGAGCTATGCTATCTCTAAGGTTATCTACACCATTCTGGGACAACGGGAGCGGAAGGACGCATTCCGGGACCTACTCACAGGCACCGTTGATCCTAGTATCAGGTACGCAGCGTACCAGATGAAGCTTCCACGGTCCAAACCTCTATCGTCTTTGGCGATCGAGTATTTTCCTTCAGATGCGATCATCAGATCAGAAGTCGAGAGGGTAGACCCCAATTGTCTCAAGGAGGATGCGGCGGGAACAAGAAAGACCGCAGACGGAGAGATCCAGCAACTTCCTGAGAATATCACTTGGAGGTCACGGACCGTTCCGCTGGAAGACGCCACAATCTCACAAGCTCTCGCTTCCGCAGCTGCAGCAGAGGTACGCCTGACATCTTGGCTTGCCGATGCGGAAGGGAAGTCGGCGTCGTCAAAGGACAAGGCTGCAGCTTATGACAATGTGATCATTGCCAGCCAGGACGCCGTCGACGCCACTAAGACCGCTATCGATGATCTTCTCAATGAAGGGGTGGATCCTAGCGACAAGAGAATGCAGGGCTTGCAAATCACGCGCACTGCTGTAAACTATGCGCTTGTGGCCTGGCGAATTGGTCGCAACCGAGTCCTTTGTGGTACGAGCGATGGCATGCTGCTAGAATCCGACCGCAGCAAGGGCTCTAGAAACGGAAAAGAGATTAGCCGTGACGAATCGACCGGCAAGCGGTTGACACAACTGCGTGAGAAAGCTGTGCTCTATGACTCCATCCTGCAAAGCATTGAGTTCATCCTTGAACTGCCTGGTGTTGCCGCCGATTCGACATTTGTGCAGGAGCTCGAGGCAAAGCGCAGCTATTTCCGCGCCTTGAGGTTCGAATCCTTCCCATGTTCGTTTCCATGATTTTTATTCTAACATGATATATAGGTGCTTGTCGATTGCTCGCTCTCACTGCTACCTCGGTAATTCAAAGAACGCGCTCGCGCTGTTCTCGCAAGCCCTGCAGCTAGTGTCACAGTCTACAGCATCCAGCCAGTCGACTGCGTCTTCGGAGGGACCTCTCAGACTCGATATCTCGCGCAAACAGGTTCAAACTCTTGAGTCTACCTTGCAAGGTTTAGTCGCACAGTACCGTGGCCTCGTCACCTTGGAAAAGCTGGCAGCCGAAGAGCCCCGGGCCGGAGGTGAACGCCCGCTGATCGAGCGTCTGCATGAATACTCTGCCGACAAGGTGGATTTGAGCAACCTCGTGCCCTACCCACCTCAGATGCAACCTATCCCAGTGAAGCCACTCTTCCTAGACGTCGCATGGAACTACATTGACTATCCTCGGGAAGGTGCGGTAGCTCCGGTTGCAGCTCCGGTCCCGGCAGAGGCAGCAGCAGATGAGAAGAAGGGAGGACGGCGTGGGTGGTTTGGATTTGGACGGTGATGACGGAACTCGCATTTGTTAATATCATGGCCACTTAACATCTTTGGTCATAACGATTACAGCCATGCAGCAATAGATGGATATGACCTATGACTGAGATGTTGTAGCGTGAAAATCGAGATGAGACTACGAGTGGATGAAGTTGTATCATTGATCCAGTCCTTCGAAGTCATGCAATTGTTTGAAAACTCCGTTTCCAGACATTTCGCTATTATTAAAATTCCAGTGTCTCATGTAGATACACAGCTGATGATAACCATCATGGTTGAATGACTTGGTGAGTCGAAAGAAGCACGTGTCCTCGGAGCTTTTGACAGCCGGATCAGCTGTCAATAATCACAGAGCGAGAACTGAGAAGGGACTTTTCTTCAATCCTCCGTCGATTTTATTTATTTCTCCACGAAAGAACCTCTACTATGTATGCAAGGGCTGGAGCCCTTTGTGCAGAAATTCATCAATGTTGGTTATCATTGGCCGGATTACTTGGCCGCTACTTCAAAGGTTCATTGCAGCCTTGCTTACTACTTCCTTAGGTACGGAGTAGTAGCTAAGGAGTAAGGAGTAAGGACAGTAGTCAGTACCTTAAGGTACCTAAAGTAGGTTTGTGTTTGTTAGCTTGGGATGAGCAGTAATTATGATCTTACCTTTTTTTTTTTTTTTTTTCGGTATGGTGATTTATATCAGTCTGTCTTCCACACCAGTCAGCTAGAGATACCACTATTTTTCCAAGATCTTCCTCATCTTCGATTTCATCACCACCGAATGCTAAGCTTTCCTAGTTTGCGACAAGACTCAATGGAACTCAATTGGGAATTGCGAACTTCGCCCTTCGAAGCTCACAAATGACGGTTAGGGCAATGGAGGCACGTGCTTTGACCATTGTACAGAGTAGTTGCAGTCAGCCTGGATCATTCTTCTCAAAAGCTCAGCGAGACATTGTCAGATCGAGAGGATCCAGCCATTGCATGTTGATCAAGCCAGGGGACAGGTCAGACCATTATTGAACCCCTGATCAATGCATTGGCGACGTCTCGGCCAGAAGCGATATCGAGTATCTATCGACGGAGTACGGAGTACAACATCTAGATAGTACTCCATCACTGCGCTAAGCCTGATGGCTATCAGTTGCCTAAATGGGATTTACCGCCAATGGCTCCATATAGATTACACTGTATTATTGTACTCTGTACTTGGACCCTCCCTCTGGTAGGTACCTACGGAGTACATACTCATCTGAGGGACCAGGCAGATATCATCTGTCTGCTCATCTGCTGTAGCACATATTCACTTCTTACAGAGTATAACAAAGTTCCATACTTTCAATATCTTCCACTCACTCAGCTTTGCAGGATGCAGTGGATCGTAGAAACGGATATTAACCACAAATCCCATTCGTCCAGGTTAAATTTGCTGACGAGAAATTGCGTCCATGCGATAACACCGCTCACGTGACTCCTGGTATGAAATTTTCAACGGAACTTTCGTCTCCCAGTTCCGAGACCCCTAAATTTTGGCATCGGGGTTAAATAAATTACAAGTCTCAGGGGTAAAAGCGGGAAGAAAGGGGAAAAAAAGAAGAATTACGATTATTATGATTTGGTGGTGTCCATAACAGCATAACTCCATACAACAAGCCGTCAGCTGGGCGCCTGGTAAGTTTCTTCTCCTCTCTATTGCAATGACGGTACGACCTCTTTTTCTTCCAACACTAAAAACAAGCCACACATATGCCAATCCGGATCCTCGTCTCGACTAAATCCTAATTTGAAGCCTAATCCTTTGGGACTCTGGGAGCCAGCGTCCATTTTTACCAGCTGTACTGTACTGTACTTAAGAAACCTGCGTATTTGGTCCGCTGTGGCTCGCCGTAGCGGGAACCGTCCCATCCGCAGGAACTAGTTCTGATAGTCACAAATCACAATACACAATTCGTCTCTAGTCTCCGTGTATTATTTTACTGTCCCCTCCCGTGCATTATTAATAATAATTTATTATCATCGCATCTCCCTGAGTTTTCTGACGCGAATAGCCATCTCTTTCATCCATTCTCCCCTTTGGAGCGCGCGGTCTTCCGGTTGATTTTGATCGTTAGATATGGCCAACATCAATGGGAGCTTTGTCTCCCCCTCGGCTGATGCCACTCTCTCGCCCCAGTTCTTTCAGTCCGCCGAGTTCCTCCCAGCCATTCTCAATGGCTTCACCATCTGGAAGGCCTTGGTGACCTTGTTCATCGCCGCTGTTATCTATGACCAGCGTAAGTTGAAGCATTACCCAGCACATCTTCACGCGCCGCGCACAAGATCTCTCTCGCGTTATCGCTGTCCTGGAATCCTGTAACTGATTGAGGCGGTTTCAAATGTAGTGCGTTACTTCTATCTCAAGGGCTCCCTTGTTGGGCCAACCTTCAAGTTGCCGTTCATGGGACCCTTTTTGCAGTCGGTCAATCCCAAATTCCATGAGTACAAAGCCAAATGGGACAGCGGCGAGCTGAGCTGCGTCTCGGTTTTCCACAAGTGAGTACTCCCCGAAACACCACCAATGTAGAAGGAGACGAGTGGTTTGGTTTAGTCCAGGACGCTAATCAGCATTTGAATTTCTTCCTCCAGGTTCGTCGTCATTGCATCCACTCGCGATATGTCTCGGAAGATCTTCAACTCGCCGGCCTATGTCAAGCCCTGTGTCGTTGATGTCGCGCACAAGCTCCTAGGCGCCGACAACTGGGTGTTTCTGGATGGTAAGGACCACGTTGAATTCCGTAAGGGATTGAACGGTCTCTTCACCCGCTCCGCCCTCTCTTGCTACCTCCCCGAGATGGAGGAATGCTACAACCAGTACTACAAGCGCTTCCTGAAGAAGTCCAAGGCCAACCAGTACAAGCCCGAGCCCTGGATGCCCGAGTTCCGTGAGCTAATGTGTGCGGTTTCTTGCCGTACTTTCGTGGGTCACTACATCACCGACGAGGCCGTGCAGAAGATTGCCGATGACTACTACATGATCACCGCTGCGTTGGAGCTGGTCAACTTCCCCTTCATCCTTCCTTTCACCAAGGCCTGGTACGGAAAGAAGGCCTCCGACATGGTCCTGCAGGAATTTTCAAACTGTGCTGCCAAGAGCAAGGCTCGTATGGCTGCTGGCGGAGAGATCTCGTGTATCATGGACGCTTGGGTCAAGTCACAGCTGGATTCTGCGAAATACCGGGAGAAGATCGCGAACGGTGTTCCTCCTGAGGAAGCTGGAAAGCCTTCGCACCTCCTCCGCGATTTCACCGACTACGAGATCGCCCAGACCATTTTCACTTTTCTGTTCGCCTCGCAGGACGCCACCAGCGCGGCTTGCACTTGGTTGTTCCAGCTCATGGCTGATCGCCCTGAAATCCTCGATAAGGTTCGCGAAGAGAATGTGCGCGTGCGCAACGGCGACATCACCGCTCCCTTGTCTATGGATCTCCTCGACCAAATGACCTACACTCGTGCCGTGGTCAAGGAGACGCTGCGCTACCGCCCACCCGTCATCATGGTTCCCTATCTAGTCAAGAAGGACTTCCCCATCACCGACTCCGTCACTGTTGCCAAGGGCTCGATGATCATCCCGTCTGTTTGGCCTGCCACCCACGATCCCGAGGCTTACCCCAACCCCGATTCCTTCGATCCTGACCGCTGGATCACCGGTGACGCCGACAAGCATCCCAAGAACTGGCTGGTCTTCGGCACGGGTCCTCACTATTGCCTGGGGCAGACCTACGCTCAGTTGAATCTGATGGCCATGATTGGCAAGGCCAGTATGGAGATGGATTGGGTCCACACCCCCACTCCCGAATCCGAGGACATCAAGGTGTTCGCCACTATCTTCCCTCAGGTATGATTTTTTTTTCTCGCCCTTTTCCTTTTGAATCTCGATTAACCTGAATCTAGGATGATTGCCATCTGACTTTCCGCCCTCGTGCGTAAGGTTGATTTACTCTGATCCTGAGAGGTCCTACCCGGTCATTTCATTTTCGCCGCCAAATACCATGCAATATTCATCGGTGTTGCGTACTGTGGGCGGCTCCGTGATCCTCGAGCATTGTATTCCTATCCTGGAGATAGAGTGACGGGGACACTTCCTTTCTCACAGTTGTACTATTTTCTTTTCTTCTATCTACCCCCACATACAACAAGACCCTAGGTGTATCAATTGCGGAAGAATGGCGTGGATTGGTATCGGCGGCATTCTTCTTGACGAACTGTGTTTATCCTGAGGCTCAGAAGCAGTCCCAGAGGTATATGATTTGATGCGATTGTTGGAATCGTCTGCGTCGGCCTGACAGCTGAAGCGATGGCATTGTTAGATTATGCCCTCTTATATTAATAGTAATCTTTAGGTTCATCTTCCTATTGTCATGTCTGGTTTTGAGTACCTTAGTATTCGAAGCATGTTTGTTGTAAATAGATTATGTCCATATGTTTAGTCTTTTCGTGGATTTGACTGTCTGTATCTGAATCTTGTGGGTCTATGTTCATGTTCCCCTGGTAGAATATCCTCAGTAGTTGGCATTTGTCCAACTACCCTGTTCATAATAGTCATGAGTAAACTGTTTGCCGTAATATCCTTGCATTTTGACGGCTATAGGTGATATTGTTCAGTAGGCTGATCACTCGTGGAGAGATCCTCAAGCGACGAAAAGGGTATGATATGCTGAGGTTCAAGGATATATATATCGAAGAGCGCATTAGAAACGTCAGCCAAATTAGGCCATTCCAGCTACTGACACAAAACTAAACACATTCAATTAAACATGGGACATCTATCCATGCCATTGATACCCCCACTGATACGACATTCTCACTGCCATCGCTTCGACGCAGGATGGAGTTGATGCCATGCTACAGCCTCGGACAAAAACGGTAGGCGGTCGCACTGCGACAGATTGATAACTGACATCACTGGCCGACTGCCGAGCTTCCATCCCAGAGCCTATACATATACAGACTTGCCTTCACAAAGACACATCCACAAGTACATCCACCGCGGTAAGTCCCAAGCCTGGTTCTGCACTCTACGAAACGCTTGCAGCTCTGCATCTCCCCAGCAGTAACTCCCCCTTCTCAGCGTCGAGAAACCAGTACAACGGGCTAACCGCCCCGCGCAAACCAGGAAAGAAAGAAACAATGGCCTCGATACTCCCCATCCGGCGGCCCTTAGCCACTCTCGCAGCCCGCGCCGCAAAGCAGCCATTCACGACCGGCGCCGTCCTCTCAACCTCTTTCTCTATCCCTAACCTCTCGCCCGCAGCGCCCCGAAGCCTCGCAACATCCCGCGTTCTCCCGCTCCCGCCGAGGCACCTCCGGTCTCAAACCACCAGACTCGCACCGCGCGCTCTCCAGCAGCAATCCATCCGCCGCCAAAGCGACGATGCCAGCCAACAACAACGCCCTTTCCGGAGCTTGAAGTTTGAAGACGTATGTCTCAGCCCCAATCCCAGCACTCTCAAGCAAACCCAACCACAGCATGCTAACCACCTCTGCAAAAAACCTCTAGATCAACGCCGCCCTCCCCGCCGACCCCAGCGCACCGCCCTCCCCACCCGCCACGCCGCAGAAGAAGCTCATCCTCGTCGACGTCCGCGAGCCCGCCGAGCTGATCTCCACAGGCATCATCCCGTCCGCGGTAGCTGTCCCGCTTGCCTCGCAGCCCGACGCGCTCTTCCTCTCGCCGGACGAGTTCGAGACGCGGTTTGGGTTCCCCAAGCCCGCCGCCCACGGGGACGACCAGATCGTCTTCTACTGCAAGGCCGGGGTGAGGGCGCGCACGGCCGCGCAGTTGGCTGTGCAGGCGGGGTATGATGCGGACCGGATCGGCGTTTATGAGGGGAGTTGGTTGGACTGGGCGGATAAGGGAGGGAGGGTGCAGAAGTGGGAGGGGGAGCTTGAGTAATTGGGAGGTTTTTGTTTGGACTGGGGTTTTCGAGTAGGGGTAATCAGATTGAGATTGGGGAGGGTTGTATATGGTTAAGATTTAGATTTGATTTTGTCCAATCTAAATACACCTGCTCAGATTAGAAGCAACAGGAAGCTCTGCCACTGGATATGTGCTATCTGCGCTTACAGGGTCTATCTGGCAGGTAATGTCCAGAGCCCATCAGGACTTCAAAGCATATCTATTGGAAATGGAAGGTTCATTGAAACACCAAAAAAGAGGGGGGAAAAAAAAAGAAACAAAGCATAAACAAAGGCCCAGACCACGCCTTCTTTTCAACCTCATGTCATATACAGGCATATCTTGCTTTTTTTTTGGGTAATCAAAGTCATGGTCATTCTTTCATGTAGGTCTAGCGCTTTTCCTTGAACTTTCCCCAAAAGATCGTCGTGTTCTTTCATGGTCATCAGATCCGGGGAGCCGTTCAACCCCATAACCATATCGAAACATCAAGTGGCAGACCGCTGTACGTGGTCAAATACAAATGCCCCCCTCGTTACACAGAAAACCCCTGCTCTGCCCTCTACGCCGTAGCTGGCACCGTCGCAACAGTATGTTGTGCCACACTGTGGTTGGTAGCCTTGGGCAACCAGGCCCCAGTGACGGCTGTGAGAGGCCAGCAGGCGCCACTCAACAAAGTGGTGAAGCTGATCAAGGAATGTCGAACACGGGCTTGAGCTTCTTGACCAGAGCCCATTCCTCCATCGATACGTCTGACCGGTAGAACTCCTTGAGTGTGTCGATACTGGCACGCGAGATGTGCGAGTACAGTGTGTCCTTCTCTTCGAGCTGACGGCCGTACATGGGCTGGTTGGGTCCTTCGATCTTCACAGCGACAGAGGGCTGACCCTTCTTGCAGACGTTGATAGCCTTGTGATCACGCTCAATGGATACACTATTTTGTAGATGGTTAGCTGAGAGTCGAGGATCATGTAAAGACAACGGATATGAACTTACACTCTGCCAAGATCGATGATCTCCTTAGCACCCGTGGTGGGGTTGGTCTTCACAGCCGCAACAGGCGTGTGCAGTCTCAAGCTACCTTCAACGACATCAAGACCAATGACGATGGGGTCCTTCTTGTTGAAGACGGCAACGGGCCGGAGTACGCAAGGGAAGACAGCGAGGAGCTTGCTCTCCTCCTTTCTCTTCTCGGTCAGCTCGGCCATGTGCTTGGTGAAGTCATCGAACAAATGGTAGATGATGTCTGCCGTGAAGATCTTGACGCCAACTTCTTCGGCGTAAGCCGCGGCTTCCTTATCAACCTTGACGTCGAAGCAGAGCATGACTGCGTACTCCTTGGCCTTCTCCAACATGGTACCGCACATCATCACATCACGCTTGTAGACAGGACCAATGGAGATGTTGGCAACGGGAATCTTGGAAACACGCAAGAACTCGAGCAGGGCCTCGAGGGAACCAAGGGTTGAGGCCTGCACACTGACACCACGCTGATCCCTGGAAACCTTGCTGAGGAGGTTCTCCAGATCGGACATGACCTCTTCCTCGATATCCTCCTCGTCATCGTCAGGGCCGACGACCATCAAACGCGAACCAGCAATGGCATGCTCAAGATCGTTGGCGGCAATCTTAACACCCAGAGCGGCCTTGACCTCCTTGTTATGAACATACTGCGACTTGAGACGAAGTTCCTTAAGAGGAGCGGGCGTCAACAATGCTCGGATATTTGTCGCTATAGGTCCGTTAAGACCGCAAAGCACAACCCGATCACCCTCGCGGAGGATACCGTTCGAAAGAACGACATCAATGGTAGTACCCAGACCTTCAATGATCTTGACTTCAAGGACAGTACACTCAACCTCGGACAGGTACATGAGCGAGTTGGTCATACGCTCCTGGGTCAATGTGGTCAACAGCTTCAACATGTCGGGAATACCTTCGCCGGTGTGGGCCGAAGTGGGGACAAGGGAGACATTGCGAGCCATGGATTTGTTCTCATAGTAAAGCTCGGCGTTGAAACCTTGCTCAGCAAAGAGAACCTTGGTGCGCTCAAGGCGAGTACGGAATTCGTTCTGAACACCCTTGCTCTGCATGGCCAAACTGTCCTGGAAGCCGTTGTTGTCAATCTTCTTCCAGCCGTAAAGACGATCGATCTTGTTCAATGCAACGATGAAAGGGGTCTTGCGGTCCCGAAGCAGTCTCATGGATTCTAGAGTCTGGGGCTCGAGACCGTGCATGATATCAACAACCAGAATGGCGATGTTGCAGAGAGAAGAACCTCTCGAACGCAGGTTGGAGAAAGACTCGTGACCGGGAGTATCGATAACCAGCAGACCGGGAATCTTGAACTCGAACTTGCCGTCCTTGTTGACAACAGCAGTCTTCTGGCGCAGAGCATCAACAGGGAAGTATGTAGCACCGATTTGCTGCGTAATACCACCAGCTTCACCTTCTTGGACGTTCGTCTGACGAATCTTGTCCAGCAGCTTAGTCTTACCAGTATCGACGTGACCCAGAATACAGCAAATGGGAGACCGCAAATTATCCTTTGACCGAGCCGCCAAGGCCTCCTCATGCTGTTTCTTCCTCCGCTCAGCAGCCTCCGCTTTTCTCTGAGCGATGGCTCTTTGCGCGGCGGTCTTCTCCTCGTCATCCGACGAGTCTGTCTCTGAGTCCTCGTCTGAATCTTCCTCCGACTCAGACTCTTCCTCAGCCTTCGCCTTAGCAGCGGCTTCAGTCTTAGCAGCACCATTCGTGGCTGGCTTCTGCTCTGCTTCTTCATCCTCGGAAGGAGCATCCCAGCTGTCCTTCACCTCCTCGGCATCGGCGGCCTTTTCCCAGTCGTCCAGATCGCTCTCTTCGCCGGCAGCAGAGGCGCTGGCGGCGGCGACGGCCTCAGCCTCAGCCTTCGCCTTCTTCTCTTCTTCCTCCTTCTTGCGCCGCTCCTCCTCGGCCTCACGCTGAGCGCGAGCACGAGCAGCGGCAGCCTCAAGATCCTCTTCTTGCTTCTTGGGGCCCTTTCTCTTTCTGTTATCATAAACGGGCTTCTTCTTCTCGGCCTGTTGTTCCTCCAGACCAGCAACCTTGCCCACACCGGCCGCCAGCATTTGCTTCATACGGAGTTCATTGCGCTCCTTCGCTTCTTTCTGGGCCTTTGTGAGCAGCTTTCCTTCTTTTCTGAGCTGCTCCTTCCTCTCCTTCTCCTTCTCCTTCTTCCGTTGGCGAGCCTCCTCTCTCTTCTTCTCTTCCTCAGCCTCGATGCGCAATCTCTCCTCCTCGGCGGCCTGCTCTTCGGCTAGTCGTCGCTCCTCCTCCTCACGCTGTTTCCGAAGCGCCTCCTGCTGCTTCTGAAGGGCAGCCAGGTGGGGAGGAAGCTTCTTCTTCTTGCCGGTCGTCTCAGGAGCGGCGGGAGTAGGTGCGGGGGCAGCAGCAGCAGGGGCCTCCTCTTTCTTCTTCTCAGCCTTGGCGGGCTCGGCCTTGGGTTCGGCTCCCTTCTTCTTCGCGGCCTATACAACGGAGATCACAGATTAGTACTACAGCCAAGACAATCATCAAAGACCCATCAGAGGCAAAGCACATACCTGTTCCTTCTTACGCTGCTTCTCTCTCTCCTTCTTCTCCCTTTCCTTCTCCTTCTTACTCTTCACTCGGAATTCGCCATCGTCTTGAGGCTCGGCAGGAGCCGCCGGTGTGGCCTTCGCAGCCTTCTGGTTCTTCTTTCCGGCGAAAACATCATCTTCGTCGTCAAATGTGCCTTCTTCGGGCTGCTTGCTGGCAAGGTCGACCGCTGCGTCAGCGGCTGGTGTCGCATCCTCGCCCTCAACGAAATCGTTCGTGGGCTTGCCCTTCTTCGCCTTCTTGGTCTTATTCTTCCGCAGAGCAGCGAGCAGACCGCCACCCATGCTCTCTGCCTCCTCGTCGGCAGCCGCAGGAGTCTCCTGGGGCTGATCGACAGCGGGAGCGCTCTCTCCGAGCTCGGCTTCCCAGTCCTCCTCCTGCTTCTTGTTTCCCTTCTTCTTTGGCGCCATTTTCGAGAATAAGATGAGTGAGCGTAGATAAATCTGAAATCATACGTCAGTTAATAAATTGAGTCGTCCGTTGTGATGGCTTTGAACGAGCTGTGGCGGGCACACGAACAGTATTGAACTCTCTCCGTTGCGATATGCGGCAAGTCGGTTAGATCAACAAAGAGGAGTGGCCTGCAGGCTTGGAATCCTGCTCGACGGCGAGTCTGAAAAGAGAGACAGTGAGAGAAAGGTACAGAAACCACTTGAATCCCCCCTCTTTCTGGTGGTATGATAAGACTCGAGCGGGAGCAACGGGGTCGGTTTGCCTTTGGGGAAATACGAATTTTGGGTCGGTTTTGGTGGGGACGAGGTTTATGCGAGCCGAAGTCCGCCAGTTGGTGGCACGACTTGGGAGGAATACCTATTTCTTGCCACCATACCCTTGGTAGAGATATAGCTCAGAATTAAATAGAAAATAGGTGTTTATTGGCCGCATCTTCTTCAAACTCCCCAACATAAGTAGTTAATTACGGATAAGCAGTCGAAAAGTTGTTTTCATGGACTACTTCTAGCACGCTGAATGCACTGGTTGTGACTACTACAAGATAACAGTGTCAACAAAAATCTCCTCACACTTAGAACTCCACATGAAGTGTTCTTTTCAGCCATCTCATGACCTCTTCGATTTGATTTGGGCATTCTCCCAGCAACTCATTGGATAGCTCGGCGAATCGCTCCATGGTGGCCTGTGCTGTACCATTTTCTGGAGATGCCGTATCTTCAAAAGCTTGGGTCATCAACATCTGCGTCAGATAATCCGACCCACGAATGGCGAGGCGGCTTAGTATGTCCCCATCGATATGCATGTGGGAAGGCTGGGGTTCTGCGGCGCCACTGCCTATTGGATTCCGTCTGCGTTTTCGCTTCGGCGTGAAAGGGCATAGAAGGATATCGCGAATGCAAAGACTCTGAAGTAAACGTAGCAGACGCCACTCTTTCTCATTCAAAGTCAGGAATCGGTAGGCTGTACCGTTCATGGCGATGCCGTACAGCACAGGAAATGGGGAAGATAGAGGAGAGGGCTTTGATCCAGTGCTGAGTTTCATGACAGACGAAGCAAGATGGGCCTCGCAGAGCGCCACCGGCATCATCTTGTCGTTCTCTGTGATTCCCCTCTCTGTAAGTACGCTGACTCTGCCACCTCTGCTGCTGGTGATGGTTAGATTGAACTCTCCGCCAAGGTGGAAATGGGACAGTCCATCATGCTTTTGGCGGTCGTAAGCATGAAGCACCATTTTGTCTTCAGAGAATTTGAGCACCATCAGCGATTCCCTTGATGTTGACATGTACACGTATGGCTCATGGCAACTCATGGAAACGGCCGGAGATAGCGTTGAGTATCGTGCTGCCCGAGCACGGCGTGTCTGTGAGAACTTGGGTTCCAAAGGCACGATCTCATGCCCGGTGGAGACCATCAGAGTAAAGTCGCCGTATGGCGCAATCGAGTAGACTGGACCCTCGAACTTGTGGACATACTTCACAGAGCATTCAATCCTAGAAGGATTGGATGGGTTACGAGCTGCTTGCAGGAAGATGACTCGCCCTCGGTCTTGTTGCTGCTTCCTCGCTGTGCCAATGACAATGAAGTGATATTCTTCATCGCCTTTTCTGGGTGTCCATTCCAAGATACAGCTGATCTTCTCTCCAGCCGCCCCACTAGGCCTCCATGCCGGGTTCTCATCCTCCTCGGGCACTTCCGTGGATCTCTCTATCCCACGTTGCGTATCGGGTTCCACGAACTCGATGAAAGGCCGAGTCAGCCGCCGGATAGGGTCAGAATCGGTATCGAGTTCGGTCTGAGTGTAAGCGACAATTAGGCTCTTCAAATGACTGGAATAAGCCAGCCTGTTTGCACTGCCTGGTAGATCAATCCTCCGAGGCACTGTCTTCGCTGCATGGTCCAAAGTACAGATCAGAAGCTGACCATCCGCAATGCAGAACAAGGTGTCGGATACGCCGTCGACATTGGGATCCGTGATCTTCGCCATGGCAAAACTGTCGATGTTACTAGGATGGTAGGCGGGCTACAAAAAGGTCAGACAGTGCCATGGGCCTTCAAAGATAGGCATGCAATCTTACATTGTTTTTATCGGTGATCCAGATCCTCTGTAGGTGTAGATTTGGGTCCAGAAGGCCATCTTCCTCAGGACATGACGCTTGCCAGAAACCATGTCCACAAGTAAGCAAAGCAAAATGGCCCCTGCCTTGTATCTTAACCGAGGTGCTTCCTATCCGGCGCGGGCTCCCTTGTTTCAAACCTATAAAACAATATGTAGATTAGTGGGAAGCTCTGCTATTCAAAGATTCGGGGCCATATACCGATTGGAGATCCCAAATCACAAACGTCTACCGCCATCTCAAAAGGAACGAGGACGCCACTTCTTAGTCCGCATAGGACGGTGTATCTCTGAGAATGTTCTTTGCTTTGAGTGAATATCACTGCCAAACTCTCAATGGCCTTGGACAGATCATCCCCTTCTTGTACTGCAACTGAGGTTTCTGATTCAAGCGTGATTCTTTCTTTGATACTGTAGATCAAGACTTTCCCATTGCCTGTACCTATAAATATAAAAGTAGAGGAGCCCAAAGTCTCAATAGACATACACACCGGCTCATAGGGCAGCTTTGATGGATCTTCCAAGTCGAAAAGTTGGACCTCATCGTCCGAGATACCGGCCCTTTTGGCGTAGAGGTGTACTTCATGTCGCGTCCGCACGGCGGTCACAATGAGCGATGCCGAGCGGTTGATCGCCGCAACAGCAACACTTTGCTCGTCGTCATAGTCAAAACGAGTTTTAAGTGTCGATCCGCTCACTGTTTCAAGAAGGATTGCCTTCTCGGTTACCTGTACGATGACACCCGAGCTGGTGCAACCGGCAGCCAACGTTTGGGCACTGAATTCCAGCCCGGAATCTGCCTCGTCAATGGCGCACATTTCTTCCCCGAAATCAGAAGGCAGATAAAGAAGAATGGAGGAAACAGGGTCGGAGAATAGGATGAAGACGCCACCGCCTACTTCGTTAGACATCGTCCAGATATCTCTCGTGCTTGTCAGTTCTTCCAAAGAGACAACCAATCCAATCTGTGCCTCCAGGCCGTGCCGAAGCTCAACTATGGCGCCTCGAGCGAATGGAGATGCGGAACAAACAAATACCCTATCACTGGCAGCTTCAGAGGCCGACGGATCCCGACTACCGCTCACAACGACCGAGTCTGTGACTGGGGTCCAATTAATGAATTTCTGGACACACCTTGGATGGTCCCGAGCCTTCTGAACAAAAAGACCGCCGTCTCCCGTAGTTCCAGCGGTTAAAAGAAGATCACCACCCTCGTGGCCGATATCTAAAATATCGAACGCGGCATCGACGTCGCAACAAAGTCGTCCCAAATGTGCTTGATTCTCCAGTTCACCTTCGTTGCCAATTCCCAAGTAGAAGACTCTGCCATCTTCTCTACAGAGGTAGATATCGTCATGTCTCTGGTTGTATAGCCAATTGCGTAGTGGTCTTGCCCAGCGTGTCCAGAGGGGTGCTTTCTGGGATTCGCGGTCAGGGGCAGGCAGAGGATATCGGCTAGGCTGTCTTCGAGGATCCAGCCTATTTTTATAGACAGCCATTGAAGTCGTTGTGATAAGCATGAATGAGGATGTCTTCGTCAATGGGATCAACATTGTTGGTAGCCTGTCCTCAAGTGGCAATACTCTCCTGGTCATCCTTGGAGAAGCTTGTCGTATTGTCTCATCCGCGTGCCATTCGTAGCAGATGGCGTGTGTCATCTGTTCGTGCGAGACCAACAGCAGTAGGATTATTTTGTTACCGTCTTCAGATTTCGGGTACAAGAATTCCATGAACATGATATCACCGTCGACGCGAAAGAAGCGTTCCTGTGAAAATAGTCCTAGTTAGAACCCTCGATTCCCAATCAGATCATGGAACGACCTGCGTACCTCTGCAATGGGGTCCAGTCGACCAGAAACCATTTGGGATTGGAGACCTGGTGGCTTTCTCAACATAAATATTCCGAAATAATCAGCCGAAGCACTGACTGCTACAGCGCGTGAACTGTTGAACGTTTAGACAATCATTCTCATGGGGTAAATTGTAAATCTTACCGCGGTTCCACAGCGATGTTGCGGCCGAATCTCTCGAATGTACTGACATCATTTGGTAGCGGTCGATGGTGATGGATGAATTGGCCGCTTGTGGTTGAATAATAAATGAACACTAATTCCCTCGATGCAAGACTTAGAACTAGTATCTGTGGGGGCAGTTCTTGCCGTGGATCTAGATTTGTAGGCGCAGTCGCGTTGTGGGCAGCCAGCTTCATCTGAGCTTCCCACGGCAATTCCGTGCTCACGTTGATCACCTTTGCAGCCATAATGTAGGCATCAAAGTCTGATTTTGAATTGACATCCTCCAAGTGGACGCCCGACAGTGCTTCTTTGATTTGTATGTGTCTCTCGCCAACAAACACGACATCATTCTGGTACTTGCTTCTCAGGCGTGCTGGAAGTACCCATTGGATGATTGGGCTGGAAACAAGAGTCTGGGAGAGCAGCCCAATTACTGGTTTTGTACCAAAAGGGTCTGGTTGCTCTATCACCATGTCTTCTGAGGCATATTGATTTCTGGTTTGCCCACGCTCACCAGATGCAATTGTTGGCTGGCCATCAAAGCTGTGAGGAAACAATGGAAGGGACATGGTGGCTTAAAGACACCTTCGACGCAGCCGACAGTCTTGCTTGGAACAAGATAATGACGACTAAAGACACAGAATGACGAGTTTTGAATAAAGATTTAAAACTCAAATAGATGTCTATGTTCACACGCCGAAGAAGCCTCACAACCATGTCTCATTTTGATTTCACCAAGGGAATAGGGTTGAGCAGTCAAATGAATACTTCTGCAGCCTGCTGACCAAGCAGCAATCTTGGCCGTATGACAGAAGTGTGGATGAATAAACGAGTGCAAATATCATGTAATAAGCATGTATCTTGTATAGCGAGGAGTGAGAATGTTGCCTTGAGCGCGGAAAGGAATAAATCAACAGATCGATGGTACTTACAACCTGCAATACTTCGCGAGATGAGCTTGAGCTGCGGAGTACTATGTCTTTAGCACGCCTTGCTTCAGACTTTTCATTCCCGAGGAATGCTGTAATCGTGAATTGGGTGATGCCCGAAGCAATGAGCTGGCTTTCATCAATTATTTTGCCGAACAGCGATCAAGCGATCAATATCCTGCTCTATGCCCCTCTGTTGCAGTAGTTGCACCACCACTTTGCGGCCTGGACAAAGCGAAGTGGTGTATTTCCCCTTCCGATAGCTAAACAAAAGGTTTAGCCACAGTATCCTTAAATCCTATCAAATTTCGATACTTTTCAGGATAAAATAATCCGAAAATCCCATGAACTGATGGTCTGCTCCTTCCATCTCGGCGGGAATTGTTTCCTTTGCATCTCTGGGCGGTGGATGGACCAGTCAAATCACGAGACGTCCGCGGATGCTGGCCTGAGGCCTCAAACAGCTGCCATTGCTGGCAGCGCAATAACTCCATCATCATCATCGAGCACGGTTCATGTCTGTGTTGGCCATCATTGGTTGGGATGATCAGATTACTGCAAAAAGCACCAAAATCGCTGATTTGAGGTCCTTACTTATTTCAATAATTTGGATACAATTTCCCGTTTATGCAAGACTGGTGGTTCGTCGCAAGTTGGACATAGATCTTCTGTGGATTTTTCCAACGGTCAACTAGAGTTTTTTTTTTTTGTATTTCAATCCTCGCTTCTCATCCTATGGTCAAGTAAAGCCTGGTGATTTGATACGCGTTTGATTGACCTGTCGTCGAGCAGAAATGGGTGGTTCTTCGAGGAATCCGCCAAACGACTCCTTGGGGGAAAAGCAACAGGCGTCTCCTGTGAATTCATCTGCACAAACATTAGACTCTCAGAGTGAGAGTGCTCCTCACAAAACGGAGAAAGAAGAAGCTATCCGCAGGGCATGCGACTTGCGCGACTTTGATGGTTTGGTTTCATATGCGACCTCAGAAGGTGGCTTTCTGAATGATGATTTAAGACGATTAGCTTGTAAGTCAATCTCCTCATGCTCAGAGAGGCATATGAGTAATATTTCCCTAGGGCCTATTCTTCTTCGATGTGATACGGATGTAGAAGACTCGGAGTTCGTGTCTTGGGAAGACCTTCCGTCGCATAAGGACGAGGACCAGGTCCAACTCGATGTGAACCGTTCATTTGTATATTACCCTCAGTGTACGTGTCTGAAACTCAGAAGCCCAAGGTTTAATCATTTACCTGTCTCCAGGCGCCGAGGATGAGTTGTCCTCGAAGAAGGACGAATTATCGGTCCTCATAAGGAAAGGACTCCGGAAGTACCCCATGCTTTGCTACTTTCAGGGGTATCATGATATCGTACAGGTTCTGTTGCTGGTGCTCGGTGGACAGCAGGCGGTTCCTGCCGTGACGCAGATATCTCTGTTTAGAATCAGAGATTATATGTTACCGTCTCTCTCGCCTGCATTGAAGCACTTGCAGCTTATTCCAGCAATCATCGAGAAGGCCGATCCTGCCTTACGAGAGCACCTTGCAGAGATTCGACCATTCTTTGCGCTTGCAGCAACCCTTACATTATATGCCCATGACATCCAGGAATATAGTGACATAGCACGGCTTTTTGATTTCCTACTGGCGACAGAACCCGTCATATCCATCTACTTATTCGCAGCGATTATACTGTCACGCGAAAAGGAGCTACTGGAAATACCTGTCGATGAACCTGAAATGTTACATTTCACTCTCTCGAAATTGCCCCAACCTCTGAATCTTGATGGGCTGATATCGCATGCTATGCAGCTCTTCAATGAATATCCCCCGGAGTCTTTGCCGTTCGGCGCGTGGAAGAAGATTTCCCAGAACAGTGTTCTCAAGTCCTCACGGGATCCCTTTGCAACGCAAACCAGAGAAGAAGCCGTTAGGCTTTTTGAGAAGCAAACGCGAGAACTGCAAAATGAGGAGTTGAAAGAGAAAGCCCTCGCTTTCTTGTGGTCTAATAGAAGGACAATCGGTTCGGTAGTGGTTACCATTTTCATTGGTGCTGTGTCCATCTGGATCAAGAGAAAGGGCTTCGACACCCCCGTCTGGGCGTCTCTCGCTCGATTCAAATCGGCTCTTCATCGATATGGCTGGCTTTGATGGAATGGATGTTACTTTCTCTTGAGTAGTCCAGGAGAAGCAAGTCATCAACTGTTGATGCAAATGTATTAGTATAGCTTATGCAACAATTTATGAAGGATCATCAAAATTATATGATCATTATTAGAAGACCTGTTCATGATTACTTCAAAGTACGGATACGGAGTACGGAATCGATATCTTGACAGTTTAGACGAGTCGCCAACTCGGTGGGCATTTGGCATACGTACTGCTTTCTCCACATGTGTGGCTGGTGCGTGGCTTTCCATCCAACGCCCTGACAGCTGATGTGTACTCTACTTTCCACCACTCTCTCGCTTTGGAATCAACAACAGTTCGATCAACAGACACAGAAGACCCAACATGGCGAATCAGGGCTACGATGTGGTCGTAGACGTTGATGCAGAGGTAATCACCCATCGAGATACTTGCTCTCAAGCGAATGCTTTATCTGATGCTGCTTCAGGGCGACCTCGGGCATACCGACCTCCAAGAGGACCTTGAATTTCACCCATCCAGTAAGCCAATTCCTTCCAACACAGATTCCAGTTACTGATTGTCATTCCTCTCAACTACCCAGACTTTGAAAACGACCAACGAAACGCAAAAGCCCAGCAAGACTCCACCCCTTTCCTCGGCGGAGGCTCCTCCCGCGCCCGCGACAGGTCGCCGGGCGGTACACCCACCAAACACGCCTGGTGGTCCATCCACTACTACTCGCAGTTCTTCGATGTTGACACGAACGAGGTGCTCCGGCGCTGCCTCGCGACACTATACCCGCGCAGCAACTTCCTCGACGTCCTGGAAGGCAACGCCGATCTCTACGGGCCGTTCTGGATCGCAACGACGGTGGTGGTGATCCTGTTCCTGACAGGCACTATCTCGCAGTGGATGTCAAACAGGGGCGAAAAGCACTTCGAGTACGACTTCACCCTGCTGTCGGGGGCCGCGGGCTTGATCTACGGATACACGGGCATCATCCCCATCGCGCTGTGGGGTGCGCTGCGCTGGTTCGGCAGCTCCACCGCGGACTTGATTGAGTGCTGGGCCTTGTATGGATACTCGAACCTGGTCTGGATTGCTGTTGCGCTGGTGAGCTGGAGTCCGCTGACAGCGCTCAACTGGGCGCTTGTTGGCGTGGGCTTCGGTTGGACTGTCGTCTTCCTGCTGAGGAACTTGTATCCTGTGCTGAGTGCGACGGATGCGAAGACGAGCAAGATTCTCTTGATCCTGGTCATTGTTCTCCATGCGGGCTTGGCGATTGCCATCAAGATCCTGTTCTTTGCGTACGTCTGACATCTTCCTTGATTGAATGTCTTTAATCATTGCTAATGTTGTTGCAGGCACGGAAGCCCTGTTTCCAAGAAGAACAAGGACAAGGACGACGACCATCATGACTAGTGGCGGATCTTGTGTTGCGAAGATGGATGCGATGGATATACAAATGTTTTCAAGTTTCACCAACGGCCGAGGCACGCTGACTTGCTCAGGAAGCAACCACGTCATTCGTCCCTGCGTTTACTGCTTTCACTCTTTCTCTGATGAACACGCACATGTATCTGTATAACAGCAATCTAACGTCATGAGAGCAAGATTGAATTTTTACAGCTGTTTTGATTGCAACTTCTTCCGAGAGGAGTCAACTAATAACATTTGACTTTGGCTATAATGTATCGTCATCTTAACGCCTTTTAAAACCTCCCATGCTGCAATCGAGTCGTAGCTTTGAGCATTTCTTCCCCCAGCAACGCAGAAAAACCGTAACAAGATAGAAATCGTTTACTTGAGCTTCTTCTTGGGGCGGAGCTGGTTGGTGTGACCGCACTTCTTCTTACGGCAGTTGGTGGCACGAGGAGGAAGACGGGCCTATTCAAGACATCCAGTTAGCAGCGTATCCAGCGACCGTGACCCAACACTGTTCATAAATGCCGTCTTCACAAATATGTCGATGCGGGATTCGGATGGAGAGGCTAGACGTACGTAGCACTTGCGGCAGATGGACTTCTCGCAGTTGTACTTGGAGGCGAGAGCCTTGAGCGAGGGCTCGATGATACCACCACGGAGACGGAGGACGAGGTGGAGGGTGGACTCCTGTAAGAGTGAAAAGCGACCCATCAGCAAAACATATCCCATGCGACAACCATGCCAATCCTTTCATGGACGATCCTCCTCTTCGCGATAGCTCTCGTGCCGGAGGATCCGGATAATTCCCATCAACTCCAGCAACGAGGAAACCGCACGCTTCATGCGGCAAGTTCTCACTTTCCGCATCACCGAATCTCAATCCAAATGTCGTCCGATAAGGAATTCGCGTACCTTCTGGATGTTGTAGTCGCTCAGGGTGCGGCCATCCTCAAGCTGCTTGCCGGCGAAGATCAGGCGCTGCTGGTCAGGGGGGATGCCCTCCTTGTCCTGGATCTTGGCCTTGACGTTGTCGATGGTGTCGCTCGACTCGACGTCGAGGGTAATGGTCTTACCCGTCAGGGTCTTGACGAAACTATTAACCGAAACTTGTCAGTCATGGCCATTTTCTCTCCTGCATGGGTGTTCGTATTCTCTCGCGTGTATCGCGTCGGTAGATTCGGGGGCCTGGCAAAGGAGTCTCCGGATGGTGCGGTTCAAGGGTTTAAAAGACCTACATCTGCACTGTAAAATCGCAGAAAAAAATGCATGTTAGCTGATGAACTCGTGGATTAAATAGACAGCGTGTAATAACACGATGGTCAACATACTGGTTGCGATTTTTCGTTGTTGCTGGCTGACGATCGCTGAATACGCAGGCGTAGAATGCAATGTCAATTTGAGGATTTCTCGCTTAGCAATGGGTGGACTGATTTGGTGATACCCTAAGCCCTAGCTTCTGGTTTTGTCATCGCCACTCTTGGCCGCCGCCGGCAGGTGCCACTTTCCCTTTTCGGGACCTTCTCCGCATTTCCATACATAGAACTTTCTCAGCCACTTCGGTCTTTGATATCTTGGGTTTCCATGATCCTCATTAATATCAAGATCGAGGATCTAGGATGGACACGGCCTGCTCCTAGTATGATATCGTCTTCCACTATGAATACTCTCTTGCTTTAAAATCCGCCCTAATATAACCTGACCATGCATTGGGAATAGCAACCGTCTAATTTGTCGACAGCTGAACGTTGTCGCTCTTTGAGTACTAGTTACTACTGTATAGTAAAGGTTATATAACATGACTGTCTGCTAAACGACACATTTGTCATTGTTCGTCACTCGAGTCAGACATGTCTTGGGCCCCAATCGCCTCCATATCATCTGTGCTTGCGTCGTCATTTATATCCATCTCCATTGAATCTCCGTGGTACTCGGTCCTCCTCTGATCATCCAACCATCGGGAGAGCTTGGCCTCGGTTTGTGATACGGCCCTGACGAGTGTAGATAATGAGATTCCTGCCACCTTGGCAGCAGTTTCGTAGAAGGACCTTGCCGTCTCTGGCAGGTCTGACTCGGTCCGGTAGCGGGGATAGAAAGATCCTGGACGAGCGACATCAGATTCAAGATCCGGTATAGCTTTTCTGGGTTTCAGTTGGCGAATGACTGTCTGTAACATCGTGTGCATAGCTTCATGATCATCTTCCACTGAAAAAATAGGCTGGCTTTGCGAGGCAGTCGGACCAATTGGGAAGAAGTCTGCCAACGGATTTGAGACTGGAGATAAAGATTAGAACACTGTGCAAATGCTGGTTTCGACGACGCTCCTTACTTTTGCTGTGGTCCAGCCAGCTGTTCTCATACCAATCCATATATTCATCCAGCTGAGCCGGTGACATGTTGAAAACATCTTTCTCGGTGATCAATATCTCATTTCCTTTCCCAATACGTCCTCCAACCGTCTCTCGGCTATCAAAATGTCTTTGGACCTGTGACCAGAGCTCCCAATCGAGCACCTGTGCACTGGGTTCCCGTACCGACACAGGGTATCTCTTGATGTCGTCAAATGGAAAGAATAGTTTAGTAGAAATGACAACGAGGGTGATAATTTGTACCTCAGGCAGGTGAAGCGGCCGTCTTTTGCCCAGTATACTTGCTGGAAATTCAAACTTAAAGCCTAGGAGGCTTTGTATCCTCTTGACGGCGGGATATATCTCGACTAAGGATATTCAGTCAATTGGCTGTCCAGCATCCAGGGCATAATTAAACCTATACATACCTGGAAGCGCAAGGCGCCTGATATAGCGATATAGTAGAGCCGGTGTGTTTAGAGGGGGAAGCTGAACACCAAATTTTATGCGGTATAGCAATGATAGTTCAAGTGTGGCTTTGTGAAGATGTTCCGCCTTGATCAGTCTCTATCATATGGTCAGTAATCGCAAAAGCTAGGGCTGAAGTAATCGGCTCACAGTAGTTTCCAGCAGAGAGAGATACTCTTGCGGTAGCTTATCTCTCATCTCCCGCGGAATCGACCTGAGGACCCTGATAAAAGGAACATCTTCTCGCATGATCATTCTGCAGGGGAAAAAAAGATTTACATCAGATGAGACTCGTCAATTTCGTTGAAACTGAGTATTTGTTACCGATGTAGTTCTCCAACAGTGACCGGAAGCCTCATCAGCAGGCAACCGAGATAGCAGAGTCCAATTGTGTCAATTAATCGAGGCCATTGAGTAGCCCTCCCACTGGGTCTATAAGCATCCTCTTGTTTGTCGAAGGACGCGGCAGGCTGAGAACTGAAGAGTTCAGGTTCTCTATCACTCTCTGCAGAGACATTGAGCCGATCCGATAGACTCTCTAACCGAAGAGCCCACAGATCACGGACGATACTCTGCGCATCAGGAGTTAGATACCAGTATCTACATGGACAATCGGGTATGCTGTAGTTGCAGGGTACCTCAAGCTGCACCGGAAACCCTCGGCTCTGAACCAAGGCATGACATTGTTTCCAGAGTATCAGCTGGTAGATCTGTAAGAAAAGAGTATGCGCCTGGCGCCCACGGTACGCTGGTGCGATCGTTAGCAATACTCCGACCACTCAGGATATATAGCGATTCCCGATGCATACTCTTTTGGCCCTTTTCGGCGACAGCTTTCTTCACACGGCTGGTCTTGCCCTGTGTCCCAAAATCTTCGGGGTCTTCCTCGATTTGTAAACCCTGTACAGGGGAATTAATCAACCGGAAACAGAAATCTTTCGCGTGATACTATGCAAGAGAAAATAGGGCGGGGGGTTGGGGTAGGTTGACTTGACTGTACCTCTTGCTGATGACCCCGCCGGCAAAACCAGAGACCATTGTCAAGGTAATATCGAGTCTCACGGCACCCTTCCTGCCCACAGACCCCTCGGGTGGTGTACTCCATCTCGAACAGCTGTGTTCATTCTTGGATGGGGAGATGAAGCGGAAAGGTGGATGACATGTTGACAGGAGTTTGGTTCGGGTCGCAAATCGTTGATTGAGAGAATTTTGACGCCTCATATTTCGGGATCCAAGTACTTACCGTCAACTGGACAAGTACCTCTCTTTCCCATGTCACGTCGAACCTGATACAGCCCGACGATCCAATATCTACTTTATCTCTCTACACACTATGCAAAGATACCATGATTAGCAGCCAAAAAATCTCCGTCCTACAGTCCACATAGATGTCTAGTCAGACAAACGGAAAACCGAAAATCTACGAGTATGAAATAGCTCAAAATTAGACATGTAATTCTTGTTTTTTTATTTTGATCGTCAGACTATCGTTAAATTGAACCGTTTCCGGGTGGGCGCACATTGTGTCGTCAATTTAAAAGCAATTCCTTTTGCTGATGCGGCGTACATCCAAGGCTAGATTGGCGGACTCGAGTCAAGCAACAGACATGCCATAAATCGCCCAAAAGGTCGCATCATCCACACACTAAAGGACATACATGAAAGGAGACCTTGAGATACACAATGGCCGACGGAGCAGAAAGAGATCCATGAAAATTGTGATCATTTATTTGGGGGCCTCCTTGACATCCATGGCGGCCTGCTCGCCCATGGCAGTGAGGATGGAGACGTCTAGAAGGAAATCAAAATTAGAATCAGACTCGTCACGTGATGAAGGTTTGGGTCGGTCACTTACTGCAGTCCTTCTCCTCCTCACGGAACATGCGGACGATCTTCTCGCCGATCTCGTTGTCGGGGAGCTTGACATCGTCCTTGGTGGCACCGTTCTCGTCCATCAGGGAAAGGAAGCCATCGTCGGTAACATCGAGCTGGACCGGATTAGTATCTTAGTCACAGGGAGTACACTCCGTCTTCCACCGGGTACTTACGAGCTGGTAGTCACGACGGCTGACGTTGGGGACGTCCATGTTGTGGGTGGAGGGAGAGAGATCCTCGAGCTTCTTGCCGGTGAAGATATCGATGGCGACCATGTGGACCTTGGCGTGACCGTGCTTGCCGGTCTTGGAGGTGGACATGTCGACGATCTTGCAGGGACGGCCCTTGATGACAACGTGACCGTTCTTTCTCAGAGCGGAACACTGCATGGGGAAAGTCGCGGACGCACCAGCGTCGGCAGACTCGAAGGTATCATGGTGCTGAACAGAATAGAGCGTCAGTACAGATTACCAAAATAGACTTCGATGGCAGATAGTATCGGTCGATGCCTGTATCACTCTGGGTTGAGCGATGGAGCAGACGAGGGGGGACATTTGGGATGGATGCGGGGCTTGCATCGAAACCCAGCAACGCAGCGAAAAGTACTTCGAGTTGAGTGTATCGGGAGGGAGGATGGAACATACCTCGTCAGCCATTGTGAATGTGTGGGAGGAGAGTGGAAAATAGGGATTAATGAAAGTATAGCAGGAGGACCCTGGGATGGATTTTCTTTCGAATTAGGAAGAGGGAGATAGGGGGGAGGGAGAAAAAAAGTTCAGAGAGGGTTGGAGGAGACAGACGGGCGAAAAAAGAAATCGCCAAATCGCCTGCGAAAAAAGGCAGTTTTGTTGTGGCGGGGTTTTGCTGTCGCTAGCGCCCAAACGGGCCTAGTCTCGGAGAAACCACATCTGTGGTCCGCCGCGCCGACCGTAGCATCTCGACCTGGGAGAGCTGGAGTATACTGTACCTAGTAGGCTAGTAGTAGGCTAGTAGCAACAGGACAACAGGACAACAGGCCAACAGGGCATCTCTTGGCCACATCCAGGTCAGAATTATGATGTGGGATTGAGAGTCGTACTTTGCTGTTTGGTTGCTGCATTGTCCCCGATTCTGTTGTCTCCAGAAGATCCGTCAATGCGTTTGGTACAGAGAGCGAGCTCGCCCAGGTACCATTGGCATACTTCCAGATAGCGTGACGTCCCTCGATCGACTTCAATGAGATCTGTGAGCTGTTTACCACAAGCACGATCCCTCGTGCTGATTCTTCAATATGTGGCTGGACCGCATCTCGGGTCATTCCATCCCATCGGGCGCTCCGTTTGATAGTCGCAGTAATTCACCAGCTCCTCGGAGATCGCCCTCTTACCTGTCTCCTGCTCCCTCGAGCCATCGTCCCGGTCCTAATCGGCAGGGCTCCTCTTTATCGTTACTGCTGACACCGAGCGACTCGACTACATCCCTTTCGGCAACCGCACGTGAGGGTAATGGGTCAGTTCTCAAACAAGGCGCGGCTGCAAGGTCCCGCCCGTCTGACGTAGCTGATCCGCTCGAGGTGTTGCAGAGTATAATTGGAAAGCAGAAGGGGGGCACGCTGGAGACTGCTGCTGCTACATCGGTATCGCCGCAATCAGGAAAACCTCCGACGCTGGTTGAATCAATAGATTTCGGAGGCCTCAGTCTGGAGGAGTTCGCATCCCAAGTAGACGAGCCACGCACGACATCCTCAACCGAAGTCAGTGCCCAGACAATCCAGCAATTTGAGAAGGAAAGAGATAAATTCCAGGATCTACACTCTGCTATCACGAGCTGTGACGATGTCTCCAAGTCAGTTGAGGTGTATCTGAGTGATTTCCAGAGCGAGCTTGGTGCCGTTTCTGCTGAGATTGAGACACTCCAGACCCGATCTGTACAACTGACTGCGATGCTGGAAAATCGGCGCAATGTAGAGCAACTTCTTGGCCCTGCCGTGGAGGAGATTAGCATCTCACCGCGAGCTGTTCGGCTGATCGCCGAGGGACCCATTGATGAGAACTGGGTCAAGGCCTTGAGTGAGATCGAGGCGCGCACAGCAAGTATAGAAGCAAAGGTTTCTAGCGGTGGTAGCACGAAATCAATCGAAGACGTACGCCCATTATTGAGCGATATCAAAGACAGAGTTAGTGAACCACTGCCAGCACCAGGCCGTCGTCCCATTGCTGATAACTTGTGCTGCAGGCAATAGAAAGAATCAGGGACTATCTGGTGTCTCAAATCCGAGCGCTCCGCTCCCCGAACATCAACGCCCAAATTCTACAACAGCAACGCCTGGTCAGATTCAAGGACATCTATAGCTACATCTCTCGAGCTCACCCGCAACTTACGGGAGAAATCACACAGGCATATATTAACACCATGCGATGGTATTACCTTTCGCATTTTACACGCTACTTGCAAGCTCTCGAGAAGATCAAAGTCTACCCAAGCGATCGAAATGATATACTCGGAGGGGACCCTTCTGCGCAGAAATCAGGTGGGCCACCCCTTGTTCATTGGGTACGGTTTCGACCGGGGCTAAATATTGTACAGGGCATATCATCACCGGCCGCTCCGGCTCAGCAGCACACGATCCGTTTTCTCTTGGCAGGAGGATTGACATCCTGCGAACCAGCAACCACATGGCCATGTCGGCATATCTGGCCGAGGAGGATAAGTCGTTCCATGGAATCGAAGTTCCTTTCCGTAACTTCAACCTTGCTTTGGTGGACAATATCTCCGCCGAGTATTCTTTCATGACCGAGATGTTTTCGACATTGTCCTTTCATCAGATCTCTCGCAAGGCGGTTGAGATCTTCGAACCAGTCTTTGCAGTCGGTCAGAATCTGACCAAGCAGCTGATCGAGAATTCGACGGACTCGCTGGGAGTCTTGATCTGCGTGCGATTGAACCAACATGCGGCCTTTGAGCTGCAACGGCGGAAGGTGCCAGTGGCCGATTCCTACGTCAACGGGACCAACATGCAGCTATGGCCGAGATTCCAGGTGATCATGGATCTTCACCGCGAGTCCCTGAAACGGGTAGCTTCCAACACGGGTCGAAGTGCTGTTTCTGCGTTGTCGTTAGCAGGTGGCGATGACTTGACCAAATCGTCTGCACCGCACTTCCTTACACAACGATTCGGCCAGCTCGTGCATGGCATTCTGGTTCTTAGCAGCGACGCCGGGGATGACGAGCCAGTCTCGAACAGCTTGAAACGGCTGACCTCCGAATTCGACAATCTCTTGACCAAATTGAGTCGGAGTGGCGGAGACGCGAAGAGGAGGGAGCGATTCCTATTTAATAATTATTCTTTGGTCCTGACCATCATTAGTGTAAGTGCCTTGATCCCCTCACCGCCATATTGCCGATAACTGACATCGACGTAGGATACCCAAGGCAAGATGGCCACCGAGCAAAAAGAGGTATGTAACCATTCAGAGTCTTGTCTACCTTCTATCAGGGATCTTGCTGAATACTGACTTGCCCCCAGCACTTGGATGAGATGCTCAAGAACGTCGGAAAACGAGGCTAGCTTTTCCGAATTCGATGCAGATGTGACATAGAGAATTGGCTGTACATTATTCCCATTAGCGATTCATATTCATGCTGATACCATTCTTTTGACTTGGAAGAATCATGTAATCATCTCGGCTTCCCCAGCTGGATATAATATAACCTGCGACCGTAAGGTGTTCTCATACTAGCACCGGGAGCAGTAACACTCTGATAGATCACTCGAATTGCAAAGCCTAGCTGTCTCGTTATATGAAGCAATCAAGATCTGACACGGCGTTCTTATCTCGGCGTTATCGGCCATCGGCTCCAGCACCGACGCTCATATCCATATCACCGCGGGGGGATTCCCAAGTCTCGCAAACCTTTTCTTCAATACAGGACTCTGCGCATTTCTGGAATTGAAGTCCATCACGCATTTCGGGGCCATGGCTACTCGCGCTTGTCTCTCAATCCCTAGTAGGGTATTCCGCCCGCAGCGCAACTTCTCCAGCACGCGACCGTCCAAGGCCGACGTCACACATGCGGTAAACCCTTCTCCCCGCAACGCCTTGGCGCAGACGGTTCGAGCTTGACACAATGGATACTCATCGATGACAAGGTAATTGGCGCCGGGGTGGTAGGGCTTGCGGTTGCGCGGCAACTGGCGTCGCGAGAGGGTACCTCGACCATCCTCCTGGAGAGGCACGAAGCGGCAGGAACAGAGACGAGCAGCCGTAATTCCGAGGTGATTTTCATTCCACATCCACAACTGCGCCAGTCGCCAGTCGCCAGACCAGGAAAGAAAGATTTGACTAATGCCGCTTTGCAACTTGGGTTTGATACTAGGTTATCCACGCCGGGCTATACTACGGAGCCGACTCGCTCAAAGCACAACTATGCATCCGAGGGAAACACCTGATGTACGACCTGTGCGCTCAGCACGGCATCCCGCACCGTAACACGATGAAATGGATCGTCGCGCAGAACGAGGAGCAATGGCGCGCCGCGATGGCCGTGCACGCGCTCGCACAGCAACTCGGGGTCCCGACGCGGCCGGTCGGGCGCGAGGAGGCCGCGCGGCGCGAGCCAGAGGTCCAGGCGCTCGCGGGGATCGTGGAGAGCTCCTCGACGGGGATCGTTGACAGCCACGCGCTCATGACGTACCTGCAGGGCGACTTTGAAGACCGCGGTGGGGACTGCGCGTTCCTGACGGCCGTGACGGGGATCGAGGCGCTGGAGGGCGGGCGCGCGGGCTACCGCATCACGGCTGTGTCGGCGGACGGCGCGGAGACGTCCATCACGGCGCAGACGCTGGTCAACAGCGCGGGAAACGCTGCGTGCCAGGTCAGTAACATGGTGCTGCCGCGGGAGCGGCACCGCACGCCCTACTACGCCAAGGGCACGTATTTCGGGTACTCGGCGTCGTTTCCCAGGACGTCCGTCCTGGTGTATCCGGCGACGCTGCCGGGCCATGGCGGGCTGGGCACCCATTTGACCCTCGACATGGCGGGGAGGATCCGGTTCGGGCCTGACGTCGAGTGGGTGGACGATCCGACGGATCTGAAGCCCAGCCCGGCCAGGCTGCAGCAGGCGTTGCCCGAGATCAAAGCCTACCTGCCTCACGTGGACCCGGACGCCATCACGCTGGATTACTGCGGGATCCGGCCCAAGCTGGGGCGAGGCGGAGCCGTGAACACGGGCAAGGGGTTCCAGGACTTTGTCATCCAGGAGGAAGAGGGATTTCCTGGGTTCATCAATCTGCTGGGCATTGAGAGCCCGGGGTTGACGAGTTCGCTTGCCATTGCGGAGATGGTCGAGGGGCTTCTCTATCGATGATGGGGTGTTGCATGATGACATGACTTTCCAGCGCTGACCTTGTCCTATACCCTATGCATATGTTCATCGGTCCATTGCTTGGCTATAATCTCTATGACCCAGCACGCATAGATACCTAGACAACAGCAATCTCAACAAAAAAAAAAAAAACTACAACTTTCAATCACATCTCTAAATCTCCTTTTAGGAAACCTCTCCCTCCACCCAATCTGAACCAGAATGTACAGAGAATAAGCTCTCTCTCTACCCAGATCCTCATCCATCCATACTCTGGTTCTGACGTCAAGCACTCCTTCCCGAACGACGTGAACCCCAAAATCCCATAGCTGGTTCACCCACACATATCCGCTTGCGCACTGTATGCACTGTTACTCAGCTTCTCAGTGTGGACTGTGGAGTGGGAGTTACATCACGTAGATCGCGGACTCCGCCAGACTGAGGGAGATACATACTCCATACGGTAGGAATTGCCACATATGGGGTTCTTGAGGTATTAATGTGGCTGGTATTAATTTTTTTTTCTTCCTGGTCCGTTCGCTGGAGGTTTTGAACACTGTACATATATCGAACAATTGCAGAGAGATGACGGATGAGTCCATGTTAGAATTCACCTCAAGTCCAGTCGTCATCCAGTCGTGTCATCAAACGTCTACCATCTCTTGCTATATACACAGAGCTTAAACGATCTACGCGCGAGATTATCGCGATAAGCAAATGCAGCGACCGCAATCGCAGAGCCATCCACGACGTCCGCACCAGCGCACCAGCCAAGATTCTTCCAAATATAACCGCTGCTGGGACTGGATTGTCGTTGACGGCAATTGCCACTACGCCAAAAACCGCTCCACCTTCCGCTCCTACCGACGCGCACCAGGGCGGATCGGCCGGTCGCGCGTCCTGGGCATCGGTACAGTCGAGCTGGAGGTTCAGCGTGCGCCTCGTGATCCCCGTTCCAACAAGCTTGTCCTCGAGGATGTATGGCACATGCCAGATGCGCGGTGTAACGGGTTGAGCGCTCCCACGTACAAGGCGGCAAATCCGCCCTTGTCGGTTGAGACACAGGGGGAGCATTGCCAGGCGAAAAAGGAGGAAGATGGTGAGGCGCAATGGTTTGGGGATCCGTACTGTGGCTTGTCGAGGGTAGTGCTGGCGGGCAACCCAGAGGGAGACTCATATCTTCGGGATGGTCAGGGTCATATGCTGGACGTCAGCGCCACACCAGAGGAACTGAGTAAGCTGCATAGCCGAGTTCGACAGTGGTGATTAATTGATCTTGTCTGACAACCTTGCATACGATGTGTGTAAATAATCGGTTTGCCGTTCGTCAAGGATGGTCAATCCACAATCATTTCATCAACTTATAACTCGAGAGCCAAAGGGTACTCGTAGTCGAGAAGCATACTATCTCCGTTGGTTTGGAAAAAATAGCCTGACAGGTTTGGGGTGGTCCTGTTAGTCAACAACTCTAGCATTATACGATGCGTCTGAGCCAGCAAGATGCTCATTCCACATCCATAAGCACGTCGCCCATGATATGAAGGATATGGGAGAACTTCCGGACGCTCCATTTGCCAGCATCTTTCAAGAGCCCTGCGTAATCCAGCATGATCCGTCGTGCCGATTGATAGCCTCCTTGGATGGGGACTCCACGAAGATACATCGTCCCTCCGTTGCGGATGAAATTTACTGCTGGGTTATCCGAGGGAATAAAGGACTGACTGCCTCGGGGTTCCATGAAACTAGTGAACCCCTCTCGACCAACTGACTGCCAGTTGATGTTGTCCAGCAGCTCTATTGAAGTGCCTCCGGCCGATGCCGCGGGAGGGTTCGGTGCCATGAATGTATACAGCGCCAGCACAAGCCCCGCAGAGAAGAGTGCGAACACGGAGTGGAACATGGTATGATCTGAGGCTTTTCGGTTCATCATGGCTTTGTAGATTTGTGCTGCGTGGAGACACGCTCTTCTGGCTGCAGGTGTTTGAGCCCACGCCGCAATATCATCCAAAGCCTTTCGAGCAGGAAGGGGACCTGCACGTCCAGCGGCCAGGTCAAATATTTGGATGTCAGCCGTGAGCGTCATGCACATGTTATGCCACATAACGGCAACATTCACGTCAAGTCGTTCAAGAGCCTCGCTGTACTTATTGGTGATCTGCAACTGGAGGGTAGGTAGGCACCTCGCTCGACCGTCCATCGCGTATGTGTGGCATGGCGCGAACGGATAGCTCGCACGATTCGACAGTAGACGATGATAAGCCTCGGATAGTCGTAATTGTACCATTGCTAGCACCCCGTGCATACACAAGCCATCCACTGAGCCGTCCAGTGCCGGAAGATCGACATTTTCTGACGGAGCAACAACAGTTGGCATTAGAACTCGCTTGCCACTGCGAATCAGCTGCATCCACTGCATGGAGCTTTTCGCGTTGAAAAGCGCTTCATCACATGGGAGAATGAGCTGTATAGCATCTGGCACAATGACAGGGCTCATCGATAAGAAGGAAGAATACCAAGAGTCGAGCAGCAAGAGTCCGGTGATGAGTCTATTTGAGGTCAGAAATTGGAACTCTTTGCGACATAGGTACACACCTTTTCACCGACTCGACTTTACTCCATGCCTTCCACCTCGCGTCGACATCAGGCACGGTCTCAAAAATGCTCATATCAAGTATTTGGCCTTCTGTTGCTGCAAACAGCCCATGTCGTTGCGCGACCTAAAAATGTGTTGGCTCAACTCTTGAAAAGAAACTCAGGTGGCGCTTACAGTAACGAGGCTGATATAGAGCATTTGGCTCTGCGCTATGTGTTCCTTCTCCTGGTATAGGTTAGCGCATACTCCGAAGTCAGAGATCAAGCTTGTCATACCCCGGTCATCGCAGCAAGATTAAGAAACAGAAATGCCGCTGCAAAGGTAGACAAAGTGCCCACAGCGTCCTGATTTCCAGCCGCACACTTAGCCAGCTCGCCCGTAATTCGTGCAAGCACCAGCTGTTAAAAAAACATTAGCTTTGTCAGACTGTATACACATGGCTCACCCACATTGAAGTTCTTTGAGACGAAGGTTGTCGTCCCCTTGGTTCCCAGCAAGATCATACCAATCAGACACATGACATAGAGCACTGACGAGCGGGACTTCTTTGCAGTGAATGTAGGGATATGGATGAAAGGCACAAGGGGGTGGAAGTTGCGGAAATACAAGTCCAGAGCCATGTCTAAGACCTCGGCCGGGGGGAAGGTGTGAAGGGAGCCAAAGGTTGCCGCAGACCCTGCTGAAGAAACCGGGGTTGCATCTGACTGTCTCAAATGTGGATCTGAGATTTGAATCTGGCCAAAGGTTGCGTGAAGATGCTGCCTGCACTCCTCGTCCAGCCCATACCTTGACCCTATTAGCAGGGCAGGGGAATTATTATAGGATTGCCCGGAATATAGGTTGAAGATATTGTCCAGGGAAATGCGAACTACATCTCGCCATAGAGCATTCATGAGACGCCCAGCGCCATTGGATGGAGCAAGCCAATACCGCTGAACCCTGGCAAACCGTTCACTCGGGATGTCGTTTCCGGACTGGATGCTCATCCCCTCAACCGGATGGCTATGTAGCCGCTCATCGGGCGGTACTGTAGCTCGATCGCTTATCGAACCCATAGTGGCCTCAGGCGCGAGGTCTATCGAGCTATGATGAGAGGTGGTATCGCCTCGAGGTTCCAGCCAGAATTGCAAAACGTCATTTGGCATAGGGTCGAACAGCGAGGCTCTATATGCGGGGGCTTCTGTTGCTCCCACGTCACCCCATTCAAAATAATTCTGCTGCTCATCCATTAACAAAGAGTTGATCTGCGGCCCCGTCCGAGCCTGGTGCGCGGATATGTCCGCCAGAAAGTCAAGAGAAGATGGTTGGATGCCAGCTGCTGTTGGTAGAGGGGCATCGCGTGGCATGACTGGCATACTTTGCACTGGTTGTACGTCGCAGGAATTCACATTAGGGATCAATTGACTACTGTCATTGACTAGCGAGTGCTGCTGGTCATAAATCTGACTGGGCGCTGGATGAGGTTGACTCTTTACAACGCTGGTGGTAGCACTTGCGGAGGCGCCGTTGTGGCCCTTTGCATGACGGCTGAGAACATCGCTGTTGGAGGGAGGTTAGCAGATGATATCTCGAAGCTTCTGCTTGAAGCAGCCAACGCCAATGACATGCTGCATGACCCACCTTCGGGAGAAGCGTTTGTGACAGACATTACACTCGTACGGTTTTTCCTTGGTATCTGTTCGAACCCGAGGGTCAGAAGCGTCAGACACGTATGGCCAGTGAAGAGCAAGGTTTACTAACGCGATCGTTCGTGACGCTTGAAGTGCTCCGTCTTTTTGAACCGGCGGTCACAGATGTTACACTTTTTCAGGACCATGACGAATCTCGCAGGACTGCGAGGTGATCGAAAAAGGAGAGAAGGATCCAAGATCACATCACCACCACATCAATGTATGCAAATCATAAGAGGAAGAAGACACTGGATGATGGTGACAAGGGGAGGGGGAGAGCGAAGGAGATGGAAGCAGAAGATGTTGCGCGCTCTTGAATATCTTCAACAACCAACTAGTAGGTCGACTTACTTAATGGCCAATGCTGAGGGGATTGGTTGTTACCCGTTTGGTCAGGTTATGTCTGATACGGTTTAGTGCTCCTATGGAGATGCGGGTTCAACGTGGGAGCCGCGGTATCAAATGCGGTATGGTACGCGCACTTACAGGTTGTGTATGTCTTTGCTGAGTTTGCTCTTCTGGACACTCTCATGACTCCAAACCATGGTCATTCAAATATTTAGAATCACTGATGCTTGGTATATTAGTATGGTAGTAGGATATACAGATGGACAATCTAATCTATTCATGCAGTGCGCGGTAGTTGAATTCCTAGATATGACCGAGTACCTACAGGGTCTGTCCTCGGGTTCCATGTATTGATATTGTAGACTGAGACACACCCCATGGGGAAAATTACTATTATTTCCTCCTCTCCATCGACCTGCAACATCATCATCAAATCATCATTAGCACTTGGCTTCTCTTTAAATTGGAAGAACGCCCAGCTGTCGAATTTTGATTTTTATTGATCCAAAGTTGACAGCCCATATGACTCCAGCCACAATGCTAGTCAGCGCCGCGCACAGAGGGGATGCCGTCGTCGGCAGTTGTTGATCCTTGATCTCCCGACCTCATATTTCAAGTCTAACTGGCAACTCAACATCCTCATATTGCCTGTGACTTTGGATTGAGATGCTAGCTTCGTCTATAGAGTTCTGCACTTCATGCTATGATTTCCAAGGACTTTGGAGGACGAGGATCTGATGACCAAAACTCAAGATTCTGGGAAATGCCCAGCTGACGGCAGAGCGGTATGGTTTGATGTTCCATGAACTGCTGGACCACTTGTGGCCCATTTCTCTCGTGAATTTCTAGTAGCTCACGAGGGTTATGAATCCTAGAGTCAGTTATTCACCTGCGTGTCTGTTCCGCTTCGGCGCGCAGTGCGAAGAGTTGGTTCATAGGCGGACTGTGAGGTTAGTGGAGTGCTATGAACTTCGTTCAAAGGGTTCCAAAGTCGATGTCGCTCCAGCAGAGCCTCAAAGTGTTCTAGACGCGGATCTAGAAAATGACTTGGCTGTCGAAGGTGACACCTAGCCAAAACGCTCCGGTGGACTGAGCCAGACTATGCCAGCAACGACACCCTATCCCCCGGATTCTGCACTTGTTCCTGACTTTGCATCGCATGATAATCCCATGAATCGATGGCGTTGACATATCGCGTCGATGTATCCTTCGAGAGCGCAACCCTGGGGTGGACTTGTAGGTGTTCCACTTGCTGCCCCTGGTAAGTATGCAAGAACTTCAGAACTCATCGGTCATACAAGACACTGGCTCTTTATCAAGCTGTCAAAAGCCACTACAGAAAAAATTGCTGTTTATAACAGTGGGGCAACAATCCGCGTGCCCCACGGAGATCTGATGTGGACTGGGGAGGAGAGCAATAAGTATATTCTTGAAAGTCCCAGAAAATCCAGACTCCAATTCCACGATCCAGACAGACGACGAATCTCTCTGCTCAATTCAGCTGACATAAGGCGAATATCGGGATTTTTTGTTCTCATATCCATACGTAGTATTGTAACCATTCCCGAGTTCCGGATACTTCTCCGGCCTTTCGAGCATAATCCGTCGTTTCACACCATCTTTCCGACGATTGTGATGTCCTATCCAATTCCGGGTTGTCGGGGAGATTGCTGGGTGGTGTTGATGAGCTGTGGCAGAACCCGTATGCTGCCGGCGAGTCTATTTGAGGAGCTTCCCGAGACTGAAAGCTGCTCCCGTTCTTCCTCTTTGGAGAGAAATTCCTCTTTTCACCAAATAGTAGGAGCCTCAGGCTACCAATCGATCTGTAACCGAGTTGTCAGGGTTCTTTGCCGATGCGGATCCCGAGTCGGAAGTAAGCCAGTTGTATACATTACATGGACGGCTGGCTCATACACATCTTCTAGTACTGCAAGCTACCTAGGTACCTATATACGATAGAGAGCATAGGTATCATTGATAGAGGTAGAAAACATGGCATAATACCTTTGATCTACACAGACATTTGCCCTTTCTATTTACAAACAGAGAGCGCATCATGTTACAATATGAGGACTCTTCTCCAAGCAGGATGAACACTTTCCCATCCTAGGTAATAATCACAATAAAGAAAGTTACGAGACGACACCTAGGTATCAGGGTGTAAATTACCGTACCCACGTGTTATTTCCGGACGTGGGGCCGGCTTCGGAAGGCGGCAAAACAGTCTAATCGCTCCTAGGTAGTAGGTACTAGTACTCCGTACGTACTACTAGTAACACTAAACACTAACTGCTTCCATTTCTTAGTCCCAAACTGCTCTGTGAGCCAACTTGTACAGCCCAGAAAGAGATGGCGGATAATCGCTTTGTCGGCAACCCTGGCGTTATTCGCTAGCCGATATGCCTTCTGGATCCTCTGGAGTAGATATCGAGAGAGCTTCCCCAGGTGCCCCAGAACCGCCAGCGTTCTTTTTCGTGGTTTCGGCTTCTTGTCTTCCTTTTATCCCTTTCTTTTCCTTCTTCTCTTCTTTCTTCTCTTCTCTTTTCTTCTTTCTTTCCTTAATTTCGACTCATTTGTTGGAGTATTCATTAGAGGTCCGACCATGTCGCGACCTCTCCCAGCGGTCTTCCGCCCCATCTTTGGGCGGCGGAACTTCTCCGTCTCCGCCAACAGAAGAGCCATTGATAAAGTATGCGCGTCGGCTCAGGAAGCCATCAAGGACATGAAGGGGAGCTCGACCGTGCTCTGCGGTGGTTTCGGTTTCTCCGGTGTCGCCAACACTCTGATCAATGCTGTGCGTGATCGTCCCGATATCAAGGATTTGACGGTGGTCTCCAACAATGCTGGAATGCCTGGTGCGGGTCTGGGTATGTTTGTGCTCAGAGCTTCGACATGAAGCGACCAATGATTGATAGATAGAGATCGGGTGCTGACAATCTCCAGGCCAATTGCTCGAATCTGGCCAAATCACCAAAATGATTGCTTCTTTCATCGGTGCAAACAAGGTCTTCGAAAAGATGTATCTCAACGGCGATCTCGCTCTGGAACTTACCCCCCAAGGCACCATTGCTGAAAAGTGTGCTGCTGGTGCAGCTGGTATCCCTGCTTTCTACACTCCCGCTGCTTATGGAACAATTGGTAGGTCTTTTGCGCGCCTATGGTACAGACTGCACAACTGAGGATGTCGCTGACCATGGCCCCTTTAGTGCAAACTGGTGAGCTCCCCGTGCGTTACAACAAGGATGGTACCGTCAAGGAATACTCCAAGCCCAAGGAAACCCGGCAATTCAACGGCAAGAACTACATCATGGAAGAATCGATTTTCGGCGACTACGCTTTGATCCGCGTCCACAAGGCGGACAAGCTCGGTAACTGCCAGTTCCGCAAGGCCATGAACAACTTCAACGAGGCCATGGCCAAGAATGCCAAGTACACCATCGTCGAGGCTGAACATATTGTCGAAGTTGGCGAGCTTGCTCCGGAGGAGATTCACCTGCAGGGCATCTACGTCAACAAGGTTATCCAGAGCACGGAAAAGACCATGATTGAGAACCCCACCTTCGCCAAGGATCCCAGTGAAATGCTCAAGGCTGGTATGTTAACTCTACATTATCCGGTATGTATGTTTCCCCCGGCTAATCGTTGTAGGTTCTGGCGAGGCCACTGCTCGTCGTGAACGGATCGTCAAGCGCGCCGCCAAGGAATTCAAGGACGGCATGTACGTCAACCTCGGTATCGGCATTCCCCTGATCGCCCCCGCATATCTCCCTGAAGGCGTCGAGGTCGTTCTGCAGGCCGAGAACGGCATCCTGGGCCTGGGCCCCTATCCCCAGCCCGGCCAGGAGGACCCCGATCTGATCAACCCCGGCAAGGAGACCGTCACCCTTAACCCCGGCGCTTCGGTCTTCGGTTCCCACGAGAGCTTCGGCATGATCCGCGCTGGCCGCATCGATCTCACCATGCTCGGCGCCCTGCAGGTTAGCCAGTACGGTGACCTGGCCAACTTCATGCTCCCCGGCAAGGTCAAGGGCGTCGGAGGCGCCATGGACCTCGTTGCCAACCCTGAGAAGACCAAGGTCGTCGTGACCATGGACCACACCGATAAGAAGGGCAACCCCAAGATTCTGTCCGAGTGCACCTTCCCCCTCACCGGTCCTCGCTGCGTGTGGAAGATCATTACCGATCTGGCCGTCTTCGAGGTCAGCCCCACCGATGGTCTGACGCTGGTCGAGACCGCCGAGGGTGTGACTGTCGAGGAGATCCGCAGCAAGACCGAGGCTCCCTTTAAGGTCGCCGAGACTCTTGGAACATTTTAAATGATTTGCGACAAGAGTATATGTTTTGTTTTGTTTTTTCCCCCAACGTCTTGTAATTTAGATGTTATATCCATAGAGTTGAATTTACGGTTTTGATATCCTTCTAGCCGAAGCTACCGATGTTGAATTACTAAGAGATTCAGAGATTCAGAGATTCCCATATATCGATTCCAATCATAGTGGAATCAAGCTCTCCCAGGCAATCAGGATCCCCCAGACGAATAGGGCAGCACCCGGGCAATTTTCCAGAGGGTTGAGACCCATAGCTGGCATTGCATCAAGCACGCTTTACTAACCCCAAGCCTGTTGTATCAGAAACCTTGCAGTTCATACCACACCCATAACATAACCTCTCAAACGCACCATGGGACCAGCAGCACGGAAACAGGAAGATGAAGGCATCTAAATCCCTAGGATGGATGAAAGGTGATGCTATTCGTGGTGCTATTCTAGCCGGGCAATCAGCTTACTCCAGTTAGCCTCAACATCCCCTTCTTCTCCCCCTCCGAGCCTGCGCCTGGGAAAAGCGAAACATGCCCCCCCGTCAGAGTACCGGTTAAGGTCATATCTCGAATCCCTCTGTATGGTGCTGAAATCTCATAATGCGCCGGTCACTTTTTCCTACCATCCAGATAGAGCACGAGCCCAACATGATTCTGCGACCTCAACGTCGCCATGCCTTCGAGCTGAGTCTCGAAGGTCACACCTCAGCCTTCTTTGGTTTACGGGCCGAATGATCTAGCCCTGAAAATGGAGGTTTAGGGTAGCCAGTCTCTTGTTTAACCAGGTTTACAATGGTTGTCTACAAAGCACTACCTAGGTCCGAGGGGGAGATTAGCGTTTCATTCGATAAATTGCAGCATATCACTCCCCCTTTCGCGAGGCCTTAACTACAAGTGTCTGACCCTCCTGTGCCGTCACTCCGTCGCTCACCTTCCGCATCCTGCACAGCCTCCTGATCCCAGAAATCAGCCTCATCGTCACGTTCGACGAGCTCGACCGGGGGACGAAGGACATTGAGGCGAGCTTCAATACGCGAACCGAACCACGGGGGGCTAGGACCGAAGACCACCATGAACTGTCCCACTGGAATGCCGAACCTCAGAACCGGGTATATGCTCATATCTAGCCGCAGGTCTTTATTGTGCTCAGTAAACTTAGCTGTCAGGCCCTCGGCGATTGAGCCCGCGGTGTGGCCGTATCCCCCCGTGACCGTCCAACTGCGAATCATTCCCCATGCTGCTGCAACTTGGTCAGGGTGGAGGCCCGTTTGTTCCGCACCTTCTTGGGCAAAGAAACACAGATCGCCCGGTCATCCCGGGTTAGTCGCTCCTTGTCCGTCTTCGAGGGACGAGGAATGGAGGACGTGGAGACCCTTCGTTCCGACTTTTGTAGGGAATCCTGCGAGAAGGGGGAACTTGTCTCCATTTGTGAAAAGACAAAAATAAAAATAAGAAATACATGAAAACCCCAACTCCCGCACCCACCATTGCAAGGGTACCCAATGTCGGGCGCGAGTGCAACACAGCTTGCGGGGCCAGGAAGGTGGCTACCGGGCCTAAGGCCGCTCAAAAGAGCAGCTCTTGTGGCCGCGGTAGAGACAGTTATTACACTTCCTGGCCAACCCGCCGGAAATGCATGCCGCAAACGCCAAGCTTGTGCTTGGGTCGCGACAGGCGCTACACTCCTCACCGGTGGGAGGTCTCGCCCCAGCCCGAGTTACAAGGATGGCCTCGCGGAGCTGGGAGCGAATTCCCAGCTGACTGGGTGCACCGAAGCCACACCAGTCAACGGATCGCAGCGGGACCCTGGTAATCCACGCTAGCTCCCGGTTTGACAGGTGGCGGCTATAGGCCACCGCTAGGGGGCAGACATATAGATGTTAGGGCAGCTGAGGGCCCTGTGAGGAGCCAAAAGTGCATAAGACCTGCTCCCTAAGGTAGGATGCCGAGGGCCAGAGGGTGCCTAGGATCCATGACCTTTAGGCTTCGGGGTGAAGTGGATTAAAGTCGTCGCCAAGTCTGCCACGGAGGCGGTCGATGACTTTCCCGCTGCCTTCAAAAAAGATAGCGGAAGCGAGTTGAGCCACATACGTACCACCCTACTTACGTTCGGTGTCGCCTTCTGGGAGCCTGTGTAGTTCGTAGGATCCGCCTCTTTCGAATCACTTTGGTAACCATGCCCAGTTTCCGGATGTGCGATGGATACTACTGGATGTATACGCCATTCAGGCGGGAAGTCCAGACGGTAAGAGGACCTGCGAATTGGTTGCCGATCTTCCGAGTGCCTTGCAACGCAGACAAAGGTGGAAATTGAGGGTCGAAGATCGAGACATGCGACGAGGATGTCCTCTTGAGAATACTCGACTCTGGCTTCATATATTGTTATTCCTTGAGAAACGCCACAGCTGATGACAAAACGGAAGGAAGGGTGGATGACGTCGAGATGTTCAGCAAGAAGGACCGCTTTATGAGCTACTTACTGGTATAATATGAGCGGGCTCAAAACCGTCGAAGTCCTCCATGAAGTCCTCCATGTCGGCTTCCAGCGCTTCAAGACCAGAGATAACACATCTTTAATCACGTCTCTTGACTTGTCTTTGCGTTTGTCAGGTTGTTAGCTGAACATGATGGGAACACAAGTTTACTTACAGTGGGAAAATTGCATCTCGACCGGAGTTTGGAAACGAGTGAGTTCGAATAAAGTATAAGATTTATCTTTGAATAAGAGATGTAGCATGAGCCGATGATGGATTCCGCGAATCAATCTGACACCTCCTCACGACTCAGCTAGAAATGTGTCTAGACATCACTTCCTAGCTGGTAGTGATATGTGTAGTAGCTGTTGACACGATCGCACCGCACACGATGTGTCCATCTGATTACTGAACTCATTCCAACACCCTGGCTGCTCTTTTGCCGTGGGAACCGTGGGTAGAAGCTGTAAAGTGTCCCACCAAGCACAGTGCTAGAGATCAGGGAGGAGAATTTGCATTTTGCAAGGGGGATGGAGGCAGGTGAAAACACCATGGCATGATCCTCGCATCAGCTTTGTTTGTTCCATCACCCATATGAGGTTGACCGCAGAACAAGTACATAGCTGCAAAATCGAGTTCTTGATGAAGAGGGGGTTTGAAATCTCTCGGTTTCGTGGTGTGGTGTTACCTTTCTCTCTCTGCTTGGGGTCATAACATGCTGTATGACTTATATAGAGAGAAGAAGAGCTAGTGTTTGAGAGAGAGAGAGAGAGAGAGAGAGAGGAGATGCAGAAAGATAGTATGATGGGGGTGGAGACAGTATTTATATGAGGAGAAGCATGTCTCAAGTTGATTCATTCTATATAAAGTGAACGGAGAGGATGAGTGTCTAGGGAGGGAAAGGAGCATTAATATACTGTTAGAATCTTCAACAATGGAGGGTTAGTAAAGCTAGAATGCAGCAAACCTAAGCATCAATAGATCCAGCCATATTCACTGCGGTGTTATTCTGTCCTTGAAAATAATATTAGCTAACGGGGGATGCATAACTGACTGCAAGAAGTGAGTGAAGATTCACTGCCATGCAGGATGTGACGCTAACATGCCAGGGTATATACAATGAAATGATTTCAAACAAAGACTGAAGTGGAAGACCTGGTCCAGCCAGTCTACTCTACAGCACTGGGCTCTCCCAGGAGTCGCGTTTGATCTTCATCAGGGCCGACTGCTTATGGGGAAAAGTCACCTCTCCCTCCTTGTAAAATCCAGCATCCTGCAAATACCGAATGATTCTAGTGCTGTTAGCAAATCCTTTAAGAATCTGGGAGAGAGGGCAATCACTAACTTCACATTGTCTACTCGGGGCTCCAGCATCACCGTTTGTGTGCGGAGGTCTGCAAGCCAGCAGTAGTGGACCAAGGAACTGAGCCAGATGGCCACCCGATGTGCTCCCCGATACTCCTGTTCTCCCACCAGCAGATGGATGCCTCGGTCGTAATTATCGGCTCCGCCAATAAGTGGCCCCAGGCGATCCTCTTTAATCCAGTAGATCTCAAAGTACCCGAAAGGTTTCCCGTCCCAGCATCCGATCACCGGGAAGCTGTGCCGGCTGGACAGATTCTTGCGCAGAAAGTCCTCTTGCTTGGTGATGGGTCCGCCCTCTCCCCACGCGGCGTCGACCCGTGCATCATTCATCCATTTATGGAGTAAGTCCAGATCCGACGGTGAGCTCGGCGGCGGTATCTCAATGCTGCTCGTCGACTTATTTTCACTGTGGCCGAGGTGTGACGCCGGCCCGCTGGCGGGGAGATTCGGCACACGGAAGGACAGATACTGCCCAACACTGGGAATGTACCGAATGTAAAACACCTCTCCCTGATGAGGCGGCTTCGGCCGAACCGGATGTCGCAACCCGTTGGTGAACGTATACTGAGTGGGCGGCGGCGGGAAATACGTCGGAAGGTGGCTGCTGGAAGCAAACGGGCCCTCTGTTGGCGTATGCGGCAGGATATCCTTCCCGACGGCGGATCCAGACTCCGTTCCCAGCAGACTGTCCCGCGAGGGGGACGCGAATCTAGGCGAGAGGAAAGGCGACGACAGAGCAGACTGCAGAGGGTTGGTGGGGGTGGGGGTGAATACGAAAAGACGGGGGTCGATCTGCCAGAAGCTCCGCCGGCTGACGAACATCCGCGACCACGCCTGGGAGTCTCGCGTCTCAACGGGCTGATGTCCGACAGACGAGTCCTCCGTCGCAATGAGACCCATCCGCTCCAGCTTCTGGAACAAATTGCGTCCCTTGAATATCCCCTCCCGCTTGAGACTGATGCGCCATTCCCCCTTCGGTCTGCCTGTCTCCGGCGTGCGCGACGCAGCTTCCGTCCGTAGGCGGAGGTCTGGCTCAGGCTCTTGGAAGTACCAGTAGAGACTAACCCAGAGCATCATCGCAATCTGGCGAGTGGGCGAGGTGGGAGGCTTGAAGTCAGTGCTCGGCGGATTGACGATATACGAGATATAAAAACAGTCATTGTCCAGGGTCGGAATCGTGAACCGTGTGGTCCGCAGCCGATTCTCGTCCATTTCTCCCTGGGCATAAAGGGATCGACCACGATCTTCCTCCGACAGCGTTGGAATCGGCTGGTCCACATCCTGGCTAGTATAGAGAACAATTGTCCAGCCCGGGGGGATGATCGAGCTCTTCAAGTGCATGTCATTGGATTTGAAATTGAAGCCGCCAAACACGGGCGTCACTGTATAGCTTTGGCCATTGGGTAAACGGCAGATGGTATTACGCATGGTGACAGTGGACCACCTGGTATTTGATTGGAGAAGCAGAAAGGAACAGCTCGTGACAAAAGACGCAAAGCTCGAAGAATACGGGACAAAACATGAAGAAGCAGAAAAAGGGTAACGGATTGAGAGTTGAGAGACACGAGCAAAGATAGTTAGAAAGAAAGAAAGAAAGAAAGAAAGAACAAAAATTTTACCTCCTGGAGCGAGACCTGACCTGACTTGGTTTCCCGAAAAGTGGGATGATTTTCCTGTTGCCCCTCATCGATGACGACGGGTATCAAAGGCTTATTATCAGTCTACCAGGCAGGCTCGGTTCCGCTAATAATGGCTTCACGACCTTAACATTAGAACAGAATGAATATATACATATGATAGAGAGAGATGAGCTCAAGGGTCTAAGGGAAAAGCCGTCAGCGTCCCATATTGCCATTGTCAATTTCATTCATTTGTTTGGTGGAGAAGCAAATAATCATTTCAGGGTATAGAAAGCACAGTACAAAAACGACACACGGAAAGCACAGTAGCCAGCCTCGTCTAGTAAACTACAATCCCAAACATCGGAAAATTCATACAGCCCTCTCAAAAGTCCTCGATGACGGTTCCTACTTTCCTTCCCCGGGCCAGCTTGATGAGGTCGCCTGCAGTCACCAGGTCCATAAGACCCAGCCCGACGCTCTTGTAGATGACATTGCCGCGCTCGGCCCATTCGCGCAGGCTCTTGGTGTCTTCGACCTCCTGGTCACCACTCTCTTTCTGGGATGCGTCTCGCACCATCAGAAGCTCTCCCAGCTCGACAACCTGGTTCGGCTTGATGCCCGCCTGGATCAACTCTCCGGCCTCCTTCAACGCCGCGTCGAGACTGTCGACCACGATGACGCCGCTCCTTTTGATGTGTTTGTGGAAATGACGCGCGGAGTGATCCACGCTGACCTCGTGGCGAAGGATATCCGGGTGCAGTTCTGTCATGTGGGGTTTGTACGATCCAATGGCGCTGATGAATCGACCCTTTTGGCGACCGTCGCGGGACGTGAGAAGTTCTGCCGGGAACAGAGGCTCCACGGACGGAGTGCAGCAGAAGATCGCATCCGCCTTGTGGATTGCATCGTTGATGATACGCTTGTACTCGCCGAAATCACTGCTGAGCGCGGAGAATTTCACATCACCGCGCCAGCTCGCGCTCTCGGGGGAATAGATCTCCTTCAGAAGCTTGGCTGCGCGGTCGAACGACCGATTGATGATGACCACCCGCTTGATGTCCGCCCCACGCAGCACGAGAGCCAGCCGAATGTGCCAATAAGCCTGTTTGCCCGCCCCAAACACCACGATCGTGCGCACTCGCTTGCGCTTGTTGAACAACATCATCGTCGTGAGCGCGGTGCGGAATGGCGTCAGCTCATGTGCATTGATCAGTCCGATTGGCATGCTGTCGCAGTCCAGCAGCGTCACGGTGCCCTGCGGGGAGGTGTCTCGGCTGCCAGCCCCGGGCCACGCACCCAACGTCTTCGACATGCTCGAGCCGACTGTCTGAAAGTTCACCGTGCCGGACTGCAGAGACTGGCTGCTGGATGAGCTCGACGCGGTACCTTCCTGTGATGAAATAGATAAATCACTCATCTCCGAAGCTATCGAAGCCATGGAGTCTCTGGGGCCGGTCCGCGGTCGCGAGGCCGTTTTCGGTCCCTCAGGTATCTCAAAGGCACCTTCCATCTTGCACCCTGCCGCACCCCCATCTTGCAGAGAAATCATCTTCATGCCGATCGTCTGGCCAGTGCTGGCAGGCATGAACAGTGTCGTGCAGCCATTCTTCCGAGTGATAGCGGTTCTGAGAGGTTGATAGGTCGCGGCGCATCCCTGATCCTGGCTTCCGGTCGAGTATTCTAATAGCGCCTGGGCCAGGCTCTGTTGCACCTTGGCGATCTCATCGGAGCTCAGCGACAGCAGCAGCGAGCGGAGCTGCGCTTGGGAGAGGATAGTGAGGGGCATGAGGGGAGAGGAGGGAATCGAAGCGATAGCGTGCGAGAAACGATTCTGAATTGAATTTAGGATTAGAAGTCCCCGGGATAGTAGAAAGGACAAGAGATCTGAAGGAGATAAAGAAAGAGGAAATTGGGAGAGGTGGTACGAGTTGACGCCGTGGTGTTTCAGAGGAGCGGCCGCCTAGATACTTATCGAGCCAAGTAGTAGAGACCCAGACAGCCTCCCACCCTGCTCTTGGCAGCAAAATAAATAGACGGAAAAAAGCCCGGTAGTCCGCCTAGTAGTCTACTAATCAGTAAATAATAAAAACCCGCCGTGAAAGCAAATTTGAAGTCTAAGCTAATAAAAGCCTGCGACGCTTCTAGTGACCCGCATCGAGGTGGAATCAGCGACCGCAACCGGTGGAAGAAAAGACAGGCGTGTCTTGGGCTCTTGGCTCAGCTGCCGGGCACACGCAGGGCAACAATCGTAAGTTACTACTACTAGATAACTATGGTAGTAGTAGTAGTAGTAGTGGGAAGGAGTCAATACGCTTATGAATTCTTTGGTGTTGCTGAGTGCTGCTCATTAATACTATTACAAATGCCATGCATCAATGAGGACTGGATGAAGGGTTATTCCAGCGTCCATACATACCCCATTCTCACATGGTATGCAGTATTATTAGAATCCTTTTGTAAATACTCGGAATGGATATCAAAACGGAAAAGCACAACACTGGGTTCTTCCCCCAGAAAGGCGTCCCTCATCTAATATGAAGATCCGAAAGCTAGATCAAGACGCCATGATTCTATGTGACTGACATTAAACATTGCTGTCAATAACCCCACATGTCCTCGTCATCCTTGACGATATCGTCTTCATTAAGAACACGCAAGCCGTGTTCCTTGGTCTCACGTCTTCGCTGTCGCTTGGTCACCATGCGACTGGGAGTAAGCGGCGTCAAGGGAGTAAAGGGCATGTAAGGACTATACGGCGTCGGGAGGCCGGTTCGAGGACCGTTGAGGGGCCGGAGAGGACGCTCTAACACAGTCGTTTTGGTCGGTGGAGCGCTTTGCAAGGGGAATGCCTCACGAAAAGGTAGAGATGATGAGCCGTGCGTCGGAGTAGAAAGGCTCAGCGGAGCAGGAGCAGGGGCGCGTCCGGGCGGTTTCCCTAACGAAACCTCACTCGACGCTTGACTGATTGTGATGGGCGGGGGTGGCGGAGGGGGGGCCGGCTTGTAAAGTCGAGGGGTCAACGGTATTTGATCTTCGCCATAAGAGATAGTTGCCGTCACGTCAGGAGAACCCACAGGTGAGGAGATGGACAGCTTATGGAGTGGCAGGCGAGGGGATCGGATCTTGCCACCGTTGGCCTGCGGGCGCGAGTTCGAACCGAACAACGACAGTGACGAGATTCTCGACAACCGGGAGCTCTTGGGGCTCATCGGGGGAGGACTGATTGAAGGTTTCATCTGTGAGATCGAAGCTCTTTCTGATATGTGAGAGGAGCGATCGGTAAAAGGATTGGTATGCACGCTGTCCGGCGATTGGATTTCCACTTCTTGCTTTGAGGTATCAATCCCAGCTGCTCTCTGCGCGTCATGCTCCATGACTGCAGCATAGAGCATTTCCATCTCCTCCTGAGCCCGGCGACGATCGTATGCCACCACCGATTCATCGATGGTCGCGGCACTGCCATTGCCGGATATATGAGATTTAGGGCCTTTGGCCAAGCTACTCCAGGACCTGCTGAAGTTTGGCTTGCCAGGGCTAGGCAAATGGGCAGACATCGGGGTGATAGGACTGGGATCTATGCTAACAGGTGGTTTGGCCGGTCTCATCATCTCGACCTGGAGAGTAAAGTTTGATGCTTGCACTGCTCTTCGCAGTCGCCGTCCAACAAGCAGTAGAAGGGTCAATAAAATGGCAACGAAGATCACGTAGGCTCCAACAAGGCCGCCAATCTGGATTGCCAGTAAGGATCTATCCACGGTATACTCCGTGGATAAATCGACAGTCCGACGCTCCAGGTTGACGTTTAGATCCAGATGTCCTGAGGATACTGCGCCAGCAGCAACAATCTGAGAGAGGGCCAACGTAAGCAATATCGAAAAAGACATCATGATTCATGACCCGTCGACCACAGGTGATTAAGTAGGATCAAAGTACATATCGAAGGATTACAATTGAGGCTGCAAATCCCTAACGAAAACAGACACAAAAGGGACACAGCCTTTCACTGCGAGGGGGACACAGCGGATATATTGCCGATTTATTGGATGTGACATTGCGAAGCTTCAAGAGCGAGGCCTCCAGGACTGCAGGGTTGGTTGACAGAGAGTTTGGAGAGAACGGTGACTGTGCTGCGACGAAGCAATGGACGACGCTTGTTGGTGCATTTACGCGCCCACCTGCACACACGGCACGCCTGTCACACCTTGTTCTGGCCATTAGGACAGGGCGCCTGCAGTCTCTGACAGGTAAAACTATGCTTGATCAAGATTTCTGATTTGTTTCCAGTGTGAACTCGAAGTCAAATCGTGAGACATCACACTACAAGAATAGTAGTGTGCAGCGTGCTGAGCAACTGCATGTCGATAAGAGATCCATACTCCGATCATGCAAGGTCATAGCCATCTGGTGGGTAAAAAATGCTGAAGAATTCAATCTATTTGGGTCAGTTGACTGAAATAGACAGCCGCCATGACTCTTCCCATTGCTGGCCTGCAGAAGAATGATTGATTGATTCATCATGGGCAGTTTCTCACTCGCTGAGTCTGTTGTTGATGCTCACATGGAAGTAACTACCTGACTAAGGTACTTTATGCAAATGACTTCTCAGCTTTGATTGGTCAAGTTAAGCAATCTGCCACTATTCTTTATCTGGTTAGTTTGGTTTCTGACCCAGCTCTGACGATGCCTGAGGCCAGCATCCGTGTATGCCTCAAGCCTCATGGGCAACCTGATTAGGAAATCGCGATCTATATCCAGGAGCTCGAGGACTTTTGCTTCGGCAACATCATGGATCGTACTGTGTCTCTCCCAGCAATCTACACAACCTTTACAGTGATTCTGCAAGTTTCAATGCGCCTGTCATTCTTTAGTCTTCTTTACCTCGATAGCACTACGTCGTCATTCACTTGAGAGTCTTCTCCTCATATTCGTCTTCGTATCGAAATGGGACAGAGAGTCTCCGCCATCCATAGTGTCAAGTCCGAGAATTACTACGAGAAAGGAAATGCAATCAACGAGATTTGGATCGGAAATGTAGAGCTGCTCTCTCGTCTTCCCTTCGGTGACTCCGACCTCGCCCAAGCTTCCTGGCCAATTGGTGGTTGGCCCAAAATTCCATGGCACAACTTTATTATTCCTCTCAAGCGAAGAGCCTTCTCGTTCTACGTGGGAGACGGAGATGGCGATGGGCCTCATCCGCTTTCGAAAGAAGCCATGACCAGCGCAAGGCCATCCGTTCATCTTTCTCGAGGCAAGCTACTTATCGCCGTCACCGTTCTTTCGTTGCTGTTCCTGTCGGCCGTCTACGTGCCAGTCGCACTCCGACAACATACAGCGCCATATGGTTGGGATACGGATTCGGAGAGGCGCAGGCAGCAGAAAAGGCGGTTGGCCACGCGCACTTCCATCGCATCGGTGTTCCTTTTCGCCGCTTTGGTCATCACGGCCTTGCAATTTCACCTCTGGACAATGATTCGTTATGTTTTTTCAGCGAAGGGCGCTGGTTTCCTGATACTAGGAATCACTTGGGCCACTGTAGGTGTCATCGGCCATTTCTTCGCCGTGAAGGCTGTGACCCTGCTCTGGTTGGACTGGAGAGATGCCCGCCGCGCAGCCGCTGAGGACCTCTCCCAAGAGTTGGTAGAGAAAGAACTTCCTGGAATCCTCGTGTCATGGCTTCAGAGACAGCATCGAGCTTGATGTCTCAAAATCATTGGTGTGGCATGTATTATTATTGGTTTTGCCCTATCATGAGAACCTAGAAGTTGTGCACGGGCAGCACATTCGTCGTTACTCATTCATACCTAAAAGTTCAAACCAACAACATTACTCTGGAAGCCCCGTTTTAATACTGTTGTTAGAGATAGCATAAGTGATAGGATGAATCCAGTCCAAGCCGTGGTCTCATATCATACATATCGTACACCAAGAACAACTGTACCACTGTACAAGCGACCTACCTATCTTTCTTTCTTGAGAACCAGTCCCGCACCAGTTCCTTGAACCCATAACCTTTCGCTTCATCTTCGTCGTATACTCGAGACGTCTGCGTTGTGCTGAGAGCATCGAATACCTTGCTTGCTTTGGATGCTGCTGTTGACCGAGAGCTGCTGGCTCTTTCAGTCGCGCGACGTTGGATCTCCTCAGCCAAACTTGGAGCCACTTCTGCGTAACAATTCGAGAGCTCTCGTTCCAAATTGAGATATGGCTTTTGTGCGACGGGTGGCGCTTGAAGGTTATAGGATCGAGTAAGTGCGTTGAGGTGCTTTATTGTCAGTTCGTGATACGCACGCTCAGTCGCGATATACTGCGAATCACGGAGGGGTGAAAGATATGGTATGTGTTCATGACCAAGCTCTAGGTCAGTTCCTGAAATCGTAATTTCCGCGGGTGTTTCGGAAGACGCAGAGCCTTCGCCATCTCGAAAAGCTCGCTCTATCTTGGCTTTCTGCGCGAGTCGAGCCTCGGCGGCCGCATAAGCCTGCGCGCGTCTCATCTGGGCCTCCAAGGACCCTCCTTCGCTGGCAATCAACCTTGCAGCATGTCGCCTCCACTCGACTCTTAAGCGCTGACGAAATCGATCAACCTCCCTGGCTAGCTCTTGTTGCTTCTCGATCCACGGTGGCACGATCTCCTGCTTCTGTATGATCTTATTTAGAAAGTATTCGGTAGTGTCGATAAAGGCGCTGTTGGCGTTGTGATCCGCCTGGACGTTGACGCCCTTCCCTCGCTTGATGTTATTGAACTGTCCCCGCGCTATTGCATCCTCTATCCGCTCGTTCGCAAGCGAGGTCAACCCTTGAAGCGTCATTGGCATCGGTCGAGCCCCAACCGTGAATCTATCCTGCATCTCCTTCCGCATCGCCTCGCGCTCTTCCTCTGAAATACCAGGGCTTTGGCTAAGTGTGTATGCGGCACTGCGCTCTTTTGCACTCGCGATCCGGATACCGGCGGGTTTCGAGGACTTGGGGGTGATGCGCATGTCGACGGGGTCGGGCTGAGGGATCTTATAAGGGACGCGCATCGGTTTCTTCGAACTGTCTAGCATGCGCAGAGTGACATCGTGGAGGTTTTCCGTTCCTGTCCAGGGCGCAGCTCCGGCGATGTCGCGAGTACCTTTACCTGCGCTGTCCTTTGGGCTGTCAGCGTCCACATCATCACGCCGAACTCCCTGGGTCGCAACTCACTGGCATATTTATGATGGAATGGGCAGCTGGGTACGCATTCTTAAATTCGGTTGCTGCAAGTCTCTCCTGTAGCTGTTTCTTCAGATCCTCCGAGAACCCCGCGTCCTCCATGTTCTTGCTTGCTGATCGACCTCCTTCGAGCATCGCTTGTTCGGTCATTTCGGCTAGTCTTCTCTGCATGGCACTCTCTTCTTCGGGTTTATCGTGCGCCTGTGAATCTGAGGCTTCAGCGCTTCCGTTCGCCTGCGAACCTGCATTTTGCCTCCTGGTCACTGTAGAAAACGGTCTGGGTATCAGGCTTCTGGGTGTATGTGTCAACGCCGCATTTCGCACGATAGCTATTTTCGTCGAGCTCATTTCTCCAATAAATCACACAGTAATAAAACAATAAAACGCTTCGAAACAACAGTGAAGTACTTCGAAGAAGCCTGGAAAGAGAGCTCTCGACCGTCTCTACCTCATACATCCAGAGCTGTTTATGTCAGCCAATTCCGCGGCGGCAAAATTGCCGAAAGTCTTGGCACCTCCGAGTGCTTCCCGACAAACGTTAGCCAACGCCTTTTTGTTTTGTCTAGAGGCCAGGACAGACTCCGCGCAAATCGATACCTCATTCCCTCTTGTGGTTCGAAGATCGAGTGTCTTGATTCAATTGCCCAACATGCCTCCGAAAGGTGTCTCGACTCGTCTCAACGCGGTTCGCCTACAGACCATCCCCCATCTGCGGGTTCGTCGTCCGAACCAACATGAGCAGAACTCCTGCGTGACAGTGATGTCCTCCATGCTGAGTATGTTTCATACTCTTTTCCTATCCCTGGGATTTTGAGTTGATCGCATGCCCGCCAAAGCAAGGCGATCGCACTTGGAGAGCAGAGCGCTAACTTCACACATCACAGGCTGCTGGGCTTCTTCCGGATACGCCGCCGAGGGCTGCGCAGCCCTGGAACAGCAGTTGAGACAATGCATGGACGCACCGGTACGCTACGTCACCTACACTCCCTTATCTTTCCTATACACCCCGAAATTCTCTGTCGTTTGGGCCCGATTGTGCTAACAGCGGATTTTCTCCATTATGCAGAAACCCAAGGGCGACAAGAAGAATACCATCAACTACCACCTGATGAGAATGTATCCCAAGGTCGTTGGGCCCCAGAAGAGGGAAGGCCGTCTCGGCTAGGCGGGTTTCGTACAACGCCTTGCGCTTTACTCGCGCCCGTTGGCAGCATGAATGGACGTCGACTACATGACAAATCGGAGCTTGGGTGCGGTCTCTCTTGGCTGTGGTTTGAACACCTGGGAACCGAACCGCCTTTGGTTTATAAGCCGAGATGTAGCTGATGGACATCATGGTTGATGAACGCGAGGAAACACATCTGTCACTGGAGTTTGGGTCTTGATTTACGGCAATGACATCTACAGGCTGTGATTTTTTTGTTCAGGGGATGTGGGAGTTTGTATATGTTTCTCTGTACATTACTGAATCATCTCTATTGCAATCTGGAAAGAAATACTTTTTCAGACTTGATCATTCGCATTGAGTGTCTAATAGGCGGGCATTTGGCCAATTGCCAACAGATACCGTGACGAAAGCAGCTATAACTGGCGCGGTGCATGGCTTCAAACAGTAAAGAACCGAGGCCACTACACCAGCTCAGAACCATTAGCTTCATGGAAGGTTCATCTTGATACCCTTGCACAAATGGCAGGTATCTGGTTCACCAGCGGGTAAGAAACTCCGGGGCGAAGTACATACATACCCTAGTCTTCTCTCTTTTTTTTTTTGGACTAGGCTTTGTATTTCACATGAGATGAACCCCTTGCACTAGGTATATCGTAGTGCCGAGAATTCCGCTCCGGCATCAATGATTGGCAACCTACTCCGTAAGGATCTCAAGGAGACCAGGTGAGGTCAGGGATTAACTGGCCATCACAGCAAGCTGATACGGTATGGCGTTGTACTACTATATCTATTTTCTAGTTATATCTCTAGTTCTCTACAGGGAACTAAAATGACCGGAGATATCGCAGATACCGTAGATAGCGGACTTTGGCGGACTTGCTTCGAGTGCTTGACTTGACGGCCGAAAGACCACATAAAGTCAACCATTTCGATGATGGCAGCGCTACTAAGGATCTTGAAAACCGCCAGTAGCATACAATCCTCCACGACCGCCGGTGAAAAAGGAAAACAAAACAGACCTGACCTGACCTGACCTGATCTGATCCACCATGCCTCCAATCACAGGTTCCAACATCCTTGTAATAGGCGGCTCGTCTGGGATCGGAGCAGCGGTAGCTCGGCTGGCCGCCGCGGAGAGAGACGTTCACGTCTCGATTGCCTCGTCCAATCTCGCCCGTGTGGAAAAGACGGTCCAAAGAATCCAAACGGCCGTGCCCGACGCCCAGATCAAGGGCTTCACGGTTGATGTCAGTGGGGACGATGCCGAGTCTCAACTCGAGAAACTCTTGTCGGAGGTGACGACAGCAACGGGCCGCCCCCTCGACCACATCGTCTATACCGCTGTGAAGCTCGAGTTCAGATTCCTCCACGACGTGACCGTCGATTTTCTGCGCGGTGATGCGCAGTTTATGGTCTTTGTGCCACTTCTCATCGCCAAGATTGCCCCGCCCTTTATGACCAAAAGCTATCGATCATCCATCACCTTCACCAGTGGTCGCATTGCAGAGAAACCCATGAAAGGAGCGGCTGTGCTGGCGGGCTGGGGCGCTGCCTTGTTCGGTATCACGCGCACCCTTGCGCTCGACTTGGCCCCCATTCGGGTCAATCTCGTCAGTCCCGGGACGACGGATACGGAAATCCAAGGCCCCGACGAGCAGCGCAAACAAAGGATGGCGGCCGCTGCGGAGAAAGCGCTCTTGGGGAAGGTTGGAACACCCGAGGAGGTGGGCGAGGCTTACATCTACCTGATGAAGGACTCAAACAACACGGGCACTTGTGTTAGTACCAGCGGGGGGGACTTGGTTCAGTAGATTGAATATTGTTGGAACTTGAATGTTGCTTTCTATGGGGGTGGGTTCTGACTTGGGACAAGTCAGGAAAGACGAAGATTTTAGGGCTGAAATACCATCAGTGACGCAGCGTCCTTGTCGGAGTTTCTGAAAATCCGTTCATTACAAATCGTAGGATGGCTGGAATGGCCCAGAGATACACTGTAGTTAGTGGGATACAGTATTTCATCTACGTTGACATTTTCTTTCTTACTTTAATATTTAAGAGTAAAGCTATATAACTCTATAAGTCTCTAATACTCCTCTAGTAATTTTTATCACTTAGTATCTTTAGAAGCTATAGTCATGTAATATCACATGTAATAACAGAGGGGGAAGGGGTGAGGATTAATCTTATATGGATTCAGTAATATTCAATTTCATCTTTTTGACCTTCAGGGCGCAGAGCCCATTAAAAGCAGCTAAATCACTGTTTTCTTCGGCGACCAGCTGCTGAGTCGGCCTTCATCACCCCCTTGGAGCCCTCCTCACCACCGGTGAGCCATCATCACCAGGGGTGATGAGGGGCCTAAAGAGTCCTCACCCACATCACCAGCACTCATACTAAAAGCATCACGCCGCTGCTTTAGAGGTAAAGGGGCTTTCTTGGGATTGGCCACGTTCTACATGTGGCTTAAGTACGGCTGAGCGGATGGGAAGCCCTGTTCTCCACACCCTATGGTCGTATGTACTCTCTCGTAGAGTGTTTCTCTTTATATTGTCTGAAACTTGAGCACCAGCTTCTCTCCCCTTGGCTTGACTGTATATGCATCAATCGCCTCCATGTTATCATCACTGATGACCGAGGTTTGGAAGTTTGTGTAGATCGCCGCTACAGTCAATTTCATCTCTGTGGACATGTCAGCTTGATATTTGCACACGAGGAAAGACCTGCCGAACCCTGTAAAGCCAAGTTGCTCCCTACACACATTCTGCCGCCACTTCCAAAAGCCCAGAACCACCTTCTTCTCTCATCCAGCTCAGAGGGGGAATTGATTCCTTTCAGCCACCGTTTCGGTTCCCAGTTCTCGGGTTCTGGGAAAACCTCCGGGTTGCGGTGAAGGGAATAGGCCTGTGCGTTCACCCTGGTATCTGCAGGAATATCTTTGTATCCAGCAAGAGTGCACGATGGAGAGGGTGTCACCCTAGGCTGTATTCCTGGGATTGGTGCGTGCAGGCGCAATGTCTCCGTGACTATTGCCTCGAGTAAAGGCAACGAATCGATGGACTTTGCCGAGGGCAGCTCTGCAGAAGCGGACGGTGGAGGATATACAATCTTCGGGTCGAGAGTAGACAGTTCCTCGCGAAGGGCTTTCTGCAGTTCAGGATGCTTCGAGAGTTCCCAGAAAAGGTAGGTGAGAGCAACAGCACTAGTCTCGTGGCCAGCCGTAAGATGGTCATACAATTCACAGGCAATCTCAAGCCGTTGTTGCTTGGGATTCTGCGCATAGGACTCTGGATCATCCTTCGCAGGGAGCTGCTTGGAAATAGTCTGTCTGAGTTGCCTATATACAGTGGGCTCATCTTCGAGCTTGGTCGAGCTCAGGCATGCCTCTGCCTTGTCGCAGAGCCCCAGTGCCCAAGTATCAAGGATCTCGTTGGCCTGGTCACACCAGCGCGGTATCAGGCGGATGCCCACGGACTTCGCCCACGAGATCAGGTTGGGGACTTCTTGGTGGTAAAACTCAAACGGCTTTCTGCATTGATAAAGGTAAATCATCCTTTGCCTGTAAGATGTGTCCTGGAGGAAATTCGTGGCGTTCTTCAGGCCATATAGGTATGCAGAAACAAAGTCCATTGTTAACCCTTGGTTGAGATCGTGAACATCAACTGGAGTGTCGGAAGTGGCTGCTTCATATAGGATTGGGAGAAGACGGTCGTAGATCATTGTCTTTGAAATGATACGCATATGAGGAGACGACTGTAGAAACGACTTGCTGTAAATGTTTGAGATCATCCTCTTGCGAACCGAGTGGTCTTTGCTCCCCGTCATAGTGAACATGCTGACAGTACTTTACATTGATTCCAGTCAGTGACACCATGCTCTAACAGCTCATCAACGGGATTTCCTACCCAAATGACCCAAATACACGGGGATACCAATCATGCTTCTCGAAGCCTCCGGTATAAATGGTCTTGATCCCTCCTTCAACGCAGTTCACCGAGATCTCGGACGGACTCAGCCGAACAATGGGTCCAAGTCTTTCATGGGCGGCTTGAATTGTCCGATTGTTTTGACTCCTGAATCTCTTCCAGAGTATCCAGGCAGGAGATACCGAGGCTGACCAATGTGCATTTGGTATCTTCGACAATGGGGACAGAAAAGCCGGGTATATGATTGTCTTGTACGCGATGAAGAGGAATACTGACACAATGGACAGCGAGGTTACGGTAGAGACTCCCATCTTAGCATGTATGGCTGAGCAGATGGAAGTCCTGGTTGGGATTCAGGTTGTGTCTTTGAGATAGGAATTATCCGTACGGAAGAGCTGCCTTGTGAGGATATATATGTTTCAAACCCCGCATGAGCGAATCGACAGCAGGAAGTGGAGAAATCATCTATCATCGGAACGAGACACCTGCGGATTGTAGGTATGCTGGAGGCGATCCTATGATCTAGGGGATATCTGACGGCTGTTAGTCATAGATACTCGCCTTGTGGAACTGCACGCTGGAGATATGGAATATTGGAAGGCTTCGGCGAACTCCAACAACCCCGCAGGAAGGAAGTTGCGATAAGGCGATAAGGCAACAAGGCAGTCGGGCAGATATGATGACATAAGGTGCTCTGCTCCTTACGTCAAGTTTGTTTGATGCCGATGGTTGACGAGCCTTCATACAATATCCTTATGAATGGTGAAGACGAGGATTTGATACTATTAAACTACTTCAAGACTTCAATCTACTACATGAAGAAAAGTTGTGTTGCATGAGTCAAGCCATGAGTCCATACTAGTGGTCATCTCTGGGATTACTGATGGGCACGCATAGCCCTATTAGTTCTGAACTTTTAATCCCACAGAAAATGATTACATTCACTGCGATGGAGACATGATGATATAGAAATTCTCTGCTAATATTTCCTTGAGTTCCTAGAGGTATAGATATAGGTATGCTTTTCCAGGGATTTTTTTCTCTTCACCTTGAACATGTACTGAAAGTCCTCAAGATAAAAATACGTCATTCCCTGGTTCATTCTTCATATGAGCCTCTACTACTTAGATGGAAAAGTCAGTTCAGATACCGAAGATGCTGCTTTCGGATCTACCTTCCGATATCATATATGTGATCGCAAAGTATCTTCCGTCTCTCAAGTCTTTAGTTGCACTAGCACAAACCTGTCACCGTCTGCATGCTATCATTGCCGCTGAAAACTGGCGAATATTGCATGCCCATCTGAAGACCCGATTCCCCTTTGTTGACACGCCACCTTTCTGGAAAGACACGACTCAAGCGCTTACTGCACGCGCCCGAGCTCTGGAAAGGCATGGGCTGCTTTGTCGCCATGTCTTCCCGCGGCGTGATGCTATCAAGATTGGGCTCCATGCAGGCACCCGGCAGGATAATCCCACGCACGGGTATCGCCCTGCGATTGATTCATACGAAGTCTGGAATGGTAGTTCATGGTCAGACCGAAAGGAAGTGCTCGTCTGGGGTGCGGCTGATGAGCTACTCTTGCGTATACGGCAGTCTGGTTCACACCCGGGAGAGAAGTGGGTTGTGTTCAATGATGTGAAGAAGATTAGCAGCTATCATGACATCTGTGGTGTACATCTTCTCAAGCCAGAGATTCATAGCCAACAGTCCAGCGAGGATGAACACATGATCTTCGGCCGTTTGAATGGTGATCTGTTCCATCTCGCCATTTCTCCAGACAAAGCGAGCCGCAAATACCACCAGCAATTTTTAACCGAGGGCCATGGTCTCGAGCGCACGGAACTGAGTGAAGGTACAGAACCCATTCTGGCCGCACATCTAAATAACGGCTCCATTGCATTATACCAGACGACGAAAGAGGAAGCAGAAGTACAGCCGTTCGCATATTGTGAGATTGCTGGAGATGGTACAGCCCGGAACAAATGTTCCAAATTCCTGTCTTCTGACTGTATCGCATTCGGGACAGGGAGCCTTGAAAGCTCCTTGACTGTTGCCACTATATCAACTGAACGAGTATCCCTGGAACGCGAGATTGAAGTGACATCTCTTGATCTCGAGGAAAGGATTGGGCTGTCTCAGAAGGCCAATGTTAGCGCGATCGCACCCTTGAATGCCCACTTCACTATGGAATCACCGGGCCAAGTGTTTCTGGCGGCTTGGGGTGATCGCTGCGTTAGGTACGTCCACTCACCCTGTCAATCCTCCGACCAGAGCTAGTATGCTAAGTTGCACGCGGTAGGCTGCATGATCGACGCTCGCATCAGCCATTCGAGTTCACATACCAAGACACAGTCGACACAAACCCTATCTACTGTGTCCATCCGTTTGGCCAGGACCGATTCATAGCCGGAGCAGGGGGCGACGCGGTCGTCAAAATCTACGATCTTCGCATGGAGAGTGCTTTCAGCTACCTCAACGCAAAGCTTCCCTATCCCTCAAATCACAACTCACATCACTCCACGAACGGACCTATCCCCCACACTAACGGCTTCAGAAACACCGTCACATATCCATGCAAGGACTTCACAATCTTCCTATCTCCCACCCCCACTGGCCGCGGGAACTCGACCGCGGCGCGATCGCGCGTGCGCCAGTACCGCGGACCAGTTTATACCATGTCCTCCCCCTCCCCAATCTCCTCAACCGTCTACACGGGCATCGTCGACGGTGTGATGCGGCTCGATTTCGCGTCCTCCGATGACCTGACTGGTTCTTGTCAAGACTGGTATCGGGACTATCTTGGCTTAGGTGCTGACTTGGTTCGTCCTGCATCGCAGGCTGATCGCGTTCTGGAGTTGTCGGGCTATGAGCGTTTGGATTCCACTAGTGCGTCCAGATTGAGGTCTCAGATGCCGTTTGGTCGGATAGGACCCGACGATATCGAGAACGAGAAACAGACTGGTTGGGATAGACGATGGCAGCGATTAGGGCCGTCGGCTCCTTGGAGACGCACAGATGGTTAGACTTCAGCGATGTATCAGTTTGAAAGGTGCAATTGCTGAAGGCAAGAGTGCGGCAAGAGCGTGGAGAAGGCATCCAAAGCAAATGTGGTCGTTGTTTGTCTACTGTGAAAAGGCAAACAGACCGCGCTGCACATCCTCGAAACAGTGATGTGATATGTAAAGCAATTGGCTATAGTAGCTAAAAAAATAAAAATAAAATAAAAACAAATATATGAAAGTTTAAGGAACACTTCTTTTAGCTTTTCCATCCGTGAAATAAGAATTTTCGCTCTAGCTCCGTCAGCGCCTTGCTTGTGAGAAATGACACGAAATCACCGAAGAAAAGCCCCCAAGATCATGTCTAGATCTAGTCTCGTGTAGCAAACGAACTTTTGCCAATAAGAAGAAAAAAGCAAATGGAGGAAAATTGGTCATGTCCACCCATGTCCTTCGTTCTCAATTGAAAGCGGTTTAAAGAAAAAGAAAGGCTAGAGTATTGACTATCGAACCAGAATAGGGTATGTTGCATCTGCATTTAGTCATCGAACTTGAAAGACTTGCCCCCAGAGATATCGATGGGGCCACCACGGTACGAGCCACGCTTCTTCTTGTTCTTCTCCTTAGTGAAGCCCTTTCCACGGGTCACCGAAAGATCAGCGAATGCCTTTTCAGCATAAGCATAGGGAATATAAGTATTGGAAGGGTGGTCGTGAGGGAGTTCACTAAGGAGAGCCAGAGGTGTAGGACGGGCTCCAGTGTGCTTCCTCACAGGACCCTTTCCGGGAGCCGGGCTGGCACTAGAAGAGGTAGCTTCTAGAGCCCGCAGTGTGGTCTTGTCATCCGAATCTGAGGGTTGGACGGTGCCGCTGCTATCGGAAGACGAGTTCTGCGACGACGAAGCGTTGCTGGTGGCACTCTTCTCCTTTTCGTCATCGGAGTTGTCATCTGAAGAGGAGTCACTGGACGAGCTAGAGCTGGAACCGGATTCAGGCAATGGTGTCTTGGCGGCACTCTTCAAGACCTTCTTAGCAGATTTCTTAGCGTCCTTCTCAGACTCAGAGGAGGAGTCAGAATCGGAGTCAGAATCGGAAGATGGGTCGGATGAAGAATCAGACGAGGAGTCAGACGAGGAGCTCGAGCCTGAGGATGAAGAGCTGCTGTCGCTGTCGGAGGAGTCGGATTCCGAGGACGACGAATCCGAAGAATCAGAAGATGAGGATGAGGACGTCTCTGATTTGCGCGAGATTTTGGCTTTCTTTGTCTTGGGAGCCTCATCTTCAGATTCAGAGTCCGAAGATGATTCAGAGCTCGACTCGGCCTTCCGCTTGGTCCCAGTCGACTTGGACACAGGTGTAGGTGCAGCCGCGACTTCGTCTTCCTTTTCATCATCGGCATCGCTGTCAGAGGAAGACGAGGAAGATGAGGACGGAGAAGATTCTCTGGTCTGCTTCTTTGTCACTTTAGGAGCATCCTCCATCTCAACATCAGAATCACTGGATTCGTCGGAGCTGCTGCTGGAGCTGTCGTCACCGCTCTCGCTTGAGGAGCTGCTAGAGCTGCTGGAAGAGCTGGAAGAGCTGGAACTGGGAGAAGAACGTTTGGTTTGCTTCGTAGCACCCTTCTGACCCTCCCAGCTCTGGAAAAGTTCGAGCAACGATGGTACATTCTTCGAGTCGGCCTTAGAGACAGACTTCTTCGTCTGCTCTTTGGCAAAAGCCTCATTCGTAGACTCGAACCCATATTGAGAAAGGAAAGCTCCGATGGAAGCGATCAATTCCGGAGGCGCTGGGGTAGAATTGGCATCTTTGCTGACCTTGGCCTGTAAGATCAGAGTATTGTCAGCCAACAAGACCAGAAAAACGTATTTGCGCCAAAAATTGCCTGTCACTCTACCTTCTTCTTCTCCTGAGGAGTTTTCTTGACTTTCTGAGCCGCCATGATTAATCAGACCTGCACAATGGCTTCACTGTGAAGAAGAAATTGAGCGAGTCTAGCCGATATCTTTGTTCTTTCATTAAAAAGAGCAAAGAGAGAGAAAAAAAAATGGGGCAGAAAAAAAACACTAAAAAGGCGGTCAGTAGTATGGGCCTGGTCATTGGCTATTATCCATTGGCCTAGCTCTGCGTTCACGTGGGTCCTCGTGACATCCATGAATGATGCAGGTCGAAGTCGACCTGAGACTGAGAGATCATTAAAATAACAATAGAGATACGAGCATTTCAAATACACTGTCACCTTTGGTGGGAAGGAGACAATGGAATTGGTACTTGCTCCAAATTTTCCAAAACAAACACGAGTTCTGCGGAAACCGACTTACATGAGCAGGGATATTCTCCATTATTGACGATACTACACGAAGCAAAGCACTCCCATTATCCCATACCTAGTAACTAAGTGCTCCATAGGCACGAGCTCTCCGCCCGCTCTGAATTACTACTAGTGTCCGCAAGTGTCCCATCTCCGGTGGCTGATGAGCTAATTCGCTGACTTGCTCCTCTGCTTCCCCCGTGTGTAGAGGACAACATTCTTGGTCCTTGGAGAAAGGAACCAAAATACTTCCCACGGCCTCCTTTTCGATCACCTTCAAACTATCGCATATCGCATACCGCGTCTCTCGACCTCCGCCTCCTTAAACCTCCCATTCCGTACCGCCGCATGTCCGTACTGCTGAACCACCAGATATTGACAATGAACATCTAAATACACGGAGCCGTTGAGGGATCGAGATTGATAAGAGGTTCAAAGAAACCATGAGCGCCCGTGATCGCTCGCGTGGGCCCCCCTCTGGCGACTTTGTACCGCATAGGGAGCCCCGTCGTGTGGGCAATGGCGGATTCACGGGTCCGGGTGAGGCGACAACGTCAAGAGCTGAGAAATTTGAGGATGAAAAGAGACGAATTATTCAGAGTTGTTTCTCGAAAAAGGATAGTGACGGCTCATGTGCGTATACGCTTGCTTTCTGCCTTTCGCAAATCATCAACCCCTACCTGGTTCTGGCGGAGAGACTTCGGGAGTATTTTGATCTTGAGCTCCCTCTTCCCTTCCGTTCGCAGTTCTGGTGCGAATGATTCGCTCATTCATCAACGTCTATATAATTCTTCCGACTGACAGGTTTGCTACAACAGTGGTTGAGTCGTACATCACACACATTCGCATCACAGAAGATGCCGCATATCCGTCTACCCCCGCGCCGCCCAATTCACCTCCTGAGAACAAGAAGGTTCGAGTGATAGTCGTTGCTGTCCGAAGGTCCGGAAGAGTTCGTATGCACAAAGCTCGAGAAAACAATGATGGCACATTTTCTATTGGTAAGACTTGGATGCTCGATGATCTGTCTGCTGTTCAGTCATATACCGGATTTGTTCCCTCAACGCCAATGGAGCAACAACATAAGCAATGGGCTGCTACTGTTGGCTTTGTGGTGACAGTGGGGAAACCTTACTACTGGCATGCTCGAAGCTCCAAGGAGAAGGATTTCTTCATTGGCAGCCTCGTGAAGATTTACAGAAAATATACCGGCGGGAAACTCCCAAACCTTATTGGATTTGACGATCGTGAACGACAACTGCTTGCCGGGACGCCGTCTCCCGGGCCGCCCGGGTCGAGAGGTGGTGGTCTCCCTGGCGCTGAGAGAGCCTTCCCCGTGCCTCGATCACCGTCTTCGCAAGGCAGTCGCCCTCAGTCGCCATACACCGGTCGCGCACCCAGCCGTGACGGACCCAGGGAGTTCCGACGGCAGCCCTCCGAAGAACAAGTTCTACGAGCCCAGAGAAGCCGAGACCAGATGCAAAGGCCGTCCACCAGCCATTCTGGAAGAGTGCCTGCACCTTCGCCATTAGGGCCGTCTCCACAACCACTGCCAGCATTCTCCCCTGATCACCGTGATCAGCCTCCTCCGCGTTCGAATGAGCGTCTAACGACAGAAAACCGGGTCCCCAAGGTACCTGTTTTGGCTCCTCCAGAACCAAGGACCAAAGAAGTTCCCAGTAGCTTGTCTATCTCTACACCGTTGTCGCATGTCAAGTCAGATGCTAGTATTCAAGCTAGTGTCAGCCTAGATACGCGACCCCCGCCGCTGCCAGACAGTCAGGTTCCATCTGAGCCAAATCCCGTTCTTCAAACTGAGGAACCAAGTTCCAGTTTGCGCGATGTCGGCCACAACAAGGACATTCCCGCTGGTACCCCAGGCTCGACATCAACCGAAAAATCTAAACTTGCGCAACCTGCGGCAAGTGGCCTGGACTTGGACAAACCTTTGAATCCAAGTATGGAAAAATTATCAATTCGGGAGGCGCAGGAAGACCAATCACTTGGACCGGTCGCCATGCAGGCCCCTGATATACCGCCCGCGTTGCGACCAGCTTCATCGAGAAGTGACAACGTACCTAAACCATCAGTCACCCCTGAGGCTCCCGAGACGATACCTCCCCTTGCTCCCCTTCAGACAACAGAACCGAGCGGCCCACCGGCAGAGAAATTACCAAGCCCTCCTGTTCTCAGCTCCCCAGAGTCTTACAAATCTGTAGAGGAAGAGATGGATGCACACCGACCAGGACTTGGACCGATGATCAAGAAGAAACCAAGTAGGGATATTGCGGGGGCATTTCGCAAAGCTGCTACTGCATATGGGGCATTCAGACCCCGACCCGGTGGCGCTGGTGAAAGATTACTGGCAGCAGCGAAAAAACAACAAAGTATGTCTGATGAACCGGATGGTATTACCGGCGTTATTCCTGCACCCTCTCTCCGGGTTGGAAACGAGCCAGCCAGTGCGACTGCTTCTGCACCTGGTACGCCGGACAAGGAGGCACCGCCGCCCCTTCCATCACCCGTCAAAGAATTACCATCTCCTGTAGTGCCGACTGTAGTGGAGCCACCGACGGTTGAGATTACGCAAGCCGTCGCCGACGATGCTGCAACGACCATAACGGTGACCGAGGATGAAATGAGGGACAGTGCTCGAGATGCGGTCAAAATCCCCGCCGATGAAAGAGCAAGATCCGTTTCTCCTTCACCCAACGGCCGCCGCAGACGCCGGGAGGACAATACGATCAAATACTGTCAGGCTCTGGGAATCGAAACCGGCATCCTAGAAGGGCGAGGAGTCGATTTCGATGACATCTTGACTGATCTTGGCTGGAATGGTCGCTTGAACGACGAGAAAAAGATTGAGGATCTCGAAGCGGACATTCGCCGCGAGATAGGACGTGTCGAGGCTACGAGCTGGCTTGGAAACCTCGAGCAGCAGGAAGGCAAGGTCGACCAACTTGCAAAGCTAATTGAAAGAACCATTGAAGAGTGCGAAGAGCTAGAGGGCTTGCTAACTTTGTATTCGCACGAACTCAACGTAAGTTTTGAATCTGCCGCTTTCATTCTGTTCCTGTGTGGCTGTGAATTTCTTATTCTGATGGTTTCACAGACTTTGCATGACGATGTCTCGTATATTGAGACTCAATCCCAAGGTCTGCAAGTGCAAACTGCAAACCAGAAATTGCTTCACAATGAGCTTCAGAACCTTCTGAAAACGCTGTCCATATCTTCTGCTGATCTGCAGCCATTGAAAGAGTCCTCGCTCAGCAATCCGGATGGTCTGAGAGACACTGAAATGGCATTGTCGACCCTTTACAAAGCGATGGTGATGATCGATCCGGACGTTTGGCAAAACAAGAAGCGGTTGGTGGATGCTGCTGGGGAACAAGGAAGTGTTGGGGTGTATGCCGATACCGAAATCGGGCAAATGCGCGCGATCAAGGAAAAGAAGGAGGAGTATCGCGCGCAGTCTCGGATGTTCCTGCAGCGGCTTCGCCAGTTTATGGCCATCGCCTACAAGGTAGCCGAGCAGAAGAGGATCGATGCAGCAGCCAATGGGTCTAAAGACAGTCTCAAGTTGGACAGCGAGGCTCGAGCCTTTTTCCGCCAGGAGCTATGGATGTACAGTGCCTTGACACTCTTTGCCAGAGAGGTCAGTGCGCCGGAATGGCAGGGGTTGATCAATCTCTACGAACAACAAGCCAAGCTGCCTTACCAGAATGAATTCCGGGACAATGCCTTAGCGTGGAAGAGAGCCGCCCGAAAGCCTACTGGGGAGGAACAGGAGCTTCTCTTCACCCACCAGGAGAAAGAAAAGGAGAGCGAGGGGATTACAATGGCAGCGCGCAAGTTGACTGTGCGCAGAGGTAAGACCATGCGGGCCGCCGCTGGTCTGAGGCTCTCATTCGGGGAGAAGCAACATGGGAAGTTAGAGCCCTTTGAAGTATTTGCCGGCACTTTGCATGAGACCCTGAACATGATCTCCGAAGAGCAGAACTTTATCATTCTCTTCTTCCACTTGAGCTCGCTGGCTCATGTTGAGTTCCCTGACCTCGTGGCTTCTGGGAACCCGGATGAGCGCCCCCTACCTGATTTCAGGGCCCGACAATCGCATGACCCTGACCGTGGGATGGCCCGGAAAGTTGAGCAGATCATGGACGAGGTCTACTCGTTCTGGTCCAGTGACATGCAGAATCTGGTGGACTGGGCCCTTAAATCCGATCCTCTGTAAGTTTCAGAGAATTCCATCTTCGACGGCCCGTAATGCAAGCTAACCACGAGAGATAGACAAGGGATTGGAATCCTATCCGCCCTGGAGAAGGCGATGTCGGACTTTGACGACACGAACCAAGAGTTCATCATTCATTGTCTTCAGAAGCTGCACTCTCGTCTCAACGGGCTGTTTAATCGGTTTGTGGATGAACAGATTCGCGGCATCGAGGACACCAAAGTCAAGGTCAACAAACGCAAGGGTGTCATCTCGTTCATGCGAGTCTTCCCGCACTTTTCGGCGGCGGTGGAGAACATGCTCTCCCAGCCGAACCAGGAATTCTTTGACATCCGGGTGAGTGTCCACGATGCTTACGACCGCATCAATCGGGCGATGTGGGAGTCCCTGAAGTTTATCGCCAAAGAGGCCCCGACCGGAGCCGGGGCCACTGGTGGGGATCACGAGGACAAAGAAGTCTTGAATTATCACATCCTCCTCATTGAGAACATGAACCATTATATTGAAGAGGTGGACGTGCGGGGCCTTCCGGTATTGGAGAGATGGCGGGACCGGGCACACCAGGATTACGAGGAGCATCTGAAACTGTATCTGGACCTGGTGATCCATCGGCCCCTGGGCAAACTGCTCGAGTTCATTGAGTCTACCGAAGGACTGATGGCCGGCGGTGGGAACCCAGCAGACATCTCCAGTCGCCCCAGCCACACGCGCTCGGTGGCGAAGAAGGTCTTGGCGATGTATGATGGCAAGGAGATTCGGCGGGGCATTGAACTGCTGAAGAAACGGGTGGAGAAGCACTTTGGCGATGGCGACGATACGGGACTCAGTCGGAGCCTCGTGATGAAGGTCCTTCACGAGTGCGAACGCCGGTATGAGGAAGTGTATGATCGGACCCGACGGGTGCTGGATGCGGTATACGAAGGACAGCTTGAGCTGGAATGGCGCAAGGAGGACGCGATAGCGATGTTCAAGCGATGAATTGCTTGGGTGTTTATTTTTTTTTTTACTCTGTTTGTTTTCAAAATTTGTTGTATCCCAGGCCTCTCCTGTTCTTTTGCCTGGGCTGCGAGGTAATGGTGGACCTTGTGATGATTCCAAGAGGTCGTGGCGCATATGGGGGGTGTTGGTTGGCAGCATTTGTCCTGGACTTGTATATCTATCTAGCTATCATCGGGTTTACCTTGTGTGTCTTTTTTTTTTTTTTTTCTCTCAGCTGTTCGCATATACCATTTCTCGTTGGTTGTTGTCGTGTTATGGGATGGTAGAATTTGCCACGTAGAGATGAATCAATAGAAACCTGTAGCTCTGAAAAGCACTGCGTTTAACTATATCAATCGGGCCTCGCCAGGATCTGGATTCCTGTCGAAAAAAAAAAAAAAAAAAAGGCAGCATGAGCCATCAACTCCATCTACGCAAAAGTGACTTTCACGAACATGTTCGCCGGCCCGTCTGTTTCAGATTTTGATTGACGATCGATATATATCTAGGTAACTGATTAACTACTCCGTACTGGAGCTTTGTTTGTTTTTTTTGGTTGGTCGGGATCGAAATAGCATCAATGGCTGGACATGTTGAAGTAAGTCAGTACTTCTTTCTGTATGGATCTGGGATCTTCGGGTCTGGTTCAGGGGCCGAGACTGCAGCCATGGACTATTTGATCTCTTTTATGACTCGTAGCAAGTGCTGAGCACTGACAATATTGACCCGGAGAACGTGCGGGCAATGGAAGTCCTTCCAGTCAGTCAGTCAGTCAGTATGGACGGGAGGATGGATCGATGGCCGTGGAAGATGACTGGAATATCTTCATCATGGAAACGTCAGTCATAATGTTTTGGTTGAGCCTTCAATTGTTAGAGAGAGAGAGTGAGAGAGACGACAGGGCTTCATTTCCTCTGGAGCTCAGGCCCAGTAACGAAAATACATACTAAATAGATCGATTATTAAAAATAAGATCAATGAACCAAATCCGACGATCGGCTCTTGTTCCTTTCGTCGTTCTCCCTCGATTCTTCGAACCCTTTTTACAGTCTTGACTTGGACTGACTACCTAGTTACTACTACTACTACTACTACGACTACTACGGAGTATCTACTGTCTCTTTTCTTCCTTCTTTCAATCCTTCCCACATCCTCTCTCTCTCTCTCTCTCTCTCTCTATCTACGATTCTTTCAATCTGGTAAGTCTATCTGTCTATCTGTCTATATCGTCTTTCTCCACATGTCGTCTACTGCTCCACAGCCCAGTAATAATAATTGCATCCACTGCTATCAAGGGGGATCCCGCGCGGAGGATATCATCGCAACAGATGGCGCAAAAAATATTGACACTTTGCACTTCTGATGATTAGACGAGTCCGTTGACTTCTCTACTGATGATGGATCTCTGATATCAAAACAACTCTAGGTACCTTGCGACCTCTCTCTCTCTCTCTCACCAGCCTTCGAGATCATGATCCCCCCCGTCACCGACGCTCGTTTTCTAATTTGAACTTCAACGACGCACACTACTTCCCCCCCAGCTGCGGTTTCCTCGATGTCTGGCCAGCTCACGAATTAATTAATATTTCCTCCCTCCCCCCCTTGAACTTCGAACTCCAACCTCCATCTCGTCGATTGCATCGAGTACGATTCGAACCACACGCGCAGTCCGGCATCGCACAATCCTCGAGTCCAGACAGGAGTGCAGACAATCACTCGCATGTAGCGGCCCCCCCCCCCGGCCCTCATTCCTTTCAACCCACCATTTCCCACCCCTCAATTTCCCGCGTTCCAAAGTTTCCAAATCGCTCTTCCATTCTCTGCTTTCACCAATAGGTGTTCCCGCTACCTTGTTCCCTCTCAACGGCCGTTGACGACCGCTGCGGGGCTTGTCCTGTTGTCGCTGCGTTTCCATAACCAGATATGCCCTGGCGGCCTCTGCCTCGAATTGCCTTCGCCGTTGCCATCTACCCGTTCCAGCCGTCGACCCCCGCCGACTTACCGCTAGAGCTAGGCGATGAACTGTATATCATTGAGCAGGGGGGTGTGAATGGGGAATGGTGTCGTGGCTACCTGGTTGCTCCGCCCTCGTTGTTGGCGGGCTTGACGAGCACCAAGGGCCAAACACTGGAGGCGAGGGTGTTCTCCGGCATCTTCCCTCGCAATTGCGTGGAGATACGGGAAGTCTTGGACAATACGGATGGACAGAAAGCGCTGACGAACGGAGACCGGTGGAGCGTCGACCGCGGCGATAGCTTGGGGACCGACGCAAGGAGCAGCGTGGCTTACTCGCAGGATGACGAACACTTGGCCGGCGAGGTGTCGGACGTCATCATCGCGAAGAAGGGGAAACCGTCGCAGATCTTCATCCACCGGCTCGACGACGGCCAGACCAGCCCGGTCTCCGTCAGCCATGTCCTCCGGTCGTCCTCGCTGCCCCTGACCCCTCTGACCCTGACCCCCGTGCGTGACCCGAATGCACCCAAGCCGGCCGCCCCCGTGCCGATGCTCAAGATCGGTGACGAGACGCCCACCTCGCTGTCCGAGCCATTGATCGACGAGATCGCCTCATGTCTGCGCGAATGGCACTCCACCAACCTCCACGAACTGTTGCTGGCTCGCCAGTACGATGTGGTTGCGAAGATGTCAACCCTCGCTCAGGAGCTGGATTGTGCACGGAGACAGCTCTTGCACAATGTGCTGACGGCTCAGGAGAAGGAAGTCCTGCGCCATGAGGTGGTTTGGAAGCTGGTCCGTGGGAACAAGATGCTGGGTGGAGACGTGATTGTCCGAGACCCTGACCAAGGGGGTCGCTTACTGACCGGCGAGGACTCGGCTGTCCAACTGACCAAGCTCCAGTCCGAGATGAGCATGCTGGAGGAAAGTCCCACGCAGCACTCCGAGGCCGCGACCCTCCATCATCTGCTTCTGGAGGTCAATGCTGTCTCGGGCAACGCCCCCGGCCCCGTCGTGCTCGCCGTCCACCTCTGCTCTCAGTCTGATAACGGCACCATCATCAAGCCTCTGTCGGAGACGTATCTGTTGGATATCCCGTCGCCTGAGTCCTTTGCTAGCATGGGCCTGAGCAGCAAGCTGAAAACCCTGTTTACAGATCTGTCCGCCACGGATATCGGCGAGGGCTCGGCCAACGGCCCCAAGCTGTACCTGATGGTGGAGGTGCGAGCGCCGGAAACACCCATCACCGGCGCCCCTCTGCAGTCCAGGCCATCCTTGTCGCGAGGCAGTTCTTCGGCGGTCAAGTCACCCGCGTCCGCCCACCAGGCGGGCAAGAGCAGCCTTCGAACGCGCCGCAGCATGATCTGGAGCTCGAAGCCTCGAGGCATCCAGAGTCCCGAGCAGGGGAAGGAATCCGCTATAGGGCCACCACCTCAATCGGCCGACAGTACCGCCAGCAATCGAGACCGGACCAACAGCCAACCGACCAAACCTCCAGCGACCCTGCGCACCCTCGGAGTCGGCCTTCTGGAAGTGTCGCATATCCTTCGACAGGAGAAGGATACCGAACAGATTGTCAACATCTGGTCTCCTTCGGCGGAGGGTGAGGAAGGGGTTGCACAGGTGGATGGATTTGATGGATTGATTCGGACACTGCTCCCCAGCGCAACCGGCCAGTATGTGAGATCCGACCGTGCAGCGCGAATACATCTCCATCTGTATCCCTTTGTAGACTGCGATTCCGATGTGCTGGTGCGCAAAAACCCCACCATCATGCACAATGTCATGCAGACGAAGAGGATCGGTTTCTCTCAGGCGCCAACGAAGCCGCGATCCGACATCTACATCACCGTCTCTCATGCCACTTTCCCACCGGAGGCTCTTCTATCACATCCCCAGGCTGGTCAGCTTCCGGTTCCGACCAACACGGGCCTTCGCAATCTCCAATTGACTCTGGAAGTGCGCACCGCCAGTGGCGCCCGGGTAGAGAAATGTGTGTTCCCCTCGTCCAACAATATAGCACAGACGGCATGGCGCACCACGATCACCGAACGGGGCGTACCGTGGAACCAGACCATCCGTCTGAATGTGCCTACGGATGAGATTCCCGGGTCTCATCTGATCATGAGCATCGCCGACGCGCCCGAGTTCCCGTTTGCCCTGGCTTGGATGCCTTTGTGGGACAGCCAGGCCTTCATACGAGATGGTCCGCACTCCCTGCTTCTGCATGCCTACGACAAGCACACCTCCAACATCGAGAATGGAAAGGGCGCCTATCTGTCGCTCCCATGGAGCTCACTCGGCAAAAACGAATCGGCCAAAGACGAAGCCATTACAGGGCCACTGGCCACCTTACGCCTCGAGACCTACCTTTGCAGCACCGAATACTCACAGGATCAGGTGATCCTAAGCCTGCTCAACTGGAGAGAACGCCCCGTGGATGAGGTGCTGGACACTCTGAAGAGGGTCCACTTTGTGCCAGAGATTGAGATCGTCAAGCAGCTCCGCAATGTGTTCGACGCACTGTTTGGAATCCTGGTGGAAAACGCGGGAAATGAGGAATATGAAGATCTGATCTTCCAGGATCTCGTGACAGTGCTCGGCATCGTTCATGATCGTCGGTTCAACCTTGGTCCGCTGGTTGACAACTATGCCGACACACAATTCAACTTCCCCTTTGCGACACCCTGCTTGATTCGAAGCTATCTCCGCCTCCTCCAAGCCAGTGCGGATGTCCAGCAGTCGCGTCACTTGCGCGCCACATTCAAGGTCGGGCGCCATGTGCTCAAGTTCATCATCAACGCTCGGCAGCAGCAGAAGGCCAAAGAGGAAGGCATCGGCATCACTCGGGTCCAGTCCACCTTCAACCGGGACTTGCATACCATCTTCAAGTCGCTGGAAGTTCTCATGAGAAATCCGTCGCCCGCCATGGTCGGAAGCAAAACACTTGTTGTCCAGCATTTTCATACGTGGCTGCCTGAACTATCCAAGGTCATTGGGCGGGACGAGATCATCATGATCGCCCTCAGCTTCATGGACTCATGCAGCGATGTCAAAGGCCTCTTGGTCCTGTATAAGCTGGTCTTGATCCGGCACTACACACAGCTCGAGATTTTCGATTCCGGTCAGGAGAGACGAAGCCTGGTTTCGAGTTGCATTGGCTGGCTGGAACCCTACTGGGGAGCCACGGGGGCCGTTTCGGATCAGTATCGAGATCAAGTCCGCTTGAGCTGCGCGATTGTGGCGCAGCTGTTGAAGCAGCCCAATCCGTATCTATACCATTTCATGCCGAAAATCGTCTCGTCGTACTACTCCATCATCCCAGACGGTGTGGAGGAGACTGACTATCTTTCTCTTCTTTTCAGCAAGTCCTTCCCCTTCCAAGTCAAAGCTTGTAAGACCAGTCAGAGGTTCGACGAGGCACTGGTGGAGCTCTCCGCGATTATGGCCGCGACAGCAGCGATTCCCAACCCCAAGAAGCCACCGCTCAAGGGGCTGGACCTTTCCACGTTCATCACACAAGCCCTGGAGGTCCACAATTCCATCCTGAACTGCGAAGCTTATCCCGAGAGCTGGCTCAGTGTTCATGTTTACAATCATCGGGCGACCGTGAAAAGCCTGGAGTATCTCGCCACCCTCATGACTAGCAAGTTTCTGCCTGCGCCGGAGGATGCAGAGAGCTTTGATACCAGGCTGTGGGAGAGTTTCTTCATGACTTTGCTGAAGGTCGTGTCCAGCGATGCATTGGCTTTGGAAACGTTTCCGGAGCAGAGACGACGGGCCATCTGGAAGATCGCGGGCGACGTTCGCGAGCACGGGGCCGAGCTTCTGCGCTCCAGCTGGGAAGCCATCGGCTGGGATACAACAGATGATGATAGGGAGCGCTATGGCCTGAGGAAGCTCGGCGGTTATCAGGTCCAATATGTGCCTGGTCTTCTGGCTCCCATCATTGGGCTCTGCCTCAGCGTCCATGAGGGGCTACGACACGTCGCGGTGGAGATCCTACGCACAATGATCCTAAGTGAATGGGGCCTGAATCAGGAACTTTCTGTCATCGAAACGGAGATCATCTCCAGTCTGGATAACCTGTTCAAGACCAAGAAGATGAATGAAAGTATCATCCAGAAGCTCTTCGTAGGCGAACTCCTCGAGTATTTTGAAGGCTGCGCTGCCTTTGATGAGGATCTGTCCGAGGCCGTCAATGGCCTCATTGCGACGGTCGATGAGCTACTGGACCTGTTCGTCGCCTCCCAGAGTGGATCCATGGCCGAGAGTATGCACACGCTGAGACTGATTGAATACATGAAGGACATGGGCCGCGAGGATATCTTCGTCCGCTACGTCCATGAGCTAGCGAACCTGCAGGCTGCTGCAGGGAATTACACAGAAGCTGGTCTTGCTCTTCAGCTGCACGCGGACCTCTATGGTTGGGATCCGCGACTAGCCTTGCCCGAAGTGCTCAATCCGGCGTTCCCGGAGCAGACGTGCTTTGAGCGGAAGGAGTCTCTATACTTTTCTATTATCCAGTATTTCGAAGACGCACGGGCCTGGGCTCATGCGCTTGTGTGCTACAAGGAGCTTGCCGAACAGTACGAGCACACGGTGATGGATTTTGCTAAGCTCTCGCGAGCACAGAGCTCCATGGCGAAGATCCATGAATCCATTGCCAAGGAGGAGAAGCAATTCCCTCGTTACTTCCGCGTGGTCTACAAGGGCCTTGGGTTCCCCGCGACGTTACGGGATAAGGAGTTCATCTTTGAGGGGTTCCCCCACGAACGGATGGCCACGTTTGTCGATCGCCTGCAGAGAGAGCATCCCTCGGCCCAGATAGTCTCGTCCGGGGAGATCCAGGACTATGAGGGGCAGTTCTTGCACATTACTCCGGTCAGTGCTCACCGGGACATGACGCATCCGGTCTTTCAGCGGTCAAAGGTGCCGCAGTCTGTCCGCGACCATCTCATGATCTCGGAGCCTTGCCGATTCTCGTCGACTTTGAAGAGACATGTGCGTACCGGACATGTGCAGGAGCAGTGGGTGGAGAAGTCTCTGTATACCACCGCGGAGGCGTTTCCTAATATCCTACGCAGAAGTGAGATTGTCGCCGTGGAGGCCGTCGCGTTGTCGCCACTCCAGACGGCCATCGAACGGACATGGCGGAAGACCCAGGAACTGTCGCTGCTCCAGCGGCGAGCTGCCTCTGGGGAGGATACGGGCTTGTCCGGTTTGACGGAGGCGCTACAGCAGTTGCTTGACATGGCCTCTCCGTCGCCAAGTTGCGTGGCCCATTACCGCCAGTTCCTCTCTGGCGACGAGGGCAAAGGCGAAGGTGAAGACGAGGACGGAGAGTCTGAGAAGCCCGTGGAGATAGTCGATCCGATGAAGAATGCCTTGGCCGTAGCTCTGGTCGATCATGCCCTGGCCATCAAGCATGCTCTCGCGCTGTACTCGCGACCAGCGCACCAGGCCACCCAGGCCGAGCTCCTGCGGCAATTTGAAGAGGCATTCGCGCCAGAGCTGGCCTCGCTCAGTCCCATGGTGGTGGACACGCCCCAGACGACGGCGTGCCAGTCTCCCAGCCTAGTAGACAGCCGTCAGAGGTACGCGCTGCAGCGGTCGATTAGCCCGGAGCAGGAGCTGATGCGTTCCTCGTGCAAGCACGCTCGCAAGCCTTCCGAGAAACCGTCTGTCAGCCAGCGCATCAGCATCATGAACCCGTTCAAGCGATCAAACCACGCGGCCAGCGGTTCGGTCGCCACGGTGCTAGACCTCAAGGCGGAAGATGCCGACCACGACGCCGAGACGGCTACCATCAACAGCCGCACCACCGCACACTCGCAAAACACTCACACCAAGCGCCGGAGCTTCTTCGGCGATACGGTGCACAAGCACGGCTCGTCGGTGTCCATCGCCACGGGGGCGGGAGCTCCCGCCGAGGAGCTCCAGCCAAGGGACCGGTCGATCAGTACCTCTCATTCCCACCACACGGCCGCACAATCGCATGACGCCCGCAGCCGCAGTGATTCTCAGCACCATGAGCGGCCGCCCACCGCAAGCACCAAAGCCAGCGTGGCTCGAGCAGCGTCGGTCCGGGACCGTCAGCAATCGGTGCAGTCGCCCGAGCGCGGCAAGGCCAAGGTCGGCTCCCCGAACGGCCACTCCCACAGCCCATCTCAGACGGGCGGGGTCCGCAATTCGGTCATGAAGAGGCTGAGCCTGCTCAAGGGGGTAGGCCGGAAGACCAGCCGTGTGGAGATCCGGGCGCAGAACAGCATGGTCGTTCACGAAGAATAATAATACCAATCAATCCGACCCTTTTCCAAATCAAATCCTTACACGACCGATCTCCTGCTCTAATTCGTTTTTAATGTCTGGACATTATCTCTTTTTTTTTTTTTTCTTATTAAACGAGGTTACTGTTCCACAGCGTCGTCTACGCCTCATGCATAGCCTGCATTGCAGCGTTTCTACTGTATCTTCATACACCCCATTTTCTTCTCTTTCTATCTCAGTTGGGATATACTTTCCTCTTCTCTTCTCTTCTTTTCTCTTTTTTTTTTTTTCTCTTCTCCACCTGTGCCTTATCCTCGCACCTCACCCACCTTTTTCTTTGACATGATTGCTATACTCGTTTCTGATACCTCTGCACTATCTACCTGAGTAGTAAATAATGGATGTCGTTGCTGTATACTAATCATAATTCTACCAATCATGACTTGCTCTGTAAAAATCGTCCCCTCCCTTCCCGCGACCGGCGGTGGTCGGTGCGGTAGCGGTCGCGAGGGCGGGCGTAGTAAGTAGGCTGCTGCTGGCTGCGTCGAGGGCAAATGTCGTGGTTACCGGCGATGACGAGCTTGAAGGGGGGGAAGAAGGGGGGGGTGCGGATTTGAGGAGCGCCGGCCGAGGTTTGGTGATATCGCCGGTGTATAGGTGGTTGTTGGTGAGAGGAGATGGAAGGGATTTGGATTTGGGGATGTACTCCGTACGTCATGGGAGAAGGAAGGGAGTGGAGAAGATCGATAGATTCAAATGTGCACCAGCCACCAAGTTGAGTAGATAGACAGTAGTGAGTGAGTACGAGGAAATTGAAAAGAAAAACACATAATCCATTTTGAACGTAACTAGGGTCATTCCCCATTGAAATTGACAGCTCAGAGCTTGCTTCTACAGAACACTTTGCACCCGCAGGATGCCCCAGAATTTATTCATGACAGTGATTTTCTTTCTGGGAAAACATTTTTGCTGGCAAAAACTCCGAAACCACCCGTTTACACGACCTTTCATTGACTAGATAATTTTTAAAAGGGGAGAGGGGGAAAAAAAAAGAATCTCTTCTTTACTTCCGGATGGCACGCTGGTAGAAAGCCAGCTCCTCGCCCTCCAGGATGTACCCGTCCACACGGCCGCTCTGGCCGGGACGAGAGGCAATGACGGCGTACAGGCGACCGGACTCGAACTGCTTCTCAATGGCACCCTCAACCTTGCCGTGGTCGGCGAAGCGGGCGGCCTGCTTCTTCTCGACGCTGTTGCTCTTCTTCTCGGGGGCGGCGTCGGTCTTCTGCTGGCGTCTCCGGCCGAGGGGCTGGCCGTAGTGGGCCTCGTACCATTGTCTGAAGGGAGCGGCATCAATCTGAACGACGGCGGACTTGGTCAGGGTGTTGGTGCGGACCAGTTCGTTGTTGGAGGGGTGGTAGGCCACAACGATCACACGGGTCTTGCGGGAGACACCCTCGGAACCCCATGAGAAGTTACCGGTCTCGAGACGCAGAGCACGGAACTTGCGGTTGCCACCACGGGTGCGGACCAGGTGGATTCTCTTAGCACCAATACGGGTGTTGGCGGGCTGGCGACCCTTCTCGAACGCTCTGTATTATCAAAGAATACCTGTAAGAATGATGGCTTTGTTTTTTTGGGAGAGGGGAGGGGGGGATGTTGTGTATTTTGGGTTTGTCTTGCTTGGAATCATCTTCCATACCTCTTCTTGCGGTAGGTGGCCCTCTTCGCACCGGTGGCCGAGCGCTTGTGACGGGAGTCGCGTGAGATACCCATGTTTGCGGTTGATGGAGGGAACTAATTGTCGACAGAAAAAAAAAAAAGATCTCCCAAGTCAGCTCGGTTGTCAGTCTCTCAATGGGAAATATTGATTGACGCTGATGATATTGATTCCCTGATCCCTTTCGTCGTCTTCTTTCTTTCGTTCTTGCTTGCTTTCTCTTGATGATCCCGTTCGTTCGCACGTGGAAAAGGAAACCGATATCGAATGCACTCGCAACAGTCGTAGATGGAAACAAAACTAACTCCTCCTGTTGATCAAACACAAAAAGCGACAGGTTGCGCTGAATATGTCTGTTCTCTTCTGTCGACGATGATTGCCCTTCTTTCCTATTCCCCAATCCGATAATTGTTTCGACTGTCACGAACGCACCGACGGAACTTCCCTTGGACCACGCACGCGGGAAAGAGAAGGCCCAAAAAAAAAAAAGCCGTCGAAAGAGACCAGGAAAAAAACGTGAATCAAGCAGACAGTGTAGCACTCACCTCTAACTCTGCAGCCCTTCACCAGGAACGCGTCGAACAAGGGTCGTTGGGTGGTCGTGGAGTTGAGGTTGCTGGTCGTCGACTACTCGTGAATTTCGCAGTGTGGCTCGCTTGTCGAAAGTTGCCCTACCCCAAAGTGCGCGCTAGGCCGTATGGGGACTAGCTGTGGTCCCGTGACTCGCCTCCTGCCACTTATCGACAATCACTATCAGATCAGTTATCAGGAAGAGTTATCTAGTAGTTAGATACAATTTGGTTGGGTTATATTGAAAACTATACTGAACTCTACTCCTGTACATGTACATGTATGTATCTAGTCCCCACGCATAGCCATAAGAAACCAAAACTACATCCGCTTCTCCTTCTTCTCCCTCTCCTCCCGAATCAACCCATCCATCCTCTTCCACACCGGAAACCCCTCCACCATATTCGACAGAATCCACATAAACCACAACCCCGAAAACACCACCACGCCATGCGGCCGCAACCGCAGCACCGCCAACAACACCGCCTCAACCACATGCGCCCCAAGCAACAACCCAACCACCCACGGCTGCACCTCGTAGCAGAACCGCGCCAACCAATCCACCCGCCCCATCCCCAGCGCCTCGTAGACAGTCGCCCCCGGCACGAAATTCCCGCGCCGGCAAAACACCCCCAGCGTAGCCACAATCAAGCCCAGCGAGACGAGCTGGAACGCGCCGCGCGGCGGCCGGTACTCGCGCACCACGATGTCGGAGAGCCCCAGCTCCCGCAGGCAGTGCTGGTGCATGGCGACGACGCGCGCGCGCGTCTCGGCCAGCGACCCCAGCGGCGGGCGGAAGGGGATGCTGTAGCGGGTGCCGTGGGCGGTGATCAGGAGGTCGGAGAGGGTGAGGTCCTCGAGGTGGGCGGGGGCGGCGGCGGATGCGGACAGCCCGCAGTAGACGCGGAGATAGAGGACGAGTGAGTCCTGGTGGCCTGTGTTCATGTGGTTGATGATGAAGGCTTTGCTCTTGTCGGCCATTGTTGTGGATTTCTTTTCTTCTTGGTATGTAATGTAGGTTTGATGATGTTATAGAGGGTGTGCTTTGTGCAGCCGGGTTGTAGGCTGCTTTTTTTCGACCTTTTATGTGACGAGGAGTGGAAATATTGTGATCAGCGTGGCACACATGCTATTCGGGTTTGCTGGCTCTGGCTTACCTGGAAGATCGGTATGGTTTCTTAACCTCGGTACTAACTACTGCTGATCGCGAAGGTTACTCGAATCATCTTAATACTCCGTAGGTCGGGAGCAATGGATCTCCTGATGATGGTCACGTGATTTGTATCTATAACTTCATGATTGTTCAAATTCGATTTTCCTTTGTGGATTGATCTTTGAGAATCCACATGCATGGATTGTGACAATCTCTATAACCTCAATTGAAAGGTGGTGGTTGAACTATCCACGATTGACAAGCCAGACACAATGCCAAGCGCTACGATATAACATAGATATATGTATCTCTCCGCCTCTACTCAACCGATCTCACTGATTGATAAATTCGTTACACGCTAGAATACAATTCAAAACCAGATCCACAGAGCAACTCCGAACCCGGAGACAAGCAAACATCAACATATTATGGGTAAGTAGACTCTATAGCGAACAGAACATTCGAAGGAAGAAGATTCCCAGATTCAATCGTGACGGAAACGGTTCATGGACTTCATAGCCGGAAAGTGGCACTGTCGAAAAGTGGCGGATGAATTTCGTGCGAGACGAGGTTGTTCCCAATGGAAACATGCCGTGGTCGAGACATCGATGTACAACTCATGCACTGCAATCGATGCGTCAACTCCTATTCAGGTTGAGCGGGCAATGGCCAAACAAGAATCACAAGGGGAGGGGATACGTCCAGGAGAAGGGGGTGGGAAGAAGAGGAGAAGGGGACTTACATCAGAGCGAGAGTCAGATCACCGTGGATGTGAGCCTTGAGCTCGACCTCGATCTCGAGGTTGAGTTCCAGCTTGAGCTTCATGCCGTCTGCGTCGTCCAAGCTGGACCCTTGCTTGGCCTGGGGCATCACGTTCATCGAACCACTGTTGTTCATAGCCTGCTGGCCGCCGGCGGGTTGGTAGGGCTGCATGGCCTGGCCGGAGACGACTTGTTCGTCGTAGTCGTCGTCCTCGTCATCTTCGTCGTCATCGTATTCTTCTGACGAGTAATCGTCGTCGTCGTCGTCGTAGTCGTCGGAATAGTCATCGTCGTCGTCTGCTTCTTCTACATCGTCTTGCTTTTTGCTTTGTTGCGGTTGTTGTTGTTGTTGGCGACGACGTTGTTGGGGGTTCTGCGGCTTGGAATCGTGCTCGTCTCCCGAGACCTCGTAGTCATCTGTCTCGTATTCTTCATCGGAGTAGTCATCGGACGAATAGTCGTCGGAATAATCGTTTTCCTCCTCTATTTGAGGCTGTTTCTGCTGTTCTTTGGGTTTCTCGGCGGTTGCCATGATGGAGATGGTTTAGTATATATATAGTTGGGGGGTGGGTGGTATTACAAGATGAGAGGGAAGAAAAGGGAAAAAACGAGAAAGGTGTGTAGGAGAGGAAGAGAAGGATCAAATTATATTGAAGATGATGAAAAAGAGGTTGCGAGCTGGAGAGAGCTGTCCATCATCCATTCATTGGAGCAGTAGAAACAGAACAGGTGAAGGCAGCCACCTACGCGATGGACAACGGATGACGTTGCAACAACCCGGAATTCATGGTTATTTGAGATTAATTCCTCTTCTATTCTGTCGACTCGGGGATAATGGTTTCGTCTATTAGGTTGTGGGTCAGTCAGACCCTTTTGACTAGATCTTTTTGTTTTTGACTAAAGTAGTACGTAGTACGTACTCTGGAGGAGTAAGTACTAAGTAGTATTAGACTATTCAAGCATCCGCCACTATATATCAACCAACTACTCTGGAGATGATCAGAATAGTCCACTGTATCTTACTACAATTAGTCTACGCGTGTTAGTATTTATCCAGGACATAGGACTACCACCACTCTACCTCACCTCGGAAGAACAACTGCCCTATCCGGTTTATACGGAAAACTCTGACGATGACAGCGTGTGAATCCATGGATATCGTCGAGGTACCTCCAGGCTTCGCGTGGTCGGTTCCACAAACAGCATCAGAATGACATTGTTTTGTTGTCTAGACATAGATTATAGGTACTATCTAGTCTATACTACTACTACTATCATCTTCAAAGTATACCAAGTTAACAACTGACGTCGTCTGGCGTCATCCTCTCTCGCTAAAACAGTGGAGTTGGTCGTGTAATTCTCCGAGGGTGATGCTAATTGGTGCGTTGAGAGCCACTCCATCTGGCGCTTTTTTTAGTGTCTTCTGAGTTCTGTTCTCTCTTGAGTTTTGACTTGACGAGAGTTAACTAACTAACTAATTAACGACAGTACAGTACCTACTCTGTACTCCTTAGTTCTTGTTCTGTCTATATTCTAGTATTCACCATGTACTACTGCACCAGAGACGTCATTCCTGCATTCTCCATCCACCATCCACTCTGGACTCATGGAAGCTCAATCATACATATCTGGTTCTGCCCAGATGACGCTCCACTGGTCTCGTCCCTAATCCCCAGTGCTGTATGCCTACTCCGTAGTACCTGCCTCAATCTCGACCCTCCTCGACAGTACACTTAGTCTACCGTCTGACGTACGAGGCGGACTCTCCGGTCAATCCCAGCTTGCCATATCCTGACCCGCGCGACATTTCGTCTGCCAGACGCCAAATCCTCATCTGAAATCATATAAACGACATCGGACAATTGGTTCCATCCCACCCCCTCAAAAATATATAATAACCCGCCTCTCCTCCCGCAACCCCTCCCCCCCGTCCTTCCTGCTTCGCTTTTTCTTCTTCTTCTTTTCCCATCATGCCCGATCAGGAATCCTCAAGCCGTCCTCAGAGCCCCAGTACCAACCCTAACCCCCCCGCCCAGGAGGCCCAGACCCCTAAGAAACCCCCCAAGCTCAACAAGAAGAAGACCGACGAGCCCAAGTCCGAGCCGGACGCCGAGTCTGATCCCGAACCGGAACCGAAACAAGAACCCCAGTCTGAGAACGACGACGACGACGAGGATCCCAAAGCAGATCCCGAGCCCAAGAGAGAAACAGAAACAGACGCAGACGCAGACGCAGACGTCCAACCAAAACAAGAACAAGACTCAGACAACGACGACGACGAACCCGAACCTCAACCTCAACCTCAATCAAAACCAGAACCTCCTCGTCGCCGCAAACCTCGCCCCACCACAATGGAGAACGGGAACCCCGAGAAGCCCCGTCGTCGCCGCCAGCGCCCCCAGCAACAGCAACAGCAGCAAGGCGGCGGCGGCGGCCCGCTCCCGGGCCTCGGCGGCGTCAACCAGGCCGGCGAGCTCGTGCAGAACACCGCCGGCAATGCCCTGAACGGCGTCACCGGGTCCGCGGGCAAGGCTGTCGGCGGCCTGCTGGGCGGCGGCCAGAAGGAGGATAAGGACGATGGCGGCCGTGACGAGCAGTTGCGGTTGCGGCTAGACTTGAATCTCGATATCGAGGTGCAGCTCAAGGCAAAGATTCATGGTGATTTGACCCTGGGATTATTGTATGTTTTCCTCCTTTCCCCACCCCCCCCCCACCCCCCTTACCCTCATCGGTGTGGTAGTTTAACAAGGTATCTAGGAACTGAGTGATTTGTACCTCGTCCCGTCCGTTGACGAACTGTTTGCTGTTACTGTTTTGTTTTATGTTCGAAAGACTGGCATGACTCCGTGATGAACCTTTCCCTTTAATTTTTTTTTTCTCTCCCCCATCTTCTTGCCCATGGACGAAAAAAAAACCCCACGGGTCTAGACTCTTTTGCTGCTTCTTCTTTTTCTCGCTCCTCGCTTCGAGACGGAAATGGCTTGGGGGTGTTTTTGGCCGTTGCTGTTTCTCATCTGTATATCTTTTTGTTGTTGACCTGGCCCTGGCTGCGTGTGTACAAGTAGCTTTCTTCTGTACCTGCACCTGCACCTGCACCTACTATACCTTTGATTTTATCCTCCAGAAGGAGGGTTATATTCCTATTGGGAATGATTAATGAAATGACATTGATAAGTTCTGATTATTCAATTGACCTCACTTTCCATCTTTGAGGATAAAAGAAAAAAAAAAAAAAAAAAAAAAAAAAGATGGAGAGCAATATCTAAATACATCACACAAAGCAGATCCCTACCACCTCTATATACTCCCCCCCCTTCTAACATAACCCCTCCCAAATCTAAGCAACATCCATAAAACGAACTTATATCCAACCACAAAAGAACACCGGTGTGTCTTTACAATCCCGCGATATACATCAACCCGTATCCGATCGTCACGACCACCGCAAAACACATCAAACTGGCCGGAATGCCGCGCGTAAAGAAATGGCGGACGTGCAGGTATCGCTGGCCCGTCTGCGGGACCTCGGTCATGATAGCAGCTGTTGAAAAGAAAAGAAACAATTAGTATCAGGGGATTGTTAGGATAGGAAGGGAGAAAGAGGAGAAGAAGGACGCACTCATATTGGGAAAGCCGCTGGTCGGCAACGCCATCGCCACGGAACACATCAGGGCACTGGCCATGACGAGCAGGTTCGGATGCGGGTCGTCCATGGCGACGCCGATCTGCCGCACGAGCGGCAGCATGATCAGCGCCGCGACCGTGTGCGAGATGAAGGTCGCGACGACCAGGATCAGCGCCGAGAAGACCAGCAGCACGCCGTACAGGCTGAGGTTTTCCACGTGCGCCGTGATGCCCTCGGCCATCGTGTGCAGCAGGCCCGACGACGTCACCGCCTTGCCGAGGCACAGCCCGCCCGCCGCCAGGATGATGATCGTCCACAGGAAGTTGTTGAAGTCCTCCTTGTTGAGAATCCCCGTGCCGAAGAACAGTACCATCGGGATGATCGCGATCACCCCCATGTCGCCGAACACGTGCTCCAGCTGGTGGCTGGCGCACCACAGCGCAATCGTCACCAGCGTCACCACCGTGATAAAGTACTGCACCCCCGTGAACCGGTCCTTGACCGGCCGGATCGGCACGATGGTCGTGCCGCGACCGGGTTGGAACGTGGCCACCAGAAGACCCCAGACCAAGAAGATACAGATGATACAGACCGGCAGCGACACAAAGAACCATGTCCCCCAGCTGATGCTGGGATACATGTTCTGCAGCGCAATGATGTTCTGCGGCGAGGCGATGGGCGACGCGGCGCCTCCGACATTCGCCGCCAGCGCGATCCCCAGCACAAGGGCTTTGGCGAAGTTCGAGTCGGGCGCAAGGTTTCGAAGCAATGGCTAGAAAAAAAAAAAAAAAAAAAAAAAGGAGTCAGCCAGCCTTTCAATCATCCGGAACCGGAGGAGAAAAACATACCTGGATGATGGAGTAGCAGAGAACGGGCGACGCCACGTTGCTGATCCACATACTGAGAAACATGCTCACAAACATGTTGGTCAGAAGGACCACTTTGGGATTGGACCCCGCCTTGCTCAGGACAAACAAGGCCATCCGACGCGCAATGTCGTACTTGGACAGGGCCGCAGCGATGGTAAAGCCTCCAAGCAGAAGCATGATGACCGGTGTCCACATGGCGCTGAACGCAGCACTGGTGGCCTCCTTCGTTCCCAAGCGCTTATGAGGCTCGGCTTCGGACTTCATGATGCGGAGCATGACAACAAGGAAGGGTATCAGCAGCGACGTGACGAACAGAGGAATCACCTGTACATGATCAGTTTTTGCGTATCTCATCAAACCGCCAAATCACCTTTTAAAGGATACTTACCTCGGTGGCCCATAGCAAGCTGACCGTCACCAGCATCGCCAAGCAGTTCTGCTGCTCCGGCTTCTCCATGATGGGAGCATACAGCAACGTCACAAACACAATCAGAATCGCAATCAGCGTTCCAAAACTCAAGCTGCAGAGCCACTCCGGCACGCGGTAGAGACCGAACGGCGTCTTGATCTCGGTGGCCACGACCTCCTGCTCATCGCCTTGGCGTCGCGCGGCCGCGGGATCTTCATCTATGCCCAGGAGAGTTCGGCGGATACCCACGTTCGCTGCCTGAGCCTTTCGCTCAATGCCGATCATCTCTCTCCAGACGGTGTTTCGCTCCCAGACGACATGCTCGCGCAGGTGCAAGCGGAGCTCGCGCTTCGCGAGCTGGAGATCGCCCTCCGTGATCAGATCCGCATACAGCTGCTCGATCCTGCCGATCTCCTCGTCGATCCGTTTCAGGGTCGCGTCCGTAAACGGATAGGCTGGGGATACCGTGGAGCTCATGTACTCGCGGCGCAGATTGTGGTCGAGGATCTTGTCGAATTTCTTCAGGATCTTGGAGAAGCCGGTCTTGTTCAGCTGGATATACGACTTGAGTCCACACAGCGAGACATAGACGTTGACCGTTCGCTGCTTCAGCGACAGCCCTTCGTTGTACAGATCCATGAACCGCGGGTCTTTGCAATGCTCGTCGTGCCGGCTACTCGAGCGCCCGTTGTAGCCCAGGAGCCGCGAGTCACCCATGTCGTCCGTTCGACTCGCCGAGCGGACTCGCCTCTGTCCCGAGGGGGGCTGCTCGTCATCGCTATCCGCGCCATCGTCATCATCGTCCTCGTCCTGGGTATCGCTGATCGTGCTGCGTCGTCTGTCCCCGTTCGTGGGGAAATCACGATACGAGCCGCTTGTTCGCGGCGGAGACCCCGAGCTGATCCTCCGCGACTTGATCATCGAATCGCCCATGGGATTGATGTTGGCACCGTCCGCCTTGGAGGCGTACTCCTCGCCATCCCGCACAACCTCCTCCACCTCCTTGAGGATCTCGGACTCCTTGACCTGGTAGAAGGAACCGATCTTCTCCAACTCCGCATCCAAGGCTCGTCGGAAGACGGCATCGGGAGAGAGGTTGTCATGCAGCAACGGCGCGGATTCGACATCCGCTTGCCCCTGTCCTCGATGGGCTTGCTGTTCCAACGAATATAACCTGTGAGGAGTTGAGCCCCCGAGTCAGCCAATCCCAACCTCCCAATTCTAAGAAAAAAAAAAAAAAAACAAAAAACAAAAAAACAAAAACACCCACAATTTTTTCAAATTGCTATACGCAATGTAATAAGCACTCCAATCCGGCACCGCATTAAACTGCAGACTATGCGAGAACTTCATCCTGCCCTGTCCTCCTCTCTTCTCTCGCGTCTGCGCTCTACGCCGAAGAGCCTCCGCCCAAAAGACAACGCTGACCTGCCTCGGATAAACCCGACCGCTCTTTTCCTTTTCCTTCTCCTTGTCGGGATCGGGATCGGGATCGGTCGATGGCGATGCGGCGTCTAAGTCTAAGTCTACCTCTACACGCCGCGGCGCTCTCCTGCCAGCTCGTGCGGGTGTGGCAGGTTTGCTGAACTCGGCGAGCTCGAAAATCTGACTCGGGACGTGCTCGGACTCGGGGTTGTTGTTGTTGCTGTTGTTCTTGTAGAAATAGTCGTCGTAGGCACTTGTCGCGGACGCGATGTGTGCCACAGTCCGCCTGACAGCATTCGACGACACGGTTTCGGGTGGGGGGGGGGGTTATGGTTATGGGACGATGGGAGTCGAAGGATGATGGACGGGTAGCTAGGAAAGTGGTGCTCCCAACTCCGTCGTCCGTAGTAGTTCTCGTAGATAACTGGTTGACTAAGATCGATAACGTCGGTTATTTTTTGGGGGGTGCTTTTTGGGTAACTTAGTTGGGACGGTCTGGTTGCAGGTTGCTGAACTTGCTGGACCAGTCTCCGCCAGACGATTTGCGTCGTGTGCTGAGTGGTTGGATGACGGGAGTGTGGACACAAGGCATCAAGGCAAACGGGGGGGGGGCGTGTCGTATGGTCTGAGATCGAGAGAGAGAGAGAGGAATCAATTGGACTGGCAAGTGGCAAGATAGAGAGATAGGACTCGGGGAGATTTAGAGGCTCAGAGTCAAGCAGATTCAAGGGAATCCATAACATAACAATAATAGTAGTAGTTAACTACCAACTCCGTAGTTATATGTGAATGATTGCAACAATCCCGGCTGATAGAATCCAGACTATTGAACGTTGTAAGGGACTAGGGGGTTTCTTCTCGTAATGATAATATTAGCGCTGTGGGCTGGTCCCTTGCAGCGGTTTAGTCATCCACGACACGACGACTCTCAGAAGAATCAGATCGATCCAGTTACCCCAATTCTGACTCTTAAGTATACTCCGTAGACAGACATTGAAGAATAATGGAGAGAGAAAAAAAAAAAAAGTCTACAAGAGTACAGGGTACACTGCGTAGAAAGACCAGTGCGAGACGTGCGAATGCCAAAATAATTTACAATTTGCATCATGGTACTCACATAGCCCTAAAGTACAAAAAAAAAACCCCCATACCAACCATCCTCGCCAGAAGTCACAAGAGAGCCTGCCAGTCTCTACCGGCGCTGCATGGCCATACTAAGATTCGACCGACCCGAGACACCAAGCTTGTGCACCGCCTCCCTCTTGTCCCACACGCCGCTGCGGCCCTCCGCCACAGAAACCAGCTCGTTGGCCACCCGCTGCGCAAAGGTGCTGTCCCGCCGCTTGTCCGAGGCATCGATGATCCACCGGATTGCCGTTCGCCGGCGCTGTCTCAGAGCCAGGGGCACGGGGATCTGCACGGCGGCACCACCACCCGCGATCCCCTTCTGCTGACGGATCTTGATCAGCGGAGCCACCGAGTCCACGATCAGGGTGAGATAGAGCACGGGGTTGAGGGGGAGCTGAGGGCCGGGGGGCCCGGGGAGGAGAAGACGCTTAGGGTGGGGTTGAGGAGGCGAAGCGGTGCGGAGGTGATCCAGGATGAAAGACATGTTCTAGCAGCGGAATTTCGTTAGCATCGAAAGACCCCAGTGTAAATCAAGAGCCCTCACAGAATACATACCTTCTGGGCCTTGCTCAACTTCCCGTCCTGCATGAGCAATTTTGTAAACTGATCCAGCAAGGGATCATATCGCGTACGGAAGTTCTCCGTCTTGGGCAGGGTCTCCGGCGCAGGAAACTTGAGGCCGGGGTGCAGCTCGGCCACCTCCTGGTTGACCTGGGAGATCATGTTGGCGACCACGGCGGCCGACGGATCCGGCAGATCCTGGCCCTGGAGTTCTGGCTGGTACCGGCGCGTGAATGTCGAGAAGGACCGGGTGCCGGATGACCGCTTCAGTTGATCTTGCATCACTTTGGGCATATGCTTGAGGGCCTCTTCATCGCGTTGTAGAATCTAAAAATCAACGACAGATAAGCAATCAATCTAGTTGACGACGAAGACGTACAAGGAGCTACACACCTCAGCAATGGGAGTCCCCTGCTCCAACTCTGGGCTCGATCCCGCCGCATACTTCTTGCCATGCAGGATCTTGTCCATCTGCGCAGCCTCCTCGCTAATATGTGGCAACTGATCCTCCGTCGGGGCCTTGGGCCGTTCCGAAACATCCTTCTCATCCGACTTTGACGAGTTCCATCGTCTCTGTGCTGGGACGGGCGATGCGGCAAGAGGCCGGTTGATGCTCAGGCGGGAGCAGATGGACGACGATGTGGACGGGCGGAAAGCGGGCAGGGCCTTGCTGGCCGTGAAGAGATTGATACGTGGCGGCATGTCGAATATTCTCGCTATCCAAGCGAATGGGTAGAGAGATTGATTGAGAATCGGATTCGATTCGATTTGCCCTCTCTCCCCGTTGACTTGCGGCGCCGGACTTGCGAAGAACGATTTTCCTCTCCACTCTCGCTTAGTCATACATGCCAAGACATCCCAAGTTCCCAACTCACTGTAGAGATGAAGTTCATCTGTTGTCGTCTAGACTGATTTACCACGAGGATTATTCCACACTACAGCATTATATAACAAGATTTTGAAGGATTTTACTCATTGTCAAGGGTCTGGTACCGGACTTGTCTGTAGTGGCTCAGTATCCGAGTTACTCAGAAATATCCGATGAATGGGCCGTAGTGAGACCTAGAATCTGTATCGGAAGCTAGATAGTCTGTGCAACAATGTACAAAGAAGAAATCGTATGATAGTAGCAGAGTGGGTGGTGGAACGTATAGTCAAAGATTGACGCCCGTTGAATTCAAGAAACTGACCAGCAGTGTTGGCCTCGGTGAGTGTAGTAAAACAGCAGGCGATAGTCGGGAGCAGCGTGATGACGGTACAACAAAAGCAAAGAAAGGTGTGAGGGTAGATTGACGCTACATGTGTGTAGGAATTTAAAGCAACGCCTGCCATGTCGATAAATGGGCGGACGAGGAGAAGATAAAGAGGAGCTCGGACTGATCAAGAAGATGGCTTTCAAGCTGCAAAGATAGGATCCCCAGGGGCATTGTCTGGGTAGACGTAGAATGCAAGTGCTAGGATCAAATACCTTTGGAGAAGAAAGACGTTAGCACGACTCAAAAGGTCCAGTAAGGATGGGATAACTCACATTCCCAGACATAGTCCACCCTCGAGATAGTTCGACTTTCCGTCTTGGATCAGGAATGTGACAACGAGGCCAGAGATGAAGAAGGCGACCGTTTCGAAGATGTGGAAGTTGAGCGTCATCTCCACGTTCATGATCCAGCCCAGGATAACAAGGAACGGCGTAACGAACAAGGCGATCTGCAAGCTGCTGCCGACGGCCACGCCAATGGCCAGGTCCATCTTGCCCTTCCAGGCGACCACCACAGCCGTCACGTGTTCCGCAGCATTTCCGACGATGGGAATCAAGATAAGACCGATGAAGGTGCGGCTCATACCAGTCTGCTCAACAATGTTGTCGATGCTTCCAACCAAGTAGTCGGCGCAGATGGCGACCAGCACGGTGACGACAATCAGTGCGACAGTGGCAGCCAAGGGGCTGAGAATATGTTCCTCTTCCGGTTCGGCCTGGTTCTCCGAGTCGGGTCCGAGTTCTTCCTGGGCAGCTTCGAAGAATTCTGCGTGCGAACGAAGCTGGAAGTAGAGGTACATGACGTACAGAACGAGGAGGATGATGGCGGTTCCATGCGATACAAACAAGATATTCTTTTGTGTGTCTGCAATATCCTTGGCCGTGTTCTCCGAGCGAGACGAGACCAAAGAGGCGTATAGAGTGGCTGGAATGATCAACGAAGCCGAGGCCACGGTCATCAGCGAGGACATGGTCGATGCGACGGTCGTGTTGAATGTCTGCTCAGAGTACCGGAGACCACCGATGAAGAAACAGCAGCCGAGCACGAGCAGAATGTTTGACAGAATGCTGCCGAGCATACTCGCCTGGACGACACGAATCTGGTTGTCCTTGAGAGCAATAATGCTAACCTAATCAGGATCGCTCTGTTAGTCCCATCCAAAGCGCAAACACGTACGATTGAGGGACCAAAAAAAAAAAAAAAGTTCCAACCTACAATCAATTCCACGGCATTGCCGAATGTCGCATTCATCAATCCACCCAGCGCCTGTCCCATGGTGGCTGCCAGCTCCTCAGTCGCAAAGCTCAGCAGAGACGCCAAAGGGATGATCGCAATGAAGTTCAGCGAGAAGACAACGGTGCTGTCCCAGTGAAGGGCACCGGAGACGATGCCCAAGGGGACGAACACAAGAAGCAAGTTGACATAGTCGCGCACGAGGGTCGACCAGGTCAGATGCACCATCTGGGCGGGAACATTCAGCCAGGACCGTTCGCGCTTGTTGCGTAGATGCTGATGCAGACCCGAGTTGATGCGGACCGTTTCGTTGATCAAGGCATCGCGCTCGCTGGGCTCGCCAGCGCCATTGTGCGAAGAGAGGCCTGTCATAGTTCTTCGACTTGGACCCCACGAGTACCTTCGAAAGATGGAACGGAAATTCTTCGCCGCTGTATCAGACACAATCGATCCAATTAGCTTTTGTCTTGGGGATTTTCAATGTTCCAGCCGATGAAAATCCAGAGCAAAGCAATCCAGCTGGATAGGTAGAAAAGGACGAAGAGGTGATGATGAAATCAAGAGACTGAGGTCAACTTCGAGAGAAAGGAAAGACTAGAAGGGGGAGTTTTCTCTCTCTCTCTCTCTCTCTCTTAATCCCGTAAGAAGAGATCTGAAGGACACCTCGGAGGAGATAGGGTAGAGTCAAAGGAACGGATAGAACAAGGAGAGACTAAGAAGACTTCAAAGAAAGAAAGTAATCAAGACCGAGTTGGAGCAATGGTGATGATGATACTAAGCGAAACAGGAACTCTTTGGCACGTACCACACATTGGGAGGAGCGGAGACGACCAAGGAACCCACGACCAGCTACGTAGGGAGGAAATGGGAAAAAGGTGGGATCAGATCGCTATTATTCGCTCAGGTATGTATCCGGTAGTTAATGTCGGACGATCTTTGGAATCACTGTCAGGATCCTTGGTATCTGAATCTGGAACCAGGGTGAAATGAGCGAAAGTTCGTTTAGTCGTCTTAGCAGGATTGGCAACTGGTGGAGGGGAGGCGAGGTGATGCGTAATTAATTGTCCACCAGACAAGAGGAGATCACTCTTCGGCTAAAGAAGGTGAGGTCAACTGGGTTGAAATCTCTCGATGATGCCAAGTGAAATTAAAATTAAGAGAGAGAGAGAGAGAGAGAGAGAGAGAGAGAGAGAGCGAGAGAGACAGAACGAATCTTTTTCTCGAAAAGGAGGGATTAACGGGGCCCCAGCCACGTACGTCTCTGGAGTCTGGATGCTCTTCCCAAGAGTTAGTTTCCCCAAAGGGTCCACGGAGCGATGCGGATGCCCAAGGATGGCAAAGTTTTGGATGACTAGGAAGTAGGAACTCTATGGAGAGAATTCACCAGCTAGCGAAGTCCGGGTTAGTTAGATACTACTTCATACTTGAGCTTCTGACCTCGATACTGTAGCATTCTGGTGGTCTCCCTTAGTGGAAGTTTCGCAGCAGAATGACGACGAGGAGCGAACTATGAAAGTCAAGGAAGTCCTTTGGGGGACCAGGATGAGAATGTGCACAGCCTCTTTTGATGATGCTAGTATGTAGTACTAGTAGGCTAGTAGGCTAGTAGGCTAGTAGGCCAGGGGTCCAAAGGAAAGCTCGGGGCTTATGCAGATGGTGAGAAGTTATTTGGAAATTAGTAGTCTCGGCAAAAGGCTCTTGGACTTGGGGATTTAAAGATGGTCCAGGTAGTTAGTTAATGGGAGAAATATATGGTTGCGGTGGATGACGGGAGATGCAATAATATGGATGGAATCATATTCAACTGAAGATATACAAACCGTAGACATTGCGGTCAGCACGGAACTGCATAGTCAGTCAGTCAGTCAGTCGTTATATCAAGTCGATGCAATAATGATGATGAAGAAGAAGAAGAAGAAGATCGCCTACGGAGTACAGAATATCAGAGAGGAGTGGGGCCTGCAGGAAGCTCCAGCCACTAGCTTAACTATTATTACGAAAAAACCGACAGACAGCGACATGGACAGTGTGTTCACTGTTCTCCAAGTCTCCAAGAGTCTTTCAATTGACAGACTCTGTCAAATCTATTCCAGTAGTAGGTACGGAGGAGATGATATCAAATAATAATAATAATAGTAATAACAAAGCACGCAGTAAACAGCTAATAATACTGTAGCAGGATATGATCCCAGGCCAGAGCAATCATCCGACATATCCGCATTCATCACTGACTGGCCAAATTTGCACTGCCACAATGCAACAACATTCACCAGTATCTCACTAGTCACTAGTCTAGTCACTATCTTAGTATCTACGGAGTACGGAGTACGGAGTACTGTGTAGGAGGTTAGTGATACAGCAGCCCACTCGGCGCTTAAATCCTGGTCTGGTGGATCACATCAAATAAGAAGAAGAAGAAGAAGAAGAAGAAGAAGAAGTAACAATGAACAACTACCTTTACGAGGAGACCAGATGCTACCAACTTACAGTTTACAACGCATGGAAGATGAAGCCATCCATAATAAACACGTGCCCGATTCGAGGGGGTTGAGAGGTTATCAGATCCGGCAGTCCTCAGTATCATCTTGGGTGGTTGCTGGACTGAATCCCAAAAAAAAAAAAAATACCTATCATGCGACACAAGAGTGACACTTTGCATGCAACATGCATCCATGGTCACTGATCAACTCTTCGGATTACCCCCAGATGGGATTGACGGCTTGAGATTCCCCCAAGCCACACAGATCAATCTGGCCATCAGTGTTGCTGGCACCATCAGTCGGTCAGACTGACCCCGTGGCTTTGCTCAGCCAGCCATTCCATTCCCTCTTGAGTGACTTCTCATGTCCACTCTTTCTTGTTACTCTCTACTCTACTCTGTCCTACCGACACGGACATGGATCTCGGTCAGAAGCGGCGAGCATAGAAAATGTCCTATGCATATATAATCAATAGATACAATTGCGTTGAACAATGTTCACCCGACCAAGCAACAAGATACAACGAAGACGCCCATAAGCGAGTACCCCCATCAGTACAGAATAGGTATGCTCTATGTGGGGGTTCGAAAAATAAAAATAAAATAAAAAAAAAAGAATAATGGGAGTCGCTCCAAAGCAAAGACTCATTTATGATGGAGCACCGCCGAGTCCTGGTAGGGGTCAAAATCAGTAAAAAGTCCTGGATGCTCTTGGCCCGCTGGTCTTGTGGGAACTTACCTGCGGCGTAGGCAAGATACCAGGTCCGGGTGGCGCCTCCGTCAATCCAGCCGTAATCGAAATTGGGCTGCGTGAAAAAGTTCCACGAAGCAGCCGGATCAATCAGGGCGAGATTGGCATACAGCACCCCCTTCCAACCTCCCACCACCTTCTCGGCTGGTGCGGGACCATGGCTTGCAAACAGCGCATCCCATTCTTCCTGCACAAATTGCGCCCTGCGAACGAATGCAGAAGACGGAAGGAGCGGTAGCATATGAATCCTGTGGCCCCAGTCAGTTACTCTCGACATATAATGAGGATCAAGGGGATGATCTCGAGTACGAACCCTTGGATGTACTCCAGGTTGTTGCCAAAATAAGTGGTATGGTCGACCTTGTTCTCAAACAGCTGGAAAAGAGATCATGAGTCCGGATACTCCCCACAGATAGTACAGTTGCTTCTTGCACTTACAATGCCTGTGACTTTGTTTGCGATGAAGTTTGCGGGGTGGTTCCTATTGTTGCTTTCCATCAGGAAGTAGTTGTGCAGGCTTCGGCGCAGGATGCCCAGCATCAAGTTACCTCTGGCCTCCATACTAGCATCCCCAATGGTTTTGCCCCACATCTTGAGTGCGTATGCAAACATGGCATCCTCTGAGGTCGATTCCTCGTCCTTGCCATCAAATGATTCGAACAGGCCCTTGGCCCACGAGTGGCCGTGGAACCAGTCGAAACCACGCGAGAAGGGAAAAAGGGGATCGTTGCCAGCCGCGTTTCCTGCGTCCCGAACAAGCATATTCACCCAGTCCTTGCTAGTCTGAAGCCACTGGGGGTCCAGAGATCCTATAATGGCGGCGGCATGGATAAAATATCCATAGTGGAAGTGGTGGTCATTATACAAAGTATTTCCAAAGTCAGCGCCCACGTCGCCGGACGCGTAGCTGGCAGACGACACCACGCCCTTCCAGACATTGTCATATACCAAGGGGAACTGCTGCTGATTGTTGATGAAACGGGCAAAACAATTCTTCAGCCGCTGTAGTGCGTCAGCTGCAAGATTCTTATCGCCACCGAGCCTGTCGACTGTATATATCAAGGTAGCAAATTTGCTGAGAGCCTTTCCGCTGAAATACATGCTGTTGAGATTGGTCTGGTTGTCCATGTTCTGTTGAAGTTCCGTCGGTGCAACAGTCAGGATCACGTTCTTAGCAGTTGGAGATATGTTCTTGACGCTGCCTGCCGAAACAGACCATGGCGCAAAATCCATCTCAGTTGGAAGATCGCCTTCGACCATAGTCCAGTATTCTCCAACCACTGCGGTTGCCTGCCCTTTAGTGGTCGTTCGGAGTGTGAGATTGGTCGCCCGGCTCCTCGTACTGCTGTCGAACGACTCGATATGATGCGGCAGTGCATACATGAGCAATGGAGTGCTGTCAACATCCTTTCCTGCCTTGGCCCACAGCAGCTTGTATGTTCCAGTTTTACCGGACACCGAGCCCATGACGGCGCCCTCAACGGCAAAAACACCGGAGGAATTGTCATGAAACTTTTCACCTGAGGTACCTGCGGGGTTCTTGGCTACTTGAATTGTGCCTGACCAACTAGAAGGTCCCAGGATCTCGTTGTTGGAGATCAGACGGAGGTCAGGGTCATTTCCACTGTCCGGAGTCGCATAAACGAGCCAGGATGTTCCGTTCTCGAGGGAGGCGCGGTACTTGAATATCCCAGGTCGCGGAGATCCTGCAGCTACCACGTTACTGAAAAGTACACCGGACTGGATCCGAGGCTGGAGGTTAGTATACACGGCGGTCACAAATCCCATGCCTTGTACCACAGGCAAGGTGATTCTCTGAGATGAACCAGCTTGAGGTTGCAGGACCGCGTTTGCCGAGAATGGAAGCGGGTTTTCCGTGGTGAGTACGGTGGACTCCCCCAGTTCTGTTGCTGATAAGATGAGGGAATGAATGCCAATCGGATTGACATAGTAAGATATTGGGCTACCGGGAATCGCGGAATTGACTGGGCCCTGTGCCATCACGTCACTCTCAACATGTGAGACAGCCATGCCAAAGCTTCGCGGATTTGCATTGCCCCTCACCCATGCAAGGCTGTAAGGGTGCGTGAAAGTGTTGTTGGTTTGTGTGCCTAGAAATAACCCGCTGTAAAACTTGTTCGTTTCAACCGGGCTTGTTGCATTGGCCTGCGAGAATTAGATACGCTTCTGCAGTCTTGTTTCAAGGAAGTCAAAACCTACAATTCCAATTCTGGGCACTGGATGATCATTCCTAGAGGGAATCGACTGAGGTATCGAACCGGTCGATACTGGCACGAAAACATCTTGACCTTCCGTCATTGGTGTAGGAGTAGCTTATTACTGCCGTCAGTTCGGGCTTATGGAAAGGGCGCGCATTGTTAACTGACCTGATTCTGTCTTACTAGGCGACTGGCTTTGTTGCGCTAAATGGCTTGAACTAGCCACGCTAGTTGGAGAAGTTTGAATGACTACTGACGGGTCAGGGTTCCGAAATTCTTGCATCTTGTATATTACGACTCACCAGTTGTTGAAGAGCCGGATGAAGTGCTTGCGCCGTGGGAGTTTGGCGAAGTCAAGGGTGGACTGGCGGTCGAAGGACCTGGGGCTTCAATAGCAATGTCCGAAGCCTGCGGTTGTAGGCCTGATAATACCCAATCTAGCAGATCAACAGAGTCCTCCGAATCCTCGAAAGGATGCAGCAACGGATCTAGCAGGTGTTCCAAACCGAACCCTGTGGGAAAGGGCTGCTCAGACAGGCGACCCTCGCGCTCCAAGCTCGTTGGATAGAACTATGCAATAGTGAGTGACAAGAGCCTAATGTGAATGATCACCAACTTACGCCGTGTGTCTCCGGCTCTAGCAATCTAGCCTCCGGGGTGGGAGCAGGAGGGTATTGCGTTCTTAGCGAAGAAGAGCTAGTTGCGTCAAGCGACTTAGGAAGAGAATGAACACTTTCTGCAGCCAGGAGCCAGGTCAGTACGACTGAGTACTGCCACATAGTCGTTGTTGCCAGCATCTTCCTGCCGTGGCTGCGAGGACAGATAATAATGATCCAAACGTCTCAAGACTTCAAAAGAAAGAGAGAACAAAAAAGAGAAACAGGTAAATCAACAATCCAATGTTTCGAGTGCATGGATAGCAAGTTTTTGTCCGGTTTCGCTAAGGACGCAGTGCTTTTCTGCAGGATCATTGAAGGATCGAGGTGAAGGAGGAAAAGAACGACAGTTGCAGAGTCCTGATAAACGAAAGGAAGACACAGAGAAAAGGCTAGATACAGAAGGAGTGTATACAAACTCGAACCATGCGGCACACGGGATCTGATACCCCAGTATATTTCACGGAGGAAGAAGCCAGACCACTTCAATCGTGTATGGCAAACAAAAACAAACGAAGGAGGAGGCGACAAAGCCTCAAATACACAAAGGCAAACATTGCTCACCACCGTGGAAGTGTCAAATTCCAGCCAAAACCTTCGAGAATCTCCCATGCAGGTTATTTTCTGTCTGGCTAGGAAGGGATACTGGATGACCCAAGATGTTGTCTAGTGAACAGACAGATAGGGACTACGCGAGTGCCGATCTAAGCAGATTGTCAGTTATCTTGTGGCAGTTAATGAGAGGTCCATCATCCATGAGACAAGTAGTGGCTCAAAAGGGCAAAACAATGTAGGGAGCGAGGGAACCTGGAATGCTTCTATAATGGCGATCCAGCGTCCCAAGCAACCCTAAGTGACGTCTGCTGGAGAAGAGGCCACCCTGTGGAATGAACATGGATGACTTACAAGATGCAACTGATACAATCCACTGATGGACCGATGAAAGTGAAGATAAAACCGAACCAACAGAATTGGGATTGAGAGAAGATGGTGGGTTGTTGAGGTCGCGTCCATTCTAGAAGGTGGAGCAAAGGCACCTCAGGCAACTAAATAGTAGAGGAACACGTGAGAAGAAACGGCACCGATTCAAGACAGTCGGTTTTGATTGACAGTAATATAATCTCATCTTGAAGCTCATTACTGATGGCCCGGATTGTTTATGATCGTCAGCGACCTGGGATATACAGATCACAGAATGCATACTTGGATTCAAGCTTGACCAAACATTCCAATGTGAATCTGTCTTGGACGCCTGGACGACCCAGTCAAACAGGCCGCGCAGATCGTTGCTGGGTTGCTTCAGCTGTCAATCTGTCACGTCATCAATGATTATTTGGATGTCCATGTGGTTGCCCTCATTCCATGACCGCGTCAGTTGAAGTTCTTAACATGGATAGATAGGGTACAATTGGGGTTGTCGAAGCAGTATGTTCCCGGTGCTGATCTGCTTGTACTACGGTCACACCCATCATGCGCTCACCCGACCTGATCATCTACGCTATATGCGGACACTGATAAGGACAGGAAGTATCGAGTTGAAAGTAGTTGAAATTTTCCTATGCTTTGTACCACAAGACGAAGCAAAGATGACTCGGAAATGATCTACGAGTCCAATAAGCTCCAAGAACGCCGCCCATATCCTTTTTTATTAACAATGACTCTGCTGCTTTGTTGTCGCAGCAGCAGTGATCAGAAGACAGATCCCCATAATAAAAACCACTGTGAACTATTCGGATGGAAAGAGCTGGAGGGCCAATGCCTAGATCATGGGCTTTTCCATAGGCTTGATGATGCCCTGTTTGATCATCACACGAGGCTTGGTTGCGTTTTGAAGCGTCTCCTTGGTAGACCATTCAGGGCCGATGGGGAGTCGCAGAGATCGCTCGTACTGTGCCTTGGTTTCGAAGGGATGAGGAAGCTGAGTAGCCAGATACTTGTTGTTCTAGAAAAGAGGAAGGGGGTTAGCTTGTAGATCCGACTGGATTTATAGGAAACAGGTATCCCGGAGAGGTCACCCACCTTTCTAATGCGTTTTTCATTGATGATAACGCGAGAAAGTTTGGCATCTTTGCGGTTCTCAGGTTTGACACCCTCGACTTTAGTCAAGACCTTCTTCTGTCGCCTCAGCTCCCTTTTGCTAACCCCGTCTCCAGCCCAGCTGCCCCAGCCAGGGAGTGTCTCGTCGATGACTTTGTCTCCTTCTTCTTCGATGGTGTCAATTTTCTCCTGATCAAAGTCTTGCACCACCTCATCACCAGCAAATGCTCTCTTCACAAGGTCATGGTTCTTCAGAAGGACAGGGACATCTTCCTCATCACTGTCGTTGTCATCTTCCACGTGCTGTTGCTTCTTGGAGGCAACAGAAGGTCGATCCTTCTGTTTCTTAGGGCCGTCCGCGGCCTCAGCACCGAGAGTGACATCGATAGTCTGCTGAGAGTCGTCTGCAGTTGTTCGACGGTTGTTTCGCTTTGTCTGCACCAGCCAAGGGTTCTCTTCCACATCAGCAGTCTCCTTCTGCTCGGCCGTGGTGTTTGATGGCCGGACGTTATTTTTCTTGCCAGAAGGTTCCGTGGCTTTCGAACCCTTCTGCTTATTAGTGCGGTTGACAATGATGTCAACCTCAGGATCCGCCTCCGCAGCCTCAGCCTCTTCATCAGAGCCAAGCGCCTCCTCAAACTCGTTCTTGGGCATCGGCTTTGACTTCTTGGCTTTCTCGGCCTTGTCGCCTTGCGTATTGCCGAATTTCCGACGACCAACCTCAGATTCGGCTTCAGACTGCGACTCCTCCTCGCCGCGGAGTTCTCGGTCCAGTCTTCGAATTTCAGCGTCGTTCTGTGCCTTGCGGGAAGCTTCTGCGTTTTGCATGAACTTCATGGAAAGTAATTTGGCATGGGGACCAGTAAGCTCCGTATCATCCTCCTCACCCCCCTCAAGTCTCTCGAGTTTCTGGCGTAGCTTGCGTTTTTCAGCATCAGAGCCAGCATCCTCCGTCCATGGATCATCGTCTTCCGACTCTGAGCTCGACGAGCCAAGATAGTCATCGTCCGCACGAGACACACTCTTCCCTTCAATTCGTCTACGTAGCTCTTCTTCTTTCAAGGCCAGGTCTGCAGCACCCTGCCGAGCATCCTCGTCCCAAGCCGTCCGACCGGTCTGCTTGAGACTCTTTGCCCATTTGCTGTCTTTGTGTTTTGCGCCCATTCTGGCTTCAGCTCTGCGGCGCTCATTCATCTCCCGCTCTTCTTCCTCGAGGTCGACACCGGCTTCACGGAGCGCCTGTCGCTCTTGCTCTTCCATACGTTCGCGCTCCTTGCGGTGGACACGGCGATATGACTTGCTCTTGATCTTCTTGATCCGCTTAGCCCGGACCTCTTCTCGGAAAAGCAGATCTCGCCGCTTGCGCAACTCGGCTCTACGGGCTCGAATTTCCTCAATAGGTAATTTCCGTGCCTGTAGCTCCTCAAACTCTTGGACCTGTTCCTCAGTTGACTTTCCGTTTGCTTCCGCCAAGCCACTCTCCACTAGAATATTTTGAATTGTAGCTTCAAGATCTGTCTGCGGTTTGACGGGACCAATTTTGTGCGATTGTTGAGCGTTGGGATCAGGGAGAGGGAAAGTAAGGTGCTCTGCTCGGCGATTGGCCTTGACAGTTTCAAGCCAGCGGTTCAGAGTCTCCTTGCTCTTCTCATACGCCGCTACTCGGTCCAACCGATCCTGCTGACGTTTCGCAAGAGGCGCATCCAGTTTTCCAGGAATTCCAGATGCCTGCTTGTGAGAGGGAGCGGCATCGACGTGCTTAAGAGAACTCTTTAAGCGAGAATCCGTGATTGAGGGCAGGAGGTCGGCAATAGTCAACTTTCGCGATGATGTCAATCCATATTCTGTAGGCTTTGCGTGTTCTTGTCCACCACCTGTTTTCCTAGTCGGCTTCTTGGAAGTTTTGGTTTCCATGGCATTGACAAAGCTCTGCAATTTTGAGAGCCCATGCGCGTCTGTTTCGTCAGCCTCATCTTCCGACAGCGACAGGTCACTCTCTTCGTCAGATTCGTCGCTATCCTCGCTACCCGAATCGTATTCGTCGGAATCGTCGTCTTCTGTCTTCTTCTGTTTGGCTGATGCAGCTGCAGCCTTTTCTTCCTCGGCGGTGTTCAAGTCCCAGGCGGTAGTAAGGTCTATAGCATCCTCTCCGAGATCGTCCTCGTCGTCTAGGTCTTCATCTTCCTCCTCGGACTGATCCACATCCTCTGACAAATTTATTTCGCGCTCACGACGTGTAGTCTTTTTCGGCTTCGGCTTAGGATCGGTCTTGGAGCTTCCGCGGAATGTAAAGCCTTCGAAACGTTCTTCATCGCTAGAGCCCATTGCCTCATCACTGTCCAATTCGCTGTCGTCGTCACTGTCGACCTGACCTAGCCTCCACCTGCGTCCTTCTCCGTCGCTGCCAGCATTGCTGTCATCGTCATCCGAGTCGTCTCCGGTTCGACGGCGCTTGTTATCTGGGCCGTCTAAGTCGTCCAGCTCACGGCCGGTGTTTCGCTTTCGCTTTGAGAAATCGAGTTCCTTGCCTAATCGGTTGCGCCTGACACCAAGCTTATCTGGGAACTGCTTTTCTGCGATCGAGAGGGCATTGAGCGCCTTTCCAGATTTCTTCTTGGGCGCCGATTTCTTGAAGGACTGGTCCTTCGGACCCCGCAACTGTGTTTGTTTGCGAGGCATTTTTTCTTTTTTACCGCAAAAAATTCTTAAATACAATGAGGAGTCAAATTGGTATAATTCACCGAGAGCATCAAGAAGTGACTACTCGGTTTTAGGAAGAAGGTGCGGGAGCTGCACTTGTCAACTCTATAGAATATTTTTTTTTTTTGCTTGCAGACTTGCGGGCAACGGAAAAAAAGTTCTCGGCGCGACGGAGCTAAGTAGCGCCGCCCGACTTCCACGACCTTTTCTCTACTCCGACAACGAGACGACGATCAGATCCACGACAGCACTGTGTTAGCATCATTGCAAGGACGCAGTCATACTATCGCAATGTTCAAGCCTTCGCAACCAATGATGGCGCGATTGCGCCTGACCACGAAGCAGGTCAATGGAGGCTACTACAAGGGAAACCGGACTGGGTCCATGGGTTATTTCGCAAAGAACGGTTCCTATGTGATTGACTGGAAGAAAGTCCGCACTTATGTTGTTCCTGAGAACCTTGCCGACTTCAAGGTATGTTATGCGAATTCGATCTGAAGATGTAGCTTGTCAAGTAGATGCGCTAAGTTGTCAAATAGCTCACACCGTTCGTAACGAAACGCATGGCCCCGACAAAGGGCAAGTACATTCGCGAGCTCGAGAAGAACGGCAAGACGGTTATTGTTGAGCGTGCGTTTGGTGGAAAGGAATACCTCGACATGTGGGCATCGGATAACGGCCAGGAAGTGCTGGAGCAAGAGCGTCTTGAACAGGAAGCGTCTTCAAGCGCGGTGCCACCTCGTCAATAAATGCCTGGGTCACGGATTCCAACGACATATCACAAATTACGAATATGTCCTATCCTTCGCGCGATATCGGCAGTTAGTGCAAGGCAGACTTGGAGACTGGCTTTCTTCGGTTCCAGTGTCCTCGATCACCCAGGAATCGTACCGGGCTCCTTCTCCCCACAATCTCTGGGTCAAGAGTGTATTATATGTACAGTACGAGCTTTGGCTCGCGGCATCGCGATGATCTCTACACGGGCTTCGACAAGTAAAACGGATTTTCATGGTTATCAGTTAGCCGATGAAGCCACCTGGGCGATCCAGCATGTCTATTGAGGGTTATTTTGTTCAATGGCGCATCGTGGGTTTTTGCATGGCTATGTGCTTGTTTATGGTTTCCTGTCATGTTATACCATTTAGAATACTATCAAAATACCTGAACACCATTTGAGGTGAAGAACAGTATCAGTTGAACTTGTGAACAAAAGGTAGAGCGATCGACCTTCGTGCTCAGAGATATATCTAGAACACTCTCGGCCCGGTGATAACAAATAATCTATTGTGGAGTGCTCGAGCCTGCTTCCGTGCGTGGCAATAGACTATTCACATGCTGACAGTCACATAATGCCCACTGTATATGGACACGGAGTGCGTGTTTCCACTACTCTTACAGCGACCGCTGTCTAGCTCTATGTCATCGCCTCCAACGATCTCATCAACTCATAACTATCATCTCGGAGTATCCCATCGTCCCGCAACCAAGGCATGGGGTCGCTTGTGCCCTGCTTCATCGTTTTCAGCGCCCCCTCTAACCTATGAACCCGACCTTCTTTCGCCATTTCCCAAAGCGAGAACAACAGAAGCTATGTTTCAATCATTCACGGGGAACTCTCGCCGTCCACGGCAGGTCAATCTCGGGGGCCGCAATACGAATCCCTTCGCTGCTTACCCTCCCGGTAGACACTCTGCACCTGCTCCAGGTCCACAGAATACTCTTGCAATCGCGCAACAAGAACGACTTCTCAGACAGCAGGAGAGGGAGCGGTTGGGGGCGACTCGGAAGATACAACGGACATGGCGGGGTTATTCAAGCAGAAAGATAACCCACAACACATGGCGGACCGAGTGGGATACAGCTGAGCGACAGAGAACTGGGGCCTCCCTACCATTTGAGGACAAGGCTGGTTATCGTGAAGATAATTTCAAAGCTTCGATGCCGTATGGAACAGCGGCCGAATGCTTGTCACAGTTGCGGCATCTGGTCCAGTTTTTGGAACCCTGGAATTCCAAAGATATCATTCGCCTGGTATACTATTCAAATGTCTTCCAAATGACGTTGCGGGAGGTACCCACGATCGCAACTGAGGGGGAGTGGATGACTCTGCTGAAGCGCCTTGCGAAGTTAACCCTGCGCGTGCTACGCTCAGCAACATCTTCTGTGGTGCCCGACTTTGCAGTGGCCTATCTTGTCCAGTTGCTGGTTTTTCTTACAAACCTGATCCCCAGGCAGATGGCTCGCATAGCTCAAGATTACTATTCTGTTATGGCAATCATCACGAGAAACATGGAATCTTTGTCTCAAAGATGTCATCTATCCCAGGATACCCTAGTCCAAAGCGTCCTTGCTCCTCTGCAGCCTATCACTTCGGAGACCCTTACCGCTTACGAGTGGTTTGCCAGAAGCTATCTCACCATTCCCAACCTTTCAGCGTATCTCGGAACGCTTGATCTGTTAGCGAATAACATTAATTACAAACTGTTGATATCTGCCCTGGGACCTCTGCATTCTCAATTCCAAGAGCGACCACACACTGCTGTGGACATGGATGCACGTCTCTGGCTTCTGGCGTATGTCATTTACTTCCACCAATATGCCCTGGGGACTCAGGCTGGTCACCAAGCACCGGAGCCGGAGTTCGTGAAGATAGTTTCTGAACTCCTCAATTCTACAGCCGTGCATCTGTCGCGGCGCCTAGAGGCGGATGATGCTGTGGATGGTGACGGCCCAGAGGAGACGCCGCTGCACCCCTTTATCAAAGAACAGATATCCAGCCTTGTGAACCAGGGCAGGATTACAGGCCTTCTGTCACAACTTCAGTCGGCGCATCTTTCGCAAGGCGAGCTGGCAGATTCCGACTCGGACGCATCCAAAGAGGCCAAGATTCTTGCTACTTACGCGCTGACCCTCTTGAGGGTATTTCCTCGTCGCGGAGATGATATTCGCATGTGGCTTTATCTAGGCTCAGCTACTTCTGGAGACCAGGGAGCAGGTCATCCAGGCCCGCGGATTCCCGCTATAAAATACTTTTGGCACGCGTCGCGATCGAGCCGAATTTTCAGCAAAATTAGCCAGGACTCTACCAAGGTGCTTCCTTTCCTGAAACCAGCTGCAGAAGCAGCGGCCTCCGGAGTATCAATGTCCCAAGTTGAGCGGGATGAGGAGTGGACCATTATTCTTCTTTTCCTTGAGCTCTATACTTTCGTTTTGAAAGTGATGGATGATGACGAGTTCTTCTCCAGCCAGTCTTCGTTCACTGCTTCCTCCAACACTCGGGTCTCGTGGACCAAGGAGAGTGCGTTGCCGTTGAAAGACATCAAAGATATGACAGTGTTTCTCAAGAATCTGGCATTCACGCTCTACTGGAATTCGGCCGACTTGAATGAACGGGAAGCACCACAGGAAAATGCGGGCATCCAAAGCTACTTTACTTCCGTTGCCCCATCCTCCGACCCCATCACAAGTGTCAAGGATCTTGAATTGCGAAACAAGGAGAAGGGCCTTCCCGGAGTCACCGGGATCCCACTGGACTACTTCAAAGGTCTCGTGACAGGTCTTTTGAGAATGATCCACGAGCGCGATTCAAGACGCAAGTTTCTTCCTGATGGGCATTGGTTGATGACCAATCGCTTCGATATGGAAGGCTTCATCCCTGCTGTCGTGGCGGAGGAAGAGAATCGGCATCAGCTGCAGGATGAGGACGAGGAGGAAGACCAAACCGATTGGATGAGAGATGACGAATATGAGCCTACTTCGGGCCTCATTGGGACTGGCCGTGTGCAACAGGCGCGTCGTATCGAGGCTCTTAGGCGACGCCAGCAACAGGCCGCGCGCAGAAAGCAGCTTGAAGCCGTGGCGCCAAGACTAGAGATTCTGAGGAATATGCCGTTCTTTATTCCCTTTGCCACACGAGTTCAAATCTTCCGCGAATTCATATACCGCGACCAGATGCGCCGAAGACAGGGATTTATTGACCCGGATGCGTGGCGGATGTCAGTCGCTCAGGCTTCCATGGGACGCATGATCGATGGCCGACCTGCAGCCCAAGACATACTGAGCCGCCACCACGCCAACATCAGACGTGAGAGCGTATTCGAGGATGCATTTGAACAGTTCTACGAGCTAGGCGAAGGTCTGAAGGAGCCAATCCAGATCAGCTTCATTGACAAATTTGACACGGTGGAAGCGGGAATTGACGGGGGCGGTGTGACTAAAGAGTTTCTCACCAGTGTCACCACCGAAGCTTTCAAGGCAGGAAGCGGGCCGAAGTTGTTTGAAGAGAACGACCAGCATTTGCTCTACCCGAATCCTGCCGCGGTTGAGCAGCGACGAGAAGCCCTGCGGCAGCTCGGCTTTGTGGAGAATAGCCCGGAGTGGAATGAACGCGTTCGAGACTTGCTGAGACGGTATGAATTCTTGGGTCGGATCATCGGAAAATGTCTATACGAGGGGATACTCGTAGATGTTAATTTTGCGCCCTTCTTCCTATTGAAATGGGCTCTGACGGGGGGCGTGGGATCGGCGCAGCGAGAAACGGCCTACCGCGCCAATCTGAACGACCTGAAGGATCTGGATCAGGGGTTGTATCAGGGACTGGTAGGGTTGCCTGTTATTCGATGAGAGGCACTTGATGGCATGCTAATGAGTTCCTTACAGTTGCAATTGAAGAACTACCCTGGCGATGTCGAAGACTTTGCCTTGAATTTCACCGTCTCCGATACCATCCCTCTTCCGGACGGAGGCAGTCGCACGGTCACGCGAGATCTGAAGAGCCATGGGTCGGACATCGCGGTGACGAACCAGAACCGTCTTGTGTACATCTCTTACATTGCCCGATATCGTCTGCAAGTGCAACCTGCACTCCAGACACATGCTTTTCTCCAAGGCCTGGGCCACATTATCCAGCCCTCATGGTTATCGATGTTCAACCAGGCGGAATTGCAGACATTGGTCAGCGGGGAATCGGGCGACATCGACGTAGCGGACCTGAGACGCAACACGCTGTATGGAGGAGTCTATACCATCGGCGACGACAAAGAAGAGCATCCGACAGTCAAGCTCTTCTGGGAAGTCATGGAGAAGATGTCGAACGAGGAGCGACAGAAAGTGCTGCGCTTTGTGACGTCCACCCCCCGGGCTCCCTTGCTGGGATTTAGCCACCTGAACCCGCGTTTCAGCATCCGGGACTCGAGTGAAGACCAAGAGCGTCTACCTAGTACGAGCACCTGCGTCAACCTCCTCAAACTGCCCCGATATTCCAGCGCCAAGGTTCTCCGGGAGAAGCTGCTCTATGCGATCAACTCGGGAGCGGGCTTTGATCTCAGTTAAGGGAGGCTTCTTTCTGCCAAACAACAAATCCATCGAGGATCCCACAACTATTCTACTCTTTCACGATGATAGAACATCCCTTTATTTCTGGGTTGCATAGCTGGGGCGTCATGAATGGTCTCATTATTCTTTGCTTGTGTAGTCGGTTTCTTTGTCTTGCTTCGGTAAGCCGGTTCTGAGTGCCTTGGGGGGAAGGGGTGTCCCCTTCTTTGTCGATAAATCTCTCTACAAATGATGTGGATCCTGGGTTCAGAGTAGACTACAGTACCTACCTGTCAATCTTCCGTAGGACAATGTATGGAACAACGGAGCCAACTGGTGAGTCGTTTCCTGGGAGCGGCAAGAGAGACAGTTGCCATATTGGGACTAGCGCATGCTGTCTTTCAGTTTTCCAGAACAAAAAAAAGTTTGTAGAGAAATTTGCAATCCCCTTATTTGCGAAAAAGATCGACCAGAGCGAAAATCTCTTTTGCGCTTTCCCAAAGTGGATTTCCCTCCGAAACTTTTCTTCTCAAAATTTTTTTTTTCCACCTCTCGGTCTCAAAACCTCAATTTTTGCTGTCACCAGCAAATTCGATAATAATTCTTTCTTTTTTTTGACTTCTTCCTCTTCTTCTTCTCTTTCTTCCTTACTCTCTCTCTCTCTCTTCCCAGCTTCTTCTCTTCCTCCTTTTCTCTCTTTTTCGAATCGTCTTATCGAAAGAGTGATATAAAAAACTTCCAAAAAAATCCGGAAAATCCCATAAAAAAAAAGGTGTCTGACTCTTCTTCGGTCGAACTCTTTTCCCCTCTCTCCCGTCTGGTCCATCTCGAAACTGTACGTTGTGTGTGTGTGTGCGTTGAAGATTTTCCTCTTCCCGGCCGCCTTTTTCTTCCCATCCCTCGTGTTCGCGTTACTTCGCATTGCCTCCATCTCTATCATCACTTTCCTGCTGTTACCGACCTCGCTTTGCGATTTGTTATACTCTGTACGTCTGACTGTGTTGGTCATCTTGCTTGATCTGCTTTTGATCAGTGGGCTGTGGCTCTTGGACACACCACTTGAAGCATATTCCTGCAGCAGCAGCACAACGCAATCGCACACGGGTGGTTAATGACAACCTCTTATCACCCTCAGCTTTCCTGTTCTACCCTTCCTGTGAACCTTTGAGAAGTTAATATTGTCATTGTGTGGCTGGGTTGATTAGAGCTTGGCCTCCGTTGACTTTTTTACTCAGTCGTCGTCTTTTTTTTTTTTTTTTTTTTTTTTTACCCTTTTCTTTGCTCGTTCTTCCGACTTCATCCCACTTGCATCTCAAAAAGTGTTGTGATTGCCTGCTAACACATATTCTCTCACATAACAGTAAAAGAAAAAAAATACGAAAAATCTTCAAAATGTCTGCCGAGGTTTCCACCACCCCCGCCGCTGACAATGTCAACGGCACCCCCGAGGCTACCAACGCCGCTGCCACCAGCGCTCCTGAGGTCACGGCTGTTGAGAGCTCTTCTCCTACTTCTCCCAACAACAACAACCAGCCTCACTCCGCTTCCCTCTATGTCGGTGAACTTGACCCCTCCGTTACTGAGGCTATGCTCTACGAGCTCTTCTCTTCCATCGGCCAGGTCGCTTCCATCCGTGTCTGCCGTGACGCCGTTACCAGACGCTCTCTGGGATATGCCTACGTCAACTACAATAACACCGCCGACGGCGAGCGCGCCCTCGAGGATCTGAACTACACCCTGATCAAGGGCAAGCCCTGCCGTATCATGTGGTCTCAGCGTGACCCCGCTCTGCGCAAGACTGGCCAGGGCAATGTCTTCATCAAGAACCTGGACAGTGCGATTGACAACAAGGCTCTTCACGATACCTTTGCCGCCTTCGGTAACATTCTCAGCTGCAAGGTTGCTCAGGATGAGTTCGGCAACTCCAAGGGATACGGCTTCGTCCACTACGAGACCGCCGAGGCCGCTAACAACGCCATCAAGCACGTCAACGGCATGCTGCTGAACGACAAGAAGGTCTTCGTTGGCCACCACATCTCCAAGAAGGACCGCCAGAGCAAGTTCGACGAGATGAAGGCCAACTTCACCAACATCTACATCAAGAACATCGATCCCGATGTCACCGAAGAGGAGTTCCGCAAGATTTTCGAGCAGTTCGGTGAGATCACCTCCGCCACCCTGAGCCGTGACCCGGAGGGCAAGAGCCGTGGTTTCGGTTTCGTCAACTACTCCACCCACGAGAGTGCGCAGGCCGCCGTCGACGAGATGCACGACAAGGAAGTCAAGACCCAGAAGCTCTACGTTGGCCGTGCCCAGAAGAAGCACGAGCGTGAGGAGGAGCTGCGCAAGCAGTACGAGGCTGCTCGTCTGGAAAAGGCCTCCAAGTACCAGGGTGTCAACCTCTACGTGAAGAACCTCACCGATGACGTCGATGACGAGAAGCTCCGTGAGCTCTTCGGCCCCTACGGTACCATCACCTCCGCCAAGGTCATGCGTGACTCCACCCCCGCTGAGCGTACCGAGACCCCCGACTCCGAGAAGGAGAAGGAGGTCAACAAGGAGAACGAGAAGAAGGAGGACGAGGAGAAGGCCGCCGAGGAGAAGCCCAAGGAGTCCGATGAGGAGAAGAAGGATGAGACCAAGAAGTCCGACAAGAAGCTCCTCGGAAAGAGCAAGGGCTTCGGTTTCGTCTGCTTCAGCAGCCCTGACGAAGCCTCCAAGGCCGTCACTGAGATGAACCAGAGAATGGTCAACGGCAAGCCTCTTTACGTTGCCTTGGCCCAGCGCAAGGATGTCCGCAGAAGCCAGCTTGAGGCCAGCATTCAGGCCCGCAACACCATCCGCCAGCAGCAGGCCGCTGCTGCCGCTGGTATGCCCCAACCAGTAAGTTCTTCTCGTCCATCGCCTTTTATCTGATTACTATGTCGTTTGAAGATTGCTAACTTTTTTTTTTTTCTTGCTCCAGTACATGCAGCCCGCTGTCTTCTATGGTCCTGGCCAGCAGGGCTTCATTCCTGCCGGCCAGCGTGGCGGCATGCCCTTCGCTCCTCAGCCCGGTATGGTGATGGGTATCCCTGGTGGACGCCCTGGCCAGTACCCCGGTCCCTTCCCCGGTCAGCAGGGTGGACGTGGCATGGGTCCCAACCAGCAGATGCCTCCTAACTTCCAGGGTATCCCCATGGGTGCTATGCAGGGTCCTGGTGGCATCCCCAACGGCATGGGTTACCCCCAGGCCATGGGTCAGGTGCAGTTCGGTCGCGGTGGTGGCCGCGGTCAGGTCCCCGGTATGCCTATGGGTCAGGGTATGCGTGGTCCTGGCTACCAGGGCCGTGGCGGTCCTCAGGGTGGCCCTCGTCCTCAGGGTGGTCGTGGCCAGAACGCCGCTGCTCAGCCCGCCGCCGGTCGTGAGGAAGCCCCCGCTGGTGCCCTCACTGCCCAGGCTCTCAACGCCGCCGCCCCGCCCCAGCAGAAGCAGATGCTGGGTGAGGCTCTTTACCCTAAGATTCAGGCTCAGCAGCCCGAGCTGGCTGGCAAGATCACTGGCATGCTGCTTGAGATGGACAACACTGAACTGCTTGGCCTGTAAGTTTTACTCTTGCATCTTCGTGTCTTGGATTCGAATATCTGCTAACGTTGATCATCCTTCAGTCTTGAGGACGATGATGCCCTCCGCGCCAAGGTTGACGAGGCCCTGAGCGTTTATGATGAGTACATGAAGAACAAGGGCGAGGGCGAGGCCCCCGCAGATGCCGACAAGCCCAAGGAGGCTGCCAAGGAGACCGCTACCGAGGAGAACAAGTCGTAGATTAGGTGTCTCGGTGTCTGCTGAGCTGGCTGTCCCAACTCTGGAAGATTTTTGATTCACGTCTATTTTTGATGACCTCCCTTTCTCTCTTTTTTCCGAATTAACGATCTTCCTCTCTTCTCCTTCCTACCTCCACCTTATCCCTTTCCTTTTTCCTACCCTTTCGACTTTTTTTTTATTTTTTTTTTTTTATTTTTTCCCCTCCCGGTCCTGATATCCCTCCGTTTCCAAAAGTTCTTTGCTAGTGGTGTCACGTGCCTATGTCTTGCAAGCGACATGCTGTTTTACCCGGACCCCATCGTCGTTGCACCTCCCTTACTGTGCGTTGTGGCCACTATTCTGTGCAACATGCAGGAGTTGATTTACATGTCGGAAAGAGAGGCCAGACAAAACTTGAGTTTCCGCATTACGCTGGGGTCGGAGAAAAAGTTTGCTGAGAAATTATGGGTTTTCATTTGATGTTATGAGGGGAGGAAGTTGTGACGTCTCTTCTCTTCCTATCCCACTTAACACAGCTACTCTCGTATGAGTGTAATATAGACTTATGACTTCCTCAGGGATTTATCCTTTGGTAAACGATCCGAGTGTGGCTGTAGGTGTATAAAGATTTATAAGGTCATCACATTCTAACACTGCAAGACCGTAAGTAATACATGCATGGTATCGTATATACATGAACGCATCATCATCTACTCATTTATCAGTTTGAAATGCTCAAGAAACCGTCCGGACAATATCATCGATAGCCTGCGCGACATGCTTGACGTTCGCGGGATTTACTATTTCAGGGAATCAATTTTTTAGTCTCTGTGGTATCATAGAGAAAAGCCAGAGCAGGAGAACTTACGGCCTGGCATGGAGATACGCCCCGATTTGAGCATATAGACGTGGTGTCGCTGTCTGATAGCGAGGACTTGGTTCTTGGTCAGGCCGGTGTATGTGAACATGCCAATCTGAGGAGGAAGCGGGAAGAAGCTTGTTAGTGAGGGGGTTTTTCTCTCTCGAGGGTTAGAGAAGAGGGAAGGGAGGGGCAGGTACGTACCTGAGAAAGGATATGATCCCAGGACCCCGGCGTCCCCAAACGAAGCAACTCATCATACAACGCCTGGCGCATTTCCTTGATGCGCCCGCTCATGAGCCGCAGATCATCGAACCACTGCTGCCGCAGCTTCTCGGAGCCGAGGACCGTCCGCACGACCTCGGACCCGCCGCGCGGCGGAACCGAGTACTCCCCGCGCACCAGGTGGCACAGGTTCGCGAGGATGACCTGGGCGAGGTCGTGGGAGCGGGCGCGGGTAACGACGTGCAGAGCGCCGGTGCGCTGGCCGTACAGGCCGAAGCTCTTGGAGAAGGACTGGGCGACGCAGAATTCCAGTTCCGGGCGGCAGGCCAGGAAGTGGCGGATGGGCCAGGCGTCGTCGTCGAGGCTGCCGGAGGCGAAGCCCTGGTAGGCGAGGTCGAAGAAGGGGATGAGGCTGCGCTGCTGGCAGAGGACGGCGAGCTTGCGCCAGTGGTCCTTTGTTGGATCTGCGCCGGTGGGGTTGTGCGCGCAGGCGTGCAGGAGGACGACGTCGCCGGGCTGCGCCTCGGCGGAGAGCAGCTGCGAGGTGCGCGGGTAGTCGAAGCACTTGCCGTCCGGGTCGTAGTACGGGTATGTGCGGACGGCGACGCCGGTGAGCTCCCAGATGGTGAAGTGATTGGCCCAGGTTGGGTCGGGGATCCAGACGGTTGCGGGCTTGAGATGGCGGGCCAGGAACTCGGCGCCGAGGCGGTTGGCGCCGGTGCCGGAGATGGTCTGGATGGAGGAGATGCGGTCCTGGGCGGCGACAGCGGTCTGGCGTTCCAGCTCGGAGGCGCTGCCGAAGCCGAAGACGAGGTCGCGCGCGTGCGCTAGGAACTCGAGATCGCCCTGGATGGGCAGATACTCATGCCGGTTAGCGTTCTTTGCCGCAAAGAGCTGCGCCTCGGCTTCCTTGACCACGGTCAGGGGCCACGGCTCGCCTGTCTCGGTGCGATACACCCCGATACCCAGATTGACCCTGTCGGGATGCGCATCGCTGAGGTATTCGGCCTGGAGGTTGAACGGCTCCTCGATGGGTGGGATGGGGAGATTCGAGAACCGGGACGGGGTACCTGTGGCGACGGACTTGACGGTGGATGCGTCACCGACAATCGCGGTCTGCCGGATGCTCTCATCAATCTGGGAGGGAGCCATGGTGAATGTCTAGAGAGAGTCTGTGTCCTGCGATATTGCAATCTGCTACTCCCCAGTCCCATCCCAGCATGAACCCGGGTATTTATGGCCATCCCAAGGGGGGGGGAAAGGTGGTTTTCGCCTATCGCCGAACCGCGTGCGCCGCATATCGTACTCCGCATGAGAAACGGGGGTTTTCCTTCTGAATCTGTGGACCCTAGAGCGAGACCCAATCCGAAGAGAAAACCGTGATGCAGTGTTGGATGGAGTCAAACTATCCGATTGCGGCCAGAAACGCGAAATATCCGCGTTTATCGTCGGAGCTGCAGATTGCCGCTTCCAACCGCCGTCAGCCGCGTATCTGGCAGTTGTTGCGATCAAACGTGGAATAATTTCTACGGAGATATCAGATGAAACACACGAAGAGAAAGAAGAAAAGAGACCAATTGATAAAGAAGAGCCCTCCATTGTCGGGAATGAGGCTGTATATTCGACTATTATTATTATCATTAACTGAGACTGCCAATCTATATGGACCCAGCGATCACCTAATGGCAACTAACTCATGAGCCAAGCGCTCGTCGAAACAACCTCCTGCATATTCCATCAATTGGAGACTTAAAGATGCCTCCAACCTTGGGTGTTAACCCTCCAGCGGCTGTCTGCAGCAGTGCAGGGGATTTGGATTGGTTGTCTCCGAGCCATGATGTCAAAGGCGCATCAATATGGCCTTAAAGAGAGAGAGCGAGATTCGCTCTGGCTGAGTTCATGTGCTGCTACTCCCAAGATGGTTAACCAACCTGGTATAAGGAATAACGATTGGGTTGCAGACAGATCACCATCGCATCTACCGACATCATATACCAGGTGACCTTGGGGGCCTTAGCGGCTTCTGCGGCCATCTGGTTTCAGAGTACGCCATCCTGCATGGAGCGGCTCTTAGTCACTACTATCGTTTATGATGCCTGGTTGGATTAATTTGCTTACCAGGTGGATCACCTGCGACGGGCTATATCGACGTTCCTGAAATCGATCAGATTGGTCATCTGTTGAAATCTGCTGAGTGTGGTAGCAACACAGAGCTGCAGAAGAACAAGAACACTGGGTCAACCGATGCTGCTGAGGCAACGTGCACCTCAACACCGCCGGTACCCGTATTTCGAGTCTTGATGTACATCAGATCTTCGTGATCGTCTCTGTCGGCGTCGATGAGCTGCCGAACCCCGTTGTCTTCAGGTGAGAAGGTTGTGCCGACTTCCAGTGTGGAGGTTTCATAGTTGGATCTGCGTGAGGCTAGGTTAACATCCACCTTGCCGGTGCCGGTGTTTCTGGTTTTGATATATGTCAGGTCGAAACCAGATGGCGTCAGGGCCCCGGGGCCGTAAGGGTCTAGGGCGACAAAGGTGGTTCCTGTGATCCAGACAACAATAGAAAGTGACACAGAATAATGGGATCATTTCTTCCTATGGAGTTGAATAATTTTCAATGAATCCGTCACTAATCTACTTCTACTCTGCTTCTACTGTTGGTGTTGAATAGCCAGCCCCTATGTTGCAACCACAAACACAATGAAGGGACCTGATGAGCCTCCCCAAGATAATAGTCTATCTCCCTTTGTTGTTGAGTCTGCCATTGTCAATCCAGTGAAGGCTGACATCAAACAAGCGGTCTTATTGTCTTCTCATTCCATTCACCATCAGCCTCCACTGGCTGTATAAAATCCCCCCCATCACGCCTCCCACAACATCTCTTCTCTACGAATCTGTCAAAAAGCCACCACTACAACAGAAACATGCCTTAGCCATTTCTTCGTTCTAATCTTGGTCGAATTGCCTGTTATAACAGGGCGCTTTCTTTCTTTATCACTGCTCCAGCTCCGAAGCAAATATGCGGATTTCAATGTGCTCACCCGTCTCGTTCAATGAGAAAGTCTATTGAAAGGATAGCATAGGCGCAAATGCAATCATCCAAAATCGGGTCCCAGGTTGCCCTACGATTGCAGTCAGATTCATTACTTTTTACGACATTGACCGACGGCTGCAGTTGTCGTTGAGTTACGGAGCTCGGTTTCCATTATCGGTGCCGCCATGTTGGGTTCCACGAGCCACTGCGAAGAGAATTGTCATTTCTCAGCAGGACTGAAGTCATATTCGGGTCGTTCCCAATTTCACAGATGGACGACGTGACTACAAGCCGCTCAAAAGAGCCGATCTCATCCATGAGATCACCAAATCAGCAAAAGTGAAGCAGTCCTTGAGATCGAGGCACACGCCACTGTCCGACTGGGCTGCAGTTATAGTTTCTGCTCCTCCTGTAGTTGTCCCTATCAACCAAGAACGGCACTGTGATTACCTCGAATGCCTATGTAACAGCGTACATGCGGCTGAAATTGTCAACATAGATGAAATACTGTATCCCACTAACTAGCATCCGGATACCTTTTTAGTGTAGCGGTATTACACAGATTTCAGTTCTACGACAGAAATTAACCAGACCGTACTACGAATTCGCCGACAACGGTGGCCGACTCATTGGTGTTGATTCTATCCCCCGTACAACATGCAAATTCTCCTCCCTGATCTCTGGCATTGTGCTTGGTGGGGACACTTTACAGCTTCTAACCACAGTTCTCATGCCAAATGAGCAGCCAGGGTGGAATGAGCTCAGTAACCAGATGGAGACCTCATTTGCAGTGCGATTGTGTCAACAACTACACATATCACCACCAGCTAGGAAGTGATGTCTAAACACCTTTTTAGCTGAGGCGTATGGTTGTATCACCCGAATTTACGGGCTAGTTACGGAACTCAAAGTGGCAGTCTCGATTTTATCATACCCGGATATGACATGGGGTATTGATGCTTTTTGCGGCGTTCTCGTTGAGTTTGGCAGCTGTGTTGACGTTGAATAGGTTCCGCAAGCCGAGAAATGGCGGCTTCTCGTTGCCCTTCGTGTTCAGCAGCCGCAGCAGCGCCGTGCCCTTGCCGCCGCGATCTCGGACATTCAGGCCGCAATGGCTCGTGCTGCCGGCGATTCTGATTCCGACGCGGAGTTTGTCGATGCTCCCGCCGCTGCCGATGCTCTGAGAGAGAATGATCGGATCTCAGAGCATCTGACTGAGTAGGCAGGGTGGTTTGACCCAGCTTGGGAGCGACCTTTAGACCCAGTTTATGATTCTTGCCTGTTGTGGTCAGATAGAAATACCTGGACAGTTGTGAATGTTAGTCCTGTCATCACAAGTTCGAGTCTGGCGATTAAAGCAAGCCTATAGGCAAATAGGAGCTTGTCCATTATCAACTGAGCTTTGAAGGCTGATCCAATTTGCCCGTTCATCTTCGCAGCTCCAAGGTATATGCTCAAAGCCAATCAGCTTGTCGAGATGAGACCAGACGGAAGACGACTGCTCTGTATAGGACACGAAGCAGGACGGTGGACGCAGTATGAGCGAAGAGTGATCTATCTGAATATTTATACTATACAAGGTTCTAAAAGATCTATTCGACAGTGTGAGGCACTTTACGAAGCTGTCTCAACGTCTTATACCAGAGGATCTGTGCATACAATACGTGAAGCTCATAGAGCAGCCACGGCGGCCTCTTGAAATCCCTCGTAGACTGACCCTCAGGATGCACATTGAAGGATTCAATAGTCACGTACGTCACCCTCGCCGTCTCCTCCGACACCTTCTCCACGATGTATTCCTGGAACCCGCCCTCCATCAACCGCCACGGAAGACCATACGAGGCCGCCTTATCCATGGCCCGGACCAATCCCTCGTGAGCATTCCAATACATCACCGCCCCAGCCGCATCCACAGGACTGCCTCGAATAGCATCCCTGTTCGAGAGAAAGTCGGCGCTTGGCTCGCGGGCTTCCACACCCAGCTCCCGAGGCTGGAGCGCAAGACCCCGCTTCGTACTCCAAGTACCTAGCAGGAAAGCTCCCAGGCCGGCTTGATCACCGAACAGCAAGCTCCCAGGCGTGAAGGACAACGGCGGCACCTGTTTATCGAGAACGCGCGCCTCGGGCCCCTGCGCGCGAGCGTCCAGAAACGCGGTAAACAGATTCCGCATCAGATGATGCGCGTCCCCCTCATCCTCCTCGCCCTCGTTCTCATTCTCATTCTCATTCTTGGTACGGGATCCCCTGTATCCAGCCAGCAGGGACACCGGCACCTCAACCTGCAGCGCTATGAAGGAGGGGATGCAGCGGGTTTTGCGATCGTCGTCATTGGACCATGCGGCCAGCAGAGCGGGCTGGTCCAGCCCCCAGGCAGGGCGGGGCACTGCCTCGCTGCTCGCGATGAGGTTGCGACATGCGCTTGACTGGGGGAGCTCTGTGATGGTGACTTTCGGGCAGGACCGGTCCAGGCGCCGCTTGCCAAGATATGCGACTACGCCGCCGGCGGCTGCTAGGGTGAGCGCACCCGTGAGTCGAGGCCGGGTTTGCAGGAAGGCGAAGAAGCTCATGAGAGTGAAGAGCTGGGATGGTGTAAACGAGAAGAAGAAATCGGGGTGGTTGGTTGGAACTTCTTGCTCTTGCAGCCAGAGATTCGGGGTACGTGATCCGATTGTGTGTTAAGTCTGGACTTGGAGCGTCTGGAGAGACTTTGCTCGTGCTTAATGGAGGCGCAGGACCTTGTATATATCGACGATAATTGGGTCGAGATGGTATTTGGGTTTCGTCGACTCTTATTGTGTGGGCCAAATCACGATGGAAACCATAGCAGAGACGAGAGGAATGGGATTGGAAGAATAAGAACTACCTCTCGGTCAGCACTGGAGGGATCCCCTCTATAAGCATGGCTACGTGTCGTCCCCTCTGAGTCACATTATGCGAAACATGCGCTATTCCCAATGACGAACTGTAGCGATTTCTAAAAGCCGGGTGATAGTTGTGTGGTAGTTCATCAAGAGGCGCAAAAAGCTCACTAAAAGGGTAGCCAGTTACCCGGTAACTTCCTAGACCTTCGCGAGTTGTTCCGAACCCGTGTTGAAGTTTTGAACAGTCACGCGCAGGGACTCTTTGAAGCTTAGTTCGCTTGGAATGAGGGTGTTGGAATCAATATTAATTCTTCGGTTCTGCTGCATTCACTTATCTAGGAGGTAGGAAAGGCACTGCCAATTCGGGGCTTTAGCATTGTTGGCTGCCGCAAGAGACCGAGAAAGGGGAGCACCAGATGATCGATCACGTCGTCAGACTGAGTATCGAGTTCAACTGGGTGGCTTATTATTAGCGGGTAGGGTTGAAGTCCTCGACTTCATTCATGTACAGTGGACTTTCTGGCTCGGCCCGGTGGTAACACACGCTCTTTTCTAGGATCGACCCTATTATCTACAGCGCCATTGGAACGTGTCCTGGCAAAAGCTTTGTCCAGCACTGGACATTTTGTAGTCATCATATAGTACATTTATCTGAAGCAATCCCTTCGGAAGGAGCGGAGAGTATCTTTACTGGTTGTTCTTCAGAAGACCATCATGGCGCCGAGTAACAGCGCGTAGATTTCCAAATGGGAGGACATCTCCAATCCTCTTTGCACCCGTGAAGAGCATGCAAAGACGATCAATGCCACAGCCCCAACCGCCAGTCGACGGCAGCCCCCACTCCAGCGCCTCCAGATAGCTTTCGTCGACCTCAGCAGACTCATCTGCGGCCTTGCTGTAGCGGACTTGGTCTTCGAATTTTCGCCTCTGTTCAAAGGGGGAGTTTTCCTCCTCGTATGTGTTGACCATCTCCCGGCCTTCAATGAACAGCTCTGCACGCGCAGCCACGCGTTGCTGGTTGGCCGGGTGAATGAAGGACTTGGAGAGTGGGGAGAGACATTCGGGAGGGTTGATGATGAATGTTGGGTTGATGCATTCTGGTTCAAGGTAGGTACCGCAGAGTTCGTCAAGGAGACGAGGGAGGGTAGGGTTCTCGGGAATGGAGATGGATAAGTCTATAAATAGCTGCTTGACTTGGTCTAGGGCATCCGGGGCATCAAGGTCAGGTAGCTTGCGGCCGATTTTCTCTTCGATGCCGGTGGTGAAGTCGACTCGACGGAAGGGTGTGGAAAAATCGACCTCTGGCGGGCTCAGAGTAGCGTTCTTGTTAAATTCCTGGATATGCGCCGCCATTCCTGACAAAAGGTTCTCTGTAATGGACATCAAATCCTCCAGGTTTGCATACGCATGATAGAATTCACACGTTGTGAATTCGGGGTTATGAGTCTTGTCAAGACCTGTCGCAGCCTGTCAGTCATCCCCTCCTTGGGTCCGGATACACCCTGACTTACCTTCGTTGCGAAAGGACGGGCCGATTTCAAACACTCTATCAAACCCGCCGACGACCAGGCGTTTCAGCCAGAGCTCTGGCGCAATCCTCAGCGAGAGCTGGCGATCAGGAAATTCGGTGGCAGAGGTATGAAACGGACGGGCAATCGCCCCGCCCGCAATTGAGCCAACGATGGGTGTGCTGACTTCCATGAAGGATCTATCGAGGAAGAACTGACGCAGGAATTGAATGATGGCCGATCGTGCTCTGATGATATCCGCCGTCTTTGGATCAGCGAGAAACTGGACATGCCGGGGATAAGGCGACGTCTCATGCTCTTTGGCATCAACGGGAACGTCGTGTAGACAGGGAGATAGCATCCGAGGCAGTTCGGTGGCCAGAACTGTGAGTTCTCCACGTGCCGTACGATGGGGTCTACCGATTACAGCTATGGCAGGTCGTTTAGTCTCAAGTGACACTGGAGATAAACTCGGTGGTACAACATACAGAAGGCATCACCGCGGCGAAGCAGACGGTAGAACTTCTTGAAAGACTCGGGCGATACTCCATCCAGTCGGCGAATGTTGCACATGACCTGGACTTTATGTCCGTTCTGGGCGATATCGAAGAATATCAATTTGCTCCCGGCCAGTCTATAGGTACGAATTCTTCCTACTAATCTAAGTACAAGACAACCAGGTAGGGCCAGAGCAGGCAGCAACCTACCATGAACAACGACGGAGTCATCCTCTACTATCTCATTGTCGGCAAGGTGGCTGTATCGGTCACGAAACTCCGAACAGCTCACCGAGCGCTGGTCTTTGGGAAGACGGGGGTATGGATCAGGACAGGCATTTCTGACCTCCTGTAATCGTTCCCTGAACGCCTTTTCTGGAGAGGCCGCATTGCTGCTATGCCTTGTATTTGTGAAGATTGATGGGAGTGGTTTGATTGCTCGAAGTAGACTACCTGCTATGTGAGAAGTACGAGGGATACGAGGAGTACTCGGCAGTCCTGCACTGGAAATCATCCATGTTAGCAAATGTATCCCAACAGAGGTGAATTCAATTCCAAAAGGCAATGTAAAAACTTTTGATCAGAGATAAATCGACTCCGGTGCGATCAATTGCTTGTAAACAAGCATCATTTGCAGCGGTTCTGAAAGGCAGGGTTGTTCTCATCCTTCAATTGCATCGAACTAACAAAAAGAAAGCAATGAAGTAAGTTTCTTACCTGATACGAAGACTTCCTGAAGCCCACCGGGGGCGAAGTGATTGCATTTGGAAAAGACAGATCTACGCGGTCACATCGCGAGGACTGGAGGAAAAAAGAAGAGGGAAGAAAAATTGTGCTTGACGAAGGGCGGATAAAAGCGTGGAAGGCGGTGAGAAAAGATGGTCTTAGCTCCGACCTCACTTCCGCCCAGCAGCTCATACTGCACTGCACGATACACTCCAGCTTCATCAACAGCCTCAATTTTCATCCAAGTAAGTAGGACGCCACGCTTTACGGCTCCTTGTGAGCGGGAATTTACTAACCGCTCTAAAGATCAATCACTACCTATCCCAAACCCATCCCGTCAACCACAGCCAACATGTCTTTCCTCTTCGGCGGTCCTCCCAAGATGTCCTCGGCAGAGAAGATTGCTGCCGCAGAGACAGAAGTCGAGATGGTCTCGGACATGTTCAACCGGTAAGATGCTCCATATATAAACCATCCACTTGGAAACCTACTCTACCCTCGTGAAGAGACAGCATCACACCGCCAAAGCTCAAACCTCCATCCGTCTTCTCACAAACCAAAAACTAACAAATACCTTCTACTTCCAGTCTGACCGAGTCCTGCACCAAGAAATGCATCCCCACCGACTACCGCGAAGGCGACCTGAACAAAGGCGAATCTGTCTGCCTTGACCGCTGCGTCTCCAAGTTCTTCGAGGTCAACATCAAGGTCAGCGAGAAGATGCAGGGCGAGGCGGCCAACAAGCAGGGCGGCGGCTTCGGCATGTAAGAGAAGAACATAACGTGATCATTACTTGGTAGTCGATGGGTTGTTTGCACGCGTGATCCGGGCTGCGTCGGAAATGGGGTTGGTTTGCTTACGAAGTACCACGTCCTGTTCCCCGGTCTGCCGGGTTATTCATCACTTTCATGCTGGGCGTGGATTCAATCAACGATTATGCTTGCGTGTGGTCTGTCGGAATTGAATGATCTCGGCGTTATGTTCTCATGGGGCTGCGGAGTTCATTTGATTCTGGCGGTTTGCTGGCTGTCCTTCATGAGTGCCACTGGTGGCGGAAGCTTAACACCTAGAAGCCTGCGTGTTCGAATCGGTTCTATTTGCAGTGTGCGATTGACATGGTCATTGAAACTCTATTTCGGAATATGTACACTAGATCTGTTAGATAAAAATACAGGGATATCTGTTTTCAAACGCTTAAAATGACACCTTCACTGTGAGGGAGCTCCGAAAAGACTCCTGAGTCGGGAGAACCATGAGTTGCTGTGCTTCTCTTCTTCGGTCCTGATCAATCCCTGGATCCTCGCCTCCAGGTCCAGGACATATCGCTCAAATTCACCAAGACCAGTCTCCACATCCTCGACCTTCGATTCGAGGGCGCTCAGCTCATAATCCAATTTGGCGCCCATCAATTCAACACGTTTCATGGTATCAAGAAGGGAGGTATGCTCTTCTGTGAGCAGGTCACTGGTGCGGTCCCGGATCTGCTGATACTTCTCGGTCTGAGTGAGGTAGAGGGCATTGATCTGGTCTTGCGATTCGCTGAGATTTTGGCTCAGCTCGTCCACAGCGAGCACCTGCCTTTCAACCCAGGGCGCCGTGCGCTGAGCCAACTCTTCAATCCGGGAGCTCAATATGTGCGCGTCCGAAGCCATCATGTCCTCAAAAGCAACGCCCTCTTCCAACGTGGCGCCCGGTTTCTCTTGCAGGGCCTCTCGGCTTGCCAATTCTTTCCAGCCGAGGACAACTTCTTCAACGACGCTGAAAGAGAGATGGCGAGGCCAGCCATTGCTTCTATGCTCCGATTCCTCTGCTGACCTGAGCTCAAGGCAGCTTTGGGGTCGGCGCAACAAGAGCATGTCCGAAATGCGCAATTCATCCTGGCTAGCCGGTGCATCGGATGACTGGGTCCTGCAACGAGCCAAAGGTCCATCATCTTCCTCCGATGGACTTGTCCAAGGTTTCCGTTCGGACTCGTCTTCATCGCCTTCTCCAGGAGATTGAATAGTGATCTCAGGGGGTTTCAACTCAGATGTTGTCGATGGGCCGAGGGTGGCTGATGGCTCTGCCTCTGCACGATCGATTTGTGATCGGTCGTGATGGTCGCGAAGGCTTTCTCGATCGCTCAGATTTCCCTCCCTCTCTGCTTTGCAGACTGGCACTTCCGCATCGCTGTCTGCCTGTGGCATGTAAGCTGCATCGTTGCACATTTCCACACAGTCCTTTGCCTGTCGATGGTGCTGAGACCGAAGGCTAGGCAGCCCAACTGCTTCTTTAAATCTGCCGAACCCGATTCGTGCATCTGACACTTTCCCGCTGACGCCCTTTCGAACCATGCGGCCCAGGTTCTGGTCCTTCTCGTCGAAGCCGCTTGTCATTTCGGACTGTTTCCACGCCCGATCTGCCCCTTGTGCAGAGCGATCCGCCCCTAGATCCTCGTGCGAGTGACGCTTTCGACTCGTCCAGACATAGCCTTGATCGTTCTTCATAAACATCATGTCCGCGGCAGATGGATCGTGGGAGAAGAAGCCGTCGCCGACTCCTGCTTTCCGCGGTTTCCCCCTCCACAACCACTTTGCTCGCTCACCGAATACCAAGGATGCAAAGTTATCGAGTTCCAAGGTCTCGATGTCGGCGATACCGCCCTTCTCCCGTCCTCGTACCATTCCCATGACCATCTCCCCGCCGTGTCCGCTCAATTCCGCCATCGTTGACTTAACAGCATCGGTCCACCCTTCTGCATTTGCCGCTTTAGCAGTCGCACGATGTAGCCGATCGAGAGTTTGTCTGTCCAGCCTTCGTGTTCGCTCCATCTTCTGCGACTTCTGGAAACTCTCAATCGCCCTCTTGAGGTTTCGAGTGTCAAACGCATCCTTCCCGACTGGAGCGCCGTAAGCGTGGAGGCGGTTCCGGGCTCCCATGTATGTGCCCAGCAGGGCAGCCACTGTAGTCGGCCCCAGCACACCGTCACCTGGCTCAATGTTGTACAGATCGATGCCGATATCGGTCCACCATTCTCTAATCGCATTTTCCGTGACATCACAAAGCAGCCCATCCACATACTCGGGCGGTAAGATACCGAACATTGTCAGAGCAATCTGGCACTGTTTGACAAGCTCAATGACTGCACTGTAAACGGGTACCCGCTCACTCGTTCGATACAGCTGGTAAAACTTTGCCACTGTTGCGGGCGAAGGGTGTTGGAGCTTCAGGCCGGCCCGACCAGCGCACGACAGCCTTTTCAGGTTCTCATTCACAACAAAGTCCTCCTTGTGCCGAGTCACATCGCCTTCGGGAACTGGGATCACGGTAAGAGCAGATGGGAAGGAGCTGAGGTCAGTGACCATGACAGTTCCCAGAGGCGTTTCCTTCTTTCGAGCTTGGTATTGCGTAACGGCATTGAAGTATAGTTTCAGGCGCGGAGACCACGTGGATTCGTCCGTCGGGACACTTAACACCCCGACTGATACCGTGTGCTTGGGATCCCCTGTATAAGTTGTGATTACAAAGGTTGGATGGATTCTCGAGCAGGCCCATTGCTCAACAATGTATACCTCATACCCCTGAAGTACCAGACGCCGATGCAGCACGATGGTCGAAGGGTCCTCTTCCAAGTATCGGAGTGCGACAGGGTCGGTGAATACGAGTTTTTGGTGCCCATGCTGTGGAGCGATCTCTTCAAGACCGTTCGAATGTGAAGACGGGCTTTCCTGAGCGCTGCTTGGGGCTTTCGTTGAGTCACGTCGAGTTGTCGCAGGCGGCGCAGGCGGCGCAGCCTGTGCGCTGGTAACAGTCGGGGGCATTTTGAAAACAGGCCAGACACTATCGCGTAAGCTATGGTAGCGTCATGTCCATGAATTCTCGCAGTAAAATCAGTTATTATTCTTGACTTGGTCAAAGTCTGAGGACTAGCTCAGGTGGGAGGGAATGAAATGGAAGCATTGACCCTCCTGGGGTCTCCTATTACTGCTGAATAGGTAAGGGAGAAACGGGACATGTCAAAATAGGTTTCCAGCAATCTTTTCTGAGTTAAGAAGATATCCAAGACAGGTCGTTCTAAGGGACTGCCATGCCATCGTCAGGGAAAGTCTCAGTTGAGAAGCACTAGATGGGTATATAAAGACTTTATCCATGAAGTTCCCGGCAGAATGACAACCAGTGGGCAATATGCGACGTCACAGGCTCACAGCCTCCTGGGAGCGGTGAGTCGGATGCAGCCTCAGGCCTCCGAACTGATATCTGCACATCTGCAGGCTACTCCGGACAGGGGGATCTACTATCTACAAAGAACGGTATTCGCTTGATTGTTTGATATGGACGATGGCTCGTGAATGAAAATCGGATATCCTCTGTTGAGATTGAAGTGGGTCGGATGTTGCAACTTGACAGTAATAAAACTATCAAATCAAGAGTAGAGATGGGACGCTGAGAGTGATGGAGACAGTGCGAACCAAAGCAATGATCTTACTCGGCACTCGAAGAACTCAAATCCTACGGTCCAAACAGAACGACACGATGAATGCCCGAATTAAGACAGATCTATTGAGTTACTTCTCAATGGAGTTACAAGGCTGTGATAATCAGAAATCCCTTCTCCACAGGCTTCCAACAAGGGAAGCAAAACAGTGATGAAAAGAAGACCAATTTTTCGAGTATCTGTCTGGCAGACAACTCGCAAACTGACTCCAATAACATTGGAAGCCAGGGGCAACCTTTTTCTTCAAAAATTCCCAGCCGATCCGAAGACCAACTGGAGCAGTCAAATAGGTAGTTTTCAACTAGCAAAAACACGATCTCGGATGTCTCCTCACTGATACGTGTAAAACCCGTGCACCAGGATGGAGAAGAAAAGGAGAAAAAGATTCTAAAAGGGTGGAGGGGGAGAGTGGCTTATATATGATCGCCAAGACTGGTTGCTTGCACTAGCGTAAGCGAGATCGCCTCCCTCATGAAGACAAGATCCCATTGGCTGAAGTAAACTTAGCTACAGCCTAAAATAAATTACGTAAGCTACAGGCCCTCGTGCATCATGTGACTGCGTCACTGCAGACTGAGCATTCGAGGTATGTCAAGTAAGATGGAGGCCGGTAGGTAGATATCTGCTTTTCGGCATTATCTGAATATCTACGTAAGAATACAGTTTGTAAAGCAGATAAGCTGTATGTTGTGGCCCTGGCTGCCATCGATTGTCGAAAGAGAGAGAACTGTGTTGGAGGCTTGGAGCCAGTGCCTTGTAACTCCACCACATAGTAGTGAGGGTTCTTACTCCGTAGTCTTTCTACTTGGCTTTGTAAGACTTTCAATGCTCCTGTCCGTCTGCTCGAATATCTTGAGCCTTGACTACATCCATTCCAGTCTCTCACAAAGATACTGTCCACTCACTTGACTTGTTTCCCAATATCCAAACTTGGCAACATCCGATGCATATGACACCCGAAAGAGGGGTAAGGATGGCACTGTACGGGGACACGTGATGTTCCATGTCGTAATGCAATGGTTGGCCGCCGATTGGAAGCTTTATCGAGATCATACTCATTACTCTCCCGTGGAGTTGATAGTTCTCATCCATCCCATCTTCCATAAGTTCAATGGCCGTGAAGATTTTTCGTCTTTCAAACCAAAATTAATCCTCCATCGAATACCCCGTATGGCTTTCCCCGTCGTGCTAGTCGAGTAGCGGTATTCGTCCTTCTCCGCTTCAAGAACTTATCTCTGGATTGCCCTCCACGCCAGTCATGGATCTTGTTCGAAAGGAGCATGAACGGCTGGCAAAGAGGCTCAAGGCCTCGCAGGGCACTAAAAATGTCCAAGCTACCATAGACCTCCTTCAGTCCGCCCGAGATGCAATTGCCGCTGGTACGATGCCTTCTGTTCGCCCCGACTCACTGCTACTCTTAAAGGCTTCCCGATAAAGTGGGCTAACTGATAGGGTTATAGACCCGAGCCAGGCATCCATCACTCTTGCAAAACTTCAGAACTCAGCCAAGTCATCGTTTGACTCGATCAACGACAGTCTCAAAGAGACCCATAGTGGGCTGAACAAATACAGCAAAGCACTAGATAAGGTCTCCCCCCACCCCCCTCCCCCTCGGATCGACTCACATTTTCGGAACTTGAGCAACTGACGTTGAACAGCTTTTCAAAGACAAACCACTGCCAAGCACCGAGCACGATGCCTTGTCGTCCCAAGAACATCTCATCAACCGCGCCATCGCCATGCATCTCCTACGGGAGGGGCAATTCTCCGTCGCTGCGACATTTCTCTCCGAAATAGCCGAGAAAAAGGTTGCGAATCAGGACCAGGAGATGAACGCAGGCAGTACGGACAATGGTGTGACGCTTCTTGATATCGAAGAGGTTCCGTCGGATGAAGTACGGAAAGAATTTGCCACCATGTACTACATACTGCACGAGATGGAGGAGAACAACAACTTGCTTCCGGCCATTCATTGGTCAAGGGAAAATAAGGAGGCCCTGGAGGCCCGAGGCAGCAATCTCGAGTTTGAACTGTGCCGGTTACAGTTTGTTTGGCTATTCCACGGTGGGCAAGATTCCCAAGACTCCACGCCCGCGGGCCGGCAGGCTGCTCTGGAATACGCCCGACGTGAGTTCCAGGCGTTCTTGCCCAGATATCTGGCGGAAATCCAGCAGCTGATGGGAGCCATGGCATTTGCCCCGAATCTGCAAAGCTCACCTTACCGAGCTATTTTCAACAATCCATCCGCATGGACGGATGTGGCCCAGTCATTCACGCGAGAATTCTGCTCGCTCCTTGGTCTTTCTGCGGATTCGCCACTATATATCGCTGCTACTGCTGGTGCAATAGCTCTCCCTACCCTACTGAAACTGCAGACAATCATGAAAGCGAAACGCACTGAGTGGACTACGCAAAATGAACTTCCGGTGAGTCTATCTGCGCGTTGTCGCGACCAAATCGACATTTGTGGCTCACACACTTTACTAGGTCGAAATCCCACTGCCACCCTCCTATCTCTTTCATTCCATTTTCGTCTGCCCTGTTTCCAAAGAACAAACCACGGACGCGAATCCTCCTATGATGATGCCATGTGGACACGTGATCGCAGAAGAGTCGTTGAAGCGTCTGTGCAAGGGCAATCGGTTTAAGTGCCCTTATTGTCCCAGCGAGAGCCATCCTCGAGAGGCCCGAAAGGTTTTCCTCTGAGGGCAAACAAGCCCTGTGACATTACTTCCTGAGCGTTGATCTGCCAGAGCCCCTGTCGCATTCGGACTACAGCATTTGTAAAAGGCCCGTCCCAATGGATCAGCCGATGGACTTTCTTGTTGTCTTTTCTTTTTCTGTCATCATCAACTTTCAGGACATGGCGGTGTTCCCGGCGTTGTGGTTATCAGGCATGCTGGGTCTGCCTCCTGTGCACATATTCTCCGATAGTCTTCCTCGTAGTCCTTAGCAGGTCATCGATCAATTCAACGCTTGCATATAGATCGATACATCCTAAGGAACGAACAAGGGCTTTGCATAGAGAGATCCCCAGACTCCAGTCTTGTGGCATTCTCCCTACCTTACCATCCAGATGTTGTACGGAGTATTTTGCTGGTACCTGCTCATTTCGTACAGTACCAGGTACCTAGGTTGGTAGTAGGTAGGTATGTAGGTACTTAGTACCTTATCTTACTCAGTTTCCAATCATCTCAATCATTTACCAATACAGGTCAATACCGAAGTAAGTAGTTGGAGGTGGTTGAGACTTCTACGTGGATGATGCTTGTTCAAAAGCTGATGTATCGACTGTCTCTCCTTGTTTGCGATCGAGGCATCGAGGCATCTGATCTCTGCAACGCCGACGACCCAATCGGCTGCCGATCACCCCCAACGTCTCCAACTAGAGGTAGTACTGCCCCACTCCTCCTTAATTGGATCTTGTGGTCTGATTGGACAAGGGTATCCTCATGACTGCGCGGTTATTTGGCGATGCATAAAAACCACTTTACGCGTGAAATACCCCATTATTACGCGTCTCCAGTCTGCGCCCCTCCCATCGTCGACTTTTTGCGACAGGTGCATTGGGAGAACCGCCAGCTCTACCGGTGATGAACACCATGGTAGAAGGGCTCAAGGGCTCAGAAGACATAAGAAGATGCAATTCCTCGAGGTGCTGGGGGATTGTGGAGGGTTCCACTGTCTCATCTCATCTTCCAGGTGTTTGGTGACAATATCATAGGGTCTCTGCCGTGGTCATTCATACTTACAGACAGACGCAGGTACTTACAGCCTGCCAAACTCCCCCCTGGACCAGCTGTTTCATAGGTAATCGAGGATTCCTTCCCACCCTTTAATCGGCACCGGCGCCCATATTCTCTCCTTTCTTTCAGCTCCCAGAAAACTGCATCGCCCGCTCCCACCCAAGATGTTGACGCAACACAGCAGTTCCAGTATGCTCTCCAGCAGGCGTCCATCTCAAAGCCCGCCCAACAGCCTATCATCGAGATATAGAATCGGAAAAGCAACACAGCAAGCGAAAAAACCCATTCGAGACTCCCCGACTTCATCGCGACGGGTTGAACGACGTCAAAGGACACATAGCAGCTCCCCGCAAAAGGAGTAAGAACAATCATCTCCTCTCCAATGCGCAAAACAATGAAGAATGCCCCCATTAACCAGGCCCCCTTTCTTTCGGGCTCCAGATCATCCAATACATCCATCATCACCATCTCCGTCGGCCCCGAGCAGCGTCTCTTCGCCGCTCACGAGGACGTCCTCTGCACATCGCCCTTCTTCGCAGCCGCCTGCTGCCGCGCCCAGTCGCCCGGCTCCCCGCACAAGCGCATCACCCTCGCAGACGAACAGCCCGAGATCCTCTCCTGCATCCTCGAATACCTCTACAAGGGCGACTACACACCCCGCGCCGTCTACAACAAACATCGCGAAACCTGGGAACTCGAGAACATCGGCTTCGACGGGGACGGGCAGACAACCGGCGCGACCATCTTCCACCCGCCAACCGGCGCAGTGATCTTGAGAGATACCGCCATATAGTACGTTTCCTTTTTTTTTATTTTTTTTATTTTTACCGCTATCCACCTCAAACCCCGCAATCAACTCTCCCTCAAAACAGGAGACAAGGTGAATCGAGAGAATACTGACACGTTCCGCAGCTGCGCAGCCCAGAAATACGGCCTCGAGCCCCTGAAGCGCCTCGCGCTGCGCAAACAGGGCCTGCACTCGGGTATCCAGTGCAGCACGATCCTCACGAGCGCGCGCTACGCCTACGCCAACACCCCGGATACCGAGTCGAAGCTGCGCGCGCACTACCTGGCGCTGATCATTCGGAGCCGCGGGACGTTTAAGCGCAGCGGGACAATGCAGATGGAGATGGAGAAGGGGGGCAAGTTGTTCTTTGATTTGTTTGTGGCGATGTGTAATCATATGGTGAGTACCAGTCCTGCGTGTAACTGACTGGTCAGATTGAGGCTGACTGTCTACCTTCCTCTGTAGGATGACCTTGCGTCCGCTGGGAAATCTTCTCTTGGCTAATCCTTCGCTTGGTATACGGATTTCGTTGACGATCTACGAGTAATTTCTTACTTTTCTTCCTCTTTACTCTGAAGATTGCATTTATATCTTTAATCGTTGGAAAGTTGTCATTGGGGCAAAGGCAGCTTGATTGATGCTGTACAAGTTGGTCAAGGATTTCCTAGAGCGTACCCTGTAACATAACACCATGACTGAACCAGTTAGAATGAAGTTTTGTGGGTGGTCTATCTCCCCCAAATCATCTATATGTTGTGTAATCATGGCCATAAATAGTTATCTGCAACCTGAGGCCGACTAGCCATATCACGATTGCTCGGCTGCTCCATGCAAGTCGCAGGTTGACAACAGCTATGGCTATAGCGATAGCATCTTCCTTCCATGGGAACATGAAATCACTGTGGATGATAGGCGGTCTTCTGTGAGCGATAAAAGATTGTGTCGTATCATGTGTACTACCCTGAAGTTTCAATGCCTCAGGAGACGGAGATTGCGTAAGGCCATCGCGTGCCACAGATACTGGGATTATCTCGGCTATGAGAAGCTCCAAAGCTATGCATAGGTCGAGTCGGCGCTTCGCATACTTCTTCCTCATACCGACCTGTTATGCCGCATACAGGGCGACCGCAGGCTTGGGGAAGCATCGAGTCGTGTTTTCAGTGTATTGATTCTTAAAGAATCATCTTGCATAATCACAGGGAGGTTTAGACGCCTGTTCCCGGAAAAGCGGTACCACCCTTGCTCAAGACAACCATGCCGCGCTCCCGAGCGATGTACCCCTTCATAAGGCCCTGTTTCAATGTTAGCCCGTCTCCTCGTCAGGCTCTGATGGAGAAGAGGCGGCTCACCTTGTAAATGAGATTTGAGAGTAGGCATTCAACTTCATCGATATCAACACGAGATCTGTCATCAGCATGAGTGCCAATCCTTAGAGCGGCTGCGAATTCGGCGACAGGAACACGTGTTCGACGAATGGGAGGCTGGCCATCCTTGGACTCCTCGTAACCCCCAGCAATGAAGACTTTTCGGAACAGGTTACGCAGAGCAATATCACGCCCTCTCTCAAGAGGCAGATAGATGCGCCTTTTGACAAATTCCTCTTCTCCCGCAGACATTGCTGCGTCGAATCCAACCAGATCTCCCTTCCGAATGCAGTTGCACAGTGAGCGAAATAACTTCTCCAATCGTGGGAAAGGTGCTAAAAGTTTTTGGCTTGGGAGAGTATGGGTGGTGACGATATGACAGGGGACGAGATACATGAGAATTAACCTTCCGACAGTTAGTCGTAGCAGAATGAAGATGGAGGGTGTGAACAAACTCTCGATTCTTGATTGCATTCCTGTGGCACATGTTATACGCATATGCCAGATGCTTTTCCGCCTAGAGTCCATCAACATCAGCGTCAGCGTCCCAACAGCCCGGGCTCTAGGTGACGATTTACCTCGGCGTAATTTTCATCCAGGAAGTTTATGAGACCGACATAGTATTTGAAAGTGACAATATGAGACTTGGGAAAGGCCTCCAGTGGTGGAAGATCGGCAGACGAAGCACTCAGTGCACGAAGTAGGTTTTTGGAGAGTCCGACCGAGTTGAGCTAGACCAATTTGTCAGATGCTGATGCTGCGAGCAACCCAATGATGTCCATTCATACCTTGAAGTATGTCTTGAATAGGAGGTTCGTTGTGTAATAAACACCCCACTTTCGCGATTCCTCAATAGGTGCTCTAAACCAGCGTGAGCAGCGGTCAACGTCACAGGCCGAGGCCACCACCTACCTGTCGCTAAGGCAAAGAGTGAACATCCGGTTGATGATTCGCGCGGCCTCCTCAAGCTTCGCATTCTTCTCGTAGTCCGCCGTGATATCATCTTGAAAGCGACCCCCAAAACTCATAGACCCTTGTGAAGACGACTCCGCATCTGCTTTGATAGCAAAGACCCGCAAGTATTTCCCAACCACGTAGAGACACGGCACCGTCCAAGCCTGCATGCCGTGGTGTGTATAGCAACGGTGGAGGCACCCAGCGAGATCTTTCCAATGGTCGAACACCCGACTCCAGCTCGCTGATGGGATAGATTCCTCCAACTTTAGTATCTCTCCCACAGTTTTCCAAAACTGGATAAAAATGTCGATCCACCAGGATTGATCTTGCTTCGGAAGCTTCAAGCCATTGGCCTGGAAGAGTCTATAGCGAAGATCTACCGTAAGGCGATTAGAGTTGGTGAAGTTGTAGAACGATAACAATCGATTGGGGTATGCGGAGGGTGCAATGGGCGTAAGAGCAGCTGCCAGACGCGGACCAGATCCGAGCATCTGGCCTTCTTTGAAGTCCTCAAAGATAGATGCCATGGCGGATTATTGTGTGGTCGAGTGCCTTGATGAGGTCCTGATGATTAGACAGTCAACTTCCTCTCGATCCGCGATGGACAACCTCGAGTGCGCCGGTTCACGGTCTTATTCCTGCTCCATGCTGATTGGGGGGAAGGTGGGGAAACAACACGGCGTCACAATCAGAAGGCGGAAGAAGTCCTTATCAGCCGCTGTGGCTGAGCATTGCCATATCGGGAATAGCGCAGCAGTCAAGCCCCAAGCGCCCCATCGCTTAGGCCAAGGGCGGCAGCCCTAACTCAACAAGTTTCACAAATCTTCATTTTCGACCAGACCAGCCGGCATACCTATCCCGACAGTCAACCACAACAAGTCGACAAAAGTAAGCAACACCCTCATTATCTACGTTTTTGTCTCGTGGAAATCGTTACTAACCAGAATTCCAGATGGGTGAGTGAATTTTTTCCCCTTCATTTCGAGATCTATTCCCGTGAGATCGCCTGCAATGATTTCCTGCGAACGTTGAACGACATGCACTCGGAGAATGAACTACGGACAAGATGATATATGGAGGATCTGCCGCGGAAAAAAACATGAAGAATGACGGATTTGAGCGGCCTTGACAACACTATGAAGTGTTGGATGTGTATTGGAAGGAATATGTGGGATCTGATTTGCGGTCGCACGATGGTCGAAATTTCCCTTTAATTCGAAAATGAGCACGCACATCATCGACTTTTGACGTTTCGCACGGAAATCAATGCAACGATACACGCCGCTTCTATCTCGAGTCGAACAGAATTTCCCAGGGAACAGTCGCTGACTGGTGTTGTTTCAATAGGGCGTCTCACCGAGTACCAGGTCATTGGGCGTCACCTGCCCACCGAGGCTAACCCCACGCCCAAGCTGTACCGCATGCGCATCTTTGCGCCCAACACTGTTGTGGCCAAGTCGCGGTTCTGGTACTTCCTGACCCAGCTCCGTAAGGTCAAGAAGGCCAACGGTGAGATCGTCAGCCTCAATGTGGTATGTCTTCATTCGGACAGGCCCCCTCGGTCAAAGGATGAGATCGACTGACCTGGGCTTATGCTCTATAGATCAACGAAAAGCGCCCTCTCAAGGTCAAGAACTTCGGCATCTGGCTCCGCTACGACTCGCGCTCCGGTACCCACAACATGTACAAGGAGTTCCGTGAGATGAGCAGAACCGAGGCCGTTGAGGCTCTCTACCAGGACATGGCTGCCCGTCACCGTGCCCGCTTCGGCTCCATCCACGTATGTTGCGCTTTTTTCGATCTGATTCTACACTGTCGTCTAACAAACTATCCCACGTGCAGATCCTCAAGGTTGTTGAGATTGAGAAGGCCGACACCATCCGCCGCCCCTACATCAAGCAGCTCCTCCAGAAGAACCTCAAGTTCCCCCTCCCCCACCGTGCCGCCAAGCCTGCTGGCAAGAAGGTCTTCGCCTACTCGAGACCCTCTACCTTCGCTTAGATATGACATTTTGGGTTATGGGAGATGGAGTGTGCGGATCAATGACTATGTTATGGCCATAGCATGCAAGAAGGACACGGATCACGCGGAGAACAAGGCGTGTATCTACCGCCCAGAAGATGGGACGGATGGTTTTGATGTCTCTTTAGTCCTCTGCAGCGACCCTTGCAAGTTATTATTAAAAAATGATCGGGGTTCCTTTTCTTTCTTAATACCATGGTTCTTCTGTCGAGTAGCATGTGTAAATCCTCAATTGACATCATGGTTCTCCAAGCCAATCATTCTCGTTGATAATCTACCTAAGCCATATATTCGCCATGACGGACAGATATGTGATCTCCACGCATAAGTGGCATCGGATCGGATGGTTACGCGAGCCCAGTTTTGCCCTTCCCCTGGGATATTCGACCATGAGCACAGCGCCATCTCAAGCTTCATTCGAGATCCTTTATAACATCGCATACAAGCTTGTTAAACAAAGCCCATCCCATCCGTTTAGCATGAGTTTGGCTGTGGTTCGTAATTTTGTTACCGCAATGACAAAATGGATGCTCGGAATAATTAGTCATGGTCACGGAAATACGACTAGGTACCGGTATGATTGCGTCATGTAAGCGGGATTCGGCAATGGGGAAAAAGACGGGAGAAGAGGAGCAGTTACTAATACTGTTGTTGATTGATTCCATCATCCGCACGGATTTCTTGTTTCTTCTCCATCGTCTCACTCAATTGACCACCAACAGTGTGCCTATCAGACATACACAATGTTCGCGCGCCAACCTCTCCGCTTTGCTCAGCCCTTGAAGCAGGTAATGACTAAAAATACCCGGATCAATTGCATTACGAAGTAGGGAAAACATTGCTGACTGATGTCGCAAACCAGGGCTTCCGCAAGTATTCCACGGAGGCTCCCGCCAAGGGCAAGTCATCTCTCGCTCCGATCTACATCTCGGTCGGTCTTGCTGGTCTCGGTGTGGGATTGTATCGCTACAGCACAGCCAGCGCTGAGACGCCCGTTGTCGATCGCCCCAAGGTTTTCACCGGCGGAGAGCAGGGATGGGTTGACCTCAAGCTGTCCGAGATCGAGAACCTGAGCCACAACACCAAGAGACTGCGCTTCGAGTTCGCCGATAAGGAGGCTGTCTCCGGTCTGCAGGTTGCCTGTGAGTTGATCCTGAGGGCTGCGGTGTCGGAGGTTTGATCGCTTTTGCTCATTTGTTGTTCCTTCTAGCTGCCCTGTTGACCAAGTTCAAGCCCGCTGAGGGCAAGCCTGTCATCCGTCCTTATACCCCCGTGAGCGATGAAGGTATGTTGTAGCAATTCAGGCTGTGTCCCTTTAGCAAGGGGGATGAAACTTACGCGCCGCAGATCAACCCGGCTACCTTGACCTCGTCGTCAAGGTCTACCCCAATGGACCCATGTCCGAGCACCTCCACAGCATGAACGTCGATCAGCGACTCGAGTTCAAGGGCCCCATCCCCAAGTACCCCTGGGAGACCAACAAGCACAAGCACATCTGCCTGATTGCCGGTGGTACTGGTATCACCCCTATGTACCAGCTGGCCCGCCAGATCTTCAAGAACCCCGAGGACCAGACCAAGGTCACGCTGGTGTTCGGCAACGTCAGCGAGGAGGATATTCTGCTGAAGAAGGAGCTGCAGGAGCTGGAGAACACCCACCCCCGCCGCTTCAAGGCATTCTACGTTCTGGACAACCCTCCCAAGGAGTGGACCGGCGGCAAGGGCTATGTCACCAAGGAGCTCCTGAAGACCGTTCTGCCCGAGCCCAAGGAGGAGGACATCAAGATCTTCGTCTGTGGGCCTCCCGGCATGTACAAGGCCATCAGTGGCCCCAAGGTCAGCCCCAAGGACCAGGGTGAGTTGACGGGTCTCCTTGCGGAGCTCGGATACAACAAGGACCAGGTGTACAAGTTTTAGGTGGGTGGCCTGCGAGGGACAGGGGCCGGCATTCTCGGTCATTTCTGGAATACATGCGATTTTGGTTTGTGTCAACTAGAAAGTACCCTTGAGCGAAATGCGACATATTCTACGTGTATCAAATGAGTATATCTATAAGTTGTTGAAAATTCATTTTCAAGGAAAAGTAATGGGTTTTATCCCCATTCAGAGGTCATGGCTTGCGCCGATATCTACCACTCAATTAGAGAGTCAATTTACACCCTGTGCCCTAATATATATATCGTCTGGTGTTAATTCCCCGCCATCTCATATCATCTTCGCATACTGCTACATATCATCGCAGGAATCGCAGTTCGCGCCTCACCATAAGTGCAGAGCGGGTGGAACTATATATATTTACTACGGGATATACTCCGAGACGGAACGATTTCGACCCCCAGAGAGTTCCAGATACTAGATTTAATCCTTTCCATCTATTCTCTTAACTATTACCTATAACTTCGTAGTACATACTGCTAACTCGTCACTACCCTCTGCGATATAGTTTGCGCCTGAAGCTGCCGGGCGTCGGGAGCTTTCAGCCTTCAGCCTTCGCTGCCCACCGGTTCTTAGTAGTCTTCCAAGGAGTTGGTGCTTTTGCGTGTTTCGCCGTCAAACTTTAGTGCTAAGTGCCAAGGGGGAACCACTACAGCACGAAGTACACTTAAAAACATTTGGGCGGTAAAAGGTAAAAGGTAGAAATAGGGATGGGATTATGGGAATTCATGGGATTATTATTAGTAGTATTCTAGGGACGGGAAGCAGCCGAACCCAGAGTTTTTTTTTTTTTTAGAGTCTGGGTCTCTGGGATGCCAAAACGCCAGATACTCGGCTCATGACGGGCTACTACACAGTAGGGTGCTTGCTGGTCGCCAGGCTGCCGGGGTTTAGGATTTAGGATGCTTCCGTAGTCCGTACACATACGCTGTAAGACTAAGTATCGCGTCCGACCGGGATTGAGGGTTATCAAGGATGATGATGATGGAAATGATCTGTCAGTTAGTGAGAACTCTGTCCTTCAGTCTGCTAATGCGCAGTCTGGTTAGTTAGTGGGGATTCCAAGTTTCTGAACCTTGATACATAACTCCTAAGTAGTCAGTAGGTAGTTTAGTAGTAACTAACTGCTGACGAGATTTCTGAAGGCTGAGAGCCTCTTGAAGGATCATGCCACAAGGCCAGATGAAACGCGAGTTAGGCGCTGGTCGCCGTCAAAGCCTAGTACTGTAGTGTACAGAGCAGGTGCGAGCGGCCCTGGGAGGATTGGATGAACCGTGCCTGAGATTTAGGGGCGGCGTCGCTGGTCTTCTAGGGGCTCGGAGCCTAGCCGTAGGGGGTTTGCTATTCCGGGTGTCCGGGTGCCCCATCACCACAAGAGTGACGAGGGCTTGTCAAGCCCCTAGTTGGTAGGTACTAGGTAGTGCGTACATCCAGTACTGCTCAGTGCTCAGGCCTAAGGGAGCTTAGGACTTAGACACCTGTGACCTGGGTTAGAATAGGACCTGCAGGCCTGCAGGCCACTACAGGCCACAGACTACGCGAAGGCCGAGCTGAACTGCTGAACTGCTGAACTGCTGAAGACTGAGGATAATCCCCCTCCCCTAAGCCTAAAGCAGCGACCACTGGGCCCGGTGCTGCCCGGCAGCCACTATTTAGTGCGCCCCCTTTCCCTCCCCCCTCCCATCCCCCCCCTACCGCGCCCCAACCCCACTAAACGAAGAAAAAAATTTCTCTCTTTTCCTCTCCCTCTTGTCGCGCCCCGTCTCTTTTCCTTCTGACTTGCTTCCAACAAACAGCAAAACAAAACAGAAAGGAAAAAAACGCTTTCTTGACACCAGTTGTTATTTTTGCATCATGTCACGCAAGGATGACTCCAAGGCCCATGAGGTCACTGTGAACGTCGATGAGTTTGCTAGAACTCGTGAGAGCGTGAGTCTTTTAATCCCATTGTTTTTGCTTTGATTCTTCTGTCTTTCTTCACGCGATGCTGCCCGCCCGCCTCCCCGAAACCTGGTGGTGTCCGGGCGTACCGCGCGCGGCCTCCCACTCCCAGCACACATCCCCCCCTCCCCGTAAACAACTACCAAGTAGGTATTTACCGATGCTGTCGAGCAAAGGAGAAAACTTATTAGGTTGCTTGTGTGATGATAAAATTGATGATCAGACATCTTTTTTTAAATCAACCCTTCTCTTTCCTCTCTGCTCCTGAACTGGATTCGTGTTCTCTTCTTGGTGTTGCCCTTTCTCAACCCCCTCGGCGCCTACATACCCTTATCATGATGCCACCATCCGCATAAACAGACACTGGAAATTCCAAACACAACTAACCAACCCTCGCAGGTTCTTGTCAGCCTGTCGAATCTGCAGGCCGCGGTCTCGGACTTGACCCGCGCCTACATCAACCACACCAACACAGTGCTCAACCCCGGTCTTTCCAACCTGGACTTGGGTAGCTTCAACAACATTACCGCTGCGCTGTTGGAGAATGGCTTGCTGGCCAATCGCTCCAGCAGCCCCGGCGCCAAGTCTGAATTCGGCGACAAGAAGAAGCGCAAGCGCGCTCCTCCTGACCCCAACGCCCCCAAGCGTGCCCTGACCCCGTACTTCCTGTACATGCAGCACAACCGGCCGCTCATTGCGCAGGAGTTGGGTCCCACTGCCAAGCCCAAGGATGTGTCCGATGAGGGCACTCGTCGCTGGGCTGAGATGCCCGAGGCGCAGAAGGAGGTAGGTTTTTTTTTCTCTTTCTTTTTGTTTTGAGAGGCAAACCCTGACTAATGGTATGATAGGTGTGGAAGAAGCTGTATGCCGACAACCTGGCCGTCTACAAGGAGAAGGTAAAGGCCTACAAAGCCGGTCTGCCGTGGTCACAGGACGACAACTCCAAGGCGGCTAGCCAGCTCCAGCAGGACATCGCTGGCGTCTCCGGCTCGGGCGGTGATGACTCCGAGGAGGAGCAGGAGGTTGAAGAAGAGGAGGAGGAGGAGGAAGAGGAAGAAGAGGAATCCTCCCCCGAGCCCGTCAAGGAGCCCACCCCGCCTCGTAGCACTAAGCGCCGCCGCAGTGAGGTGAAGACGCCCTTGAAAAAGAACGAGTCCCCCGAGAAGAAGAAGCGCACTTCTGCCCGCAAAGAGAAGGAGAGGGAAAAGGAGGATGAGCAGCCTGCGTCGACTCGCAAGCCGGCAGGCGCAGAGGCCAAGCGCACCAAGAAGAAGCGCAAGAGCGAGGTTGGAGGCGATGAGTAAATGGGGGCCGCTATACTCTACCTGGTTGAGAATGTTGTTGTTTGATGCCGTGCGTCTTTTTGTTTTTGTCTTTTTTTTTGGGACGCCATGGGTATTTGTCTCTGAGGGTTCACATACATGCTGGACTGGACTGTATTTATGGGGAGGGGGGGTCAGATTATTACTGGGAGTTTACCTTATTCTTATCAATGGTTGTTTATCCATTAGTGTTGATTCAGTTGATTTCTCTTAGTCACTGCGGTCGGAGTGCCATGATCAGGAATGTCGGTACTAAGTACTAAGTAGGTAAGGACTCGTGAAGATACTCCTCGGCTTCCTACCAAACCGATAGACTGGGGAATCTGGGGAAGAAGACAGGACTTATCGCAGCCAAGCAAGGAGCAGACCGTTTAGTCACCGAATATGAATGAAATATGAATGCTAAGAGCCTAAGAGAGTCGCGGCCAACTAACTCTGTAGTCTGTACAGTGTACTGTACACCGTTGCTTCAATGCTTATAGGCCGCCGATGTCTTATCAGTCCTCCTATCTGTCCTCCGGACTTAGTCAGTACTAAAAGTAAAGACCAGAGAGTCTGAGGACTGCTACCTAGAGACATTAGACACACATACAATGATACAGTAGTCAATATATGGTATATGGTATATGGTAGATGGTATATGGTTACATGGTATCCCTCTCTCCATCGATATACTATAAAGACAACGGCTTCTTATCTCGGCCATCACTTGCTCCACTTGGTCCAGCCGGCCTTCGCCTGAATTCTTTGGCTTCATTCTATCTTTATTTAAATCCAGAGTTGTGCCCCTCCTTTTGTTGTTTTTTATTTTATTTTATTTTTCTTCCTCTGCCCTCTGGAGTCGTTAGTTGTTCTTCTCTCCTATACTTAATTCTTATTTATCTAATATATCAGTCCTTTCCTCTTTTCTCTCTCGCCCTCTCTCTCCCTCCTTCAACACCCAACCCATCTACATATCTCTACACTCTCATACCTCCCCCGGTTGCTCTCGCCTTCGACAGGGCTGAGGGGCCGCGTGTGATTCGCAGGCCAAGACTCTCTCCTACAGTAGTATACTACTTACTACGCCCTCTATTTCCCTGAAAGATGCATCTCGTTCCCAAGGAGGTACGGATCTCATATTATCCCGCGTCAATTCAATGATCGACTGTGCATTGCACTCTACTAATCATCACCAGCTGGACAAGCTCGTCATCTCGCAACTGGGCTTTCTCGCCCAGCGGCGTCTGGCCCGTGGGGTGCGACTCAACCATGCCGAAGCAGTGGTAGGTGTCTTAGACAGTCCGAGTCCCCTTTGCAATACTTCGTATGTCGCTAATCCGCTTGGGGGATAAACAACAGGCCTTGATTTCATCGAATATTCACGAGGTTTTTCACCCTTGATTGACAAAAAAAAAAAAAAAGAAAAGACACCCCTGGTCGGCTAACATCCCCAGCTCATCCGCGATGGCCACTACTCGGTCGCCGATCTCATGTCCATCGGCAAAACCATGCTCGGCCGTCGCCACGTCCTGCCCTCCGTCGTCCACAGTCTCGTCGAACTCCAGGTCGAAGGAACCTTCCTCACTGGCACCTATCTCGTCACCGTGCACCACCCCATCAGTTCCGATGACGGCGATCTGGAAAAGGCGCTGTACGGCAGCTTCCTGCCCGTTCCGCCCGCCGATGCCTTCCCCGACCCCAACCCGGAGGACTACCGCCCGGAGAAGATGCCCGGCGCCGTGCTGCCGCTCAAGGAGGAGCGCATTACCCTGAGCGAGGGGCGGAAGCGCATCAGGCTCAAGGTGACGAGCAAGGGCGATCGGCCGATCCAGGTTCGTTTTTTTTTTTTTTTTCTCTTTCCTTGGGGCACGACACGTCAAATGGTCGCTGACGTCCGACGGGTCAGGTTGGCTCCCATTATCATTTCATCGAGACGAACCCTCAGCTCCATTTCGATCGCCTTCGCGCCTACGGATACCGCCTCGATATCCCCGCCGGTACCTCGGTACGGTTCGAACCCGGCGATACCAAGACTGTGACCCTGGTGGAAATTGCCGGCCATCGCATCATCAAGGGAGGCAACTGCCTCGCCTCGGGGAAGGTCGAGGTCAGCCGCGCCGAGGAGATCATGCAGCGCTTGCAAGTGGATGGGTTCGCGCACATCCCCGAGCCACTGTCGGCGAATGCCGCGCCAATCGCGCCGTTTACAATGGACCGGGAAGCCTATGCGCGCATGTTCGGTCCGACCACCGGGGACCTAGTCCGGCTGGGCCTGACCAACCTCTGGATCCGCGTGGAGAAGGATTATACGGTCTACGGCGATGAGTGTGCGTTTGGCGGCGGCAAGACCATCCGTGAGGGCATGGGTCAGGCCTCCGAGCGGTCCGAGAAGGAGTGCTTGGATACCGTCATCACGAATGCGCTGATTATCGATTGGTCGGGGATCTTCAAGGCGGACATCGGCATCAAGGACGGGATTATCGTAGCGATCGGCAAGGCCGGCAATCCGGATGTGATGGACGGCGTGCATCCGGACATGATCATCGGCACGTCCACGGATGTGATCGCGGGCGAGAACAAGATCGTGACGGCCGGAGGGTTCGATACGCATGTGCATTTCATCTGCCCGCAGCAGGTCGAGGAAGCCCTGGCGTCCGGTGTCACCACCTTCCTGGGTGGTGGAACGGGCCCCACGACCGGCACGAACGCGACCACCTGCACGCCGGGCTCCACGCATATGCGCCAGATGATCCAGGCGTGCGACCGCCTTCCGATCAACGTCGGCATCACGGGCAAAGGTAACGACTGTGGGGGACAGAGCATCGAGGAGCAGATCCTCGCCGGCGCGGCCGGGCTGAAACTGCACGAGGATTGGGGATCGACGCCCGCGGCCATCGACACCTGTCTGGAAATGTGCGACAAATTCGACGTGCAATGCATGATCCACACCGACACGCTCAACGAGTCCGGCTTCGTGGAGCAGACCATCAAGGCCTTCAAGAACCGTACCATCCACACCTACCACACGGAGGGCGCCGGCGGCGGCCACGCCCCGGACATCATCTCCGTGGTGGAACACCCCAATGTGCTCCCCAGCAGCACCAACCCCACGCGGCCCTTCACCATGAACACGCTGGACGAGCACCTGGACATGCTGATGGTCTGCCACCATCTCTCCAAGAACATCCCCGAGGACGTGGCGTTCGCCGAGTCGCGCATCCGCGCCGAGACCATCGCCGCCGAGGACGTGCTGCACGACATCGGCGCCATCAGCATGATGTCCTCAGACTCGCAGGCCATGGGCCGCTGCGGCGAGGTCATCCTGCGCACGTGGAACACGGCGCACAAGAACAAGGCGCAGCGCGGGCCCCTCAAGGAAGACGAGGGCACCGGCGCTGACAACTTCCGTGTCAAGCGGTACATTAGCAAGTACACCATCAACCCGGCCATCGCGCAGGGCATGGGCCATCTCATCGGCAGTGTCGAGGTCGGCAAGCTGGCCGACTTGGTTATTTGGCGTCCGGGCACCTTTGGCACCAAGCCGGCCCAGATCCTCAAGAGCGGCATGATCGTCGCCTCGCAAATGGTAGTCCCCCTTTCTTGTTTCCTCCTCCTTCATCAACCATACTAATCTATCCGTAGGGCGACCCCAACGGCTCCATCCCGACCATCGAGCCGATAATCATGCGCACCCAGTTCGCAGTACGTCTTTGTCCCCCTCCCCTCCCCCTCCTTAACCCTCCCACTAACAAGAACAGGCCTATGTCCCCAGCACCTCCGTCATGTGGGTCTCGCAGGCCTCCATCGACGCCGGCATCGTGCAGTCCTACGGCATCAAGAAACGCATCGAGGCCGTCAAGAACTGCCGCAACATCGGCAAGAAGGACATGAAGTTCAACGACCTCATGCCTCGCATGCACGTCGACCCGGAGAGCTACCGCGTCGAGGCGGATGGCGTGCTCTGCGAAGCCGAGCCGGCCGTCGAGTTACCCCTAACGCAGGATTATTTCGTCTATTAAGTTTTGTTCTTCCATGTACAGATTTTTTCTCTTTTCCCCCTTGGTTTTGGTTTTCGTCGTTCAGGTTTTTTTTCTTTTTCTTTTTTTTGAACTTGGGTTGGGTTGGGTTGTTTGGACTATATACCATAGCATGCAGCGATGAATGAGTCATGAATGAACTGATATATATAGATTAATACAAAAAAATTTCCAATCAAACAGTCTTCTGCTTCACATAGGGTTGGTCTTTAATATATGGAGGGATGATTCGAAGATAGAGATAGGAAAGAGGAGAAGAGGGGATTATAACTCCGTCCTACCTATAATTCCCTCTCCTCACGACTATGATTCTCCCCGACAGATACAAGCCCCGCCAGCGCCCACGTCTCGTAACTGTCCGCTCGCGCGGCAAGATACGCCGCGCGCCGCGCAAAGGATGAAGACGATCGGTGCAGCGGGGGTGGTTCGGAGCCTGGTTCCCGCTCCCGCTCCTGGTCCTGCGAGGCGAAAGCGGACGAGGAGAGGGAGATTTGGCTGGTGGGTTGCTGGTCTGGTTCTGCCTCTGCCTCTACCTCCGCTTGCGCCCCGGCTTCTGCGTCGGGTTCGATTCCGGCGTCGACGTCTGCTTCTTCGGAGGCGGCGGCGGAGGAGGAGGAGGAGGAGGAGGAGGAGGAGGAGGAGGAGGAGGCTTGCGGGGACTGGGACGCGTCGACGCAACTCGAATTGGGGATTGAGTTGGACTCGGCGTCCGGGTCCACCCCCGGAGTCGGTTTCTCGTCCAACTGGTCAAAGCCATCTTCTTCCGCTGTGGGCCAGGAGGAAGGGAGGGCGCCTGGGTGGATGTGTGGGTGCGCGAGCGGATCCAGCGCGTGCAGGAGGTGCCAGGCGCGGCGGATCTCGTTGCGCTTGGATTTCTGGGCTGCGGCGGTGGAAGGCGGGATGGGGATGGGGATGGGGATGGGGACGGGGAGGTCGGGTGCTGCTGGTGGTTCGTGTCTTGCCCTGCTGGGGCTGGCGCGGTCGATGCTATCGGGCATGGCTATGGCTATGGGTATGCTGGAGGATTGCGTTGAGGAGACCTCGTCATCGTGTCGGGTTCTCTTTCTTGGGTGGGGGGTGTTGTAGTCGCCGCCGTCGGCGGCGGCGGCGGCGATGGTGGCGCGCATGTACTGGTCATGGGCGAAGTCGTCGCCGGAGCAGAGGTGGCCGAAGAGAGCGCGGATCGAAATATCTTCAGTCCATTCGTGGGGGTCGACGGTGTACGGGTGGACGTCTTTGGGTTTGAAAGCTGAGACCAGGGTGCAGAGTTCCTCGTACGAGGAGTGGCGCGAGTAGGGGAAGTACTGTAACGCCCCTGTTAGAGAGTCTAGACTCGTATACCAGGAGGGGATGACGACGCTCGTACTATGACTTTGGGAAGACGGTTCCCCGCCGTGTCTCGCAATGTCGAGGGGGATACTTCCGGGTTCATCGACCAGAGTTCCTTGTCGGAGCGGCCACGACTGAGGATCCGCACGAGCTCCTCCAGCGGCATGTCGGCCACATCCTTCATCCCAAATCTGTCCAGGGAAAGCGCCTTGGTTTTCGACTTGAAGGCTTGCGCCAGCACCTCTCTTGTTTGCGAGAGTGTTTCTAGGTCGGGGATCTGCTCGAGACACAGACGCTCTAGCTGCTGCAGAGCCGACTGATCCGGGAGCTCAAGCTCGTGCGTCTGATACAGATCGCCCCCTCCCCCACCTGCTCCGAGCTCAGGTACTCTCGTACCATCCCTAGCCCGTCCGACGATGGGTAAGATGTAAACTGTGTTTTGGGTACGACAGGCAGAGCAGTGCATGCCCGGCTCGCAGCTATGGACTCGAGCACTCTCGTCTTCGCTGAGACATCCTGGAACGAACCGGTTGCCGAGCTCGAATCCGCAGAGAGCGGGTGCTTCAGCGGTACCCCCGAGGGAGTATGAGCCGAGCGATCGGTAAAGGCCGACTTGATACCGGTCCACGTGGATCTAGCACGTCAGCACAGTGGGAAGCTGGGCGATTGGGGATGAAGTACCTACTTTGGAATTCAGGCGTGCGGAGAGTGCTACCCAGACGTCTTCGTAGCCGAACGTCCACGCCCGAAAGTAGAAGACCGTATCCTGCGGATATCTCTCCACCATCTGCAGCAGTTCGCTCAATCCTTCTGCCTTTGACGGGAAGCTCGGGCACACATGATTTGCCCTGGCAAATGTGGTGTCGATGTATATCTTGTCCAGCCTTTTGCCACACAGGGTGTAGGGGATGAGAACGGGGTGCCGTATGAGGCTGTTGACCCACCAGGGCTCAGCTGTGGTTCTTGTTAGTATATTAGCCCTACAGAAAATGGCACGTATGCCCGTATCATACCGCGAATATCGCCGGTGTAGAGAATCGCGTTCCCGTCCCCTTCAATCAGGAACATCACCGCCCCGGCACAGTGGTTCGCATCAAAAAGGGTGACTCTTATCGACAGAAGAGGTGTCAGCTCAATCTCCGTGGGTGTGTTCAGTGGAATCGGCCGCTGTTCGCGTAAGCTGGCATCACATCTCGCTGCAACGGAGAATCACTCACCAAGAGCCTAGAGAGATGCTTGTAGTGCAATCTGCGAGACTCGAGAATTCCCTTGCTGAAGTTCATCCGGTGGGGATACTTTTCAATGCGCAAGAGCATTTCCCGAGTGGCGGCAGAGCAATAGATGAAAGGAGCCCGGAACGACTCCAGGCCTTGGAGGTGGTCGCTGTGCACATGGCTGAGAAAGCATGCGAGGGGAGGAGGCCGATCAGGGTTTTTGCGAAAGTAGTCAACTGTGAAACTTTTCAGCAATTGGGTTTCATCCACAGGGATGACAGCCTGGAGCTCACTCTGAATAAAGGGAAATTCTGTGTGTCATTATTAGACGATTGATGCGAATTTTTGGGTGCTGCAGTGGACATACCTGGAACTATTCCATCAAAAGTTGACATCTGGTGTCTTGTTAGTCCTAGCAATGGGGTTTTATCGTCTATATGGGACGCATGACAGTTGGACTTTGATTCTGATTCTGATTGTTCATAGCGTTTTCCCAATGTTTGCTGCTTGACAAGACTGCTGGATAGAAGCGTTGGATGATGAAGCCCAGTCCAACGAGGATACTCTCACGTGACTGCATCGCCGTTTTGTCGCCCTGTCAGAAAAGCAGAATCTCTCCCAGGAACAATTCCTGTCAAGACACATCCTCCGTGACTTTTCCATCCTATCGTGGGTCATTCGACCTACTACCGAAATTGACCGATCTCACCGAGCCCAATCTCAATCTCAGCCTGGAACGGCGGAGAAGCAATTGCATAATCGGTGGGCCTTCTCCCAACTACGAAGAGGACATCCCGTCGGAAGAACAACATTGTACTCTGTACAACAGCAGCGATCCTGTCTAGACTCTAGACCATTCCTGATGATCAATATATCTACCGAGAGAGTTCTCCAGTCCTTTCGGTTTTGTGCCCACCAGGCCTGTTATGTACAAGGGTCCCAGCAGGAGGCCCAAAAGGATAAGTCGGACCATTGACCAAGTGGCCTTGCAGGTCACAGTACACGATGGTGAGGCGAGTGGATGAAGCAGACCCGCTCGCCAACACATTTGTCAATTGTTTTTTTTTTTTTGTTTTTTTTTGGCATTTGAGGACGCTTGTCTTGCCATCCTGGCTGGTCTCAGAATGGATCCATTGAACAGAAATGGACCAGAAAGAGTAGAAATGACGCTGGAATCGGTATCATCCAGCTGCCTCGTTGGCCATTATCATTCCCTTTGCCTCTGATGCGTTGGTCGGTTTGCATGCGTGTCAGCTTCAACAGACAAATAATCCTCCTCCTCTTCATCATCATCATCATCATAATAGAACCATTTATCTATCTATCTATTAGTTGTCTATAATCGTTTCTAATGCTATAAGAAAGAAAGTGTGTGCTGCTTGCCTCCTGTCCTTCTTTTCCCCCCCTTCTCCTCTTCTCCTTTTCTTCCTCCTTCTTCTTCACCACGTCCTCCAATTCTGGACATCTGCCTCAAACCACTTATAAATCCCACAGGAAAAGCATCGCTGAGAATCTAGCGATACGATGGATTCCTCTTCCTTGTAAAAAAAAACATCCCAGGCTGTGATCTAGACTTGGGGCCTGGACCGTACTTGAAGCCAAGGCTTCTCTACGGACCTGAGGAGATCTCCTGTTCATTATTATCCGCCCATCTGGTCCATCTATCTACTATCTCCAAAAGGATCAGAAGTTCGAATTGATATCAGTGAAACAGGATCAAGAACAGACAAGGAGCAGGAAAGAACAGAGCAGAGGACATCGGACACCCTCGTGCCAAGATTCCTCTTCATCATCATCATCATCATCATCATCAATCAACCGGACCATTGTTGAAACTCGCCATATCTCTACATTATCTACTTAAATAGCATCAAGCACTACCACTTTCGAACTCGAAACGTCTGGGGGACGATCTATACCTCTCGGTCTCTCTCTCTCTCTCTCTCTCTCTCTCTCTACATCTTGCCACTATTGACAAATCTGTCCCCCCTTTTTTTCCCTCAAAATTTCATTGTTCTGTTTCCCCCCCCAAGCAGAGCATCCTCACTCATTTCTATTATTATTGGCAGTGCTATTTGCCTGTTCTTATATGCACCGTGCATACTGGTTGCATTCTCTTGATGCATCCATCTCTGCATATCCTTCTTCCCCTTGCTGATCGATTATTCTCCTTGCGATAACATCCAAAGCGTGATCTGCCAGACTTTCTCAGCTCATTCATCTTCCTCCATTCTGCAATTCCTTCTCTCTATCTTATTTTCTTTTTGAGTCTCTAAACAAGTCCTCTTAGAGAGGACCTTTTCTGCTTTCACCCATTCGCTCGCTCTAACTACTTCTCCTTTTGCACATCATCGCTGGAAGATCATCGGATCACCCCAGCTATATACTGCTACTACTACGACTACAACTACTCCTGCTCCAGCTTCTCATCCATCCCCCCCGGTTCAGAACTCCATCTCCCAATTTTCATCAACCGAGGTCATATCAAATATGCATAAACCCTCGCTGGCTCAAATTGTGCACAGCGCAATCTTTCCACGCCCCCGAACCAGTGATCCAGCCACCTTTTCGGCTCATATCACCCGCAATCTAGTCCCAGAAGTTCGTATCGAAACATCCACTTTCTATGGATCGCTGGACAGTATCGAAGCCCAATATCCGGGTCTGGATTACTCTTATGGCCCCCACCGCATGAGATTAGGCCGATTCCCTTGGCATCGCAAGCTGTTCAAGGTCTTCGACGAGCTTGGTCTGACGGAGACCGAGATCTCATCCCTGTGCCGATGGGAAGGTACCAAATCCGCACGCGAGCGTTACGAGAAGGAAGAAGGCATCAAGGTGCGGGACACCACCGCTGAGGCGATCCGACCAGCAACGCCGTCTCCGCGACCCTCCGTGGAAATTCATTTCGATGGTGTCGCCGGTTCAATCAAACCACCAGAAGTTACGATACATGAACCGTTCGAGGATGTCGTCACAACCGCCCATACCGTTGATGACCGGGTTATCGACCGGTTGCCACAACCCCACAAGGTGGAGGAGGACTCCAGCGACGAGGAGATGGAAAGCTGTGGCGTGGAATTGAACCACCGTCTGCTCGCAGCAACCGCTGCGCGCGAGCAGGGTGCCAATGTCCCACTCGATGAAGACTGGGAGCAATGGCTCAAGGAGGTCGGGGAACGCGGGAGTTACGCAGACCTGATCAATGCCATCCGAACGGGCCAGCCGCTGAACTTTCTGCCCAACATGGCCTCTCCGCTAGCACAGTTGCGTCGGACAGGCATTGCACAAATCTCGCCATCTCTTCCGGAGCGTTTCATGACTCCAGCACCGCCTAGGGTGCTTTCTTCGGGGGTTGCCATTCGGCGGCCTCCCAACCCTCCCCCGGGAACTGCACGATAAATAACAGAGCAAGACCAACGCTCTTTTTTTTTTTTTTTTAAATTTTTTTTCTCTCTCACACATCTCTTCTTGCTTCTCAGGAATCGCTAGCGGGCAGGGTTTTCCATTCGATGCATTTCTGGCGCTTCCGCAGTTGTGTCTGGCGTCTTGTTTGTCATCCGCGGGCGTATCTCCCATCATCCAATTTTCGTGCTTTTGATAGATCCATTTGGTTTCTTTAAAGATATCCCTGGTGGCTCTTCTAATACCCCTCTGCCTATGTTTGTTTTGAATCTGTGTCTGGTTCAGTGTTGCGAAAGTTTGACTCTTCGCTTTAATTTTCGGTGTGAGAGATTTTCAGCTCAACGTGAATAGCAAAAAGCGGTAGAATGTCAAATTGGAGTTCAAATAGCCAAAGAACGGCATTTGCTGGATTTGTTTCCTATTGCTCAAATAGTAGATCCTTAGGTTGTTATCTCTTAATCCCGGAGCTCGCTTGCGTTCCGACTTACGAGCTTCCAGTCTCCAGAAGCTCTCCCCGCAACCTTCTATCAGCAACCATCAACACCTCCATCTATCAACAATTCATGGCATCTGCACAATGGAATGGTGCCATTCTGCCATAAGAAGATGCTTTGGTGATTGTTATCGACTCCCAAGCTGAAATTTCGTGGCTCTCGCCCACGATTCGGTAATCGCGTATTGCTTGCATCCCACATTGCGCGACTCACCATGATCAAGGCCATTTTCTACAGCAAATTCGACACCCAAGAGGGTATGCGACCTGATCCTTTACCCTCACATCTACTTCTCCGGGGAGAGGAAATACTGACGATCCAGGCCCCAAGGTCGTCCACCAAGTCCCCGATGGAGCCATCGTCCCCTCCGCGACTGCGCCCTCGCAGCCTCTCTTTCTGACCTTCTCCGACATCTCCTTCTTCGTCATCCCCCGGCAAGAACTCTGCGGCAACCTGATGCAGGTGTGCACGAACGGCTACCGGATCCTGGGCTACCCCATCTGCATGAAGTCTCTGCGGTATGACCGCAACGAGTTCATTTTCAACTTCTGCCTTGTGCTCGCCGAGGAGGAGGATTTCAGCTCGTACAAGAGCGTGGTGCAGAAGCTGGCGGATCTGATGCATGGGTTGGAAGAGCAGAGCGGGTTCCTGTCTAGGGATCATTCGAAGAGCGGGGAAGGAAAAGTGTATAGTTTGTGTGAGACGTTGATGGAGGATTTGAATAACTATTGCGAGTGCATGATCCCGATCGGTGAGTCTCTTCTGCAGATTGCGATGGTAGACGCTGCTGGCTGACGGTGGGACGCAGATGAATTGAACACGTTGAATATCAAGCTCTTCCCTGTGTACCCTGCTCCTCCACCGGTGAGGGCATGGCAGGTTCCTTTGTTTACAGTCCGATACCAGGCGTTTATGGATGAGAATTGGGATTTGACGATGCAACGGGTATGTTGTTGAGCAGAAGCAACAGAAGATATTGAAGGCAACTCACATGCAAGTAGATTGTGCCTCATATCAACGGTGTCAACAGCGTCCGCATCATTTCCATCCTTGCCGACACCGACTTCTCCCTCACATGCCGCGCCATCAAGCATCTCCTCTATTACGGCTGCATATTTTTGCTGGACATCTTTTCCTTCTCCGCCATCTACGCGCCCACCGCTCAATTCAGTTCGACCATCGCCTGCGACGAAGACATGCAGCGAGAATGCGCCCGCTACGTCAACACCCTGTTCGCCCCGCCGATGGCCGTCCACGCTGCAGGCAATCCGGCCGCCGTCCCATCCGCCTCCACATCCGCCCTCTCGTCCACCGCACATGGTGAATTCATCTCCGGCAACCTCGCCAGCTTCTCCAAGTTTGATCCGGACTCCGTCTGGCCCCCGCTCGCCGACTACACCGACCACCGCAGCACAAGCCGAACTCCCAGCCCCAGCCGCAGCGCCAGCTACAATGCCACCAGCACATCCGCATCCACATCGACCATCATCCCCGACGACCCGACGCAACCACCTCCGCCGCCCGCGCTCGTCGACGGCGTCGGGATCGTCGAGCTCTACGCCTGCCTGAAACAAGGCCAGAGCGTGCGACAGTGGTACGCGCAGAACAGCCGCAAGCTCGCCCACATCGACATCCGCCGCTTCATCACCTTCGGCATCATCAAGGGCTTCCTGTACCGCGTCCACAAATACGCCTACGCAACGGGCCTCCCCGCCCCGCCGCTGAAGCCCTCGCGGCACGGCCACGGCCCTGGCAGCCACCACTCGCACTCACACTCGCACACACAGCCACCATCCGGCGCCTCGTCGCGCGGACCGGGCACGGGCACGCATAGCCCCTACGCGTCCAGCGTTGGCGACGAGGTAGCGCCGATTGCGCAAGCACGCGGCGACGACGGCAAGGAACACTCGACCTCCGTGCACAGTGGGAGCCGGAACGGGGTCGTCTTCGACGACGAGGAGGACGAGGAGCCTGTCGATAACAAGACGCTGGCGAAGTATCTGGACGGCATGCATTGCTTCGATCAGATCTGTACCGAGCTGGAGATCAGTGAGAAGGACCTCACAGCCGCGCTAAAGAGATACCCTGGAGAAGTCCTGATCATACACCGATGAGCGCTCCCTTATGTGTAAAAAAAAAAGTAAAAATTTGATACCCATATCCCTATTCCGTTAGATGAAGACTACGATGTCGTGATAATACACATGCACGTGTGAATAACAGTATTCCACCAGGAAATTTTTTACACTTGCATTCGTGATTCATCTTGTCTGGCACGTAACGAAAAGCTTAAGCCAGGCAGCTGCGCCATAACACTCCAGCGCAGTTCTCGACAGCCCAGCAAGCGCTGAGCACCCATAAAGAGCCGAAGCAATAGATCAAAACTTGCCACGGATATCCTCCCAAACTCCAATCCATGACTCCCACCTTGTAAAAACGCCTTCATTGGTACAGGGGTATGTCATCAAAAAAATCGCAAGAAGAGAGAAGCAAATAAAAAAAGTTTAGAAAACTAGACCAAGGATCGAAGGTCTGCCCGGTAACCAGCCGGCAGAACCTTACTCCTGCTCCTCGTCCCAGCCCTCGAGTTCGGTTTTCTCGTACTCGGCCATGACAGCTGGGTCGAAGATGGTCTCCTCCTTGCTCGGGACCGAGGTCTTCGAGTCCTTGAAGATAGGCCCGATGCACTCCTGCCAACGCTTGCGACGGTCCATGAGTGTGCGGGCCACATCGCCGATGGCAGGGCGGCCCACCCCGGCTGCGGCGACACCGGCTCCGCCGGCTCCGCCAGGTCGGTGCTTCGCCTGCGAGCCTTTCTTGCTCTTGCCTAGAGTGCGGGTACGCTTGAGATAGGCCTGCTGCACCTGGGAGTCGAGATCGTCGTGGATTGTGGTGTATTCCTGGTGCGCCATGCGCTCGCGAGCGATATCCAGAAGACGCGTTTTACGCGCATGATTGACGATCATTTGTTTCTTCAGTTCACTCTGCAGCAAACGCAGGCGCTGTGCAATGTCATCGTCGTAGTGAGCATCGTAGTCCGGATTGTCATCTGCCCCGAGGAAGCCGATATGACGAAGCTCTGCTTTGAGGCGCTCATCCAGCTGGGCATGGTCGAGTTTGGCTGCTGGGACTTTGAAGCCGCTGGGGGAAGCATCGGGGAATGAGGTTGCCGAAGGAAGTGGTTTGTTTTCAGAGTCGCCCGCTGGTTGATCAATGTCCATAGATTCTCCGAGAAAGCCGCTGGAAGAACCTTCTCCATTGGTAGCGCCAGTAGCAGATGTATCCTCGGGGTCGGCACGGTGTTCATAACGAAGGAGGGAATAGAGGCGGCTGACCAGGGGCCCGACAGAGACCTTGTCGGTTTCAACAGTCTCATCGGTGACTTGGTCGATGCTTCCGCGCCCCTGGTTAAGGGGGAGATGTTCGCGATCGCCATTGGCTGAATCAACGTTCATCAGTCCATCCTCTTCGGCCCAGATCTCAGTGTAATGTTTCTTGCCACGAGGAGGCATTATAAAAGGGGTAGTTCGATCACCCTGTACCATGTTTAGCGACCATGTTGAACATCGGACAGTAGGATCAAGTGACTAACCTTTTCTTTCAAGAATGCAATGTCCTCCTCGGTCAAAGGTCGAACATAAGGATCGATGTAAGCGAGAAAAGTGTTGGCGCTGACCTGGTTGGTAGGTTTGGCATTACTGAAATCCTTATCGGGAGGGACACCCGCCATCATATGACTGAGATCACTTCTAGGGAACCGATTGACACAGTATATATCCTTCTTCTCATCATCCATCATCTCAGGCGTGACATCGCGAATGTGATAGATGGTCGGGTCATCGAATTTAAGTGGATTAGAACCGAAAACTTGAAGCTGAGGGATGGCAGGAGCAGGGTCGGGTTGATGCTCATCGATGTCTTCGTCCGAGGCAGATTCATCATCGGCAGCAGCTTCGGCAGCGGTCACGGCAGGCTTGGGAGAAGTGAGGGACGGGGGAGAAAGGGAAGAAGGCTCTTCGGCGGCCATATTTTTCGACTTCTTAGAGGCTGGGGAAGCGGCTAGATTGGACTCGTTAGCTGGGTTTATAATGGGAGATGGGCCGGGGAGAGCAGCGAGTGCTGCTGTAAAGGACGTCTGCCATGTGAATGAGACCATAAGAGAAGCACAGTAACTCACCTCCCTCAACCTTAGTTTCACCACCATCCTGTCTGGCGATGTCATGGGCACCATGAGCCAACGGACGGTCTTCCTTTGTGCTTCCTCCGCGCTCCCTGCGCTTCTTGAGTTTCCCTCCTTTGGACGCTCTGGAAGGCTCCTCTTCCTCATCATCAGCCTCGCGCTTCATCTTCAATGTGGTTTCGCGATCGTAAGAGTCTTGCTCCTCAACAACTTCCTTGCGCTTCTGCGAAAGCTCTCTGATACCGGCATCGCACGCATCACTACGAGCCTCTGCCAGCTGACTGAGGGTCTTGAGATGTTCCATCAACGACTCGAGCGACTTGGAATCTGGAATTGGGCCAACTCCGTTCATGCGATCGAGAATTTCTCCATATTGGATGGTACCCGGGATGAGCAGCTTTGAGACATCGTTATCGAGATAGCTTGCCTGAGTAGCAGCGGAGGTTGGCGCAGCGCTGAAACTGGAACTGGGGGTGGTGTTGCGGCTACGCGAAGGGCGGGCTTCGCGGCCTTTACCTTTGCCTTTGCTTGCACCTGGCATTCTGTAAGAGAATTGGAGGTGTGATATCAATTCGATGATTGAGAAGACGGGTGATATGCGTGTGGTATCCGGAGGAGAAGAATGACTGACGTGCGCAAAGGCACAACCCTGTCCCTGAAAGAAGAGTATCCTACTCGAAGACCATAGGTCCGGAGTCAGATAAGAATGTAATGGCTTGTTTGTCCTCTAGGCCATACTAGAAGCAGATTGAATCGAGAGAATCAGCAAGGAGGAGAAGGAGCAGGTAAGTGGTGGGATGTTTACAGGGAAGAAGAGCGCAACTGTTATCGCGCTGTTGATAGTGATGAGTGCACGTGATTCCACGTGATGATAGTCCATTAACTTTCTAGTTGTCTCCTTCAGACCAATATTCTATCTAATTCACCATCCCAGACTGCGACAGTCATTAAGCTCCTAAAGATAATCATCTTATTTGTGAAGCTACACAGTCTTCTTTACCTGTCCTGGTCTAGCAAGACTTTGGATGGATACGGCTCTTCTCATGGATCGATCTATCCCACTCTATTGTAGCAGCTCCACTTGTCGATCAGGCACAGTCGGCTAGCTTGCTAAACAGCTGAAGATGGGTCGAACTCTTGCAGATGATGCCATTATGTATGGTTACATCTCTGAGGATAAAACATGAAGAAGGAATTCTATCCTCGAGCTCTTCCAGGTTGCAGACTCGATTTTTGAGGATACGGCGCATCCCTGCAAACGTCATTCAAGTGTGGCCGCAAACGGCTTGTCTCTTGCTCTGCAACCTCTACAACCCCGAACGAGAATTCGAATCAATGTCTGTGCATCAGTGCCTATCAAGAGCTTGGGAGGGGGAAGAAAAGAAAAAAGAATAGTCTCTCACTCGAGCAGAGCCAATTGGATGAGCCTTGTCCACCTTGCGGTACCTGAGCACAAGACTCTCGGACTGATCGTCGGATTCAGTACTATTAATCCATCATCTGTGACTATTGAGAACAACCTTTATGTCTTCTTCCCCCTCTTTTTGGCATCTTACCTTGATAATACTCCCATATATGCGTACCATGTTCTAGTCCTCTGAAATCGAATATACGAGATGCTGTAGTCAATTCAGCCTTGACTCTTTCCAGTTCTCATTTCGACAGCTTCCCAACGCTGAAGGACACACTGTGAGTGGCTGATCGCAAGCATGTGTATGATCCCCCCCCCACTGTCATCTGCACATCATGAGCGGTGCATGTTACTCGTAACAACATTCTGCATATACATATGCACTTCTCATATGATGAGCTCTAATTCAGGACTAACCGGTCTGGATAACTACAGCAGCCCGGTCGCTCGCTACGTCAGCGATGCTTTTCGCGGGAGCCGACAGAGTTACGAATACAACTTCTGCATTCAATGTACGTACTGCCAACGAACTAGGTCGGCTCACGGTGCGCGTCCACATTTGAGTTGATGGCTTACACCGCGGCTTTCACTAGGAGAGCGCCAGCCTCCATTTCGAAATCAGTGATACCGTTCAAACGCTATCAACTGAAAATTCACCAGACAGAGGTCCAATCAAAGGACTTCTTTACGTGCCCAGTCTTGAACCGCAAGACCCATGCAACAACAACACTGCCTCGTTTGTGCCGGCCAATGCGACTCGGTATAGCAGTGTCTCTCCGTTTGGATTCACCAACATCGGCTTAGCGCCGTGGGTGTCTATCGATTGTACCCAGTCTTTTCTGAATGCGTCGCGACGAGATGATATCGAAGCGCTTATCTTCTTTCTCCCTCTGAGCAATGATTCGAAACCACCGCCAGCAGCGGATTCTATCTGGGACTTGGGCGATGGCGGAGTCTGGAAAAGTCAGAATAAGTTCCCTATCTATGCGATCCCCGGTACAGCTGGCGAGACCCTCATGCGCCAGCTGTCTTGGTATTCTGGTAATGGGACAACCGGCCTCGACCCAAATGCTCCAGTCGAGGAGCCGGTTGCTTTGGGGCAGGACCAGCGAGGCGTCGTCCGGCTGTTCACTGTCATAGAGTTGTGTAAGTCTAGCCTTCTTCACTACTAACATCACCGTGAGAGTACCTAGTAAGCTGACTTTGAATGTACTTTCTTTCACAATAGCGGATGATCGTCGAAACATGCCCAGTCTCTGGGGATTCATTCTCGCGATTCTTGGGATGGTCTTGGTCCTCAGCATCATTCTCCTCTTGTGCTATCAATTCGTGCAGAGGAAACGCCGGGAAGCTTTACGGAGGAGTATTGCGTCTGGCGAAGCCGATGTCGAGAGCCTCGGATTACATCAGATAAAGGTTCCGCGAGAGGTCCTGGACCAGATACCAACATACGTTTACCCACACCTGGACGTTCCACCGAAAGTATCCTTAAAAGACAGTCATGGCCACACAAATCTCAACAATGTTACCGAACCGAACGATACGCGATCCATCCAATCCGCCGATTCCACACTCAAAAACTATCAAGTTTACCAGGAGAGAGAACTTCATGCGAGCAGTTCCACCATCCGGTTGCCCGAGTCCGTGGTCATTAGTGAGAGCAGCCGGTCTCCCTCCGTGCGAGAACGAAGCGAATCTTTCAGCAGGTCACAGTCGACCTGTGCAATTTGCCTTGACGATTTTGTATCGGGGGCGTCTATCGTGCGGGAACTCCCATGCGGTCACATCTATCATCTCAACTGCATCGATACCTCTCTCACTCAGATCAGCAGTCTTTGCCCGCTGTGTAAGAAGAGCGTTCTGCCGCCAGAATACTACACGACGCCCATGAACGATATGATTGTGCATCGGGATTATGTCGCGACCGAGGACTGATTCTCTCTGGGCTGTATTCCATTTTTAACTGGCGCGATTCTGGAAATGAAGAAAAGTTGGCACCATGTTCTGGTGACGATACCCCCAATGTTTACGATTTTATGCTTCGAGTTCATATCTCTTGCTCAGTCTATAGACCATAATGTATAGAGATGAATACATGTTTGATAGATTGCATACTGCCAGTGCAGCGGCTTTAAGAAGAGCCTCAAAGGCTTTGGAGTGCCGGTATATCATAATGGCTTGAAACTCGGCACCCTTGGCACAGCTCTGGAGCCGTATAATCAAGCAGCAACATGGCTTCGTACTCGGGCTCGAGTTGGCCATCGCAGCACGTGAAGACTGCATGCCGCTTCCTTCGCATTTATGTATGCAAATATCTTCTTCATCCAGGACCAAGCCCATGGTAAATTTCCCACCAAAATCGCACCAAGTTTCTTGAAACCCCCGTTAGCATCATCACCCCATCAGCAGCACAGGAGAGAAACAGAGAGAAGAAAAAGAAATAAAAAAACCTACCACGCAAACTTATCATGCTTCCCCTTCACCCTCACATCCAGCACCTCCTCATGGAAGTTCCCCTCCCTCCTCGCCCTCTTCAACCGCCTCACCTCCTCCTCCCCCAACCTCCTCCCGACAAGCTCCTCCAGCTCCTTCCGACTAATCTTCTCCCGCGCCCTCGTCTCCTTACTCGCCTTGATACGCGGCTTGAAGCGCGCCTGCATGCGGATCCGCACCGTCGTCTCGAAGGACACGCTCCCCGCGTCCCCGCGCACCTCCACAACCTTCCCGCTCGCCTTGCTGCTCGACGCGGCCTCCCGCACACACACAAACGCCTCCTTGTCGCCGCCGCCGGTCTGCAGCGCAAAGGTACCGGGGATGTCGCCAGGCAGCGCGAGGAAGGACTCGTAGTGCGAGATCGCCGCCGCCGAGGCGCTGAGGATGCCGTAGCTGTCGCAGCTTAAGTATCTAGTTCACACAACCAGCGTCAGCCTGCGGTACAATATCCTCCCATCCCTTCATAGTTAAATAGGGCGGGAAGAAAAGGCCCGGGAGAGAGGGAGGGGGGAGGGAGAAGGCCAGCGAAACAGACCTCCCATGATGTCCCTTGAAACTAAACGACTCGGTGCCCGCCACCCGCGTCGCAACCCACACCTGCCGCACATCGTGCGGCTCCGCCGTCGCCGCGTCCCCCTCGATCAGATTCTCCAGCTCGCTCGCAAACACCTTGCCGTTGGCGTCGCTGGCGATGCAGGTCGGCGGGTCCGAGGCAAGAACCAGGAGCACGGGGCCGGCGATATCCGAGGGCGCGTCGGCGGTCACCCAGCTCTGGTCTTCGGCGGTGTCGTCGGTGTTGGTGTTGGGCTGGGTGGTGGAGTCGGAGGTCTTGGAGGCGGCGGAAGGGCCGAATTTGGTCTCGGGGTCGGCATATTCGCGGTGTTTGCGCTTTTTGGGCTTGTCGCCTTTGAAAGTTAGGGGTTTGACCATTTTTTTTTGTCTGTCTCTTTTCGTCTTGCAGGGATGGGATGGATGTTGGGCGTGGGTTCTGGGTTGTGGTTTTTGGGGGAGGGAAGGGGAGTGGAGCGGAGATGCTTGGTGATAAGCCGATAAGAGAGGGTGTAGTCTGGTGGATGATTTGATTTTCTAGATATGGATGCACTACAGACTATGCATCAGTAAATGATAGTGGCACACGGGGAACCTCTGTAGATAATTGCAGCTTCGTGTGCTTATTTCTATTATTGACAGGGTTTGTGTTGTGATCGGAATGCCTGTCAGAATACGTCATCTTCTTTGGGGATTTAGATATCCTCAAGGTCCTCACTGCTGGAAACAATATATATCACTACTCATTCTTTAATCTCAAACCGCAGACCTATGGATATCGATGATGAACAGTAGGTATCTTCTATTATTCACTGAATAGTGTTGCTAATCTCATAAGTCATTACATGGAATTATCTCCAAACCCAGTTCCGTAATCCAGACGCTTTTATCTGACCCCAAAACCAAGTCTATCCGGGTTTCAACCCATCTAATCAAAAACAATGGCGGCCTTGATGGCGGATTTGTTCTTCATCGACTCCAGGCACTGCTCCCACTCTTCGAGCTTGAAGACCTTGTTCACAATGCCCTTGACCTTGACCTTGCCCGAGTCAAGGTAGTCGATGGCAGCAGGGAACTTGTATACCTCGGAGAAACTGCCGACAATGTTGATCTCGTCGCCGACTAGACAACCTCATGAGTCTATGCCCGACAAGACGAAAGGGGGCAAAAAAAAAGGGGCACTTACAGATCTTGGCAGGGGGCCACGAGACGCGGTCCTTGTTGGCGTACACACCGTACACAACCAGCTTACCACCACGGCGAACATAGTTGATTGAGTCATTGAGAATGTTGAGGTTGCCGGTGGCCTCGACGACGATGTCGAAGCCGTAGGGGTTCGCAGACTTGAGCTGCTCGAACTGAGCAGAGGGGTCCTTGCGGGAGAGAGCAATGTATTCGTCACCGGCCTCGAGGTTCTTGGCGAGGTCCATCTTCAGTCCTTCAGGAGCAACAACGGTGACCTTGCATCCACCGTTGAGACGGAGCATTTGGGCGAGGATCTATTTCCCCAGTCAGTTAAGCCTTGTCACAACTCTCCAGGTAAACCACATACCAGTCCAGTGGGACCAGCACCGAACAGAAGAACGGACGAGCCCATCTTGGGGGCGATCTTGTCCAAACCGTGAGCGGCGCAGGAAGCGGGCTCGAGAAGGGTGGCGTCAACATCGGAGAGGTTCTTGATCTTGAAAACACGCTTGGCTAAAAATTCAGTCAATGGGACCGTCACTACCCCAGAAAAAAAAAATCCAAGATGACACAACATACCTGGGTAAGCGCAGTACTCGGCGAAGCCACCGTTCATGGTGACACCGTGAGCCTCAAAGTGCTCGCAGAACAGCTCATCACCACGACGGCAGTAGAAGCACTCTCCGCACAGCTCGGAGTTGTCAGCAACAACACGCTCGCCAATCTCGAAGCCCTTGACCTTGGGGCCAACGGCAGCAACAACACCAACAGTCTCGTGGCCTGCAGAGGTCAGTCATCATTCTACCACAGCATTTTCGATGGACTCGCGCATACCAGGAACCAGGGGGAACTATCGCAAAAGGGTCAGCAAAGCTCTTCTTCAATTGGGTCCAACAGGGATCAGGGATCAACCAACCTTGGCGATGAATTCACCCTCGTGGATGTGCAGATCGGTACCGCAGACACCGCAGGCCTTGACCTTGATCTATTACCCACCCACATCACCGGGTCAGCCAATTGATTTCTAGAAGAGTCTGTAAGATCGTCCATTGCTAGATGCAACATACCAAAACGTCGTTGTCACGGAGAGTGGGCAGAGGGACCTGGACGATGCCGTGAACCTCGGGCTTCTCATATCTATAGAGAGGTGTGATCAGCGAAGGTGGCCTGGTGATCGATTGACTGGGATGACAACCTACCTGAGCGCCTTCATGGTCTGAGGAAGAGTGGAACCCATTGTGATTGAGGTTGATATGGAAAGTGATATGAAGAGTCTATCACGATGAAGGCATTAGTCTCCAGGTTGCTGAGGAGGATACAGAACGGAAGCTCAAGACGATGGCAGGGCGGACTCACAAAAGGATTTAGACTCGGGGAGGATATGAAGGATGGAAGGTGAAGAAGAGAAGAGGAGACGGAAGAGAAGGGAAAAGCAGAAGGGAAGACCCGAGTACTTATGATGTCGAGGGGACTCTTGAAAAGATTCATCACCCAAGGAGGGGAACCGATGGGAATGAAAACGACAAGCCAGACAGAGTAATGCATGCAGGTTGCCAATGAAGTCAGACTGCTCATCTTTTCCTCTTCCTCTGCCTCTTCCCACGCAGCCCCAGCCATATGGGATTCTGGGTGATTCTATTCCATCTGCATGGATCCATCCGAAGAACGCCAAAGACAGACACAGACCAGACACTATCAGAAATCCAAGATGGTACGGTACCGGTATGGTATGTACCAGTCAGTACCAGTGGGTATTCTGCCCTGGAACTGTTCCTGGAAACCGCCAGTCACCAGTGCCCAGCATGCGATCAGGTGATGTACTATCTTCCGTCTTTGTACTCTAGAATATCATGATTCAGGATGCTGATTCAGCGCTGAACGTGTTGTTCTGACCAGATAGTATCTGGGGTCGGTACCTGGTTTAAAATACCAGTACTCCGTACACCGGAATAACCTCAGGTCCTGGATCTCTCTCTCGACATCGACTCCCCCAAGTGGATAGCATGACTTCATTCAACTCATAGTCATACTCATCATACCCCTGACATCGAGTTGGTCCCTATCTCCCTCCCTCCCCCTCTCCCTACTAACTACATAATTACTGAATGTCTGTCTTTCGATCCAAATCAACCGGGCTTTTCCCATCTCAACTTTCAACCTAAAAGTTGCTCACAGGATCCGCAATGACGTTCCTCCCCCACACGACCGCCCATTGAGCCCCGCTATGACCTCGTCATAGGGGAAACAGGTTCATCCTATGGAGGCTGACTCGGTACTCCGTAGCGTGTACCTACTCCGTAGACTGTACAGCAGGATAGATAGACAATCCTTCTAACCACATGGCAGTTAACTAACCCAGTAGCAGTCTGGATTGTAGACTATTCTGGAGCCCGCGAGAATGCCATTCAGGTACGGGTAGGTACGCAGGGCGGCAAAAAGAGGAACTCAACTAGAGTTCCTGACTAGACGATCAGATCACACATACTACAGTGTACTAGTAGTATGTGGTTTGCATGCCTCAGGCCTTTCAGAGTTCAGAACAAACAACAGAACCTCGTACATACCTAAGGCACCTACCTACTACTCCTCCATCCTTTATAGGATGTACCTAGTACCTACAGCCTAGGTACATGCAGCCTTGAGGCTATAGTCTCCGATCTCTGGACAATTCACCGCTTCTCCACAGAAGCTTCATGCTAAAACCAGTCCTCCAGACGACTAGACTAGACTATCTCAGGCTTGGTCTTGGTCCCCAACCCAAACCACGACAGGCACAAAGTACGAAGGGAAGCCCACTGGATAGTCAAACGATCTGTCTCCTGCATATCCCCTCCTCCATAAACCTAACTACCCTTGAAAAACCAAAAGAAACAAATGAACAACTGGACACCGACAGAGAGCATGAAGTAGACAGGTAGATAGCCCTTGAGTCTCAAGAAAAAAAAAAAAAAAGGAAATACAAATAGAATAAAAGTTACCACAGCCTAGAACTCTCCGGCCAAACCCCACGCCAATGCCTCTATGAGTGGTGACTTGTGTGATTTATGAGGCTGGTTTGCTGATCTGAGCTGTCTTTTCTTTTTCTTTTTTCTTTTTTTTTTTTTTTTTCCTGCTGGAGGGCCCTCCCCGTGCTCAGCTGATCAAGATGAGATACAGAGGACTTCGTACTCGAGTCTTCCTAACTAGCAGTAAACAGCCATTCGATGGTCGGATAAGAAGGCTGGTTACTCTGTCCTCATGTGGGATGAGATGCAGGCGCCGAAATCATACGGTGACCGGTCTCAGTCACCGAAGGAAGTAATCACAAAAACAGAAAGTATGTATAGACTAAAAATGGCCTGGAGCAAACTCATCCGCCTACTATACAGGGTCCAGCCCCTCGGGTATACACTGGTCTCTCACTCGGCGACCTACTTCAGTCCAAACCCTTCACTGTTCCCCACGGCGTCCCACAGCATCCGTTCCAACGTCTGCCTCGTTGCATATCGATACAGCCCCAGCGTGTTGAAACACGTTCGTGCAATCGGGTACCGCGATGTATCGTCGCCCAGGCATGCCACCCGGATCGTCAGACTCGTAGCCCCCATAGCCGGGATCCGGTCGCTGCCCGTAATGAACGAGAGAATCTTCCTCTGCGCCTGCGGATCAGCCTGCTCAAAGAAGTCCCAGAACCACCGAACCACTGGCACATTCTCTGGCCGCGGGTGAGACCAATTATCATACGTCGCAACCGCGCGAAGCGAGGCCACGTCCAGCGCTTCATCCGAGCCGCGCACCAGCAGTTCAATCTCCTCGGGCCGGAACAGCGACAGCGCATTGCCACCACAGACGGTGAAGAAGCCTCTCTTGAAGGGTTCGAACTGTCGCGCGACCGCCGTGTCTAGCATGTAATGTACATATAGGTCCACAAATTCTCGCCGGTTGGCGTTTGTGACTGGCCGCTTCTCGCCTCCAGGGCAGAGAGGCACCGCTACCACCTCCCCGTAGCGGTCGACATGGGCGACAAAGTCATAACAGAAGGTATCCATGACATCCCCGTCAAATTCCAAAAGACCTCTCAGTCCCTTGGCGAGCGCGGGCCGATATTCCGCTAGGTCATCCAACGTACACTTGAAATTTGACCGAGAAGTCGTGGGTTGCGGCCCGCTGGTTGGCGGCGCCGCAGCCAGGAGCTTCTTGAAGGCAAATGGAGGGAGAGCGATGTCAAGAATTGTCGAGTTGTAGATAGCCAGTCCCAGGAGCACTCCCACCAAAAAGAACTGCTCAGAAGACTCGAAACAGAAGGGATTGAAATAACAGAACTGGGAGTCCTCATCGTAAAGGAAGAGTCCTTCATCTATCAGTCAGCCTCATAATGTCTCTCTCATCTTCCAGGAAGCGTGAAATAAAACGTACCGTGGTGAGGATCGAAGATTTCTCGAACAAGCAAGAGAAACCACTCTTTGCGAAGCCCCCCAGCATCAACGCCCTCCTCGCCCACGAACTCGATGCGTAGACCCTTCTTGATCTCCTCTTCACTTGACCCCACTACTTCACTAACGCTCCGCAGACTGTCATCGACCAGACAATCTCGTCGGACCTTCAGCACAAGGTATTGACTGACAGCTTTGCGACTCAGGATACTGTTGAAGAACGCTTCTCGAGCTTTGACTTCCATCTGTCGTCGAGCGTCATGCTCCATTATATGTATCTTAGCCCAAATGCTAAGGAAATAAGGGTATTGACAGAAGGAGAATTTCGTCGTCTTCGACTCCCAGGCTTCAAAATCCGCTACAAGATCAGAGTAATCCAAGAGCGTGTTGTAGAATGAGCTGATTGGGATCTTGTGGCCTCGTCGAGTGGCAACACCCCTACTCGCAGAGCCGGCTTCTTGACCTAATGCTGCATCCGGTTTCCGAGCGACATGCGTGCTGTTAGCAGTAAACAACAGGGACATCAACCTGGCTGCCGCCCGAATTTGCCAATCATCGCCGTACACCACAGGCGTCTCACGGCTGTCCTTGGCTGGCTTGCTTGGACTCCGGCCATTGATGGCAGCGTGCAACTCAGCGGGAGTATTTCCAGCAGCACTATTGAAACTAGGAACTAGGCTGTTGTCGTTCTCAATCGCCTCACTGCGTTTGCGTCCATGTTGCCGGCTCAGACGATAGGTGACGAAACTGCCCACTAGATCGACAAGTTTTTCGAACTGCCCTGTAGAAAAGCGCGAGAACCAAGACACGAGATAATGATGGCAATCGTTGGGTAAGTGTGCGATCAGGCCCACGATGCGCTTGACAATCCCAAAATGGTGATTAGGCACTCCTGCTCCTCGCGCAGGGGGCCCAGGATGCTCTTTGCGGGGGTTCTTGACATCACGAGGAGCCAGTCGCCCATCGCTATCCTTCGGATGAGACGGCCGCCGACCGCTTCGGGCCGCAGGCGAAGCGGTACATGCAGACTTCATGGACTGACTTGATGGGTGTATTAATGGATTCGCAAGCAGTATGAGAAGGAACCGAATGTCCTCGGGCTTTTGCAGAGGCCGTCGTGGTCGCTTCACTAGGTTCTCAGTAGCTTTGAGTAGAGTGCGATGCAAATGCAGGCGCGCTTCTGTGAAATCTTTCTCCATCACGCTCAAGTCAGCAACTTCCCATTTCTTGCCCCTCTTGTACGCTTCTTCAGTAGGCTCGTCCGGCGGGTTCATGAGCGACCAAACTTCAATCCAGGACGAGCCAGCCGTCATAATCAGATGGTACCATTGTACGACTTCAGACCAGTTGATGCGCGGACTCCTGGACGTGACTGCTCTTGAGGAAGTCGTAGAAGGCTTCTCCTTTGGTTGTCCGTGACTTGATCCGTAGGCCACCTCGCCGTCGTTCATCCACCAGGACGAATTCTCCCCCAGATCTCCGATCAGAAGTGTTTTCGCATCAGGTTCAACCGGGGGATGTGCGTGTGACGAGGAGTCATTGGTTTCAGTCTTCGGTTTCGGAGGACAATTGTCGCTACTGACACTGGTAGGTGGTGGCGGCTGTGCTGTAGTGAAAGACACATTCAGACAGGCACACCCTTGGAATGAAGATATTATATACTCTTCCAGCGGCTTGAAGATGTAAGGATGGCTGAGTTGATCTGGACGCTCTCGTTCGCTCGGACGCCCTGCCTCGCGGGGCGAGGGATCAGCCTTGGGCCGAGCCTGAACGTCCGAGTTGTTGCGACTACGCATTCGAGGATCATTTCCGTCCCTAATCGGTACCAAAGGATTAGGCATGGGTTTCGGGTGATTCGACGTCCCATGAATCCATTCAGGCTTCCCGGGTCTACCGGACGCAGATGAACTGCGCGCTCGAGCATCCACGCGTGGCGCAGATAGAAGTCCCGAGTTTTGATTATGTGTATACGACCGATTCTCATCCTGTCTCACGATCGGGGGCTTGCCGACATTCCCTACTTCGAAGTTCCGAGGCACGGGCGCATCTAGAATCCGTCGTAGGTAGGTCGAGATGCAACCGTCGATAATCGATTTGGTTCTTTCGACCGACAGGGGAACCGCTATGATCCAAACCCATTAGCTTACTCCAGCCCACAATGGGATGGACTAGACAGAGGAAACCCACCTTTCCTGGGTATTGATGCCCCGGGCTTCCCAGTCGTTCCCGCCTTAACATCACTCGAAGTATACGGCTCCAAATCATTGACAGTCAAACACTCCGTGCATCGAAAGACCATGAGACCCCGCGGCCACCGCACGGTCGAGTTGCATGTCATACATTCCCCCGTCGAGTTCACATCCCCACCCGGCATCGGACGAGAAGGGCCTTTCCTCGGGCTACTCGAGAGTAGATCGGGCATACGCGACACCTCAAGTCCGTCATCATCGTCGTCGTCGGAGTCCAGAAATTCCTGATGCAAAGCCGACTGGTTGCGTCTCTTGCCGAAGGGAGCAGGGAACGGGTGACTGATCGAACGGGAATGGGCCCGATGGGCAGGGGGCGACGCCGCGATATTGCCGGTCATTGCTGGCAGGTTGGGCACATCTTGCCGAATATGGTGTGGTGCAGTCCTCTCCGTCGACGAAAGGAGTGTGGCGTCCGGGAAGATGGCGGTTGAGCTCAGAGTCGGAGGGTGAGGCTGGTTGTACGCGGACCGTGACGGCATATGGGGCGCATCTACTCGTGCCTCTCTCTTGAAAAATGGATATTGACGCGACCTTCTAGGGTTGGTAATATATGCCCGTTTATAGGTGAAACGACGACGATATTGGCGCACTTAGGAGATTGAGGGATTTATTGCACGGTGCACGCGAGGGTTGTCTGATCAATATAAGAGAGAGCGTGTACAGGGATGCGGTTGATTGAAGAGGATACAGTAGGAGACTAGGAAGAGACGAAGGAGCGAAGAAGCAGACGCGAAGAAGGTCGGATCCTGCCGAGCGAAAACTTGGAACAAGATCGACAGGCAGCAAATGACCTCAGGCAGCCGAAATGCCCATCAGAAGCAGAGGAAGAAGCCGCAATGGATAGAGAAACGGATGCAACTCTAGCGATAATAATGGTGATAAAGGCTGAGTAAGGAAACAGATTAGTCAGGGCAGGTGGGTTGGGTTCTATGATCTATCAAGTATCAACCAGAGTTTCAAGCTCCAAGGTATATATATCTATCTATCTATAGATAGCCTTAAGAGATTCAGTATTTAATTATTTCGAAAACCTCGGACTCAAGGCAAACACAAGGGTGAACAAGAAGATCAACCAAATCCTGAGCTAACTAACCGTTTGATTGATGTCTTACAACGCTTGCGACAGCCCACCTTTGCCGACCGCCTTACTGGACCACGGCCATGGGGGTCGACCCGCGGTTTAGGCGCTGGTCTTGGGTGTGACGCTTGGATACCACGAACTGCTGCTATTTTGGGCACACCACGGCTGTCTAGTCGAATTGTCTATCACCTAGTGGTCCCCATGTCCCGACGAAAGTGGTATCGCTAATTTGCTTGAGACCCTGTTCCAGGTTCTTAACTTCCAATAATGGTAATGCACCAGCTCTTCGGAGTCTTGACGTCTTCTACTTTTGGGGGTTCAATTGTCATCCCAACACACCCGATCGTCAGGACTCAGCATCTGGGCTACCGTGTGACTACAAGCTGCGGAAGCGTTCTTGAACAGAGAGAAACAGCCGTCATACTTCGTTAAAAGGGAATCATAGAAGTGAACAGAGAGCAGAAAGGTTTTTGCTAACATCCGACCCGTAGGATCTGTTGCATTAGGCTCGCGACGTGTTGATTCAATGACCAAGTCACAGAAGCGAGTTTTTGTTGGAATAAACACATCCTCAACAACAGAGATTTTCCATAACCACAAACCCCCAAAAGCACCCCGCGCTCTAAATTTAACGGTATCTCCAGAAGCTCTGGGTGTTGTGGAGCTTCCAGGTGTGGCGGCGACCACGGCGGGTGTTGTTGTAGCGGTGGCCCTTGTTGATACCACGGGACTTCTTGCCAGTGGCGGTGAGGCCACGGTTCTCGCGGTGCTAGAAAAGGTCTCGTTAGCAAAAAAAACAAGAACGACGCAATCTTCTTGGACAACACAATGTAAACGAACCTTGTGGACGGCCTTGCAGATCCAGTTGATGCGGGCATCACGGCGGATGGCCTTGTGCTGAGGGTCGACGAGGATGACCTCGAAGTACTTGTAGGTGGAGTCCTGGTTGATCCAGTAGGAGTTCAGGACGCGCAGGTTAGCGCAGCGGCGGCCGACACGCTCCTCAGCGGTGGCACGGAGAGCGCGCTGGTACTTGAGCTGGTTAACACCCATGTTGGTGGGCTTGCCTGCAAATCGAACAACCCATTAGTTTCCCTTCTTCTTTTCGACTTCGCTTTCCGCATCGTATGGAATTCAGCGCATACCGTAGGTGGCACCCTTAGGCACGGGCCTCTTGCGGCCACCACGTCTCACACGGACACGGTAGACAACATAGCCCTGCTTGGCCTTGTAGCCGAGACGACGAGCCTTGTCGGGACGAGAAGGACGGGAAGCACGGTGGATAGTGTTCAGTTGACGGAGCTATATTGATGCACTCTCAGCAAAGTTCAACGAGTGTATAGCAAGACAGCACAAGCAGCCAAGTTCTGTTCTTGTCTTGTGTGCCACATCCACATTCCGCCGGCGAAAGTTTCCGCATTTGCAAGCAAGAAGTTTTCGGTAATCTCTTTCCTTGCGAGGCCGCCCGGTAACACCCTTTATCTTTCCTCGTGGGAGAAAAAAAAAGGCGAGGGTATCCCTATTGGCAAAGCACACACACGAAGTTTTCTCCTTCCCCGGCGGGATGTCAAATGTTCGAAATAGAGGGGGGGATTCTCACCTCCCAGCAACGGACACGCAGCAGGAAGCGAATCACGTCGGACTGCTTCTTCTTCTGGATCTCTTCCACGTACTTGAGGGCACCCATCTGGAACGAGCGTTAGAGATTTGAAGCCTTCAAAGAAAAACCCGACCGTCTCGCGAATTATCGAGCAATTGAGAATTCAATGCGATATCTTCACGCAAGCCGGAATCGTGGAAAATCACCAAGAAAAACGTACCTTGTCGGCGTGGCAGGTCGTCGATTGTCGTCGTTGTCACTTCTGGAAAAGTTCGAAAGAAGGAGATAGAGACTCTTCAACGAGCCGGTTGTGTGTGGGACGCTAGCAAATTAGGCGAGCCCATCTGCATCCACCAACCACCGTTCGACGCTAGCCCTTGTTGGTGCCTGAGGTGTTACTTACGGAAGCGTGACTTTGCCTTTTCCAGATTGGGCTTGGCGCCAATGATGAGGTTAGTCTCGCGGCCTCGCCTAGCCCTAAGGCTACAAGGCAGCAGCAGCAGTGGGTCCAGGATTCTCATTCTACTGTGTACTATTTGGTATCTGTAGATGGGATCAACTAGATATCAACTACCTACTCTCTCTACGAGGGGTGGAAAAGTTCTTATGTTTCATCTAATGTCAAGTTCCTCTCATAATTAGCTATTTGCAAAATTCAGATTATCTTCAAGTTTCTACACTCTCGTTAAAACCGAAGTCAAATGTTGAAGCCATCCCTAGCCCACAGTTGTCAAGCAGTATGCAGGATACCAAAGAAACCGACAGGAGACAGAAAACCACATTTCGAAGCTCAGTGGAAATACAGAGAAGACACAGTTGCCTTTGCAGTCTGTGAAGAATCACCCGGAAATTAATCAAAGAAACGCCATCAATTCGTAAGTTCGAGATCTATTAGGTATCAGCAGCGCGACAGATCTCAAGTCTTCCTGTAGATCCACCGCACAATTTTCTAATGTCTTGAGAACAATCACAAGAAAGCATGCGGGCAAAACGGAGAAGGAGTGACTAGAGAAATGAGAAGTACTGGATACACGGCGAGCTTGGAGATAGTTTGGAGGCTCGACACAAAAACGAAAAGCATCAAAAAGAAAGAAGATACACAGCGCACAGTTGAGTGACTCGATCCACTGATTCAACCGTGTCAATTGCGAGAGAAGGGGGAGACGACAAAGGTCCTCTAGATCAAAACCATTGCCCTCTTCTTAGGAACCAAGAGACAGTCCCTGGAATCGGGCAGCCCAATCATTTGGGGCTTGGTGCATGCGAGATGGACCGCCGCCTGCGCCGGGACTGTGCGCGGCATAGTCAACGTAACCAGTCTCCATGGCACCGCCATATGTGTTAGGTTGGTATGGGGAGAACGGGTCGGCATTAGGTGCAAGCTCGCCAACGTTGGATTCAAGCTGGCGAGGCCCCTGACCAAGGGACTGGTTGGAGTCGTTGTAATTGCCACGCAAGAGCCTGGCCTGACTACCCATCGTATCTCTACTGACGTCCATGCCTTCGCGGCCAGCGCCATAGGCCCTGCTCTCCGCAGTTCCGGCACCACCTGGGGCAGGCAGACCGGCAGTTGGCGGGGTGACAAATGATGCCGGGTTAATGGCTGACATCCAGATTCTGGTCTTGTAAATTTTGAAGAGATCAGTCACAAGACAATTGAAATTGATGTACGAGTCCGCAAAGTAGTAGAAGGTGAGCTTCTTCCAATCCCTGGATCGATAGTTAGCAAAGGATATTGATTTGATAAAGAGAAGATCAATCTTACATCTGGAACTCAGCATCGAGAATTTCCATGTTTAGTCTGTGCTCTGCAACCTTCTGCTGGCACACTCGTTTGGCTTTCGCCTCGTTACCCTCTTTGTCGCGCAAAGTCAGGATCTCATGATTCTGAGCAAGTCGTTTGATGAGTTTCGGCTTGATGTCTCCAGCAAGGTCCTGCACACCATGGGGGCCATGAGGACCCATGCCACCAATAGCGCTTCTACCACTCAGGGCTGGACCACTTGCAGACACATTCGCTGGTCCATTCTGACCCTGCCGCGAGAACATCATGAGCCACTTATAATGCTCTTCGGCATATTGCTGTTTCAATTCGCGAGCTCTTTGCAACGACACGTTGGCATGCTGAATAGTTCCGAGATCCGTGCCACGGTCAGCCTCGACAATGACAAGATCTCCGGGCTTCACCTGCAAGCCGGTGTCTTCTTGAATGTAGAAGACATCGGCGCGGTGGCACTTGAATGTCACGATGTACAGAGTCTGGTTGACATGATTATGTGCAAGACCAGGCTGGTGGCGACCGTAATTGCCAGGCATGGAATAAGGCTGTTGAAGCGAAGTAGCGGAGGGTCCATCGGCAGCGCGCAGAGCGTGATCACGAGCAAAGTACGATTCTGCGAATTGACGAGCACGTAAATATTCCATTTCCATTTCATGTTCCTCGGGACGAGGGGCCATGTGCAAACGGTGATACTCACGATTCTGGCTCTGGGCACTTGGAAGGGGTACATCACCAACGCTCGCGTAATGATCTTCCCTATCTCCCATTCCAGCCCTGGCGCCGGCAGCTGCCTGAGGATCGCCAGAAATTGAACCGTGGCGGATGGGAATGTCGGCAAAAGAATGACGCCTGCTTTGAGGAATATCGGCGAGGCTGCCAAATCCAAGAGTCGTCTGCCAGTGAGCCTTTCGAGCATTGTCCAGAGCACGGTTCTCAAGCGAGCCGATATTGGAGAGTTGCTTCTCGAGGTTTGCTGAATGTTCAGAAAATCTTCTGCGCTGATTGCTATGGATCTTTGTGTAACCGGGTATATCACCCAGCTCATCAAGATCCTCCACGGCAAGATCCGTTTCTTCGGGAACGGTTCCATGAATACGGTGCAAATTGCGCAGGTTGCTACCAATTGCATACCCACTGGCAGTGGACGCAGAAGACATGGCACGGTCCCTCAGTCGATTATCGATCTGCTGCCCAGCAGCCTGACGTAAAAGTGCATTCTCCCGAGCAAGCTGTTCAATAGTACGGGCCTGATTCACGGAATAGGCGTTGAGGCTACCGTCAGAACTATTAGCGCTACCGCCATCATCATCATCCTCACGAACACGACCGAGAGTGGCAGGATCATGACCGAGTTCCCCTAGAAGACTAGGGCGGGAAGACCGATGCTGGAGCGCAGAATACTGCCCGGCGTTCCGAGCGCGTCCACTTGGATGGGGGGCAGCAGCCTTGTTAGCCATCGTGGCCAAATACTCCGGATCAAGCTGACCCACGGAGTAAGACTGAGAACGATATGTTTTCGGCGTCGGATGAAGAGGGATGGAGAATGGTATGGCCGAGTCTCCAGAGGTCGTGCGCGTGGTTGGACTCATCAACTCTTCCGCGAAGTAGCTGTTGGCGGTAGGTGCAGTCATGGTAGGAGATGGAACAATCTCGGATAGACGGGGTGGAGGTTCTTTCCTGGATTCAGTATTCCAGATACCAGTACCCCACGGAAACGAGCTGTTTCCGACATGATTCCAACTCATGGAGGCACTCAGACCAGGACTCGCGCCTGAAGGCCATCCCGACTGATCAGCTGCGGGACTGGTTGGGTTAGATGCGCCAGAGCCAGGAAGTAAAGCGCCGGTGGTAGTCAACGACGCCTTTCGGGGCATATTAACCGGTATCTCATTCAACCACGAAGTACGTCTGGCAGGCTTGGCAGCGGGGAAAGTCGCTGAGGTCTGTGGCAGATGCGAGTGCTCAACATCGTCATCTGAAGACGCTAGAGCCTCCGAATCAGGCGTCGAGCGGCGAACTCCCGGGTGGGATTTTTCGAGCCTGACAGAGGCAGTACTGGCGACAGGTGCTGGGATGGCAGGTTTTGGGCCCTGCGTCGGTTTCTCAGGTGGTGCAGCCATGGTGTCTTATGAGCTCGAAAGCAACACGCAACACCAAAAGGGTGAAAGATTCGGTTGGTAGCAGGTTTCGGTTCTGACAAAGGCTGGAGAAGACTAACCACAAGCAAATCAGTACTAGGTCAAGCAAAAGCTGTGATGGTTGTGAGAAATGATACAACCCAACGGGAGGATTTAGGAAGCTTGACAGGATACTCAGTGCTTTGACAGCCAAACACAAGCCCCCAGAAGGATAAACACCAGAAATAAACAAATGAGCCCAGTACAAAATGAAGGGACTCGGCAAGAAAAGCTGTTTAAGACTGCATTGTGAACAGCACAGCTGAAGGCCACTAAGTGCGCACAGATGAAAAAGTCTTTGCCTACCTTTGTTAAGTGATGACTGTTTTTGGATGAGAGTGTTAAGGGGAGTAGAAAGAGAGGAAGAGAGGATAAAGAAGTAGAGATTTATCTTAACCCCTCTTGTGGGCGACGCCGAGACAAAGCAGTACAAAGTATTCACTAGATGCAAGTTGAACCTGAATGACCTCACCGGTTGCAAGGTCACTTTTCTGAAAATGAACGGGGTTGGAATAGGCAGATGAGGACGTGGATTCTATAGATTTTAACAGATGGACCGACAGAGCTCTGGTCCTGTGAACGAAGGTAGGGGACCGTGGGAGATTATGAGCTTGCATGATAAGTTAGTCCCGTTTGCAAGGATGGTATTCAGACATTGCATCAGAAATATGATGAACTAGAGATAGCAGGCAATGAGGGTGACGAAAGTGGAAGGGAAGATAGTATCGAATGCGGAACAAAGTCGACAATATACTTCTAACTGAAGGAGCATGAAGTACAGCTTGCGGTGGCGATACCATGGGCAGTAGGAACCAGTATAGCCGAAATACCTCAAAGCTAGCGCCTCGAAAGGCATTCTGCAGACCATACTGTGTAGATGTGGCCAATAGGATTGATTCTCAGTGCGTGGCGACATCTGGCAAGCTCGCCCCATTGACTGGCGACCCAGGTATATCGACAGCATATGAAAAGAAGGGTCTCCAGAAAGAGGATAGGACAGTGGAGAGTGCCACTCCTTGCGCCCTTGGCCTTAACTCGGAGGAACCAACCCCTCAAATGCGATATTGAATTCGGGTATTGCCCAATCGAGCATTTCGCACCTTGCAGAGAAGAAACACAAGCAGCACAGTAGGGGCTACACCAAGGCGACATGCAGCATAAAAGTATGGTGGAACAATCTGTGGGGTTTGCGGGGGCGGAAACCGGGGTAAAGCGCAGAGCGAAATCTATCACTTACCATAAAACAGCAGCAGAACACAATTTCGGTTTCAATGCAAAACCCTTTATGAGCGTGGGTATCACTGGCACTCCTCAGCGAGTACAAAAAGCAGATGAATTTCGTGATCGCGTCTGCTGGTGTGTCCCTCATGTGTCAGCAACTGTCTCGTGGCATCATTAGGTCGGGCACATACCAGTCTAGAGATAAAAACGAAACCCTTTTATTATCTATCCAAACCCAAACGAACAAGCAATCCCCGCGATGATGAATTAATCGTTCCCTATCGAACTGAAGGTGAATATGGCGACAAGAGAAGCGGCCAGGCTTCCGGTCTAAATGGGCACAGAATTATGCGGTAGAAGTGTTGTGCGACGGGACAGTAGGTGAAATGGCGACAATAACTCGTCTGGTTTCTCGAGGCGCACTGCGATGACCTTTCCTCGTTTTTCTTTTCGTTTTTCTTTTTGATTAATTTTTTTTCTCTCTTTTAACTCTCCGTATTTGTTCATGAAAAAAGGAAATCTATAAATGTACTCGAACGTTGTTTGCGACAAAGTCGATGTCACAGGTGGTGCGGAGTGAAGCTGAAGATGTAGTGCGAAGGTGGTAGCGTGACCTCGGATGACGTCTGGAAGTACACCGAGTGCCTGGACTGTGGCAGACCGCTTAGGAGCAGCGCATTTTGAGGAGAGGAAAGGATATCGATGGAGAGCGATCGCCTGCCGATGAGTTCTGGCTGAGCACTGTTAGATGCGAGAGATGGAAAGTCAGAGGTGGTTACAAAAGTACCAGAGGACTTCAATTCTGTGCCGCGGGGAGGATTTGCGGCTGGTGCGGAGAGAAAAAGCGGCGCAAGTTCGCTAGGGAGCCTGGATACAGACGACTGTGAGTGACTGCGGAAAGGCGAGTTGATTTGCAGCAATGCTTGTCCGAGAAATCTCCAAATCGAAAATGCAATAGATGAAGAACGGAGAGGATAACGTTGAGTGCTATATCAAGTAGGGAGATATTCAGAGGGGGGAAGGTTCTGGTGAAAGATGGGGAGGATATAAAGGAAGCAGATCAACAGTGGTCTAGAGGAGGGGGAAAGGAGAAGATGAGGAAGAAGACGATGATGATGAAAGAAATGAGAGCTGAGAGAGGGAGAGAGGGAGAGAGGGAGAGAGGGAGAGAGAGCAGGGGAGAAGGAGGATATTACCTACCACCGAAGAAAAAAGAGGAGTAAGGTAGATTGGGTTGTAGCACACCCCCGTCACCAACTGAAGGACCAGAAAGAAAGTCGAAGCTAAGAGGAGCAAGTAAGTAGTAAGAGTCAGGTCTACTAAGAAAACCCCTCCAATGTTAGGAGTGATAATTACCCAGCTTAATTAAATAACGAACCTCAGGCCACTTGAGGGTCCTACGATTTTAAAGGCAAAGAGCAATAGGAGACAATATTATTATGATGATGGAGCCACGGGTCGGGGCACCAAGCAGAAGTGGCGCAAGATGGATCTTGGTGAAGCTAGTCCGGTAGGTATGATCCGATGTGGATGGCAATGCAATGCAGTCAGTTACTTTCTGTTGGATAATAATCAGCTAGTTTCTATCTTGATTGACCATCTTTCTAGACTTCTGTACCTTAGGATCAAATCCTAGTGTTCGTGGTCCTCGCCAGATGGAGGCAACTTCCGAGCTGGGGGAGTCACTTGGGTAGTACCTAGGTACCTGACTTCCATACAGTACGGAGTACTTCAGTGGAGCTGGAAATAGATTCATGTAAGGTTACAACAAGCTGACCTGACATGCTTTTTCCCATCAATGCAATAATATTGTTAATATTAATAAAAATCTCTTGCATCTGGTAGGATCATGATATTTACCTCTTTTCGCTGGTCGTACTACTTAGCAGTTAGCACTTACTACTCCGTACTATCTACTCGGTACTAAACTACTATTAGGCCCTGTAGGCTAGTAAGGTAGTAGGCTAGTAGCACCTATGACAGTATCTAACAGGTCGGCCACTGGAGGGCAATGACATGTTCCTAAGCGGGTCCTGGCGGGTCTTAAATTGAAGGCCATCCTGAAGATCGTCTGGGGTTTTGACTGGGCAGTGGGCACAAGGGAGGAAAAGGACTAAGAAGACACCAATCGCCTCTCGGCTCGGTCTGTTCTTTGAATACTAAAAAAAAAGAGAAAAAAAAAAAAACACTCTCTGGAGCAGACAAGCAAGTCTCAGTGACGCTGAGAGTTTGGATTTAGGAAATTTAGGATCGGGGTCCCTCATAACTATAACCAGTCAAGAGGGGATTCTGGAAAGTGGGGTGGGATGACTTGACTCGCGATACTCACTTGAAGACGATGCTCCGGGTCCTTAACAGTCAAAGCGAAAGATTCTAGATTACATCTATCTACGGAGCATTGTGTGAATCCTTCTCAATCCATGTAGTAGTTGGATATATCTCAGTCTTGTATGGTGGAGGGCGTGCATATTGCGCTAATTTCGAAGAATGCGGAGAGGCTGTCAGTGTCAGACTATTTTATGCTGCGAGTATGCTCGGTTACCTTTTCGGACAGCCCAGTAATATCCAAGCCGACCAATGGCATTGAGCCCAGTATCAAAATTGTCGATGAAGGATCACGTTAAGACTCCAGCACTTAAGGTAGGTACCAGAGATTGGTATGGGGTATCTATACGTAGATACTCACCGCGTGCATTATTCAGAAACAGCTTAACAAGTATCGTCGGTTCTACGGAGTAAGGTTGCAGAACATCCATCTTTTTTTTCTTCATACTCGTCAACGTCATTCGATCACGACGTTTACTGAGGTTACACTCGGACCCTCCGAGGAGCATTATGACTAGTCAGTAGCAAACAAATGCGCAGTGCCCAGGCACAATGGACGACGCACAGGATAGTTAGCTAAATACTAACACTGTCAAGAATCATGCTGATATTCCTACTACTATTTCTTCGACACCCTGTCTCGTATTTATAACCCACTACTACAGTAGGTCGTTCTTTCCATATCATCGCAATGCACGTAATTTTTCCTGAATCCTGATTGTGGGGGAGCAACCGATCCGATCGCGATGGTTATCATGATTTGTGTCCCACTGCTCTCTGGGTTATGCGCTATGCAGGAATCAGGATCGGCCGGCCTGGCATTGCGGAGAGAGAGCTTGCCGCATGCTGGATCCGTCCGGATTCCATCGTCCAGCCCACCACCGGAGTCGACCAATTCTCCACGCTCTTGACCAAACGGTGCTTATCGTCTAAGTATTCATTGGATATTGCTGAATCCTTGCAATGGCCAAATTCTTCTCTTTTTCCCAGACTTATCTCCTGACAGCTGTCATATCGTATCCTCAACTTGGTGACGGTAGATATGCCTACAAATGTAAGAATCATCGACGCTAAAGTTGACGCCCATGATTCGATGAAAAAGAGCATCAGATCCAGGCTATCCATGGTTTGAGGCTAGTTGAGTGCCCCTCTCCGGTTCCTCGTCTGCGAGGGCGAATGACACCAGCTGCTGGAGCTTGGACATGATGTTCCACGGGTCAATTTTGGATGTTGCATTTGTGGTTTCTAACTCTACTCTGCTCTGCTCTGCTCCTGTGCTCCGGAGGTGTCGCCTGACATCGTCTGTCGCCCGTAAACCAATTCTTCAACCAAAATACCTCTGGGTAAGAAAAGATATTGCGATGAAGCGCTTAATCATCCTTCTACCGCGACAAAAAAAGACGCTCCAGGACAAGATAAAGAAACCTTAAATAGAACATAACGACCCAAAACAACCAAAATGAAGAAGTTATCGCCCATCCAGACACGCCTATAGAGTTGATATCCGAGTCGAGCAAGACCGGCTCTCTGACCCGGCTCAATCTAATCAATGTACGGAGTACTTTAAATCTTCTCTTCCAGCGAATTGCCTCTCACTCCGAGCATCCCATCCCCCATCCCTCCTATCCCGTTCTCTCACCAAACCCCCCTCACCCCGCTCAACTGACAGCACTTCATCAAATTCAATCGCACAGGGAATCAGTCCACTACGCACAGCACCCTTCACCTCGAGTCCAGAGCCATGGTCCAGCCCCTTCCAGCTGCAATCTAAGCATATGTAGCCTATAGTTTGACCCCGTCTATACCCTCCTATAACCGCAAGGTTTACGAGAAAACCAGGACAAGAAACTCAACGCATTCGCCCACACAGTTGCAAAGCTGAAGTAGACTTCCCCCCTGCAGTGGGCTTGGTACTTTTGCACCGACCCCGCTGCTTCCCCAGTGCCTAGGTAGATTTTGGGTGTCGACCAAGGAAGAATAAGCCATAGCTATCTAGATAGTCTATAGGAGAATGGGAAGCGTAGGTACATGTTTTCTAATATTCGGTTAATGTATGTAGCACAGAGGACGCAGCGCAGCTTACCCCACACCTTTTTCTTTTATCAGACTAAGGCATGTAGGAAGTCAGGTGGCGATTGCGAAGGGACAAGGGAGGCGGGTACCTAACTATCTGACATACAGTAGTGAGTGAGCATTGAGCAAGATAGGCTGGCAGTCTGGATGTCTATCATATCATAACATAGATTTGCCCCCGAGGTTTTTGCGTTTGGTGTTGTTCCAAAGCTAGATGGATTGACCAAGGGGAACCGAGGGAGAATGAGAAGAGGATCCATGCTGAGCTACAGACACAACTTACATCACCTGATATTTCTCTGCGACTACAATCATGCTACCACAATCATGCTATATGAGTCATTTGCCTCTGCTTTTTTTTTTTTTTTGTTTTTCCATCCGGATCTTGTGACTTTGTTTTGGCAGACGTTTCGTGAGTGGTACATTGTGTCCGGCGAATGACGCATATTGACATATATAGTCCCCCCAGACTGGCTTGATTGGATTCTATACCTATGGCAGATGTATCCGTGGGTTCCCAAGCTTCGAACCTTGAAGAATTCGTCTCGGCTGCATAATGGTAGTGGACGGAATATCGAACACGCTCAAGCCACTTGCATCAACTTTTCTTCAGTATTTGGGCAGGTGTACGTTCATATTCTGTGTATTGTACAAATAAGGCACTTCGGTAAGGAGAATGACCCAAGGTATCGAAGAAAGCCAGAGAGGGCAGTTCGTCTAAGTATCAGTGACCTAGGGCGCCGAGTCCAAGGTTCCTTTGCCTCCAGACGACGCAGTCGCCTGGGGTCCCTTCTGCTGACGTAGCTTCTCCTCAAACTTGGCGAATTCGTGCATAGAGATCTCCTCTTCTTCATCCAGAACTTGCTCAACACCCTGGACCTCTTCAATCTGTTACAGGAAAAAAAAAAAGAAAATGAAGTTAGCGCAAAAGCCGGACATCACGTCGTAGGACAGAAACATACGTAATGCATCAGCATCGACTCAATGCCATTCTTCAACGTCACGGTGCTTGAATCACACGTCCGGCACGCGCCACGAAGCTTCAGCTTCACAATCCCGTTCTCAAACCCACGCAGCTCAATATCGCCGCCATCCTCCTGGATCGCGGGCCGGATTCGCGTCTCAAGCAGCTCCTTGATCATGCCAATAACCTCGTCGTCCTCCTCGTTGAAGCTCAACGAATCCTGCTCGCCGCCTTCCTGCGCATGCTCCCCGGACTTCTCGACGGTGTTGACGATCGTCTCGCCGGATGTCACGGCCTGGGTGATCAGGCTGAAGACCTCGGGCTTGATGTGCGCCCAGTTCGCATCGCTCGATTTGGTCACCGTGATGAAGTCCGGGCCATAGAAGACGGATGTGACGCCCTCGACGTTGAAGAGATTCGCCGCGAGCGGCGAGGGGTGAGGGGGTGCGAGCGTGGACCGGGGCGAGAGATACTCGAGGAAAGACGTGGGGAACTCTTCGGGTAGCACGCGGTGGTTTGGGATGAACTTCAATGCCTGTAGAGCCATCAAGCGTTAGCAAAATCTCCTAGTTCTGCTAGATACGGTCTGAATCGTACATCAGGGTTGGGCGTGTTTTCCGTTTGGATGAAGATCGTTCGTTTGGTGACGGGCGACGGTCCGTTCACCCGAGCTTGCGCAGCGGGCTGATGATGAGGGCGCAAAGTCGGCCGGTGACGAGTCTCTGAAGGCGTAATGGCAGGCAGCCGAGCAGAATGATGGATACTTTTGTAAGATCCGAGTGCTGGTCGAACAATCCGAGACGAAGACTCAACGGCGGCAACTGATTGCGCTGACAAGCGGGCGCTCAGAAGAGCCCTCCTGAGCATGTTCGTGGATGTAGAGCTGACTGACATATTTCTATGTTTTCTATGTATCTTCCAGGGAATACAGTAAGGAAGAGAAAAATGGCCGAAAGTCTACTTCTTTTCCGCGTCCTATTCCGATCAAGCTCTGACGCAATCAATGGTCACATGACTTCGGGAATTGTGACAAAATCCCGCTTGATGACAAATTGAATATACACAAACTACCCAATCAGACCACAGGGGTTCGGCATATCCCATTCCCAATTTAAAACAATTGCGAACACGCTGATTGATCAGTCTGCTGTGAAGGACCTCAGAACATTTCGCTTAACTTCTTTCTGGTGTTAGAACTTAGTTACCTCCAGCACTGGCCTATATAGACATCCGTCGATGAGCAGATTCATACTTCGACCAGACCATGTCTCCCAGAAGAGATGCAATGCCGAGTCCAACTCGTGGCAAGCGCATACAGACTCCTCGGCACCAGTCATAGTTGTCAACAGAGTCGTGGACAATGTAGAGCTGAGTGCTCAGACTGAGAGGAGCCAATAGCAACTAGACCTAATGTTTTCATGCCTGGTTGGATGCAATATGTCACAGAGCGGCAGATCTCGTCGGCATGGTGCTCAGCAAGTGCTTCGAAGCTCATCAATGGCTGGCTGCCCAGAGTGACTCCAGGGCTTTTCCGCTCATCTTTGAACATATGCGATCTGGGCCATGCAAATTCGCCGCTTGGAGGTTCGAGTACGTCAAGGAGCTGGTCAGTTAGCGGTTATAGAAGAACCAATGTTGCCCAATAGATCAGATGAGATTCTGCACATGTCAGGTACAGGAATTGCAGTACATTAAAGAAAGGATCTTTGACTGCAGCACCATTCATCGCATCTCCAGGGAGGTTGTGTGAGTCAAGGACTGAAGGCATTTTGAGCTTGTCCTGCGTCGCCATATAATATCGATGGAGCTTTGCCTCTGAGGACAAGCAGGCATCGAGCAGTTTTTGCCCGGACTGCTGGTCTTCTCCTATGGTTGATCGTTCATGCTGCATGAAATGATCAACTTTTTCTAGTAGAGCGGAGCACCGCTATCAGATGAATAATCTGATCAAAGGGTTCTTGTATTGTTGTGGCGTGCGATGAATCATCGTACCATAGCTCAGACTGGTAGAACTTTGCTGATTCACGCTTGCCAGTCGCATCACACAGGTGCAATAGTAGGCGTCAGCACCTTGTGAGGGCTCTCCTAGCCCAGACTGTTGAGGCTGAGGTACTGACTTTGATGAATTGAAGTTGGCAATGAACTCATTTTTCCATGTCAGTCTCTTCTTTTCGGACGACGCACTGGTTTCTTGTTGCATTGCTTCCTTGCACATGTGCGATACATGCCATAGACTCAGGTAGCGAGCAATTGAATGTGTGTCATCAGATCTGATCATACCACAGAAACACAACCATCAGCAAACTCGCTTCGTATATTAAAACGAGAACAGTTGTATAGAGAAGATCCTTGCCATATTTATTTCCCAATGTGATTTTCTCATGAAGTTTGTCGCATAGCATTGCCGTATAGAGCGGTATCGTAATGCAGCAAGTGATCGTCCATATTCTGTTTTGAAAGAAAGGCCGAGGAAAGAGAGGCAATAGCTTTATCCAGCAGTGAGCTACTCCCAATGGCATCTAGCAGTGTTTAGAGCAGGTTCTTCCCTGTCCATGCGTCAGATAATGTGAAGGTGATAGGTACTCTGTAAGGCTGGTACGTTCATATTGGTATTCATAGATGAAACACCACGGTCAGCCCGAACCAGCTCTTAAGGCTTGACCTTCTCTTCAGTACTTTCTTTTAGTCGATAGTCGAGCTAGTCTGTTTTCTCGCACATCGAATCCGTAGGTTTATGGATGAAGACCCTTTTTCTTTCATACCCAGTGCAAACATGGCCATTTTTTACCCATCGTAGGCAATCTGGCTTGGTTTCGCACCATGGGAGAGATATCAGTCTTAAGTACATCTTATGGAGCATTGAGTACTCACATCTTGCCTTCAATTTTCGGCGTCAGCAAGTGTTGCATCTAGTTGATGTGAAAGGGACACCACTCATGCTCAATCAATATGCTAGTAGATGCACCACTACGGAATGCATCATTGATATATATGTTGACTGAATCAGGCCAAAGCCAACCACTTAATATTGTCTCTACTCAATTGATCCGCGTCATTTATTATTGGACATTCATCTGATATCAAAATATTGCAATTTAAACCTACGTCGTCATTGGGGGCGACAGCTTCACTTGAATCCATGTATTTGACATTGGTGGTTCCTGAATCCTGAGGCATCAATTTTTTTGGTCTGCGGAGATTGCGCGGTGTCACCGTGTGCACCATCGACAAAACTTCCAACACACTCGATTCATTTGAGCAATCTCTACCCAAAGCCCTCTTACTTGGCTGCATTCTACTCTCTTGCTTCTGTCCCTCGACTGTAGCTAGATGCTATCTAGCCATGTTTGACGGAGCCTGATCGCAGCGCATCTGGCTTCGGAGTCTTGAGAAGACTGACAAAAGAAAAATGCCTGGGACCTGCGAGGTTTGCGTCTCGGAGCCTTCCAAGTACAAATGTCCCACTTGTGGGCTGATGAGGTATGCTTATCCGTCACCTGGACTTTTGAATTTGTGTCCGATGGTCCATGAAAATGACTCATGCGCAATCTACAGTTGCTCGCTCGCCTGCACCCAATCCCATAAGATCTACTGCGCGCCCAACGTTCAAGCACCCGATACCACTACCGCGGCGAATATTGATCAGTCACCGTCAAATACCACCAACGAGCCTGATGCGAACGAGAACGCCCAGTCGAAACGAGATGTATTCGACGTGGAAGCCCTAGCGTCTTCGCCGCAGATCAAGGATCTTCTCGCCCAAAACCCCAAGCTTCGTGATCAATTGCAGGATATCTACAAAACTACACTGGAAGAAGAGTGGGTAGAACATGGGCACGCAGGCCGATCCCGACCCTACCGACGGGGACGAGGAGGACGAGGGGGCCACCAGAACAGGGGTTCATGGACCTGGGAAAAGGGATATAACCGGGGTCTGGGCAAAGTCAGGAAGATGAGAGAGAGATGTGAGGAAGGACTGGAAACCGGCAAGCATGCCGAGGACTTTATGAAATTCAGGACTCTGATCAACGGTGACGACCAGAATCAAACGTCTGTTTGAGCTCATTAGTGCAACAGCTTGACTGGAAATCGAGCGCTGTCACGCAGCTTCGCGTCTGAAGCGAGACCAGCTTGATAGCATATTCTTAAAAACAGATAAACATAGCGATCTTTGTGGATCGACTGATCGGGAGCATGAATTAGGGGGCTTGCTAAAGGAAATATGAACCGAACGTCTTACATATCTAGCTCGAGTCCGCCCAACTGAGCCGTATTTCATGAATTCGACTTGCGGGGCTACAGTAATAGTACAGAGTAGAAGGAGGCGAATCTCAACGGGACCAGAACCCCGGCTTCCCCACGTCGATATTATTTTGAGGCTCAGCTCCGATCCTCCGGATTAACGAACGGCTGGACGCGATGATCATGTCATGTCTTAGACGTGAGAGTGTCATCAAGGGGGAGTAAGGGACAGATGACCAGCCCGAAACCAGGACCACTATATCGATGTGATCGGGGGACCAAATGTTGCATAAAAAGAGGTTATTCAGTTGTAACTTGTAAAAGAGAGTCTACCTAGTATACGGTGGGCGAGAATCCCATACGCGCTCGAAATGACCTTGTGACTGGTTACTTTTGTCAAATAATAGCAACACCAAACTTCGACAATATTCCCTCGAGATCAAGTGAATCTCTATTATTCTCATCTATCAGAAGGTGTCGGCTAGATACCTAGCCATAGTGGAGCCCGAAGCAGTCCGCATGAGACGAGAATTAGAAAAACCGTCTTTCACTCATGATGGGCTGAGAAGTTAGAGACTCTGCTGACCATGACTCCCAGTCCCAGTCCCGGTTCTCTCCATTCCTGACCCGTGTTTCCCAGGTTCGGGGATCACTCCTATGGTTTTCAGTCTACCCCTTGTTGTCTGTCTGGCAAATATGGAATTACTGGACAGTGAACCAGCCCAGGGGAGCAGGAGCACAAATTAGAGAACAAAGATCTGGCTCTCGACTGTCAATGGTGAAGCCTGCGGAGGCAAGTGGACAGAACCGGTCCAATCTAGGGCCTTGGAGTTGGAGCAGCAAGGCTAGCTATCTTCTTAGTCTAGTGGTCTAAACCGATGCTCCATATATTTTCCAGACTACAAGAGACATGAGGGTCAAAGTACGGAGTACCAGACTTTGGAACAAATGACAGCTGGAGGCTATATGCCCGGCACGCCTCCATTTCCTTAGCTCAGTTAGAGTGACTGGCATCTTAGGCGACCTGTCAGTGTCAGACTGGTCAGTAGATATTCCGGGGAGAGCTGCGGCGTAGATATTTAGATTAAAAATGTGATTGCGAAGCTGATGGGTATAAGCGAACGATACTAATGCACTTACATTCTAGGATAATGAACCAGTGGCGCGGGGCATCAAATTTTGATTGATACTTCTTGTACGGAGGAATACTTTTTTCGCGCACAGTTCCCAAGAACATCCACGGAGTATGTAACCAAAGCTGGGAGAGAATCAAAAAGAACATGGAGCAAGAGAATTAAACCTCCAGTCCTCCTTTTCTGATTCGGAAAGGTTCTTGAAGCCACCTTTGCTGTCTGGTTTCTCCTGTACCACTATTGTAGATAGTTACGGCTCCGATTCGTCCGGCTTTCTCCATTTATTGTCAGCCCTGAACCAGCTTACGATTATTCTTTTCGCCCGCGTGTCTTTTCTCTTGACCCGTTCTTCCTCTCTGCTGCTTTCTGTTGATAGCATCAAAGTGCGTTACTGATCCTATCGACAGTCGGTGCTATTATTATTGGAGCTGGATGCATACAGTGGAGGCTTTCTTACTAAAGAGAGGATCCCGCCGCCTTCTTTCTCGGCCGCGATCACACACAGAAGATTCCGTTGAGTCCTGGTCATGATTCACGCTGATTTGATTTGATTTGGCACCAAGCGATACAGCATTACTTTTCTACGATCCTATTGATACTCATTGCTGTTTTTATTCTGATATGTTGCGTGTTTGACGTCCATCTGAGCCTTCCGAGACTGCTCAAGTTCTTCTTTGTGCCAGACTTCTTTCCGCCTTCACGGAAGTGCGAACCCGCCTGTGGGATCTGCAAGGACGAGTCGAATAAATCCAATCTGGCCTTTCTTGGGGTCAGAGAGAGTTCCCCAGTAAGCCTCATTTAAAAACACCTTCAGCCAGTGACCGTTCTTGGCTAATCTTCCTGTCTTTGTTACCAAGATCGTGCTTTGAGCTGAAAGAAGTCGAAAGAGATCACACACCAGGCGTGACTCAGAACCAGTCAAAAGCCTTCGATGTCTCTGAATCACTACTGAGCTGCGGTTTCAAGCGGCAATGGATGAGCTGTCGTGCATATACCAGTCACTTGCCTAAACTATATCTGACCCTGCGCTGTCGCACTTCGATAGCTGTGTTGGACTTTCCTATCGACCGCAATCGTGCAATCATTTGCGCCAGAACAAGTTTAGGATGACCTTCCAGCAAACGCAGAGAGAGCGGTCGTTTCTTGACAGAGCGCAATTTGTTCCTTTTCCGCAAAGGCCGCGTCTCCCAGGACGAACAACATCCGCCCCTTCTGGGGGACTCCACAAAGTCGATTCTTCCAAGATGGCCACAGCACCAAGGAATCAAGCGACCAAGTCCCTCCTAGAAGAAGACGAGCATCTAGCGTCGAAGAGTGATAACGGGATATCATCAGCTCGCGATGTTGAAGAGGTGTGTTTTAGCTGCATGCGATGTCCAAGAATTCCAACGCAGGTCGTGTCAGAAGGCTAACTTCCCAATTCTTTGTTAGGTCTCGCACAAACTTAAATTTCCGCATGTGACCATCGCAGTCATCGGTCAGGAAAAGGCAGGCAAATCTACCTTTATCCAGAGTGCCCTAGATTTGAAGACTCCGTTGTCCTCACGATCAACAACCAAGAAAATGTCCTTGGATGGCACCGTATACATCGTTCGCTTGGTCGAGATATGCAGCAAGGATATAATGATTGGAACTCGTGGAGAGCTGCAGTGGCCTCGTTTAGGCTCCGATTCTAGTTCCCACACAATTGACGGGGCGCTGGTCCTTCACGATGTCACTCAGCCTGCAGCGTTCTCTGGATTGACGGGCTTACTCGGTATGTTCGATGTTATATCTTTTATTCCTTGAAAATCTTTTTTTTTTTTCATTTTTTTTTTTCATATATTTCAAACACTCTGTGGAACCCAGCATGCTAACACCCTGGGTGTTTAGACTCATTTACCAAGTCATCCTTGCCGTTTGTTCTGATCGCAAGCAAATGCGATGTCCACAGCCAAAATGGACCTCCCCAGCCTACTCTTGGTAACTACGAAATTCATCGGCCATCTCCCGAGTCTCCGAAATCACAGAAGATGTGCATGGCACTGGTTTTGCGATCCGTCATCAGCCAAAAATGCGGTAAGTACCTTCTATATCTGGATGACTATTAGAGCCATTCTGTTCCAGTTCATGGCAAGAGAAGCCACTTCCCCTATATCTTTATCATCCTCGCTCGTTGATTGGAGCCGCTTTTGGTCCTTTGCAACAAAGTTTGGGACAACCAAACAAACTAGCCCCTTTTTGGCGCGACAGCAACCGCGCTAATTCGCGGCACGGCCTGAATTAGCGTTCAGCACTCTTTTCTTGCTGGTATTTTCCAACAGAGACCGACCGCTGATTGCAGGTCGGAAGCAGCAGGAGCATTGTTGGGCCACGTAAATTTTTGTTGTGGCTGTTGCTGGGTTAGATCACACACAAGTGCTAATCATCTCTTCCCCCCAGATTCTATCGACCTGCTGAACGACCAGCTTGATCAGGGCACTTTTAGCGATCTTCACAATAGACCTCGCTCACAAGACCGCCATCATACTCGTGCCAACTCCGAAGTACCAAAAGCCGCTTTCAACGGAGCTGCGGGCGGCTCATCCTCCACGGGCACGTTCGAATCAGGAGTCGATGGGTACGGTGACGACCGTTATCCCACCGACCAGAACAACTCTCCAAATCTGGCTTCCAATCCGCACAATTTGAGATATGCCCGGAGCAACTCGTTTCCGGTGCGACCGCATACACCTCCCTCCGGAGCTGCGTTGAAGTCCCGTAGGCCGTCAGCTTCCGGTGAATCCTCCCCGGCCAAAAATCGCAATCGACAGCAACGGTTGCATTCCGCCTGGCGGAATAGTGGCGGTTCGGACGCGTTCAACAGCTTTTTGGATATGGAAGATGATGCGGAGGGCGCACGGAGCGCGCCGTCGAGTCCTGGTGGCAGCAGCAAAGCCAAGTCAACAAGCGACGGAACTTTCAGTGACACAGGTTATACGTTTGATGAGCTGGTTGATCGACTTATTGCACAGCCAATGTCCAAGCAAGATTCGAAGTTCTCGTCGATCTTCTTGTGCCTGTACCGCAAGTTCGCAGCGCCTGCCAGTCTGCTCAATGCGCTGATCAATCGCTTTGAACGCAACGAGAAAAACATTAGCGACCAACTGACACGCATTGCCGATCAACTGAGATTGCTTAACGTGATGGCACAATGGGTGTCGGAGTACCCCGGCGACGTGGATTATCCGAAGACTCGAAAGCGAATCATGGATTTTGTGTCGACGTTGGAGAAGAGTCACTTCTACATGTTCGCTGCGAAAGAAATCGGATCATATCTGGAAATGAACGTGGAAGACGATGACGTCGGATGGCCGTTCCGGGATGGCGACGTGGAGGAGTTCGATGATCAAGATATCTTTTACGTCAACTCCGGCCGGAGCTCACCGTCCATGTACCTAGGAGGACCTATCTCTCATGAGGAGCAGGCCGAGAATGAGGAGCAGGAGGAAGAGGAGGATCCTATCTACAACATGAGCGCTCTAGATCTCAGCGAAGGATCGACAGAACCGAATACCAGACTTTCTGGGACGTCCTCAGTCATGGACAAACCCGGCACGATTTTGAGTCAGTCATACCCTCTATTGAGTCTCGAAGCGGCCCAAAGAGAGGCCCAGAATCTAGAATTGACTCCATCCATGTCGCTGACGAAAATGCAATGGCGCTTGTTTATGGAGATCCCCGATGAGGATTTCGCTCATGAGTTGACCCGCATTGACTGGATCATGTTCAATTCATTTCGGCCACGAGATCTTGTACGGCATGTCAGTATCTCGGGCCCTGACAAGGACAAGATTCAAAGCTTGAAGCATGTCAACCGCATGATCAAGCAGTTCAATCACATCGCTTTCTTTGTTGCCAGCATGATCCTGTTTCGGGATAAGCCGAAGCACCGAGCAAGTGCGATGGAGAAGTTTATGAACATTGCACAGGTAAGTATCATTGTTCTCGACATAGAAGGGAAAGAAATTCTAATCTCTCCTGGATAGAAACTGCGTCGGTTGAACAACTACAATTCACTTGGTGCTCTAATTGCTGGCATCAATGGAACCCCGGTGCATCGCCTTGCCCAAACCCGAGAGCTGGTCCCGGTGCAGACCCAAAAGGAATTCATGAGACTTGTCATCCTGATGAGTACACAGAAGAGCCACTTCGCATATCGCTTAGCCTGGGACAATTCTTTCTCAGAACGCATCCCCTTCCTCCCCCTTCATCGCCGTGATCTGGTGTCAGCCGAAGAAGGAAACAAGACTTTCATCGGGGACAATCGGTCGCGGATCAATTGGAAGAAATTCGAGGTTATGGGCGAAGTGATTTTGGGCATTCAGCGCAGCCAAAAGATTCCTTACGCACATATGCACCAGTATGAGGATGTGCAGCGGTTGATTCTGGATATCAAGCTCTCTGGCGATGAAGAGGTTCGTTACTCAGGCACATTCTCAGAAAGAAAAAAAAAAGGATATTGCTGACCCCAGTAGGACTTGTATGCTCGCAGTATACAGGTTGAGCCGGGTACCGGCGCTGACACAGGACGAAAGAAATTCAGCTGGCTACGGTCTTGACCAGAATCATGCTGCAAACCGACTTTCCCTCGGCCTTACGACCTTCTTTATCACACAATATACAATACGAACCTCGCACCCGAAAACATGCACATTATCTATTTTTCATCTTCATTGATACCACCTACCCCCTGATGTGAAATGCCTTCTATGAACGACTGATTGACGAGGTCAAATGACGGTTACAAGCGGTAGAGCCTCTTGGTGTACATATACACAGTATCTATAGCTATCATAATTGATATAATATATCTACAATTTACCCCGTCATCTTCCTTAGTATTCTTGCAATGCCTTAGGATTCTTAGTATTCCCCCAAGTTCATCCGAAAAATGGTATCACGTGACTCGATCATCAATCGAAGCCGATCCATCATCCCCAGCCTAAATAATAATTCTCCAAAGCATACTTCATCCAACCCGGCACAAACATACCAACCCACCCCTATCCAGTATTCAATCCGCCCTCACACACACATACACAAAAAAGAAAAAAAAAAAGAGGGCGAACAAAAAAAAATGACCACACACCTCCGCTCCGCCTACCGCGCCGTCCTCCGCGAGCTCCCCCGCCGCCAACTCGCAAACCCAACCCCCCTCCAGCAACGCATCCGCGAAGCCTTCCGCGCCCCGGCCGCGGCGCCTCACGATCCCCAGAGCGAGCAGCGCATCCAGGAAGCGGCGCAGCTGGCGGAGTATGCGCGCGCGCAGCGGACGTATGCGGCGCTCGTGGAGCGGTATAATCCGGGGATGACGATGGATGAGCAGGAGAAGATTCGGTTGACGGCGAGACGGGTGGGATTTGATTTGCCGGTTGAGGGGGAGAAGGAGGGGGGGAAGAAGGAGTGAGGGGTTCTTTCTTTTTGTTTGTGTGAGATGGGAGGAGAGGGTGAAGGTGAAGAAAGGAAGGGAAGGGAAGGGAAAGAAAGGAGAGGAGAGGAGAGGAGAAGAGAGGGGGAGATAGGTGGATGGAATGAATGGATTGTGGAAAATGTATAATAGCTACAACCCTTGACTTATGACCTGTACAGTATTATGAATTGCGAATTTTTGTGTGTCTTGCATTGATTGCATTGGGTTTGGCTTGGTACTGGCTATCTAGCGTTATTCGTGAGTTGGTGGATGATTGGTATATCTATAGCCGCCATGTTGTGTCGTGGGTATAGAGATACGACTCATATATGGGGGAGATCGTCTTGACAATATGGTTCGACTGGACGGCATATACCGATTTTTGGACCTGTCGTGATCCGATCCGAATCCTAACGGAGATGGGTGCAACCGCAATGGGCGAAGCGGCATATAAAGGTAGTAAAATTGAGCAGAGAGTCCCCAATCCTACTAGCCAGTCGTCAGCTGGACGCGCTCCATCTGCCGCATGAGCGTTGTGCTGCTTTCTTCATCCTCCATCCCCACGCCAACCTCAATCGCAGTCCTGGGTCGGTTCTTGTTCAGTCCATCCAGGAGCATGCACGCTTTGCAGATCTTCTGGCTCGAGATGTATCCGCACCGCTCGCACTTGCCCATGGTCTGGCTTTTGATGGCCTTCGGGTTGTTCGCCTTGCCCGTCTTTCTTTTGGCAGTCGGGAGCTTGATTTCCGTCTCTCTGGGGTGAGCAGCCTCGTCTTCCGCCAGCTGCTTCTCCATTGCCGCCATCTCGCCTCCGCTGGACCGACCGTTCTGGCTTCCACAGCCCCCGGCCTCCTCATCCTCGGCACCGACCGCAGCCGCACGGCCACCGCACTTCTTCCCACTCGAGCTGACCTCCAACGGCACCAGCGCAGCCATATCCTCGCCACTCTTGACAATATCCAGAATCGAGCTCGGCCGGATCTTCTCCAGATCCTTGATCAGCGTACGGGCGCTACCCCGGAACGCCTCCGGCGAGTAGATACACTCCGTGCTAAAGTAATCCAGCTTCTTGTGGTGCGCATACAGCACGATCTCCTTCTCATACGCATACTTGAGCGGTTTGCTCCGCTTGATATCCGACGCCGCCGAGTCCGTGACGATGCTAGTCCCGCGCGACAAGCGCGGCAGATCTCCACGCAGCAGGTTCATCATCACCGTCTCCGCGACATCGTCCGCATTATGACCCGTCACGACATGCTTGATGCCCAGCCGCGCCGCGCCGCGGTCCAGCGCCTGCCGCCGAAACACCCCGCAGTACGTGCAGTTGCCCTTCTTGCCGACCTGCTCGACGACCTGGTCCATCGTCCATCCGTAGAGCTCGCTGTACCCGACGATCTCGAGCGGCATGTCGTACTGCACCGCGTTGCGCTTGACCGTCTCCAGGCTGTCGTCGCGGTATCCCCTGATGCCCTCGTCGATGGAGAGCAGACATAGCTCCAGGCCGTAGTTGTAACGCTCGTTGAGTGTTTTGAGAACCGAGGCGAGCACCGTGCTGTCTTTACCGCCGCTGGCGCCGATGGCGACCCGTTCGCCGGGGTAGAAGAGGGAGGAGGCGGTAATGGTCTCGTGGACTTCGGTTTCGAAGATCTCGAGGAAGCAGGAGCGGCAGAGCTTATGGCGGTTTTTGGGACGGATAACTACCGCTCTCGACTCCTTGCAGTTGAAGCATGATGTAGGTGGCATGTTGTCGACCGTTCTATGGAGGTTTTGGACTGTAATGAAACATTGAGGAAGAATTTCGAACCCCGCGATAATCACTGATTAAAACAGCGATAAAGATAATTTATTGGTGTTTGCGCGGTTTGCACGGTTTGCACACCGGCTTGGTCAGCGAAAATTTAGATAAACAAAACAGAAAAAGGGATTGAAAGACAGAAGCAGGAAACGCTTGAAGCCTTGAGACATACAGAAAGTAGAAATTATGTCCTGTCTATACCATTACCATAATCTATAGTCACACAAAGTATCCACATTACAATAAATATTCCAGAAATTCCATGTCCACCGTTCCCATTCATCATATCCATTACAGCTTCCAGCGCAACAGATTCTGGATCATCTCGCGACCGGTAACCCGTGTAGTGGTCCACAGAGTCGGGAAATCGAGGGTGCTGAAGAAAGTATCGGCGTAGCCAAAGAACAGCATGGGAGGGATCCAGCCGCGCGCGTACTCAAGGGCGAAGCAAGCCTCAGGCATCTTGTATTGCTTGACATCTCCGCGGCGGAGGTGGTGGACAGTGCCGGCAGGGTAGACTTCGGGCTCGTAGGTGCCGGGGACGTAGGCGAGCTGGGTTCCCTGGAGGATGTTGAAGTAGTCGTCCGCGGTGTGACGGCCGGTATGGCCCTCAGTGCCGACAGCGGTGCCTGTGCTGGTTAGCAATGCTTCAATTGCAGACAAAGAAAATAGGTAGAGATACCGAAAATGATCAGATATTCGGTAATACCTGCATAATGGTCAGTAAGAAATACAGTGCCTGATCCACGGATCGGTCTCTGTGCCTGATTCACGGATCGAGAGACCGTGGATTCGGAACAGAGATGAAAACTTACTGGCATGGATGATATACATGGCGCCCATCGCACCGCCAGCGTTATTGAACATCCATTCCTCGTTCTTGTTGATGTGGTTGCCGGGGATCTTCTGGTCCAATTCGGCGACGATGTAGTCGACCATCGCGCGGGTGTCGTTGCCATGGGTCTGGACAGCACGCTGGGACAGATCATGTAGATGCTCCGGGTCAAAGATATAGAACTGCTCAACACGCGCATCGAGGTAGCTGTACAGCGCGGCAAAGATGGCCACGAAGGCTGCGAGGAAACCGAGCTTGCGCATGGAGAAACAGCAACAGCCGCAAGAGCTCTTGCGGGGAGGAGTTGATTGACGGGAGGATTTGGAGGGCATTGTGGCCGCGTAGATAGCTCGCGAGAGGATCGATGGACTGTAGAATGAATGAATGGTCCAATTGAGGATAATAAAGGGTTAAATCCTGGGGAAGGAAAAGAGGCTTTGATTAGAAAAAATATTGGTGGAGCCCGCGGAGCGCGCGGATTTCCCCTGTTTGTTTGTCTTGGCTTTCTGGGAATATCTAATAATCAATGAATACTCTCAGAGAGTCAGACCACGACGGATAGAGAGATCCGGTAGGCATCACTTTTATGCTGATCGACAATAGGGAATTCCATCTTTTCGAGGCGAGATGCTCCTTTTCAGTTGAGGCAGTGCAACGAGAGTTGTCGGTTGCTTCAGTAAAGCCAGTTACTGCCAGATTCAGGAGCAACTGAGCTAAGTCGAAGACTCAACCGATTTGAGATTCAGAACCTATTCATTGCGTCTATGATGCTCTTTTGCTGAAAGTAGACAATGTATTGATGGCGATATTGGACGTTTTTATGGCACACATCTGTGTGGTTGATGCAGTTCGAAGCTGAGACGAAGTATCAACATTTGGCCATCTCGAAGAGACCAGAGAGAAGGCAATTCAATGCTAGGAAGCGATTCAAACGCCCCAAGAGCAAGAACAAAGATGAGATTGTGATTCTCGCTGTTTAAATATCTGGAAGATCTTCCCGACTCTGGACCCGGTTCACCAATCTATGATCAAACTTCTATACATGCTGATAAAACCGTCGGCTGTATGGAGTACTCCGTACCCGACGTGGAAATGGGACTATTTTAAAGGAACTCAAGTCTCAAATATCGCAGTCAAATAACCGGCGAGCACTGACTCGCAGGATAAATTTCAAACCGCCGTCGATCCCCCCCATGGATGAAACGGGCGCATGCCCGTCCGCGTCAAGAGTCGAGGATGCCGCTAGCAATGAGGTCGGCACATGTCCACAATCGGCAACGGGACGATTCACTATCCTTCGATTTATTCATCAGATTGAAACTTGAAAGTGTGGCATCGTCTCAGTCTGGAGTGCAGAATGCGGGGGCCACTTACGTATGTCAATCAATTTTTCTTGCAGACATGCCTCGGCCACAATGCTTCTTTTTTCTGCTCTGATTCCACCAATGTCGTTGTCGCTCTGGGAGAGCGCGTTAGTTTTGTTCAATGTTTCCACCTTCTAATGACCTCTCACTGATGGATTGTCTGTGATCATCCGGGTAAACTGGCTCATTGTATGCTTCTTCAGCGGAAGACCACCGAATGTGGACTGTGGGAAGCGGTTCTGTGTCTCAAGATGAGGCTTGGATACTGAATAATCCACCACTCAGTGGTCCACTAAACCATTCTGCAGATTGAGATGATAATCATACCTTGAAATGGGTAACTCTAGGCGTCCAAGAGTCAGGTCGTGATGAAGGCCTGATATCCTTCAGCCCATATAAGAATCGTGGGTATCCCCCTGGCAAGGTCTGTTCTGTGCAAACACAGCTCATTGAATCATAAGCCTCCATCTGCTCAACATGAAGTTCAACCTCGCTCTTGCCCTCTCGCTCACCGTGGCGACCGCCGAGGCAGCTACTGAACTCTGCAAGCAATGGGATTCGATCATCGAGGGCAACTTTATCGTGTACAACAACCTCTGGGGCCAGGGTAACGCCGATGATGGTGGTCACCAGTGCACGACTGTTAAGTCCATCTCAGGAGACACTGTTGTTTGGAGCACCGAGTGGGCGTGGTCCGGCGGCCCAGGTCAGGTTAAGAGCTACGCCAACGCCGCTCTGCAGTTCACCCCGACGACCCTGAGCAGCGTCAGCAGCATCGACTCGACCTGGAAGTGGAGGTATGCATGCTTTCCTTTGACAGTGTGAGAGAACCATTGGGGACTAATAGAGACAGCTACACCGGCTCCGATATCGTCGCCAATGTCGCATACGACATGTTCCTCAGCTCTTCCGCTACCGGCAGCGAGGAGTATGAGATCATGGTCTGGCTGGCCGCTCTGGGCGGTGCTGGACCTATTTCCTCGACGGGCTCGCCCATCGCTACGCCCACGATTAACGGGGTCCAGTGGGACCTGTACCTGGGCCCGAACGGCGCAATGCAGGTATACAGTTTCGTGGCACCATCATCGACAGAAAATTTTGCTGGTGACATGAAGGGCTTTATCGACTACCTGACGAGCGAGCAGGGTCTGTCGAAAGACCTGTATCTACTGGATGTGCAGGCCGGAACTGAGCCATTCAGCGGAAGTGATGCGGTGCTGACGGTATCGGAGTACTCAGTCAATCTTGCTTAGCTTAGATATGTGGATTATAGACACAGGTGCCTAAAGCACTTTTTTCTTCCTTTTTTTTTCTGAAATGTGATGGGAAATGTAAATAGCTCTTCATGACATGTTCTTTCTCAGACGCTTCTCTCCAACCCTAGACAAAAACCATCTACGCGCCGTTTCAAAACCACAATTGCTCCATCAAGCGCCCCGGGGGGGGGGGGTACTAGCTCGTTTCAAATCCCCCTTCAGGCATAAGTCCTCTCGACCTGACTATCAACACGACATGCACCCCGGCGGCAGCAGCTTTTTACCGGCAGGACCCAATCACCCCAATCCCCCACTGTTGGACGGCAAACAATCCCCAGTCCCCAGTCCGGATCACCAAGGAATAACAAATGGGGGTCCATCAATCACGACACAGCTACAGAAGACGATACAGGGGGGGGGGAGGAAGTGCGTGTTGTGTGTATATATAGAACAGCGATCCATGGGTGGGGGGAGGGGAATCCTATTGTACTAGTAGGAATCTACCGCTGCACTAAAAAGGTGTCCAGACTCTAGTTAGTCAGTAATAGTACGTAGTAGTTTCTTCTATGACAGATCCCAACAGTCCCCGATAGCCTTTGAGCGATGCGATACGACTACGAGAACCTCAATAGTGATGAGCATGCAAGCCTAAGCGCCCACGAGGGTCCTGCCGACGGGGGGGCGCTTAATGGGCCAGCGCAGGTCGTCGGTCGAACTGCAGAGTTTCTTGTCTGCAGGAACGGGCTGAAAATAGTAGCATTTGGCAATGGTGTGCATGAGATTTAGTTGAGTAACTTGAGTGGGTGGTTAGTAATGTGATATTTTAGGAGACTTGGGGAATGCTCTTGTGGGTGGCAAGAATACGATCCGTGTCCGTGTCTGTGTGAGTCTAGCGATACGCGTTTTGATCTAGGTTCGTAGGAGTTATTTTGCGTCTTACACGAGGACAGAGAGGAGAGAGTGGAGAGAGAGGAGAGAGAGAGAAGGAGGTGGGATGTTGTGTACCTCAGTACCTTGCTATGGGAGAAATTGGTTCAGTTTCCCCTGGGGAGGATGGTTTTGCACTTTCTAGGGATGAATGACATGAGGGGTACAGGGAGGGCTAAGCAAGGTGATGATCACAGTGCATGCATGAAGTAGAATGAATTGTATGAAGTTGAGGTGAGGTTGGCCATGATATCATGAATGTATCCATGTCATGCATCTGGGTTACAGGTTGATGCAGAAGTGGCGTTGTTATGGTGGTGGTGGTGGTGGTGGTAGTAGTAGTAGTCGCAGTAGTAGCTGAACTGAGGCTATTCCTGGAATGTACACGACAGAGAGAGCGTCTTGTCCCCATCTCATGGATGCCTAACAAAAACAATAGATTTAATGCTACGAACTACGAAGAAGCGCTTAGCTCCTTCAAGAAGGAGTCAAAAACAGTCACAAATTCCAGACTCCAAGCCATCGACCTCATGCGCTTGAAGGGGGCAAACGCGTTGCTGGGATTCCAGCCCGGAACAGGAGCACGTTTCGCCTGAGGGAAGCAAGAAGGGTTTCAGAGCAAGGTAGAGGCTGAGGAATTCATGGATAGAAGAGAATCAAGAGAGGTCAACGTCAAGGAGATCCGTGTTTGAGCGACAAACTGGAAGGGCGGGATGATTCGTTGGTGGTGGTGCGTGTTGGATTCCTGCCACTGGATTCTGAGTATATCTATTCTATAGCAAAGCATAGCATAGCATACTGAATATAAGACAATTTCAGTAATAATGATGTCCTCGGCATGATTTTCAGCAATGAAATAATCAACAATTAGGTGTCCAAACATCTCGCAGCTGTTCTATAATTGTGACTGACCGGTTCATCGTCAACCCCAAACACCAATCATCGCATGCATGGCTGCTCTTCTCTCGAATCGCGCGCTAAACCACTCCAGTTGGACCCTTGAAGAATTGCAGTCAATCAGTCAATCAATCCATGCGTTTGCTGCTCCATCCACTGTAGTTAGGAGACTAGGGAGCTGGAAGTAAGTTATCAAGGATTCTAGCTAGGTACACAGGCAGGTATCGAGTCGGTTATCCCTGTGGATGCTGCTGTTGTCCTTGCAGCTGTCCAGCCGCCCTCCACCACCACCTTATTCGCATACGCATGCCTCTCGATGAAGTATCTAATTACTGACTGGATCGAGAATGGCGGATGATGGAGCTACTACATTCATGAAGTCTTATAAAGTACTTCCACTGGACCACTTCCTGGGATTCTTCACGCGGTCATCCACATGCTCAATCTCGCTCGCCATTTCTCTTTCCTTTGCCTCGTAATCATTAATTGATTCTCTTTTCTCGTGTCTCGTTACTCTTTTTTCCATTTCTTGCCTTCTAATATAATCGGTCTTACCCCGTAATCAACTCGAGTCGTCTTTCCCTCTTGAGGTTATCCAGTCACTCCAGACTCACCATCACACACTCTCTCCCTCAGTTCGAATCAACGTCCTCCACAAGAATCAATTCCAGTATCTCCTGACTGGCCATTGACACATTTTTCAGAGAGTCTACCGCGTCTAATCCTGCAATTCCTCTTTCAGAACCGCCCTTCGCTCTCACAGCGTTCCAGGTTGACACGACAACCTTATCCTCTCTTTCACAGCATTCCTGAACCACATCATTCCTGCCGGACGGGAATTTGGATCAGTCTCTTAAAAATCCTTTCAACTGCCGCTGTCCCCTCCTGGTCAGCTTTCTATCGTATTCTCTCTCAGCTTCCTGCTTTTCCCACTCTCGCTGTTGGCAGTTGGCACTTCTCCCCATCGCCCCCAAACACCTCGCAAGCTTCGTTGTCGACGTTTCTATTTCAGCTTTCCTTTTTCTTTCGCCCCCAGTGACTACAGGGAGAGGAAATCAACCAATTTCGAGACAAACACGAGAGATCTCCAGGGTTGACGTTGTTCAATATATTAATCCCCGTTTGTTATACGGTGGTACTCATACTTCTCCAACAACAACAACAACAACAACAACAACCACAACAACCGCAACAACAATCTTCTTCAACCATGGACGCCTCCGTGGCTCTCAATCGAGCTGCTCTAAATGAGTTTATCACACGTCCCGTATCACGGGAGATGGTCGCATATCTGGCCCAGCAGGCTTCTTTGGTCATCCGCTGCGAGTCGCATGTGACCTCTGCTGTCAGCCGTCACGGCCAGCATACACCTCCGAGCACACCTCCACTGGATGACTTGCCTCCCCTGCCTTCTCTGGAGACATTCATTACCTCGCTAGTCACCCGGTCGTCGGTGCAGGTCCCCACGCTGATGACTTCCCTGGTCTACCTGGCTCGTCTGCGCGCCCGCCTCCCCCCCGTCGCCAAGGGGATGCGGTGCACCGTCCACCGGATCTTCCTGGCCTCGCTGATTCTGGCTGCGAAGAACCTGAACGACTCGAGTCCAAAGAACAAGCACTGGGCCCGCTATACGGCGGTCAAGGGATACGATGGTTTTTCATTCTCCCTGCCCGAGGTCAACCTGATGGAGCGCCAGCTGCTGTTCCTCCTGGAATGGGACACCCGCGTCGCCGAGGACGATCTGTTCCAGCATCTCGAGCCCTTCTTGGCTCCCATTCGTCAGCACTACCAGGCAAGGGCTGAAGCGCACGCCAAGGCCCAGGAACGCGAGGCAGAGCTGCGCCGCCAACAACAGCACCAGCATCACCGTGAATGGCGCCGACTCCATGCTTCTGCCGAGCTTCTCGCCAATCGCCTTCGCCGCCAGAAACTTGAGGCGCGCGCAGATGCTCGTCGCAGCATGGTAGAGGGTGGATCGCCCCGCCGCCGTCTCCCCAGCCACGTCTCCTCATCGAGCCTCAGCGGCTCGCCGCAGTCCATCGGTGACAGCGACCGGTACGCCCCGTACCATCCTCACCATCAGCGCCTGCGTACCCCGCCCCACCGCTCCGGCCGTTCCATCTCGCCGCCGTCTATCACAGATGTCCCCTGCCTCTCACGTGCGGAGACACTTAACTCGCTCAGCTCGCGCTCCTCCAGCATCGCTCCCAGCTCCCGGGGCACGCCCGCCAGCATCAGCACCTCTTACTCCTCCACCAGCATGGACGAGGTCCTCGTCGCCGACGCAGCCAGCAGCCCTGCTGCCTCGTCCTTGGCCTACAGCTACGTCAACATCCCCGTCATGCACGCTGACAAGGCTTGCCCTGACGACTTCCACCCCCATCAGCAACCAAACAAGAAGGTGCGCACGGCTGCCCATGGCGGCAGCGCCGGCTTCATGGCGAGGTTCCTGGCATCTGCCGCAGGCTATCATATGGGCGCTCGTGGCCGTGCCCAGGTTTAGGTGCCTCGTCAGTCAAGCTGGTCTTGACTGACACTTAGTTTCTTTTCCTTCACAAGGACAAACAAACACACCAACACTCGCTAGATCTCTTGATGTTTTCTTCACTTCCCTTTCTTTAACTGGCAAAAGGCACCTATGATTAGAATACCCCCGTTTTTTTCTTTCCATTTGTTCTCATCTCCCTCATACCATATTTGGACTGGTTGTTGCATTGCATCTAATGGTTATGGTTATGGCTATGGTACGGCGTCCTTATGCTTATGTGCTATGTCTTCCTGTATGTCTATTTTTCGATTTCTACCCCCGTCAAAATTGATTTGCCATTAGATAGGATCTGTCTTCCCCCCCCTAACGCATGTATGTTTGTGTGTTATGATTGTCATTGACATGGAGATGGATATCATCACACTGTAGCTGATACTTAATACGAACAAATCAATGATGCTCTATGACTCGCTCAAATAAATGCTGGTATTAAGTTTTGGGTTCCCTTATCGCTCTCGATTCCCGTGCAGCTGCAGCTCGTCGCGGTCCATGGGTGGATCTTGCACTGCGCGAGGAACAATACATGCTGTATCACAGGCCGTCCGTACTCATCAATGATGGCCTCTCCCAGATGCTACCGGCCAATCCAAACGTCCACAACCAAATTGCAGTGACCTGCATGGCAGCCAAACGGGCACCATGCAAGCCCTTGGTGTCTTGTTCCACTGCTTCTGCCGCTATTCATCCCAGATGTAGTTATCTGTAAATGCGTTCCTGCTGACGCATATGCGTGATATGCACCTGAGCAGTTAGCAACTACTTAGGAAATGCTTAACTAGCAGTTGGAAACTACTTACTGTGCCATCCTTCTTCCGGGGGGGGGGGGCTTCGATGGCTTGGTAGGGGTCACAGTGCTTGGCCCTGCCTGGGAAGGACCGGCAGCCGAAGTCCTGTTCGCGGCCTCAAAATTGTCCATACGACGCTAAGTAGTTCCCAAGTAGTTAGCAAGCACTTAGAAAAAAAAAAGATGTTGTCTGCACCGATAACTCGAAATAAGACTCGTCATCTAGGGAATCGTCACGGTACGGGTATGAACATCTTGAACAGAGAGAGTTGCAAATTACCTTTTCCAAGGTCAAATGGGCTTTTATTATCGAAATATCTAGATACTGGTCGAGAACATCAGCATCGAGCCAAGCAAGCTTTGGCAGCGAATTCACGTTTTCAACAGGTAATCAGTGGGCGAGGTTTCCTAGACCTGCCGCAAATGAGGCATATCCATCAAGACCGAGCGTTTTTTAACGCCCGTCGGAGCCTAGTGCCGCCTCATCATTGAAATGAGTTCCATAGTGTTTAGAAGGTCAACACGGACTCTGGCGGTCCGTATCCAGGTACTCGCTCCATGTGACTGTAGAGTACCTTCGTTACCGTCGGGTCTGTCATTGTCCTCATCTGGTACTGGACTAGGATTGTAGTTCGCGAGGCCATTGTTCTGACTGTTGCGAGAAATGGTGGACTTCTCTTCCGCGGCATCGTCGTGATAGAAGATCCCTAGGGGGTGGTAAGAAAACCAGGATGGCTCAGTATACTGAAGCAGGAGCGGTCAGGTTTCATGCTCAGGGAATGTCCCAGATAAAGATTTCATATTCCACGCCTAACGCAGGAGCTCGCGTCCAATTCTCGTATCGTTATCATCCACCGAGCTCGCGTGTGGCTATTTCCAACGCAATGGTGACACCGTGGCTGATGTTCCATTTGGGCAGTTCAGTTGTTAAGGAGATACGTGCTGACGCAGGGTTCTGGAAGTATCATCCTCCAAGGTTGAGTAACAGCACTCGTGTGGCGGTGTCCACACTTCTGTCTGCGACATGTTGGATCAAAGTCTCTGTGTGGTGGCTCTGAAATCCTGCTGTGAAGGAATGGAGAAGTGGTATGGTCTGGTGAAGGAGGGCTAGGGATATAAGGAAAATTCAAAACAAAGTCATAGACCATGCGTCATTCAACCTCACATCACCTGATGATGTCTCTCCCTGACAAACTTAGGCACCAAATGCCTTGAACCAAGTGAGTGTGATGTAACTGTAATCTCCCTGGGGTCTCATTATTGCCATGCTTGAAGAATGTTCATCCTTTATGGCCATATCTCAGTTGAAGGATAAAGGTTTCCCAAGACATGGCACTGGCCATGAAGGCGCACATGAGTCCCATATACTCGCCAGATTAGCAAGAAGAGATCAGTGTTGTATATAAACGCTCTCTTTGAATTTGATATCATCCAGAACAATAGTGAAGAGTGGGTCTGGGTATATAAAGTTCTGGTCTGAGAGAACAGGAAGTAGACAGGCTTGATGTAGAAGAAGGAATCCCTATGGGGGAAGAGATGGTCTTTATATGCCATTGCGCTGGGGCAGCTTGTCAACCTGCTTGCAGATGCAGTGAAGGAGCCATTCAATATACCCTCGTTGATATTGTCTGTGTAGAGTGAAAGGTCTCCTTGCATAGCTGGCTGATATTGAATAGATTGATGGACTATTGACCAGATTTCTTTCATTTTACTATGTAAACGGTGTTATTTATTGCTCTGACTTAGTCTAGAAGCAAACATACCTTTCTTTCTTGTCCCCTGATGCTCAATGTCACTCTTATAGAGAGGTCACTTTGGATAGAGTCAAAAACGACCACAATGGGGAGATAAGGTCATGTTGATAAGCGATAGAATGTAACGTTGGAAGTGGGACACAGAGAGGGGTCAACAAACAACACCACCACAAGTAGTCTCAAAGCACTACAGCTGTCATCCCTACAACATTGCGCGCAGTGATATAGATTCAACATGGCTTCAACTGACGTGCCACAAGCCCAACCAGTCACTGTGAGTCTTCAGGAGCTCATTGATGGTATGTAGCCGACCACCACTACCATATCTTCAAGCACATGTATACTCATTCATCTATGATCTGCAGGCTCCGTCTCCTTTGGCACTCTGACAGAGGCATTCGGTCCCGCCTCACTGGGCATCATCGTCGTCAAAGATCTGGACCCAGCCTTTACTCGTCTTCGCGCGCAAGTCCTCTCCAACGCTTCGTATCTGGCCGCGCTCCCAGACAATGAACTAGGTGCTTTCCCCTAAACACCTCTCCCAGATCCAATACTGACTCCTCACTCCCCCTCAGAATCCCTCACCAGCCCCTCCGCCAAATACCTCGTCGGCTGGTCCTGCGGCAAAGAAACCCTGCGCTCCGGCCACTTCGACACCCTCAAGGGCTCCTACTACGTCAACTGCGCCTTCTACCAGAACCCAGACCTCCACGGCGCCCCCGCCGACTCCTTCCCCGATCTCTCCGAGTACACCGCGCCCAACATCTGGCCGCCCGCCGAGCGCCTGCCCACCTTCCGCCCCGCCCTCCAGGACCTCTGCACGCTCATCATCGACACCGCCGCCCTCGTCGCCCGCGCCTGCGACCGCTACGCCCTCGCCAACATCGACGGCTACAAGCCGGGATATCTCGAGCACGTCGTCAAGACAAGCCTCACCACAAAGGCAAGGCTGCTGCACTACTTCCCGACCACCGCAGAGGCATCCGCATCCGCACCCGCACCCACAGACACAGACGCAAACACAGATGACGACTGGTGCGCCACACACCTCGACCACGGCTGTCTCACGGGCCTCACATCCGCCATGTTCATCGATGAGGCCGCGACCCCACCCTCACCGACCTCCGCGTCGGCTGCCGCCCCGCTGCCCGAGCTGCCGTGTTCCCCGGACCCCAAGGCCGGTCTGTATATCCGGTCGCGCACGGGCGCCATCGTCAAGGTGAATATCCCGCGCGATTGTCTGGCGTTCCAGACCGGGGAGGCGCTGGAGCTGATCACGCGGGGCAAGTTCCGTGCTGTGCCGCATTTTGTGAAGGGGGCGCGGCCAGTCGGCGGGGGCAGGATCGCGCGCAATACGCTGGCGGTGTTTACGCAGCCGAATCTGGGGGAGGAGGTGGAGCCGGGGAAGAGCTTTGGGGAGTTTGCGAGGGAGGTGGTGAAGAGAACTTATTAGGCTTTGCTTTTTTTTTTTTCATCCCCTTTTGGGTACTCTTGCGAGCGCTGGGGCTTTATGCGCAAGTGGGGAGAGGAAGGGCGGTTCGGCCTTCGTGTTGTATTGTATATACGTATTCGCACTATTTCAGGGTAGATAATGGCCCTTGTCTCACCAGTTATGGTTGAAAGAATTTTATCTTCCCGGCTATCAGGCATTGTTTACAAATCATTCATGCTTTGGCCGCTTCGCTGTATGCTCGTGGTTCCCAGGCGCATAATCGCCGCCCTCCGACTCCTCCGTTCCCCCTCGCAGGTCCTCAACACGCAAAGTAAAATCCTCTTCCTCCTCCGACTCCTCATCCGCTTCATCGTCGGTCCCCAGCTGGAGCTGGACGTTGCTCTCGTCCGCCGAGCTGACATTGTTGCTGACGTCCGTAATGGCCGCCCCCAGACCAACACTGACCATCTTGCTCGTCTTGCGCACCTGGTCAAACGTTGAGCGCGATTTGTGGCTCGGCCGTCCCAGCTCGCCTGGAATCTTTGCGTCCCGGAAATCAGCTGCAGTGGCCTTGCCGGCGAGGACCTTGAGGTTGGCCCGCCACATCTTCACGTCGCGCACCTCGCTGTAGTGCCCGACGTCCTCGCCGTTTAGAGACTCGATCGCAAGCGTCTGTGTGCGGAAGTCGCCCCAGAGCCAATCCTGTCCCTCGGGGATGCGCTCGTCCGTTCGTCGAGAGTACTTCCGTCCACTCAACACACCACGCAGGTCCCGTCCAAGCGACAGACTGCCGTAGAGTAACCGCATGGCATCAGGCTCGTAGCACCGGCCGATGACCATGGCTTGCGAAATGTCTACCATATTTCCTGAGTACAGACTGTACCATTCCCCGTACCCGCCCATGCCAATATACTGGAAAGTGCTGAGCACTTTTTCAGGTGACAGGGGCCGTGGCGGCGGCTTTGGAGGATCTGTTTCCGTGGAAGCTCGCTGGCGGTTATTCGTGTAGACTTTGCCCCCGATACGGACATGATATTTCTCTGCGAGCTGGTCGGATTTGATATCATCGGTGCACTGGATGAGATCCAGCCGGATTTCGTCAATCACCATGACATCTGTTACGACTGGTTTATGCGCACTTTCCGGTGTGTATCCCGTCGGTTTAAGGCGGATTGCATCGCCTAGAATGAGAAGCTCCGCGCCAATGAAGATCCCCCGGCAGTAGATCGATGCGTTCGGCCACCGTCCTCTAAAGTGGAATTTCTCCAGCAGGCTGAATGAGGACATGATAGTCATGGCATATTCAATTGAAGGATGCAGGGTTTCCCGAGGGATGCCTTGGAGAAACAGCTCGAATGCATTGAAAGGTTTAATGCACTTCAGGTGGACGTATTTGTACTGTAATGAGTAGCTCTTGTCGGCGCTGTGCGGGTCTGGGAACGTCTCCACGCGGAAGCCAGAATAATTCACCCCCCACCCCTTGGAGGCCGTCTCGACCAGGTCCCGGAGTACTATTTCCTCCTCTGGGGGCTGGCCAACGATGCCTGCTCGCCACTCGGGTACCCCCAGCCAGCGATTCGTGTTTGGATCAAAAATCTCCACACATGCGTGTTCAGGGTTCCAGGATAAATCGCCGTCAAAGTTAGGCGTCCAGAGCACAACTTCTCCGGCACGGGGGACATAAGAAGGCTGCATCGTTATGTTCTGCAGATGTTCTTCAAGGCCAGGTCGCTCTGCCTGCCAGTCCATGCTGGAGGGCTCTTTGATCTCTTCGTCCAGCGCTCCCACGTTCCTGAGCTTCATAATGGCCATCTTAAAAACGTCCGGGGTACCTTCTCGATCAACAATAGGATTCAGTGGCGGTCTTCCGGGCGGACGTCCTGGTCGACCGAGAGGCCGGCCCGGTGGCCTTCCAGGGGGTCGACCGGGGGGTCGGCCTGGTGGTCTACCAGGTGGCCGACCAGATTTGGCAGGAGTAGACTGTCTAGATGATCCAATGGGCCTTCCTGGGCCTCTTGTAGGCATGCCCTCTACATGCATGCGATTAGGTCTGATTTTTCATGTCGAGGGGATCAATGGGCTAACCTTTGATGCGCTGATTCCTTTTTGCCAGCTTTTCACAGAGAGAGCAGAAGCACGGTTCGCTTCCGCCCTTCATGAGATACAGAAAGTGCGGAAAGAACTGGATTGTTGAGGAAAAATATTGCCCTACCGGGTGTCCCCAAAGGAATTTATCGCGCTATGTCTTCAGTCAGCGGAGTCGTGTTCAAGGCTTTTGGAACAAGACTTACGATATCAGGGTTTGTTCCACGCGGCCTGTCAAAGATAGCATATCCATCCGGCAGAGTGTCTATGACATAGTCCATGCCTGGGAGTGAGAGTTAGTATTTTGAATGTCGAACTGAAACAGACAACCCGGAACCTCCATAGGTGGGCGGATAGGGTCAAAATCCAATGTTCTCATGTCATTGAACTCAAGATATGACAGAAGTATATCCATCACCCATATCATCAATCAATTGAGTCAAAAGAAAGGGCATGTGTGGGTTTGAAACAGGATAGAATCACGCTCAACTACTCCAATAAACAAACGCAAGACTGTGAAAGCAACCAGATAGGAGTACAAAGCAAGTCCTCATACATAAAATACAATCGATTTTCTCAATATGAGGGTCAATACATACCCTCCTCATAGGCACCAATCTCTCTCAGCCACATGATAGCGACCTTTTCACGATACCCTCTATCGTCTGGCATGCCGAACCGGGCCTCTGTGGGCCAAGTGGACTTGTCGCCATCACTGAATGACCGCTCAATGGGGATTACGATCGCGTTCCCATCCTCTGCTGAGGTCTGCTGTGGTTCATGAGATGAGGCCATGATGATAGCGATGAAGTAGTAGTGAAAGAAGAAGAAGAGGGGAAAACATAAAAAAAAAAAAAAAAAAAAAAAAAAAAAAAGGGTCTAGCTATGGAATTGAGATAGCGGGAAGCAGAAGGCTAGCAAAGTGGTGAGTTCAACATGCTGGGAGAAATGAGGTAGAAGAAGGGCTTCTGCGCTTTACTTCCTGAGAAAATTTGACCCTCAAGTGAGAGATATCGATTGCATCGAGTTGATTTTCTGGTACTTTCTAACTGTGCTGATGATACTGCTGGTGAGCTGCAAAAGGAGGCTTGCTCTTCCGCGGTTTCACTCGCGTTGGTCATGTGACCGATAGAGACGACAGGATGATAGATAGTCTGAGATGGTCTGAAGAATTGAGAGTTGCTTGAGATGATATATGACATCCATATCTAATTCATCTACAGTAGATACCACGTAAGCTTCTGAGGCAATCATCTAATCTTGCTTCTCGTCAATAGCTGCTCCTTATGGTGCCCTATCATCCTCAGCCTCAGTTTCGGCTTCTCCAGATTCCCTCACATATGGCGGTGGAGACAGCTCGCCCTCGTCAACCCAAACCCTATGCAGCTCCTTCTCAATTTCCTCTCGCCGTCGCTTCCACTCATCGACTTTGTCAAGTCGTTTGTGAAGTTCTTGGATCTCCTTCTCCACTCCCAACTTCTCCTTCTCTGTGCCAATCCGCTCGAACTCCCACCGCTCCCCTTCGGAACCTAGACCCAATGTGAGGTTGAAGGTGTGATACTTCTTCAGAGAGACACGCGTGGATATTGTGATCACGGTAATTCCCCTCTCCTTGGCTTGTTCATAGAGCACGCCCTCGACATCCGACGAGACGGCCGAGGTGCCTTCGTCCATAAACGCGTAGTGAGGCTCGTGATAGAACAATCTCGCCATAGCCATGCGCTGCTTCTCGCCACCACTGAGGACATCCTTCCACTCTTTACGCGCATTCCACCCACCCTCGCGGGTAGGCAAGTACCCCAAACGAGCATCCTCCAGAATTTTCTGGAGTTCAGCGTCTGTTCGGCCGGCCTCGCGCATGTCGATCTCGGTATGAGGGTAAATGACTTGATCACGCAGAGTCCCCACGCTGAGGTAGGGCCTTTGGGGAAGAAACATGATTCCATCCAGCCCAAATCCTCTGGGGCGGCTGACTAGGCCACGGTAAACTGGCCACAAGCCTGCAACGATTCGAGCAATTGCCGATTTTCCGACACCATTTGGTCCCGAGATCAACAGATGCTCCCCAGAATGCACGATAAAGGACAATGATTCAATCAATTCATCTCCGCCACGAGGGTAAAGAGATGGTGCAACAATCGGCACTTGCTCTAGGCGCACTCCGTCAAAGCCGTTGTGAATGGTACCCTGTACGTCCGCCAGGGAGTACAGTTCCGCATGAGAGTCGCGTGGGGGGTAGTAGGCGCTCGCATGGACTCGATGGAGAGTTGAAATCAGGGTATAAACACGCGAAGTATAGCCAGCCAATTCCGAGATATCTTTGATACTGTACATCATCCGGCCACCAGCGTCGGCCAGAGACAGCATAAGGCGTTTATTCGTGATGAACTCCTTCATGCGACCCCGTTCGCGACCGGTATCTTCAGAGGCGTCCGCTAGCTCCAAGACACCACCCGCACCTCCCCAGGCGGGGAGGAAGACTGGCAGAGATGTGATAAGATAACCGAAGGCCGACCAGGCGTACTTTAGGATGACGTCTTCCAGCATGTTGTAGCGGATTTTAAGACTATAGATACCTTCCATCCACCGCTGCAGGTCCTTGAAGCTCCTCAGCAAGAAAACGCGCTCAATATCTGCACCTCCATAGAAGGAAATTTCCTCGGCGTTGGCAAGCAACCTTGAATGCAGACCTCGGAAGTCCCCTTCCTTCTTGCCTTCAACAGCCTTGAGTTTGCCAAAGGGCGGTGACAACTTGCGCAATACCACTGCCGTGCTGAAGTATCCAGTGAGGATACCACCGAGGGCCAGAGGTCCAAGCGAGCGATATAGCTGGTAATTGAAGACAAATAAGTCAACCAGTGGCTTTCCCATAGAAGAATAAAGTGCGGCGGCTGCCGAACAAAAGAGAGTGAGGTCCTGTGTGATGAACTGGTCTGCACCTTGGTCGATACCTCCATCCAAGTTCAATAATTTATAGTAATTGTTGTCTGCAGTATAGAGGTCGTGGATATATCGGGTGAGTCGTGTTCGGAAGGCAATCGAGACTTTTGACTGTAGGAACTTGATCATGGCGTTGGTATATGACGCCAGTGTCCCGATGCCACACCACTTCACAAGGCCCCATATGAATGCCCGTCCTTTACCCGCGACAAGATCCCTCACGATTTCACCGTCCAATCGCGCGATCAGTAGTGAAAGATACGTTCTCAACAGCAAGAAGACGCCATGTCCCATCAGCAGGCCGGTCTCTTTGCTGCTCCATCGAGGAACCATGATACTCCAAAGGCTGAGAAACTGGTGCAGAAACGCAAGATTCAATCCCGGTTTTGTTGTTGGGGGAGGGACCATCGAACCGGTTTCTCCAATATGAGGGCGAGCAGAGGACGGTGGGTTCAAGAACAACCGCCTATGCGCATCGAACGTAGTCGGCTTTGTCGGATTGATCTTGACCTTGGAGGTCGAGTCCTTGTAAGGCACGTAAATCGTCCGGGATCCATCCTTGCCCCTGATTCCTGAGTTGCGACGCAGCAATCTTCTGCCCTGGGCGCGTTCCATGACCTTCCCTCGGTACCAGTTGACTCCACCATAACCACTTCCCACTATAGAGAGAAGCAAGATGGCGGTTGCGATAAGCTTGGTAGATTTCGATGATCGCTTGAATCGAGACCGGAGTAGGTTGGCGTAATGAGTGTACAACGCAACGAGGGGGTCTTCCCGAGCTCGGAGCGTCGACTGAGCGGCCATCGTTCTTTAGAGGGGTGCTGGAACCTTTGTATCGTGTATGTTTTCTCTGTCAGGGCTCCGATTGCGATAGCTGGCACGCCTAAGCCAAGGCGTCGCGAGCCATGAGGGCGCCTACAAAATAGACGCGCAGTGTACTATAATCAGTACGAAAGGATTCATGAACAACGAAATCAGCAAGTTCAGAGGTACTAAAAAGCCGTTATGTCGTTTTGAAATGTGAGTCGAGCAAGTCGAGATGTGCTAGATGATGCTGCTGACGAAGGTTGATGCTGTTCGTTTTGCAGTTTCCCTGGCATGTGAAGACCTCGGGCCAGAAATGCGGAGTGACTGACCTCACGTGCGGAGACCCCAGGATTGGGCACTTTTCCTGACATCATTTCCTTTGCATTGGCATTTAGGTCTCTGTATGATATGAATAACTGATTGAAATTGTTTGACATGCCAAACAACATATGAAAAACATCTGGAATGGATATCCAAACTATACATGTTCAGTTAATTTAGCCCCAAAGTCGATCTCTCTGGGGTGCCTGAAGAAGTCTTGACTATGCAGAGATGATCTCTTCAGGTGTGCGAAAGACTTTCATACACTTCTAGGGCTCTTCATAAGCGAGCATTTTGAGATGCAGAGTATTGTTGAAACAGATTTGATGACGGGCAAGTTGTAGCCTACTAATTTGATCGACAGCATATTTGGAGCACGGTCACAGTAAGGTTTAATGTTTTCGGCGCATGGCTATTTGGCTGCACCACCTTGAAGTCCGTACAACTCCTATCAAGCCATGATAGTAATCTGGACATGATATATCGTCTACTTGTAGTACAAATTATCGGCAGTCCTACTCAGCCGTATTATAGTCTCCATCAGCCGACATGCCCCTTGATATACAAGGTTTTTTAGTCATGTGACCATGTAGTTTTCGCTGTCGTACAAGATGAGTACCCTGCGGCACAGTCTGCTATTCTGGAAAGGCATGGGCTGTAGAGTCGTCCCGATATTCTCACCATCGAATTGAGATAGAATGAAAGTAAGAAGGACGAAGTCGCAAGGGTCGTGGCACATTTCTGGTGTTCGTGCAGAATGAAGTCCACGTGATGCTCCCGATGCACTTTTCATTGGAGTCAACCCGTTTTTATAGCATTAATATAAGCTCAAGTACCAAAGATGTATCCTGAGATTGTAGTTACGGATGATCGGATCTGTGAACGCATCTCCCAGAACTCTTGTGCAGGTTGTATATAGAATGAGACCACGTAATCTGTAGGATTCAATGGTAGGTCGGCGTCTGCTCGGAGCCGAGAGACTGAGAGTGATCTTAACAATTACAAATTCATGGCAGATTTTCTTCCGGGCTTAGGGGAGAGGCTCTTCGAGTTTTAGGCCTTCGGCAGTTATATCAACTATCTACCTTCCGAGTGTGGATGGAGTCCATCATGCTTATACAGGAATCACTTCAAGTCATCAGTCATGACAGTTATTATTGGACTATACAAAATATGAACTGCTCTGTAGCAGTCGGATGTAGTCTGTACTCACGCTATGCATCTCCACGAGTCGAAGCACCCAGAGACATCTTGGCATGACAAGAAAGAACATGGCGACATGCAGTGGCTTAACAAATGATTATCTTAATTCTTAGGAGATCGAGAGTTCCAAAAAAGGCTGAGGAAGGGCCTCTCAAGAAACCAATCATGGGCTGTAGTCAAGAAAGACCCGGTGGTTGAAATATCAATGGTTCGCAAGCTCCAAGTTGAATCCTCAGATTGTCCATTCCTGAGTGAGGATTTGGCGCCAGCTCATTAGTATGGGGACCAAAGTGGGGAGGAAGGGTAGGGATCTGAGAAAAATTGCGTCAAATCAAGATCGTGCAACGCTGAGTGTTCTCCACTATGGTATGCGCAAAGATTTCCATGTATCTGAAGTTTCTTAAACAGTCAATACCTAGGTAGATATGATATCTACTCCGTAGGTAGTATGACTGTATGACTGTGAGGTGCTCGGACATGGATTCGAAAAGATCGATTCTTTCAGCTACGAGATAACAGCTGGGAATTTCTTAAGCGGATACACGTCATGTAATGAAGATTCTACCTAGCATGAGAAGGTGAGGAAATTCTTCATGACTTGATCAGAAGATACATGAGAAAACACATGCTGAAAGGGCCTGTCAGCATTGACACTATCCTGTTTCACTCAGGTCTGTTTCAGGAAATATAATGCTCTCATCATATTTTAAAAGTTCTCGCAAGGATGTCGTTGGTGGTTGTAACCAGCCTCTACGGATGTACTAGTATTTATTTAATTGACCCCTTGTATCGGTTTGCTATTCCTTACCTAGCGATGAGGTTGGATTTATGGCATCCTAGCCTCCTAGGTAACTAAGTACTTTAGCTGAGAAAAATAAAACTGGTAACTCGCAATTTGAATGGCCACAATGAACGGGAGCTAACATAAATTCCCCACACAATCGTCGATCGCCGATTTTAAATACAGCACTGTTCGATTTTTTTGACCTATCCTGCTCCTAAGCTCCTGAGCTACAGCCTACAGTCACTTTTCTGAGTACATGGCCAACCACGAGTATCTCGAAATGACTATCAGACGTTTCTTTCGACAAAGCCTTAGGGAGGGACATCATGGCCTGCTCACCAGGATTTTTCTCAACGCGGTGATTCGGAAAATACCTACGATAATAGTCCTGACAAAAGGGGCGATAATCTGTTAGTTCCTAGCAGCTACAAGATACAGTCGAGAGAGATGTCTCAATATTGACAGCTCTCAATGGATATAAGTCAATAGAACCTCCTGACCTTAATATGATATGACAATTCTAGGTCATCTTGACTATACAGGCCCAAGCTCACCAAGTTATATATGGCCTGCCACAATGAGCCGTTGATGCTCTCAGGATCAGCTCCTGAATGGCCTTCTGAACCATACTCTGTAGAGACCTCTCTAGGTATAGACCGGTGCTGGGCTATCTTTTGCTTACTCCAGCCAGGTCTAAGAACGTTAAAGCGCTTGTTAAGATGAGGTTATCATCCATATAAGAGTAGACACTTGGTCAAGAAATCAATATATTCGTACAATCAGTTGAGTCATATCGTCACACCTGAGGTCTTGCAGGCTTGCAGCAACTTGTCTGTAAACTCTCGGCCTGCTCCGTTCCAGATAAACTTCATAAGGTACCTTAAACCTTAGGGGTTCAAATCACCTGGTTCGTCCATTTTAACACCTTAAAAGCAGCAGCATTTACTATAATTAAGGCAAACAATAAGGAGGTGATTGTAAGTAACTGATAGGTGCGTCGTATTATTAGGTACCCTAGGTTGAATACCTTAGGTAATAATCTGCACTGCACCCTGCACTCTGCATTATTCTTGACTCTGCAGCCCTGCACCCTCGATATCATAACTAGTCTACTAGGTAGTACTCCGTAGTAACTTACTCCGTAGTAAGTCTACTACAGATCTAGAGTCTAGACTAGATCAGCTGCTTGTAATTCGTGTTTCTTTTCTCCATAATTTTCCAGGCCTAGCGAGTCGGAGTGACCCATGCGGCCTTTTTTCCTTCCCAGTTTCTCTCCCCTCCTTCTGCCCGTTCCCACCCTCCAAAGACAGGTTCATTAGCCAGTCAACATGCAAAGACGGAAGCCATTAATATTCTCCATCAGTAATTAATTATCCTGAACAACCTACCTAACTACTTGGTACCTACTCCGTACGGAGTACTTACTCCGTACAGGCTGATTCTGAGGTTGCTACCTACTCTGTACTCCGTAGGCCCCTGGGTAGGACCTCCCTACTAGGTAGTACCCAGGTAGGTAGGTAACAGTATTGAGTAATTTACTAATAGTAGGTACCTTAGCTACTACGGATACAGTATCCTGTATCAAGCGCACGAACCCACCCTCTCAAAGGGAAATCCTTCATTGCAGATCCGATAACTCTCCATCCTAAAATCTGAATAATAATCGATCATCTTCTCCCTACTCCGTGGACAATAGAAGATACTAGTAAGATGACCTATGTTAACTCACTAAAGAAGTAGACCTAAGGATCTCGAGCGCATCTCATTCAGCCTATAGCCGCCGAGCTCGAGTGATATCCTCCTGCAGTCCTGACTCCTGCACTGCTTTCTTCCCCCCCCGTCAACCCTGGTTTGCCACGTGACTGCTCCGACCCATTCTTGAAGTTGAATCCCTCCATCCATCAACCCCCAATTTGCCGTACCCTCCCAGTCGAATTCAGTGTCTTTGAGCAGGTGCGCGTCCAGTTTTCCACCCTCGCCCTTTGTGCGATATCTGGAAAGCCTCTCAAAAGGTGGATTGAGCGCTTCAACGACTAGACTAGCACCTCCTCTGTACGGTCACTACGGAGTTTCTTATTAGTGCTGCGCACTAGCCGCAAATAAGGCGGTAGTGCCGACCTGGAAGCTAAGCAAGCACTCTTTACCTACGACGACTACTCGACCCAGGAGGCTGCGTCTTTACATCTCTCAAGCCGCTCTGCCCCCTCTCGGTGGAACCCTGGTGGCCATCAAAGTGTGTGCTTCAACAAAACACGTCGGTATCAACACTCTCAACTCTTCTAGTTCTGTCATTGTTGTTTCTGTGAATCTCGCTCTGCTAGCCTCCAGATGTTCGGAGGGAGCTCCGAGCGAGATTCTCCACCCCAACTCTCCAACACCGCCCCAGGAGAAGTGCCCATGTCTGTCACCGTGGGTAACCCCGAGCCAGGTAAGAGTCTCCCACCTGTCATTGTCGCTTTGTCGCCGTTTGCATCCTTTCATCGTGCGCTGTTGCGAGCATTTGACACGGATCGCTGACACTGGTCCCCACTAGGCCCTGGATCGTCGTCTCAGGACAATGCCAAAGACACGAGTACCTCTCTCCAACCACACGCTGTAGAGCCTGCCGAACCTGCGTCTACGACCGTCGCATCCACTCAATCCCCTGAGAGCCATTCTGCGACTAACACAGCCGACTCGATCAAGAAGCAACATTTGCTGGTGCCCAGCTCGTCGCGATCGTCATCGAAGGCTGACGGACAATCTACACTGGATAACGCGCAGGATGCCGCGCACGATGACTCGGAGAATACGCTCCGGGGTTCCAGAAGAAGCATTCTGAAGGGCCGAAGGGACAGGAGTAGAGGGAGCAGCAAGAGATCTTGGCGGCCGACTCAGGGGGCATCAAACATGGGAGAACAGAAGGCCGCGACGAATTCTGACACGCGGGATCCTCCTAAGTCGGATATCAAACCCAAGGTCTCGCACAGACTGTTCGCCTTTTTGAGCTGTTGCTCGTCCTCTGATGTCGATCCGGACGAATCTGCTATCCCGCCGAAGAAGACCACTCGGCGGCCTTCAATCCCAAACACCCAGCCTACACCGGAAAAAGCCGATCTTGATGCCACCAATGCTCCGAGTCGAAATGAGACTAAGGAGCCCAATCTCTTCGGCGAAGAAACGCCTAACTTGACATTGTCGTCGAACCAATCTCCTCCCTCTCTGCCCCAGGTGGAGGAGCAGCAGCGATTGGCGGATATCTCAGAGAAAGGCACGCAATACGATGGCCCTGTGTCCTCCAAACAACCCGAGCCCGATCATGAATCACTCTCCGAAAAGCATCATATTGAGACGTCTAGGCCTGACGAGTCCCTTCCCGTCCAACCCGCTGTTGTAGTGGCCGCGGAGTCGGAGATGGCCAGCGATGTCGCGGCCAAAGGGAATGAACCTGATGCCGCATTGCCACCACATACCCCTGAAAAAACCGTGGAATCTGATGAAGCAGTTGCCGAAACATCTTCAGTCGAAAAAAACGAGGCAAACTCGTCCCATGAAGAGGAGACCAATTTACCGGCAGTCATGCCCCCGCCGCCGCCACTCCCGCAGGTTTTTCCAGGGAAGCAAATACAGATAGCGACACCTGAAAGACACCAGCAATGGCTGCTGCCACCTCCATTACCGCATCTGCGGGATCGAAAGTGTTTGGTTCTTGACTTGGATGAAACGCTGGTCCACAGCAGCTTCAAAGTGAGTTTTCACCTCGTCCGACGGAGGTCGCTTACATGCTAAAAAAAAATTCATCACAGGTTCTTGAACGTGCTGATTTCACCATACCTGTCGAGATTGAAGGCCAGTATCACAACATCTACGTGATCAAGCGACCTGGAGTCGACCAGTTCATGAAACGTGTGGGAGAGTTGTACGAAGTTGTTGTCTTCACTGCCTCTGTTTCTAAGGTATGATGCCCCTTCGCAGAACCATGCTCCATGCAGGCGTACTGATTTCAGAAACAGTACGGTGATCCTCTATTAGATCAACTTGACATCCATAATGTTGTTCACCATAGACTGTTCAGAGACAGTTGCTACAACCATCAAGGAAACTACGTCAAGGTCAGTGACTTTCAATTATCATTGGTAATGGTCCCACGTGCATTCGTTGACTTTGATACGATAGGATCTATCTCAAGTTGGTCGTGACCTCCGAGAGACAATCATTATCGATAATTCTCCCACTTCGTATATCTTTCATCCCCAACATGCGATACCCATCAGCAGCTGGTTCTCTGACGCCCACGATAACGAGCTTCTTGATTTGATTCCCGTCCTCGAAGACCTTGCCGGCGAACAAGTGAAGGACGTCAGCCTGGTCCTGGATGTTGCCATGTAATGTCTGTAACCTTATTTCTTCCGGCAATCTTCCAGCAAACTACGATCTTGATCTTTTTTTTTTGCCCCTTCCGCATCCTCCAAAAAAGAAAAGCAAGATGACAGCAACCGATACCTTTTTGTTCAAAGCATACGGAGATACTCATCCTGCTGTGCAGCCGCTAGTAAGAATGATGGGAAGGAGGAGGAGCCAGCCGGTTTCGAATTTCTGCGCGGGTCACAGCTTGTGTTTGAATCTACCATAGCCTTCACCTTGTTGTATTTCTTCTTGCACCCCTTTTTGCATTCTTCCATTCTTCCTCTCTGTGACCCCTATGGACTATGTAAGACCAGCATTCTTGGTTTTGCTTGTCTGTTAGCCCACTGACTTGACTCTTACCCATCGATCATCCATATTTGCATCCACCATTGTTACCTTGTCTTTGCTGCACTACCCATGTTCTTGTGTCTTTTTCTGAACTCCCAGCGAGCAGATACCATATTCCCCCCCTTGTTCTGATTCATTTTCCTGAGTTGTCTCACACCAGTCCCTCGCCTGGTTGAGATTTCTTGCATCACGCAGGCGTCCGTCTTGGCCATCAGCTGAAGACTAGCTGATCTCATGTATACGCTCTTGTGTTATCTCTTCTCTCTTGCGTCAGATTTTTATTTTCTTCTCACCATCACCATCGTCCCAGATTGGTTCTGACGCTGTCCCATCCATCGATACCTTTCCTTGTTGTTTCCTATCCACCTTCTTCGATCCAGTGTCCAGTTGTCATCATTCAGCCATGGTTCATTTTGTCGAAAATCTTCTGAGCGAGTGGCATCTTCATACAGGTCCCGGTATGCATGTCAATGCCTTTGGTCGAATGCGCACTTTTGGTTATTGCGACCTCAAATGTATATGTACCTCATGGCCCCGGCGTATATGCTGTATATAAAAGCATCCCCGAAATACAGCTTCCACCGCGTCTCGATGGCAATTTCTAAACCCAGAGAAGATAGATAAAACTCAATTGATATCTCCCAGTAATCTATGATAGTGGATGATGAGTTAAAATGCGTGTATGTCCTCAAAGTTATGCATACGTGAAAGGCGGGAAGATGCGGCCCAGCTGACGACGACCATCGATATCATTCGAAACAGGCAACGCCGCCTTTGACACGTGAAAGCGTCTGGATTTCAAAGAAACAAATCTCCTACTCGCCTCCTAATAATTCCATCTATCATAATCGATTAAACCAATCCCTTGAACTAAACACGCTTCTACGATTTTCCCAGAACTCCTCACTAAGCTCTCACTCACTCCCGCCCCTCTTCTTACCAATCTCCCCGCATTCCGTCACGCAACCACCAAAAGAGGAAAAAAAAAAAAAAAAAAAGTACCGATAATCGACGCCCCCGAACACGCAAACGCAACAATGAAAGACAGCAAAGGCTGGGATGGGAAGCTGAGGGTGGAACCAAAAGCCACGATCACGAACCCTGAGGCTCTGGAGGATCCGGAGTATTCGGACTCGGATGCGCCGCCGGTGGAGGAAATCGAGGCCGATGAGGGTAAGCTGAACCGTTTCGACTTAGGAGTGGTGGGGGGGTTGGATTTGAGTCAAGAGAATCTGACTTGTATAGACTTGCTTGAGGATGAGGATAGAGACACTCCGGTATGGAATTTTGTTGGATTAAGGATGGGGGAAGGATTCGCGAAGCTCATCATCGGACGCAGGACATCGATCTCGTACATTGTCGCATCCGATCTATCCCAGCTCTTCGGTTAGAGCGATTTACCAAGTTGCAGGTACGTCTATCGCTTGAGATCCTCTACTAAGAGAAAGAAAAGAAAGCGGGGGAAGCGCCCATGCTAATAAACTGTGGATTGTGATTTGCAGAGAATATGCCTCCGACAAAACCAGATTACGCGCATCGAGTTTCCCTCGGAGATCGCGCCGACGATGCTCGAGCTCGACTTATACGATAACCTCATCTCGCATATGCGGGGTCTCGACGACTTCCGGGACCTGACGAGTCTCGATCTGAGCTTCAACAAGATCAAGCATATCAAGAACATCTCGCATCTGGTGCATCTGACGGATTTGTACTTTGTGCAGGACCGGATATCGAAGATTGAGGGGCTGGAGGGGCTGACCAAGTTGCGGAATTTGGAGCTGGGGGCGAATAGGATCCGGGTACGTGCTTTGTATTCGCTTGGGAGTCTGGGGGGGTCTTGAGGCTGATCGGAGCAGGAAATCGAGAACCTGGAGACTCTGGCCGCGCTGGAGGAGCTGTGGCTGGGGAAGAACAAGATCACTGAGATGAAGGTATGTATAATGGCGCATGAGCTATCTGACATTCCGGAAGTGGGGGGATATGAGCTGACTGACTACGGTAGAACCTCGACGCGCTCTCGAACCTCCGCATCATCTCCATCCAATCGAACCGACTCACCAGCATCACCGGCCTCTCCTCTCTCCAGAACCTCGAAGAACTCTACCTATCGCACAACGCCATCACGGACCTCAGCGGCCTCGAGTCGAATACCGCGCTACGCGTCCTGGATTTCTCTAACAATCAGGTCTCGAAGCTGGAACACATCTCGCACCTGAAGAACCTGGAGGAACTGTGGGCATCGAACAACCAGCTCGCCAGCTTTGAGGAGGTGGAGCGCGAGCTGAAGGATACAAAGACTCTCAATACGGTGTATTTCGAGGGGAACCCGTTGCAGACCAAGGGCCCGGCGGTATATCGGAATAAGGTGCGGTTGGCGCTGCCGCAGATCATGCAAATTGATGCGAGTAAGTTTGGGCTGAAATTATATGAAGAGAATGGAGGCTAATAGTATCACTTCAAGCATTTGTGCGACTTGGGTGAAGGGTTGGCATGGTGTGGCATGGGTATGGACCTGATGAATTGATGTTATTTGCGTGGAGGACTGATCCCCTTTCGCACATGTCTCCATTTTAAGCTATGGAGCTAGTCAGAAGGCTCTCTGATACTAAAATAATGTATGACCACATTAATGCTAATCGTCATGGACCGACTCTGTAGGAAGGTACAGTTTATCCCGGAATATACCACGTAGGACGACTGCTGAACGACTCCATGGACAATTTCGTATCCGATATCAGCAGTCTCGCGCTGTCACGTCCTGGACGTGCGCACAATGTATCCGACATCCAGTCAGCGTATTCGTCCAGATCAAACGACAAGAGTCAGGCATCCAAGATATGGTATGGTGCTCAAGCCACAAGCCCCTCGACCCAGAAGCGGCGATGCTTTTTCCTTTCCTGCACAGCCCAGCGACTCTGTTCCAGACTTCCAGGCGCAGGGTATACCATCATCAAAAAAACAGCCAAGCAAGGCCATCATCCTCATCTCTCACCAACACGCTCACTCTCAACATCACCCTCAGTGCCACCCTCAATGTCACCTTCAATGTCCTCCAACTCCCCCCCATCTTCCTCCTCCTCCTCCACCATTTCCCCCAACCCCTTCCGATGCAACTTCATCAACGACCAAGCCCCCAGCCGCCGATTCTCCCTTGCAATCTTCCTCTTCACCTTCATCGGCTCACGCCACTTGCGCGCCATCGTCTCATCCGCCAGCTCCCGCAGCGGGATCCCCGTCCCCACCAGGTCCCGGAACTGGTACGTCCCTTGGAGCACGCGGAACGTCGTGTAGAACGGGTTCCGCACCAGCGCGGACTGATGGTTGTGCCGCGAGGGGTGGATTTCGCATTTGATGGCTCTGGGTCCTCGCGCAGCGATATCGCGCTGGGGACTGGAACCGGAGTCAGACTCGGGGCTTGCGCTGGCGCTGGCGCTGGTGCTGGCTTTGTTGCGGCTTCGGAGGGGGACGGTGAGCGGGGAGGCTTCGAGGGCTTGTTTTGCGGCGTCGGGGGAGTCGAAGATGGCGAGGATGGGGCGGAAGGGGATGGTGGATGAGTTTGTTGTGTCGTACTTTTTTTTGGTTTGAAGATACAGTAGTTAGTATGGGGTATGAGCTATGAGCTATGGAAAATGCATTTTGTTTGTTTGTTTTTTTGTTTTAGGGAAGGCTCTGGGAGGGGGGGGGGAAGCAGGCGCAGTACCTTGAGGTTGCGGAAGGTGACGACTTCGCCGAATTTTTGCAGCGCGGAGAGGATGAGTTTGCTTTCGGCGAGGGAGGTGGGTTGTGGGGTCGGTGTGATGTGAATTGATTGTGACGCGAGGCGTCCTAAAGGGGAGGCCATTGTGTTGAAATTTTTGTCAGTGGGTGGATTGTAGCGATGGTGAGTCTGAGAAATGTTAGAGGTAGTGAAGTTGAATGTACCTATTCACTCCGTAGCTTGTCGTGTATTCTACAGAAATTATGATTATGATAAGCCACGGCTGAATGGTGTCTTGGCGCTGTCGGTCCAATGGCCGATCTCCGGAGTACAGAAAGATCTACAAAGCAGATTATCTCTCTACCAAAATGTCGTCCTGCACAATCTTACAAGAATCTGGATCAAAGAAAAAGTGAAGAAAAATATATTCACTGGAATGCATTGCAAGGTCATAACTATTTACGGAAAGTATGGAACATGGTATTTACTTCAAGGCGGGGACATCAATCATTGATCGCATCACCAGAGGGCCAAGCAACCATTGTTCATCCTGCGAGGAAGAGGGCGTGTGACTCGATCCACCGGAGACCAATCCGTGCGTTTAGAAGATAGGAGCGTAGAAGCCGTACTGTGCGCAGAGAGAAGAAACAAAGTTAGTGATCTGAATCCCGTCATACCAAGATAGAACGTAAAAAAAAAAACTTACGGCAAGAGGATCGTTGAAGCGGAGGTTGCGGTCGAGCGCGCTGATCGACTCGATCTCGCTGGCCTCGAGGTTGAAGCTGGTGACGTCGAGGTTCTGCGCCAGACGGGTGGGGTTGTTGCTCTTGGGGATGACGGCAACCTTGCGCTGGGTAGCCCAGCGCAGCAGCACCTGAGCGGGGGTCTTGCCGTGTTTCTCGGCAATGGCGGTGATCGCGGGGTGCTCGAAGAGCAGGGGAGTCTCGTGGGCATCCTTGAGGTTGAGCTCGAGGAAGCTCAGGGGACCGAAGGAGGAGTAGGCGGTGACGGCGAGACCCTCCTTCTGGGCGTAGTCGACCAGACGCTTCTGGGTCAGGTAGGGGTGGTGTTCGATCTGGAGGGTGGAGGGGCGGACGCGAGCGTAGCGGAGCAGGTCCATCAGGAGCTGGGCGCTGAAGTTGCTGACCCCGATGCTGCGGGCGAGCTTGAGGTCGACCAGCTTCTCCATGGCGGCCCAGGTCTCGTGGATAGGGGTGTTGCTGAACTCGAGCTTGTCGTTCTCGGACATCCAGCCGGGAGGGTACCGCACAGCGGGGTCGACGTACTTGAGGGCAATAGGGAAGTGGACAATGTACAGGTCGAAGTAGTCGACACCCCAGTCGGCCAGCTGCTTGCGGCAGATGGGCTCGACGCGCTCGCTGTCGTGGAAGCTGTTCCACAGCTTCGAGACAATGAACAGGTCCTCACGCTTCACGATGCCCTCCTTGATGGCACGAGCGACACCCTGACCGCACTCAACCTCATTGCCGTAATCTGCGACGGAAGTACAGTCAGTGCTTTTTGCTCTGCGATGCGATGCGCGCGCATCTGGGAAGACGCAAAAGGAAAGTAAAGACAAAACTTACCACAGGCGCCGTCAAACAGACGGTAACCGGCCTTGATGGCCTCGTAGACCTGGTCGGCGCAGGTGTCATTGTTGACCTTCCAGAGGCCAAAGCCCACAAGGGGCATCTCATATCCGCTGTTAAGCTTGACGGTGGGGGTAGACATTGTGATGGTGTTTGTGTGAATTGATAACTTTTGGGGAGGAATCTGACGGTAAGAAAGAATCTCTCGGAGGAAAAAACAGGTCCGACACGTACTCGATTGGCAGTAAGATGCAGAGAAGGGATAGAAGAGAAGAGAAAGAGAAGTTACAGGAAAAGAACAAGAGACTGGATACTTATCGGAGGAGGGGGAGGGGCAACAGAGAAAAGGTACACGGCAGCGTCATGTTGAACGCTTGCTAAATGCAACAGGGGTCGCCTCTGGTGCCTTCACTTCCACCAGTTTCTGCTCAATGGCTTGTTCTGCCGCCGGCTAAATTGGTTGTTCCTCTTGTTATATATGTTATATATGTTATATGTCAGAGTGGAGGAGGTTCCCCAGGAAAGACCACGTATCCTGGCTGTCGCTTCTCCAAGCCGATTGACAAGTCCTCTGGGCCCTTAACAGCAATTGTTCCGTGGGTGTGAGAAAACCCACCTGTAGTAAGTATTCTGCCAAAAGTGGTGGATGAAGTCGGGATTGAGAGGGTGCCGATGGCTCCGGACGAAAAAAAAAAAAGAAAAAAAAAAAAAGATGAATAGATGATGATGATGATTATGATGATAATGGATGAAGTATGGAGATTCAAAGTTATAATACAGATCGACTATTCCAAGTATCCAAACGAGTCAAGAAACAATGGAAAGACAACATTAAGGACATCGTCCGCAACACCCACCCCTTTCCACCAGATGCTCCGCTCAGATCCTAATATAGAAGACATTGAAGAGAATGGAGGAATTAGAGCCGAAAAAAATGATAAAAAAAATAAAAAATAAAAAATAAAACAGAAAAGGTATCTCGAAGAAGGCTTTTGACAATATGATTACCATTAAGAATAGAAGAATCAGTGTAATAGTATGGTGTTGGGAGTTGGAAATCAGCCTCCTTCGTAAGTGACTAGACTGCCTGCACGGCGTTGGTATCGGCATACGCGGAACTGGCATGATCGGGACCTGCCCCATGCATGCTGGGATCATCGGGCATGCTTCCCACTATCTTGTCCATGAGGTCATCGGGAGCCCCCATCAGGCCCTCGAAGCCGTTGGGTGGGTGCGCCTCTCGGGATACCGGCGTCTGGTGGCCGGTAGGATGGTACTGCAGATGTGTGTAGTGGTTGCTGGAGCCGACATCGCTCGGAATCGCTGTCGACGTCATCGGCGTTCCCCATGCGCCTTGGCTGTGCCCGATCCCGTCAAGCGACTGAGATCCGGGCCCGAAAATATTGCTCATCACGCTGTTGCTGTCGTGAACGCCGACCCCGTTCTGCGGGGATGGCGCGTAGTGATTGCCGTGGCTCAACGTGTATCCAGCGAGATTGGGGTGCGATAGCCCCAGATCGTGAACGCTAAGCATGGCGGGTCCGCCGCTGGAAACATTCAGGCTGGCCGGCTGGCTGGTCTCTTGCGACGGGATTCCAGAGTAGCTGTCCAGCAGCGATGGGACCGCGTGTCGGTCCGGGAGCCCGCCGTCTTCAGGTCTGGTAACGGAGTTCAGCAGATCAAAGGACCCTGCTGAGTGATACATGCTGGGAATGTTCTCATGCGGCGGTGGGTACAGCGGCCAATGCGAATGAGACGGACCGGGGTGGGACAGCATCTCATGCGGCTGGGTTGCACGATACATATATGGGGGATATCGCTCTGGGAAAGCCGAGTCAAGGGGCAACGGGGGAAGGTCGATTCCCGTTGGGGGTCTTGGGCTGTTGGTGGAAATGCGGTCGGGAGGAATCAACTTTCGCCAAGTGGTCAGACCAACCTCGGGGGATCGAGTCTGCCGAAACTGCCACAGCAGAATTGCCATTCTCTTGCTGTCGTCGGGCGATGATGCACCCGGTATCTGATGAGATAGTCGCCGGGTATTCTGGGGTGTTGCTCGGATCTCCTGCACTGCGGAGAGTGTGCGGAAGTAATGCCTCACATGGTCTTCCGCAGCTTGATGTTGGCCCGACTTTTCCTTCATCAGCTTGTGCTGCGTGAGTTCCGTGAAAAGCTTGGCCCACCAGGACGACTCGAAGGGGGGCTTCACTTTGGTCGACTGCGGTTTGGCGAGATTATGGTAGGCCTCCAACATCCGGTCCTCATCCTCAAGGTGCCCATTGTCATACATGTACGTGCTACATGTCCAATTGTCCAATTGGCTCAGCATGGGGGCGTCCCCAGTAGCCGGATGCGCAAAGTCCAACTCCAACTGGATCCCTAGTTTGGAGCCGGCGGGCGGGAATTCATCCATCAGCTCTAGACTCGCCTCCAGCAAAATGATATCGCAATCCAGTGAGCCGCTCTGTTCTGCCATGATGGTGCTCAGGTGCGGGAAAGTTTCCCGCCAGCGCGGGAGATTCTCCAATGCCATAGGTGCGGCCGCGTCCCCTTGAAGACGGGTATATCTGTGCAAGGCATTGTCAAGCTGATCACGCTGAGACGGCGGGCTCACCCACATTTCGAAGTTGAACCCGTAAATCGTGTTGCTGTTGCGCTCATGCAAGTTTGAGCCCAATGTGAAAAGGGGTGGTGGAAGCTCCCCAGCGTAAGGCTGCACCGGCCTTAGGTGGTCGTGGTAGGCTGTAGGAATGTGGCCGCCATAGTGATTTGGCATTGACTGATCCAATCCCGTTCTCCATTTGGGCCCGACCGGCTGGTGTTGATTGTTGGTGCGATCTGCTGGCTGCTCTCGCGTGAGTCTGTCCCCTGGAAGCAGCCCCGAGCGTTAGTACTGGAGAAGAGAGTTTTTGGAAGACATCACTAGGGTGCAAAGGTCTTACAGTCAGGATCACCCTTGAGGAAAGAGTCGAGGACCTGCAGGTGGCTGGATACCTGCTTCCTCGTCCTCTTCTTGCCAGTTAAGTTGAAGATATACTCGGCAATGAGTTCGTTCCGGCCATACGACTTTCCTCGTTCGGACCACTTTCTTCGGCCCATGGGAGGATTGGCTTCAAGCGCTATAGAACCGTGTTACCACACACTGTACAGAGAGACTGATCATGACCGATGTTTCTTTACCTTGCTGGAAAGCGTCCTCGAGTTCGTCAGACCACACCGCTTCTCCATCCTTGCCAGTGTCCCGTCGAGGTCGTGACCGATACTCCAAGTACTTCTGGGACTTGAGATAGCTCCTCACCCTACGGGCACCGGCATGGTTGGGACCGACTGACTGAACTCGCCGAAGCTTCTTGAGCCGGGCTCGGGCGTCCAGGACGTGGTGAGGGTGCGCACTCGCAGCGGTGGGCATGGGATAAGGAGGAACAGGAGCGTGAGAATATTTGTAGGTCAGATGCTGAAGATGGTCATCACGCCCTGTGATCCCGCTGGCGGCGACGGTGTCCGAATACGACTGCACGTTGCCCGAGGTGTTCTGGAGAGCTCGATCTGTATGGTGTCCGATGCTCCCCAGTCCTGCCTGATGGGGAGGCGCCAGACACTCGGACTGCCAGTCAGTAGCCATGAGGGGTGGACCACCAACGCAGGGCCTTCTTGGGAAGAATGAGGGATTCCGAAGAGAAGGTGTGTTGGAGGGACGCCAAATGCTTACTACTGCCTGGCAAAGAACGCAGCAGGCCCCAAACAGCGATCAAGAACGCAAATGCTGGGAAGAGAATGTAAGAGCCTGGGAAAGAGAATGTGGGAGCGAGCAGCAAGATGTTTATAGGGAAGCATTTTCCCTTGACGACGAGAGGGTTATCGATGCGCCAGTAGCTGCATTGCTCGACCGCGCTGCTTGTTTGAATGCTCGCCCTTCGAGAACAACCCTCAGCCCATCCAAGGCGACCCTTTTCCCTGGACTTCACGCGTTCAAACAAGGTGATGAGGAGGGTAGGGCAGCAGCCGCCTTGCCGCAACAAATCAGGAGTGAAGAAAAGCCATGATGAGAAGAGCGAAGATCAAAAACTGCAAGGGGCTCGCTCTCAGGGAGCACGCTCCAGTGAGCAACTGCTCGGGGATTTTGCTGCCGCACATCACGGAGCGAACGTCCGCTACTAAAGCAGGTACGAAAGAGCCGTGACGAGGTTGAGGGGTGGCAAAGACCCTTCTCAAGAATGCAACAGGTTGAACAGCATAGAGTGCGGAATGCAGAAGCTCTCTACCAAAAGGATCTCAAGAATGTAGATCAGGAGCACAACAGAAGCTCTGGTTCGAATCTGGGGGGGGGTGGGGAGGTATTGCGAATCCAGGATGAAAAAGAAGCTAAGTGTATATAGGAAGAGGGGGGATAATCCTAGGATGGACGAGATGTCGCGATATCAACCCGAACATGGGATAGAAAAAGAGGCTCAATCGATCGAGATGCACGAGGTGTCGTGTCGGGAGCTTTGCAGGAACGCGTAGGTACGTGTTGACAGCTACAGGAGACTCAGGAACGTGTTGGCCAGGTCTGCTTGTTGCCCCGTGTCTCGACTTCCGCTCAAGCAAGGGATCAAGAAAGTGAACAGGTGGTAGATAAGTGGTGGGAATAATAATAATAATTGTTGTAAGTAAACAGTTTCCTTATAGACAGGGAGAAAGGGCGTCTAGAGCTCCTCGTCTTCCTGCGCCCCTACGGTGAACTTCTTCCGCCCCGTTCCCGTGAGCTTTTGCAGTTTGACCCTGTCCAGCTGCTCCCCTACTTTCTTCTCGATCTGCTGGATCTCCTGCTCGGCATCAATTGCCTCTGCGTTCGCGAATTCCAGCACCAGTCTTCTACCCAACAGATGGGTGTTCTTGAGTGCGTCCATGGCATTTTCCGCTTCACGAGCGCTTACAAAATCAGCAAAACCGAAACCACGAGCAGACCGATCGAACTTCTGAGGAACCCGTACGGAGCGTAGCTGCCCATAGGCTCCAAAGAGCGATCTGACATCTTTCTTCGTAGCCTGGAACGGCAAATTTTTGATGATGATCTTCGTTCTCCGCGCTGCGATCTTCTTCGCGGTGTCTTCCCGTCTTCGTTCCTCCGCAGCATCCATGGCCTTGTTCGACGCTCTTACTACCAGTTCATGCTGATCGAGCCTATATCCATCCATCGCAGCAAGAGCAGCCTGGGCTTGTGCTTTCGACTTGAAATCGACAAAGCCAAAGCCCATGCTGAGTGTTTGTCCAGGCCGTTTAGGGTCAGGTTTGGTTTTAATCCTGGCAGACACGAAGCCGTCCAGTGGTCGGAACAGATCCACGAACTTGTCGTTCGTTGTGGAGAAATTAAGGTTCTTTACGAAAAGGGTGGAGGCGACCACGGGTCCGTCAGCCTCCTCAGCCGCAAATGTGTCAGCGGTTGAGAATCCTTGAGACACGGCCTTAGTCTCAAGAACAGGCTTCTGCGGCACACCCGTCGCCTCAAAGAGATCCTTTGGAGCTTTCTCTAAGAAAAGAATCGAATCCCCAAGTTTCCGATACGCAAGGCCTTTGAAGGCTTTCTGCGCCTCATCTGGCCGTGAAAATTCAACAATAGCCATTGTGCCACTAGGCGGCATCAGTAGCCTTGTTAGTTGGCCATATGGCTCGAAGAGCTTCCTGATATCATCAGTCTTAACGCCATAGGAGAAATTCTTTACCAGGATAGCAGTATTTCCACGTTCCCGCTGCTTGAACGCGTCGAGGTTGACACCGTTCGCAGTAAAGTAGGCCTTGGTCTCCTGAATGACATGCGTCTCAGCATGTGCTTGCTTCACACCAGCATCTGCTGAAGTGGGGTCTAGAAGATCAGCCTTGGAAACACCTAGGCGTTCAGCGACTGAGGACATGACTGCGTCAGCCTATAGAGATATTGTTAGACCATGACCAGATGATACAATCTGCAAGAGCGAACTTACATTCATGTAAAGCGAATTCCAACTGAATGATGATGAGGCAGCTTCCATCTTTCGCTTAATCTGCTTTTGCTTCTTCAAAGGCAGCTTGGACAACTCATGATCATCGATCTTATAGGTCTTTTTCGCAGTTGCCGGCAAAATATGCAGCAAGCGACCCTGAAAATGTTTCCCATCCAGCTCTTTGTAGGCTTGGACGGCCGCATCAGCGTCGAAATACTGAACGTAGGCGAACCCCTTGCTGGTGGTAGACCTTGTATCAAACGCGACGTGAATCTAGGACTGTTAGCAAATATTCGCGAATTACACTATCAAGTCCAAGCAGAAGAATGCGTGTCTCTCAGGGTTGCTCTTCAGATATTCAAGAAGCATCTACTAAAATCTCTTGTCCTGTTCGCATCATATGCTTTTGCATCAGATGTCCCTATCAGGAAGATCATCATGCGAGCAACCCTCGATCGAGAGAGAGGTATCTGGTTCTGTGCAAAAAGAAAAGAGATAGATGGTACTAACCTCTTCGACCTTGCCATACTTAGAAAATATAGGCTCCAGATCCGACTCCTTTGCATCATATGGAAGATTCCGAACGAAAAGTCGTGAGGAAATGCGGATGTTGTCGATATTTGTGTCAACCTCTGGTGTGTCGGCCGGTTGTTCGACATCAGCCTTGATATCATCCACACGAGGAGCATCAGGCTGTGATTTTGCAAGTGGCTGTGACGGTGTCTCGGCTTTCTGATGGCTGACGGAATCGAATTCAGCCTGCTCGTCTTCATCGAGCAGACCAAGAAGACGACTTGTCTTTGATCGGAGCCAGTCGGCGTCGGAAACCAGCTCTGCTTCTTCTTGCTCTTGAGAAGCACCGGCACCATCCTGCACTTCTGCAGCTGCTTCATCACGATCTTCTCCAGTGTGGTCAACGACCATCGGCTCAGGTTCTTCGTGACGAGTTACCACACGCTGTTCGTCCACTTTCGCCTTCTTCCGCTGATTGTCAGAGGGCTCCTCGACTGGCTCAGTCGTATCATCGCGCTGCCCAGCTGTTGAAGTGCTGTTCTGAACTGAATTGAACAGGTCTTCGCCATTGGCCCATGTTTTGGTTTTCGACGGGCGCTCTATTACAGAAATATATTCTTGTAATTGGGAATCCTGCTTAGGATTGTCCCCATCCCGCTTACGCTTGAGTGCGTTTCCTGCTGATGCATCGTTAGAGGTCGAGTTGTTATTGTGCTTCTCTACCCTCTGGACAGGCTCGGAGTCAATCTACAATGATACTGGTCAGTCTCAAGACCAACTTTCAAAAGAAAAAAGTCAGCGGGCGAAGAAACAAAGATAACGATAAGAGAATGAACATGGTTCAAGATTCATGAAAAAGGCAGAATGTCCACATACCGGCCTAGCAATCTCTACTGAGATCTTGGACATCTTGACAAATGTTTTATTAAAATAAGAAGCGGCTTGTTGGGCAACCTCCGGGCTTTTGAAGCCGACGAAGCCAATCCTGCGCTTTGGTAGTACATGAGCATCTGTGACCTGGAAGCGACTGGAAAAATGGTTTCTCAATTGATCATTCGTAAATGTGGGCGGCAGCCCAGACACGAACACTCTTGTGTTCTCCATGATTGTGCTCTGCGGCTGGCTCTGCAGTTATACCGAGAGAGTCCGAAATTCTCGAAAAAAAAATTTTGGTTGGATCTTTCTTATAGTGCCGAAAGCGGTGAGGAAGTTGTGTGGGCATGGTCCGTGCGCATCAACATGGCGGTTGTCGCAACCAGTGTTTAGCCATCTAATTATAACGACTTCCTGAATTTGCACCTAAATCTTGTCAACTGAGATCTCATTTCTGTTCGACAATACCACTCAAGCCTGGTTTTTTTCTATACATACAATCACCGACTCATACCGCAAAAGATGGCCACCGAGAAGAAGGAGAAGCTGGAGCGTAAGTGTCGCATCGCAATCTGGGATTTGGATTGGAGTCTAGCTAACCAAAGGTACTCTCAGCTCAAATCAAGTCCGTCGATATGGTAAGAATGCAAGCTTGGTCGAATTACAATATGGGTACTCACCGGTCTTGTTAGACGGAGGAGATGCAGCAAGAGGCTGTTGAAGTTGGTACGAAATCTTTTGCTGTTGAATGAGTGCGGTGTAACTGATCTCGTTAGCAACCGAGGCAATGGAGAAGTATCACATCGAGAAGGTGGGCGGTTTTGCTTGATATATACGTACCTTGAGGTGCTCATTATCTCCAGGACATCGCTCAGTACATCAAGAGAGAAGTGCGCCATACCCACGATTCATACCGCGAAATGTGTGACTTACGGCTCTCTAGTTCGACTCTCGCAAGGGAGCTACGTGGCATTGTGTTGTGGGGAGAAACTTTGGCAGCTTCGTTACTCATGGTAGGTACCTGCTGTACACTGACCGCTTTGAATTGCTGTTAACGTCCATCTAGAGACGAAACACTTTATTTACTTCTACCTCGGACACTGCGCCATCCTACTCTTCAAGACGCAATAGATACACACCTATAACGCCTCCCATAGCCCGAAAGACAATCGACCTGGCGAACCCCGGATGCTGCAAAATGGGGGAATGGTATACTCGGGGTCGACCCTTCTACGACCAGTGGGGGCTGACAGGGACTCGGTTGCAACCACTTTTGAGTAGCTCCGGCTGTCGTTTTTAAACCTGCACTGCCTCCACGGTGCCTTCATCAACAACAATTTTCTGCGTGAATGATTTCTCTGCTTCCTTTGAGCGACTTTGAATCGTTTGCTTGTGCGCTATCCTTCAATTTCGGTGACATATTGTTGAGATAGATGAGGTGCGGTGTTTGCTGAGCAGACAGCCATGCCTATCTTCGAATCATGTTTATAGATCTCAAAAGATACTGGCTCGGATGTGTACAACCCACATAGTCCCTAGATGGCTTCCATGTATAAGCCTCGGAATGCCCGCAGGTTGCCCCTTGAACTGATCTTTGATCTTCACGGAGTATTTCGTAGATAATTTGCAGTGCTCTCTCTAGAAATATATGCTCTGTACGCCGTAGTGAAAGCCAACATGTCTCACAATTTGACCATGGAGACTGGGAGATATCTCTTTCTGAACGCAGACGCCAAGCGCCAAGCCACCGCGCCACACGTCACTCACTATATATGGACGGGATAAAGCGCTGCCTTGCCCCTTGGATGAACATTAAACATTATTTTACTTCTAGCTGTCCTGTCCTTGATCATCAGGTGCGATATCTGTAACTATTGTCTAAAACCGCTCGATAGGGTGTTGCAATATCTGAATCAAGGTCTTCCCTGCTGGTCACGCAGCTCAAACTTACCGTCATGGCTATCTGCATCACATTTGGAACACATGGTAAGGTCTCCACGGGATCCAGCTATATATCTTATTCGACATGTCCAATATATCCCACAACTGGACAATTTTTACAATATTTCATAGCATTAGACTAACTCTGCAACTAGAATTTACCTCTATGCTCGAGGGATATGAAAATGTCAGAGCATACTGCTACAACTGTGAGTCCCTGGACCCGTCCCATGCCAATAACATGCAGTCGACTGCCCAATACCTGACCCAGAGAATGAATGGACATCAATTAATCCGGCGCGCAGGCCAACACTACAACGGACACTGTATAACTCGCTGGTAGGTGTTCCCAACACTATGCTCAACCTAAACCTTCATTCAATCAACATTGCTGACAAGAATACCCAGGCCCTGGTTCACCGTCTGCTTCATTGTATGCACCCCATGCACCTCATGCACCCGTCCACGCAATAGTGCTGGAGACAAAAAACTAACCCACCCCATTCAGCCCTGTATCCCACTAGCGATGCACAAGTACAAGGTATGTGATGTAAATCCCCTTCGTTTCCACGCGACTCTCAGTCTCCCAAGAACGTCCACGGAGTATATATATATATATATATATACTAACCCAGTCCACAGGAAGTCACCTGCTGCACGTGTCGCTATACACAAGACCTTCGGTACGTTTAAACCAAGCCCCACCCTCATGGCCAAGGGCACCATTCCCAGCTCTCTTTCTAACCACTTCAACAGCGATCGCCCCGATATCACGCCCGATACAAGACCCCCGCAGGGTGTACCCCCGGGTCCCGCCCCGCCGCCGCAGGCATATAACGCTGCAGGTGGCGCTTGGGGCGGATATCCACCACAGGGATATCCACAGCAGGGATACCCGCCTCAGGGATACCCGCCTCAGGGGCAGCCGCAGTCGCCGCCTCCGCAGCAAAACTACGCGTATAAATGATGATGATGATGTAGTTCTTTGACTAGTTATCTGTGGGGTTCCGAGCTTTTTCGTCGTTGTGTGGGTCGTTGCTTTTGTGTTTTGTGAAGATACCTTGATTTTTTAATGCAATTGTTGCTGTGATTTATCCTTTACTGATTACGAAGTGAGGGAGAATCAGAAAGTAGTTGGTTCAGTCAAAACGTCATTAACATTATCTAATCCGATAACAAGGGGGGTATAAGTCAAGCATAACAGGAAAGGGACCTCGTGGGCCCCGTCATGAAAACACAGGTCGGAATAAACCACATAATCCATCATCCAGGGTATAGTTAAAATAACACTTGCATCAAGCATCTGACTTTGTCGGCATCTTTTCCGTTGGCGTCGCAGCGCCAGAGGGTGTATCTTCACTTTCCTTGGACGCTTGCCCAACAAGAGCGGGTCTCCTGCCTTGGGCATCGAGAGCCATGAGTCTGACGGTGCGGATGATACTCTCACGACCTTCCCAGAGAGGAAAGATAACAACACCGAAAGTTGTGCAGAAAAGCCAGATCAGGCCAACCACCACCCATCCCGTGAAGAACTTCTTGCTGAAGACGTATGACGAGCCGTACATTGGGATCGGCCATAAGAGCAGGAAGCAAATTACCATGGCGATGGTCAGTGTCCGGGAGTAGAACGCGGCCTTGTTCAGCTTGCGCTCTTCCTCGGCCTCTGCCTCGGCGTTGTGCACGGTGACTTCGCCGGGGATAAGTTCTATATCGACGTGTGCAGCGGCTGCAACGTCGGTGTCGTCGACCTTGCGAATAGCACGCATTGACTCGTAATCGTACTTCTGGGTGCCGAAAGCGTAGGTGAGAACAGGTGAGAAAATGATGGGGCTCAGCAAAGCTGCAACATTACCAGCAAGCATGGGGTAGCTATGAATTGTCGTTAGCAATCCGGGACCAAGATGCAGCCAGAGCAGCCCTGGACTTACTTTGAACCAGTACTTGCGACTGTGAGCTCTCCATATTCCTTCTTCGCAGTCACTAGCCAGGCAATGAGTGACACGGCAAGACCTAGGACGGGAGAGCTGGCGGCAGCGATCCAGTTCTGGTCTTTCCAGACAAGAGTCATAGCTCCTGGGAAGACAGCAGAGGAGATGATGACACCCATGAGCAGATAAAGATAGCCCATGCCAATTCCAGCGTAGTAGAGACCCGTTGCAAAGGCGGCCATGATGATAGCGAAGATTATGCAAGACACGTGAGAAACCCATACGAGTCTCTTGCCCTTGGCAGCAGGGTTAATATACGCCTGGTAGACATCGTATGTGACGATTGAGGAGACAGCGATCAGCTGAGCCGAGAAAGCCGATGTAACTGCCATGAAGACCATGAGAGTGGTGCACACTGCGCCGCTGTGTCCGAGAAGCTTGACAGCAGCGAATGGCAGAACAAGACCGGCGGTAACGTCATCGGGACTAATCCGTTGAGTGCCTTCAAGAGCAAGCGCAGAGATTCCCATTGTGGTGGCACAGAGCCATGGGATCGCGAACCAGCAAAGTCCGCCAATAACATAGCCGGGGAAGGCGTGAACAGGGCTTGCAGCGATGGCTAGACAGTTATTAGTGTCTGACTCCAGGGTATTTCTGTTGCCATTCAGTCAAACTTACCCTTGTTGTAGTATCCATTGTCAAGGAACACGGTACTATCCAAGAGAATCGGTTGTTAGTGATGAACTCAAATCAAGGATGTGGGATGTCACGAACCCGAAGTTTCCTGTGAGCCATTCGTCAGCTTTATGTCTAATTAGAAACAGCTCAGGAACACTTACCGACAAGATTGATGACCCAGAAGATTCCTCCTTCCTTGGATCTCATGGTAAGGTAGCTGCCTTGAGCGTTACCCTCGACTGGATGGCGCTCTGAGGCTGCAACAAGTGCATCGTACACCTTACTGGGGGATCCCAGCTCGGAGTTCGTCGCGTAGGCGGAAAATGCGTAGATGAAGATCACAACAATGATGACCACAGTGTGCATATAGTCGGTAATGAACGTTGCCTTGATACCACCAAAAAGAGTATAGAGCACGACACCAATGGGGAGTAGGAAACAGGCAGCAGCTGTGGGTACTCCAGTCAAGGAAGTCATGACGGCCGAGCCGCCAGTGAGTAGCATGGCAGTAACGAGGATGTTGGTCATCAAGCAGAATACAATGAAGACTAGATGCACGATAGTGCCATAGCGAGCCCGGATGACTTCTAGGAAGGTGTGCGCGTTGGGAGCTCGTCTTTTGAGCTCAATGGCAAGTGTAGCGAACAATATAATCTGGACACAGGCACCTGTCCCCGGTTAGCATCCTCATGAGACTAAGCCGTGTTTGCATGGTTTCCCTTACCTGAAGCGTAGAAAAAGGGCCCGGAAACACCATACTGGTAGGCCACCGCCGAGGATTGGAGGAGGGTTGCTGCCCATGTCCAACTACTAACGACGGCTGCAGCAACCAGTCCCGATTTCACAGATCTTCCGGCGGTCGAGAACATCTCCGAAGTCTGGACTTCATGCTGATATCTGCAATTGAACCAATTCGTCAGGCTAGCTGTAACTTGGAGAAGCACCAAGATGTGCATCTTGGATTGGATAATGATGGGACCTCGTGGATAATGGCTTACCTTTTCAAGGCCCATGTGATGAAAATCATCACCAGAGCGAAAGCAAATCCCAGCCCAATGATGATGCCATAGCCGAACCCTTGGGAAAGGGGAGCAACGAATTTGGCGTCCGATGAGGACATGTTGGTTAGCCCGTAGGTCACTATGTATATTTATATATTCGAGTGGCCTGCTGGGGAAGTGGTGGGTGGATTAAAGCGGAAAGCTTGTATAGGAATTCAGAATACCAAGTGGGCTGCAGGTGGGCCTGTTAGCTTGCTGTGTGTATAATTCTAGACGAGACCCCAGTAGCAGGAGGGTGCGCCCATTCATATACTTCATGGGGAAGCCTGCAAGACCAAGTAGAGAAAGAGAAAATCTCCGAACTCGCAGACATCATCATTCTGATCATCATGTCTCGAAAGTCAGATAGGAAATGCGAGCCGTGTGTCGACAGCACGATAAGATCATCTTTTTCGTAATCGGCATGCCCTCAGGCTCTGGGCAGCGACATCTTATCGATCTCGTCACACTATAGACTAATACCTAGGTCTCGGTGACCCCCGTAAGGCATAAGCACACAGCACCATATGGGATATCATGGCAGTCACTCCGTCAAGCTTGGACTTCTTCTTTCGAATTAGCCAGCCGGGACATCTTGGTACGAGGAGCAGTAACTAGGTTATCACCCAGACACTACCGACGGATCACATCCTGCCGGGCGTTATTGGCGGATGTTGTTTTCGTTGTTCGTCCTTATCAGTGGAAGCTCTTCAAACGAAGAATTGCGATTGGCTCCGCGGTTGATGGCTTGATAAGCTTGCTTTCCGAACCCTGGCGCCCTCTGATATCAAGATAGTGGGGTGAAGTCTGGATTACGGGGCAGTTATGTAAAATGTTGGCAATATCGTTATTGTGGTCACTGATCAAGCCAAGAAAAATGTATTGAAGATAGACTGTCTCCCCAGGAGGTAGGTAGGTGCCTAAGTAAGTTGTGTCCTTGGTATCTGATCGGGACCGCACCGTTCATTGGAGGGGATGGCTTCCGAAGGAGGACAAGGCTTGATTGGACATTAAGTGCACATAGGTTGTTGTCGAGACGAAGAGCGGAACTTCCGAATGCCAAGATACTTTCAAAATGTACTACTTGGACTCGGTTATTAGCATATCGCAGGTTTGAGTGTTTCCAAAATTATGAGACTGGAACTCGCGAACGCAACGCGGAACGGGATCCATGCGTTAAGAATATCCTGAGTGAAAGATTTGAAGTATATAAAGACAAAAAGGGACGAAATTATCATCAAATCCGATATGGTGTAAAGGCTAACATCGCCGTCTTTCACACGGCAGCTCGGGGTTCGATTCCCCGTATCGGAGACATTCGCTTTGATTTTTTTGATTTTTTCTTTCTTTCCTCAACTAGAGAGGCCTTTGTGCTATCAAATCAATTTATGGTTAATAACCATCATCACATCCGATATGGTGTAAAGGCTAACATCGCCGTCTTTCACACGGCAGCTCGGGGTTCGATTCCCCGTATCGGAGCATCGCATTCTTTTTTTCTCCTTTTTTCCCTCTTTCTTACTACCAGCGTGTAGCGTCAATGCTCCTTATTTATTGTCTTGTGGTTAAGGGGCAGAGCCTCTTGGCATTTTCTCCTTTTCATTTTTTTCCTTTTTTGCTTGGACTTATAGTCTCTTTTTCCTACGTAGAATATCATCGCATATGGCGATGGTTCTATTACTATACTCGGCAGTTAAGTTATGCAGGACGCTCTCTCATACTAGGCTATACGTACGTGGAAAGCGAAAATATTAATGGAGATTTATATCACCGAGATCGAGAGCACATCTCTAGCACAAGTATTAGCAAATGTCACAGCCCATGGCACGTTCAGAATAAGCATCGTCCATAGGGAACATGATGTTCATGATGCGAACCCGCCAAGTTCATCTGCAGGGCATGGCATGGCCGCAATTTGCGACACTCAGCAATAGTGGCTGATGAATGGAGGAGGGCACAGCCACAGCCACCTAAGAAACTTACGGCCAGACATGTGCCCGAGCCGCAAACCCTGCAATAAGGATAATTTATGGATAGCAGCATGCTGGTGTCTGGTGATGCTGCGATCTCTCCCGGTGGCTCGAGGAGTTATACATGGCAGTACAGGGTAGCTCAACCTTAATTACCAGGGTCTTAGCGCCATCGTGTAGATAGATATGTAGTTGACATGTGTAGATAACTTTTAGAGACAAGAGGTCAAAGTGTACACCATACAGTCTGCCGAGCATAATCGATACTCAGACAGCACAGCGATTTTGATCAGAGCCATGTAGAGTACCTCCACGTCAATGAATAAGTTTGGTAGCCTGAATTGTGGTACTTTGTAGGCTACTCCCAGTCTCCTACGATGGTACGAAAAAAAAACATAAGAATGCAGCGTATTCAGGAGATGTTTATCTGCTAGAATATCGACCTGATGATTAAAGAAGGGATGACAGGCTTCGGAGTAGTCGCAACTCGCAACAGTACAATTCTAGACCGCGGATCGATGGAGAACCAGTGATATCAAGTATCGGCATGCGAGGAATGAAAGGAGCAACGATCGCTGCTTTCTAATGTTGCACTCAGCCCGTGTGAGTAAAATTAGCAGTAAGCCAGCGTGGTCATGGTTAGAGCCACTGATATTGCATTATGATCCTGGGATGAGAAGGGGCTATCCTCCAATGCCTGGTGTTAAACAACGCAGCTTATATGGGTTGAACTATCTATAGAAGTATTGATTAGCATGAAGCAGTAGATAATAGATACAATATAATTGTAGAAGGATAGAATTTGTATCTCTCGAACCACGGATAGCCACAACTGTAAAGCTGCTTAGAGCCACAGTCTGGAGAAGTTACCACTGACTGGTAGATACTAGATAGCCTTCAGTGACAGTCAGAGGCTCACAGCCTCACAGGCCACAGCCGTCAGCCGGGGATCCGGATCGATCCCTATCTAGTTTCAACATAGGACAGTCTACAGAAAAGACTCAGAAAAATTTCGCCAGAGATCCGAATCCCACAGCTCTGCTGTTTTACAGGCAGAAATTCGATGGATCGGACCCACCGCGCCGTCCCAAGAGAAAATCAACTAGTTTTCTATTGTAAGTAGTTTTGTTTAATTGTTCTCCATAACCCCAGGCACAGAGGACCCATCATTCGAGGCTGCGATGGAGGAATTGTGACTAGCTTGTAAGTACGTACGTACGGAACGTCTTGGCTGTTGCTAGAAATTTTGGACCAAGAGGATTCAGCGGGACAACAAGCAAATTTGAGGATAAATAAAGCATCACAGCGTTCTGTGCAGCAGACAGTGGAAATTAGGGAGATGGAGACACGGGGGTGAATCTAATTTGGAGGGAGAAAGTCCAGACTCTGACTGTGTAGTAGTAAGTTACATACAGCTGAGTCCTCCAGCCTTTGGGACTTTCCTGAGTACGTAGTAGGTACTCACATAGTCGGCTCCATAATAATACTGTCAACCATACAGAGAATAGTAATAGAGTCATACCTATTTTTTTTTTTTATTTTTTTATGGGAATGAGGAGCAGAACGAAATTGTATGGAAGTGTTCACAAAAAGCAGACAGCTTTCCTGCCCCATATTATTAGCATGATGATAATTTATTCTGCTGTATCTGAAAGTCTGGACTTTGGACTTCGGAAGCTCAAGCTGAACCCTGGATGCAGGCCTGAAAATCCCCAGCATCTCACCACTGGGAATAATAAAGTACACAGTAGACAGACAGTGCCCACTACTGCCCAGCATTCTTTCGTACCACAAGCCCACAAACCCACCATCAACTCATACATACATACACTGTTAGTTACACACAAATCCACCAGAACCACAGAACTCCAAGTAAGGTACACATGTAGGTAGTTATTATTTGCCTACAGTCCACAGCGCCTTAGAACATCTTCCGGGAGGACTTCCATTGCAAAGCAAACGAAAGCCACATCTTTCTCATCTTCCATTCTCCTCATCTTTCATTTCGTTCATATTATTACCTTCTTTATCTCCTTGATCGACCATTCTCTCGCTTCCAATGAAGCCATCTTCCCATTAGGCAGTTCATTATTGATTATTGTCCTTCATTCATCTCAGCCTATTCACTTTCACTTCGCAGCAAAAGCCTTCCATCATTCCATACGCAGTACAGCCTCCTCTTTCCGTCTCTTTGCATGGTTTTTTGTGGCTAGAGACGAACCCTTACACTCGTGATTCCCACATGTGCTCAGCCTTACACTCGGTCTCAAAGTGATCAATGATCGGAGCGACTCTTCCAGTCCCCGCCTGATAGACGACGTTTCACGCGGCTTGGCAACAACCCATCCTCTCCTGGGGAACAGAAAACAAAGCCGTTCTCTCTATCTTTTGTCCACCTGCCCTCATCCTCTCGTCGACCCTTTCTCCATCCCCCTTTCCTTTGCGTCGACCTCCAGAAGGCTTGCTGAGGCTCGCCTGTCTGTTCACGAACGAGTCGTCGCTTTCTCTCGCATCAACAAAGCCACGCAACGTGACCTCCTGATTCACTAGGGGCTCGTCAAAACAACTCAGGCGAGAAGCCTGACAAAGGCTACCAACCCTTTTCTTCCAGGACTTGCCGTCAACCCTGTCATCCATACGACGGCAGCCTCTACCCTCACGCCGCCGATAGGTGGGCAAACCGCCATATTGTATCCTGAGACCAATACTCCGGCGGACTCGAGCTCCGTCACGGAGCACTTCGTCAAAATTTATTCACATACCTCGCGAGCCTCTCTTCTCGGGGGGTCCTTTGATCCCTCGTTTAGACGAGGTCCTGGAGGCTTTCGCTCTCGAGAGGGTTACACGAATGTGCCGCCGAATCCACCAAAACGCAGAATGTACATCCCAAATTCTATGTGGACGTGGTCTTTTTCCATCGTCACTTTCGTCCAGACCGTCATCACCCTTGCACTAGAATGGTATGCATGTTCTGGTAGCCACACCACATGTACTTGCCTTTTGATGCTGATTCATGACCTTCTACAGTTATATTTTCGCCAATTTTCAAATACAGCTTGACGAAAAGATCGCCGCCGGTGTCATCGCATCCAAAACAATCCCTATCTTCCTAGCGTTGTATAGCTTCGGGTTCCTCTACGAGCTGGTACTTGTCTACGATGCTTTACGCATGAAGAATACGATTCAGATCATTGGTTTATGCATATGCAACGTCGGGCTGTTGATTTACGGAGCCGTGCAGGTACAACAAGTTAAGGAGGCCATTGGGGTTCTAACAGTGAATCATGCCATCAACCCCAAGATTTGGCGAGAAACAGAACCCTTCTTGATCATCATCCCGTGCGTCGTGGCGATGGGCACCATTTTAATGATAATTGTGGCATGGAAGCTTTATGACGAATTTGCGTGGTCGATCTATAAGCACATCAGTGCCGACCTTCGCATGAAACGCCGATATCTCACATATCAGGTTGGTGGCTGCCATCAATATTCCAACAATGGAGTCGAACGGCTGCTAAATGGTTTTCCAGATTTATGTTACGCTTCTCAAGTTCGACTTCTTCTTTTTCCTTGGATTTACAGTGCAGTTCCTCGTCATTGTGACCAACAGGACCGACGTCGAGTTCCCTCTCACCATCGCTGCGATTCCAGTGACGATCTTGATTCTCGTATGCGCAGCGATCTTTGTTCGACGTGAGAGCTCACTCGGAATGGTTATGATCATTGTATGTCCCGCCTCGAGTCCTTATATGCTCGTCGACTGCGTTGCTGACCAAGTTGACCAGCTGCTATACTTCGCAGCGATGGCGTACTTCCTCTTCAAGCTCGTACGTATGTACCAGCCGGCGACCTATGCGGATTACTTGCCGGCTCGGCGATCCCTTACATTCTTTGCCATCATCACACTCGTTCTGATCGTCATGACCATCGCCAATGCTTGCATGTGCATGCACAGTTTCCATAAGGGCTTGAAGCCCCATATCAACAAGAAGAATTCCGCCAAAGAGGAGGAGAAGACCACCGAGTTGTCCACCAACGTTACTAGTGGAATGCCCAATCGGATGATGATCGATTGAGCGTTGGCATCCCGGTTCTCATGCACGATTACAACCCAACCAATGAAAATTACCAATCTGCGACCTTGCGTTCTACTATTCTCCATATAGTCATAGATGAGTCTGCCCCAGTACGCGGTGGTTCAACTACTATCACCGTGGCACCCGTCGGGTGCTTTGTTGGATACTCAATCTCGAACCCGTGGTGTGTTTTTCGGAATTTGCGATATGATACCTACCTTGCCTGCAATCATTGACCTGCCCGCCTGACGATTTTCCACCATCATTGCTCTACTGTGACCGGCCCACTTGTTTGGTGTCACTTCTCTTGCTTGCTTTGCCCTTCTATCTCTTCCTGTTCCTTGATGGCACCATGGCGTTCAAATTGATGATTCCTTATTCCCCATCCCGGTTCCCAGTGTTTATGTGTTATATCACGAATGTGCATCTCATTTTATATGTATTGTAACTAACTTAATTTCAAATATTTTGTGGACATCCCGTCATTTATCGATTACTTGGGGACCGACTGGGAACATCACTCGAGAGCTGTAACATGTCTACCTCAAGATGGGCACTTTTCCAGAAATGCAACCTCTGGCTATCTTAAAAATGATTTGAATTATCCTTGACTATGTTATCTTCGTTCCATAGGCGTTGCATAGGCGTTGCATATAAGAGATCCAATTCAGACTTCAGGGGGCAGAACATCAAGGGCGACGCTGATTGGCGCAGAACAAACTGGGGTAACTCCGTATGGCCATACCATACGTGACCATACCGAATGGCCTGGAAATCGTGATCGTGGCCTCTTTCTGGCAACTCACGACCTCACCTCAAAGTGCCCTTTGCTAGCTTTCTCCCTTCTCAATTCGACATCAACTCATCCTCTTCCTCCCATCAGTGGACTTTTTCTGTTCTCATTTCTCATTCTCTTTATTTCTCTTCTTCTTGTTTCTAACTTCCTAATTTTTCACGACGTTCATTGACTTCTCTCTTCATCTGCTTTCTCTAATCAATTGCTCAAGATGGTGAGTGTCCCATTGATCGTCGTCCCTTGAGAGAGGTCACGCTCGTCGACGTCGATTCTCAGATAGCGCCAGAGTCGCCTCTCTTCCATATATACTCTTTAGTCTCAATTGGGAAGTCGAGTCTAATCAAACCTATCTCAGGCCTCTCCTCGTGCTGCTTCTCCCCTGACCTCCGGCGCTGAGTCCGGTCCCGACACCAAGTCCGCCGGCGCCGGTGCTGGAGCCTCTACCTCCTCCTCCATCAACCGTCCTTCGTCTCCTACTCCTCCCGGTGGTCCCAGGGCTGCTATGCGTCGCCGCGCGGCCGCAGACCACAAGGAGTCGCTCCGCAATGCTAGACCCAGCTCCACCCGCGCTGCTGGCGCCGGTGGCTCCTCCGGCACGATGCTGAAGCTCTACACTGATGAGAGCCCCGGTCTGAGAGTCGACCCCGTCGTTGTCCTCGTTCTCAGTTTGGGATTCATTTTCTCCGTCGTCGGTCTTCATGGTATGTGTGATCTGTGTCTCTGGAGGATAAGGAAGAGGGTTTCTAATTTAGGTGTTACATAGTTATCGCCAAGATCACCCGCAAGTTCTCTTCGTGAGCTGCTCAATCGAATTGTTTTGCCTGGTCCTCGTCGTTTCAGCTTTCGCCACTATACCGTGTGTTGGGGGTCCTTTGAGGGGTGGCAATGCATGACATATCTTGGGGCCAACTTGCGACTATGGATGATTCAGAAGCGAAGCCAGGATCCCAGGCAAAAGCTTTTCGTTCAGTTCTACTCGATGTTTTTACCTTTCAATCATATACCCCGCGGTGTCCCTTTGTCCTACCTTTGACTGGAGCATATTGAAGACTCGACAGGGAGAGTATCTGAGAAATAGCACACCCCTCTCTGTGAGCTCGTTGGAAGTGCTGGCGCTCATACCTATCTGCAGAATAGGTTGAATATATTGCCATCTATGATATTGTCACTGGCGATTGCGACTGAGCTCGAAGAGGGCAGAATTAATATTAGATGTATATTATGTCATGCGTGCTTTGAAGTGTGATGGTCAACGTAGCTGTTATACCGCAAGGTGCATGTACTCTCGCAAGATCCTTCGTATGTGGCAAAGAGAATGTAGCCTCTGTCAAGCGAGTGAGAGAAACGACAACAAAATTGCGGAGTATTTCCAATCCCATTAGTATTTTTGTCTTTCAAAGAAAGAGATATCTGACCAGGTTGCTGTACTACAAGCTTTTACTGCGACCTGCCATCGCATAATCCGGGAAATAGGTCGCCATCTGTAGACACCGAAATGATATGACTGGATGTATTAGAATAGCTAGCAGGCGATAAATATACCAGTGTAGTTATGATCAAAAAAATACTCGCAGTAGGTAGGTGAGAAAGGGTATTTAAAATAAGACAAAAAGAATAATTGAGCTCCGATACGGGGAATCGAACCCCGAGCTGCCGTGTGAAAGACGGCGATGTTAGCCTTTACACCATATCGGATGAAGCTGACAAACGACGACATTTTTGACTATATAGCTGCAACTTATATATATAGTTCTAGTAGATTGTTCTTCCTGGCCTCCAACACAGGCTACAGCATCGAAAACCCCACAAAGGCAGGCGGTGAGTCACCCAAAACCCCCGCGTAAAAAATTCCAACCACACATAAAATCCCTCGCCAGTCTCCCTCTCCTCTTCTTTTTCCTCTCTCCAAGCGCCATCCCAACCAATGCTGCGCTTCTTTGCTACATACGGCGATGGCTCTTCGAGCCGTCGTCCCCTCGCGTGATCCCCGCATCACACGAGGGACATCCCGCAAATGAGAAATTCGGAGGAATCTTCACCCAAAACAGTAACCCGCTCTTTTTGTCTTTATCCTTCCGGGGGGAAAGACAAAGAGCCGGTGCTGCCCGTGAGGGCCTGGTGTGATTTACCACACCTGCAATTGGCATCAGAAACATCGGGGAGAGGGGGAGAAGAGCTTTTGTACTCACGTGCATCTGCTTCTTCTTTTTTCTTTACCCCATGGGAGAGTCGTTGCGAAGATTGTGTGTCATGACACTTTAGTGCAATGCGCGGCGTGCCGTTTCTTTTTCTCTTCTATTCTCTTTCTTTCTCTCTGGAGGAGGAAGGGAGGGAGGGAAGGGGGATGGTAGCATTCGATTCCGATTATTCTGGTTGGGGTGGCGCTTCACCCTCTCTTTTTTTTCAAGGTTAGTTTATTTCTGCCTGTGGACTTTTTGCGCTTGGGTGTATGCTTGTGTGGACTGGAAAGGACTTGTTATGCCCCTGCTAATTTGTGGGGGTTTTGGGCCTACGGGCTGTTTAGGGTTGTGTCGTGACTTGTGGGTGTACATGTGTGTTGTTGGACTCTGAATGATTATGGTGATAGTGATGGTGATGATATCTGTGGATCTCACAAGGTCTTTGTTGTCGTTGTTGCTGTACGCATACTGTGCAAATGGGAAATGCATGTTGGACCTTGACCATCGCTCGTATACTTTCCTTGTCCATTGCCTTGACATGTAGATTTGTAGTCCATGATCTGCGAATGTTGGCCCTCACCCGACTCAATAAGTAGAAGCCCGGACGTCTGATAAATATTATAAGATGATTTCCACCATTGTCCTATCCGGCTAATGTTCAGGAATATTTTCAGGGATATTAAGAAACAGAAAACAAAAAGTTCGTGCCACCGTAGCGCTCCCTCCTCATGTCATGCTTGCTATCGTCTTTCGCTCTCATCTCGCCTCAATCGCATCCACCGATTACTCCTCGTCTCCGATCTAAATCTAAATTAGCATCGATCCATTGCGAAGTCTTAAGAAGTGACATACCTTCGGGGCGAGGTAGAACCTCAGGTGGCCACTTCCGAGGCCGTACTCAACGAGCAGTGGCACCTCCTGCGACAGGCCAAGAGAAACCGTGCTTGACAGAGACGTAGCCTTGCAGAAGTTGACCAGGTACTTGAGGGAGAAAGTGAGAGCGACAGGTTCGTTCAGGGCAATGGAAACATTCTGCTCGGGCTTGTCCACACTGGTATGCTGGCGGATGGTAACCGAGCCGCTGCCAATATCACCCTGGCACGAGAACTTGATACCTTCCTTTGTAGCCTCAATGACCACTTGAAAGAAAAAAAGAAAACAGTTAGCAGGGGACCAAAAGCAAACGGAATTCTCGATCGATTAAAAACGAACCAGACTCAGATAGCCCCGAAAGATCTCTGCAGATCCGCTGGAATTCCGATGACGGCATCTCCACCAACGCGGCGTACTCTGTCTCGGGGATAGCCAGATGTTCTTGATCAATGTCCATCAGCTTGATATCATACTCGCTTATCCGATCTGTCTCGGCGCTCTCGAACATCAGGTTCACGGCATCGGGCGAGTCGTCCGCCTTGAGTGTGAGGATATCTTCGTTCTGAGCCGCACGCAGAACCTTGGTCAGGGAGACCAGGTTGATGCCGAGCGCGATGTTGCGGTCGCAGCGATAGGGCGAGAAACCCTCGGCCTTGAGCAGCATGGAGACCAGGGCCACGTGTGAGTTGTCCATCGCCTGGAGGGCGATTCCCGAGTCATTGCAATCGAAGTTGCAGTCCTGCACGAGATCCTTGATGGCGTCGACGACCTGGAGAGGGTTCGAGTGTCAGGTTGGTCCTGGACTTTTGCAGTCTAGTCTAGAATTGAGGGTTTTTACATACGCGCTTGAGAAGGCTTGCCTGTTCTAGTCGTGCTTCCAACACTTAATCGACGGTCAGCGGATCGCTCAGACGGGATAGGGAACTTAGATGCTTACTTTTGACTGTGTATATGGAGGTGTGTGTGGATTAGAGGGGTATTAGAGGTAGACGAAGAGAATAGAAGGAATGATCAGATAGGATGAATGTCTGTGGATAAAACACGCCTTGTTAGCTGCAGTGTTTATTGACCCCCAGAACCAGAAAGACTTACTCGTGAAAAGTGGTGTGAGGAAATAATGATGGACAGAAGCCAAAAAAGCGAGAGTTGAGGTTCTAAAGTGCTGTAAATTCGCGTTCGGGGTTTAGTGGGGAGCGGACGCGTTCGCGGGTCGCGCGTCATTCGTTTGGATGGCCTTAGGCTGATATGACCATCTTCGGTTAGACTCACCTCTAGCCTTAGGCATCAACATCGCTGCCTTGAGTAGTCCTCCATACAGAGGATCATTGGGGTGCTTTTTCTTTGTCGGCCCTGAACGTCTGACCGTAGGTTAATAGTCAATTTTTGATTCCTATTATATGCAAGAATAAGAACGTTATAGTACATATGAAATCCCAGCGACTGCCGGTCTCAGTAATGAAAGAATAGAGGTACAAGATACAACATCAAGACAGCACAAGAACAACCCAAAGAAGGACAGAAAAGTAGATACATTGTCTGAAGAAGGAGTTTAAATGTGAAAGAAGGTAAGAAGAAGGAGGAAAAGAATAACGCCAGTGACGCCAGTCCGCTCTAATTGCATCGGGTATCAGCGAGCGGAGTTCGTTTGACCAATGCGCACTCAGGGGCAGTGTGGAACATAGCATGCTCGAGGACATTATATACTCGCTTACAGAGGAAGTATATCCAGGAAAAGGTAAGTGTAGAAGAGAACGAGAAAGGATGGCAGGAAACTGGAGGGCAGCCGCGAGCATCAGATACTCGTGACCCGCTTGGAAGCTGTGACACGAGGTCTTTGTTTAATGACCATCTCGAGTTCTTTGAGCATGCTGGTGTTTGCATCCACACGATCCCGTGCGGCGGCCTGCTTTGCCCGGTCCTCTTTGACACGCGCGATGCGCTCCTCCCTGGTTAAAGAGGCTCTCTTGTTGCGAGCGGGAAGAGCTATGGATTCGAATATCTCCTCATCATCATCCATACTTTGGACGATGCTCGGATCTGGGCGCAATTCACCATTCAAGGCCCGAAGCGCATCCGACGGGCTCCCTTCCACTGCAGTGACGCCTCCAAGGCTTGGTGTCGGCGACAGAGGTATTTTCAATGCGCTCGGCGGACGGGAGAGGTGGTCTACCGAAGATCGTTTGTCAATGCTGTTCATCAATGCAGATTTGCCAGCCTCCCATTCTTGTAAAAGACCCCTGATGTCAGTCCCAATCGATTCGTACTGAGAAAGTAACGCCGCTTCGAGTTCGCCAGAATCTGCGGATTCAGGGTTCGAAGTCGACAGCTCCCGAATGAGGTGCATCTTCGCATGGAGGGCGCGGATGCCTTGAGTAAGAGTATTGAGCTTTCGATACTGAGCACGAAGGTTTTCCTTATTAGGAGAGGCTGTCGGTAGAGGCGACGGAGGAATAGCGTCACCTAGCGCGCGGTCAACTATGGAAGGCTTCCAGTTGATGTATGGTTTCGGCACCAGGGAGGAAACTCACGATCTTCCTCATTGAGGATATTAGTCATTTTTTGAACATTCGCGCCCGTTACCTGAGCGAGATCTCTCATCTGCTCGATGGCGGTACTCCATCTTGCGATGTCAGATCCGCCGCCGTCAGCACCCAGGGCGAGCAGACAACAAAGGATACTTTTTCTGACAGTGTAAAGTCTTCCGAAAAGAGTCCGCAGCGCGCGCAATGAATACTGGTCTTCTGTCTCCCGGTCGGCCAGGGCTGTTGCAGCTTCAGCGAGCTCTTCCAGTGAGACGTCGTAGATATCATGGTATTTTGCAAGATTATCATTGTCAGTAAGGGGTTGCAGTGTGCGCTGCGCCTGTAGGTAGCGAGCCAACATTGAGTAGAAGCATTCCGAGACGGTACGACGCAGTCTCAGACATCGTCGTGTTTGCGCTTGATCCTCAAGCCTGCTTACGGGAGGCAAGGGCGTACTTCTAATGCGAGGTCAGCATTTCAACGCGCTCCTTGCTTGGAAAATGGGGAGGACGTACATGCGATAACCTCGTGAGACCAGCTCAACTTCCTGTATGAACACAACTGATGCCGATGCAGCCGAGTCGAATCCCTGCGCATTGCTTATGAACACCACAGCTGCCTCGACCGCTTGATGCCGCAGATATTTGAGCCACTGTCGCCTGGCAAACGCGTAGAACAGTACTCCGAGAACTGGGACCAGCACCAGAAGCACACCGACTTTCCGCGGATTAAACCCTGATCCTGTCCGAGACCGACTCCAGTGCAACAACCATGCGATTGAGAAGGATGTCGATGCCGTAACGACGGCTCCTTGCACACCGAAAGTTGTGGATAGCGATGGGAGATCGGCAAGGTGAGAGTTCGATAGCACGTCTGCGGCTGATGTGTATGAGGGAGCGCTGTGTTCGTTCAATAACTGCGATGCAACAATGACGTATCCAAACTGCTCCAGAAACCTTTCGTTGTCGTTTCGTCCAAGGCGCGAATTCAATGCGGCCTGAATGGTAGAAGGAAGGTATCAGTTTGGGCCTGAAAATGACTGATGCGACAGGAAGAATGGACTCATACTGAACAAGCACCGTAAAGTTTGCCGAGAACTGCCCCCTGACGCGAGGACTTCAGCTCTAGGGGCTTAGGCAGCCTGTTTCGAACACGCTCTTGAAATGTTGACGTCCCGCGCGGCGCAAACTCCGAAGGTGTCGAATGGAAAGGATCATCGGTGTTGTCTGTCTCCTGGGCCGGCCAGTCTGCATCATATTCACCTTCCCCTGAGTGGCCAACAATCGCGTTATTCAATGATCTCAGCATAGAAAAGCCCTTGCGATAGATCTCACCTTTAAGATATTCCGCCAGCGGCGAATTCTCATAAACCAAAGCTTCCATGGCCCGCGATCATTCCGAGTTATTGTATGTTGGGAGGAGAGGATGGATTCAGGCGGGATAAGGCGGATAATCGTAAGATGAGGGGTGACGGGATAGCGAAGGTTTGTTGAAAGAAATGAGGCAAATCTCACGAAGGAGATGGAAAAGACTGGAAAAGAGTGGCACGGAGATTATTTATCTGCCCATCTCCGCAGCGACCTCAAAGCGCAGTGTAACTGAAAGACGACCGACGTCAATTGTGTATCAGTTCGTCTGGAGTGGTGGAGGAGGACGGAAGCACACGACGATTAATGAGAGAACAGCTGCGGAGTAGACGAACTAGTTCATCACATGGATATCTAGGATTAGATGGTAAATAGGAGTAGACAGTAGAAAGAAAGAAAAAAAACAATAGGAGCAATTATTTAGCTGCGTGCCCTGGTCTGGTCAACATGCAAGGTACAGGAGACGGAGAGTCGCCAGGGGAGAAAGAGGGAGAGGGCCACGTTGAAGATCAATCGGACTATCCGACCATGCGTCTGGGCCTTCTGGGGAAGTCTCAATGGACGGTTTGCAGTTGATCGAATCGGAGTTCACACGGAGGACATCTCTTTGCGAAGCCATTTTGGCTTTAACTTGTTAGTTTCGCTCTTGGACCCACTGAACTCAGGGACAAGAATCGCAAATCGCCGTACTATTCGGGTCGTGGCGCATGGATGTAACTCTTTACTACGGAGTACAAGAGAGCAAGATGACATCTGATGCTCTGCATTCGAACCCAGTGAGTCTATCCAATGACCAGCCCGGATGACAATAGATATCCATGCTCAAGTGACACAAGATCCGACCGAGGCTGCATTCTGATCACTTCTTGCTGCAGGAGGCTTCTTCAGATGTCAACCTCGGACTACTCCGCTTCCCTGCTGGTGGTCTGTGGGATAAACTACTCCGTACATTCTTATGAAGACGTCTGGATAGGGGTCCTCATCGAGCACATGGACATGACCCTGACTGATCCGTGAAGCCACAGTGTTAGCCACCAGAAGATCAGGTACTCAGGTCCTGCGCCTACAATAAACTAGCGAATGATTCAGAGATTGATACGCAGGCAAGTCTTTTCGCATCGCTACGAAACAGGAACAAGCATGAAAGATCGACTTCAATCAAACCGGACGCGTCTGGAACGTGTGTCGTTACAATTTATCTCGTATAATACCTGGGTACTAATTGAGCTTGCAAGATGCGCTTTGACTATGGTTTACCTTGATACTCCCTATGACGCGCCCTCTGGTCCTCACGTTGAAGGCCTCCGCTTGTGGTAATATCGTTACCAAAGCATATATGGCGGCTTCGTTGTCTCTTGGCTCCTTTGTAAGATTCAAATCGCACAAGTTGACATGCTGTCGGGATATCCGCGATTGATGCATTTGAGTGCCGAAGCAATATCTTGAGGAATTTGGCTTCTCGTAACGAACAAAAATAATTTATATCAATTATTCTGCAGACTGGTACATAATGGTGAATATGCTGATCTGATCGAGATATCCGGAGGGGCTTGCCTTGCTGCCTTGGCTGTACGGGGCTGTTACCCGAGCAACCGCCCTCCATCAACAGTCTCGATCTCGCGTCTCCATACAAAGAAGTCGTTCCATGAAACTATATCTAGACAGCGTCTCATTTGATTAACTAGTTCCATTATATCTCAGTATCCGCAGCAGTCTGTTCCAAAGTATCGAGTCATCGTCTGTATCTTATCAGCATCGTTCTATCACTTTCGAGTCGTGTGTATCCCTTCATTCTAGTTGCCCCTCCTCGAACAAATATATCCCTTCGAACCGAAATCCCGGTGGAACTGTCCGCCCATCAACAGGGGGTACTCCTTGACACTCTTGAAGCTATCTGTATGGAATAGTCTAAACATATCCATCACCATGTCGGGTATATTGGAAGAAGTTGGAACTCCTTGTCCCCCTGGGCTTCGTCCCTCAAGAAGCAGCCGTGGAAGCAACGCGTTTGACAGCCTTTGGGGAGATACCTTGAGCTATGCCGACGAAACAGCCAACCTCGACTTCACCACCCAGATCAAACAATCCACGCTGATTGGAGTCAAGCCACGACGAAGGACAAAGACGGGAACATCCTTCGCAATCCATGATGACAACGAAGGCAAACCTACAGAGGCGATGCAGAAGCGGAAAAGAGAGAACACAGTCACAGCGACAGCTCCAGGCCGCAAGTCCTCCTTGCTGGCGCAGCCTGCGCAAAGATTTCGTCCGAAAGTGAGCTTCGCATCAAGCCCAGCACCCAAATTATCGAGCCAGAAAGAAGGACTCGCGCACAAGAGACAGAGCATAGATTCAAACACAGAGACGAACAGGTCGCTTTTGATGCAGATCAACGGCGGAGATGGAAGCAGACATAGGGATCTGCTCAAGCGGGATGTGCGTCGCAACACGGTTTTCATTCCACCAGAGGATACTACGGTGGCCAGTGTTTTCATGGACATGTTTAGCCCACTCAAATCTGATGACGCCACTTATAACATCCAAGAGGATACAGAGATCAATAGCTTGGAGGCACAGATTGTGAAGAAACGACAAGCAAAGAAAGCAATGAACTCAGGCCGAAAGACACCACTACAAGCAAGTGTGAAAATTAGACAAGAAAACGCCATCAGAGTTGATATTGCTGGAAAGAACACTGGGAAGGAGAACGTACCTCCAGGAACAGTCCTCTTCGATTCGAAGGACAAAGGTCTTCAGAATGAGATGGGAGATAAACCAAGGACGAATCCGATAAAGGATCAAGGATATGGAGCTCATCATTCTCCGGAGCTTATATATAAACTGACAGCGAAACCAATCCAGACAAGGCAAAAACCAGTGCTGGGCGAGAAGTGGAATAACGCCAACGCACCCGTGGTCAATGTCAACGCCAGAGTGAGCGACATGGCCAAAACTCGGTCACGGCTTGAAAGTTCAGGTTTATCTATGCTGAAATCGGTGACCCCTGCCAAATTGCTCGAGCAGTCTGGGGGATACAAACACGCTGTTTCGCGTTCGAAAGCACAGATCGCCCTGAACGAACATCCGCTCATCACGGAAGATATCACCAATCCCGCAATGTACGAGGACAATTGGCTTACACACCAGGAGGTGGTTATAACTCAAATGTTCAACGGCTTGTTTGACCATATGGGTGACAATGCGAAATATGACGACCCTGAGATCTTGAGACATGAGCTTCTCCGGCTCTACCAGAGCGATTCGCTCATGCAGCTGCACAAGCGAATCCAGGCGTCATTGTCTTATGGCTCTATGAGCATCCCCAAAGATGTTTTGACGCACACTAGGCGACTAAGGCAGGATTTAGGCTTGAAGCGGAAGTTTTTGGATATCTGGTTGGAGACATACGACGCTCAAGCTTTGAAAGCAGCAATCGAAGCTATCACTGGCAGGAAAATTGTTAGTAGTCCAAAGCCATTGGGTGAGGATTCTCGGTGCTCCTTGGATAAAGCAACTGCAGACACCGGGAAGATGCTCAGAAAGAAATTGGAACGGTTTCTGGATGTTTTTTTGGTGCAGAACAAGGACATGGACCGAGATGTCCAGAATAACACCGATGGAGACTCACATGTGGCGGTTCAGGCATATCGTCGGACTGTCCTGCGTAGCATCATGCTTGTCGTTCTTTTGGATCAGGCAAGATGCTGCCCAGGAACGATGCTCCCTGGCCGACTATTTCTGACCAATTCACCGTTCAAATCTTCTGCCGCAGTGATGCAGGGACTGGCCCGCCTTCTCCTACCAGCATCGGGGGATATCATGAAATCACTTGGGCATTTGGGCTGCCACCTATTCTATGAGCAGCATCGATTGCAAGAGTACGAGTATCAGATGGGGAATCTTGCGGTTGATCTTCGAGACGGTGTGAGGTTGACAAGGATTGTGGAGCTTCTTCTCTACCCATCTCAAGCGGGGTCCGAGAAGCGACTGGCCTCGCCAGACGGGAGCGGGCCATGGCCACTATCCCGACGTTTGAAATTCCCTTGTTTGGGCCGTGCGGTGAAGCTATTCAATGTACAGGTCGCTCTGGATGCATTGGCTGCGACCGAGGATGTTGCAACGCTCATCAGCAATATACATGCGGAAGACATTGTCAATGGGCATCGTGAGAAGACCATTGCGCTGCTATGGGGACTGGTCAGCAGATGGGGATTGTCAGAGCTTGTGGAATGGGATGATGTGAAGAAGGAGATTGAGAGACTGAGGCAGAAGGCAATCTCTCGATTTGGATATGAGCATCTGCACGAACTATATCGCCTCAAGGGGGAGATTTCAGGACCTTCGGCGGAAGGCAGCGACGAAGCAACTCTACTACTCACGCAGTGGGTATCCGTTTTGGCCCACCTGGACGGCCTCCGCTTTGAGAGTTTCAGCACAGGCCTTGCGAACGGCAAAATTTACGAGAGTATTGTGAATGAGTATGAGGGCTACATTCTGAGCAAGCCAGAAGAAGAGAGTACCAGCTCCACGAATGGAAAATCGGCCTCGTTGGCATCCCGTCTTCAGGCGTTGGGCTGCAGCTCTCAGTTCGGTGAGTACATACCAGAACCTGCAATCATGAAATGAAAAGCTAACCCGTGATGACCGCACAGCAAACCTCTTATCTCCCAAGGCTTCGAGCAGGACACACATTCTCGGAAATGACTTCACAGTTGGAGCACTGGCGTTCCTCTGCTCCCGACTGCTCTCCGCTAGTAAACGAGCTCGGGCCGCGATAGTCCTCCAGAATGCATGGAGACGCGTCCTCGGTCATCGGGAAGCCCAGCGGCGGGCAGTGGCAAGGCACCTGGCGGTTCAATGTGCAGCTGTAGTACAGACACAAGATCGACTGCTTTGGGCCCAAGCGGTTATCGTGCAGTGGTGGAGGACAGTCAAAGCGAGGAGGCAGCGACGTGACCGGCGGCGTGTCCAAACAGCAAAACGAGATCTTCAACGTGGTACTGGGAAGGATGGCAGGACGCGCGTTTAACCACGATCCTGGGGGCGGAAAAGAGCATGGGGACTGGTTAATGCTGATGGGGGATACTTTGCATATGATTTTAGGTGTTGGTCGATCTGGTGTTTGGTTTGGGGGGTACCCACGAGGCTACAGGCCACAGCGGATCAGATTGCGTATAATTTCTGAATGGACCGGTACTGCTATGCTGCGAATATCCTTGAGTCAATCGTACTCTATACCAACTGCATCTTAATCATGATGCCTGGTCTAGTATATTCTCTCCGACATCACCTGAAAGTATATTTAAAAACTCAGCCCTGCGACGATCACCAACACCAACACCACCAACCACAGCTATCCAACTTCCACCAGTAGATAGAACCCTGGATGTTTCATCCTATGTCATCTCACAATGACGAGACGAGGCTGGGTTCAGTATCTCGATAGTTAAATGGCTGGGCTGGGCTGAGCTGCAACTCGCAGACTCAGAGTTTCATCGCCACACCAGATGATGTCATCCATGCCTATTAGCCGTCGGCCGTCGGCAGACGGAAAGTCAGCCAGCTGATCTAATCTTCTAACTGAGCATGCCTTGTAAGCGTCTATGGAATTACGGGCGATCACCAAAGGGTCAAAGTCACTGGGATTGTTTCATTGTCTGGTTATGGTTGAGCTTGGTGGTTGGTGGTTGGTGTTGGGCTGTGGGATATGTTCGGGGCCGACTGAGGTGGATGAGGAAATGAGCTTTCTTTGGGCTTACCTATTGGAGTCTGATCACGTGGATCGTTGTTTTTAATATGTACCTATGGGCAGGGAAGAGCTACCGAGGGATTCTCCGGCGTGCAGGGTCTGGTTTTGTTTGGTGTACATATGGCGTAAGTATGACTTGGGGGCGGACTCTGTAGTCATGTAGGTAGGACCTGGAAGTCAAGTCTCTTGCTTGGGTAGAGGATGAGATTACGGAGTGAAGAGCGCTGGAAGATACTGTTGTTACTTGTTAGTTAGAAAACCTGACTAGTACTGAAGATAATCGAACATTAACTCCGATTGTCAATCTTGGTCTATCGAGATAGGTCATTTTAACACCAATCGGTGGAGTAGTAGTACTCCGTATACTCCGTACTATCACTGCGTGACTACCGCGATCAGACTGTGAGATCCGCTATGCTACAGTATCACAAACGCCCACCGAGGCTTCCAAGCAAGAGTAGATTCCCCCCAAGAAAGAAGATAAGGACAAGAGAGAGCAATGAGCAAATGCCGATGCTAATGAATAATGGTATTATCAATCTAGTGTAGCTACCCACTCTGGTGAATAATATGTCCTGGAGCTGGAGACAACTTCATCAGTTCCTTTTCCGGTCTGCGGTTCTAGCCTGCGGGCCTGGTGAATCAATTGTCTTGGTCCCTGAGACTGTGAGATGTCTGTCACCCTTTGGTAACTAAAATCTAGAATTCTAGACCATAGCCAGTATGCCAAGCTGATGATGAGTGATCACCATATAGTTGGATAGTACGGAGTAGATAGGCAGTACGTTACCACAATTCAGGAAAAAAGGGTAGGTATAATTGCTTTTTGTAGCATTGTCTGTTGACTAAGCCCTGTATCATGTATGGCTTTGAAGAAAATGATCGACAATGATCGACCCGTTAGTATCAGGAGTCTCACTCCTTCACGAACCTACATATGTATGTGTGTAGGCAAAGGGGGCGGCGCAGACCGCAGTTCTTGCGCCTCCCCCTTCCTCGATAGCAGATCCCAGGCCCGGCTTTACAATATATCTCATTCCTGTCCAACAACAGAGAATGAGCAGGTCTTGGTAGAGCACTTGGCAAGAAGCAGAGTAACTCGAATACGGAACATCCGGTCGACCATCACATTGGAGGAGAGGAGGTGGAAAAAAAAAAGCAAAAACGTCTGCCCAGCGTTCACTACCACCTCCGCTGCCGACGGGTCACCCGGGGCACGGCCAGAAAAGTATGTAGCCGGCCAGCATAATCCGAGCAGATTGATAATAGACCGACGCCCGAATTGACCACATTGGTCATCATTCGACCTGGATGACGGAGAGGTCGTCGTCTTGGCGGAGAGTTGAGGGGAGAGGTTAGGAACGTTGCCAAGTGCTGCTGTGGAATGAAAGGGGGAGGCCACTCTCTTTTAAGAAAGTATAATAGGAGGCCCTTGTCTTTTCGACTTATTGTGTACCGTCATGATGATCCGTCCCTCGCCCGCCCAAGTCGAATTGGGACAGTGCATTGGGCGCGCATAACTGTGCAACCACTATTCCGCTTGGCGCATCTTGGCGGAGCTCTTGGCTGCCTCATCAAGCATGCAGTTGCTTCTCTAGATTTGGAATTCAACGGGTGGAATGCATTGTGCAGTCGATCAGGAGGGCTACCCTCCCCTGCCTGTCTGTTGTTATGTCTTGGCGGCTGGCTGAGGTTTTTTCTGGGGCCACTGTGCTGAGTACGGAGACTTTGGTAATCTAGTTACCCCCCGCCAGTTGCTTTTGTATGACTTCAGGAGCGGGCGTGATATTTCCCTTTCTCTCTCCTTTTTGAGATCGGGCCCTTTTTTCGATCTGGAATTCTTCCATGACAGATCAGAGTCTGGGCCCAAGCAAGGGCGAGTCCATGTGTAGAGCATATTCTGTTAGTCTGTTACACAGTTGAGGTTTAACCTCACTCCCATGATCAGTGTTGTGGTATGTACTAGAATAGCCCAGGGAACTGAAGTAGGTAGGCATAGTATAGTATAGTATAGTATAGTATGGTATGGTATGGTATGGTTGATACCGTATCGAACTTTCAGGACGATACTCGACAGCTGTAAGTTTAGAACACAATGTCAGCAAGGTACAACCAGAGTATGGATTCCATCACAGCTGAGCATCAGTACTCCGTATGGCTTCAAGTCTGGGGTTGGAGGAAGAGTATCCTTGGAGAGTGAGGGCCGAAAGGGTCGAGAGTCGAGACATCGACATAAAAGCATTGTTAGAACTTTTGACAGGCAACCATACATCCACCCCGCATATGATCCTGGTGCGAACCCGTCCTTTTAGTCCTTTGTCCCCCGTCCCCTGTGTCCACGATGATTTGGCAATCATCAAAAGAACCCCCCCCCCCCAAACCCCCGATAGATGAAATCTTCATTTTAATGAAGATGATATACGACCCGATGTCCTGGAACGAAGCAGCTGTCAAACGAGGACATCATTGACAGCTGTCTGTGCTCTTCGATCAGTTGATTCAGCTGCCGGCGTTGCTGGTCAGCGTTTTTAGGGTGTTTCGCTTACTGCATTTGGTGACACTTGCATGCACCAAAAGTGCCTGAGCGAGAAAGGGCGGTTGCTCGAGTGGAGAGCGCGACTTGCAAACTGGCAACTGACATAAATGCCTCATACAAAACCAAAAAAAAAAAAAAAAAAAAACTGGCCATGCGGCTATTGTTAATAATCCCGTGAAGCTGGGGGGCTTATGGGCCGACGTCGGCCACTGAGACAACTACACAACCTGTAAACTAAGGCTACGACTGTCTCTGGTTATAGCCATAAGATCCTCTCCGCTGCATTGGAAGGGCTGAAATGTCCAGGAGAGGTACAATTCACCAACCTCCACCGACCCTTATCCCAGGACGTAATCGCAGTTTGCCTTCTCCAATCGCAGGAAATCAACTTGGGAGGGGAAGACTCGCGATTAGCGATAGGATGTCTTGTATGCCACATATTCTTGATCCATTCCCAGGTTTGACGCTGGGACATCCCCTTTCCGGTTGACCGGTGACCGACGGTGGATGGTGGACACTGGACAACGAGCAACGCAGTCTGTTCGCCCGGCCCTCTTGCGACTGCGAGCCCCCCCAACACCGGCCCTTTTCGGTGTGCTGGCCACGAGTCCTCTAGCTACCCTGCCCTTGCTCTTCAGCTAGGATGATTGGAGTTCGGTCGTAGCCTCGAATGACGGCACTTCGATCGTCTCCAGGTCTAACTGCAGTGCCCACGCGCTTTGAGTCTCCGATACGACGCGTGTAACGCTGCGAGAGCCAGAATTACTCAAGAGTCGACATCAAGCTCCGTCATGGATGCTTGTTTGAATCTCTCTCATGCACAATAGACTCGAATCCCAACGGAGTAGGCCGTAGCAGTCGGATACCGCAATGGTCTGATCACCGGATTGAAATCGCACCCAGCCCGTTGGAGTTTTGGAGAATCCGAACGTTTTCTCGCTACCCTGAACGGGAAACCGGGAGCTGGGACTGTAGTTCGCCTCCCTTGTCCACGGCTGCCCGCTTGGGTAACAGTGTCGCTGTTGCTCAGTGCTCAGTGCTCACCGTTCTTCGTAGCGGACAACTTTCTCCTTCGGCTTCCACCCATCATCCATCCATGACGGCGAGTTGGAGCGAATCTGACCAGCTGATCGTCTGAACTCTTTCGAAAGTTGAATCATCCCGGTTGCACCTTTTGACCCTGCAAGGATCTTGGCAGATCTAAAACTGTAAAAACTAAAAAGATACCATCGATGATCAGACTTTTATCAGATTGGCCACTGGAGGGGGTGAATTAAAGACAACAACCGCGATATCCATATTATGATATTCCATCTGGCGCAAGTGGGGGTTATCCTTGTACTGTCTGAAGCTTGACCAAGACTTACCAGTGACTAGTAGTCTAGTACAGCACTCCATAGATACTTACGAGACTACTCCGGATCTAACGATGAATTTTGATTTGATCTCATCTAATTTGATTTGATTTCTGGGTTCTGATTATCTGGAGTCTGAACCTTGTGGTTTGCGAAAGACTGACAGCCTAATGGACTCATACTTCATCGACCATTCGCTGCAATATTCCTACTTAGCTCGTAACTCGTAGTATTTTGTAGCGGCGTACATAGTAGTTACCTACCTAGTCCTAGCCTTGTGCTGGACTCCACTTTTTCCCATCGTTCCAAACGAGGCTGGCGAACTGGTCTGTTGGCGTTCAACGCTCGCCATCAATCAGAGAGAAGGGTTGCTGTCTTTGCTTTTTTTGACCGCTTGTCCGGCGCAACAACCTCATGATCCTATCTCCTCGGGCTGAAATCGTCACCTTGCCAGCCAAACTTGTATCTCTATTGTTGGCTTGTGGGGAATGGAATTAGGGAGTACTGTCCAGAGGATCCGGGGCATTGGGAAAAAAAAAACACCACAATCGGAAGGTTTCTGAAGTCAACAGGGGACGAAGGGCAGAGATCGTGCATAGGGTGGATTTTTCTCATCGCCACTATCTACTGTGTACACAGTATGCATCGCTTTGTCTCGGCTTTTCTCAGCCTGAAAATGTCCAAAGCCAACAATCCTTCAGTTAGCAGACATGGATGATGCCCCTTTTCTACTCCATACTCTGGAGTCAGCTTCGGAATTGAGGTTGCCTACACTGAAACGGACGTTGTTCAGGTAGCTGATGGGTCACCATAACGGCAAATAACAATGGACCAAGTTGATGGAAATACTGCTTGCCAACAGCCCAGCCTAGCTGGACGTATCTTTAAACTTGAAACAATCACTATTGATGATGGGATGAGAGATGACCCTTCCTGGCAAGCTCTAGATACTAGTGAAGTCTACAAATTACTAGGTAGCTACTATTCCTGTGCCCCATGTGAGCCATCCGCCATGATCAGTTGAGATCAGTATTAGCTGCAGGTCTCCCAGACCACCTGGTGGTTATTTCTGGCAGCCTGTTGGCCCCTGCTTGATCTTTAATAAATTTGGTGTTGTATCTAGTATCTACTCCGTACAGCCAAGACAAAACTATGCTTTTCCAAGTCTGTAGTAGCAGATAGTTATTCAGCAGGAGAGTCAAATAGTACCAATTATTTGTGTGAGTTGTGACTATTCTTCAGGATGTTCTGCGGTCATCTTCTTAAAAACATCAACCCAGGTTGTCTTTCTTTTAGAAAAAAAAAAAGATTCTTGATATTCAATTGATTGTACTCCGGTACATGGATTGTGCATATCTTGGATAAAAGTAATCACCTGAGTATGACTGTTACTGTTATCCCAGCCCAAACTCGAATAGCGTTATGGGAAGATAATTAATCGGGTAAACCCGCGTGCTTCTTTACAGGGGAGGACAACCCTCCGAGAACCTTCTGTACATGATGTGAGATTACTACTTGCCTTTTTTTTTTTTTTCCCTTTATTTTATTGTTGTTGACTTATTCATGCTTAAGTATCTCACAGCCTTAGAATATTCCCCCCCCCCCCTCTACTACAAATCCCCCAGGATAATTTGTCATTCAGCTAAGAGTGCAACCTACTCCGTACACAGTACGTCAGAGGGGCCAAGACCCGTGATTTCCAGATCTGGAGGGCGTTCGAGAAAAGTCTACCTAGTCGCCAGGCAAGGGAAAAACGCTCGGCAGAGGTCACGAAAAACGAGCCGTCCCCAAGTCAAGACCATGTCGCAGAACGTTTGGCATTGGATAATGCCATTGCAAGTTATCTCAAGTATAGGAAGACGAAAGTAAAATAATGTGAAGTTGTTATTGAAGAAGATATGTACTCTTAGTATCATGCAGCAGTGACTAACTAGTCTACCGAGAAACTTAAGATTATGAAACCAAGAAGGTTACAGACATGAGCAACGAAGCGCGCAGAGCGCCCGTTATTATTATCGTGAACTCTGCCTTCTGACCCAAAAGTAAAATCTGCCTGGTTCAGGAACCATACAGAGTGCAGCGAATCGTAATTTATAATCTGTCTAGCCTGGGAGTTCTGTTGTCCAGTGATGATAGCGGCGCATAGAGGGACCAGCCAGTCGCGAGTGTTCAGTTTTGGGGTTAAGTAATATTGCAGTGTAAAAGGGTCTGCCCGGACTCCCTAGGCAGGCTGCAGAGTGCAGAGCCAACGTTTTCACAGCTTCGGGGCGACGGGCGACTGTAAGTCTGTAACTTGTACTTGTACGGAGTAAGGCTCTGGCGTTAGTACTCGCCTTCCCTTTGTGGTAATCCCAAGTCTGCCTGCCTGCCCGCCCGGTGTTTTTGGCGTGGGTGGACTGGTAAGATAATGTAAATGCTGTACGGTATTTGAGGATCGAGGGCACTAAAACTAGGGCAAACCTCCCAGTCCCAGAAGGCGCACTGAGGCAGCCGCACTACAGCAGACCGCAAGATGAGCAGTTGGCTGGCTTTAGCCGGTCGTTGGTGAATTACGAAGAGATTGAGAGCTGACAGCAGCTCGTGCCGCCTTGATGTCTGTCCCGTGGAGAGGCGTTACAACTTACAGTAATAGAGACGACCTAAAATGGTGTACATGATTGTCGATTGATGAGTAGTACGGAGTACATGGGAGATCGAAGTCTGCAGGATAATCGTGCTGTAGGCTGTATCTAGTCCAGCAGCAAGATCCGGATCATTATTATGACTGTGAAACTTGTTGACATGCTGTCTTTTGTCTTTGTATGTAACTAAGAATACTTGAAGAGTTGCTTTGTGTGGATTTCATTTCCTTTATCATCATGATCCAAGAGAGCAATCGTCTTTGATCAATTCGAGTATAGTAAAGCAGGGCTTAGTCCCATATACAAAATCCCTCATAGTGAAGAAGTGGACTCGGAGGCTTCTCTACCAGTCATTTAGGTATACGGAGTATTCGCTATCGTTGTTCCACCCAGTTGATGGAACCGCGTTCGGCACTGCAACCACTTTTCCTCCAAATTCACGGTCAAAGAAACTGAAGCAAATCCAATGATAATCGAGATCTTCTCCGCTCAATGACATTGCTCTGTAGAGACTCCCGTTTTGCTGCACTGTATACAGAGTCAGTTTCTATGACCTCCTCATCCCATACATAATAATGTTTCTATTTTAAAATTGTTGGTAAGTCTTGCTCGTATTCCTCCCTGTACGTATTGATCGTCAAGGTTACTGTGTGACAATACATTTCGTCGTAACGTAGCCGCAGGAACCGAAGTATGCATTGGGTTGGTGGGAAAGAGCGACAGGGTGGATCCCATCTTGGCGTGGGTTAAGGATGAGTTTGACTTGGACCAAGCGTCAGTAGCTGGCTGCAGAACGAAAGAAGCCCAAGAGAAGATCCCCAAAGTGTAATAATCTGATTTTTATTATTTTATTATTCTTTTGAATTTTTGACTTTTTTGATTTTTCATTTTTTTTTATTCATATTTTTTTTGGTGTTTCCTTGGGTGTGGCAACCACCACCAATGGTTCTCATTGGTTTCTTCTCTATGACCAAATCGATTTCCTCAACCTGGTGCCGCTCTCCCGCCCCGTCATAGAAAGACGATCGCCCCCCAGCAAATTCCCGTTCCCCCTCTCTGTGGTGTACAGTAGTGTATGGTTTTTCGTACAGTATTTGTACTGCGACCCTAATTCCTTTTTTTTTTTTTTTTTTTTTTTTTTTTTTTTTTAAATTGTGCTGGACATTTTCCGCTAATCAGTATTACCTGCATCTACTACTACACTTCAACTCTCCCTTAACATTCCTCCCTCCTCTCCATCTCCATCTACCGAACACTGCCAGCACATTGCGTCTCTGATTTCCCTCGACGCGTCTTCTTCTGGCGCTCTATTGAGCTGCCACTCCTTTTGAAGAAGAAGACTTGTACGACTGTGCTTCTTGGCTACATACCTAACTGCCTTCTGCTATTCTCTCTACTTCCCTTCCATTTCCGCCCCCCCCCCCCCCCCTCACATCATGTGTTGTATATCATGACAATCGTCGTCCTGTCTAGGACACCCTCATATTCTGCCCCCTGGGTCGATCGATGGTATCATTGATCGATTTCGAGAGAGCATCTTCTTACCACCCTTCTAATTCACTATCCTGATCCTTTAACGGAATCCTCCATTGGCTCTCCGTCCTACTATACTACCAACCGCCACCACTATATCGTCGAGCTTCACATCGAACCCACCATCAGCCCTCATAGATCTTGAACTCGATCGTCCTCCTTTCACCTCGACTTTACTTCGACTATAGGGATGGCATACTTACGCGGTGGTGACCGACCCTTTTCCTCAATACACAACATACTGAAGATGCTACTTTCACCTCACCAATCCAACAAACCTATGCAACAGGAAAGCGATATGGCTGAGTACATGGATGAGCCTGCCGATCACCGCCTACATATTACCACGGCTCCCATGGATATGGATGACGGTGTTGTCTACGTCAAGTCTCCAACCACCATGAGTCGCGGAAAGGAATCTCTCCTCACCCGTGCGCTCAAACACAGTCCGGAACTGAGCCCTGTCGACCCCCAGGATCACTCATTCTACCGCTCATACCACTACGGCAACACCAGTGGAATATCGACTGCCGAGTTGACCAGTGACGGCGGTCTTACCAGCCCCTCCTTGTCTAACACACCGAGCCCTCCATTGTCTCCTCGATTGAACAGCAGATCCGAAAAAGATACGATAGAGTCGACCGTTGAGGCAGGCCTCGGACGTAAGAGATGCATCAGTTTCGCGTGTGGGCGCAAGGTTGAGGGCCAGAAACCCCAACGATGCACAGCACAGGCACCCACTACCGAGTCTAGGTCTACGGAGCCCACAAAACGGAAAACGATGCTCACTTTCGTTTGTCCGGCCCGAGACTCCGATTCGAGAAGAGAACGGTCCCCGCCTCGCAGAACTGCCCTCCGGTCACGGCTTCGTGGATCTCCCGCCCCTGTTGCGCGCAAGGCATCTCCCGAGAAAGTTGCGTATACCCTGGCCAACGTATGCAAAACTGAGAAACCGTCTGCGGCGAACGATCAACGGGGCGTTCCCGTGAAAGGTCTCGGCAAGTTCGAAGAATCTGAAGCGACCCGGTTCCACGAATTTGCTAGTTCCGGTAGCGAGGATGATGAATGGGTGACCAAGGCTGACGATTTCACTGAGAAGATCACTATGAGTGATTGTATGAAGAAAGAAATTGCTATCAGAAAGCTTGCTGAAGAAGCTGAGGAGGAAGCTCTTGAAGAGGATGAGGAGGAAGACGACGAAGATGACGACGCAGATTCGACCATTCACGATTTCTCCTCGGATGATGGCAATGAATCTGACAACGAGGCCGGCTTTGCTGATTCCGATGAGGAGAGTGATGGTTCGGAGTATGAGTTCTGGGCTCCAGCTTCGACGACCGCTGCCACAAGTCCTCAGACCGTGGATGTTTCCCGTCAACCACTCGACCGCCGGGGTTCCAACACCTCCATGGATTCGATGACTGACGACCCACGCAAGAAATGGCCTCCGGTCCTGGCCTGGAAGGCAAACGGTCGGTCGCCCTTCAAGCCTTCCAAGATGCGTCCTGGTACTCCCAACCTCCCCGACAGCACGGACTTTGTTTGTGGAACTTTGGATGAGGATCGTCCTTTGGAAGCCGCCTACAAATCATGCATCGAGCAACGTCGTCTTTCTAAGCAAGTTCTCATTCCCCAAGATATCGACCCGAGCTTCCCCACATCAGACCCCGAGAATCAGGATGACCAGGAAGAGGATGAGATGGAGAAGTCGTTGATGGTCGACGAAGCAGTTCGTGGGAGAAAGTCTGGAGACTTGACCCACAAATTATCCCCCCGTCTGTCTCCCAAGCGAATGATCTCTCCCCCTCCCCGTCGTCTTGGTCGCATGTCCCCAAGACGGCTTCGGTCACCGCCGCCTCCGATGAAGCTGAGATCGACTCAAAGCGGCGATAAGGCCTCGGATGACGAGCTTCGTCGTCAAGACTCCCAAGGGGTCAACATTAGCGAATTGGTTCAGCGTCCACACATGAGTCGCACCAAGTCGCTGCCTCGGACTCCCAACCCTTTCTTCAGCACTCTTGACAAGTCTCACCGGTGGTCGTCTATTGCCACGCTGAGGGAATCGCCGGAGCGTGAATCGTCCCGCACCCGCGAGGTACACACCAGAGGCCCGATCGACATCGTCGAGGGCTTGGAGAAGAAACGCCAGAAGCGCAAGGAGAAGTTTTGGCGCCAGCACTGCCGCAAAGCTGCCAAAGAGCAGATGGAGCGGCGACCCATTCCCGGAAAGGGAGCTGAACGGATGAAGGAGCTTGGCCTCGAAGTTGCTGAGAGGTGCAGAGCTTACGGTGTCGGTGAAGATGCCCAGCTCGTCCTATCCATTTAGGCCTTTTTTCCATCAGAAAAGGATTTGTGTCTTCCTTGTACATACTCGACCATTATTTTCCCCCTTTCACTTCTCCCTCCCTGAAAGTTTATTTGTTATTCTCGACAGCCAAGTGGACTGATGTGTTGTCCGCGCTCATTTCCATGGTCTCTTGTGCTATTTGTACAATTCTCAGCATTGCTCGGAGGACAACTGCCATGCATTTACAGGGAGATTCCTTTCTAATGCTTTTTTTTTTTCTTTTTCTTTGCCTTCGTCTATACATATTACCCCCTGCCTTATCGTTTTAAACCCTCACTTTTATTTCCTTTCTTTGTTGTGGCCGGAACCCGTGTTTCAATTTTGTTCTGCATGCTGCCGGTTCATATGGAGGATACCCCCCCTGCTTTTGTTGCTGCGTTTGTAGATAGGCCACAACATGACAAGAAGACCAAAACCTGCCCTGATGAAGATGGGGGCACATTACAATGAAAGAAACATTTACAAATCAATCCCTTTTTTTTTTCCAGTAAATAATATGAAGTCATTTGTAACTCGATCATGATGAAACAGGTGTGCAGCTTGCCACTGGTCTTAAGGTTGATCGTTCCGGCGGTAAGCAGGCTTTAGCGCTCGGCTAAGCGTTCAAAGCAAGCGAGTCGGCCAAGGGTCAACGTCAACTCTGCTCCGGCCACCGCAACCTGTCTTCTTTTACTCTTATCTCCAGCCCACCTGCTCGCCACGACACCTCTGGCCTTTTGTTTAATTACTTCCGTGATCGTCAGCAATTTCCTCACATCTATTTCTTGAGGTCTGAAATCGATTCCGCCATGTGGATCATCAACTGGTGTAGGTAGTCCCTTGGTGTTCCTGCTCTATTTTCCCTGGCACATGCGAGCATCCAAGCTTGCCTGTTATTCGTTCCGCCTTTTGGTCTTTGCAGCTTCCCCAGCCAGCTCTTCTGGGGAGTTTATCTTCCCACTTTAATCCTTTTTTCTTCATTGCTGGGGGATCTCATTGCTGACGACGATATGTTTCCACTCTAGTCTACGATGTGCTGGCCTCCCTTGGCTTGCTCAACAAGCACGCCAAGCTCCTCTTCCTCGGTTTGGACAATGCCGGAAAGACGACCCTTTTGCACATGTTGAAGGTGAGATTGGTAGTCTGCGGGTGGAAGGAGAAGAAGGAGGAGAAGAAGGAGGAGGGGGAGGGGGAGGAGATGTCTGAAATGCAGGTTGTGGGCTGACACGTGGAATGGATGGAATAGAATGACCGTGTCGCGACGCTCCAGCCCACGGCGCATCCGAGTACGTTTTCCACACCAGCCCAGGAAAAGAGACAATATGGGAGGGAGAGTGAAGAGCTGACGAGGAGTAATTAGCATCGGAGGAGCTGGCCATCGGCAACAACCGGTTCACGACTTTTGATCTGGGCGGTCATCAGCAGGGTGAGTATTTTGACTCAGTTTAACGGGAAGGGGGTGTGTTAATGGTTTGTTTCGTGATCTAGCCCGTCGTCTGTGGAAGGATTACTTCCCCGAAGTCAGCGGCATCGTCTTCCTCGTCGACGCCAAGGACCATGAGCGCTTCCCCGAGTCCAAGGCCGAGCTCGACGCCCTCCTCGCCATGGAGGAACTCTCCAAGGTTCCCTTCCTCATCCTCGGCAACAAGATCGACCACCCCGACGCCGTCAGCGAGGACGAGCTCAGACACCAGCTGGGTCTGTACCAGACCACGGGTAAGGGCAAGGTGCCTCTGGAGGGAATCCGGCCCATCGAGGTGTTCATGTGCAGTGTTGTGATGAGACAGGGTATGTTTCCTTCCTTACCTCCGGTTGAATGAAGTACTGATGTTTTTGGCAGGATACGGTGAAGGTATCAGGTGGCTGTCTCAATATGTCTAAACGATGAATCGGATTCTCATTGATACCTATGGTCTTTTCTCACGACCACTCCTACCTCCTCACTATCCCCCTACCTACACTACACACTCCCTCATCTCATGATGCTGGATACTTTGCCCCCCGATCCGTCCATGCTCCGTTGTTCTACTCTATCTATCTATCTATCTATCCTCTGTCCAATGCAGATTCTAGCGATCAGTTTCAAGCCTGCAAGCTCTTTCCCCCCTTTCACACCCACTTGATCTCTCGAACGAAATTGCTTCCCAAATATGCTGTTCTACGCTCTCTCCTTCTTGGTAACAATGCACATTGCGGAATACCCGCACGCCAGTACGCAAGTAAGCAAACATCTTTCAAGAGGGAAATGATACTACAAAATCGATAAACCCGTGGATTGCAATCCTACCCTACTCTGAACAACAACACCGCGTGTAAAGTCAACCACAAGATGGATACTGCCATGCCATACCATACCAATGTCAATGTCAATGCCAATTCGTACAAATCTCATCGCTTTCCCCTCCCCCCCATGACGTATCTTAGATCCCACACAATTGAACTCCCCCCCCCTTCTCAATCTCAAGTCCGAAGCTTCCCCAGCACAGCAGAGGAGGTCATTAGAGCCCTAGCACCAGCAAAACGTAGCTAGATTCGAGAGGCGGTAGAAGGCGGAGAGCAAATGGAAGAGTGAACGGGGTTTCGAAAGATACGGACATGTCGTCTGCTTATTCGGTTGGCATTACACTCACACGAAGATTGTTCAGAATTGCGAGAAAAGAGGAGGAAAGAAAAGTAAAAAGAAGCAAACGGAAGAACACCAGATGCAACCCGTCGCTTCTCCCTTCACCTTGTCAAAAAAAAAAAAAGATCCCGGACAAAAACGAAGAGGTGACACGAGAGAAAAGATAAACAAGGGACAATGGAATGGGACAGGAGAAGGAAGAAAGAGAGAAAATGATAGAAACCTCTAAAACCCTCCCCTTTCCACGGAACAGAAAGTACCTTCCATATAGAGATGAAGAGAGAACATTCGGCGCACAAAAAGGAACTAAAGGGAAAACACTTGAGGCCGGAGTCGCTGGGGTTGCTATGGAAGGAGGATATGGTGACGGTCTTGCAATGTTGAGAGGTCTTTTGGATGGTCTGGTGTATCCGCGTTCGAAATCGTCCGAGGTGAGTCTTCAGGGAATTCGTTGTGGGGAATCGCTATGTCGTGTGGTGACGAGTATGGAATTGATGGCGTTTATCTCCGCCCGAACCTGCTGCACATGGAAAAGCTCGTATGATTTCTTACTTCTTCTTTGGTTTGCGCGGAGGAGTGATGGGCCTGCCTGAGCTCATGCCCCCGTAAACGTACTTTTGTTTCTTTTCTGCGGGTTTCAAGATCTGAAGGGAAAGGATATCATTAGTTCGTTTGACCGACAATGGGTATGGGTGTTAAAAAAAAAAAAAAAAAAAAAAAAAAAAAGACAGAACCTACCTGGAACGAACAAAGAAGGCTCTCGTCGACACTCATCATGGCACCAGCGTTGTCAAACTCCCCACAGTAGTTGGGAGCACTGAATAGCGTTACAAGCTGTCTCTTCGAGAAGAATTCGTAACCGTCCTCGACCACTTGATGCGCACGGCATATCAGATCCATATCGTGCTTCTGAAGGAAACGGGAGACGACATCGGGTCCGAATGTGAACGATACACCTCGGTCGTTTTCGCTCCAGCCCGTGATATCCTTATCGGGATCGGACCAGAGGAGATCGCAGAGAAGACCGCAGTCGGGAATCTGTTGGAGTCAGCAAATCAGGCCTTGAGCTGCACCGAGCCCGGCAGAAGTCCTTTTTTTTTTCTTTCCGCGCTGCTTGGATGGGGAAAGCGGATAACCATCCGAAGGACTTTGACCAGAAGAGGGACACAGAAAGAATACTCCTCCGAGCCCCAAGAAATAAAAGATCGGGGACTTACATCAGTCGGACGCATCACGCGACGGATCTGTTCCATCGAGTTCAGATCGGGGCTAAGACCGCCGTGCATGGTGAAGATCTTCTCGTCAATAATAGCGGCAATGGGCAAGCAGTTGAAACAATCAGTGAACGTCTTCCAGAGCTTGATGTTATACCGGCGCTTGCACTCGTCATAGAAGCCATAGATACGGTTGATCGAGGCGCATTCGTGGTTACCACGGAGGATGAAGAAGTTTTCGGGGTATTTGATCTTATACGCGAGGAGGAGACAGATGGTCTCAAGCGACTGCTTGCCACGGTCCACATAGTCTCCGAGGAAGAGATAGTTAGCTTCAGGCGGGAAGCCACCGTATTCAAAGAGACGCAGGAGATCGTAGTATTGGCCGTGGATATCACCGCAGATCTGATGATACCCTCGAGCATTAGTTTCTTGATATCGACCCGACAGTCATCAACAAGGCGGCAGCATCTTACCTTGATGGGCGCTTCCAGCTCCAACAGGATCGGTTGAGAAATGAAGATCTCCCGGGCCTTAGTGCAGAGGTACCGAATCTCCGATTCCAGAAGTTGAACCTGCTTTCCAGGTCGGCTGCCCCTCACCTCCAGCAGTCTATCAATGATGTTGTCCAGATCCACTTCCTGATCGGCCATGGTGTGCTGCTTTTGGCGACGATGACGAAAAGAGAGAAAGAAAAGGGGGAGGAAAAAAGACGATAATTAATACAGCGGCGTTGAAGGAAAACGAGTGGAGAAGAAGGCCGAAAAGGGAGGTGGTGGTCTTCTCGGAGCACTCAGTAGCGATTCAACAGGATTACGCGGTGTCTATGAACTGTGATACGAAGCGTCCAAATGTTAGCAGAGTGCAAGCGATATCATCAGCGATGCAAAGATGGATAAAAGTGTAAGCTCAGACGCGTGATGAAATGCGCCCGGGGGATTTTTTTTTTTTCACTCCCTCTTTCACCTTTCCCATCTTCGAGGGGGCGACGGCGGATAGGAAAAGACGTGTGGCCTGCTTACCGAATAGGGTCTAGAAGAAAATATCGACTCCAAGGGAGCTCCAAACAGGCCAAATGGCCTCGAGGGGGGGAAGTTGAGGTTGAGGGAGGAAGGATGTGATCTGGCAGCGATGCCAGACAACGTGATAAGTCGTAGCAGCCCCCTCCGAGAAAAAAGTTTTCTTTCAGGAAATTTAGAGAAAAAAAAAACGAATAGGATCCCTGAACGATGACGCGCGATTGCAAGACGACTTGATGCGGCTCGTCGCAGAATCTGGAAGAACAGGCGTCGAAAAAAAGAGACCGGTGTTGATGGATGGGGTTGCTTAATGCTTTTGGACCGGGTGGAAAAAAAAAACGGGAAGCGTGTAACGGGAAAACAAGCGACGGAGACTGTGAGGAGCGGACTGGACTGGATGGGACTGGATGGGACTGGATTGGATTAGGGAGAAGCGGGTGTGGGATGAGAAACCAGCAGACCAAGGTGAACAAGAAAGAATCCGACGATGGTGGGAGTGGGAGGGTTTTCCTGACAAGACAAGACAAGAAGATGGATTATTGATTGATGGATGGATGGATGGATGGATTGATAGATAGATAGATAGAGAGATGAAGATGATGGAATGGAGGAAGCACAGCTTGGGAAGAAGAAAATCGATGACTGTTCCTGGGTTGTGGTGTGGCGTGAGGGGGTGGGAAAGGGAGAGAGAGAGAGAGAGAGAGAGAGCAGAGTAAAGTACAGAGTAAAGTACTCCGTAGTAAGTACTGCGAGAGAAGAGACAGAGTCAATCAAGGGATCTATCTCTTCTACTACTTCGTCGTTCTCCTCGTCGTGTTTTCTTCTTCTCGACTGTATCGTCTTCCCTCTTCCTATGTTCTTCTTCTCTTCCGTCCTTTCCTGTTCTCTCGTTCTCTCTATTAACCGCCAAGCAAAAGGGAGAGAGAGCAGACAGAGATTTCTCAGTCCCGGGCTGACGTTTTGTATATCTTGGCCTAGTCTCTCCGTCGGCGATCCTTTTATCTGAGTATTCTAGAAGATTTAAAGATACCTGGCCAGCAATTTACCGGAGAGTTTCTTTTTTCCAAGGGTTTCCAAGGGCAAATGCAGGCAGCAACCCAGGGAGTACAAATCAGACTATGAACTGGCAATCGGCTGAGGGAAGAAGACAAGGCAGAGGAAGAGAGAGCTGGAGGTATTTTCTTTTCGCTACTGCGAGTGCGGATTGGCGCGCGCAACAAGGCGGCGGGTGTATTTCGTGGTAACTTACATACCTACATCCATAGGTACCTCCTACCCTGTATCTCCTGCCTCAAGGTTACTTTATAGATCTACGAAAAGAAGAATGTATCCCGACCTCCCCCTTCCACCTACCTATATCTATCTATATCCAAATCATGAAGGAAGCAAAAATCTCAACCTCGATTCATCCCCGACTTCCTTGTGTTGATTAATAATGAATGAGATATAGTAGGTACCTCTGGAGCCTGCCACTCCAGTCTAGATCCCACCCGCAACACCCAACCAAAAATAGCGCTCAGACATGGCTCGTTACAATGAGTACCACCACCACCACCACCACACTCCCCCAGAATTGTGAAATGGCGTCAACACAACTGCTGCAAGGAGTTGGCGCTCTGGCGTCCGATTAAGCTTCAGTCAGCGGATCCCATTTATCCCCAGGACAACGCTCCAAAGCTTCCTGAGTCCTGACGGTGGAATACTATGTATCTGCATGCAAGCAATGAATGGGAGATGTCTGCCCCACATGGATCTCTCCTGAGACAGCTTCGATGTATCAGTGACAACACAATCTCAAAAATCCGGATGTTGATGCCGAGCACTACGGAGGAGTAGTACATACACCTACCTATGGAGACTTAAGACGATTTTCTACTGGGAGGAATGGTTATGTAGATTATCAATAGGGAGCTTCCCCTCTGAAATTGCTTGGAATAGATAAACCTTCGCATTAGCCACAGATTCCCCCGGGAGAATCCGACTCATCACAGATAACTTCATGTCTCATGCATTAGGCCCAGTAACTCATCACTGGAGCGTTGACCAAAAACCGAAAGAGAAAAACAAAAATGGCACGCAGGTATACATGAAGCAAAAGGTCATCCAAACATGAGTAGCAATTCTCAAAACCAGTGCGCATCGTCAAGAGAATCCCGAGAAGACTCGCGGAAAGTAGGATAGCGGAAAGAAGAGTCGGAGAGAGGGTAGGAACAAAGATGAACCGGAAGAAAAAAAAAGATCATGACGCGAGAAACAAACATCCAGTAACGCCTTGACACCAACCCCAGCAGCCTTCGTCAAATACAATACAAACTGTCTAAAAAGGGCAAATGCCTTTCATGGCACCACCCGAGTGTTGCTCCTCATCGGGTTGAGGTTTGAGTGTGGAGAGCGAGGAGGAAGAGGACCATAAGAGTATGTCGAGGAGGAGGAAGAGGGCGCAAAACTGTTCATACAACCAGCCCGCAAATTGAAGTCTCGTGTAACGCCATAAATAATGCAGTCGAGCTGCTGATTGCCAATGGGGCATGAGTCTGGCAGCCAGCCATGATGGTGGGGATCCGAAGTAATCAGAACATCGAACCGGGGTCGAGAGTACCGCTGTTCATTGTCCCCTCGGAATCCTCTCCAAAGTCAGAAGAAAGATGCTTTTGATGTCCCAAACGTCTTTGAGAAAGAGAAATTCGCATCGTCGAAGTAAAGGAGATAGAAGGCCCATCATGTTCCTCTCTGATCCCGATTCCTTCAGTTGATCTGAAAACACTGTACCACGCGACGTCAAGCCGTGGATGTTCACGGCTAATCTATAACAGCAGAATTAAGGGTGTCCACCACTGAGGATAGGTTGACTTGTCGCTCGCGGAAATGAGCCAGTTGTCATCATGTGCGGTTCGCCAATACTCGTTCCAGTGCGAGGCATGCCCATATTCTTGTCCCACACATTGTCTTCAAGCAGTGTGAGCCAACTGCTACCGAGCTGCTGTTTGAGGGCTTCCAGTTTCTGCATGTAGAACTCTTCATCGGCTTTCCAGTCGGTATTTCGAGGGGTGCTCTGCACGGCGGGGGCTGCCTCGACCTGCAGTGCGGAGCGATCGTCGACTTTCGGATCAGGGAGAGGTTTGGCGGAAATTGCGGCCTGGGGTCCACCATCAGATTTCCATTGACCGTCGGAAGGCGTCGTGACAAACAGATCAACGGGTAATTGAGCATGCTGGGTGGAAGAAACAGAAGGCACCACCGCACCTGAATCGCTGCCAATACCACCGCTGGACTTATCCAATGAGGCATCAATAATTCTCCGTCGCGGCCCCTGCTTTCGTCGACTGGATCCAACTGTAGGGTCATTCTCTGATACATGATCCTGGAAAGGGTTTGGAACAGAAACTCCATGAGTGCCATTTGATGGCTTGCTGACGATAGCAACGGCGGAATGGTCCGCTGCAGCTGACCGTATCACGGGCGCGCTTTCGGGTTCAGCGGCGCGTTCGACCAACTGCTTTCTTTCAGAATACCCTGGACCAGACCCATCAATAATGATGTCTTCGGAGTAACCTGGTGTACGGCGGAACAGATTGAAGATCACAACCCGGTAGTTGGAGTGCGTCTTGACAAAGGGATTACCAGACACCCAGATCTCCCGTATCTCAGGGAGATTGGTGAGCCTGGCAATTTCCGTGGGGTCAAAGAGATTGTTGTCTCTGAGATCCAATCGCTCAAGAGAAGGAAGACGCTCAATACCGGCAAGCGAACGCAAGCGGTTGCCGCGGAGATTCAAAGCCGTGATAGCAGGAAGTGGGTTACGAGACAGGGAATGGAGAGAATCGATCATGCAATGGGAGAGATTGAGAGCCCTTAAGGCCACGAGAGACGACAGGCTGTCAGGAACTTCTGTGAAGAGATTCGCCGACAAGTCGAGCGAATACAGGCTGTTGGCAACCGGTGCCAGGCTAGCCGCAGTTATGGAGGTGAGAGAATTGTCAGGGAGACCGAGATGGCGCAGAAATCTCCATTTCGAGGGTGGAAGAATACCGGCCGCTAGATTCGACGGGCTCCCGTTTCGACAAACAGAGTTCTCACTGGAGTTCGAGCTACCGGATCCCGTCCGCCTGATTCGCGAGGGATTTCCGCGACTATGACGATAGCTCGAATGTTTCGAACTGCCAGGGCGCGAGGGCGAGAGGCTTCCATTCCGGGCGCGACTCTGGGCGGTGCCTTCAGACCCAGTCCTCATCATGGAGACAGCCTTGGGACTCGTGCTTGTTCCAAATGCCGTGTCGGCGATTGGGGAACCGGGAGCGGAAAGAGAGCCAGCCGAGTTGGCTTTGTGAACGGGTTGAGGGTTGGCGGTCCCATTCCACCCGAGAACTGGCGAGTGCTGATTTTTCGAGGATCGGCGCCGACGCTTATCGATGTCGTCCAGCACAATTCTGGTCAGTATATCTGCCACATCCTCGAGATTCGCCCTCTTGATGGTCAGTGTCCGCAACTGCTCAGACAATCGGTCCCAGCCGAAGAATGAGCGATAGTCTATATCAATGATCTCTAATACGCTCAAGTTTTTGAATGAGTGGAGAGGAACAGCAGTGTCGAAGGGAAACTCCTCGTACCCGCGTATTAAACGGGCGCGATGATCGGGGGCTAAACGCAGACAGGGTATCTTGGTAAAAGCAGAGTACAGGTATTTGAGATCGCCATCTAGAGCGGCTTTGGCTTTCTCCGACTTGGACGCAGAATCCTTGGATCCCAGACCGATGGAAGACCAGAGAGCACTCATCCCAGACATGACACTACGGACACTGGACACAGAGTGGATAGACTCTCTGTCGCCTTTGGACCGTTGGGGTTTGTTCAGAAACGAGACATACGACTGTGACACGTCTGTTTGAATGTTCTCCAGTCTAACATTCATAGGTCCGACTGCGATGGAAAGATCTTCAAAGCATGAAAGGAGATAGAAGAGATGATGGGGGGTGAGGGTGAGTTTGGCGGGCTTGATGTTTTGAGAGGCAAACCGCAATGCCCCAAAGGACAAGGCAGCCGCCAGGGTAGACGAGGCCGAGCTTGAAGACAAGCCGGACTGGGAGGATTGTACATTTTTGGTCGATTGGCGTCTCAGCTGCAGTGCATTGGCGAGAGCTTTTTCGTGGGTGCGTACGAAGCTTGCGAGGTTCTAGGAAGCAGGAGACTCAAACGGTCAGCACATGTACATATACCCACAGCAAGTGCACAACGAAATCGAAGGACTGGTGTGTACGCACTTTTATGAAAAGCTGTCCATCTTCAGTGTTCAGCTTCTCCATTACGGAAGGTGCCTTGCCCAACAAGACGAGGGGGGTCTAGCTAGGCGAACTCTGAAGAGGGACGCTCAGGAGGTACTCGCAAGTTGAGAAACAAAAGTCGACATCTTGCTGGCCACAGGCAGGAGGAGATCGAAGCGCGAATGAACCTGCAGTGAAGAAAAAGTATGGACCAGTCAGTAACGATTCCCCCCCTGGGTTCCCATAAGCAACCATATCCTCCAGGACAGAGGAGGATATGAGTGAATGGATGAAAGTTGTCGATGGAGAAGGAAAGAGAAAGGATAGGAAATACCTTGCAAGATATAGAGAGAAGGAAGTGAAGGGAACTTGAAAAGTTCACAAGACCTTCCACAACAATGGAAACCGGATGTGGTTCTTTTCTTTAGGGGGGGAGGAAGATAGAAGATTGTCGCCTGGACAGATCCCAAGGAAAAGAGGCTTGCTGAAGCAGTTGACTGTCGAAAAAGAATATGACAGAAATAGGACGGGATGGAATTCTCGAGACAGGGACAGGGGGTGTGCTTCTTATTTTTTTTTTTTTTAGTATTTTTTTTTTCTTTTCTGGAAGCTAATATGCAAGTACCACCACCTAGTGTGAGTAGGTGACTGGGGGGGGAGGGCGGATACGGAGGTGCGTTGAATCAATCAGCTGAGGGGCTCGAGGGGGCAGTCAGCAATAAATAATACCGAGTATGACAGGGTAAGCCGATGAGATGAGGATTGATAGTTTTGGATATAAGAAAATAGTGAAAAACTATCAAGAGGATCAGAGGTCAGAGGAGGATTCAGAGGTCAATATAATAATAATAATAATAATAATCACGCCGGAGACAGCGGGTAGACAGAGAGAGAGAGTCATAGAGGGATGATTACCATTATCGTATAATAGATTCTGTTATCGTATGAGCTCTGGTTTATTATTCTGTGGTTTTGAAAGGGAGCCGCTGTGCCGGAGCTGTCGATGAGAAATATCCCGTGGTACGGATGATACCATCATACTGACTCCGTACAGTAGTACCTAGTAGGAGGTACTCCGTAAGAGTAAAAATAACCTACGACATCGGATACCCAGTGATCGACTCTAGTACCATCAATGTTTATAGGTAATGGATGTGCGGTTTTTCTTTTTCTTTTTTTTTTATTCGGAGACTTCTCTCCTCTTCTTTCTGTCTATCACTGAGTGCATCGAGTCTGCATTCATTCCACGCCATGTACAAAATACCTGGTAGCAACCTACGTGGTAGAGGCTTGGATTGGGTTTGCTGCTGAATGTCGACGTCCGTGGACATTCCCCTTCTCTCTGCCGCCCCTATCAAATTTAGTGATGCTAGTGCAGGTGCTAAGTACTGAGAAATAGATAGGCTAAGGCAGCTAAACTCTCCATGGTACATGACTGGACAGTGAACGATAGTACGCGAGGTTTATTATTGGTAATCTCTGTCGGGATCCCTTCCTATGATGTATCATCTTGGTCCTTTGTTCTCATCTTCAACTATCTGGGGAGGACTTAAGCACCTTAGTGAGTGGGATATCTAATATCCCGTTCGACTGTATTGATTGTATCCGCCCCGTTGCTATCGTCGAAACGCTGGTACAACCATATATAACCATATTATTGTCATGGGTTATCAACTTATCAGCCATCATTCTTTGGGTCTAAAGTGACTAAGTGGAGTATCTTTCCGAATCTCCCAAAAGACTGTGGATATCCCGATCACTGTCCTAAGTTCTAACTTCCTAAGAGTCCTCACCACGGAGCATCTAATGATTGATTCACAAATAGGCCATCATCAATCCTAACAACCCAATCAACCAGACAGACCGACACGCATTATGACGGCAGACGAGCTGATCACCAGCACCAATTTGAGTCCCAGCAACTCAAGATGCAGGTCGGCTGAAAAAAAAAGTAAGAAAAACTTTGTATTTTGTTTTATTTTATTTTTATTTTATTTTTTTGCCCCTAAGCAGATGGTTGCTAGAGGGAAAGAAAGGATTTCGCAGGAATGAGGAGCAACCGCCAGCAAGTGCCCGGTGGTTCGCTTGACCCGTGCTGGCTTGGAAGTCCGCATTTTTACGATGCAACTGTGGTCTGTGGTTTCTGCGCCCCGGCGCCTGGTTGGCCGGAGGAATTGCGGCGTGCAGCTGATAACCTGATAGCGCCCTGGGCGGGACATGTAAGTATAAGTGTATTGGACAAATCATCGGCCTGCCCCAGTTGCCTACATAAACGCTTTACCTAGGACATACTAGGCAGTGAAGCGATCAGAGGCGAAGTCACCTTGAAGAGGGATATTAAGTCGTGTCCTCCGTAGTTATCTACCTAGGGGTACAAGAAAAAGAAAACAAACCTACATAGGTCCTCTCATCCCCGTACAAAAAGACTATACAGTAGTCCGTTGTTAGTGGCCTCAATGTGAGGATCAAAAGATAGATGCATCGAAGCTACTCCGCTGTCTGTATATCAACACCGTATCAGCAACCATGGGTAGTGTAACTGGTGTTCTTATCTGAAACTCGGCACAGAACTCTTCTTCACCTGCACTTGCCTAGTTACGAAGTAGTCTCGCACTAACCTTTGACATTTCTCAAGAGGCTCAAGTGGAGTATTATTAGGTGATATTCTACTTGATTGTTTCTTGATATATTTCACTTTTCCCTGTCAAATGACCCGACTGCGGCTGGTGGGCGCTCGATGATCATGTCATCGGCCATCCAATGCTTGAAATGAACCCTTCTTGTCTTAGCTGAGAACCTAGGCGATTTATTTAGCTTGGAATCTCAGATCACACACCTACGTGCCTTGACCAGGATCAAGTATCAGAGGTAGGTACAGCGTTCTCATGAAGTTGATTGATAGGCTCAGCAACAGAGAGTATCAAGATTCAAGATCTTGGATAGTTGTAAGAAAGGTTGCTCCTCCGCTGTCAGTAGTCAGGCACACCGCTCCATCATCACACCACATGCTTTCCACCTTGACTCAGATAGGCGACAAAAGTCATCACTCGATCCATGGTTCGAACATTCCCCATCCTTTTCATATTATCTCTTGTAAAATGTCTCCATAGTCCATAGTCCATACAAAGGCCCCACGTTCTTATGATCGCCGGAAACTTCTCGAAATCCTGAGACTCCGTATTGGCCGTATCTAATTGCATGACGCTGATCAATGTCTGTGATTCTACGCGTGGGCGCAATCCATGCTCCTCGTATGAAATTCCTCAATTGTCTGAGACTTGCTGGGGAAAAATCTCCAGTCTCTCAGGTTGAAGCGATCAGACAAGGTTTTCAAACATGGATGCATCCCTTGTCCTCCTTACCTCGGGAGAAAACCTTGACGTCCTACATCGTTTCGAATAGCTGCATGGTGATTGCCAGGCAAGGAAATCATCGCCTTTGAAATCCTAGAGAAGAGGTACTATCTAATGGCAACTTTGTGCAGCTGCAATACGCGGCCCATACTTGCAGAAGGCGCCCCAGACACGAAGTCTGAATGCACAGATCCCTGCTATAACGTCCAGCACATCGATCTGACGATTGCCTGAGGAGGTACAGCGCCTCTATTAACTTCTCATATCATGCGAGGAGGAGGATGTTGCTTCTTGTCTTCTGGGATCCCAGGCAACTGTGTTTCAGTAAACGTGGTGAAGGGGCTTGGCGGCAACGGCCTTTTGAGTTTGAGCAGTCCTCCAATATAGGAGTGGTCTCCATGGGTTGCAATGACCAAGGCGACAAAGTTGACGATATCCAAGGCTTGGAAACACATTCTTCTTTGATGAATTCAAGATGCAAAGAAGAATTGACGACTTTCACATGACCTTTAAAAAACAAGCTATGACATCTGATCCGGGTCTCCATATTTCAAGTTGAAGTCATCATCCCTTCCTTGAGTGGAGGAAACCCGCCCTATTGTTCTCCGTCGTGAAGAGAACCCGGGCCGGACGTGGAGACTTTGGATACATAGAATACCCGTTTAGGAATGGCAGATCGAGCGTCTGCCGGGATTTTTCTATGGGAGGGTCTGCCTATCCACTGCAGTCAACCGCTCGCGTACACGAATGATCAGCAGAACCTAACGCGAGGAGCGATTCTCGTGCCAGTAGTTAAGTTGTAACATGATAACCTCCCAAACGTGGCGGGTCATAGTCATACGGATACAAAACCCACCCACTTCCCACTATCCCTGCGTACGACTACAAAGTTTTTCATAAGCCCTTGGTTGGGAAGCTTTCGAAGCCATGGCCACGCAAGAATAATATCAGCGAATGAACAAAACACAAACCAACGCCAAGAGACTCGGTCTGGACTAGTGGTATGTACATGATCCCTACCTGCATCCGTGATCGCGCACATACCATCATACGGTCATACCAAGGAGTCCAAAGGAGATAAAATGACCGATCTTCATGCACGGTGCAAAAAGAGGAAGAAATCGGACGAAGCAGGTCGGATCATGTGTGTTATTGGATGGGGCAGCCGTCTGATGGAGGGGTGGCAAGATTAAGATTAAAACCTCATGCGGGCTGCTCTTTCGGGCAAGGCGATGGCTCTTTCGATTTTGTATTAGTTCGGAAAGGAGGTTCCTCCTGACTCGGACGGGGGTTCAACGGCGGCCCGGAGTGTGTGTGTTTGAGGTAGTATTGATGGGATTAAGCGGCTATCGCGCAATGATGCGGAATAATAACACTAGGTATAGATCTGATACTGGTACAAGGAATATTTATTGAGTACTGTATTGATGATACTGTTTAAGAGAGACAGCCATGGCGAGAAATGAAAGTAGAGCCTCTTACAGTTCCAGCTTGAGCAGATGGATATGAGTGTCAAGTCAGATCAACGTATTGCAATGCAAGTGAACCATCAGAACACCTTTCTTTTTCCTCTTTAAGAGCATTGTCAAATCCGCAAAGAGATACCTCAGTGCGATCAACGTCCGTGTGGAGGCAGCATCAATCCGAGTAGGCTAAATCAAACCCACCAACGCTGCATCGACTACATCCCCAATCCATCATCCTGGGTTTACAGGTTTAATAGGCTGGACAGTGCCATGCTGGATTGCCACTGGGTCTACAGGACAACGTCCCCCTCGCCAGAGAACCTCGTATGGAACGAATTGCTGTTCATAATAATCGTATCTTGTTGAGAGAGTTTTGATCAAGTAATCAGCCAGCGGGGTCACGCCTGCAGCGCTAGCCAGGATATTCAACATTAGCTGCAAATCAACCGCCTCCATACTGCTCGGACCAATCTTTTATCAGATACAGCCGTCGCTATGGAGTACTTACTCCCTAGCTACATGGCTCAGAAGTCAGAACACTTGTTCTTTACTCCGTGGACTTCGGTGTATGGGAGATGCCTGTTTGCCTGCACAGTCTGCACCACAACCGCTAACTAGCCATCCTCAATGGCCACTGCTTTTGATTACCGGATACCCCGCAATGCTTGATGACAAGAGACGTGGCTGGTAGATACATACTCAAAACTCCGTCGATTACAATTACATCTCCTGTAGTACTCTCCAGGACAAATCGAACCCTTGCCCCCAGTTCCCAACATCTACGTCAACTGTCAAGGCTGGCTGTATGATTGAGAATTGGCCCGCTAATGTCGGCTTGCGCTGCATGGCCTCAAACGGTTTTTGTTCCGGATGGTGGAAGACCCGATAAAGCCAGTCAGGTTTGGAATATATGTTGGGATCCTGAATGGCTTGTGTCGCAGACAGGTCCTTGCCCCGAGGCTAAAACTACGGAAACCAATGGTATGCATGGTGCTGTGTCCTGGGATTCTGATTTGGAGGTCGTTTCGGCGCCGATGTTTCACTAAGTATGTCGTCTTTTTCTTTTCTGCGATACTCGGCATTCCAAGGAGAGGTAAACAATATTGACTATCGTTGTGGTTTCTTTGAGACCCCGCGTGTGTTTTGAAACTTGTAGGCAGATGTGGGTAGGACACATTCCAATGCTCCCCGGATCGTTGTGGCAGGATCTGGGGGATAAGGAATCGGTACTTGCGTGGAATGTGCGCCGTTGCTATCTGTTACAAACTTACAAAGTGCTTCCTATACACATGATCGACGGAATTTTCTCATACCCTGATAACCATGCTTTGGCTTTGATGACCATGGGCGACTAGGGAAGGAGTTGCTAGCAGGGCTTGCTATCTGCAATGTTGATCGATTACTAATAAGCCACTTGGGTTGAACATATCCATCAGAAAAGTATGGAGTAGCAGATGTTGGAAGGCCGACCTTTGGTTGGTCTGATATTCCATGAGGGAATTTCCTTTGCAGCATAACATAGCCCTCGAGATTATGCACTGAAGGAGTTCTTTGTGTCGAAAGTATCCGTTACGTGCCACCGTCTCAAGAACATGAGCATCTGATGTTATTTGAAGGGGAGAGAGTCTCCCTAAAAGGTGATATGTGTTGTTGAAGTAGTTCCACCAAAGTTTTTGACTTCTTGCTCTTCATTTAAGCCCTTTGTCCTTATCCCTGTCACCCCAGACTTATGGTTCTTATGTATCGGTCCTTTCGGTCCGTCGCTGTTCGCTGAGCGGAGAACTACTACGAGGTGTGGAAACTGTGGATGGAGTATCGGCTTATCAACGTTATCTGTGCTCCACTAGTCTGATTAATCATGAGATAAAGTAATTGTGCGCTAGAACCAGATAGACCTAGCGCTCATCAGCCACAACTGATCCACTATTCTGGGAAATGTAATTGTGGCTTGACACCGACCCGTGGGGCTGTGGCACCGTCTGACGTCGATACCAGTCGGTTGCGGCCTGCGAACAGGCTTCATCTGTTTTGACTGCCATCTCACCACTTCACCATCCATCCATTATGAATTATCTCCAACAATGACATCGGCTGAAAAATCTGCCACTCGCAACATATACGACCCGAGTGCCCTTCCAGACTATGATACGCAGTTCATCAAACCAGACGAGCTCCACCAGTTCGAGAAGGCGCTGAACGCCCCTGCGGCCGCTCCTCTCGTCGCCATCAATGACTGGCGTCCCATTAACCAACGAGTGCGGAAGAACCGTCGGACAAAACCGAGACGAAGCAAAGATGAAACCCGGGAGGGGGTGCTCTACACGGTCCTCAAGTGGCCTTTCCTCTTCATCGTCTTCGCCTGGATCACGGTGCTGGGGATTGCGTATGCCCTGACGCGCTTGTATATCTTCCTGTACGAGCAGTGCGTGACATGGAGAGGCAAAAGAGAACGGCTTCGAAGGGAACTCTCGGTCCAGACCAATTACCGAGATTGGCTGACAGCAGCGCAGGCGCTCGACACTCATCTCGGGAATCAGAAATGGAAGGAAACGGACGAATACGCATACTACGACCATCTTACAATCAATAAAGTTGTGGCCCAATTGAAACAGGCAAGGAAGGCGGCTGAATCTGAGGTGCATAATGGGCGTTCCGGGGTGAGCGATCTGCCTGCGGTCGAAGACCTCTGTGCCCTCCTGGAGGCTTGCGTGAAGAATAATTTTGCCGGTGTGGAGAATCCCCGGTTATACAGCGAGTCTTACTCGGGAACGAAGGATCTGGTGCAGGAGTATATCGATGAAGTCCAAGCTTGCATGCAGCTCATTCTAGACAGCAAGCAGATTCCTGCCGAAGAGAAATACCAGCACTTCAAGCATCTCGACACCAACTTTGGTCGTACTGCTCTTTGTCTGTCTGGCGGTGCTACGTTTGCATACTACCATTTCGGCGTGATTAGGGCATTGCTCGATAACGATGTCCTACCGGAGATCATCACCGGAACGTCGGGAGGAGCATTGGTCGCAGCGCTTGTGGCAACGAGGACCGACGAGGAACTGAAACAGCTGCTTGTTCCGGCATTGGCCTACCGGATCAGAGCATGCCATGAAGGCTTCACAACATGGGTATGGCGTTGGTGGCGAACAGGTGCGCGATTCGATACAGTTGACTGGGCTCGTCAATGTAGTTGGTTTTGCAGGGGCTCTACCACGTTCCGAGAAGCGTATGAACGAACGGGGCGCATCCTGAATGTTTCCTGTGTTCCTTCTGATCCTCATTCGCCTACGATTCTCGCCAATTATCTGACCTCGCCTGATTGTGTTATTTGGAGCGCCGTCCTCGCGTCTGCGGCTGTTCCTGGAATATTGAATCCTGTTGTCCTGATGACGAAGAAGCGGGACGGGACGCTTGCGCCATATTCTTTCGGGCACAAATGGAAAGATGGTAGTCTGCGGACGGATATACCCATCAAAGCGCTCAATCTCCATTTCAATGTGAATTTCACGATAGTATCACAGGTGAGATATCGGTCCTCGGCTTGGTCGACGATTATTAACTGACACTTTTTTCTCAATAGGTCAATCCACACATCAATCTTTTTTTCTTTAGCTCCCGAGGCACTGTCGGACGACCCGTTACCCACAGGAAAGGCCGAGGATGGCGCGGAGGCTTTCTGGGATCTGCAATCGAACAGTACATCAAATTGGACATGAACAAATGGCTGAGGGTACTACGACACCTGGAGTTATTACCTCGACCTTTGGGCCAGGATTGGAGCGAAATTTGGCTGCAGAAGTTTAGCGGTACTATTACAATCTGGCCCAAGAGCATCCCCTCCGACTTCTACCACATTCTCTCGGACCCCAGTCCAGAGCGACTGGCGCGCATGCTGCACGTGGGCAAGCAAAGCGCGTTCCCGAAGATCCAGTTCATCAAAAACCGACTCAAGATCGAGAACACAATCATGCAGGGACTGCAGCAATCCTCCCCTGGCGGAGATCGGGTACTGTTACCCATCCTGTCTCGCCGGCTCCAGAACCGTGCTCAAGAACACGCAGACGCCATGGTCGAGCGCCTCGACCATAGCTTCCCCGAGCGCCACTCAGACTACAAAGACGAATCCCACTATACAGAAGTTTCCGACAGCCTGTCCACCAACTCCTCTCGCCCCCATACCCCGGACGCACGACGCGGCAGTATATTCGAAGAAATGCGGCGCCAGTCAGCCGTCTTCTTCGACGATCCGGACATGTACGGGGACGAAGATGCGATAGCAACTTAGCATCACATCTGCTGTCTTTGAGCATTCGGTCATCGATTTCTGCTTTCGGATGCCTGCATATTTTGGCTGGTGGCCGGAGGCTTTTGTGGCTGCAGGTCCGCCGAGAATCTTCACGAATGACTCCAGCCTGCTTACGGAGTAGTACGGTTTTCTTTGGTGGACACGACACGTTGTCCATCGGACATACCCCCTTCGAGTAAACTGAAGTTCTTGTACTGTATTTATTTTATCTACTTTTGTGAAATATGGATTGTGCATTATGATGTAATGGAGGGTTGTGCGCTCACAGAGTCCTCAGTTGATAGTCCAGACATATTGATTACATAGTCTGTATCCGCATCTGCGGAGCAAATCAACCACTTCTATCTCTAGAGTAGATGCGACTACGAGATGGCAGATCAAGACAGGCAAAACGTATGATCTCCCCTCTCTCTCACCCTGCTAGACTTCTACTCCACCGTGACTCAGCAGAAAGCGGGCATGAAGCGTTACTCTGGATGTTCATGATCATCAGGCGTAGCGGTACAGGAGCGGCAGGACGGATCTGAATTTGCCACCCGCTTGGATCATGCTATATGGGCAGATCTTAATGACTAGGCTACGTAGTACTTAGTTTCGGGGTACATCGGCAGTATTAGTAAGTAGATACCCTGCCCATGTTACATGCTGGGTACTCTCTGTACGTCTGGCCGACGTCGGGGACTCGTGGAGTAATAGATAGATTTAACATTAGATTGTCATTCTTTGCTTCATTTCGGAAAAAATGTTTAGTTGGTACAGGGCTATATAGTAAGTAGTACACCAACTGCTTCCTCCGAGCGGCTCGAGTCACACAAAATGGAGACTTTCGGAGGTCAATCATCTAAATGACCAAGAATTTACCCGTCACCTCGCGGGCCGATGCAAGATCCCCGCTCAGCGCATAGATATTCTGTAGCGCGACGGCCGCCTCGCGGGTGAAGTCCTCCACGAACACGAACGGAGGCCCGCGGTCCTCGGACCCTATATCTTCCATGACCACGTCCTTGCCGTCTGCTGCTCCCGCGATGTGCTGCTGGGTCGCCGCGCGGATCTGTTCCCCGAGCGCCAGGACGCGCTGGTATCCTTCGACGGCGAGGTGCGCGAGCCCGAGCAGGTGCCACACACGCGCGAAGTTGAATTCCATCTCCTGTCGTTCCTGCGGGAAACTGCCCTTCTTCTCGCGGACGCGGCGGTACTCGTGCAGAAAGGAGATGCCTTGCATGATAAGGTAGTGTCTGTTGTCGGACTGGCGTTTGAGGGAGTGGTGGATGTAGCAGAGGGCGATGGAGAGGAGGACGGCTGGGTTCTGCGGGTCCAGGGCGTAGGCGCGGAAGAAGTAGTTGAGGGCCGGGTAGAAGCTGTTGCCAGAGTAGAGGATATGGCCGTAGAGCACGAGCAGGGCGACGTCGAGTTCTTCCGCGGGGATGGCTTCGCCGGCCTCGTCGCGCGTGGTGAGGGTCGCGCGCTCCTTGTAGATTGATTCGCGGACAGCTTTGCTGGGTCGCGAGTCGTTTGGGCCGTCTGGTATTGAAAAATCCATGGCTTTGATCTGCCGGAGCATGAACTTCATGTTGGGCGAGGAATGGAAGAGGGACCGGTGAGGGTCGCCGCAGAGGCGACTCAGCATGGAGAAAAGACGGTAAGTGTCAGTGACGAACTGGTATTCTTTGATGAACCAGCGCGCTTCGTTTGCAAGCGTTTCTTCGTCTTGTACCCTCAAGGCACATGCTGTGCTAGATTAGTCTATGTGTCCAGTGGACTGGGCCGGGCCGGGCACGTCAACTTACTGAACCAGCAAACATGGATCAATCGAGTGTCGGGTTTTGAGTGATACCAGATGCTTGCGTCTGCGGCAGCAGCAAGACTATCGTATGCCTCCTCGGATTCCCCTTGCCCTGCCACGGCCAAGGCATATTGCAAAAATAGGTCTAGCCACTCGTCAAAGCTGATACCATGGTAGTCGGTTGGTACGACTCCTTGAAGGGGCTCCTCCGCCAACGTGCCTATCATTCGCCAGTTAGTTCTGCTCGGTTGTTCTTTTTAGGTTATATAATACCTAGAGATTCTTGAAGACGACCAGCCATCTCCTCCATCTCGTCCATGATGGTTCTATTCTTATACTTCCCCGCCTTCCTTTGCGTCTCCCTAGAATAGCCCAAGAAAACCACATTGCGCTGCATCGGGTAAAACACACGGTTTGAGCGAAATTCACGCAGTAAAGCATCTGCAATGTCAAGCCAATCCTCAGTGGCTTCGACATTGCCATGTTTGACACCTGGCTGGAGTGCCAATAACTTTTCATACAGAAATTGGACAAGCTGCGTCCTTGCCCCCTCCAGGTCTTCCATACTTTTCTTCGTGGCCGCGATAGGCGCAGTAGTAAGTCTTGAGGGTAGGCCCTCAGGACCTTCAGGCTGTGCAACTGCCCCCAGCCCCGTAAATTCTGGATCGGTCTCGACGCCGAATTCTAGCGCAAGCTGCTCAAGTCGAGTATCTTTCCTCCGGCGATGAGACCTGGTTTCCTGTCGTCCTAGCAAAACGGCTTCATTGACATATCTCAGTGCTTGTTCGTTCATCCCAATGCTTTCATACAGCCTTGCCAGGTGGGCGCGCGATTCAATGTTTCTCGCGTCGTGCTCTGCTACGGTAAGATAGCAATTTTCCGCTTCTTCGAGATTGTCCAACTGCATGAAGCAGTCTCCCATAGCCATGAAGTAGCTGATATCCGCATACTCGGCGGTTTGTTGGATCGGTGTATAATACCGCAGCGCTTCGTCCAAGAGACCGACTTCTTTGAGCGCATCGGCAACCTCGCGGAACAGGTCGCCATAATCATGAAGTCTGGCGCCCTCAGAAGTGTCGTCAGGATTCAACCAGGAGAAGTGGTGCTTCAGACTGGTCAGTGGGGTTGGGGAGAACACAGAGCGATATTGAAACTTACTAACGCCTCACCCTTGTGATCATAGCCCATTCTTAACCGGAACAGACCGAGCTTTATCCGCAACTCAAGTGGGAGCCCTAGCCCATATGAATCTCGCGGCCAGCGTCCCGGGATATATCCATCGACTTTGATACGCCGTGGCGAGTCAGTGGCATCCCATTCGCGGTCGTCTTCGTTGAAATCCTCCCACATGGTATCATCTCTCCGACCAAGGAGCCATCGGGAGACGGACCTGAGGGCTTTCAATCCCTGTTCATGTTGGCCCAGGTAGCTGTATAACTCGACATAGATATTGACATCGGACCAAGAAAAGTCGGGGGTGTCGTCTGGATCCAGAGTCATGTAGTACTCGACACTGACTGCCCACTGGGCCACGGCCTTTTGGACATCTTCGAGGTCAATGTATGTCTCCGCTAAATGCCGCAAAGCTCTGGTGTTATGCGGGATCTCCCGGAGTATTCTTTCGTATTCTATGGCAGCGCGGCCGTTGTGGCCGAGTTCTCGATAGACAGCTGCTCTCTGGAATCGCGCATTGTAGTTCTTGGGTTCAATATCAATTACACGGCTCAGACAATAAACGACATCGTTCAGGGCAGTTGGCCGATCGTCGCCAGCGCGTTCCAGGATCATCTTTGCCACTTTGGACCACACCGACGCATCTCTGGGCCGCGTATGAGCTCCGTTGAACAGAGCGGTTAAAGCTTTGTCTTTCTGGCCCTGCGCCAGGAAAATCTCCGAGAGCAGCGAATGGGCCGCAAACATTTCAGGATTGATTTGGATCGCACGCTTCACAAGTTCGATGGCACGGTCATAGTCGCCATCAATGAAGGCCGAGGTAGCTTCCGAGTGCAGCATCTTGAACTCCGGACTGGGCTCCAGTGGCTTTCGGGGTCCTCTTTTGATGCCTTTTCCACCACGCGCACCCCATCGACCCGAAAAGGGCCCTGTGCCTCGTCTGCGGCGCCTCCTCCGTCCGACAGAACCATCGTCGCCATCCTCTGCGGCGCCTTCACCCACATCTGAAGGCTCTTCCTCCCTGCAGGAATAGTCAGCAATAGCAGGATCGGACGAGGAGACTGGGAGCATCCACTGACGTTGAGGTCTCTTCTGCTGAATACTCATAATTCGAGTCTTCAGCAGAGTCATCCATCTGGTCATAGTCCACGGCATTCTCGCCATCTTCTTCAAAGTCCATACCATTTTGGTCAGGTAAATGCGATTCGCTGCGAGTGAACAAGTCTCTGTATAGACGAGGATCTATTACAGATTGTAAGGGAGCTTCTCCTGGGACTGTTGATTGAGGACCCTGCCATGGGTAGTGTACCGTCTCGTCGATGTCTGGATAGGCGAACTCAGGCGAGGGAGGCGGATGTTCCGCATGATCTCCATCAGGATAATCCATTTTGTAGATGACAGTGATCAATTATGCACCGGGGTCTGTGAGTCTGATGCTTGGAGATAGAACCAAACCAAATGCCTGTAGTTCAAAGCAACATCAACAACCGCATCATCATCATCATCATCATCATCATCATCATCATCCCCGCTATAAAGGTATCAGAGTAGTTTGCAAGCGAGCGGTTTGATTGGGCGGAGGATGCGTCTGAGATACATTCACGCCGACTCGACGAAGGGAATCGTCAGAACAATACTCATTCAGAGAGCAATTACGATCAAGAAGAAGAAGAAGATGTTGATGATTTCAGATCTCCAAGCGATACTGTTGCGCTGCTTTGATGCGCAGTCTCGGTGAAGTCGAATGAAAGCGACCCAGAGGAACGCGAAATGCGGCGAGAACGAAAAAAAAAGCGCCCAACCGGAAAAAAAGCCTTGACTCTTACTTCTCTTTCTTCTCTTTCTCTTCTTCTCTTCTTCTTCCATCCTCCATCTCCATCTCTCCATCCTCCCTCCCCCCCAATTTCCATCTCCTTTCGTCTTTTCTTCACTTTCCTTTTTCTTCTATTTGATGCTCAGATCTTCTGCTTGCTGTGTTTGACACACTATTGCAGTTGATCCTGACATCCTTTCGTTAAACCACCACAAAAAAAAAACGAAGAAGAAAAAAGACCCCAAATACTGCCGTCCCCCCTCAGGAAAACTACGGAGACACCACAAATCCTTCCCTGTTAATCCTCTGACTCTCTGTCTGCTACGCCTCGCACGATCCTCTTGACGATTCTATCGACGCGAGATTCCACAACTTACACGCATCTGGAAACAGAATTCGCTGATGCCCTTTCGGTTCGATCCCTACCATCGCAGTCTCGAATCAAAGTAGTGCAGCCACTGGCTTGGTCTGTGCCCCGATCGTTGTCGCCTAGAGCTGTCGCGGTTGGGTTTCTCGCCATTGCAAAGAAAGACCCTGTCTCCGTCCTTAGAGAGAACCTTTGGTCTTCCTGTTTCGTTGTGATACGGCCTCTTTCCGTTGTCTTTCTCGCGCAAACTCAGCAGGTACTGCAGGTGTTTTGCAGTAATATTCCTTTTTCTGTACCTATTGTTTTCCCATTTCTTGGAAAGCTGTGAAGAGAATTTCCCTTTCTTCTTTCACCGTGTCCGTTGATAATCAAATTGCCCTCATGGCCAGCCACCTCATCGGTAACCGCAACAGCACGCCGGACGCCTCCAAGTCCAGCCTCCGTCCTCCGTCGTCTTCTCGGAATCTGGGCACCCACCAGCTACGCGCATCAGCCGATATGTCGGGTTTTCCATCTCCGCTGTCCTCTCGCAGCATCCGTCCGTCGTCGGAGGTGTATTACAACCAGCAGTCTCAGGCTCAGAACAACGCGGAGGATCCCCTGGACCGTGCGGCCCAGCAGTGGCTTGCTGATATCGATCAGTATGAGACTACTCTGGAGGAAATGGCAGCTGCCACGCTGGACCAGGACTTCAAGGACGAACTGAGTGCTATCGAACAGTGGTTCCGTGTGCTCAGTGAGGCCGAGAGAACCGCTGCTCTTTACGCTCTGCTGCAGCAGACCACGCAGGTGCAGATTCGTTTCTTTATCCAGGTTCTCCAGCAGATGGCCAAGAGCCATCCGATGTCGGGACTCTTGTCTCCTGCCAATTTTGGCGAGAAAGGTACGTCAAGGAGAGAAGTCGTTCTCGTCGTGGATTAAAACTCATGTCATTCTAATTAGATGCCATGTCCAACCGTCTGAACGATGCGATGTCGAAGTTGAACATTGACAGCTCGCGCAACTCTCTCGGTCGGCCTCCACCTTCCCCCGGTGCCAAGCGTAACTCGGGCCTCGACTCTTCGACCATCAATGCCATGTTCCCCGATGCCGCCGCGGCGATCGCCAAGAAGAAGGCTGAATTCACCCAGCAGACGGGCAACGCGCCGCCTTCCAACCGCAACAGCGCTGTGTTTGGCGACCGGTCTTCATTCATTGCGCCGACCATCTCCGGCCCGGACAACACGGACAATCTGGGCCAGCCCCCCGCTTCTCCATGGGTCCAGAGGGGTGCCAACGAGCCGCAGCCGCCTATTGCTCGGCCCAAGTCCTCGTCTGGCCACCAGCCGATGGGACAGTTCAGCCAGTCGTCGGGTCTACGCTCTCCGCATCCCACGCAGACGGCCACGATGCCTGCCCCTGAAATCGAGGCACCTCTCCTGTCGCCGTACAATGTGGGAAATGCCAGTTGGGCGTCCATGACCAACACTCCAATGACGGCAACATTTGGCCAGCAGGTGCATCAGCCGGCGAATTCGCAGGCCGACATGGTCGCGAACGCGACGGCAATGAAGCTGGCCGCTTTGTCTACGGTCAATAACCGCATCGCACTGGACGATGCGCGCAAGTACCGCCGTGCTCGCTCGAACGATGGGCAAGGGCGAAATACTACCGCATCTATGAAGCAAACCATTCATCAGGGTGGCCTCGCCAGCCACGGTCTTCCGGGAGGGGCAAATCACCTGGTTGCGGGACAGCTTCTGAATGCTCAGCAGCTTGCCGCGTTGCAAGCGCAGCAGCAGGCCGCGATGGCGGGTCGCCGGTCCCGCCCCACCTCTCCTGGCATTGCGATGCAGGGTGGCCTTGGCGCGATGGGGTTCACCTCACCGCAGAACAATGGATTCCTTGCTGCGTATGACCCGAACAATCCTCTACTGGGTAATGGATTGGGCGCCTTGGGTCTCGGCCAGTTTGGACTTGGTGGCCACGAGGGTTATCTGTCCGACCACTCGGAGGTTACTCGCGGTCGTTCTCCACGGGGTCGTCGTGGCAGCTCCAAGCCGCCAGAAGATCCCACTGACCCGGCTCTGTTGAAGGATATCCCCAGCTGGCTGCGGTCTCTCCGTTTGCATAAATACACCGATCAGCTCAAGGATCTCAAGTGGACTGAGCTGGTTGAGCTCAACGACAAGGCATTGGAGGAGCGTGGTGTGAATGCTCTTGGTGCCCGCAACAAGATGCTCAAGGTGAGTTGCGTCTGAAGTTACCCCTGCTCGGATTGATACTGATAATTGCAGGTGTTTGAGCAAGTTAGAGAGGCCAAGGCTGAAGGAAAACTCGACAACATTGCGTGAAGACACGAATGACCTTTTTTTTTTCCTTCTCTTTTTTTGATTTATCTCGTCTTTTTATTCTAACATTCTCTCAACTGCATTAATTTGACTAGATTGGCCTTGGCATAAGTGGCAGGATCCGACCTATGAGCGATCTCATTGGAATGAACTTTGGGAGGAGAGATGTGTGTACTTTTTATTTTGTTTGAGGTACTTCTGGCTTTACGCAGCCGATCAACGAGCGCATAGTATTTGGGAGGCCCGGTTGTGTCTCAAATGTCGGTGCGATCTGAATGGATTATGACCCGGACATGCGAATCTGATTGATCTACTGTTAAAGTTATGCACATAATTCAACTAATATGATTCCATGACTACGGAGTATGTTAGCGTGGTTTTTGGGCAACATTCAGAGAAGGTGAGGCTGTAGATACGCTGAATTAGCGTCTTATCAGTAATTCTCCGGAGGTGAGGCAACAAGCATTCTGATTGGTGCCTGGGCGGCAAGCTCGACTTCAGCAACTCAACCTCACTTGATCTTCTTCAACTCTGGACCATCTCGCCAACGGAGTCCTCCATATCACACATCTCTATCTCCTTCAGTCATTCTTACTCCGGAGTTCAATCGAAACATTCTCTATCCTAATTCCCGTCCTCTTACGCCGAATCCCAACCTCCACGAACCCACAACAAGAGCATCACCACCTCACCCTCACCATACACAGCTCTTCTCAGCTTCGCCGCATCGCATCACATCACATCGCACCGCAATCTACAATCCACTCAACCACTCAACAGCAAACACCCCCGAAAAAGGGACCCAAAATGCCGCCCTCAACACAAGAACTCTCCCTCCTCATCAATCCGCTCGTCCCCGAATCCGTCCAGCACAACAACCGCGTACGTCCCCATCCCTCGTCCCTCAATCCCCGGGGAAGGTGGGAGAAAAAAGAAAGGAAGAAATCCATTTTACTAACCAAAAAAAAAAATGTTTTTTTTTGATGAATTCAGGTCCTCTCCCAACTACACTCGCTCACCTCCTTCCTCCTCGGCCTGACGGCGGGGATCCTCGCCCTGCAGTCCGTCACGGGCTTCGTGTTCTACTTCCTCGGCACGGTGTTTGTGTCGGGCTTGTTCCATCTGGTGCTACTGCGGCGGTCGCGGGGGCTGGGCGCCGGGGTGTACTTCCCTGGTGCTGGGGGGGAGATTGCTGGGTTAGATGAGAGGGGGTGGATTGCGGGTGCGAATGCTGGGGGTGGGGAGAAGGGGAAGGGAGGCGGGGTGAGGAGGGCTGGGGCGTGGAGGGATGTGTGGGTTGGGGGTGGAGTGATGGGGGAGGCGCTTTCGGGCTTCATTCTGGGGTGGGCGGGTGTTGGGGGTGTTTTGAGGTGATTTTCTTTTTCGTCTGTCCTTTTTGGTTTATGAGGGAAGGGGGGAGGGTGTGGATTGGTGTCGTTGGGTTGTTGGTTAGGTTGGATGAAGAGATGGGGGGAAAGAGGGTTGGCTAAATCTGTGTATTTTGTATATCAATGCTATTGCTATGCTATGCTATTCGTCTTGCCATGCTAGGTGGTGGTGGTGACCGGGCGAAGCTCGGTTTCATCTATGAAGGACGGTTTGTTGACATGCTTGTGGGATTTGATGTTGCCCTGTATATATCATGTCAGTTCATCCGTGTGAAACTCAGCCCATGGGATTCGAACATACCTTCATCAGAGCCCATAGGTACGGGACATATAGAACCTCGCTGTGTCCACCGCCATCCACGCTCTCACCCTGCCCCTGCCGTGGCTTCGGCTTGATCCAGACATTGCCCATGATCAGTCCCGCTGCAAGGCTCAGTCCGACAATCGGCATGATGGCAATGAACGCCCACATGACGCCCTCCTTGCCTGCCGCGCGGATGGCGACCTGCTCCGAGTCAGGAAGCAAAGCAATGAGGTCCAATGAGGCACGGTCATGCGCATCTACCCTTGTGCCCGAGGTTGAGCCCGTGCCTGAGCCTGAAAAGCGGTTGTTGAATACGCTGCCCATGATCGTCAGTCCCACAGTACCGCCAAAGGGTAGCGCAAAACGCATGAGTGACATCACCGGGGCGATTTTCTCTGGCCACACGCCCGCCGTGTGAAGGTTGATGGGCATCAAGCGGAGGCCGGTGCCCGCACCGGCGACGACCATCATCCCATTAATGAGGCGAGTGTTCTGCGTACTGATTGCCCAGATGAGAAGCGCGAATCCAATTGTTTCAGTCAACGCGCCGAAGTTGATGGTGAAGAAGGTTTGAGCTGGATAGACATTGCAGAAAAAGACGGCCATGTAGACCCCAACTGAGTGAATGTCAGCGTTGTTGGCTGTTAAGGGAACCGTGTGGCGGGAAGCTTTTACCTCCTAGGCCGGGAATGTAGTAGAGCAGGTTGACACCCGCTTGCGAGGCAGGATAGGCCTCGACGAGGGTGAAGTAGATCCCAATGAAGTAAAAGACGGAGAACATTGCTAGACATATCAGTATAGCGCATACAAAGGAAGGAGAGAACGTACCTGCTCCGCTAGAAAACTCCGATATTGCCAGCCAGATCGTATCCCGACGAGCGAACATGCTGTACGGCAGCATGGGCACCTGTTTGGGGAAGATTCGAGCGAACAACCGACCGGGCTCGAGAAGGTACTCGTACACGAAGAACAGCACAAAACATATCCCACCCACAATCAACGGAGCAAGGACCTGTGGGGAGGACCACGGGTACGTAGGTCCACCCCATGCTGTGCCCAAGATGACGAGGCCAACCCCAAAGATGAAAAGAAGTGTGCCGAAGATATCCAGCGTGGCCAGAGCGGGAACAATGGTGGAAGATCGAGCGTCTTTCTTGAACACGGTTCCCTCGACAAGCTCACCGCGCAGAAGCACGAAGATCAGAATATGCGATATGAACGCGATCTACAAAGTATAAGAATCAGCAAAACACCAATCCTCTCATCATCAGCCTCTCCTACTCACCGGTATCGGCACGAGAAAACAGTATCTCCAGTTACTCTGGTTCCCATCAGTACTTCCCTTGCAACAAAGACTTCCAGACTCACATCAGTCAGGTATCTAACAACTGTCAGCATCATCATCAGACCCCAAAGAGGGCACGTAGAACTCACCCCCCAACCACCGGCCCAATGCCATACCCCAAACCCCCCACAAACACAAAAATCGAGTTATTCCTCGCATTCTCCTTCAGCGACACCCGATCCGCAAGCACAATCATGATGATATTCATGATCCCTGCGGAGCTAGTCCCCTGCAGCGCGCGCCCCAGCAACAACATGCCCCAACTCTGCGCCGCCGCGGCAAGCGTGCTCCCCACCAGCATAAGAAGCATGGCCAGCTGCAGCACGGCATGGCGTCCAAAGACGTCCGCGAGCTGCCCAAACAGGGGGATGAAGGCGGTGGAGGTCAAGGTGAAACTGGTGATGATCCAGTTGAGCTGGTCGAATTTGTCTGGGCCTGTTAGCGCTGCGTAAGTGGGGTGGTTTGGAAAAAGGGAGCCATACTGAAATGCGACGCGATGGTGGGGACCGCTGTCGCGACGATGGTGAGGTCAAGTGTGCTGAGGATGTATGGCAGGGCTAGGCCGCAGATGAGTTTCCAGCGGTAGACGCGGGTGCGGTGCTGGTGTTTTTTGCATTGAGAGCATTTTTCAGTAGGCAGGATGGGGAGTATATTCTGCTCTTCTGCTGGGGCAAGTCCCACGGTGTATGGTGAAGCATCCGTCTCAGTTATAGACTGACGGTGCTGGCAGCTCTTTGGCTCGTGGGCGCGGGACTTGGACGATGTGTCCGTCCGCGTCTTGTTGTATATGTACTTGGCGGCTATATACATCGGACAACGGTCTATGGAGGGTATAACGGAGGTGAATTAGCTAGCCAGGGGATGGATAGATGGAATCCATCCTCCACTTTATAGCCGTCCATCTTCCTGTCAGCTCAACCATATTGAAACTGCTGTCAAGACTCTTGTCAACCCAAAGCGGCAAGTTTCGTATTGCTGAAGGCATGGACAAGCCTTCAGCCACAGTGACAAGCCAATAACATGTCCTAGACGTTGTTCGAGAATGAAAGATAGCCAGCATGGTTTGGCGAAGTGAGATGGACTGTAGAGTGGATGAAGATTTTTGGTGTAGTTCCGTCCCCTGACCCAAAAGGGTAGCCACCTCGTATCGGCTTTTTTGGGTATGGAATTCGTGATGTCGATCGTCAATGCACTGCCACATTAACCTCAGCCGCTCAACAACTGGAACTCGTCTAGGGAAGATAATACAAAAGAATGGTCATTGTCAAAGAAAAAATCGTGTTCTAGAATATATCCAGATTGAGTCTATAATTATATACAAAACCAAACGTCAGGGGTATACCTAGGGACTTGGTCCAACCAAACTAAAACTCGCTGATAAAGAAAGAAATGCATCCCAATTACAAGTCAATACATCCTCTCACACCAAAAAAAAAAAAAAAATCATAGATCGCAAAACTCCATCCAGGGAGCATATGTAACTCAATCAAGCATCAGTCGTGGCACTCACTTCGGCCGGATCCACATGAAGATCCTGCGCCGAATTGGCCAGTGCACTCTCCAAGGCACTGGTCAGGTCGATGTGGAAGAAGGGCCGGTTGAGACCCTGCACCAGAGCCACCTTGCGGCGGTTCCGGTACGCCTCGCTGTCCGTCAGATCGCGCTGCAGCTTGTCTTCCTGGTGGCTGCTGCCGTCGGACGAGGTCTCGATGCCGTGCGTCTCGCGCTCCGTGGCATGTGAGTTGGACTTCAGACCCTCTTCGATGTCGTCAATCTTGTGTTCCGCCCTGTGCACCTGCTCATTGTTCACGAGTTCGGCGAGCGCAGCGGCAGAGGACTTGCCTTCGATTTCCGCGACGCTGAAGATGGGCTTCCAGCGGTGGAAGCCATCTTTCGAGGTTGGAGTAGGGTAGCCAAAGCCTGCGGCGGCAAGAGCCCGCTTGGACCAGCGGTTGTTAACGTGGGCGAAGTGCCACTGCACGGGTTGAGGCGCGGCATAGAGATCCAGCTGGTTGCGAACGTCGATCAGGTTCTGCACCGCCGTCACGTCGACATTGTTGACGGAAGAGAAATCGAGGATGACGGCGCGCAGGGTCGGCAGATGCGACCGGTCGGGTTCCTCCTTGCCGCGACGAGGGCCGGGGTTATTCCACGGCCGATCACCGAGATTGGTGTAGGAGAAGGGGTTCGTGCGGCGAGTCTGCTGGAAAATGGTCCGGACGAGGTAATCGGTGTAGTGGTTGCAGTTGGGGTAGTTGAATCCTTCGGAGAATCGGTAGATGAAAATGCCAGGGTAGGGCTGCTGCACTTCGACATCCGGGTTCGAGCCGTCAGTGTGGTTAATGGGAAGGAAGATTGACCGGTGGAAGCGACCCTGATCATCGGCGGGGGTGTATCCATTGCCCGAACCATACTTGCCATCACCCTGCACCAGGTGGTCTCCCACGACTGAGTGGATGGTAACTCGGCCAAGGAACTGACCGCGGGCCTTGGCAACACGGAAGAGTAGGACGGCGACAGAGATGCAAACCGTGCAGTAGATTCCGATTTCGATGGAGGTGAAGACGGTGACGATGACTCCCACAAAGAAGATAATCGCGTCCAGCGGGGAAACGCGCCAGAATTGGTAGACGACGTTGGGCGGGGTGATCAGGTCACCGACGGCATGGATAATGACACCCGAAAGAGACGACTTGGGGATATAGAAGAACATGGCGGGAAGGGCGTAGATGGCAAGTAGCACGACCACGGCGGTGATACAACCGGCTAGGGGAGTCCGCACGCCGGCCTTCGATTTGATGGCTGTGCGAGAGAAAGAACCAGTAGCCGGGTAGCCACCCAGGAAGGGGCCCAACAAGTTGCTAACACCGATGGCGACCAACTCCTGGGATGGGTCAATGGTGTAGTTGTTGACACGGCCAAACGACTTCGAGATAGCGATGTGCTCAATCAGAAGGACGATGACGGCAGCGGGTAGCTCCGAAGCAAAGGTCTTGAGGATCCTGGCGTTGACGACTGGGACGGCGGCATGCTGGAAGCCCCGGGGAACGGAACCAAGAAGCTTGAAAGCGGGATTCTTGCGACGGTGGATGTTCACAGCAGCGCTGATCATGGTATAGAACAAGATCACAAACACGGTTCGGAGCGTCGAGAGGAAGAAAAACGTCTTGGCGCGCTGAGGATATTTCTTCGCGCCATAGTTGCAGGCAGAGCGGATGATATAGAGCATGGCCAAGGCAGTCAGACCCATGGCCGCATCGACTTTTGCGCTGGGGAGGTTTTTGAGAGTGTTGATGATGATCTCGTAGGTTGCATCTCTTGTACTGAAATCGGCGGTCTCTCCGAGCAAGTCTTTCACCTGACCGGAACAGATGTTGAGAGCAGATCCAGTCATGAAGGCGGAAATGGCCGGAAGAGGAATAAAGTCGACGATGAAACCGAGACGCAGGAGACCCATGGCGCAGACGATTCCACCGCAAATGATGGCCATTGCGGAGGCGATAATGTGGGCCGGGACATCTGGGATCTCTTTCTGGGCTTTAAGGACGATGGTTCCAACCAGAGTGGACATGACGGCCACAGGCTAAGATCGACATTTTTTATTAGCGTGTGGTCAAGGGGGGGGGAGGAGGAGGAGGATCAAGGTTGGGGTATACACACCCCGATGGTGATATCCTTGGAGGTAGCGAAGAACCAGTAGATTAAGACACCCATGAAGGAGGAGTAGAGTCCGAACTCCACCGGCAATGCTGCCAGTTTCGCATACGCCATACCCTGAGGAACAACCACAGCTCCGACAGTCACGCCTGCAATGGGGATTAGAGTGGTGCACTATTGTATGTCGGAATCACAGGGTGAGACACTTACCAGCAACCAAATCTCCGATGAACCATTGCATGTTGTACCGTGTAATCCAGGTCAGGAAAGGGAACAGTCTGTAGAAATAATTGCCAACATCCCTCCAGGTAGGGCAAAGCTCCTTGAGCCAATCGGCAGATGTAGGTTCAGGTTCGACATAGGAGTAAGTTTCCACGGTGCCGACAGAGAACATGGACTCGCCGCGGGTCACCGGGTCGGCATTGGCGCCCAGAGGGTCACGATAAGGCAGGGTGATCCCTAGGCCTTTGGCCAGCCCATGGCCAACTTTGGTCGTGAAATCGGAACCCATGATGGACAATTGGCAGATAGCAAATCAAATATATGCCAAGCCTCAATAGGGCTAGAGGGAGGGCTCGGTAGAGAGCTGCTGAACGGAGGGTATGTGTAAAGGAAGTTCTGGTACACAATAGGACTGAGATGGTTGATCAGACACTGATAACTTGGTTTGATATATTCAAGCAGACTCCATGGTGGTGTTGATGATAATGATATCGTGGTAGTAATAATAATATAAAAAAAAAAGTGTCGGGGTCCAGCAGCTTAAATGGAAGCTTCCGAGAGCCAAGATCGATGTCGTGATCCCGAGCTGATAATGCGAAATGCTAGCTCTCGGCGACGAACAAGCCCAAGCTCAAAGTAAGATATAGTTGAAAAGCGTCAAAGGCAACCAATCCAGATGGTCTATAACACAGAAAAAGTAAGAAAAGACGTGGGGGAGCTTGATCCTGGATGGTGATGGGAACAAGCGTTGCAGACGGAGGCGTGGATAAATAATGCAGGAGTATCAAGCCGGAGGACGTTCTTTTCTTTTGAAATCTAGCCAACAGAGACGTTCAAACACGAGGAAGAAAAAGCAAACGGAAGCAAAGCAGAGAAGACGGAGGATGGGAGGATGGAATTAAAAAAGAGTTAACATGAGCAGAGAGAAGTGGGTTGGATGTAGATCAACGGGGGGGAGGAGGAGAAGAAACAGGCTGGAAAGATCATGGGATGTTTCGAGAAATCCGCGAAATTGTTCATTTAATCATAATAATGAACATGGCGTTGACACAACACGATAAGTGGTTTGAAAAAAAAAAATAAAAAAAAAATAGGAATTAAAAATAGGAATGCTGTCAAGAGATTCTCCTATATTTCCAAAAAAAAAAAAATTAAGCCAAGAGCGCATGGCGACATGGACGGTACAGTCAGATCCACATCGAGAACAAGCGAATGGCAAAAGTCGAGTCAAAAAAGAGCAAGGATAGAAGGAGGAAAAGTATAAACTGGCTTCCGGGCCTATCAATTTGACTGGCATTTGCAGAGGAATTGACAAATATCCAGCTGAGAAACTTGACCGAAGTTATCCTGGTGTCAGAGCGACGTTCAATAGTGGACGCCTCGATGGGGGTCCCCGGTTCAACCCTTCAAACAGTCTGGATTTCTGGAAACCGCAGCAAGATGATGACGGGCCGTGGAGCTGCAGAGACCGAGCGGGTCCATGGTTTGGCCATCCGAGAGTAGTAGAATCTGTGTCTATCTAGAATCTGGATAGGTACGATCTGGATGATATTGACATAGCAGTAGGTACTCATGATAGGATATGATTCCCAGCGATGTTGTCACCGTCTTCAGTAGTAGGGGATATTGCCACAAGTACGCTCAAAATTCACCACGATGGGCGACAGTGTACCTTTTCGCACTCGCTAAACAGACAGGACTCGTAGTTCTGATAGAGAGAGGTCGAAGTCTATCTAACCTACTACTACTAAGTAGTAAGTACAAACTAACTTTCGCTGGAGTCGTAAATGCCAAGACTGAGTGGAGAACTGCCGCTTGACTCTCCACTCTCCAGCCTCAAAGATCTCACCGCTTTGAAGCTCAGCCAGTCACAGTGCTCAGCACGACATCATCCGCTGCAGATTCCTCCAAACTCCACAAAAGCCCACGAACCAATAGGAAACGCGGTAGAACACGCCATCGGCTGCAGTGATGGTGAAAGATGACAAAGCTTCTTCAGTCCATCAGTCGGACAGTCCACATATGCAGTGTGCACCACCTGTGCAATTTGCATCTTCACCAAACAATATTATAAATAATGATTATTGACTATTGATTATTGATTATTATTCTGCAGAGTGTTTATTGTGCAAATTGCAAATGCCAGTTGGTAATTACCTTTTTGTACTAAACTATTATCGGTGGATTTGCTGGTGGATATGATCAGATCATCAGATTCAGGACCTGTATTTACTACGGATGTATACTGATTACTGCTGTCCTACTAGGCTACTGCTACTTAGTAGTTAGTACTACTCTATAACCAGAGGACAGAGGTAGAAAGCTTTACTGTGTAAGCGGCCAATGTGGGGGTTGCTGCAGTCTGCAGGAAGGATGATAGTCTTTTATGACCACCTTTAATCTTAAAAATCTCGAACTTCTTGACTCGGAGAGAGAGTCTGTGCTGACTCCAGGGAGTATCTTACTTAGCACTTACAGTAGCAGTAGGTAGGAGTACGTAGGTACACTCTTACAGTAACTACTGCAAGAATCAAACCCAATAGCGGTGATTTCATTCAATAATCAACAAGTCGAATCCCTCCATACTTTGTCCCTCCGGTTAGATCAAAAATGACTTTGGTGAACGCCTTCCCCTGCTCGATACTTCAAGTCTCAAATATATCAAAAGGCAGGCAACTGCGGATAACGAGAATGCAAGAAACCACCGTCTGGCGTCAGAACCCAAAAAAGCTTTTCCTGAATTGAGGAATCAACCTACACTGTAATCTTCCCCACTCTGACACCATCAAGATCGAAATCACATCATCACCATCTTATCACAGCCCAGCATCTCCCTTCTCCTATTTGAACCAGCTCATCCCGTCAGCCGCCGCGGCCCCAAACGCCTGGGAAGATGCATCTCACCTTAACCAGCTCGTCTGTCATCACATCGCCTCACCCGCCGCCGTATGATGGTTGCTGATGCCGCGGAAATGAGTTGATAATGCTACCTACTTAGTACTTACAAAGGACTGCATGGTCCGACGCTATGGTCCCGTGGCCTTACCCCCCGTCTAAGCTCCAGTCGCACAGGCTCACAGCATATACGAGTCGCCGCATCGCTTCACTGCCTGACTATCGAACCACACCTATCCAGATCACGGTAGCACCAAACCAGTCGCCGGTCTGCTCGCCCTCACAAGCACCAGACAGAGCATGGCTCATTGCTCATGACGGCGGATGAGCCATCCATCGAATCCCTGAAACCTCATAAGGGGCAAGGGAATGGAAAAGGCAACCACAAGCGAGACAGATCCTGCCTCTCCCCCCTTTGGATCTGGGAGTTGGCGTCCCAGCAGCTGAGCTTAGGCGCTGCTGATCCTACCCGCCAAGGCCATGGAGCTGCCCTCGTGCGTGCGACTTATTCAAAAGAACCGCGAGCATTTCTCGTACATGAAAGAAAGAGAGTAAAAAATAAAAAAAATAAAAAATAAATAAAAAAAGAACACGGTTCAAGCGAGCTGCGCAGGAGATCGATCATCTCCGGGCTCCATCCACGTGGCGGTCGATGCAGGATAGTCTTATCCCATTCCCAATGTGCCAGACTGCCAGTCTCTTCTGACCCTACTCCTTCGCGGTTGCGCGGGATCGAAGGAACTTGGGATCTCCACCCCCCCCCCCCCGGTGCACTGTGCAGCACAGGGCCGCAAGGCAAAATTTCGTCTGACGGTCTGCAGGCAGCCGGGAATATGTACGGAGTACGACGAGGTCATCCGAGTCCGACCACAGCGCATCGATAAGCGAGTTTTCTACGGATATACTGGACCTTTTCCCCCCTCTAGGCTCAAACACCCCGCAAGGTGTTGGATTCGCGCCCCCTCCCATATCAGCACTGATGTCCTCCCCCTCACATCCCCCAATGTTTCTGGGAATCAGTCAGATTTCCATTCCCATAGTAGGCGTTGTTTGGCCCTAACCTAGCAAGATACGGTGTTCTCTACAGGCCGAGCCGGCATCCATACAGGGATTCCTCTCTTTGTAGGTCTTGAATGCTGGTACGATACCTAGTTCGGAGAGTTCACTTGGAGAGACAAATCGTTCTTTGTGACCGGATGATATCCATTATCTTCAGCATATATCTCTTGACACCACGCAGGTATAGACAGCAACCTGCTTAATGCTTGTATCTATCGTACGCTGTTGACCAGTGCCCAAGCAAGAGAAATGCGGGGCTACTCTTTATCTCCGCCGTGGTGAGCTCTACTTGTGCCATTACAGTCCTGACTCAGGAGAAGAAAAAAAGAAAAAAAGCATGACCATGATACCCAAATCCGCATTGTAGTCTATAAACGTGACAGGAACGAACCAGTCCCGCGGCATCTCTCGCAGCGAGCCGGTTCTCCGATGGAAAAAGACAACACCCACATCATCAATGCTCCCTTTCCCACGAAACAACAAGAAACATCCTATGCAAGGGAATCTGAGGTATGAAAGAAGAAAAAAAAGGAAAAAGGAAGAAGAAAGAACAAGAGAAATTTCTCTCCATTGTCATCTCCCGGGTCTTCATGAGAGCAACGCCATTCGCAAAGCAAATCATTAGGGTCAGAAACGTAGAAAACCGAAGTGTACCGGGAATGAATCCCCACATGGTATCATAAGCGACGTGCAAAAAAAGTTGCACTGGCACATCAACTGCAATGGCCAGACCAAAGCGCCCCCTCTTTTACTGAGAAGCACACTGCACTCTCTCACCACCAGGAGGAACGTCTTCATCATCCTCATCCATGCTGCCGGCAGCACCGTGGGCCCGTCTTTGCGAGCCTTCGCTGGCGTCGATGTCCTCCAACTTGAAGTCTTCAACCATCGAATCAGCGGGGGCCTGGGGCTGCTCCATGCGAGGAGGCAGAACCTTCTCCAGAAGGTCGAGGTTCTGGAGCTGGTCCTTCTCGGGGAACTTGACGTCGAATTGGATGTACAGGTTGCCGAAGTCGTGGTGACGGAAAGATGGCATACCCTGGCCCTTGATCACCTTGATCGCACCTATGGAAAAGATGAGATTAGCATTCAACCAACCACGTCAGACGCTGAAAATGACCGGATACATACCAGGAGTGATAACCTCGCCAGCGGCGATGTTGACGGTCAACCACCGCTCATCGAGATGCTCAATGTTGATGGATCCACCGGCGAGAGCGGTAAGGAGATCAATTTCAGCATGGTAGAACAGATCGTCGTCCTTGCGCTGGAATCGGGGATGAGGCTTCTGCTCAATCTCAAATACCACATCGCCAGGGAGTACACCAGGCATCTGGTCTCCCTCACCGCGGAACTCGATCTTGTGGCCGTTCTTCACACCCTTGTCGACATGGACGTGGAGGACCTTGCGCTCAACAATGGTCTTCTTGCCGTTGCAGCGCTTGCAGCGGTCCTTCTCGCGGATGATCTCTCCTTCTCCGTTGCAGTCGGGGCAGACAGTCTGGAATCGCTGGATCATGGGTCCCATCTGGCGCATCATCGTCTTCATACCGGAACCATTGCAGCCCGTGCAGGACTTGACGGCACCTTCCTTACCACCACGGCCATCGCAGCCAGCGCAAATGACGGACTTCTGCAGCGCCAACTTCGAGACCTTGCCGCGGTAGATATCCTCCAGGTTGACCTTGTGAACGTGATGGATGGTGCGAGCCTTCTTGGGGCCCTGATCCCGCATGCCCCCACCGAACATACCGCCGAAACCACCGCCACCACCGAAGAACTGAGCGAAGAGATCCTCAGCACCCATGCCACCACCGGCACCGCCTTCCAGACCCTCCTCACCATACTGATCGTAGATCTGACGCTTCTGGGGGTCGGAGAGAACCTCGTAAGCGTGGGACATTTCCTTGAATTTCTCGGCGGCTTCCGGGTTGTTGGCGTTCTTGTCTGTGGAGGACTCGTCAAAACCTCATGTTCTATCCACTTTCCTATGTGGGTTCAAGTAAATGAACGTACCTGGGTGGTACTTGAGGGCACCCTTCTTGTAGGCCGACTTCAGTTGAGCCTCAGAGGCCGTCTCGGGAACCTAGACGAAACGCACGTCAATCTCAACTCCCACAAGCAAAAGCGTCTGTTGTCGCCTACCCCGAGGGTGTCATAGAGCTTAGTGTCCTTGACCATTGTGATATGTGTCTAAATGAACCTTCTTCGAAGAAAGGGGGAGGAAAAAAAAATTGACGAGAAATGCCGTCCGGTTGAGACTGGCGACAACAACAGAAACTTTTTTTTTAAACGACAACGGAGGTCCAAGTAGAATTTGGCCAGGCGAAGAAAAGTTGCAAGGGGAGGGGGAGGTAAAGGAGAGGCGTAGAAAGGGTCCAATGAGTTAGATCGCAAATATAGAGGAATTAAAGGTGGGACTGGAAAATGGATGAGAAGGAAGGCTCTGAGGGATTGGAGAAGTCCCGAGATTATTATCAAGACAGGAGCGGCGAGGCGGCTGCTCAGGCTGGAACTCGTAATTTATGTAATCCGATTACCGACGGACACCGCAGAGCCCTGGGCTGTATAATCTAGGTATTGATCCACTGACAAAGGCTGGTTTTCTGATACGCCAAGCTTTTCTTCCCCAATGGAAAAGATTTGCGTATTTCAAACCGGAGATATGATAACGCAGAACTCCGAGAGGTTGAGAGGAAAAAAGAAGAGGATCAAGAGAATATATGTCTACACATCCAAATGAAGCAGAAGAAGAAGAAGAAAAAAGGTCTGCTCGTCTTACGCTTTTTCTACAGGAAAGCGAAATTGCGCCTGTCAAGGCGTACAGAGCCAAAGAAGCTTCCATTCATTCCATCTTCTCGCTGCTTCGACTGACTCCGTCACAGCCTGAATCCATGGCCCGAGCGTTCTTCGACTGCTTTCGATCCAGTTCTGCGGCTTTCCACCAGCTTCGATGGCTGAGTGAGACTTGGTATTGTCTCTGTTTTGTGACAGGCCCTCAGTATGTCAGTATGAAGAGCATCGATATTACCTATTTGGCTGCGTAATGCTGTTTGTTTGTATGTAATTTTCGACGGTGTTCCACTGCCTTGATCTGTAATTTTTACCAATTGAGGTGTGCAGCCTTCCTCTTAGCCTTCTTCTGGCTTCTATCAGATTGTTACCAACCTGTCTGCGTAAACAGTTTCACCATCATTGTATCTTGGGAAACCCATTGCGAATTAATAAGGAGGCGAAGTCAGGCAAAAGTGAAAAGACTTCTATGTCTCACCATCAGGCTGATGCCAAAGATGATATATCTATTTATGTTTAGGGAAGTGCCCTCGTCTCTTACTCCAAGCGGCATAGGGATGCTCTTATCGATAACAGATAGTCTGAGTAAAAAAGGAGGGGAAACTAATGAAATTGAACTCATATGGCATCGTCGCCTTGGTCTATCTGAGTAAAGTATGAGGTATAGCTCAGTTACTTCTTGAACTCTGGACCGGTTATCATCTAGATATGTACAAGCGAGCCATATCAAAGCTCCATTCTCCTTATCATTCTGTAGTTGAATGCTCCTCAGCTATCTATCTGGAGTTATCAGTGCTATCGCGATAATGGCCCCACTTACCATCCAAACATTGAACTACTTAATCAGAATACAATCCTTGCTTCCAGCTTGCTTCCAAGGTTTAGTAAATTCTTTCTTTCTGTGATCAATATTGTACGACTATCCTTTAGATATGGAGCAGGACCCTGGATTCATTGCCGCCGTGGAAGAGGCGAAGAAGGGCCTCGCGGAGGGTGGAGTGCCCATCGGCGCAGCCCTGGTCTCAAAGGACGGCAAGATCCTTGGCCGTGGACACAACATGCGTGTTCAGAAGGGAAGCGCAGTTTTACACGTCAGTGCACTTCACTTGCTGCTTGACTCTGGCTTGCCCGGAGCAGCTGTGGCTTACTGACTGCTGTAGGCTGAGATGGCTGCTCTGGAGGACTCCGGCCGTCTTCCCGGCTCGGCCTACGAGGGCGCAACAATGTACACCACTCTGTCGCCCTGCGATATGTGCACAGGCGCGTGCATACTGTACAATGTCAAGAGAGTCGTCATCGGGGAAAACAAGAACTTCGTGGGTGGAGAGGAGTATCTGCTGAGCCGGGGTAGGGAAGTGGTTGTTTTGGATAACGAGGAGTGCAAGGAATTTATGGGGGCATTCATCAAGGAGAAACCAGAGCTTTGGTAAGTTTGAGCCCTACTTTCCGTCCTAATCTGGGGCTCTCGCACGGTCCCGTATTCTGATGCTCATCGTTTCATTGCAGGAATGAGGATATTGCCGTCTAAATCTATCAATTTCAACATAACGCTTCCCCATTGGGACACACCTTTCCCGTTATATGACATGTAAATAGGCTAGCTTTTTTTATAATGGCGAAGATCAATTTCTCATGAATAGTGTCGATGTCGTCTATACCGTCAAACGGTGGATCTCCTCGAAGAAGAACTTGAGGTCATCCGGTTTTACAAAAGGCGTGATACCTGCCGTTTTTTAGCAATTGAAGTTGAAAGAGGAGGTTTGTCAAAAATTACCGTGGCCCAAGTTCGCAATCCACCCTTGCTTGCCACCCCGGAAGCCCTTGACCATGATTTCAACGGCTTCAGTGATAGCTGCGCGGCCACCGTAGAGCACACCAGGATCAGCATTGCCTTGGATCGTTACCCGACCATTGGCAATGTTCATAGCTTCGGCAGGATCATGCAGCCAGTCAAGGCCGACAACGTTGTAGCCGGATTCACAGAGATCCTCGAGAGCATACCACGCTCCCTTGGCGAAGACCGTCATGGGAACCCGCTCCAGACCCATCTCATCAAGCTTCTTGGGGAGATTAGCAGAGATGTACCGCAGATACGGAAGCGCAAAGGTCTTGAAGGTCGCAGGAGACATCTCTCCGGCCCACGAGTCAAACACCTGGACCAGCTGTGCTCCCGCCGCGACCTGCAAAGCCAGATACTCAACGCAGATCTCGGCGATCTTCTGCAGCAGCGCCTGCGACTCCTTGGGATACTTGTAGATCCACGTCTTCGACTGCACAAACATCTTGGTGCCGCCGCCCTCAACCATGTAGCACAGCAGAGTCCACGGCGCGCCGCAGAAGCCGATCAGAGGCACCCGGCCCTTCAGCTTGTGCCGAGTGAGGGTGATGGCCTTGTACACATAGTCCAGCTCCTCCTTAACATCCACCTCCTTCTGCATCACCTTCTCGTATTGTCCGTCGTCGGGCGACTTCAGCGGCTCCGGAAAGTGGGGGCCCTTCTTGTCCACCATCTCAACCTGCATTCCCATCGCTTGGGGGATGACCAGAATATCCGAGAAGATGATAGCGGCATCAATCAGCCCCTCATACCGCTCGATGGGCTGGAGAGTCAGCGTGGATGCGATTTCCGGGGTGCGGCAGCATTCGAAAAAGTCGCGGTTCGCTTTGGCTTCATGGTATTCCGGGAGGTAGCGGCCGGCTGAAATGAAAACCAGTCAGTAACGAGAGGTGGGAGATAGGTCAAAGGAAATATTTGACTCTGGGCGACTTACCCTGCCGCATAACCCATATTGGTGGGCGCGGGACTTGCTCGCCTGGGAATTACATCAGTCAGCCTCCTCAATTGCGAGCACCCAGATTATCTGAGTTCCTAATACCTCTCGCGGCTCTGAGCAGAAGGTCGTTCTTTAATGGCTCGAATTTTTCCTGCATTTTGAAGAAGTGAATATATGTCTTTAGATCAAGAAAGAAAAAAAAAAAAAGATGGCCTGAGGAGGGGTGATATACTCAAGTCTCACGGGTCGGATCCTCGGGCCATTGAGAGCGCGGGTTCCGCCAACGGTTCTCTCCCAAGATGTTGCCCAGAGGTCGAGAAGTTTGCGTTCTTCAACCTTCAACTAGTTAACTAACTACTACTATCTACCCGAAGGGAGCAATATATTATAAATGCCGAGTCTGAATTATGTATTCGCTGATCATAAATCTATACTACAATTGTTTCATACTTCACTCGTCCTCTCCCAGGTTCTTTTTCCGCAGATTTCCCGAGCTATACAATGCATCATTGAGTTCCTTCTTCTGCTTCTCTTCCAGGGTTGCGGATATTTCCGATGTGCCTTGAGAATTGACTTGTGAAGTGATAGCCTCAGACATCGGTTCCCATTCGACATTTTCCGTGTCTGACTTCAAGCGGAACGCTTCAATAAGAGTCGAGGAAGAAGAAGGGGTTGCTCGCCATTCTTGCGTCGAGCCAGCCACATGGACCGCATCAACTGACACTAGAACTGCGCTGTCTTTGCTGGAAATCGTCAGGTCGAGCACGTTTCCAGACGCCTGGATCGAGTTCTGTGCCTTCATCGTGCCATCGGACTCAAGTGTGAAGCACAAAAGTTTTGCAGACCTGGAACGAACAAATCAGATCGTTTTTTCCATGGGTGCATCAGATGTGTTTTGACTTACCCGTCAATTGCAACAAGTACCATTTTATCTGTGACCCAAATCCCACGAACAGCCACTTCAGAATCCGAGGTCTCGTCGACTAGTGGGACCTTTTGTACGATACGGCCCTCATTCCATCTCCACACAAGCAAGTAGTTGTCACCGCCTCCAGAGACGAGATACTCTGGTGCCCATTGAGGAATGCATAGACTGTTGACGAATGAAGTGTGTCCCAGGCAGTAATTCTCAATAATATGCGCCTGAGAAGGACCCCGGGATACGCGGATGTGCTCATCCCGGTCCGCAGTCAGGATGTAGGATCGCTTCTTCTCAGATGAACTATCCATCGGGATCGATACGCAGATCAAATCTGTGAGCATCGACACATGCCCAAGGAGTAGATGATGCTCAAACGTAGAACTAGGCTTCTCCTCTGCAGAATTTTTGTCTTTCTGACCATAATGCCGCAACTGCTGCTCGAGCGAGGCCAAGTTTCGCTTACTGTGAACAGTAAGAGTTGTTGCTGCTGGCTGGTCTGGCCTGACCTTAGCAGGAGCCCTGGGTGCAACAGATCCCTTCCCTGTGTCGATGAGTGGCAAGGAATAGACATCTCCAAACTTATCACCGCACAGAATGGTTCTATCATCATCGGCCAAGGCAATTGCGCTGGGCCGCTTTGGCATTTGTCTATAAGAAGTGTAAGCACGGAGTCTAGTATGAAGCGCCAGCGCTAAGCCTACCGTTCGCTCAATTGCTTGAGAGCACCATTTTCTTCTACCTCGAAGACACGAATGCATTTGTCTTCAGCAGTGACCGCAACCACATACTCTCCATCAGCGGACACGGCCAGGATGGGAATCGTTGACCAAGCCGGCGAGGCCTCCGGCTTCCTTGATTTCTGACTGGCTGGCTCTGAATCTTCAGGTTTCTGGTCTGGAGGCGGAGACACCTTCCTCCTCTTCTCAGGCGGTTCCTCGCCCGTGGTGCTGGGGGCAGCCTTGGCTTCTGCCGTATTGGCGGTCTCTGGCCAGATACCGAGGCGTTCGCCAGTCTCAGCAGCGTAGGTGTAGATTTTTGGTCCAGCAGAGCCAATGATCAACTGTCTCCCAGAATTCCGTCGCTCTACGGATTTGATACATTGGAAAGGATACTGGAATGTCGCAGCCATTTTGGAAGATATAACCTTGAGAACAGTTGCAGATATAGATGCGTCAAAAGAAGGTAAAGAACTCCGTAGCACCAATACAGCAAAAAGAGTCGGGCAAATGGTCCGTGGATAGCTATCCGGCCTAGATTTGGACTTATGCAATGCCAGAGCAAACAAGCACAAGTTCCCAACTACACGCCATATACACCGAAGCCGGCCCTAACGCTGTATGGGGCATTTTTGCACCGCGACGGGTGGAGTCCACGTGACCGGCTCGCTTCGCGAATCCACACGAAGAATTCCCCCAAAATCGCAGCCGGCGGAAATTCTTTTGATGAACTTCCAACGTCACGATTCCCATCGGACAACTCCAAATCACACGAAAATATCCCTTGCCCTTAAATAACCTATCTTCATTGAACTAAAGAAGAAATGGGGGGCAAGTCTGCTACCAAGGCCGCTTACTTCGAGAAGCTTAAGAACCTTCTCGATGAGTACAAGACCGTCTTCATTGTCGGTGTCGACAATGTCAGCTCTCAGCAGATGCACGAGATCCGTGTCTCCCTCCGTGGTGAGGCTGTTGTCCTGATGGGCAAGAACACCATGGTATGTTGAATCCGGCTCAATTCTGCGTCTAGAAAAAGGAAACGGTCGTCTGACAATGAATCCAGGTTCGCCGTGCCATCAAGGGCTTCGTCACCGACAACCCGGAGTACGAGCGTCTGCTTCCTTTCGTCAAGGGTAAGCCTATTCGATTTAACAATTGTGAAATTCTAAATCTGAAAGGAACAAATGGCTAATTTGGGTGCTCCGTAGGCAACGTTGGTTTCATTTTCACCAACGGCGATCTTAAGGACGTCAAGAGCAAGATTCTGGCCAACCGTGTCGCTGCTCCCGCTCGTGCTGGTGCCATCGCTCCCGATGATGTCTGGGTTCCCGCTGGTAACACCGGTATGGAACCCGGTAAGACCTCTTTCTTCCAGGCTCTCGGTGTCCCCACCAAGATTGCTCGTGGTACCATCGAAATTACCACCGATCTGAAGCTCGTTGAGGCTGGTTCCAAGGTCGGCCCCTCCGAGGCTACCCTGCTGAACATGCTGAACATCTCTCCCTTCACCTACGGTATGACCATTACCCAGGTGTACGATGATGGCCAGTGCTTCAGCTCCGATGTCCTTGACATCGAGGAGTCTCAGCTCCTTGCTACCTTCACCAGCGCCATCCAGACCATCACCACCGTCTCCCTGGCCCTGAACTACCCCACTCTGCCCTCCGTCATCCACTCTCTCGTCAACGGCTACAAGAAGGTTCTGGCCGTTGCCGTCGAGACCGACTACAGCTGGCCCGAGATTGAGGAGCTCAAGGACCGTATCGCCAACCCTGACGCTTACGCCTCCGCTGCTCCTGCCGCTGCCGCTGCCCCTGCTGCCGGCGGTGCTGCTCCCGCTGCTGAGGAGAAGGAGGAGGAGGAGGAGGCGTCCGATGAGGACATGGGCTTCGGTCTCTTCGACTAAACAACTCGTCACAAGTCTTGTGCGCGGGTTCTGGTTGCCATGTATTAGAACATTCCCGGTTCAATCTTAATTGATTGGGCTAATGAAAAAAATGACGATCATGGTGAACATGATGGAAAATTCTCAACTCATCTAGATATGTGGACGTAGACGCGCTCCACTATCAGTTGATGAGTAAACAGGTAAGACATGATATCTCTGTCTTTTGATTATCTTGCACCAAATCACTCTTCCCACAACTCTCTTCTCCCTTCTCCTGGCGGATGATTATACCATTTTTAACTCGTAGCTACCCTCGGGGTGGCTTTGAAGATCAAAAACACGCAACAACAAACACTCTAATTTTTTGATGACGCCTCACTTCTACCTTGCCTCTTTTTTTTTGCCAAAATCACGCACCGGTTTTACATGACTGATGCTAACTGTGACTACAGGATTATCTCCAAACCTGCCTTGCGTAGAAATACTTGACCGATGGAATGCTCCCGTAAAGGCAGCCGTAGTTCCTCGATTAAGCCAACAATACTTTACACAGTCAATCAATACAAGAACAGATGTTTAATATCACATAGAAGAATATCTTCTGGTATCCACGCTCATGCTATCCGTAGTTGTTTGTATGAAAAGTTTACATCCCCCCCCCTTCCCCCCCAACCCCCAATGGGATATCTATACGCATATGAACAAAAACGAATAAGAAAAACAATCAACAAAGCTCTCAACTCCCCCCGAATCTGCCCCCAAACCCGCCCAGATCCCGGCGGAAGAATTTCCCTATGTTCTTCAGATTTTCGTTGAGATTGGAACCCGTCTCCCCCACCTGACCTTGTCCCTGGGCCGCGCCGGAAGACGGCGTAGTAGACGCTGCGCCGGTACCAGCGCCGCTGGGGTTCGCTGCACTCGACGAACTTAGGGGCGTGCCGAATCTATCGACTCCATCTTTCGCTGCGGAGATGAGCGCCGACCCAAGCATGGTCGGGTCGAAGCGAGTCGGGAGGTTCGAGGCGCTGATGGACGCGGCAGCTCCCAAGCCCAGGCCCTGGGAGACGGAGGAAGCGGTGGGAGGGGCTGTGGTCTGCATGGCTGAGAGGATTGGGTTGCTTGACTGGAGGTTAGAGGCGTAGCGATCGGAGGCGCGATGGACCTGGAAGAGTTCGACAAGGTGGTTCTGTTCCTGGCGGCTGCGGATGCCCTTGAGGTCAAGGATTTTGCGGAAGTTGGCGTTGTTGCGGTCCGCGATGTGGATGAGGTATGCTTGGACGAGGGCTTCGGGGGGTGAAGGGTGCACTTGCAGGGTCTTGAGGAGGGCTTCTATCTTGGAGAAGCTGCTGTTAACGCGTTTAACGAAGCTTGCGGGGGCCGGTGCGGGTAGGAGAGACGAGAGGCCGGTTTTGAGGGTGTAGGCGTCGAGAAGCATCTAAGCGTTGAGTCAGACATCCTTAGTCAAGCCACAAAACGGAGATGAAAGGTGGAGGATATACCTGTTCGGCCCCGGTCTCTGAAATGGGTTTGCATTGGGCAATATTCGAGATCAATTGCGTGGACACTAGCTCGACAACATGGTCGGCAAGAGCTCTGGCGTATTGCTGCTTGTGTAGGAACTGCAGGATTTCCGAGGAGGTGTTTTGTGCCTTGGACACGAGCTCAACCACGTAGGGGCTCTGATCACTAACAGCTTCAAGCCGATTCCAAGGCGTATTGCGCATCTCGCGCCATGAGGGCTCCAGATTGATCTCAACTTTCCGCACAAGGCCACGGATTGCGGCAGAGGCAATGCCCATGAAGGAGTCGGCTTGGCTCTGCAGGTCCACGCTCTGCTCGAGGTTTTTATCGAGTCTGCCTTTGATTTTCTCTTCCAGCTGGTTGCAAGTGGTGTAACAGTAATCTGCTGTATTGAGGACCAGGATGAGGTCCTCCAGTGACGGCACATTTGATGGAGTGTGCCCTGTCGGCCGCTCGCTTATGTAGTTGAGGAGCACTTGCTGTGCATATTGATCTAAGTATTTTGCAAAGACCTTGGCCAGGTCCGCAAGACTGGCGCCAGTCGATAGTTTCGCGCACTGCTGGAAGGCATGTCTATAGAAAGTAAAGAGTTCCGTGGAAGACGAGATCACGATGTTGGAGTCGAATTCTTCATCCGGCGGCCGCAGCGGCTGCTGCCGGTACTTGGGGATAAAGGCAGCCAGCTGTTTGTCTTGGGCTTCAACCCATACGCTCAGGTACGGCTCAAAAGCCTCTGAGATCGCCTGGCCAAAGACAGGCGTCTCGGTGGAGGCAAAGGTATCGGTGGAAGGACGGGACGGGCTCGCAAAGCGTCGCTCAAGCGAATGCTCAAAGTCAAGGGTCTCCTGCAGACAAGAAAGTAGAAGATTGACATCAATTGCCTGGCCATTCCGTACGGACCGCGAAAGGATCCCCTTGAAGTCTTCACGCGTTCCCTCGCAGAATACGTTGGCGAGGATCTCATTGACTCTCCACGCCGCCGGGAAGATGGCCGCATACTCCTCATCGTAGATCTTGAGGATGCGCCGGAACCAGGAGTATCTTCGGGAGATGTTGTCCAGCGAGCCCGCCTCTTCGTTATTCCGAAACACCTGTCGGTACTCCCGCAGCTGGAAGTTGCAATACCATGTCACCAGCCGGGACCTCGCGCTCTCCCCCAGGGCATCCATGACCAGACATCCCTCCGACAGCGTCGTCCGCTTCTGCGCCACTTCGCCCTTCGCAAACGCCAGCTCAAAGTCCTCACAGACCTGCTCCAGCAGCTCCCGCTGAATATCCGCCACGTTGCGACTCAGCAGTGCGATCTGGTCGATCGAGCGGTACGACTTGAAGTGCGCCATCAGCTGAATGACGGCCTGCAGCAGCTGGCCGCAATCACGGTACTGCCGCGTCTTGCTCAAGGCCCGCAGCTGGTCGTACGCCGTCGTGAGCATCTGCAGCCGCTTCAGCGCTGTCATCGACTGCGTGAGGTTCTTCTTTGCATTATCCAGCTGCTTGATGTCCGCCGTCATCTCCGTGATCGCCTGTTCTGTCTTGGATGCGCGGTCGCGCACATCGTCGATCTTTTTGAAGAGCTCGGTGAGATCGGCCTTGGCTGTTTGGATGCGCTCAACGCTCTCCGCGTTGGAGGTGACCTGCTCCTCCACCAGCGCAGCGATGTCATTGTCGAGCTCGTCTTCGTATTCGCGGAGGGTCTGGGAAACGTGGGACACGGAGGAGAGGGTGGAAGGATGGGAGAAAATCGTATTTAGATGGTCAATTGGGTCATAGTCGGCTAGGCCATATCATCTCATTAGCATATATCACCCAATAATCAAGGGATTGATGCATTGCCTTACCGGCGTCCAACGGGTCAAGATCCGCCGCGCCGTTGGGCGGCATATGGCCGGTAGAGGAGGGAGTCGAGACGGACATTCCATTAGCTCTTCGGTGTACTCGCTGGGCGCATGCTGTAGTTGTGACGAGTAGGCATCTGTCGCTTGCCCAAGCGAGGACTCAGTGAGCAGAATCAAAGGATGTAACAGGCGTTTTGAGAGCGATGGGGTTCTGGGGTACTATTATTGTTGATTGCGGAAAGCTGTTATTGATAACTTAACGCCAGTGCGGGAACGGTGGTGTGTGCCTTGGCGCTCAGGCATTCATTCATCAACAACTACTTCTAGACCATCAAAGCTATGGCATGTTTAAGCGCAATGTGCGGCTGATGTATATTTATTTCCCTTCTATGTATGTGGACATGATATCGTAGCTCCTAATCAAGAAATACTCCTCTGAGACAAAAAAAAAAAAAAAGAAAACAACAACATAAGATGAGATAGACCCCAAATAGCGATCTTGAAGCCAAATCCATTCGCCAAAACCATGCAGCAAAGCTAACCACCCATATGATAGGGATAAATTGTGTACTCCAGGCGACCACCTTCCTTATGACTTGTGGCGCATTTGGAATAGATATGAGACAAATTATCGTGGAGAATGAGACGTGGCGTCTGGATATTAGACCGCCACAGGAAGAAAAGCTTCTGGAGGCAAGGTACCTTGTGCCTGTAAGGTGAAGGTGAGTCAGCCATGGTGTGTGTCAAGGTCGTGGAGAGTCTTGATGAGAACTTACCTTGAGTTGCTCGAAATTCTTCAATGCAGCCTCCATGTTCCAGCCATTCCCGGACAACGCCATCTCGGAATATTGCAGGGTCATGTTTGTTTTCGAGCTCATCTGCATCACAAGCTGCTCCTGCTGTACCTGGGCTTCTGGCTTTCCAGGCACCGGCAGACCGTATCCTTCAGGTGCCACCGGGGGAGCAGCCGGCACCACTGCAGGCTGAACCGGCAGAACCGGAGCTTGCGTCTCGGGGACCCATGCCTCATGGCCACCATAGGCCCGTAGACACAGAACATCACTGATTACCCTGATGCCTCCGACTCCTCCACCAGGACCCAAAATGAATGTCCTATCAAAACTCCGCACTTCCACTTTTCCACCACTAAGTTCCTCGAACTTTCCGTGCACCATAATCATAAGCCCACCCACTCCTGTGCCACTTTGCCCGGAAGGGTCAGGAAGACCAGGAACCGGGAAACATTCAATAAGCCATTGCTCCGGCTGAGCAACCACCTCAGGGTGCTTGGTTTTAGGTAGAGTATTCCAGACCTCGCGAATCTTTTCCACTCCGACATAAGCACGGGACATCCTGGCCGGGAGATGGCTGATCTTGAGCAGATTTCGACTCTTTTTGATATATGGATCCCATCCGGCGGTCTCAGTCTGTTGAGCTCTTGGCGCAGATGTGTTGACATTTAAGGAGAAAGTGGACCGATTATCGTAAACCCCGTTGAGCAAGTCGTTGCGGTCGTTATCATAGCCCATGAAGAAAGCCCGGACAAAGTTCTCTCCGATTTGACCTTCATCCAGGAAGTGAGGCGGCTGGACGGGGATCGGTGTCTTCTTCTGGGCCGCAATTTCCTCCAGAGTTCGAACCTCGACGTTGTTCAGCACCCGTAGCTTCGGGTACCACTTCATCATAGTATCCTTGAACGTAGGGTCGGCGCTGAAAGGGTTTCCGGTGAGGTCGAGAAATTCGAGGCTCCGGAACTTCCATCGCCAGCCAATCATAGCTTGGGCGTCCTTGAAACTGTTATTCGATAGATCCAAGTTTTTCAGGTCTGGAATTGTCTGGGCCAGGGTTGTGACAACTGCGATATTTGCGAGCTGATTGTCCGCCAGGCTGACACTTTCGACGGCCTCGCGCCTTGTTGTAGAATTATCAAAATTCATCTCCCAAACTTTCATCAATGCCGGGAAAAATTTCGACTCGGTAGAGGTGCTGTTGAATATACCCATGGCCAAGAGATCCGGGTCGCTTCCCAGTTTCGAGAGGTCAAGCAATTTCGTCTGTTGGTAGTATCGCTTGCCCAAGATCGCAGTCATCTTGCTCTTCGTGTCGGCCGTTGAGGGAGCGCCGCCGCTTTGCGCGATGTCCGATAGCATAGGTTGATCCGCCATGCCATTCGCTGATTGCCCATACGTTTCGATCGTGAGAGGTGCACCTGCAAAACTAAACCCATTGAGCTGGAGCATTCTATCCAACAACTCTGGTCGGATAGACACAATGATAGAATCGCCTTCAACCCGCGACTAATGGAAAGTTAGCAAGGCTTAAGAGACCTTGAAACCGCAGTCACCCAAACAAATAAAACGCTCAAGAGAAAACCGATTTGTAGGCATTGCTGATCGTCGTTCTGGATGACCATCCCTGTGAAAACGAAAACAGACCGGAGAGTACGACTGTTGCGTGTTTCTGTCGGTGACCGCCAAATCTGGTGTTGCACATACCTTGGATATTCTTGCGCGGGGGCCAGTTTTCGAGTCGGGTGGAGACAGTTTCTTTTCGAGAAAGGCGAGAAGGCTTTCGAGGCCGCCATCACGGTTGGACGCTGCTTTGCTCTGTTTCCAGCCACGAACGCTAACTTGTTCCAAGCCTCCTCCACGGGGTCCCTGTCGAATATTCGCCTGAGAGTCCGTATTGCTGGCAATCGCTTTCTGAATCGCATTTAATGCCCTATCCCGGGTCGGACCCCGTCCACCAGTCGAGGTACGACCACTGTCGCCGCGCGCCCTCTTTCCACGACCTCGAGCGGCACCCCCATCCATTGACAAGTCACCATCGCGGTCAATCCGAGTCGCACCCCGCTTGCGAATTCCCCCGCGATCAGAAGCACCGGAGCGAGTACGGGAGCCTTTGCCCTTCATGGTGTATAATTGAGGAGAACAGAATATCGAGGGGTTTAAGGTGAAAAGTGGTGACCGTTTCGAGGTAGGAAGAGGCGAAAAAAGCGCCGTGCGCCTCGAGAACCCGAGTTCCACTTAGCGATGCGACATGCAACAAAAAGAATGACGAGGGGTAGGAATATCAGAAGAGGATATAGCAAGTACAAGGACCTGCTAATTGCGAGGAATAAGCAGGCAGGAGTAGATGTGTCGATTAATATTGGACAAAAAGTGGGAGAGAGCAGCCTCTGAGTGAGGTTTGAAGACTGTTCAGCAAAAGTCGAGGAACAAAAAAGGTGACGTGAATCAATGAAAGCATTTCCGCAGGCTCCTGCCCGGTCACGTGCCGTTTGTTCTGGATGTCGCTGGTGCCTGAGTGCAACTCCGATTGGTGCCTGGTACAATGGGGTGGGCGCCTTCTATAACAAAAAGTCCACGGTCATTCATAATATCAAATCCTGCAGCTGTAGATATCAATTGCCTCTGTGGTGTAGTTGGTTATCACGTGAGTCTCATATAACAGAATATGATCAGAAGATCAACTTCTGAGACATCTCAAGGTCGGGAGTTCGATCCTCCCCGGAGGCAGTTCTTTTTTCTTTTCTCTTTTTTTCCCCCTTCATTTTTAAATTCAATATACTGCACTACTTTTATGTCCTTGCTGGTCAGCGTCAATGGACTGTGCTGTTCAATTCTGACCATATAAGGTCCTATCACTGATTGGCCTCGTAGCTTTTCCCCTACTTCTCTAGTTCGGTCCTACTTGGAATCTTGTGCACATATACTGTATGTTCCGCTTCTGTTTTTTTCCCATATGGACTCTATATATATATTCGATTGACTGGATCAGGATCTCAAGCGAGCCTAGTAACCATCTACTAAAACAAGGACAGCGATGTTACTCCATATATCCTGATATCCCCATCGGAACAAACTTACACTCAAGCTTGATATTGACAGATACCTCAGGACTAACACAATAGGCAGCAATATCGAAGGAGCATCCCAACGCAAAAATAGACTATGTTGAGCAACAGGCAAGCCACATCGTCCATCGTTTGAGGGTTTCCTCCTCAATATCATCATGGATGTCCCAATGAGTGACACCCTTGAACGTGCCGTCAGACGTGACGACCATTCCGGAAGCCTTCAATTTCAACGTGAGGGTATACGGAACATCCATTTCCGAGCGCTTCGCTACAGTCTTGACAACGACTCTTGTATGAAGTGGTCCCCTTACAGGGGCCTCGATTATGGTCACCTTGATGGTCGTCTCACCCAACCACCCTGAACTCATGCTTGGTGGAAACCTCCGTACAGACCTTCTTATCCAGTACAAATGGATTTCCGGTCTCGCAGGTGGTCCCCACCTTGAGCTCGAAGCCATGCGCATGCTCGAATGCTGACGAGGTCGTCTCGGACCGAGTGAAGGTCAACGTCAAGGGTTACTCGACAGATCTGTTGTTGTTCTGCGCCTTGGATCAAAGCACCACATCCTTGGTGTTGAGCACCTGCCCCTGCGCAGGGTGGTACTTTATCCCGACTGCCTCCATGTCCCCGTAGAGATATGGCGGGCGTTCCCCCAGCACCGCATCGTGTGGGAAGGGAAAAGACGATAGATGTGAGATGCCCCTGCCCCCCTGCCCCCCCGGCTCAGACGTCAAGTCAATCGGTATCGCCTCCGATGGCAGCAGTATACACATCCATGCCCAATGGGAGTCATATTACAGCAAGAAATTGAATACCCATGAGTGGCAGAACCGCAGCTCTCTTTGTCTCGGGGTTGAAACCTATCGCGTGAGATAGTTTACCAAGACCCAAGGCTGGCGCCACGAAGTATAATGCATGCTTCCCATCGGGGATGGTCAGTAGTCCTTGAGGTTATGAAGGTCTCGAGTGTTCTGACTGCCAGGTGTTGAAGAGAGGGAGTAGATAAGAGAAAGCATGGAGGATGTAGTATAAGCCACGTGATCAGGTGTCAACGGGTGCCTGAGGAACTATGGATTGAATTAACCAATCAGCAAATGCTCTCTGTCCTTTTGTAATACCGATACTTACACACCATTTCCCCCACGCTTTATCGTGTATTAATTACGCTCGTTACCCTTTCAATTATGCTTACGAAGTACGAACTGCAACTCGCTCTGAGGCAGTGATCGTTTAGTTTGTTTGAGGTTCATCAGGACAGCCTGTTCCAAAGATCAAGCAAGCGTCCAAGAGGTGAAGCCCCGCGAACTCTTGATTCTGCCATTTGCCAATGGTTCATTCCGCTCATTAACCCTGTCCAAATGTGAGTTTCTCCCTTGTTCTCTTCCATTTACGCTTGATGGAAGCAATTGAGCTCACTTCTATACTCCGATAGCTCCGTTACCCTACATTCCCTCCGTGCGGGCACTAGCCAGCTGGTTGCTGATCGATTCTTGAACCATTGCTCAACATACTCCTGCTTGCGACCACATGATTGTCGCACATTGAAGAGATGCCTGCCAAGTCCCGATTTACGAGGCTTGATGCTTTCGCAAAAACAGTCGAGGATGCTCGCGTCCGAACCACCTCCGGAGGCATCGTCACCATCGCCTCTCTAATCGTCATACTGTATCTGGTCTGGGGAGAATGGGTTGATTATCGAAGGGTGGTGGTTCTTCCGGAATTGGTTGTGGACAAGTCTAGAGGTACGATTAGCGCTGCATTTCGGTGATGGATGAGAGAGGAGGTGACCGAAGGGAATCGAGCTGATCGTGAACAATGGTGTCGGAATAGGCGAGCGGATGGAAATTCATATGAACATCACTTTCCCTCGGTTACCGTGCGAGTTGGTAACCCTTGACGTGATGGATGTCTCGGGCGAACAGCAAGTCGGGGTGGCCCACGGAGTGAACAAGGTGCGCCTGAGCTCGCCTGCGGAGGGAGGCCATGTGCTGGACATCCGATCATTGGATCTGTAAGACGTGCCTCAATTTCTCCAGGAATACTGTGAAAACATCGCTGACGTTTCGATTTCACAGACATTCCAAAGACGAGGTCGCCAAACACCTCGATCCCAACTACTGCGGCGACTGCGGCGGCGCCGACCCTCTCCCTGGCGCCATCAAGCCGGGATGCTGCAACACCTGCGACGAAGTGCGGGAGGCCTATGCGGCCAAGAACTGGGCTTTTGGCAAGGGCGCCAACATCGAGCAGTGCGAGCGCGAGGGCTACACGGCACGCATTGACGCGCAGCGCCGCGAAGGATGCCGGCTTGAGGGTGTGCTGCGCGTGAACAAGGTCGTGGGCAACTTCCACATCGCGCCCGGCCGCAGCTTCACCAACGGCAACATCCACGTGCACGACACACAGGCCTACTTCGACCTCGACCTCCCCGACGATGCAAAGCACACCATGGAGCACGAGATCCACCAGCTGCGCTTCGGCCCCCAGCTGCCGGACGAGCTGTCCGCCCGCTGGCAGTGGACCGACCACCACCATACCAACCCGCTCGACAACACCCACCAGGAGACCAACGACCCGGCCTACAATTTCGTCTACTTCGTCAAGGTCGTCTCCACCTCCTATCTGCCCCTCGGCTGGGACCCGCTCTTCTCCTCCGCCCTCCACAGCACCTACGAGAAGGCGCCCCTCGGCGCCCACGGCATCGGCTACGGCGCCTCCGGCAGCATCGAGACGCACCAGTACTCCGTGACCTCGCACAAGCGCTCCCTGCGCGGCGGCGACGCCGAGGACGAGGGCCACAAGGAACGCCTGCACGCCGCAAACGGTATCCCCGGCGTCTTCTTCAACTACGACATCTCCCCCATGAAGGTCATCAACCGCGAGGCCCGCCCAAAGACCCTCTCCAGCTTCCTGACGGGCGTCTGCGCCATCATCGGTGGTACGCTGACCGTTGCCGCGGCGATCGACCGTGGTCTGTACGAGGGTGCCTTGCGTGTGAAGAAGTTGCATTCCAACTAGATATCCCCAGTCCAGTCCACAATCAGAAGCCAGGGGGAAAAAAAAATTATAAAAAAGAAAAAGAAAACACCAAACCAAACTTACATCCCGAACTCGACGTTTAGAAAAAACAGTATAGTACATCGGCTGTATGTAACCTTTCACACTTTTTCTTCTCTTTTAACTCGTTCTGGGGGACGTGTGATAGCGGGTTCTAGGGGGCACGTAGGCGTTTCTTCCGGTATTCTACTTTAGCAATCGTTGTGTGTTTCTATTTCGCAGCCGCAAGTCTTCTGCCCAAGTGTGACAGTACATCCATCACCTTACTGTACCAAAGATCGAGTGGATCAGAATCAGTTCAGCATCTAAAGTGTCTCTTAACATGAGTTCGAGGCCGGTCTTCTATGGTTTAAAAGATAAAGTTCTCGATAGGCGAACCGAACCACACTACGGACTCTTGAGGAGCAAAGTATATTGCATATTCGGTCAATCTGTATGCAAGACATGTCCTTACTAGATGCACAAAAGCCAGTCAAAGGACCACCGACAAGAAGGGGTCTCTTTCCCAGAAAGCAAAAGAGGAAAAAAGAGAAATCTGAACCACCCATTCCGCCACACCGCACCGAAAGCAGAAAAAGGAGGGAATAAGGGAAGGACAGCAGATTGAAGCAGTACCGTGGACGCCAGACCCTTTCTCGTAACTCCATGAAATGCGCAATGCAGTGGAGCAAATGCTATGACAAATCGAAGTGGAAGGAACAAAACGGCAAGTTGAGGTCCCGTATGGGTACTCTAGGCAGTCTAGCTCTAGGGTGCGTCATCAAAGTGGGAATAGTAGGAAATTGATGAAAGAGTAGAGGGCTGGAAGGGTTGAGAGGATAAGGAAAGATATCACAACGGTTGGACGCAATCGCAGACGCTGATGCAAGAGACAAAAGGAGATCAAGGTAGAAAAAAAAAGAAAGATGTAAGACAATGAGAGGATGTTTTCAGGTCGATAAGGTATGAGAGAGAGAAAGACTAATATTGCATAGGAGCCCCATTGCTGAAATACCCAGTAGGTTGGGCAACAGGCTGCGTTGGTGGATACATGGGTGGTGTTTGCGGTGGTTGATTGTATGGCCCAAACCAAGATTGACGTCGTGGCTCATCAGCGTGGTACGACTGGTTGAGGGCATCCCAAGTGTGACTCGCGGCGGGAAGGTTGTAAACACTGCTGTGCTGACCGCTTTGCAGCCCGTAGTTGGCTGGTGGTGTCATAGCGAGCTGCTGGTGCTGCCAATGTTGTTGGCGCTGCGCGATCGCATGTTGCACCATCTGGTTCGACATTCCTTCCTTGATGTGCTTCTTCTCCCGCTCACGAGCGTCGATCGCACCCACAAGGCCCATGGGGTCGACGGGAGGCGACTGTTTGCTCTTCTCGCTAGAGATATTGAAGAAGGAGGATCCCGTCATACGAGCTACATGCTCCTGCTCCCGAGCGGAGAGATGAGATGAGATATCGTTATAATTCAGCATGCTACTGGCACCACGGGAACGAGGTCGGGGATGAGGTTCTCTGGGGACTGTCATTTGAGACTGAGAGCGGGTATGTGCCATCCAGTCACCGGAGAGTGGTCTCCGCGGTGGAGGCGTCGTAGAGGTTGTGCGATGGTGATGTACTTGGATTGGCGGGCTGGGAGCTGCGCGTTGCTGGACAAACTGTTCTGGTGTTAGACCGCCAGGGGTGACTGGGCGTGTAGCAGCCATGCCAGGTTGCCACAACATGCTGCGACGAAATTCGTCCTGACTGGGAGACCGGGAATGAGGAAGGTCCTTCAGATGAGTAGGCACTGCGTATCGCTGCTTCTCCGTTGCATCGGAATCAGTCCTGTGGTGTGCGGATTTCTTCAGAGTATCTGATGTGCTCGGCCGTCCAGTGGTCGGCAGATAGGTGAGCGTTGGTCCAAAATCCACGGTTGGAATGTCAGAGTTGTTTCGCGATTCCTGGTCGAGCGAGTAGTGTGCATCCCCAATGACAAGGTCTTTCTTGGGCTCCATTCCGACGGTTTTCATTACCCCCATTCTGGGTTTCGTGGAGCGTACAGACTTCTTGCTATAAACCGACTCGTGGGTACTAGCGTAGTCAGGGGACGTTGTAGACGCATCGTCGTAAACGCTCTCGTCATCGACCTGGCGATCTTCATCAGTCGAAGGGAACGACAACTGACGTGATGTGACCCAGTTCAGAACTTCCTCGTCCACCGTGTGGCGGAGGTCATCGTAGGTGGGCTCGGCGGGGCTCTGAGAGTCCAGTTCCTTGGGCTGCTGTGAGGGCAATGGTTTCCTTTTCACGACTTTTACGGGATCTGCAGAGACATTGTTTCCGGTTGGCTTGACCAGTGGCGGACCAAAGACGCTGTTGGGGTTTGCGGTGGCTGGGGGAGTCTGCTCTTGAGATTTGAGTGCCTCACGGCTTGAATTTGACGAGCTGTCAGTGCTGTCAGACCCCAAGGACCAGATGTTTTGTGCAGTTGACACGTGTTGAGTTGATTCGTCAGATTCCTGGATCCCAGAACGGTCCGACGCATGCAAGGCCAAGCTGGCCATACTCATTTTCCCAGCAGCAGCGAGCTGAGTGAGGGTAGTGTCCGACATTCTGTTGTTCATCTTTCTTAGATCCGGCGAAGGCAGCGGCCGATGAGAAGGAGTGTCTCCGGGAGCATGCATAAATGCGGGTGGCATCGAAACAGGGTCAGGAGGAGATTGAGGGCGGAGATCCTCCCCAATGGCTTCGGCCTCAGGGTCTGGATGCAGCTTCCAGTCGTTCTCACTGCTACGATCGCTGACACGGGTAGTACCAGTCAGGCCCCGTTCACTTGGGGCCAGATCTTGATCGGAGGATGATGGGGAGCTCTCCAAGGCCGAAGTCTGCGCCCGTTTACGAATGAAATTTATACCAGTTGTATCCGAAGAGCCTCGGGCATGGTAAGCTGAGGCAAGGGAATCCTCCTTCGGTGATTCATGAAGGATGGTATCCGCGGACTGGTTGTATTCAGGTCGACTCTCGGGTAGCCCATTGAGACGAGAAACACCAGCGGACACGTTACTGTACCGGCTTGGAAGGCTAGCTCTGAAGCGCGGCTTCTTGGAAGAGATACTGCTGGTTCTGCTACCCACCGCGGCCATATGGCGCGCTGTCGCATCCTTCAGCTGTTTTCTCCACTCCGCCTCGGTCCAGTCGTGGCTGCCGGGCACCTGCATCAGATTCGCGACATCCAAGATGTCCAGGTAACCGTAGCGCTGATGGTTCGGGAATGCGAACATGATGCTCTTAATATGGTTTGTTGCGGCAATGAGACGTGTCGGCCGTCCGTAGAGGTTGAAGGTATCGAAGGTGGGAACGAGGAAGCGAACCATCATCTCAAAACCAGAAATGGCGGGATGCACCTCGGGCATAACAAAGACGAATCCCTCAGAAGCCGATTCCGGCTGTGAATGGATTGTAACGGTGCCTTCAATTTTGACGAGTGTCGATTGGTCAATCAGAGCTTTGGACTGGGGGTATATGGCATAGGCAGAGTAGGCATTGGTGATAGTCGCGATCGGTTTGGCTTTCTTGGTCTTTTTTGTGTCATAGAACTTAATATCCCCGGTGATCATTTTTGGAGCCCGGTCGTAGGCGGACTTCTTCAGTGACTTCTGGGCCTTCTGATATTCTTTCTCGTTAGGAGGGGTGATGACAAACCAGCAGCGTCGCCATGGTGTCCCTGCTCCAAATCGGACACGGGCCCAGTCTTCCTGCTTGAATCGGTTGCGGTCCAAAATCGAACGGATGTTGTTGAGATGTTTGCCTTTGCCAGCGATGATTGAACCCGTGTAGGCTTCATATAAAGAGGTATGCTCGAATAAAGCCAGACGAATGGCCGATGCCCACTGTGTCAACGAATGAAACGAATTGAAATGTAGGAGATACCGATTTTGGCCGGCAGAGCATACGCTCAATACATTCTTGAGCGGCTCCATCGCTTGATTTCTGGTAGGTAATGTCTCGATCTGCGCCTCACAGAAGATGTGTTAAGAGAGAATGCATGCAATGTTTTCCAGCAGTACTCACCACTTTGATGGAACCATCTGCCAGGTTAATGAATGTCGATGGGACTTCTTCTCCCTCTGCTGCTGCGTCCAGCGCAGCAGCGTCCCATACTGAAAGCACCGTTCCAATGAGCTGGGCATAGCATTCGACCCACTGTCTGTCAGAATAAGGCCGGCCATCTGGATGAGTTTGAATCAGTCTATACTTTCGCAATTCGAAAACGACTTATTCCGGGAGCCACGTACGGTTATCCAGATCATTCAACTTCAAAAAGTATCCTTCGTGGTACAGTTTGTTTGCATGGTTGTTGAGAAAGGTGAATATAGGCTGCAGTTCAGGTGGAGTATCTTCTGACAGTTCCATGAACGGGGGATCATGTGTGAAGATGGTCGATGCCGGGCGTGACATCCGCCGTTCTGCTTTTGTCGTTGACTGCAATGGTGAGCCATCGATCGGTGAAGGCGTATCGAGAGATAGAGTATCGTATCTGGGCGGGGAATTGTTCAACGCTATCGAGGCCGATGCTGTACGATGATGCTTCTCGGCGTTTTCCTTGCGGGACGAGCCACCGAAGGCCGACATGAAAGAGCGCACTGATAACGCAAGGGGTTATCAGACACCGTCATCCGGAATGTGGATCGAAAGACGATCATTTACTCACCACGCGAAAGAACCATCTTGTTCGAGGTCTAGACCCTAACCTGACCTATGATGGAAGGATACACTCTCTCGTCGATATGAGAGGGGGAAAAAAAAGAACTGGCGCAACTGCCAGACTCACACAAGGACAACGGAGATATCGCTCAACAGCCACGCAATCCAGGTCAAAAAGATGGGAAAATCGCAGCAGGCCGTTACAGAATCAGGACGAACAACGAGGAGTTAAGAGTAAAGGAAAGGAGAAGATGTGTGTTGAATCCGGCTCCTCCGCACGGAGGAAGCAACGGGGTCTCAGGGCCCGCCAAGAGTAGTAGTTATTGGCAAGACGATTCCATGTAGGTTATATTCCTTGCCGACTGCTGAAAGAGACAAATATAGCGTAAGAAAGGAGTGGAAGGACAATGACAGCCAAGAAAGCGGGCGATGAGGGAAAAGTCTGGTTTGCAAGCGCCTGACTTGGATATTCGCAGTCACTGGGCCACCTTGTGTCTCAGTTAACCTCTTGATCAGTGTGGATAGAGAGTGAGGCGGGGGGGAAGCGGCAAGTCGGGAGTAAAATCGGGGAAGAGGGTTGATGAGAAAGGAAAACTGATAGGATATAGTTAGAAAGATTGACCGGGAGAGAAATTCGGAGAAACGAATGAAGAGGAAGAAAGTAAATAATAATTGAGAGAGAGGATATGGGAAGGAATAATGATGAAAGATGAAAGAGAAGAACGTTAGGTTGTACTCTGTAGATAGATAGGTACCTAGTCTCCATAGTCGTAAGAATACAGAGTAGTAGGTAATAATAATAATAGTAGCGTACAGTCGTAGTAGTTCAGTTGGGACCTAAGAGGATGAGGATCCTCTAATGCGTGGGTCTGACAGGAAGGAAGAGCGGTAATGGTAAGGGTAATACAGTTACACAGCACACTCACCACACTCAGACAAGGTCTTGTACCTTACCTACTCCGTAGGTTGATTCACCAGGAAGGATATTGCGCTTTCTTTTCGCTTGTTTGTGTACTGTGCGGTATTCGATTCTTTCAGCTTGTGTGGCGGTGTCACAAGTAGTAGAAGAAGAAGAATAGTAAGATCAGTGGACACTGAAGACCCGTCAGGAGAAATATTGGATTTTTTAGTTCAGACCCTCAATAGGAGGGATAGTGTATTAGGAGAAGGACGAGGAGGTAGATAGATAGATAGATAGTTTAGAGTATTATAATTATCAGTGGGAATGGATAGTTGATAGACAGATAGTACTATGGGGAAGAAAGACATGAATGAGATCAGTTCCAAGATATCGTTTACTTAGTTCTTATGATGATTATGGTGATGAGTATCAGCCAAAACTGCCAGACACACAGTTCAAGATCAAGTTCGAGAGCCAACAGGTTCAAGGATTCGGCTCGACGCTTAGTTTTTAGTCTCTGTCTGGCGTCATCGTTCTTTTTCCTTTGATCTGCTAATCATATCTGATGAGGTACCTACTTTTGTACCTATTTGAATTGAGGGTTGTTCTTCTTCCTTGAATCTTTTACTACTACTACTACTATTATTTTACTTACCTACAGTAACTGAATGTAAGAGAAAATAATAGATTGGATCATTCCATCCCCCATGATGTGATCAGACACCTTTCCTCTCTCTCTCTCCCAGCCAGACTATTTAGTATCCGTACTATGGCCACAAGTCCATTCATAGATTCGACAAATCTAACCGTTACCCATCATCATTGGCGCTTGGCTCCTTTTGTGACGCGGCCATACGCCATGCTCATCCTGAAAGATCCAACCACCCCCCGCGGGTACGGGAGTAGGCAGATAGAATAAATAACATCACTCTATCTCTCCTTCTTGACGGACTAAAGTAGTTTAATATATCGAATAGGGGTCAAAGAGATTGATTCACTATCGAAAAGGAGAGCAGTTGAGAGAGAGAGGGAGAGAGAGAGAGAGAGAGAGTCAATCATCGTAAGAAACGAAGATGGTGGTTCCATACTACTACTAACAATTACTTACTGATTACTACATCGGGTGATTATCGTACTGCATCCTCTCCGGAAACCCCCAAATATAGCAACACAGAAACATGCATGTCTTATTATTGAGAAGGGAAAAAAGCTAAAGAATTCCTCCAGATTTTGATGGCTGAGTGCTTGGCACGCTCATCGTCTTCTCTCAGATCCTGTAATGTTGTCCTTATTCATTCTTGATGTTTGACCCTTTTTTCGCTGTTGTGTTACTGACTGACTACTTTTGTGTGTCCAGACCTCTCCAGGACTCTGGAGCATCCCCCATTCCTACAGGCCACGAGGCAAGGTGAAGCGACTACAGTCCACAATAGAGTCGGCGCCAAGTGCCGTTTCAACAGCGCTGTGATCCATCTGCAGCCGTCTGGATCCGACTGGTTATCTATTCAAGACTAGATAGATATTCTATCCACATGTTTTTCCTTTCTAATCATTTCGAGCAGTGTGCGAAGGGTCAATCATACTGGACTGTAAGTGTCGAGTAAGTAATGTATCGGGTACTGCCACAATACAATACCAGCCACACTTGCACGAACTGATCGCTTTGTTCAAGAACTATAATTTAGTCTAGACTACGGAGTACGGAGTAGTTAGTTAGTTAGGTAGTTGAAAAGGGGATTGATATCATCCTGACCCTGCTCCTGGCTGATCACTAGCGCTTACACTTTACAGTACAGCTAACATCAGATCAGGGAACCTACTCCAAAACAGTGGCAAAGTCCACGTTCAACTCCCAGAGGGGTCGGAGCCCTTGAATCCCACGGACCACGGTACAGGTACTTTAGTATTGTCAGTGTACTGGAGCCGGCAATTGCTTACAGGGGTTCCAGGGCTTACAGCCAGTCCCTGGGTGTAAGTATGCCACGGATCGAGCCATGCCTCGACTACCCATGGTTAGAGGGAAAAAGGCACAGTTGCCAGTTACCACATCTAAGTGACTGGTGAATTAATATCTATCTGTGTCCTACCGATTACCGAACGGATCCGGAACCCAAGTACGTACTTTGAGTTGCACATGTAGATTACCTCGATGATCAAATAAAGGACTCTTCCGTACTAGCAAAAGATGATCAACTGGTGATATGTGGTAGCGATCCACCAATATCACCGTTGGCTAGTTTTAAAGCCCTAACGCCAAGGTATATATACTCTAGACCTCTACAGCGACTGGTCGCTTTAAACTCGACAGGAAGCTGGACAGCGGAGCTTTTCCAAAAAAGAAACCCATATGGACGCGCACTGGGGGGGCAGCGATCCTTGCTCAAAATGGCTTTTCAGATAGCAAAGATGACCTCAGAGGCTCAGCGGGTGGACTTAATTTTTTCTTCGATCCATGGGCCATGACGATCAATCTGCACTTTTGGAGAGTTCAGACCTAGGACTGCTGGGACTTTCTGCGCGTCGCGATATCAACCACGTAATGGATCGCTCAATGCATGAGATAGACATTTCCTCATAGCCATCCACGAGCTTATGAGAGATCTCATGTGTGCACTAGACTAAGGCGTAACTATCCAGGTTTGTGTTCTTGGTAAAGTGATTGTCATCGCATCCCGGCTACTTTTGGGAGGAGCTTACGTCAGGCCGTCGATTGCATCTTTGATCCTTGACAGTTCATCTTCTTCTTGGCTCCAGCGAATTCATGTGAATGTGATGCCGTAGGGTTCTTTTTTCTTTGCAACCTCCCTTGCAATTTCTACGGAGTAGGCAAAATTCGATCTTGTAGGTTCCAGGGTCAAGATCGATCCTTAACGCGTAGCCTGGAATAGACCCTCTTGATACCCACATTCCATCTCGAGTGTGCGGGGAACATACATGGAGGAGTAACGTGGCACTCAAGTCAATGTCGTCAACGTGGACTGTTCGGTTGAAGCAATTCCTGAAACAAGAATATCGGTGGATTGAGGTAGACGATTGTGATCTCCATTGATCAAATACTCCAGCACGTTACAGGATGCTTCAAGCAGTGAATCGAACTCGAAGGGTTGACTCGGTTTCAATCACTGGTTGTTGTTAACGACAACCTGAACTTCCTCTACCTCCAGTCCAATAATAGTGACACCCCGGATAGTATTTCCAACTTGAAGGCAAAAGCGCATAATTTTAAAAAGTCGCTCCATCTTGAACTGCTTTTTCCATTGACATGAAATCGAGATCCTTCTATCTACGTTTACTTTGTGGTTGTCTTGGGACAATACTTACAGATTACGTAAACAATTTTCGCCTGAGTGGTCCAGGGGTACGATTCATCGTTCGGGTTCTATAACTGTCTCGATGAGACCCGCGTTCGAATCGCGGCTCAGGCCTTTCCTTTCCTTCTTTTTTTTTTTTTTTTGGACCATTGAACTTTGGCAACTAATACTTCACAGCCAGCATGATAGACGAGATATAGGCCACAATTTCTCTAAACCCTGCCCATCATTGACCAATCGGTGTAGTCTGAGGCTGACTGTTCATGTCCCCAAATAGGAAGTCAACGAGGTCCATATGGTGATGACTGTACAAAGGGATCCAACAGCTTCGACAAGTCTTTCAACTAGGTTCTAAGCTCTCTGATCCTAAACTTAAGCTGTTACTTTGACTTGGAAATCTTTTTACTTATTAAGACTAGACTTGGGATATGCTCTGCAGATCATAGTCTGCGTTGAATCAGTCTCAGCTATCGATGTAGCTCAAGATGATGTCCCAGCATGAAGATAGCTGATCAACAAGATCTCTACAACTATGGAGATGATGCTGAAGATGCTGAGTAGTGAAGATACATGAGAGCCCCCCTCCATGATCAAGAGGTCCTTCACTTATTAGAGTGAAAGGTACAAGTTCAGTATGTTGAGATCGCCTCATCCAATGAGTTCTGCCTTGAAACTCGAGGATATTGGCATTCACTGCTGGTGTTTCCTCTGTATTAACAACGGATTCAGCTCTAGCTTGTCAGAGAGTAGATATTCATTGACTCAGAGCAGGGGGGTTTTTTTTTTTTTCTTATTGAGATGATGTCGTGCCTGGGATCCTCACCAGAACAACAGACATTCACTTGCTCCAGACTCATTCATTTTCAGCATTTCTCTGCTCTTTTCACTCCTTCTTCCGATGTCTGCTGCCTCCTCAATCCCCCTTATTTAAACCATCGGGATTTGTTATCGTTTCCTTGATCGTCCCCTTTTTATCTTCTTACAGCGTGGAGTTGTGTATGCTTCAAGTACCCAACTAAGCTGTCAAATCGACTGCACAAGCCCCTTTCAGTTTGATTTCTCGCTCTGTTTCCATTTAGCTGCATTGGAGTTTTTCTTTACAACTTATTTAACCCTCCAGCTTGTTTTCTTTTTGGCGTTTTGTGATTTAATCTGCTTTATCTGTTCGAAACTTTTCAAATGACCAGTGTCTGAGCTCTTTGTCGCCAGAATGGAAGTGTTTCCTCTCTCGCCAGACTTGGAGCACGAAGATCCTTTCGAGTCTTCCACCGGGTCTATCGACGAGGCAAGTGACTACGATGTTCACAGTTTGTTCGATGAAAAGATCAGGGAGATCACCGCTGCCGAGCGTCAGATGATTGCCGAGTTGACGGACGATTTCGCTAGAGGTTTCGATCCTGATGCTCTTGCTCGGGAGATCATGGCCGTGCTCCCATTGTTGGCGGATGATCTATTTCCAGGCTCGTACGCCCACCTTCTGATCATGTTGCTGGAGACCCGTGGAAAGATGGAAACAACTCAAGTAAACCTGACTCTGTGGATGCGTGCCCGTTATCCCACTGCTATCAGCGAGCCCAATATCACCAGCATCACCGATGAGACCTTTTTTGTCACCGAAATTGAGATGCTGAGACGGCTGCTGTCTACTTTGCGTGGAGATGATTGCAAGCCCATCTATTGGATCACTAGTAGGCCCTTGGAGATTGGTAGATCTTGTGAGCACCTCGAGGCATCCATCAAAGTGCTTCGAGCGTTTGAACATGATATTTGGGAGGCAATACAAGAGGAGGACGAGGACAGTAAGTGCACAACAAAAGAATATCCTCGGTGTTGAAGCTGACCTGTCTCTCCATAGAAACGATTTACAGTGACACTCCGGTTTCCACAGAGCGCACCATTCTGACGAGCGTGCGAGCGCAGCGTTACGACTGTTGCAGGGCCACATTGGCTTGGAATGATTACTTGAGAACGGAGCTTGCTCTGACGGTGTTCTATCAGTTTTACAGAAAGCATCTGATGGAAACAAACCCCGAAAGAGCCCGAGAGATAGGTTGGCTGCCACCTCTTAACATCGAGGTTCCTCGTTCGACTGTCACTGGCAGGGACTTTGTCGATCTCACTGAGTGGCCGCTGGACAGTCATGAGAGGATGGTCTTGAGACTGATGTTCAAGGTTGCCCAATGGCTTGGCCTGGCTAGAGGACTCCCTGCTGTTCACTTGTTCTGTGACATTGCCAGATACTTCACCATCCACGAGCCTTCCAAGACGCCCAGCGCATCTTATATCTTCTTCATGCAAAATCTCACCGAGATCAGACTCTGTGACACTTCGATCAAATCCCAGATCCCATCTCCATTTCCTTATCGGGACAAGCAATTTGCCGACAGAAATCGGGACTACTACATCGATCTTTTCAAATCAGCTAATGATTTGGTGTCCTGCCTGGTGGAGCAAACGTCTTTCCTCGAGAAGAAGAGCGGTGGCCCGAGTGTTGTTAGCTCCGATGGCCAGCCTCAGCGTCCCGTCAATAAAGAAATCCAGATGGTCAGAGAGTTTCCCGAGATTCGTGGGTCTCTCGTTGGTGCATGGCAGGATGTTGCAACGGCAAGTCTACTCATATGACCCCTCAATTTGTCCCCTTTAATCGAGTGTTAATCTTCTGTTTGCTCGGGTAGGCTATGGCTACCAGACACGGCCCATTGAGTGCCCGTCCCAGAGGCGGCCTTTCTCAGGGAGGAACCTCTCATTCAAGTATTCATGTCGTGGGCGAGAACCTGCCTGGCGCTGCTCTCCACTATCCACATTCAGTCTAGTAACTAATGGTTGTGACTCGGAGGATGTGCTGTTTCGATGTCTACAAAACTGCTAGCAGCTTCAAGTTTGGTGAATGTTTGACAGCCAGTTATCCTTTCGACACGCAACATCACCAATCTCCCCTCACCACAGAAAACAAGAAGCCAGAGGCACGAAGAAACGGTGGAAAGGAGTATTCTAATTGGCGGTTTTGAGCTACTTTCAGTCTCAAGTATCAGCTTCGATTTGGTTTGGTACGATGGTACCCCTTCTATCTTCCTGCATCTGTTCTCATTTTGCACAAATCCCTTGGCTTCCAACTCACGTTTCTTCATTGTCGAGGATATTCCTTTTGTCTTCCTGAAGCTTTTTTGGGCTGCCATCCTTGCAAACGCTCGGGGCTGGTCCTGTCAATTGGCAATTGTTGAGGCATTGCGGCCTATCTAGTTTCCATGTTGAAGAAACAACAACGCTCGTTTCCAAGGTCATGGTCTTCAAGAGAAAAAAAAAAAAACAAAAAAAACGGAGAGAAGAGAGATAAAGAAGACAAACCCATGTATCCAAAAAGATTTCGTTTGTTGCAGTCATTCTACCCTCACACTTCCCTCATGGGTTTGATCGATTGATCATTCATCATTCTTCCCACCCACTCACGTTACGCAAAGCAAGATCAGCTGCTAACCATTTCACTAACTAAGGTAGACTAGGCTTCTCTCCCTATGGCATCATGCTTGCTCATGCTGAGGTCTGCTTTGTGAATGCTAATGACTCAGTCTAGGGATTCTCATTCAACGCCTCATGCAGGCGACTCTGAGACATGAGTTGTTTGAGATGTAAGTGGGCAGCAGGTGTTACTTACGGACCTCAACGGGCGAGAAGGGCTACACTACAGCAATAAGGAGTAATGTTTATTCCTCTGCTGGAATATTTTGACCAAGCCTGGTAGCCAGGTGGTTCATTCATGGCCGTGACTGGTACAGACTGCCCCGGTCAGGCACGGGGGACCAGAGTGGCCTCTACATGATATGTTATGTTTCTTTTAGAAATAGATGCCCATAGAAAGAAAGCGCGGGGAAAGTGTACTGAGTATGCAAACGCTCCAAGATAGTAAGTCAGTAGTCAAATCGCAAAACCGCTCCAAACAAATTCCCTATGCATCAATCATATTATACGCCAAAACAGGATCAATCAGCGCCATGTCATCGCTCATGGGTATCGTAGAATCAACATGGTCTTGCATCAGCACATCCGAGTCGTGCGTCGGCAAGCCACCAAAGTCAGCCGCAGCCGTACCCACCCCAGAGAACGGCACGGTCTCGTTGAGCACATACGGCTCATAAGACGATGGGTCATCGTTATCGAACTCGAGCCCGTATATCCCGCCAAAAAGTTCCTCCGAGGGACCGCCGCGGCCGTCTGCCAACAGCGCGCGTCGCAGGAATAGATCCCGGATCTCGTCCTCGGAGAGGCGGTGCTTGCCGCTCATATGGACCCAGAGATCGTAGTCCCTGTGGAAGCGATGCAGGCACGCCGCGTCCAGACACGCGATACGCCGCCCGCTTTCCTCGGCGTAGCCCTCGCCCGTGAGCGCGGCCAGCGCGGACAAGCCGCGCGTACTGCTGGCGCTGGAGGTTGGATCCGGCTGCGTCGCGCTTGAGCCGAGGCGCTCGCGTCGCTCGGCTTTGGCGTTCGGATACCCCAGGTGCGCGGTGCGGATGTGTTCTTCGAGCGCGAGCTTGCTGCCGTAGCGCTTGCCGCAACCCTCACCGGTCCACCCGACGACCTTTTTGGAGGAGGAGAGGTCCGTCTCGCCGCAGGCGAAGCGTTTCTCGCCCTGGTGCACCGTGCGGATGTGGACGGTCAGGTTGCCTTTCTTGGTGAAGCTGCGGTCGCAGCCGAAGACGGTGCAGGGGAAGACTTTTCTTTCCTCGAGGCTGACGTCGCCGTGGGCGACTTCGAGATGGCGCCGCAGTTCGCGGGATGAGGCACAGGTAAGGGAGCAGTTCGGGCATTGGGGAGGGTGGACGGAACGAATATGGGCCTGTAGAAGGGCGTAAGACGGAAATGTGACGGTGGACAGCTCGGACGAGGTGGCCTCTGACTGCTGAAGACATTCGGTACAGCTGAATCGCTTCTCAGTGTGGACTCGGCTCTCGTGTGCTCGCAAGTGCCCGGCTGTGTCGAAAGCCATTGGGCATTTCTGGCCGGTGGTCGGGTCCGTGTGTAGACACTGGAAGGGCTTCTGCTTGAGATGTGCGGTCATGACGTGGTTTTGGAGAGTCGAGTGCTTCCGAAATGTCTCATTGCACGGCGGGTATTCTGTGCAGCGGTATTTGTCTCGTCCATCATGGGCAGCCAGATGTCGACGGAGTCGCGAGCCAGTCACAAAGCTCTTTCCGCAGCCTGGACGGTCACAGACATAGTCTCGGACACCAGTGTGGGCGCTTTTGATGTGGTGATTCAGATGCGACGCACGAAGAAAGGTCTTATCGCAGCCCTCATGTGTGCAGCTGAAGATTCTCTCATTGTTGTGAGAGCGTAGGTGCTCCTGAAGACGTGCTGGTCGATTAAATGCCTTTGAGCAGTAATCGAAGGGGCAGCGGTGAGTTTTCAACTCGGAAGGGTATTTGGCAGAGGTCGTTGAGAAAGGTGTCGCCGGAGTCTCGTGGAGACTTTCACTCTTGACGCTGGCTTCATCTGAAGATATATAATCTGCATCAGATTGAGGTTCCTCATATATCGGATCTGTACAGCATGATCTTAGTTGGGAGAAAAAAAAAAGTCGCATATTTGCGGTCATCTTACCACCATCGTCCAGCGCCGTCTGTTTTCGAAATTTGTTAGGGTTTGTGAGTCCATCGGACTCGAGCTTGCGCTTCTCACCCATGGCCCTTCAGCCTTCCGACTAGGCTCTCACAGCGATAGAACCATAGGGAATGGAGGGGAAGAAAAAAGAAACTGATAGATCACACAATCAATGAAAACGCAGCCTGATAATAATGAAGCCATTCAAAAAAAGATTCTGCCGGTCGGAATGTTGGAAGCGGTGAGATATCTTGCCCAAAACAGACTAGCGCCAAGAGAACCAAGGAACTTTTTCCGCCGCCCATTTTTGGAGGGTCGCAACATTGAAATCTTCATCTCTACGAAGCCTGTCGCAACGTCGGTCATTCCGCGCTGTCTCTGTCCCCGGACGCGAACTTGGTTGTCCTTACGCTTGTGTGGCCGCAGTACACGCCCGTAAACTTTCTTACCAGCTGACTCGCCGGATTGGCATTGATTTGACACCATGTCTGACTACGGAGACCACGACGCTGAGGAGACGTAAGACTACCTCGACCGAATCTCTTCTCATACGCAGACTGGTTCATCTGAACTGGCTTGCGGCATCCTTCTGCTGTTGAGTAGCGCTATTGCAAGCATGTTTGCAATGCTAACTTGCCCTGGTCTATAGCTACGACTACGAGCCCGCGGAGGAGGTGTTCGACGACCATGAGCCCGAAGATTTCATAAACCCCGAGGATATCGAAGCTGCCGAGGGTGGCGCCGATGGATATGGTGACGATTCCTATGCGCCGGCCGTCAATGGTGATCGTGTCGTCGTCTCGGGTGACCCAAGTGCTGGGTACTCAGGGAAGGTGGTGGAACAAGCCCGGGCGAAGAAGATCCCCAACGAGGAACGGAAGACGACCCCGTACATGACCAAGTACGAAAGGGCGCGAGTCTTGGGTACCAGAGCTCTGCAGATCAGGTTTGTTCACTCGGAAGTGCCAAGCAAACTAGCTCGTGGAACTCACAATGTTGCAGTATGAATGCTCCCGTGCTTGTGGATCTCGAAGGCGAGACCGATCCCCTGCAGATTGCCATGAAGGAGCTCAATCAAAAGAAGATTCCTCTCATTGTGCGGAGATATCTGCCGGATGGAACGTAAGTTGTCCACGGTCTGCCTTTGCAACGGAAGAGTACAAGGCTAATCATTCTTAACCGATGCAGCTATGAGGACTGGACGTGTGAAGAGCTGCTTTAGAGTCCGACTATCTTTGGATTTTGGTGGATGTGTGTTGAGACTGGGTATTTGTTTTTTTTTTTCATTCCTCATTCGAATTGCCGTCGTGGGATTTGATGTCCAGCATAGCGTTTGGAGTTTCGGAGTAGGGAAACGGAATCTCATGGCTTTGCCAGCCATTGGGTCACCGGACTGGGGAAATCACAAAAGAATAAAAAAGACGTACATATTACCTGTGATAAATAGAATAAAATCATGTTATATACTTGCAGCTTTTCTTTTGTCCAGCATCGGAATTGCTTAGCCGTTGGTGTTCCAATGAGTTCTGGCACTCTCAGGGGACACCCTTTTTGGTACAAACTGCCAGGACCCTCTAGACATTTGAGGATGGACATCAGCTACTATCATTAATGAAGATCAGTCTCGATGTTGATATTGCTGAAGTTCAAAATCCAATGTCCATGAGCATCCCTTCATCGGTCACGTGATATAGTACCTGAACTTCTTGACGTCCATGGTCCTTGAGTAGTGAGTAGAGTGACACCAAGTCACCAACACCAGCAACTCCCAACAACTCGCGATTCTCCGGATGTCAGCGGTCCCCTAAGACTCGAATGATCTGGTCAACCGATTCCGAATCTGACGTATGACACGGAAGCTGCAACCACCGACCAGACATCCGAGTGTCGGAGATTAGAGCTGTGGCCGTGGGTACTGGGCTCGGAGTTTGGCGCAAAATCCCGAAGGTAGCTATGTGCAAGTTCAACCCTAACCCCCGAACCCGAAGTCTTTATCTGTCGGCTTGCATGAGCAGAGACTGCCTATAGACTAACTTCCATTCTAGGATTCAGATTGATGAGAGTGTCGGTAGATGAGTCTCATGTCCATGTCCAGCAACCGAGGATCGACGAAACCTCATAGGTTGGCCTCATGGAGTTACGCCTCTCTACAGCTGACTCGGCATTATTAATGGCAATCAATATCCAGAAGCAACATCCTTCTTCGCTGGATAAATCGGCAGTCGGCACAGATGTCCCATGTCCATACTCCATAGTTCATACACCCATGAATCATGCATGATTCATCATGATTCGCGCCCCTCAGCCTATACCCTGATCCATGATTGCGCGCTTAGTAGGCTTACGGGTATAACCATAGAGAACTCGGGGAAGCACATAGTTGCCGTACTATGCTTCTATCACACTTCAGCCGTTCATTGGGTCCTCGTCGCTTCTTTCGGATCCCCACACCCCCCCTCCACTTTTGTCGCTTGTGTGGTTGTGAATGTGAAGCCTTCAGGCCTCGGGTTTCTCCCCCAGGATAAGGATGGGGATGTCCAAAACCAGCGGTATGGAATGACACCGTGACCGACACAACTTACGTGTCAGAGAGACTGGCCATTAGGGTTGATCCCATGCGTTTACCGTCCAACACTTCCATTATGAACTGCCCTTTTGAGGTCAGGATCTGAGTCTTGAGTCTTGACTCAATTTGTTGGCCTCTTTAGGAATATGAAATACGGATGGCTATCTTCGAGTGGACCTTGTGGACCTTGTCCCTCGGTAGCTGCAGTTGAACTAACAATCTTTCGACTTTCGGGCCTCTAAAGTCAACAAGCTTACTCTTCTATATGCCCCGCTGCGTCCAGGGATGCTGATAAATCCTAATCTTATATAATTCTAGAAAGTTGTAATTATTCGTCTGCTTTTTCATTCCCTTTTTTCTCTTTTTTTTTTTTTTGATATAAAGGAGAGACATGATTCTTAGTGTGTTGGGCGTGCCTCTCCAACAATCGTCACCATCTCTTTCTATTTCCTTTTCTTAGCTCCTATTTGCATACTAAGTATCCAAGTCATATAGATTGTCGCTTTTGGCCGCATCACTACACATAATCTAGAGTGCCACAAACGGGGATGAATGCGAATGTGAATGAAAAGGCGGTTGCGCCTTCGCCTTCAGCAAACTTCAGCAGCCATGACGGTAGCAATAACCGTGTACCAGATGCGCCAAATCATGCATCCGAAGAGAGGCCTTTGGAGGAGCCAACTTTTGATACAGGCCTCGTGACATGGTTGCAAGTCCTCGGGTCCTTCTTCCTATTTTTCAATTCATGGTGCGTACGCAAGCTATCAAGTATGATTCAGCAACTGGCTAACTGCGGAGTTAAAGGGGTATGATCAATACCTGGGGTGCCTTCCAGTCATACTATGAACAGACTCTTCTCTCTGACGTTTCGTCGTCGACTATCGCCTGGATCGGGTCTCTGCAATCCTTTCTGCTTATGCTTTTCGGAGTAGTAACTGGTCCATTGTTCGATGCAGGGTACTTTCGAGCCCTCGTCATCTTTGGTACCATCGTCCTTCCCTTCGGTCTGATGATGGCCAGTATCTCTTCGCAGTATTGGCATCTGATCCTTTCCCAGGGAATATGTATCGGTCTGGCGGCTGGCTGCTTGTTCGTGCCCTCCGTTGCCATCTTACCCCAGTATTTCAAAAGGAAGAGAGGGTTGGCAAATGGATTGGCGGCTTCAGGAAGTAGCATCGGTGGTGTGGTCTATCCGATCATGTTCAATCAGCTGCAAGAGAAAGTCGGATATGCATGGGCAACCCGAGCGCTGGGCTTTGTGGCCTTTGGGACCTGCTGCTTCTCTCTTTCCCTGATGCGCGTGCGATTCCTGCCTACCGAGAAACGGAAACTGGTTCAGCTGTCGGCCTTTACAGAGCCAGCGTTCGTGATGTTTGGCGTTGCCATGTTTCTGGGCTTCCTGGGCTTCTATAACTTTCTGTTCTATGTCCAGTCCTTTGCGATTGATACAGGAATCGTCGATGGGAACCTCGGATTCTACCTCCTCGCCATGCTGAACGCAGGGTCCACAGTTGGGCGTATCTTCCCCAACTTCGTCGCGGACCATGCAGGTCCATTGAACATGCTGACACCAGCTGCCACGGCGACGGCCATTTTGGCGTTTGCCTGGATTGGCGTGCATAACGTTCCTGGCATCATCTGTCTCGCCGTTCTTTACGGGCTTTGCTCCGGTGGTTTCGTGTCGCTTCCCCCAGTGGTGATGGTGACTCTCACCAAAGACATCCGCGACTTGGGCACTCGTCTGGGCATGATTTTTTCCATGACTTCGATAGGCTTGTTGATCGGTACCCCGATTGGAGGTGCCATCTTGAGCGATACCCATCAATACCTCGGAGTTCAGTTGTTTACAGCTTGTTGCCTGGTCACATCGGCCGCCATCTTCGCGGCGCTGCGGTTCTCACGGACTGGGTTCAGGCTGCTGGTTCGGGCGTGAAACCAGTCCGTGTGCCCGTCGTTATTGCATGAATATATGCCTTTAACTTTGTTTTTATCACAAGCGCACTCACTTCATACCTAATATCTAGAACATGGCAGGCGACGCATTTTTCAAGTCTGGGATCTCGGTCAGGGTTGTTTGCATCTATAAGACGGAATAGCGGTTTTCGGGTTTGCATCTTGGGCAGATGTTTCGTTGAAAAAAAAGTTCTTTTTTGGCTGTGTTTGCATATACTAATATAGAGTACCATATCACCATTTTTCATGCGAAAAGGGGATGTGAGCATCATTAGGTACCTGTATCACGAATGTCTTATTCAGACCACATTGTAGCCCTCGGCAAAGCGCATTATGTAACTCCCCAACGCCAGACTGCTAAATCGACTGAAACCAGTATAGCGGACTGCTTTTCAAAGCCCCCCTCGCCCGCCGCACTATACCGCTAATAAGTCTGCTACGAGACATCCTCAGGACTGACCAAAAAGTCCTCGCCTTTGTCCCGTACATGCTGCAGATTCTTATCCCGACTGCATGGTTTGCGCATATCGAACGCATCCTCACCCGAGTCCGACATGCCCGTGGGATCATCGCTGTAGTAGTTGACCACGCGCCGGAAAACGGAATACCTATAGCAGCTTTAGCACAGTTCCATCTTTCCTTCTCCCCAACAACGCGCGAGATCATACCCCATCCCCTTGTACATATCCACGGCGACCTTATTCCCCGAGCGCACATACAGATCCACAAACCAGGCATCGTTGATGTCCGATCCGTGCTCCAGCCGCTCCGTCAGGCGCCGCGCATGACCCAGGCGGCGCCATGCAGGTGCGACAGTCAGGACGGTAATGTGTCCGTGCCAGGGGGTGTAGTGTTCCGAATGGCGCATGGACGGATGTTGTTCTTCGAGCTTGCCCATAACTTTAATTTTTGGTAAAAAAAAAATTTGGCGGGGTATGTCAGTTTCTCCTCATCGCATTCCGAGTTTCTGAATAGTGGTGTCCGGAGACATACTGTAGCCGACGACACCCTCGTCACGATCCTTGACGGCGCTGAAGAGCGAGGGCCATCGCATGAGATAGTTGAGGTAGAAGCCCAGGTCGTAGTTTTCGGTAAGAGGGTCGAGATTGGTGAGGTTCAGGGAGAGGAGGTCCGTTGGGGACATGCGACGGATGGAACTCATTTTGTGCGACGGGACCTGGTGCTGGGAAGATCAGGAGATATGGATAGAATGGAGCATGGAGGGAATGGGAGGTGAAGCTATTCAAGATCTACAACTGTGTGGGGTTGGGAGAGTGAAAGTCGAAGCTGATCTGATTGGGGGCTTTTTGGGCGGTCACGGGAAAAAGCAGTCGTTTGTTTAGAAGATGGACATCTTCCACGGCTGCTCCATCATCATTATCATCATCATCATCATTCTTTAGTTTTCTCCTTATTCTTCCCGGTTGGTGTTTCCTTTTTTTCGTCAGTGGCCTTGTTTCTCTCTCTTCTCTTCTCTGTATCCTTTATTCCCTTCCTACATCCTGGTGATGTGGTGATGAAGTTGTCTGTCGTATTTCTCCTCAGTGCAGCCCCTGCTGCCACTCTTGCAGATCATCATCTTCTCATAACCTAAGATCGATAAACACAACAACAGGGTTCCTGTCACAGACTTCAAAGCTGTCAATATCCAAGGAAGGGAACCTAAATCACCTCCTGGCTTCATTCTTGACCGGAATCCCACGTGGAACTCCTTCGATCGTCCAACCTGCATCATGCCGGCCATCCCACCATCGCCCCTGAGGCTATCTCACCGCCATAGTCATAGCCAGTCCTCCAACCTCGATTTCGAACCTCTTTCTCCCGGAACCTACGGCCCCAATGGTTTCTCCCACAGCCCTCCAAGGTCGCCGCGGACGCCGCGTTCGTCTGCCCCGCCTTCCCCGATGACTCCCCGCCAGCGGAATTCGCAGGCCATGAACGGCTCATACAGACTATCAGGTGATTTCGGGAGCAGCACAGATGCCGGCGGGGGGCTGGGAAACCTTGCAGATGAGCTTGCAGACGCCTGGGACGACGAGGAAGAAGGAGGCTATGGGTATGTCTCTGGACAAGACAATGGGCCAGGGGACCTACAACACGACATGGATCGCAGTGACGGAGAGGACGGGTATAATATGGGACGAAGATCGCCCTTGTCGGATTTCGCCGCGGAGCACGCCTCGCTTCAGCCACCCAGAGCAAAACCGCGGAACGGCACACAGAGAAGTCACCGGCGGCATGAGTCGCAATACGACGGCTCCGACTACGGGAACGAGTCCGACTTCGAGGAAGCAGCAGATATATCGCCTGGTCTGGAGGGGCAGATGGCCGAGATCGAGAGTCTGGCGCGTCGAGGGATCGAGAACAACGGTAGCGAGAACGACTATGTTATCCAGCGGGCGGTTGAGGCCTTGCGGGATCTCGGTGGTCAAAGTGGCATTGAGAACAATGCAACGAGGTATGTCTGGCGAGACCCCTGCTTGCGATGCCGATAGGGAAGCTCTTTTGATAGCTTTCGTGTGTACTGACTTCATTGGTAGACTCATTACGGCACACACCTCAATCACCTCCCATCTCACCCATCAAACCCGAACGCTCCAAACACTCACTCACCCGCTCCTCTTCTCTCCATACCCGCTTCTCTCGCCCGACGCCATTGACGCCCTGATCCCACTCATCGACGAGGGCCTCCTGCCTAACCTCCCCCACCCCTTCCCAGGCCAGCCACATCACACCTCCCGACCCACCACTCCCTCGCAATCCCCTTCCTTCAACCCCCTCATCTCCCTCCAAGCCCTCATCGCCCAAACCACCGAGCTCACCCTCTCCCTCCGCGGCCTGAGCGACACCCTCTACGAATCCCGGCAACTCACGGCCACCGCCTCCCGCCGGCTGCGGTCCGCGCGCGAACTGGTTGCGGAGCTGCGCCGCGAGGAAGAGGGCCGTGAAGAGGGAACCCGCTGGATCGAAAAGGGGGACTGGGACCGTCGACTGCGCGACCGCGAGGCCGGCCGCGTCTGCTACGACGTCGTCAGCGGCTTTGAGGCCGTCTGCGGCGAATGGAGGGAGCGGCTGTTCGGTGCAGCTGCTGCCGCGGAAATGGCGGCGGCTTGATCCATCCCTCCTCGGAGAACATTCTTGTTTCTGCGTCTGCTCGCGTGTGATTTATCTAGGGACTTCCTACATAACCTGCAACATACCCCCTCCTTTTCTTCTCTTCCCCCGTATATAGATTCTCTTTTTCTCTCTCTCTATCTCTTTTTGTTGATCTAGATCCAACTCGGTCCTTTGGGTTTCGGCTCCTCATAGAAAAGACATAAGACATAAGACATACGAAATAATCATACCTACATTTTGACATTTCCTTTTGTGATCTCAGGGTGGTTTCTAGTAGATATCCCCCCGTCTTCTCTTCTCGGTCATTGACCTACAAAATGAGGACCAGAGAGCGTGTGGCGCAGGAGAAATCCCCATGGCGTAAAAGGACGGGACCAATCCGTCCCTGGCGAGAACTAAAGAAGTGATAGATAGAACATCCTATTTCCCTTTTTCCTACATTATCTATCCCAACATGGCTGTTCTGACGTGAAGATACGAAGCGGCGGGAAAGTAAGAAAAGAAAGGTTCGGAAAGGAATTAAGGGGAAAAAAAAACCTGGACTTCATTTATGGAACAGAATGCAGTCGAAACAAAACATGACGAGGCAACCCAGAGAAAACCAGGGGAAAGACAGATCCCGAGTTCTTTTCTCTCTTCATGAAACATGAACATAAACCAGACGAAAGCGGCTGAGGGGAAAAAAGGGAGGGAAAGAATGAGAGAGTGGGATAAGACGGGGGGGGGGAGAGAGAGAGAAAAGGGACACCGTTAAGATTAAGAGAAGGAATGCAAGAGGGGAACCAAGGCCAAGACAAAGACACAATCCCACACGCCCTTGCCACGTTTCCCAAACAGAGAACTTTTTTATTTTTACCTTCCTTGCTTTGTTTGGCTTTTGCTGGGCTAGCAAAGCAGTAGAGTGGCCTGTGCAGACACTCTAGGACTGCTGCTGCTTCCACCGGGGCACCCACTTCTGGGGAGCGCCGGATCCCTCGGGCTTCTCGGCAGCCGGGGCGGGAGGAGTCTGCGTGCGGGAGGGGGGTTGCGAAGAGCTCGAGTCGCGCATATGGCGGGGCACGTACTTCTCGGTCGCGGGAGGAGCAGCGGGAGCGGCGCTGGCGCCGGCGCCGGAGCGAAGGTGAGGAGGCACGTATCCGCCGCCGGTCCTGCGGGGGGGTTGGGCCTCTTCCTTGGGAGCTTCCGGAGCGGGGGCAGCAGCAGGGGCAGCGCCACCAGCAGCCTCCTTGGCAGCTTGACGCTCTCTCCAGCTGGAACCACCGGTGCGGGGGGCGATGTTGAGGCGAGGAGCGGTCCGCTCGGGCTCCGCGGCACGGGGAGGGGGTTCTGTGACACCGGCCTTTCTGGCGGCACGGCGAGCCTCGGCTTCCTCTTCGCGCTGCTTCTGCTTGAGAGCAATCTCGTCGAGTTTCCTGTAGGAGGCCACGTTAGCATGGAGACGATGGTGATAGCGATTGAGAGCGAATGGGGAAAACTGACTTTCTCTCCTCCTCGCGCTTGGCCTTCTCCTCGGTCAAGACGCGTCTGCGCTCTTCCTCGCGAGCGACTCTCTCCTCCTCCTCGCGTCGGGCACGCTCTTCCTCCTCCTTCTGGCGTTGCTCTTCGGCCTCGCGCTCGGCTCTCTCGCGACGTCTGCGCTCCTGCACTTCTCTGATACGCTGCTTCTTCTTGGCCTCGAAGTCCCGCTCGGCAGCCTTGCGGCGCTTCTCGAACTCCTCGTGGCGCTTCTCCGACACCTCCTTGCGGAAGTTGCTGTAGACGGGCACCAGGCGGCTGAGACGGTGCTTGAGCGCGACCGCCTCCGCGTGCTTTTCCTTAGCCTCCTTCAGCGTTTCGGCCTTGGTGGCCTCGTAGACCTCCATATCGTGTTGCTTCTGGGCCTCGTAGTCCTCCGCAATGTGCTTCAACTCCTCACGGCGGAAGGCACGCTCAAGATGGTCGATACGCTTGGCAGTGGTACGGATCTTGTCGTTGAGTTCGTTCTTCTCCTTCTCAAGCTGGGCAAGCTTGATGGCGCGCAGGCGATTGGCGTCCAGATCCTCCAGGTCAAGCTCGCTGATGTCGATGCCCTTGACACCGGACTTGAGTTCCTCCAGCTGCTTCTTCAACTCCTGCTGGCGGATGCGGTCCTGCTCGTCCTTGATCCGCTTCTTCTCACGCTCTCTCTGCTCGTCGAGCAGTCTCTGCTTCTCCGCCTCCTGCAGCTGCTGGGTGCGGATCCGCTTGCGGGTCTCCTCCTCTCTCTGCTTACGCTGCAGAGCATCGGTAGCAGCCTCCTTCTTCTTGTCGATGATGACACGGCGAGCCAGAGTCTCCTCGTGCTCCTTGGCAACACCGGCCGCGGCACGAGCCTGGGCGGCCTGCTTGGCCTGGATCCGGACCTCGCTGTACGAAGGATCAACGTACATGCAGGTGACGTGGAGGGTCTTGGCCAGACGGGTGAGCTGAAGGCGAGCGATTTCAGCCGGGGTGTTCTGCAGGCGCTGAACGGAGCCGGCCTCACTCTCGGCGGAGCCAGCCGCACTGCCGGGGTGCAGAGCCTTGGCGGACGAGAAGATGTCAGTATCGAAGGTCAGAACGCCCGAGATGTGGTCCACACGGATGGCGAGGTCGCCCTTCTTGCAGCCGTTCATGATGAACTTCTCGATCATCGCGGGGGTGACCTGGAAGGGTTCGGGGAACTGGGCCAGCTCGTAGATGAACTTGAGCTCGACGGATTCGTAGACCTGAGACAGCTGCTGGAAGAGACGAGTCAGGATAACCTGCTGCAGAGGCAGAACATACTTCTCCATCTCGGGGTCAGCGCCGATCTGCTTGAGGATGGGAGTGATCTTCTTGCAGATGGACAGAGGGTGGAAGTCGACTTCCAGGATGTTGTAGAGATCGCGGATCTCGGGGCGGGCACGCTTGAGCAGACCCTTGTTCAGGGCATCCCGGAACAGAACGGCGCGGCTAGGGGCCTGAGCCATGCCCAACAGGTTGGTCAGACGCGTGTTCTTGTTCTTGCGCACCTCATCCACGTCGACCAGGGCACCGCGGGAACGGGAGGTGCTGATGACGGGGATGGAGAGAGCCGACAGGAGAACGAAAGAAGCGGCCTTGGTCATATCGGCATCGGTCACGGAGGGGTTCTCCTTCTTGGTACCCTGACCGGCGGCGAGAGCAGCGGCCGACTGGCGGAGGAGGTTGTAGTAGCGGTTCCAGGCGGCTGCGTGGAACAGATAGTTCTCGCTCACGAGGAAGATGCGGGCCAGCTTCTCGTAGTAATTGGCCATCATGACGTTCTTGGCGGGGCGCTTGCTGAGGCTCAGAAGGGTGTGGATATCCTCAATGCTGCGGAAAGCCTCCTGCCAGAGCTCGAGTTCGACGGCAACGTTCAGCTGCTGGAAACGGGTGTCCAGATGGCGCTGCAGGGTATCGGGGTCGCTGAGGTTGATAGCGTGCATCTGAGCGGAGTACTTGGCGGCATTCTGAACGTGGTTTCGGAGCAGCTCACAGAGTCTGCGGAACTCGGTCTTACGGGTGTACTTGAGGCAGAACTGGAAGGCCTGCAGGGCGGTGGTCTGGTACATCACCTCCAGGCGAGCATTGTTCTTCAGGATCTCGAGAACGGTGCGGTAGGTCTCCCAGAGAAACTTGAGCCAGGGGGTCACGACGGCGCGGTCGGTGCGATCACGGGACTGCTCGCCGGAGACGGTCGCGAGCAGGATGGTCTCGGGAGTCTCGATGGCCTCCAGATCCTCGACGTTGGACGAAGGGGCGGCGGATTCCAGCGAGGACTGGATTTCGTCGGCCTTGGCCTGGGCTTCGGTGACCTTCTTCTCGGCGAGCTCGATGAACTTCTTGAGGACGACCTGTAGCAGCGATGGGTGAGTCTCATGTATCCGACGACGAGCGCAAAGGGGAAAGAGTGTCTGCCTACCTCGATCGTTCCCACGTTGGTGTTCTGGGCGATGTTCTTGTACTGGTAGAGACCATCCTTGGCAGCCTTTCCTTTGCGAAGATCGACACACAATTCCACGAAGAGGAGCATCACAGGTTCGAGCGAAACGATAGGGGTGCTGCGCGTCCTCTTAGAGGTGACATGTTCGTGAAGGACATTCAGGGCGGCGGGAGCCTGACCCACGGCGATGAGCTCTTGAGCCCTCTGCGATGAAGAAAGAACCAGTTAGTTTCACCAAAATCCAGCCAGCGACGCCTTTTATTTTTCTTTTTCTTTTCTTTTGCTTGATGTTCCACCCCCTCCAGATAATCACTCACCTTCAGGACATTCTCCGGTTTGATATGGGGTGGAGGCGGCATGGTGGGCGATGGGACCCTTGGGGTGCACAGAAAAAAAGAGACTTCTCGGATGGATTAACACAGGGGAAAATTCGAGAATAGCGAGTCAGCACAACGACGGGCGGGCAGCAAGATTTGACTTTGTAAAAAAGGCCCTTTTTTTCTCTTCGTTTTGATGACGCTGCCACGCGACGGTCGGCCAGAGGAAAGGTGTGGGCGGCGGGCGAAGCGTCGTTGTGGGAGAGAATCACGAAAAAAACAGGCCCGGATGGGGGTTCCCACATTGGGATAAGCGATGGGAGTCACGTGAGGGAGGCCTATACTCGACGGCTTACTACAAGAGTTAGGCAGGTAGGCTTTCGATCACACTACAACGACGGCAATGAATCATATAATATATAAGGTAACCAATTCTGTATGATATCTGGTCTATAGTTCTCCTTCATGTCAATCTCGAAGGACCACCCTGGTGTGTTTCTGGGCAAAAAAAAAAAACAAAAACAAACCCAAGTTATTTCCGGACTCTGAGACATCACTTTTCTGAGAGTGACAGATCAGTCTCAGGCACTCATTTCCCTCCTGATCGTCTCATTGAGTGAACACTTGAGCCTGATGGTGAGGCTGTATCTGATAGATCTACTGTATATGCGGCACTAGACAGCAGGACAGCAGGACAGTCGGACAGCAGGACCGCTGGGGAACATGCCCATATCACGTGATATGATGTCGGATGGAGACTAGAAGCTGATACATACCATACATAATTACACATACCGGACCCCGTACAGTTCCATACTCCATACCTTACGTGGGGGGGGATGGGATGTATTGAGTAGTATTGACGGGCTGATGCTGATACATTCCTGTTTCTTACATTCCATTCCTGACAAGATTACAGGACCACGTGAGATGCTTCATGAATTCTCTGAAGAGAGAGGATATATTCTGCAGTCCGTAGTAGGAGTAGTTAGTAATTGTGTGATAGTGGGTAGTAGTAGTAGTAGTAGTAGTAGTAGTAGTATAAAAGTCAGGACTCAGTAGTAGTAGATCAAGAGTTGACAGTTGCGTGGTTGGAAACATGCATATCAACGGAGCATCTTCTCACTAGCACGGATCAACTGCAGGCCCACCACTCGTTCAGGGGGATCGTTCTCATCGCCCACAATTCCTTTTTTGCAGCCTGTCTGTCTGTCTGTCTGTCTGTCTATGAGGCCATCGTTGATGATCATATAGAGTCAGTCGATCAGCATTGGATCTCTGTCTAGTCACGATTGATTATATCTGTTGGATTCTTCCTTTCTGCAGGAGTCGATCGATCATTCTTCAATCTCGCTCGCTCGCTCTCTCTCTCTCTCTCTCTCTTTTTTTTTAATAATCCAGTATCGACTCTAATACTGTAGTGCCATCCCATCATCCTCTCTAATTTCCCTTTTATCTGGATTGAACTCTTCTTCTTCTTCCTTCTCCTTCATTATTTTCCCACCTCTTCCTCTCGTTCACTCATCCATTCATTCTTTGGATTTTTTTTTTTTTTTTCAACTGACCCTCAGCCTCACCCCCTTCCTCTGATTCATATCTTTCTCTTCCTTTTCAGAGAGAAGTGTGCTGTGTGGTCTCTCTAATAATACTTCCATCTCAATTAACTACTTACTATCTACTTCCTCCCCTCCCTTTTCCTCGCCCGCTTTTACCGAACTTCCCCTTACTCCCCCGAATCCAGCAGCGCCAAAAAAGCTTTCTCTCTCTCTTCCTCTCTTCCTCCCTCCCTCTCTCTCTCTCCCTCTCTCCCTCTTCACGCACCAACTCTTCTCCCACGATCTTCCTCTCACCTCCCCTCCCCCCATCCCCTCCTGTCACCCTCGTTGTCGCGTCGAGGGGTTTTCGTTCCCACTCGTCACTTCGTCCGATAAAAATCCATCGCCCGTCGCCGGAACTTTTTTCCCCCTCAAGATGGCTCCCTACGAGCTCCGATCGGGGGGAGACGTTAAGAACAAGAAGCAGAGTGTGGCCGATCTTAAATATCGTCGGTTGACAGAGCTCAATGCTCGTTTAAAGGAGGATCTGGATCGTCCTCGGGTGAAGGTCTCGGAGGCTTCCATGTCGTAAGTCTTGGGGTCCGCGTTCTTCGTCGGCCCATCACTTTCCATCGCGCGGTGGTTTGCGTGCAAATGCCGACCGCCCGCTCGACTGGATCTCTAGACGCTGACCATCCGCTTTTTGCTCCTCAGCCTCATCAACTACTGCAACAACACCCGTGATTTTATGGTACCGTCTGTATGGGGTCAGGTATGCGGTCGCCCCCCCCCCCCGGTCGATACATAATTGTTTTCGACAGATTAGCCACAAAAAAAAATAAAAATAAAAATAAAAAAAGAGAAAGAGGCTGACAAACCCCTCCAGGTCGACAAGCGCGAAGACCCCTATGCTCCTCAGCAACAGGGCGGTTGCTGCACGGTCATGTAATGGTGTCATGACATTTCAACGCTTTTCCGAATTGCAATCGACTCGATTCTTGTCGTTTGGGCTGTTCTTCGTCCATTTATTATATCCTCGCCGAAATGACCTCTTTCCTCCACATCTTTCTTCCTCTTGTTGTTTGCCGTCTAATATCTTCACCATCTTCTTCTTGATCCTTGGAATGCGACTGCGTTTCGCCTTTTCTTCTTCTTTCTTCTCTCTACCATCACGACGATCACCGAATTCCCTCATCCGCCGAATATGAACCCGATAATCCGTGACGGCTGTGTGCTGTGCGCAGTGGGCGCCGAGGAGGCTATGACGGGTCGACTGGAGGAACGCGCGCTGGTCTTGCAGGGATTCCGGGAGGCCTACCACTCAACAGCGAAACATCGTCGATCTCACCAGGTGCGCTATCTGGTGCACTTGAGGATGCGCCGACGTTTCACCTTCTACTTCTACATCTACCCTTTTTCTTCTACTATTATTACTACTACTACTTCTTCTTCTACTACCTTTCTCTTCCAAAACTTCCTCCTTTCTGGCTCTGTTGGTTGGACTGGATCATTGTCGCGAGTTTGTGTGGTTTTGATCGCATCAATTTCCTTTGTTCTGTGGAGAGAGTCATATGGCACGGTGTTCTCTTTTTTTTTTTTTTTTTTTTTTTTATATCATGGGTTCCAAAAGTACGTTCCTCGGCCTGGCCGGGTGAAGTCCCCAGATTTTTTCTTGTAAAGTAGATTTGGCTGGCTTAGGAGTCAACGCAGACGCTCAATCCCAGCATTTGTGTGTATTACTTTTTTTTTTCTTCCTTCCTTCCAACCGTAAGAGCAGCAGCAAAGCAATCATACGAAGACCTGCAAAGAGAGAAAGATGTACTACGCCCAGGGCTAGTAATAATGGAATGAATAATAGCCCATCATTCCACTCGCTGACATCATCCGCTCTCGGAGCTCATCAGTCCATCCTTACTTAACTAAGGCAAGTCCATCTCGATATATCTATCTATCTATCGATCTGAATCTACCAATTTACCTCACCTCACCTCACCATCACCCACAGAGACCACACAAGAAAAGACAATGACAGAACCAATAACCCCCCTCGAATCAAATGCCCCTCCCCCTCTCCAATCCACCACCAGCAGCAGTAGCATCACCCACCCCCGAATCACAATCCAATACTGCACACAGTGTAAATGGATGCTGCGCGCCGCATACGTACGTTCCCCCTTTCCCTTCCCTTCCCTCTCCCCTTCCCTCTCCCCTTCCCTCTCCCCTTCCCTCTCCCCTTCCCTCTCCCCTGCCGCCACCCTTACAAGAAACAATGGCGGGTGCGGGGGTAGTACGCAATTCCAGCAAGTACCAGCCAGGTAACCCCCATCAAACCCGGGCTAACATGGCTAACTAACATGGCTAATCTCCCCATCCCGCGAACTATCCAGTTCGCACAGGAACTCCTCTCGACGTTTGGGACGGGGATTGGTGAGGTGGCGCTTGTGCCGGCGACGGGGGGATTATTCCGGGTGACGATTTGGGGTGGACGTGGACTGGGAGACGGGGTGGTGCTTTGGGATCGGAAGACGGAGGGGGGGTTTCCTGGTATGGTGTTTTTTTTTTTTTTTTTTGGTTTCTTGTTGCTCTGGGGTTGGATCTTTTGATTTGCTGCTGCTGATGAATGACGATGATGATGAACAGAGGTCAAGGTGTTGAAGGCACGGGTGAGGAATGTGATTGATCCCAGCCGGGACTTGGGACATACGGATCGGGCGTTGAGGAGGGATGAGGAGAAGAAGACTGTTGAGCATCAGGAGGATCAGGCTGGAGATCAGACACCGGAGAAGGCAACGAAAGAGAAAGAAAAGTGCGAGGATTGCCAATAGCTACGGGGTCGAGCCATATACCAATATCTCAGCACCAATATCAATATTGATCAAGATCATCCGACTCTATAAACCAACTGGCAAAAGCAATGACTCGTTCTAAAACAACAAATGAACAATGGGTTCAGCAACGGGCTGTGTACCGTTGCGGATGATATCAATGAATGTCAACAAAAGATGATACAAAAGTCCAGTCCACCTATGGTTGGGACTCTTCGATCCTCAGAAACGCCAGCCCACGCCCCATCTCTAGTAGTAGTTTGATTTCCTGTTCCCACCCGGCCTCCGTTGCATCATTGGGCGCTGCAATGCACACGCCCACAAAAAATAGATCAAAGAAAAAAGAGAAAAAGAAGAAACGAATGTTAAAGGAAAAAGGGAGAAAAGGGGGGTTAAAGAATGAGACTTAATGGTTGGAGAGAGAGAGAGAGAGAAAGAGAGAGAGGTTTGTTGTCTCCCCTTCAACTGTTCGCCAGCTGTAACTCAAGAAGCTCAAGAGCAGCAACTCCTTTCCCCCTATAGCAGATGAACCCTCCAACCGAGTCATGAGTTCGTGCAATCCATCATAAAGTCCAAGTTCGTCAGCGGATATACCATTCATGAGTCCATCGTCAATCCTCTTATTTTGGGCCCAACCATGAATCGCCAGCAGCCAAATACCATAAACAAGAAAACACGAAGAAAGGGAAAAACAATGGCCAGATGAAGAAGAAGCCGAGATAAAAGGAGCCGCTTAGGTCTCCCCGCTCAGCTCGTGCTGATGCGAATGATGCGTTTTTCGCTTCCAGAACGCCAGGCGAAGGCGACTGCGTCGCTTCGGCAGTCGCCGGGGGGGCTGCTCGCCGCCCATCGAGTCCTCCCAATGAGGATGTCCCTCGTTCCGGATGCTGGGAGTGGTGGTAATCGAGTGCGTGGGACTGTTCGACCCGTTGCCCACGATGGAAGCTGTGACGGGGCTCTTGCTGCCATCGCCCAGGTGCGAGTGAGAGGTATTGCTGTCGCTGAAATGACGATAGCTCTCGTGTGGTTTATCAGCATTCGCGTGCTGTTTCGACGACCCCGGCCGGGCCTCGGACTTGTCTTGCTCGCCCGCCATATCCTCCCGCGAAGCGCGCTTCTCATCGCCACTGTCCGCGGTGATGAAACTGGTGGCATTCGTCACAGGGGATATCGGCGTCATGGTATTGCTGTACGTGCTCACACTATGCGTGCGTGTGCAACTGTTGCGCTGTGAGTTTGGCGCGCCTGAGCCGCGTCCGGACGAGTTGGTGTTGGCATGGTGACGTCGATGCGGCAGTCCCTGTCGAGAGCTGCTCGGTCTTTCTGCTTGACCGTCAGCTACCCCATGGCCATCAACCTGCTTGGTGTTAAGTTCCGGGGCAGCGGCATCATGTACTGCCGTGTCGGCGAAGAGGACGGCTGCGATGACGGCATCCCTCGACGAGCGCCGGGACTCGGAATTGGAATGATGATCAGCCTGTCCCCCGTTCGTCTCTGGAGACGTGCCCGCAATGGAGATCATGGTGAGGTCGGGGACAGCACCAGAGGACTTCCGCGAGGCCACGGCAGATGGGAGAGGGCTGCCTGTGATGTCCATGGATGGCCCGGGGGTGTCCGGCGACACCACGGGACTAATGGTGTTCTCATTGTAGTCGCTGGGCGACCCCGAATCAATGTCCGGGTCCAGCGTGCCGAAGTAATCGTCCGTGGCTGCGCGCTTCTTGGCCGCCACGTCATCTGGAAAGAGCGCCGATTTGGCAGAGCTGTCGGCCAATGGAGGACGAAGACCGCGGAAACTGGCAGCAGGGCTATGGGAACGGGGCGAGAGGACGCCCTCAACGTAGCGTGGGTTTGTCAGCGCCTGCTTCTTTCTTTCATTGTCGGCCAGGTAATGCCACCGGGATTGATTCGTCCGAATGTGCTCGACAGTGAACCGCAGCTGGGGCAGGATGTCCGACACGCCTTCGAACAAGGGAAGGGCGAAGATAGACATGAACCCGATCTGACCGGTCGCCAGCTTGTATATATTTCCCAGCTCCGGCGGCCCACCGAACAGAGCCGTCTCCATGCCGACCTCCCGCTCCATCTCTCCCTGGTTGGCAAATTCCTCCTGCAGAATCTTGGTCCACTTCTCGGCAACGTCCCATGGCCGCGCGACATTGCTGATGTCGGCACATTTGATCAGCAGGCCACACACCAGCGTCTTGTAGATCTCGATGTCCTGCGGCTTCCAGCCATCAACCGACTTGTTGTTGGCGTAGAACTTCTCCTGCAGTGACCCTAGCCTTTCCATGAACTTTTGATGTACGCCCATGTCCGTCGCAAGGATCGAGCTGATGAGCAGTTTCCGCAGCTGTCTGTCCTTGAAAGCCGCGGGCCAGTGGCGACGCAGGATTTGCGAAAAGGCCGCGCAGTGGAAAGCCTCCAAGACCGAGTTATCATTGTAGAGTTGCGCCAGCGGTGCATTGAGTTTGACCAGGAAGAAGTTATTCACTCCGGGATGGCCGACATCGTGACCAATTGCCGAAATGAGCAGGGTCAGGGTGTCGAACGGCGTCAGGAGAGATGCAATCGGAGACTGGGAGCCAGGGCTGGGAGAGATGTCTCCGTATGGAGGTAAAGCTCCGATATGTACCAGGAAGCAAAAGACCGATTGTAGCACGTCAATGGCATGTCGAAAGTTATGATAGAGGACAAAGGAATTGTAGGAAGCGCGGCACGCGAGTAGGAAGGTCCGCAGTTCACCTAGAGAAAGTATTAACTGACTGGCCTGTTTGATGGGCACGATAGCTCACTTACATGCAGTCAATTGCCAACGGTCCAGGTTGGGTAGGGTAAAAGCATGCTGAAGCATCTGGCAGGCTCCATAAACGAGCTCGTCCTCGGAAAACGCATGAGCAGTAAAGTTCCAGTTGCCCAGGCGCTTCCTCACGGCTTTTTGCCGCTCAGCGCTTACGTCTAGGTCCCTGTTGTATCGTTAGCCGACTGTTTCCAGAATCAATCAATCAAAATGCACCCACCGATCCTGGAATTCTTCAATGACCTCCTCGGGATTGCATATGCCTTTCATGAGTTTGGACACCCTGTAAAAACAATACATATCAGCGATTGCTCCTTGTCTGCAGTTGTAGGGTTGAACTTACATTGCCTCTCGAAGGTAAGCGTACGGTTGTTGGTCGTGAACACCCACCCACGACTGTTTCCGAGATTTCTTGCGGGCCAAAAAGCGCGATTGTTCCTTGCGCGCCGATTTTTGCGCCCGGTACGCGTGGACGACCAAGCCCTGCACTCGAGCTCGGTCAAGTGGTGTGGTAAGGACATCCGCGGCGCCTGCATCTAAGCATTTGGAGATCTGCAGCGGGTCAAAGAGGGGTGTAGTGGCCGTCTGTTGCGTCGGAGCGCTGGTCGGCCCACCGTGGGAGTGTCGCAGTACAGCTATCGGAATGACAAGGTTCGGGATATCTGAGACTTGGATATCTGCGGATACACCCGAGAGCAATTGCAGGCCGTAGGAGGTGTCTGACTGGGAGGAAAATGTGAATCCGCGGCGAAGGGAGGACGGAGAGGGAGGCGCCACGTCGGGCCACGAAGAGCGGCTAGCTTTCCGACGGTCGTATTGAACAGAATCCTCATTGCGACCCAGTTCGATATCAAAAAAGGCGAAAATCGGTGTGCAACGGCTGTTAGTGCTGTCGCTCAGTTCGGCAAGTTTTGTAGCGAGGGAGGTTCCAACGTGACAAAGATATACTGTACCCCCCCCCAAAAAAAAAGCCCCCGATAGTCAGCAAAGCACGAAACAAATCAGGTCCAGCGCCGGGGGCGTACTTCTATTGCACACTTCTAGCAGAAGCGCCACGTCTGATCCCAGCGACTCGGGTTCGTCATCCCCTGCCGAGGACACGGGTGAATCGCGATACACCCAGCGTTCCGATTGAACACGGTCATCAATATATACTGCGCAACACTCGACGCGATCCATGGTCTCGGCCGGATTGGGTATGCCCATCGCCAAGAGTTTCTTTGGGGGTTGACGGCAGTTCACACGAATTTATAAGAATCGAAAGAGAGAAGGGAGGAAGGAGGTGCCCGATTTGGCTGAGGTCTCATATGGTAGACGAGAACCACAAGAGACGGATGTGTATGGACTCGATGGAAAGGAGGGAAAACGAGCGGCTGGATGAGAAGCGAGAAAAGCGATGTAGGCAATGAGAGACTCGGTATCGGTGATTGATTCTATAGATTCTTTGTAAATTGGGAGTCAGCGCTCAAGATTCCCCATTGTCCAGATAATCGAGTACTACATGTGCAGGCGACACGGGAGCAAGCCGACAGGGGGGCAGAAGGACAAAAAGGAGGGCAAGCGACAAGGCAGAGAACAAACGAAAGGCAACCCCAACCAGCGGCGCAAATTCGAACAATGAGTTTGTTCGCTGCAGAATTCCACCAGAAGGAGTTTGGCCTTTATGTTTTCGATTGTTGACCTGTGGGGGATGGGCGAGTAGGAAAGACAAGCAGTCCCTTGCCTAGATGTCTCGTTCTGAGACAATCCAGCCCTGCAGTATGGCACAGAAGACAAGACGCCGGCTGACCGCGATCGCCATATCCACAACATAGGACTCGGGTTCACTCACACTGTAGAAAGAAAGAAAAAAAAAAGAAAGAAAAAGAAAAAGAGGTAGGGGAAAGGAAGGGAGATAGGTCGAATGAGAAAAGGAAATGATCAAAAATCTTCTTAGATCAATATAACGAGGAGCGACGCACGTTGCGACGATCGCAAAGGGGGGGCCGGGTCAAATCGATCACAGCAGAAATAGGTTTGCGTAGTATGAGCGGCCAGGTGAAACGGTCGGAAAGGTCGCCCCAGCGGGTTTTTCGCAAGGGAATGACACTCAGCAGAAGCCGTCGAATTGGTTCTCGGTTTCGCAGCCCCCGTCCAAAAGGAAAAAAAAAATAAAATAAAATAAAAAATGACGAATCGAAAGCGCCAGGTGATAGTCGGAATCGCAGTATTTCCCGCGAGTCGTCTAGACGAAGGAGGACAGGATAATTCGAGGTCCAAGGAGAGAATGCTCAGGATGCCATGATGGGCCCTCGGTTATGGCCACACGGGGGAACAGAAGACGGCACGAGATGGGTCAGAGGGAAAGACGTAAAGAGACGGAGCGATCAGGATCACTCGACGGGAGTTAAAAGCTTGTAGTAGTTCTGTCGCACGAGTTGGTTCTTGAGGGAGGAAAGGGGGGGGCAGGTTTTTGAAGTGAGGATGGAGGTTGTTGTTGATGTAACGACACCCACCGGGCAGGACTTGGGACGGAGTGGCAGAAAGAAACGCGACGGGGATCCCGTATGAAGAATGGGGTGGAGTTATTGGGAAATGGAAACCGAGATAAGGGAAGATGAGAACAGAAAGAGAAGAGAACAGAAGAGAAAATGAAGAATAGTTGATGGGGATGGCAGACAAACTGAGGTCTGATGTGATGGTTTGATAGTCGAAGTCGTAGTAGTGGTGGTGATCAGGTAGGAGGTAGACTTATTAGAATGATAGGATAGATCGATAGACTTTAGGAGGGAAAAGACCAGCGAAAGGAAGAGTAGAAAAGAGAGAGAGAGAGAGAGAGAGAATCCGTTCAGTTTCAGTTCAGTCCAGTCGATCTCAGGGAGGGTCCAGTCCAGAGTGGATGGATGGATGAGATGAGGTTCTTTGGGCGAGTCCACCGATGGAATTCTGGTAGAAAGAGTCAGTGTCGAATAGGCAGACGACTGGGACTGGAGTAGATCTAACTGACTGCGATGGCGTGAAGATCAGGATCCTCGAATGGATATCTAGTATGGGTATGATCCCATAGGATTTAAGATCTGATGATTCCCTCCAGACCATCAACTCTCTATCTATCTATTCCGTAAATATCTCTGACTATCTATCTATCTAGACTTCAGACTCGTGTCTTTGGCTTTTTCTGTGAGTCTTCCAGAAGGTCGCGGCACAGCGGCTGCGGGCGTCGTCAGAGACTCGGCGATGGGGCCGATCCTGAGGTACTCACTCACTCGTACGGGGACCACAGCACGTATCATACCGTCATACGGTATCGTACCCTGCATATCTGATATTTGCAAATGGCTTCATTTCATTTCATTTTAAAATCATCTCATCTCATCTCATCTCATCTCATCACATCACACAACTCATCGGTAATAAATATGGCTAGACTGAACGTTGACGATCTTAAGAATCAATCAAGATAGACTCAGTCGATCAGATCAGTAGAAGAGAACGTGACAGATGACTCTAATCATCTCCTGTTTTCTCCCCCCCTGGCGAGTCACAACACCATCCACATATGTAGTGGGCTGCAAAGAAATGCAAGGAGATGCAGAAGGACTAGATATCAACTTACTAAAAAGCCGCTGTATTATAGGTTATAACATACTGTACTTTTTTCTTTCCACCAAAAAAAAAAAATGTCAAATTTTCAAGATAAGGGAAGCGCAGCCCAAGTCATCTGAGTCCAGAGTCCAGAGTCCAGAGTTCGGAGTCCTGACAGGCTGAACTGACTAAGTAGATACTACTCCGTACTAAGTGGAGAGCGACTGGGAACAAGAGAGACTGAGAAGTGAGAACAGATGACACTGGGCTCAATCAAGCAATTAGCTCGCAGGACATGTGCAAGGTTGCTGCAACTTGCAACTAAGTCCGTATCCATACTTTTTCTAGAATCCCGGCTAAACCATTACCTTGCATTTGCAAAAACCCAAAGTACGACCGGGGCTACCTAGTGGCGACGGGAGATAGAGTGCAAGGTAATTTAATTTTTGCATCTGCGGATTCGGTGGGCCCGTGATGTACTACGTATTCTGAAATAACCCTGCTGAGTCACCAAGTGCTTGTTCCCTGGGTGGACGATGGCTTGTAACGAGGAGATTATTACACAATACTGGAAATAATCAGAGCTTTTATTTAGGTAAACCTGGCCTGATTTACAGTGGGAGTCAAGAATAGGTATCGAAGATGTACAGGTACTCCGTAGACATCAGTAAACTGTGAGTCCTCAGGACCGAGTCAACGGAAAACAGGACGAGACGAGGCGCAGCACGGCGTAATCCACGGAGTCCCGTTGATGAATGTTAATTAATTCAATCAATCAACAACCACCTACTCCGTATTCCTTTCAGCCCCTTGCCCAAATTCACATTTCATCCCAGTCTTCCCACTCCAAGTCCCAAGAAAAACTTATCAGTGGCGGCCACTGACGTGATCCAAGGCTCGCTAGTCGCTACTACTACCCTTGTATCTAGTATCTACTTACCTACCTACTACTCCATCTATAAGTGATATTGAGAGATGATGTGATGATGGTGGCAACTGGCAAGCATGATGACTGCTCCCCCCCCCCAACTCTAATCCAGTCAAGTCCAATTTCAACATCCCAACTTGATCAACCATCGAGGGAACTATTTTTCAGACTATCTATCTTCTCTACTCTGTACTACAGGGGAGTCGGGGACCAGAGGGAAGTTAGTATTGAGTAACAATCAATAACCATCTAGCTATATCCTTAGCCCCGTACGACGGTACTACTAGAAAGGCAACTAAGGTAGACCACAGACTGCTCCAACCCTCCTAGCGTCAGCCCGTCCGACGAAATCTCGCCAGGATTCAGGACGGAGAATGATACTCATTCGATTGTAGGATTTAGTCGATCGTATTTGACATATGCCTAGTTGCCTACCCCGCATTCTATCTCGCTTGTTAACTTACCAATCTACTACTATAAGGAACGTAGAAAGGAATAGTCTAGACTCGGGAGTCGGGACGACTTGGAGTGCGAGGATTATTAACGGATTCTTGCTTGTTGAACTCGGGAGGAATTCCATGCGTGACAGTATATATGTGGAGGACGGTAGGTAGACATGACACCCCAAAATGATCATTGCTCTATCCACTCATCCATAGTCTAGCGATCAAGATTGTCAAGACCCTCCTGCACCCCCCCCCAATAAGGTAAAACAAATAACAAGAAAATCTCCAGCGTATAAATAAATGAACAAAAGGGAGACCTGTCAAAATGCAGACGGCGCTCAGAATCATAATTGAGTATCCCAACCCCATTTTAATGCCAGAAACAGTTTGGGCTCCAACAGAACAATCATCAGATGAAAAAGAAAGAGAAAAAAAAAAGAAAAAGAAAATATCATACATGGCCGTACTCTATACCACGATCTCATGGTTTATGAAAGTAGATTCTTCAACGACGGACTGGCACTGGCCCCAGACCCCCCGTTCGTCCCATTGACAGTCGCACTGCGACCAGTACTCATTGCTCCTCCCGCCGGCCCCACCGAAGTCTCTTCCAACTTTCCTGGAGGTGTCAACCCACGGGGATCGATCCGCGCGTGCGCCACGATAGGTGACTGAGTAGGCGCGCCCAGGACGCGATCCACCGAGTACATCCGAGGGGGACCTCCGTTCAGCGCGCTGAGCGAATGCTGCGGCGAATGACGGATGATCGTCGCTTGCGCCACAGGCGGTGATGCCGACGAGGCAAACGGGCGGGGACCCGGTGCATGCGATGGATGGGGCGATGGCATGGACACAGGCGCATGTGAAGGATGGGGTGACGGCATCGATACCGGGGCATACGGACTCTGGTGAGCCGAGTACGACTGGTGAGGAGGTGGAGGCGCTCCGCCGGGGTAGTGAGGTGGTGGCGGGGGAGGAGCATGGTGAGCCGTGGACGGATGCGGGAACCCGTTCATGGGAAGGGTTGGGGCAGCAGGGGGGGCCCCATGATATCCCGGAATGGGCAAGCCATTGCGCAATTTCCCGTCCCCATATTCGGTCGAACGCTGGTCGTATCCCGAATACCATTCTGGACCATTGTGCGAAGGCGCTGCTCCAAGCGGTCTTGGGAGAACCCCAGTGGGCCCAGTCGGAGGAGGCGTCGGGTGCGCATGTGTCCCATAGGGGTGGACCTGGTATTCCGAGATTCGGGGAGCTGGCAACACAGGCCGCTGCGCGGGGTATGGAGAAGGGCGAGGCTCGGGGGACGGTTGAGCCACGGCCGTCTTGAGATAGCACTTGTGGCATTCATAGAGCGGGCCCTCGATGCCGATGTTGTACTCTCCGTTCAACTTGGACAACGAGTGCTGGGACAGGTTGCGAGAAAGAAATGGTGGGCTGGCAGAAGATGGATGGGGGAATCTGCCCGCGGGTTCGCTCATGCCGACCCCGTTCACGCTTGATGTTCTGCTGTTGAGAACGGCCGCTCGCCGGGCATTGTCGATGGGCCACCAGCGAGGGCTGAACGACGTAGAGCAACGGCAGCATTTGCGCTCCATTTCGGGGCTCGCAACCTGGCGGGGGAAAGGATTGCCGGAATCGATCACCATTCCATCAGGATTTTGCTCGGGGGCCGCAGTCACGATGACCTTCTGGCTGTCCTTCGGGGGTGGTGGTGGATGCGAGGTGGCAGTGACAAGGCCGTTGATGGTAGAAGAACGGCGTGTACTGGCAGTCGTGGCAGGCTGGGAAGCGTTCAGAGCCTGTTGAACATATGCCGCTCTTCGGACGGTTCCAGGCAAAGTCAGGTCAGCTTGCTTATACGACTGGACATACTGCTGGAGAGCATTGAGCCCGGTTTCTCCGGTCATTTCTCCCACCTGATGAACGCCAGATGAGGGTGCATGATGGGGACACCAGATCCCCGCAGTGGCTGCTCCCACCTCCTCGCCCAACCGTATACTGTTCACAGTGTCCCGTCGGGAACTCTTGACGGGCGTAATGTTGAATCCGAACACGTATTGTGCCTGAAACGCGCATCCAACATGGAAACGGGCATTGCAGCCGGTGTGATTGCAGGTGACGCACGCGCCTTTGCTGGTCCTACACAGTTTGCACACATCCCTGTACCTGTCGGCGGAAATGAGCCCGAATCCTTCTGCGGGCTCAAGTTCTTTGGCGTTTCCAAATCTGATCTCCGGGGTCCAAACTGCGCATGTCACGTGCACCCAATTGTTGCCGGCCGTTCGTTTGAGTGGCTCGCGAGGCCCGATAGGCTTACCAACGGCCTCCTGCCTCTGTCGGTAGAGTTTGATAGCCTCTTGGACCATCTCCTTCTCCAGACGCTCCTTTTCCCGATCCCTCTCCGTCTTCTTCTTGTGCGAAACCTTGGGCGCCTCCATCAGTTCATGTTCCGTCCAGGTCACAGGACACAGAACGCATTCGTAGCAAGTCGAAATCATGGGGTTTCTGTCATTGGAACACATGTCACACAGCCACTTCGCACAATTCCGTGATGAACTGACACCGTAGCAATTACGATGAACAGTCAGGCGACAGTCGCGGCAAGACAGATGCTGGTCACCCACAGGCTCCAATTTGTTACAGATGGCACAGGGGAGGACCTTGGCCTTGGGGGGATCTGGGACGATGGGTGCCGGTTCTGGCGGTTTTTCGACCGGTACTTTCTTCTTGGGCGCAGGCTCGACCGACGTGGCCGCCGAGGTGGCCGCACTGTCCTTCTCGCCACTCTTTGCCTTCTTCTTCACCGGTTCCTGTGGCTGCGCTGGCGGAGTGGCGTTGACTGGTATGCCGATCGATGCCGCTGCGGCTGCTGTGGTACTGTTGATATTAGCCGGATCCTCGGAGGCGAGAAGCTGTGTCAGTAATTCCTCATCGACCCGCCGGCGCCAGGACTTGTTGCCGCTTTGAGCCATCTTCTTTGCGACTTCGTCCACACTCTCCCACTGGATTCCATATTTTCTCCAGAGTTGGGCACATCGCAAACAAAGAGCCACCGTAAGCTGTGGCCCTTTATCCGCCTTCTTGGACGACGACTCGCTCGGCGTCGTCGTGCCTGGGGGAACACCTGGCGCGCGTCGCCACTGTCGTGAGGAACGCGTGGAGCAGAATTTGCACTGGAAGCCGCGCTTCTTCTCAACCGCCTTCCCATTGTCGAAAGCTGAATCGTCTTGGTCGTCAGCCACGTCATCAACAAGCTTGGCGGTAGTACTCTGTCGTCTAGCCTCTCTCTTGCCCTTTCTGCCCTCGTAGTTACCCCAGATTTGCCGACCGCGAGGGGTCTTTTTCCACATATAGTAGAATCGAACAATTTGATAATGCGGCACAGTGCCGACGTGCTTGGTCACAAAGCGTAGTTCGGAACCGTATTTGGCAACGCCTTGTTCGAAAACTTTGACTTCCTCAGGACGTAAATGTGGTTCCTTCAGATCCTTGTACTTGTTTTGCTGTTTCAACTTCGCCAAAGCGGCCTCAACGTCGAAACTGTTTGCGTATAAAAGCTCCAAAGCCTTGTCGAGAAAGTTAGTCGAATACTTCTCCACCCCCAGCTGGGGTGCGAGTTCCTTGGCCCGTTCCATATACTCATCCATGAATTTCTCGCGATCAGCAGCGCTGAGTTCTGCGGCAGGCGCATCGTCTTCGCCACGAGAGGATATTTGTGACGCAGTGGGCATCTTGAACAGCAATTCGGCGGTACGGGTCGGCTTCCCATTAACTGAGACCGGTTCATCTTCGCCGCGACGAATGTATCCGACCGGTTCATCCTGAACCCATTTTGGCCGGTTCGCTTTTTCCTGTCTTGCTGCTTCAATAGCAGCCTGGGCTTCCTTCGAGAGTTTGGATTCCTTGCGACCGGATTTGGTCAGATATTTCTTCTTGATATCAATCGGCTTGGCGTATTCAACAGGGCGACCTGGCCATGGATTGACCACTGCCTGGTGGCGGGGTCCCAATCGCGAGCTGGCTCGCGGGTAAATGCGGTCATCGTAATCAAGCGCATCTTCCACGCGGCAGTGGATTCCCAGATAGCGATATGGCCACATCCGAGCTTGCGCTATCTGTTCTGCTGTCGCGGGTCGAATGGTAACCTCCTCGGTCGGAGCCGGCGTACTGCCATTAGTACCGTTAGCAGTGCCATTGAGGTCCTCTTCCTCCTCTTCCACGATCTCCTCCTCTGGCTCGGCTGGAGCCTCACCAACGGTCGGCGTGTTCCGAGCCTCGAGTTTCCGTTCCTGCGCACGGCTGCAAGCTGCGCACGCCCAAGCGAATCCTCGGGCGGGTTTCTTGGTTAAAACAGGACGCACACAATGCATATGATAGGTATTGCGGCAGACAGCACAATCGACGGAATCATTACTATTAAAAAAGAGGTTAGCAATCCTCGTGCCATATCGGGATCTTCTTGCAGTCACATACTTTGCAGCGTATAAACTGCATCTTGTGCAGGTTTTGACTGCGCTGAACAGTTCTTTCCGCTTCCCTATCTCCACAAGGACAAACTTCCATCGCTCATCGAGGACTTTCTTGACGTTGGCGGGGACGTTGATCACCTTCTTCGTGGGTACGACCTCGTAGTAGCGATGGATGTATCGGTCAAACATCTTGTCGAACCAGAAGCAATCGCGCGTTTTCCGGTACGCTTCGAAATTTTCAATCTCTGAAAGATGTTTGATTTGGCATTTTCCGCGCAAGGAGGTAAGCGGGCACGTATCGGAATGCATCGAGGCGAAGACTACTCTTGTATCCGCAACAGTCCGCTGGATATCTCGCGGCCTGTAGTACCAATTCACGCGTAGCGCTTCTATCGGCCCATTCGGCTTGTCTTTGGATGGCAGGAGTTCCATAATTCGAGCAAGATAATACGGCTCTCCCGGAGGTTCACATATGAGATAAACATGATCTGGTTCCAACATATCAGTAAATCTTGTGCCTGGTGGGGGCTGAACATGCACAGCATAGCAAGCGCTTACCATTTACGGCGAATGTTGTGCCATCGTCAGCAACCAAAGCGCCATCCTTCAGGCGGGCTCCACGTTTCTCGAAAGAAACCATGTTAGTCACAGGTGCCAGGTTGGAATCGAGACCAGGAGCGGTGGTAAATAATTTTTTGGCCGCGCTACCATTTGCCGAATTCGAATTGGGGGCGCTGGCTGGCTGCTTCCGCTTTTTGGACGAACCCGAGGAAGCTGATCCATCTTCCGGTTTTGCAGAAAAGGATGATGTGCCGGGGATCGCATCCTTCGCGGAAGCGGGATTGGAACCATTCACCGTAGTCAGGCTCTTTCGGGAATTTGAAGACGAGACAGTCTTCTCACCCTCAGCTTTGGCGCCGTTAGTGCTGTTGTGGGTTGCGGCGCCACTACTTTTTTTGACTCTGTTTGCCGGAGTCAGGATCTCTAAATCCATGTCGATGTCACGCTCTTCCGCATAGTTGGGGCGGGGTGCTGCATTGCGACCCCTAGATCGAGTGCCATAAGGCGCAGGGGTGGCGGAGGTGCTGGGTGGTTCGGCACCTGCAACTTCTGGAGTTGCGCTGGCGGTCATAGATTGTGATAATGATTCATTGGTGGTGGCGGTGCCGACATTGGTGGAAGAATCTGTAGATCCCCTTCGGGATGATTGACCAGGGGTGGGCATGCGACGCGCTGCACCCGAAGGTGAAGAGTGAGGCTTCACGTGGGGCGATTGGTGTTGTTGGTGATGAGAAAGCTTCTGGGACGGCGACCTGTCCGAGGAGGCCATGACCAGCCCTCAGATGGCGGCAGAAGCGAATGATAAAAAAAATTACACGGACAGGGGTGGCTAATGTAGCGTACCGCCAGTGCTGTGTTCGTATTAGCAGGAGAACAGAGTCAGAAACACCCGAATTGGCCTTGAACACGGAAAAGGCAAAAAAAGAAAAGTTTCAGCAACGGGCCGTGACGGAAAGACGATCCCTCATGAAACTGGGTTGTGTAGAGGATTGCGTGGATGGCAAAGGCATCAAACGATGAAGGAACCAAATATGCAAGCGAAACTAAGGAGAAGAAAGAGAGAGAGAGAGAGAGAGAGAAAGTCCCGTGACGCGATAGTCTCCCTACCGAAGATGAGTTCGGAAAGGGAAGTGGTTGTATGGAAAGATGGGGGAGGGAAATAATTGGTGCCAGGAGCTTTGCCTGGTTCCCGCAGGGGTGTGTATTGTGTAAGAAGGGTCAATCGCGTATCAGAGATGGTGGATGTGCAGAAGTCCCAGATCGACAATTCTCGAAGCTGACCTGACCTGACCACACAGTAGGAGACTACAAGGTATGGAGGGGACAAAGCTTCAAAGTGTTCGGAAGAGAAGTCGCGAGGTAAAAGATATGAGGACCCCGGGTATGTGAAGAGAATGGCCACAAGGGAGATGGAGATCGATGAAGGGGGAACAGAAAGAACAAGAACAAAAGAAAAAGAAGAGAAGAGAAGAAGTATGATAGGATGGATAGAGTTCAAGTGACGGCGCGTGGGAGGGAACAACACAAGAGCAACAGTCTCACAGAATCACCGGTGTGTTGGGGGGGAGGGTGGGAGAATTAGACTCGTGGGGTGAATCGAACGAGTGAGTTCGTGAGAGGAAGACGGACGGAGAAGAAAGAAGAAGAAGAAGAGAGAGAGAGAGGAAGAGGGAGAGGGAGGGAGGAAGAAAAGAATCGAGGCAAAAGGACCAGGTCAAGTTACAGGAACTAGGAGGAACAAGCCGAAAAAGAGTGGCTTGCTCGCAGCCTAGTAATAAGGTATGGATGGATTGGGGGGGATGGATGGGTATATGCAGGATTGCCGGTAGATGGAAGAGAAGAAGATTACCCTACCTAGATGGATCGATACTTGAGACTAGGGGAGATCGCTTTAGTCCTCGGACTCTCATACAGTCGTTGGGGTCGTCGTCGTAGTAGTAGTCGTGTATCAACTTCAATCAAGAACAAGACCAGGAACTGCCCAGACCGAACGATGAAGGGGAAATCGGGAAAGGAACCAGGTAAGATGGGGAATTTGTTGATGGGGCGGGAAGGGAAGAAGAAACACAAGGAGGAAAAGTTGTCGGCCGAAGCGAAAGCGGGACGAGGAAGGCGACGGCGACGGCAAGGAAGACGAAGAAGAAGATGACGAAGAGACGAGAAAGGAAAGGAAAGTAAAGAAGAGGAGGAAAAGGAAACGGTGCATGAATTGAAGAAAGGGAAAAAAAAGAGAGAACGAAATGGATGATAGACAAGACAAGACAAGAAAGCCGTCTAGGATCCCGACCAGTCCATATCTTGTCCCTTTTGCCCCCCTAGTCCCGATATGTTAATATGACGGGTCCTCCACCAAAAGACGAACCAGAGGAGATGGGAATGGTTGTTATTATTTATTTGGCTGGTGACCCCAGTAGGTAGTAGATAGATACTAGTACTAGTACTGGATAAGAGCAAGAAGCAGAAGAGAAGAAAAGAAAAGAATTGGAAGAGATCGAAAGCCTGGACTTGACCGACTTGCGCAGCCCTCTTGATCTTCCTGCAGGATATCCTCGATAAATTACCCTTCTGATGGACTGATTGTATCAGACAAGGCATATTTGGAGTACTGGAGTCTGGCTACTGTAGTTAGTGATGGGGGAAGGCAATACCACTTTCTTTCTCTCTCTCTCTCTCTCTCTCTCTTCTCTATCTACCTAACTTTTCCAATGGTACTGTCATATATAATCATACGGTTTTCCTCAATAATAAAATTCCTAATATAACCACTAGAGATAGATAGACGCTTCCTCTGTCTTTTCGCTCCGTCCACGCTGTCCCTTGCTCAAGGCTTAAAGAGTTAAGGCGGTTGTTGACCCGTTGGGCGATCTACATATTGGGGCTAGCGGGAGTATTTACTTAGTGTGGTAGGTTCTGGGTAACTAACTCTTCTTAGCGGGTTTTAATGGACGGTTCCCGCTCTGGGTTTGTTTGATTTGATTTGAAAGGGATTGTGTGTGCGTGTGTGTGTGTGCGTGTGTCTGTCTATGTGGGCCGAGCGACCCGATGCAAAGAATGATGATGATATCGGAAGATGAAGCCCATGGAAAAGGCTCCGTCTTTTTGCTCTCACTGCTGATCGGAGAAAGCAAGTCTGAGAGGTGAGAATATACGGAGAAGATAGATACTGCCCATGGAATGGTGGATGGATGGATATGCAAGAGAGGACGAAGATCCTCGATGGGTACTTGAATCTCGATATCAAGGAATAAGAGGACACAGGATGGATATCTATTGATTGATGTCGGTAGGACTGTACAGTGTACACCGCATGAAAACAATTTACCTGGAGATGGTAATTCTACCTAGGTACCTATGTAGTACCTAGTAGTTACTACCTAGTCACGAGAGGTGTATGGTAAAAAGGATGAATTGTTATGGTATCGACTCGGTATACTCCGGAGAAAAAGGATGGAAATGGGTATTGAGTATGGACAGTATCGAAGAGGAAATCGAAATCAAAAAAAAAAAAAAAAAAAAAAGGAAAAAATCCAGTGGTTGGAATGTTGTCACGTAGGGCAGCGCATGCGCGTGTTGGATCTGAGCTTCTTTCCCGAGCGCCAGAGTAGTATATATAGGAGTCTACCTGACGGATAGATACAGTACAGTACTTGCATTCTATGGGTTATTAATAGTCGCTAGTAAGAGGCACCATGCTATGTGCATCTAAATGTCGACATCATGAGTATATGTATAACTCCCTCTACCCTATAGAAGCGCCGGGGCTCTTTGCAGGGTTTCTCTCAAGGTGACCGAGGATGAGACGAATTTGGGCCGATGACATTCTAAGCTAGTAGTCGGTTGGGACTTGGGGGATCCCTCGAATCATGTATCCCGCTCAAATCGCGTTTAATTCTAGACACGAGGAAATTTAAACTCGATAGCTGATAGTTAATGGAGCTGACCATCTTCGATAAATCGGTGCCTATTCTGATCAGACGCTGACTTGGGGAATCAAGCCCTCCGTACTTTGGAAAGTCAAGGGAGGCTTGCATATTTTAGGTTCATTTCCGACAAGTTTCATTTTTTTCATTTTTTTTATTTTTTTTTTTTTTTCGTTTGGTATGGATCCAATACTTGAGGTAACTATGGCCCCTCCGTAGTCCGTACAGTATCAGGCCAGTCCACCAGTGTCTCCATGAACTCTCACCCAGGGGGGTACTTCAAATTGTACCATTCATCTTACCACTAAATAAGTGTTCCAAGTAGTCACTTACTCGGTCTCGGCTCCCGATCAGCCTGCACTCTGCTCCTTTGCTGACCCCAGAAGAATCACTAAACTACTCAAAGTCAAGGCCCAAGGAGAGGGGTATGGTTATGATCCTTCTGTACAACTAAAGAGAATTGCCCCCCCACAACTCAAACGGTCGAGTGAGGGGCCTTCGCTGCTCCTCAGAGGCTCAGCTAGATATCTCTCTAGGCTAGAAAAGACGGAAGTGAGACGAAAAAGATTGATTTGCCGGACCAACCAATGTCCACGGACTTGGGTAGTGATGATCAAGCTAGTGAGGTCACAACCATTATCCGGAGATTTGAGACTCTCAGTCTCAGCAAACAATGACTACTGGCGTTGAAACCAACATTATTACTACTGAGAGAGAACGCTTCAGCACAAGATAAGACTGGGAGAGGCTGGAAATGTTGACTGTGACACTGGCTTATTTAATCATTGTGGCTCAATCTGGCCGATGCAGGGAGTAGCGAATGTTGCTGGGGTTCTTTCTCCCCGCGACAGCGGACTTTTAGTTTTGGCTCCATCCATCAGTCTTGGCTGGTCCTGGAAGTACTCCGTCCGTGATAAGCAGGAATTCATTCTTCCACAATCACAGCCCCTTGAAGCCTGTGCCGTTTAAGACAGAATTACATGCCATCACCCCTTTTGCTTCAATGTCAAGGAATCAGACACACCATCCATATCCATCCCGGACGGGATGAAGAAATGTTAACCCCCTCCCAAATTCTTCTCCGTTGAGAACCCAAATCCTTGGTTTATCTGGAGATCATGAACCACGCCCAACGCAACCAATGACAAGCATCGTGCCACGACAAAATACCTCCGCAGCCGATGATTTGCTGTTTGGAATGGTCGCCACCACTGCTGGAGAGGAACCTATCGTATAGTTATTATTATTGGGAATCTTTTCGGTACCTTAGTCTCATCTATTACTAGTCGGCCACTGTGCCACATCGCGAAAAGCAGAAAAAAATCGTTTGTCCTCTCTCGGTTAGGGTCGAATGGGAGCAGGCGCTAAGTTGAGAGTTGCGTGAGAGAGAGTCACGGGGAGGTCTTGTCCTTGATTGATGGAAGCTTGCCACGCGATCTTGACGCTTGGGGGTAAACCTGCCCAGAAAGGAGCTTTTCTCGCTGTCCTTGGATACAGCGGTTCGTAGGTATGCGATTTATGAGTACATAAGCGATCTGTTGGTGACGGTGTCCGTGTCCAACTGTCATGATGTTCGATAGCTGGCTCTCTCCTCTCAGTTCTCGGATTCGACACTTTGCAGGCATTTTTCTTAGCACATGACAAGTCGACGATACTTAGACCCCCAATCACACGATTTAGATTCGTTTCACTTGGCTTCGGTCGTCATTATTATTTATTGATAGGGAATTTTAAGGAAGATGATGTGATTAGTGCTGCTGATGCTCTATGCTGTTGGTCAAGCTTGGCAATATATATATATCCCTCGAAACCAAGCATAAAGGGATTGATACTCCACAGAATATCTCCAATATATCTATCTATCTATGGTTTAAAAAGATATTTTTCTGAACTATATGATATTCCAAATCAAAACCTGAATATGCAACATAATTACCGACATCGACCAGCGTGTTTCGTTCTCACTCAATCAGTGACTCGAAAGGCGTCGATATAGTGTTCAAATGGCGGTTACAACTCCCCGTTACCACTGAACAGGTGCGAGTGGGACCGTCGGCATTATTTTCCCTCGCCTGCTTCCATTGTTTCCCCTTCTTTTTCTGGATCACAGCCCCTTTGCACTATTTGACACTGTAATCTTGACGTCGACGACTAATATGTAGAGTAGGTACGTCTAGATTGCTAGTATGTAGATATCGAGTACTGAAGCCATGCGAACCAACGTATCGTGTCTCACAGTTCCTAGACCACGAACTCTAGTACCTGCCTCTGACTGAGTTTCCAGGCATGGTACCTTTCGAAATAAACTATATAGGGGCACACATGGGTATATAACCTATCTTGTGGGTAGAAGAGCATACCACACCAGATATGGGTGTTGAGCTGACATGAGTTTGTCCGTGATTTGGTACTTCAGATAAATAGGTATAGGGCACATGTAAAAAGGACTGTTCCATGCCGGTCGCGATTCGTCCTATATACTCCCAGTGAACCAAGCTAAACTGCACTGAATTTTTCATCAGGGTTTCTGGCGAACTGTTTCGAACCTACTCTGTTACCATCTCCCGGTGACCGAATCGAAGGAGAGAAGTGAGGGGGATGTTTTCGCGTCAAGGGATGTCGCCAATAAGTATGGAGTAGCCTACCTACACTATCGAGGGGATTGGACTTGGAAGGACGTGCTCATCGTCGGGTGTGTAAGCCACTGTCCTGATTAGACATGTCAGGTGATTCAAACTTTCCCGATGAAGGGAGACTGACCCAAGTAATCCTCTCTTGAAATCACCACCTTCGTGGAAACGATCGAAGTAACCGAGAAGAGATCAAACTATCCCAGAGCACTCTGGAGAAATTACGGAAGCCACTCAGAACAAGAGAAGTGGGAACAGATTATAACTATCTCCTTTTGTTGCGGGCAGACTCAAAGTGAACTTAGACTACGGTAGACTGTAGTACTTACGTAGTACATTTTACGGGCTTATACAACTGTTAAGGCCACTCGCACTAAGGTAAGCGTCCAACCTGCTGGGTTAGGTAAAAATAAGCCCTCTCATGGCACTATTGCCGACTTCGCCTAGCGTCAATAGTGGGCTGGAGGTCAACTGGTCAAGGTGGCCACTTGCGGATCAGCATTTCAATAGAGGGCTCCGGTTGGCTGGATGGATCCGATCCAGGAACGTTCCGCCCTGGGTCACTCAGAGACCAGAGTAGTCTGCAGAGTGCAGATTATTATTATTATTATTATTGTATCTAAATGAAGTTGGATTTCTAGAGTTGCCGGCCTGAACCCTCAGGCTTGAAATGCCACCGCCACAGATGCCTAAGGCCGCAACTCTTATTATGTCCCGCATGCAGTTTCCCGATATTAATAACGCGATGCAACACCCGCGCGTCGTTGGCTCGTTGCGAAGTTCAGCGAAGAAATATATTATGGGAAGGATTTCAAGGGTAGAGGAAACCTCATATTGAGACCGTCAGAGATCGAATTGATAGAAATTCGCATCACTACATCGCAGTGAAGAGTGACTTTTCCTGTACAAAGATTATGGAAGCTTTGATACATACCTAGTGCATCCGCTTCATCGTTGTTTGGTGCCATTTCCCGCATCAAGGCTCCCCAAATCTCGCAAACTGACTCGTTACTTATCATTGCGAATCGCTGTTGCTTTCACAGACAGATGCTCAAGGAATGTCGGGACAGCCATTCCAGATTCATGGCTTCCAAACCTCCATCGATGTTGCCCGCCAACAGGCCTATGATGTAGCCCCACTCGCCGGCCACAAGCGACTGCCAGAGCATCCTCCAGATGAATCTTCTAAAGTCTCAGCCTTGAAACAAGGAGTGGCTTCTTCTACTCACTCTGCATCCCTGGCGTCTGGTTCTGTTGATTTCTCAAGTCCATCGCTGACCCTACCTAAAAACCGAATGGTCGCAAGCGAGATTCAACCGGTTGAAGCCGCCATCTTCCCAGGAGGCAGCCAACAGGGCCGGGCAGATCATTCCGTACCAGGCTCTAGTCAGAATCCTCTATTGTTTCTCAAGAATCCTCGATACAACCTGCCCCCATCGCTAGTGGCTAATTTTGCTGCCCTCGGCGTCACCAGTATCTACCCGTGGCAGGCATCATGTTTGCTTTTCCGGGGGCTTCTTGAAGGGGAGCGGCATCTGGTCTATACAGCCCCGACCGGTGGCGGAAAGTCTCTGGTGGCGGATGTGCTGATGCTAAAGCGCATCATTGAGAAACCGTCTCGCAAAGCCATCCTTGTGCTTCCCTATGTCGCACTGGTGCAAGAGAAGCTCAAGTGGCTCCGACGCATTGTGCAGGACGTAGAGAAGAAAGTTCCTGACGATGACGATGAGATCACTCGGTCTAAGCCGTATTATCAGCGGTGGAAAAAGTTACAGAAATCGATTCGGGTGACTGGGTACTTTGGTGGCAGTCGCACCGCTGCCTCTTGGGCAGACACGGACATTGCTGTCTGCACGATAGAAAAGGTTGCGTTATTTTATTTTCCCTGTTGTTCTAAAAGTTTCTGAGCCCTTTTCATCGCTAATCTACTCCTTAGGCAAATTCATTAATTAACACCGCTGTCGAAGAGTGCACTATTGGAGATTTGGGTGTGGTTGTGCTGGACGAACTGCACATGCTTGATGATGAGCATCGCGGGTACATCCTGGAGCTGATGGTCACAAAATTACTGTTGTTGAGGCAGGATATTCAAATCATTGGCATGAGTGCCACCCTCTCGGTAGGTTGTTAACTCCTCTCCTTGAACCCACCATCTGATACAAAAACCAGAATACAGAACTCCTGGCCGATTGGATGAATGCAAAATTCTTTATTTCCACCTATCGACCGGTTCCTATCGACGAATACCTCATTTATGAAAATGCAATCTACCCAGCTGCAACTTCCCGACAGCTGTTCCAGACCATCACCCGGTTGCAGCAGACAAAGACAGCCTCTCTAACGGACACCATGCCCCCGCATCGTTTAATACAGCCCTCAAAATTTAGACAACTTGAGAATCCTATGACTAATGCGATGGTGGCCCTGGCTGTTGACACTGCTATTGCCGGATATGGTGCCTTGGTGTTCTGCGGGAGCCGTCAAGGCTGCCAGATCAGCGCGGCAATCATCAGCGAAGCAATGCCCACGGTATCTGAAATTGATGCTGAAGAACTGAGCAAAAGGTTGGATCTCCTAGCGGAACTTAGAAGTCTACCAAGTGGCCTTGACCCAGTTCTCGAGAATATTACTCTAAAGGGCGTCGGATTCCACCGTGAGTGATAAGCGGTTGAGATGATTGTACTGGACTAACTTGATCGCAGACGCTGGGATGACTACCGAAGAGCGGGAGTTCATAGCTCAAGCTTATGACCAAGGGGTCTTGAAGGTCATCGTTGCCACCTGTAGTCTTGCTGCAGGTGTCAATCTCCCGGCAAGAAGGGTGATTATCAATGGGGCACGCATGGGCCGGGAACTCGTTGGACCAGCGATGCTGTAAGATCTGTTTAGGACTCCAAGAGGGCTGAAGCTAACGGATTACCCAGACGACAAATGTGTGGACGAGCTGGTCGCAAAGGAAAGGATGACGCCGGAGAGACATATCTAATATGCGGAAAGGCAGACATACAAGCGGTTTGCGATCTTCTTGAAGCTGATATGCCCGCCATTGAGAGCTGTCTCGCCCCAGAGAAGAGAGGATTAAAGAGGTACGTGCCCCCAAGTTTTTAATGCTTGTAACAGAAGCTCACGGGGACAGGGCGCTTTTGGAAGCTATCGCGACAGGACTGGTTTCTGGTTGCGAGGCGATCAAAGAATATGTGAGGTGCACTCTCCTCTACCGGACAGTGGATAAGAAACTCGCCTACACGATTATGGCCTCATCGCTGCAGGAATTGGTTGACGAAGAGCTCCTGATCTTGAGGGAAGACGAATCATACGAGGCGACAAAACTTGGACAGGCCGTAGTTGCCTCTGCGTTTGCCCCCGAGGATGGGTTGTTCGTTCACGAGGAATTGAAACGTGCATTGAAGGCTTTCGTCATGGACGGTGAGATGCATATCTTCTATATGTTCACTCCCATCCAGGTGGCGATGAATATCCAAATCGACTGGCTGATCTTTCGGGATCAACTGGACAACTTGGATGAGAGTGGACTCCGCGCGTTGCAATTTGTTGGCGTGCAGCCGTATTTTGTGAACATGATGTAAGCCGTGTACCTTTGGTTTCTACTTTGCACATAAGAGTGCTGACAAAATCCGCAGGGTGCAAACGGGAGGGTGGCTCAAGGAGGAGACTCCAGAACAGATCAAACAAGCCACCATCTACCGACGGGCTTACACGGCATTCCAACTTCGTGACTTGAGTAACGAGGTTCCGTTATCGACCATCGCGAACCGCTACAACATTCCTCGTGGAGCCGTTCAGACTCTCGCGCAGCAGTGCCATGGCTTCGCGGCTGGAATGGTCAAGTTCTGTCAGCGCATGGATTGGGGGATGCTTGCCGCAGTTCTGGATCACATGCGTGATCGATTGGAAGCTGGAGCACGCGCCGACTTGCTGGAAATGGCACAGGTCACATATGTGAAAGGCTGGACGGCAAGACTGCTTCGGGAAAATGGGTTTCGGAACCTGAGAGCCTTAGCGGAGGCAGATGCGAAGGACATCGTTCCGGTTCTAATGATGGTATGGCATCTTTCATATTGAGCCTGTAGGAGATGTTAACAGTGCCCAGGTGAATCCACGCAAAACGCAAAAGAGTCAATTGCACCCCTCAGAGGCAGAGCGCTACCGGAAAAAGCTGCTCGCCAAAGCTGAGATCATTGTGGCGTCTGCGACTAAGATTTGGGGTACGTGTGCTGCCTCAGAATTCTGGGTGAGATTTGAGACAACCATGCTAATACAGCTGACTTTTTTTTTTCTTTTCTTTTTTTTTAGAACGTGAGATGCAAGTGGATTTGGAAGAATGAGAGCTAGATCTCCTTCACCACATTGACAGTTCATGGGCCTTGCATATCATCTGAGCGCTACTTATTGGTCGCGTTTCATGTGACCAGTGCAGGTCATTGACAGTTTTCACATTTTGGATCGGAGAAGCTGGGAAACGAAGAAATTTCTTGGACATATCTTGCAGACATAGAGCTGGCATCTCCAATAGAATTAACTATACTGACATACTGAAGCTCAGCGGGTATCAAGGAACCAAAAGATTACGGACTAGCAGCAGAAACTATACACCATTGAGTGTGTCTTGCGCTGTCATGACCTCGCCCTGATCAACAAAATCCACGAGGACAACATTAGGCACGCGACCGTGCAGAGAGTTACACAATGCACTCTGCGCACCGATACTGCCATTGCCAGACACGGCATTGGTCTTGGGAGCCCGCAGACGATCGGGGATAAGAACCCCCAGAATGTCGACGTCGAGGAAATGGTTGACAATATACATGCGCCCGCCGGCCGAGGCGCCAGGGGGCCGGTTGATGCTGCAATCCTGGAAAGACGGGTCCGTCACGTCAAAGGGAGTCTCGAAGAAATACGCAAATTCGTCGAGGATGTAAGGATACGCTTTGGTGTCGGCGCCGTAATCTGTCCATGGCCCATCATCAGCAGTAAGATCTTAACAACCACAGTATCAAATCCTCCAACTCACCCAGAAACACAACCATCCGCGTCCCCTTCTCAATCAAAGTCCCCAGCGTCGGCCACGCATCCATGGCCAACACCCCGGGACCCGACTCCGGCACGAACGCAACCTCCTTCACCCCGGCGCTCGCAAACGCCTCGTCAAATCTCGCAACAGGCAGATTATCCCCGTTGGTGAGAAGCAGCGTGATGACCTCCGCCGGGTGCGCATCCAGCCACACCTTGACGGTATCCAGGAACGATTCCAGCGTTCCTGCGTCCTCGAGCAGACATGAGGTATGGCAGAGGCGCAGCGAGTCGTCGAATCCCTGGTGCGTTTGGCCTTGCAGGAAGCGGACGCCTAGGTCCAGTTGCTCGGTGACGTTGAGGTTCTGATTATGCTGGGGCAGGGGGCCGACGAAGGGGCTATCGTGGGCGCCGAGGTGGACGAGGTTGGAGTAGCGGCGGGCGCAGTAGGAGGCATGGCCGTTACAGGTTGTTGTTGCTACAGCAGGGGTGGTGAGGGCTAGGATGGGGAGGAGAGCGAGAATTGGGAGGAGGAGGAATGTGTAGGGAGACATTGATGGGAGTCTTTTTTTCCTCTTCTGTTTAAACCTACCAGGGAGGAGGATATCAGGCAGAGCAAGCTCGTTTAGTCAGAGTGAAGTCTCTATCGCATCTGTCCTGCCCTTTATATAGAAAGCATATACGACTGATACTCGATCTTCTCAAACTCGGAATGATCAGATCATGCCCGTCCAACGAGAAAATGTGCTACTTGTAGAAGCGCACAAGAGGGATCATTCACCAGCCCCTCTTGTGACCACTAACTACTGACCAGCGGCTCCTGACTTCGGGTGATATTTGCATATCGTGGATTCTTTTTTCTCTAGCAATGGAAGTTTCACTGAATTGTCTGAGGATCGGTGCTCCAAGACCCGTGGGTTGGTGATGGCAGTAAGTGGTTTATGCATATCATGTCAGAGGTGGTCTGGGTTGGTTGATGATGGAGTTCATGCTGTGTCTCCTTAGGTTAGTATTCTGGCTGTACGAGATTGCGGAAGAGTATAATGGATAACTTATAGATGATATAGATGATATATGATGGATGATGGGATCTTAGATATGGATTAGAGGTGCTGGACTGCTGATTCTGGTGGAAGTCTGGATATTGCTGCCTGAGGCATATAAGGTATATATACACTCTTCAGTTTAATGAACCTCAACGGGAGATTTGGGTGATTATGGATTGAAATCATGATGAGCTTGGTTGAATGTTGAAGCCAATTACTATTCAAATAGAGGATCAAATATGGATATCTGCGAAGATATCCCATATCATGTTTGAGTCTCTGTTCGTTGCTGGTGCTTGTGGGGATTTTGGCCATGAAGCTGAAGCCGTCAGCTTAAGCCAACCACTTCTCTCCCCTTCAACCAACAACCAACAACCAACTGCCTTTCCCCATTTCTGGCCGACGATCCTCCGTCCACTGAATTGCTTCATCTGCTACGACGGCGTTGGTGTTATCATCACTTGCACGGCCTTTGCCATTATCCTCCCTCGGTTTTGTCAATAGTTCCATCGTTCGGCTTTTCCTCCTTCTGAGTGATTCTTATCGTCATCCCGATCCATCCTAGACAATCACACCACCATCCCGCGCGATCGGCTCCCTCGGTTGGCCTCAACCCTCGTCACCTCTATTCTCATCCGAGATCTAGGAAGCGCCATTGACTCTTACCCGCCTCAGCTCTCGATTTTCACATCGCTTTTATCGAACAACAGAAGTGGGAGCGATGGTCATTCGAACGTCCTGCCGATGAGCTCCAATATCGAGGGCAGTGAAGACCGGGAACGCGAGGATGAGCTTGACCTGGGCCAGGAGGACGAGGGACCCTTCCCGCCCTCGCGGAATGGGGTCCTAGAAAGTCCTGGGCCACGTGAAAGAGCTGAAAATGGGACAACGGTCTACACTGAGGAGGATCTATCGCCGGTGACGACCCATGATTACACAGAGAAGACGGCGCTCCCGGCGGACAGTCAGACTGGCAATCTCCCATCCACGCCCCGTCTCGGGCATCTCGGGGCTCCCGGCAGTGTCGATGAGACGGCCTCGACCCCAGATGATACTCCTTCTCTTCATGTCTGTTTGCCATGGTCTGAACACGCTTCGTAAACGAACACTGCTGATTGTTGCAGGGCTCCATTCTCTCGTCGCAAAGCGGCAGTGCTCTCGCGCTCCGAGCATCCCCTCGTCCCAGCCCCAGCCCCTCGCATCGCCCATTCGATCTGCGCTTCCAATCGAGGCTCTCCTTGTCACCGACCGGGTTCCGCCCATCCTCCCCGTTTCTCGCCCACATACACTCGCGCAAGTCCTCTTTTACCAGTCGGATCTCCTTGATCACCGGCGATTCGGATGCGGAACCCCTGCAAGGGCCCTGGGATGTGGTCCGGTGGACTAAGCTTCGAAAGATTACGGGGCAAGCGTTCTCAGAAGTGGGCAAGCGCAATTTTGGTCATCCCACGTGTATGGCTGTGTCTACCAGTATTGTGGTTGGGACGTCGAAAGGAATCATCCTCGTGTTTGATTACCAGCAGAGCTTGAAGACTATCATTGGGCCAGGGACAAAGGGTAGGTTGGGCAGCTCGACTACTCTAATTCACATTCAGGCTCACTGCTAACTCATCGCCAAATAGCTGTCGAATGCGGCGCAATCACCTCGTTGGCGCTCTCGGCGGATCACACCACGGTGGCTGGGGGCCATGCTTCGGGCGATATATACACGTGGGAGATCTCGAGGTCCGCGCGGCCTTTCCTTCACATACCCCCTATTCCGGCGAGCCAAATTGATTCTCGATCATCTGACGGTCATATCGCGGCGACTGCTGTGATCCACCTCGGCTTCTTAGGCACAAGGCGCACGGCTCTGGTGTCAGCTGACCAGCGAGGGATGGCATTCTCCCACCTAGCCACCCGCGGGATGGGCGCCGTAGGTCGGACGGTGAAGACAACCCGAATCCTGGGCCGCTATCCTCAAACCATCGTAGATGGTCACCGTTTACGGAGGCCGAGCTCGGTGCTCGCCTTCTCGCCTCTTCCCCTGGGTAACGTCGAGCAGTCAACTGATTCCCTTGGACTGGTCGCCATGCTCACTCCGTATCTCTTGGTGATCGTCTCTACCACCCCCGTTGCGCAGACACAATACAAGTGCCCGCGACCCAAAGAGGTCGCCGCTCACGGTGCGATGACGGGTGCACTGGCTTGGTTTCCAGCGATTAAACTGAAGGGAAAGGAGTCTGAAACGTCGAAGACGAAACTAGCCTATTGCTGGTCCAATGTGCTGACAGTGCTTGATGTGTCCGAGGTGGAGACGGACGAACCGCCAAGCAGAGACAAGCCGCCGGCTTTGGAGTTTATTCCCAGGAGACGTTGGAAAGCAGAGGAGGCCATTGTTGCAGTGCAGTGGCTGAGTCGCTCCGTGCTGGCCGTGCTGACAATCACCCAGCAGCTGCTGATTCTCGAGGACTATTCCATGCGGGTTACTGACGCAGTTGACCTTCTGAATCGACATATCTATCATGTTGACCTGTTCTCGTCGCAACTCCATTCTCTGGTCGAGCAATTCGACGAGGAGGACACGTCCATGCATGGTGTGGTGGCTGATGCCTTTTACATGAGTTTCCGTTCCTACAAGGGACGCCTTTTCTTGATGGGTTTCAATGAAGCATCGGTTGGGGGGCTCTCGAACTGGGCCGATCGGCTAATTGCGCTCATGGAAGCAGGCGACTTCATTGGGGCTATGAAACTGGCAACATCTTACTACAGAGGTGATGCAGAGAAACTTACCGTTGGTCTACCGGAAGAGGACGCATTACGGCAGCCTATTGTCCGAGAGAAACTTCTCGAGATGGTCACGGCTTCCCTGAAGTATGCGTTTGGCCGGAACGCAGAAGCGAACAATGAGCGTCTCGAAAGCCGACAGCTCGAGGAATTGGCCGAAGTAGCGATCTCAGCCTGTGTCAGCATGGCAGAGGAGGAGTTCCTCTGGGATGAAGTCTTCAATTGGTATGAGGAGAACGACTCGCAGGGCGTTTTCCTCGATGCTCTCGAGTCATACATTGTAGATGGAACTGTGCGCTCCTTACCTCCTACTGCCGTCAAGGCTTTGATCAATCACTTTGCGACCAGCCACTCCGCCAGCCGATTGGAAGAGATCATATGCCTGCTTGATACCACTACAATGGACATTGACCAGGTCACGACGCTGTGCAAACACTATAATCTGTACGATGCATTTATATACGTCTGGAATCGCTGCTTAGGGGACTACGTGGGTCCACTGGAGGAACTCTTGAAATTGGTCCCGTCGACCACGGGGTTGGTCAACGGAGATTCAGTGGACGGGTTCACTCGACGCGCGAATGCCACGAAAATGTTCCCTTATCTCTCGTTCGTGCTGACCGGCCGCATCTACCCTACGGGCGAAGAGATGGAAGAAGCCGAGGCCACACAAGCCAAGACATCGCTGTACGATTATCTCTTCTCGGGAAATCTGTCTGGAACGGAGCCTGGATCCTTTTCGAGTCTGCAAACCATCTTAAGGTTCGACGCGTCGAGTTTCATGAGCATGCTCAACGAGGCCTTCGAGGATAGCTTTCTAAACGACCAGGAGTCCGAGGGGGTCTCTTTGCATGGCCTTTCGGTTAACCGCCAGTACTTGATCAGTATCCTACTGCAAGTCATGGCGCATACGTCTTTCGCTCCGTCGGATACTATCTATCTGGACATGTTCATTGCGCGCAACCTGCCCAAATATCCTCAGTATATCCTGCTCTCCGGCACGACGCTGCACCAGGTCCTCGAGCGGCTCTGTCGGTATCCGGACGAAGAGATGGCGGACGATTGTGAGCTCAGTGCGGAGTATCTCTTGTCTTCCTACCGCCCTCCCGACGTGCAGAGCTTGATCCCGCTCTTCAAAGAGGCTCGTTTTTACCGGATTCTGAAGTCGACCTATCGCTCAGAGAGACAATTCTCCGAGTTGATTCTTACATACCTGGTAGACCCCAACGAGCAAGATGCTGTCTTTACGTGTCTGCAAGATTGCCTCCGCCCCGGCTCTGCTCTGGGCAAAAAGCAAAGGCGGGATGTGATCGACGTGATCAAAAGTCATGCTGGACAACTGGTCAGCATCGATGTGAGCAAAGCGGCGTTGACCATGGACGACGTCGCCCCTGAGACACACGAGACATTTTTGAAGGCTTTGGAGGAGGACAGCTACAAGCAGTACCAGTACCTGCTCATCGTCGTCGAACCCCAGCAGGTTCACGCCGAGGGGAAACCCTCCAAATCCGTCGCAAACTGGATGATTGAGCGATATGTGCAGCTGCTGTGCAAGTACAATCCCTCGCACGTTGCCGACTTTGTGGATGACTTACGCACCGGCGACGTGCGGTTGGAGGAGTTGTTGCCCCCAATGGAAGAGAGCGGAGTGGTGGATGCCGCGGTCATACTGCTCGCGCGGCAAGGGCAGGTGCGAGGCGCAATGGATCGGCTCACGGCGCATCTGAGTACTCTCGAATCGGGACTGGTAGGGATCCTGCAAAGCGTGCAGCAGAGCCCGGACTCTGCCAGTACGGCTGAAGCGATCCTTGATCTCCTCGAGTCTTTGGACAAATATTCCCGAATCGGAACATGGTTGTGCCAGAACCAATCCCAATCGGTCAAGAAATCCCGGCCGGAGAGGAATGGTACAGGCAGTAGGAACGCAGTTGAGCAACCGCTCTCGTTCGATGAAATCCTGTGGTTGGACCTCATCGAGGCAGTGGTCCGCATTGCGAGCAGCGTATTTGCTCTGATGCGGGGAGAGCAGGCCGAGCCCGATAAGCTGACACAGTTGGCTACCATACCCTCCCCGATGGATGGCAATGCCGCCCGCCTCATATCATCCGTCCGTACGTTGGTCCAGCAAGTCTTTACGGCCTTGCTCTCCAGCACTGTTAAAGTTGGCGGAGCAAGCGCGACCACAGAGCGCAGTGATGTCGCATTCCTGCGCATCTTGCGCGCGTTCCTCTCTCGTGCTGCCAGCTGGTCCCCGTCGCTCCTGGAGCTGCGTGCCGTCCTGGCATCGGTCTTCTCCGCCTACACCTACGAGAAATCGCTGTTAGCACTAGCCAACGGCATGCTGGACCGAGATCTTTTTGTGCATGTGGAGGAGGTCACACGATTGCGCCAAAGGGGATGGCGACCTCGGGGCCAGGCGTGCGAGATCTGTCGGCAGCGCATCTGGGGGCCAGGGGTCGGGTCGGAATTCTGGGAGGCGTGGGAGAAACGGGAAGAAGAGGAGGCGCGGACCCGTGTGGCTAAACATCTTGAAGGCAGATTCGATCCTGCCGCTGCTCGCGGAAAGGGAAAGGCCGCTGCGGTGGACGCGGCCGTCGACCCCCGGTTCCGTGTAGATCATGATCCGCATCATTTGCACGATAACGAGGCCGGTACAGCAGCTGGAACCGGTCAGGCCACCGGCGATGGCGTAGAGAAGGCTGTTGGGCCTGCGGTGGTTTTCTCCTGTCGCCATCTGTATCATCGGCAGTGTTTGCTGGACACGACCAAGAATAAACGGGACTCCGCGCATTTTCCACTGGATGGGACGTTGGAGTTGTCGTGTCCGACATGTATATAGGAACCTCGGATTGTCATTCAATTCTATATCTTCGATAATATATACCTTCTCTCATCGGTTGTGGGTGAGGCCCTGAGGCCTTTCCCCCCCCATAATCTGACATTGCCAATACGACTGAAATGCAGCCACGATGCAGTGCGACCGACGCCACTGCTCCACGGCGTCTACTTTGACAGCTGCTAAGACTCCCCCTAAAAATTGAGGTTACTGGCTTAACTACTGCAGATGATCGATCAGCAGACAGATGATCGATCTGCAGGTAAGTACGGAGTATGATGGTGATGATGATGGCTGAAGATCGAGTACTCCTCCCCACGTGCTGCTGATTAACAAGTGACAGGCCGGAGTGACCGTCTGCACTCTGCAACCTCACTCCTCCAACCGATCCCCTTCACCTCCATTTTAACTCGATTCCGCGTCTTCAAGTGGTGCAGATAAGACTAGCATGGGTTGAAACGTGATCGACGCCGCCAACCTTAGTATCCTTTATCTGTGGATATACCCTGGTTCTTCTGATAGATGAAGGCCGCCAGCACTCCGTCGCTCACCGGTAAGGTCGTTGATAACGAATAAGCGATGTTGTTTCGAACTGAAGGCTGACCGCGAATAGATGCGTGCCGTACTCCCAGCGAACGGATGGCCTGCGTTTCATGGCCCCGCTCACATGGGGAGGATCATCTCCTCCCCCTCCATATCGGAGTACGCGAGACCCATGCAATTTGCTGCTTCAGATCTCAAGGCCCAGTCGGCTGGATGCATCATGATTGAGCGCCACATTTCACTAGCGTGTGAGCTCTGTTTGGAGAATTTTTGAGCCATGTACCCAGGCGTCTAATGTTCTATACGGATATGAGTGTTTATAAATCATACATCTCCCAGTCAGGATGCTTCTCATCCTCAATTCTCTGTGCTCTGTCGCGTTCATTGCCCCGCTGGCCGTGGTCCTGTCGCTCCTTTATTTTCTTTCTTTAGGCTGTCTCTTGATTCACACATTCCCTTGTGAAGTGACTGGGTGTATCGTCTGCCCTTCTGCGTCTACACTTCGGAGTACCACTGGTCTGCTACGCAAGAAGAAGCGCAAAGCAACGGCTCAAAATGCACGTCTGGTCCACCCTTCTTCCTGTCCTCGGTCTTGGCCTCTCAGCCCAGCAGGCTCTGGCTGCCTACGTCCTCCAGGATGACTATGCGACTACCGCCTCGTTCTTCAATCAGTTCTCTTTCTGGACCGGCGAGGACCCGACCCACGGCTTCGTCAACTACGTCGACCGTGCTACTGCGCAGAACGCCGGCCTGATTGCCGCGGATAATGGAGTCTACCTCGGTGTTGACTACACCAACACTGCCCCGGCTGGCCGGCAGAGCGTGCGTCTCACTAGCACTAAGAGCTACACGCACGGCCTTGTCATCATTGATCTGGCCCACATGCCAGCCAGCATCTGCGGAGCCTGGCCTGCCTTGTACGTCGCATTCGCTTCCCCTTTCCCTTTCCCTTCCTCCCTTTCCCTTCAGACCTCGCACACATCAACCACCAGACCCAAGCTGACTCCCCAAAGCTGGATGGTCGGCCCCGACTGGCCCAACCACGGCGAAATCGACATCATCGAGGGCGTCAACGACCAAACCAACAACGCAATGACCCTGCACACCGCCGACGGCTGCTCCATCGCCCACTCCGGCTTCTCCGGCACCCTGCAGACCTCGAACTGCTTCATCAAAGCCCCCGGCCAGCCTGCCAACACCGGCTGCGGCATCGCTGCCTCCGCCCCAAACACCTACGGCACGCCCTTTAACGCCGGCGGCGGCGGCGTCTACGCCACCGAATGGACCTCCTCCGCCATCAGCGTCTGGTTCTTCCCGCGCACCGGGATCCCCGCAGACATCGCGGGCGGGTATCCCGACCCGAGCTCGTGGGGCCTGCCCCAGGCGCGGTTTGCGGGAGATTGCAACATCGACTCGCACTTCAGTGGGCTGCAGATTGTACCCTTCCCCCCCCCCCCCCTTTTCTTTCTTTCCCTTGTTGGCCCTGGCCGAAGCTAAAATAGTATTCGTGTGTAGGTCTTCGACACCACCTTCTGCGGCGACTGGGCCGGCGCCGTCTGGGGTTCTGGCGCGTGCGCCGCAAAGGCCGGCACGTGCAATGACTATGTCGCGAACAACCCTCGCGATTTCCAAGAGGCGTACTGGAGAGTCAACTCGTTGAAGGTGTACCAGGATGCTGCTGGCGCGTATGGCGGCAATACGACCGCCCAGGCGCGGGCGAGGGGGCATAAACATGCGTCGCAGCACAAGCACAAGCACAACCACGGTCATTAGATGGCGGTTTGAATCTGACTTGTGCAGCCGCATGGAGGGTTGGGTGAAGTGATTTTGACTTTGAGATGTTTATGGCTTGATGATCGATATACCTTTTTTTCATAATGGATACCGGACGAAGAGATGTACATGTGTCCATTGCTGTATTTATTTTGTTTTATATATTATATATATATATATATGTATATATTTTTTCAATTATTTGTGGTACTAAGATAGTTGTGGTAGATAGCCTGGCATTATATGTACACACTGGCTGGAGGCGCACATAAAAGGGCAATCATGAAAAGAAATCTAAATGGCATGAATCATCATAGTTTAAATCCCAGCGTGTCTCTCTGGTCATCGGTCAATCGGCCCCATTCGAGAAGCAGACGGAAGAAGTAGATCTCCATGTCTTCCTTCCGGAGGGCTGCTTCGGCCCACTGGCGTCCTTGTTTGGCAATCCACTCGCCTCGCAGGTCATGTCCCTCCATTACAGTCTTGCGCTGGCCGTCAGCGTGTCCTATGACTGGCACGTCGACGCCCGCAAAATAGGCAAGGGTGCTCCACACTCCGTGAAGACGGATGTCGACGGGGACGTAATGCAGCCACGGGGTGACGCGCGAATCGAACCACTGTCGAAACAAGCCCGTCTTGAAGGGGAGGCTATGGCTCTGCAGGAATGGGAGAAACCGTCCGCTGAAGCCCGCACCGTCCAGGTCAAACAGATACCGATACTGCCAGTGGCTTTGGAAGTCGACCTTCGACGTCATGCCCAGCTCCTTCTTTTGCGCATTGCAATCCATGCCGCACCGGACGATAGGGTCTGCAATGTGCACGGTGGTGTTCAATCCGAGGTACTTTGAGGGCGATGAGCCATCCATAATTCGATACTGAAAGGTCTCATTGCCTCTGTCAATAGGTAGCAACACCGACACATGGTTCAGAGTGTTGTTGTTGATGAGATGTGCAAAGCGTTGACGAGGTATTCCCTTCCATTCTCCCGCACGACTGGCGCCTTCTGACGTACTGCCGATCCAGAATAATGTGTTATCCTTCTCGAGGTAGTTCGGGTCGGGATGCTTTTCGGACGGATCATACTTGACTTTATCCACATAGTTCCACGGGCTAGGGAACAAAATGTCGTTGAATCCAGACACCTTGCTTTGGCTAAAAACAGGCGTCAATTCTTGAGCAACCTTAAATGATGCGGGTGAGATAAAAAAGCCATGAAGTGAACCAAGATCGGGCTGGTGGCATATGTCGGTCATGCTGTTCCAATCCAAAGGAAATTGACCCATCGAATGAGGCCGAATGCAACTCAAGCAGATGTGGCGGCGGTCCCAGATTCGCTGAGATCGAGCTTTTGACGAGGGTGGACAAAGAACGCTGACGTAACGATCGAATATTCGTCGAAAAGAGCTATCCGTAAAGACGGTCGTGGTGGTCTGGTCTGCAGGCTCAATAGCAGCCCATTGCGAATCACGGTCTACCGACCATTCGCTGGCAAGCGAATTATCGGAAGCTAGGCGATGCGATTTCGCTTGGTTGCTCATGACGGAGGTCATTTCCCATGGTACTGCCACGCGCGGCTCGTCGTTCAGATTGAATGCGAGATCCATGTCGGGAAGATGTTGAGCAAAATTCTCAATCATCTTGGCAGCACCCTGGACCATCCACGCGTGGGTGGGTTTAATCCCCTCCTGGACTCTGGCGGTGCCATTCCGGATTGAGATTGCGCCAATGTCATTGAATGGATTAGTAGCCAACTCATGCGTTAATTCGCGAATCCTTCCGGGTGAAAATGCTCGAAATGGGAGGAGATCCGCATGAATTTGATCAAAATCATCGATAACCACGGATGATCTGCTCGCAGCATAATCGTACCATTTATCGAAGCCTCTGGAACGCAGTCAGTGAACTGAATTAAACGTACAGTCATAAAACAGATGGGCGGGCTCACGGTGGAGGATGTTGTTTATATCTTTTTCGGTAGTTTGCGACAGCATCAGCGATGCTGTTGCTGCTTTTCGCTTGGGATAGCCATGTGTCATGTTGCGGTCTAGCCAGATGGATGAGCAGGCTAATAGAGTGGAGGTTGGCCTCCGCTGGTTGATTGGCAACTAGAATAAGGCCAATGCCAAATAACACCGAGAAGGATGTCCGCATCACGATATTGGCGCCATACAGGAATGAAGGCTCTTCCTCAGATGCCATCCGACTACAAAGAAACAGCATGCCTCCCAAGTATGTAGCGAAGAGTGAAAAGAAGGCATGGGAAGGGAAAATCAACGGGAATGGCTCCTGCCCGTTAAATAAGGTGGAAGACAATGAGAAGCAACCAAAAACAAACCCAGCTAATATAGTAACACCAATCACTCCATAGAAGGGAATCTAAAATTGTTCAGCAAAATCCAGGCAGAAAGAGGGTCGCGTGGCTAACCATCTGAGAAGCGGCAATCACAAGAAGTGTAACCAGGAGACCTTGGTTGAATGCACTTCGTAGATAATGAGCGTCGACGAATCCATTACTTTGACCCCTGGATCTAATTGCAAGTATAATGGCTATCAGAGTCCAAAATGCAGTGACTCCCTATTGATATTCATGGTCAGATCGCACAACTCTGCGGCTGTCCGCGACCAGACAATCGGAAAACATTGTGACACTTACAAGAAAGGCATAGCCCCAAGCGACCAACGGATGTCTTCTTCTGCCTTCTCGAGGCCGAGCAGCATCCCCAAATAGCTCGCCAATAGCGATCAGGACCAGCGTGTCAAGGACGACACTGAAAATCCTAACGAAACGTAATTGCAAATACTGGCCAGACGTAATTGGGCAGATGTAAGTTGATTGTATGCCTTCCTGAAATTCTGTTGCGAGATATCCACCGATCATAAGGAAGGCAGCTGATATAACGTATCGTATGTGACTCTGACAAAGAAAGCCATAGAGACGCCTGACGGCCGTCATAAATTTTCGAATGCGCGCATTAGAAGAGAGATCTGTATCTTCGTCCTGCCGTTGTGGAGCTGGTCGTGAACGCTGGTTTCGCCAATAGTCATAGATCGAGACGAGAAAAGGAATGGCATACTAAGTGAAACAAGGCATGTGATCAATAGGATATCGATAGGGCCGTTGCTTCTCTTCGACACCCACTTACTGTGTATCCAGCTGGTGCGCATTCGATCTTCACGGTGACTTGACGGTATAATTCAACCCGAACACACGCAAGCAACGAGACGATGCCAATGTTGATCCACCATGCTCGACGGCTTGAATTGATGGCAAGAGACTCGCCAGTGAAACTGCTCGACGAGGGAGGTATCTCCGCAAGTGTTGCGTCAATGCGCTCAGCGAGAGGGATAGCGGAATATTTGTGCGTCGCGAGCGATATCCTTGGAGCAGATGAGCTGAACCTGCTAAGAAGCAAGAGAGATATCCCGGAGAGGAGGCAGGCGAAGATTAGAGAATGGAGGGGCTGGTCTTTAAAGAGCTTTTGTGAGCACCACTTGTTCGTAACGTATGCGCCTCTTCTTTTTTTTTTTTCATATCTTTTGCTACACTGGCAGGCTAGACTCACCAAAAACAAAAGTCGTATTATAAGAAGTTGTGAGAAACATGCAACTCAGAAGAAAACCCCTATCGAAGCCGGTCAGCTCAAGACGATTTATTGGGCATTGATGTCTACTTACCCCACTGAGGCTTTGAGCCCGGTCTCAGCGGAAAGCCGTATCATTATGAAGGAATGTTATGTTAGTATCTTCAAGGACCACTATGAAGCCATTGCTAATTCATGTCATGTCGCAGTAAAACTCTTTGCGACTGTATGTAGACAAGATTGATTGAGTCGAGGAGGATATGGCGATCTTGGCGACCGGGGGTACCGAAAAATGAAAGGATAAGAACAAGTCGTATGGCCAGGACGACATGCGACGGACAGGCGATAAGAATACTTAATAAAAGCGCGGGAAAGCCAAGGGGGGGACAGGGCCAGGCGCGTCGCAAAGTGTAACCGTGAGATTCTGCAGTACCCTTCAAGCAGGGCAAAGGGGGAAAGGCAGTGGAGAAGGCTTGAGAACCCCTGGTAGAAGCATCGATAGCGACCAGATAACCGTTGGAATTGATAGTATCGAGCACGTAGGTCGTAGTTTTTAGCAGTTGGACCTGGCAGGATTGCGTCAACGAGTGCACTAATCTGCTAGTGTCCTAGCAGTAGCATTAATCTTCTGGACCCGTGGGGCGGGCTGTGTGGGACAGAGCTTTTTGGGTCCTTTTTGGCTGGTGAGAAATTGGCAGAACCAAGACTTGAAGCGATGTCGAAACAGGGCATGACAGGCGGGGACTCGATAATCATTGAGAAAATATAAACAGTCCTCCTTGTATCGCTGGGAGGATTAGAGTAAGTAACAGAGACTTGATGATTTCCAGAGCCATCAGCTGCAATATGAAGAGGCTCTGATGATAATTAGAGGGAAAAAAAAAAAGTTATCAGCGAAGATCATACTGTCAGTTGCTACCGCCTGCTATTAACATTTACCGCCCAGGGGCCAGGCAGGCACGTGCTTAGAGCTTAGTCTTAATTTCACACTAATCCTAAATAAGACAGTCTAACTAGATCCAGCAAGATGCAATGGACCCTCCACTGTTAATCCTCTTTCAAGCTAGGACACTTTATCTCTTTATATATTATCCTATGGAATCCACATAAGCAGTGGAATGCTCTATACAGGCTGCCACAACAGGTGTCCCATATTTGCAAACAGGCTATACTGTCAGCTATTTTGGTTACAGTGCGGTAGACAGCAAGGGACATACTCCAACCATGTTGAGCACAAGGCGTGTTCGGGGTCAATCACCACTGGATCAGCGTGAGGTATAAGAGAATTCACGAGGAAATATGGCGGCAACAACACCCAATAGTTTGGGAAAGCATCAGTTTGAGTGAAGATGGCATCACTAAGTCTTCCTTCGCGTTCTTCCTCTCCTCATCACCTCGTCCTACCTTACTTTCACGATCGCCGAGGACCTCTACTTCAAGCCCTACCTAGAGCCCTCGGTTGTCGGAGCTGCCGATCACCTTCTCCCATCCTATATCACCGTGTGGTACAACCGGGGCATGGTTCTCATCTTCACCATATACCCATTAACCTGGTGCACGGCCATTGCGAATCTGTCCGTGGCCCATCTGTGGCGTACCAGTATCGCAGCCTTCGTCTTGTATCTCCTCGGACTCCTCTTCAGCATCGCGCACATGCTCTGGGGACCTCAAGCAATGAATCTCCTAAACTCAATTAAGAAGCAAGACAGCTCACAATACATCCCCTATGAGGATGGGCTACTGCTGATTTAATTTCCAAGTTGGGTCTGATGAGGCGCTGCTTTTAACTCAGAAAGGCTCAGTGCTGCTTTTGTCACAGCACTAGCTTAAAAGAGGATTAGTGGCGGAGGGTCCATTGTACCTTGCCATATCTAGTTAGGCACGAGATATTCTGTCTTATTTAGGAATAGCTTGGTTTCAAGACCAAGCTCGGAGCACGTGCCTGGCTCCCTGGGCGGTAAATGTTAACGGCAGGCGGTAGCAGCTGACAGTATAATCTTCGCTGATAGCATTTTTTTTCCCTCTAATCAGTCGAGGGTGAAAATACAGTGGAAGTCGCTGCCCATTAAGTCCAATCTTTCCAAGTCTTCTCTGTCTTCTCACGGGCTAGAGACTTGTTTTATTAACACACTTTCGGTAAAATCTCGCACCGACCGAGCTTTTCTACGGGTTGTCAGAGATCGTGGGAGTCGACAAAACTTCGCTGCTCCTTCGCGAGCATTGTCCTTCAACAAAGACAGACGATTAAGATGCCACGCAAGGCCATTGATTCGCGCATTCCTGCGCTCATCCGAAATGGTGTCCAGGAGAAAAAGCGAAGCTTCTTCGTCGTCGTCGGCGATCGCGCCAAGGATGTCATTGTGAACCTGCACTGGCTCATGTCCAGCGTCGACGTGAAGCAGAACAAGTCCGTCCTGTGGGCGTACAAAAAGGACCTTCTCGGGTTCACCAGTCACCGGAAGAAGCGTGAGGCTAAAATCAAGAAGGAAATCAAGCGAGGTATCCGGGAACCGAATCAAGAAGACGCCTTCGAACTCTTCGTGACCCTCAACCAAATCAGATATGTGTACTATAAAGAGACGGAAAAGATTCTCGGTAACACATACGGCATGTGTATCCTTCAGGACTTCGAGGCCATCACGCCAAACCTACTAGCGCGCACCATCGAAACTGTCGAAGGAGGTGGTATGGTCATCCTCTTGTTGAAGGGCATGAGCAGTCTCAAGCAGCTCTACACGCTCTCCATGGACATTCACTCGAGATACCGAACCGAAGCACACGACGATGTGGTAGCCCGTTTCAATGAAAGATTCATTCTCTCGCTGGGCAGCTGTGATTCGTGTCTGGTGCTCGATGATGAAATGAATGTCTTGCCGATATCTGGCGGAAAGAACGTGAAGCCCCTCCCGCCTCCGGAGTCTCTCGATGAAACCCTTTCAGGTCCGAAGAAGGAGCTGAAAGAAATTAAGGATAGCCTCGCAGATACCCAGCCTGTAGGGTCCTTGATTAGTTTGGCTCGGACTGTTGATCAGGCGAAAGCGCTCTTGACCTTCGTCGATGTGATCGCTGAGAAGACGCTCCGCAGCACTGTGACGCTGACGGCTGCAAGAGGACGAGGAAAGTCCGCAGCTCTTGGTGTGGCCATCGCGGCCGCGGTCGCCCATGGTTACAGTAATATTTTCATCACGTCACCCAGCCCCGAGAACTTGAAGACGCTATTCGAGTTCATCTTCAAGGGTTTCGATGCGTTGGGATACCTCGATCACGTGGACTACACTATTCTGCAATCCACCAACCCCGACTTCAACAAGGCCATCGTGAGAGTCAACATTCACCGCCAGCACCGCCAAACGATCCAGTACATCCAACCCCAGGATGCCCATGTCCTTGGACAGGCGGAGCTTCTGGTCATTGATGAAGCCGCAGCGATTCCCCTCCCTCTAGTGCGCAAGCTGATGGGCCCTTATCTGGTGTTCATGGCTTCCACCATCAACGGTTATGAAGGAACAGGTCGATCCCTGTCATTGAAGCTGATCCAGCAGCTCCGCGAGCAGTCACGAGGAGGCATCAAGACCGCAGGTCAGGACGATACTGATATCGCTGACCGCGCGACTGGTAAAGCCGCCAAAGGCGCAGAGAAGAATCTGGGTGGACGCTCGCTCAGAGAAATAACCTTGTCTGAGCCTATCCGTTACGCCCCTGGGGATTCCGTGGAGAAGTGGCTGAACAAGGTCCTGTGTCTCGACGCAACACTTCCGAAATCTAGAATGAACACCCAAGGCTGCCCCCACCCATCCCAATGCCAACTCCTGCAGGTCAACCGGGATACATTGTTTTCGTTCCACCCTGTCTCTGAAAAGTTCCTGCAGCAGATGATGGCCCTTTACGTTGCCAGTCACTACAAGAACACCCCCAACGATCTCCAGCTGATGAGCGATGCGCCTGCGCATCAACTTTTCGTGCTTGTTCCCCCCATCGATGAAGAAGCCACCAAGCTGCCTGAGCCTTTGTGCGTAGTCCAGGTCGCACTGGAAGGGCGCATCAGCAGACAAAGTGTTCTCAACAGCTTGAGTCGAGGCCAACGAGCTGGTGGTGACTTGATCCCGTGGCTGGTTAGCCAACAGTACCAGGATGAGGACTTCGCTGGTCTCTCCGGTGCTAGAGTTGTCCGCATCGCGACCAACCCAGAGTACCTGAGCATGGGATACGGATCTCGCGCCTTGGAGCTGCTGGTCGATTTCTACGAGGGCAAATTTACAGATTTGTCTGAAAACATCCCTAATGCGCAGGAGGAGATGGTCAGGGTCACTGACGAGGAGCTTGCTAATTCTTCTCTTCTGGATGATAATATCCATGTCCGCGATATTCGTTCCATGCCACCACTCTTTGGCAAGCTCTCTGAACGTCGTCCGGACGCCCTGGACTACGTCGGTGTCAGCTACGGTCTGACCCCCTCCCTCCATAAGTTCTGGAAGCGCTCGTCCTTTGTTCCCGTCTACCTGCGCCAGACGCCTAACGATTTGACCGGCGAACACTCCTGCGTGATGCTGCGCACTCTGGCCAGTGCGTCCAGCGACTCCAGCTGGCTCGGTGCCTTCTCTCGCGACTTCCACAAGCGATTCCTGGCGCTTTTGTCCTACCAGTTCCGAGACTTCCCCTCGGTCCTCTCCCTCAGCATCTGCGAGTCCGCCAACGCCGGCGCCAAACTCGATACGTCCTTCACCCCCTCTCTGCTCGCAAAAGGCGACCTCGACGCGGCCTTCTCCCCCTTCGACCTTAAGCGTCTCGACAGCTACGCCAACAACCTTCTTGACTATCATGTCATCCTCGACATGGTCCCCATCGTCGCGGAGTACTATTTCTCCGGCCGCCTCAGCGGCAAGGTCAACCTTTCCGGCGTCCAACAGTCCATCCTGCTCGCCATCGGCTTGCAGCGCAAGAACCTCGACGATGTCGAGAAGGAGCTGAGCCTTCCCTCCTCGCAGCTTCTGGCCATGTTCTTGAAGATTGTCCGCAAGGTGTCGACGCACTTCCGTGGCCTCGTCGAGGGCGCTGTCGCAGAGACGCTGCCCACCGAGAAGGTGCCTGTCATGCAGTCCTCCGTCGAGGCACACGATGAGGTCGTCGACGACCGCTTCAAGCCGCTGGAGACGGGACTCGAGGAAGAGCTCCGCGAGGGTGGACAGAAAATCGACGCTGAGCTGAGAGAAAAGCAGAGGGCTCTGATCGACGCACTGCCTCTCGACAAGTGAGTGGAAACTCCCGCCCCTCCATCTTCCCCTGCAAGCAACATACCCAGTGAATGAACAATAACTGATTTCTAGCCTCCAGATACGAGATCGATAATGGCTCTGCCGCCTGGGAGGACGCGGAGAAGCAGATCCGGGCCGGAGGAGCCGCAACTGTGAGCATCAAGTCTTCGAAGGGCGGTAAGCGCAAGAAGGGAGAGAGCGCGCGGGAAATCTTCGACCAGGAGATTGACTCCAAGAGACAGAAGATCATCAAGAAGGGGACGGAGGGAAAGAAGGCAAGGGCTTGAACTCCGTACTGAGAGATATCCTTGTCTTTTGCATGATGGGGGTGGTGTTCTGGATTCTTCTTCCTGGGGTTGCAATATTTCTGTATATATGGTCCTTGTATATCCGAGAAAAAAGTTTGAATAGACATGAGATTAGTTCCCAAGTTCCAACGCCTTTACTCTCGGACTATTAATGACAAATGCTCATAGTAGTATTCACCTATTCATATTCCTATCTCGATCTTAATTTACAAAACGGCCACGCCATCTCTTGCCTGCAGATTTACAATTCATCATGATCGGATGTCTCCTTCTCAGCCTGCTTCTCAGCCTCCTTCTGTTCGACCACAATGCCCTCAGGCAACTTGCTCTTCGAACCCTCTCCCAGTCGAATAGCATCGATCCATGCTTCCATTGCGGCAGGCCCAAAGTCCTGAGTTTCCGAGGCATCGTAGCGCCTCCACCAGCCCCTGCGCGCATTCACAGCAACGACCTCAATCGAGGTCTGGTCCTCGGGTAATCCAAGCCCAGCACGCAGAGCCTTAGCGCCGCTGTTCATGGCTGGCACAGCGTAGAAGGGGAAGAGCTTGCTCTTGCGCAGCGCGTGCTTGTGTGCGACCTCGGACAGACTAAGAAGCGCATCTTTCGCGGAGCTGGGGATCTCGGCGTTGGGTTCGCTGGGTTCGGGGAAAAGAGCGAGGACGCAGGTGCCAGACTTGGGGGTCAGGCAGGCAGTCTCCAGCGCCTCTACGGTGGGGAGTGCGGCGATGGGTGGTGCTGCGATTGGTACCTGCGCGGGCTTGGATTCCGTCGCGTCATCCGAGACGACCTTGGGATCGGGGGATTCAGTGGGCTTCAGGTTCTCTGCTTCATCGTCGAGCACAGTCGACGTTTTGGCGGGTTTGGCCGATTTGTTCGACTTCGTAGGTTTGGCTTTTGGTGTGGCAGGGGCAGGGTCCAGGTTGGGGGCAGCCGCTTGGCTAAGGAACTCGACGATGGCTTGCTTCTTGAGGTCGCCGCTGTATTTGATGGGCTCTTTGCCACCTCCAGGAACCAAGACCAGAGTGGGAAACTGTGTGACGCCGAACTTCTCCACCGCGGCGGCCTCCTTGTTGCGAATCTGACCGACCTGAATCGAGCCGAGGAACTCGATAGCCACGGCTTTGATAAGAGCGCTGATTGTACCCTTCTCAGTGAACAGAATTGCCCGAGGCTTGTCTTCGTCCTTCGAAAGCCATTGATCCAGATCCTTGTCCGTGGCCTTCTTTACATGGTTTGGGATCTTGTCCACAACTGCATCGACGATCGCCTTGGCGCTTCTAGCTCCCTGATAGTCCTCCACCCTGGGTTTGCCGGGCTTCTTCGAAGGCGTGATAATCTTGAGTGTGGGGAATCCTTGTACGCCCATACGACCACACAGGGGTTTGTTCGCATCCTCATCGCAGTTTACAGCGGCAACCTTGGCCAGCCCCTCCAGGTTCTTGGCGGCTTTCTCGTATGCAGGCTTAAGGCTCTGGCAGTGGCCACACCACGGGGCATAGAATCTGAAAGAGGCGCAACTCTCGTCTTAGAAGCCGTCAAGGGACTATGCAGATTGCGGGGGAGAAAGCTTACTCTACGATCTGAGAGGACGGTTAGCTGATCCGACAAGACCTCCCATTTTTGATGTAATGCAAGAGGGTCTTACCGATGTGTAGTTAGAACTAGCAATGAGCTGGTCATAGTTCTTCTGAGTGACCTGCAGTACAGGTGACTTTTTAGTATACAGTCCATCCGCGTTGACAGGCAAAGCTGTCAGAAGGGATGCAACAAGAAGAAGTGCAGAGCTTGGCTGCATCATGTTGAAGAAGGGATGTCAGTGTCCTGGGCTAGGGATATTTAGTAGTAAGTCAATGTAGCAATGTACATAGCAGACCAAAATCAGGTCCGTCAGCAAGGGCAAGAGCAGTATATGAGCTGTTTGTTTGGGATGTTGAAGCAAGGTGTCCTGAAGCTCTTGGCATGCGACGGGGATAAGCAGCAGTAACCTCCGCTGAGATGCAAACCATGCAAATCCTCTTATCACTCTTATCGGCTTCCCCAGACTCCTCCTACTACGCTGCTTGTGCTACCCTTACTACTACGACCGACTACGACTACAGCAGACCAGCAGCGCATTCGACAATCACCAGCCTCTATCTAGCTCAGATGCCTATTTTGAGGTCAGCTGGCAGTGAGCCTAGTATGTTCTTAGGTGACTCAGGTTGCAACTTGTTATCTGGTTTCCCCCAGTCAATAGCATACTCCCAACCATGGCGGATTCTACAATCACGCGACAATGCCACCAGCGGGGCCGAGTGATGGGGCTGCCATCTATGCCACTGGAAATATTCTGGATGGTTCTGAAGTACCTCGACCCTGTCGATATTGTTCGATCTCGTCGAGTATCACGGTGCTGGAAAGAGGCGTTCACGAACCCAGAGTATTTGGTTCGACTCATGACCGAATTGTTTCCACAAGCTCAAGAGGTTCGCGAATTAGAATCGAGCAAGCCCTTGAAGGGTTTAGTCTCAAATGTTCTTGATGACCAACACTGGCGCAAGCTGTTCGACAAGGTTGCCTCTCGGTATAATTATCTACATCGCGGGAAACCAAAGTCGGTGCAGAAGCTCAAGCTGTGCGAGGACTTTGGTATATCCGGAGAAAGAGAGTGGTTCCAGGTTCAGCCTTGGGACAACCATGCCAGTCACCTCATGCAACGCGTTGATCGTGTCTACCCGGAGACCTTCTGGACGTATGAGGATGGTTTGCTGGTCTATCCGAGCGCAGATTATGCCTCGCTGGTTCTTCTAGATGTTGAGGCTGATAAGAAGACGATGGTGCCATTCTTGATCATTGGCAAGGTCATCAGGAGGATTCGTTTACAGCGACGAGTTCTAGTGGTGGAATGGGCGGAACCGAAGGCCTTCCACTGGCTGAACGACAGCGATGGGGTTCATCGGCATTTTGCCTCGTCGTTCGATGTGGTCAAGGGTCCTGATGGGTGGAATGTCACATTCCGCAATGAATGGAAGATCATGTTTCTCGGGCATCCGCTGAGTGAACGAGACCGATTTTACTCCACGCACAGCAAAACACATTATGTGATCTACATCTGGCAACCAAATCGCAGCTTATACACTGCCGACGAAGACGCTCCGATAGAGTCCTTGTTTGTCTGGGATATCTCCAAGCCATCGCCCTATAGGCCCTCTCTAGATCCAGCCGGACGTCAACGGGATGATGAATTGGGCCAAAGTCCCTCTATCGTCTCGCGCTTTGGATTCCGCGAACTTGGTTTCTTTTCTGTGAGGCAACGAGGAATACCGGGAATACATGGCTTAGAAATTACCGAGGATGATCAGTCCATTGAGATCATCGAGAATCTATGCACGGGGCCGCTAGACCGCCTCGTTGGACCGGCAGAGTGGACATCTCAGGTTCAAATCACGAGTATCCCCTTGATTGGCGACGGACCCTGCTGGAGGCGAGACGTTGATTATGTTCTTCCTCCTTACCGCGGAAGCAGCGGGCTCCAAACGGAGCCTCTCAGTTTGCTGTGCGATAAGTTCTGGTACACAGCCATCTCTGAGGCATATGATACAGCGCCGCAGGTAGGATTTGCGTTGCACCTATCTCCCTTTGGCTGGCCCTTTGACTACAAAACCTACTTGAGCGTCCAAACACCGTCCTCCCGGGTCGTCTTGAAGCCGGACGACGCAAATGAGTTAGCTGGAAAGGGCAAGATTTGTGGGAATGAAAAATTCGTGTTAGGTGAGAATGGCAACCGCGAGCTTGTCATTTGGAGATTTGATTGATGTGAATATGATCTTGAGAAGAAGAAGAAATCGTCGGCAAATGGAGCGTTCAGGGTGCAATGCAATTACTCTCGCATCCGGGTCTGTTGAGCAGACTAGGTTTCCTCCACTCATCAATAGGAAGCTGTCGTCCCATGACTTTTCAATTAGAAAGAATTTGAATAGTACTACTCTGTACTAGACTTGCACTTACAATGGTGGTAGTCTGGTTATTGTATGGTAGTGCCAAGTCCTAGCCGCTGATTGGCTAGTGCCTTAGTGCCTGAGGCAACGGGCGACTGTAGGTGGTTAGGGTACGGCTAGTCCCGAACAGGCTAAGCGAAGGCGCCCGCACAGAACGGGCCCTGCGAGAGGCGGTTCTCTCTGTGTGTGTGTGTGCGAATTTTCGAGGTTTGACCTGATCCCGACTCCCTCCAACGACGACAACGACACCCATCCGCTCTCACGCCCCCGGCTTCCTCTTCAACTCCCACCGTTCACCTTCGAGGTTATAAGTCGCAAAAATGGGTGGTGTCACCGTTCGCGATGTGGACGTAAGTTTGTCCTGTTCTGCTTCAGTTCATACCCTGCAATCTGCGACATCTTGTCTCTCTCTTGGCAGATGGGAGAGGCCGCTCTGGATGATTGGCAATGGGAAGAGGAGGAGATTTAAGAAAGCAGCCTGCATGAAGTGAGGAAGGGGATACATCTCGATGAACGACTCGTTTGCGCGTTGGGATCTACGACATTTACGCCGGCTAAAGGGCAAGGAAGGTTCTGGGACTCAGACAACGGTCGGAGGATTCGAAAACCACACGGGTTGCATTCGACTACGTGGGGAAAAAAATGTACTCGACGGGAATAAATGGAAGAAGAAAAAGAAGAACGACGCGTCTGCAGGGAAGACCATTGCCAATCATCCAGGAGGGACAAGCCTCGACGAGAAAGACATGCACACGCACACATGTGAAGGGCCAGATCCGGTGCTAACGAGATTTTTCACCTACAGGCGCAGAAGTTCATTGCTGCTTACTCTGCCTTCCTGAAGCGTCAGGGCAAGCTCCCCATCCCCGGATGGGTTGACACTGTCAAGACTTCTTGCTCCAACGAGCTCCCTCCCCAGGACGCTGACTGGTACGATAAACTCAGAAAAGAAACAAACAAATCGAAAAAGAAAAATCCCCTCTAATGACGATCACAGGTACTACGTCCGCGCCGCTGCTGTCGCCCGTCACATCTACATGCGCAAGACCGTCGGTGTTGGCCGCCTGCGCAAGGTCCACGGCTCCGTCAAGAACCGCGGTTCCCGCCCCAACCACCACGTCGATGCCTCCGGCTCCGTCGACCGCAAGGTCATCCAGTCTCTCGAGAAGATCGGTGTCCTTGAGTACGATGAGGACAAGGGCGGCCGCCGCATCACCCAGTCCGGCCAGCGTGATCTTGACCGGATCGCCAAGACCACCGTTGACGAGGAGGAGGAGGACGAGGAGTAAATTTAGTTTCTCCTACTAAAATAATAAAAAAGTCCCTGATGTCTTCACCTTGAACCTCTGGTCTTTTTTGTCCTTTCTTCATCCTGTCTAAAACACAGTTCTTCCTCCCTGTTTTGATCGGGGGCGAAAGGGGAAAGAAATCTGGGTGGGCTTTGAGTTGACACCGGTCAAGTTTTACATACAAGTCGGGCTAACGTGGATGAGTTGGATTGATACACTATGTGGGATTCAGCGGGAGAGGAAATGAAACTTTTTTTTTACCCTTTTTTTAAAAACCTTCCCTTCACACCAACCATCTACTCTTGTCTATATTCGCTATCATGATCGTGACCAAATGGAGCCACGCGGAGAGTACCCTCCTCGGGTGTTGTGTTATCAGGACGAAACGTTTCATGCCGAGACAGATGAAGACATCTGCGTCTACAGACTATACTCCCAATGTACATCGCATCCGCCCTCTCTCCGAAAACCGAGCTATCCACCGCTGCTTCACATCCCATACATACATACACCGTAGCCCCTACCACAATAATCCCTCCCTTCTTCCCCGACTGCGCAGCAGTATCCTACACAATACTCTAATATTAGCCTGCCGTCACCAAGCCCAGACCCCAAGAAAGAAAGCAAGAGCCCCAAACCCCCCCCCCCCCTCCCCAAAAAAAAAGACCTACCAGATAAACCTGATACAACTTCATCCTTAACTCCTCCCCCTCCGCCTCACCAAACACCACTCTCCCTCCCCAGGGCACCTCAACCTCCCTCCCCGGATCCGACCTCAACACATACTTCACCGTGCCATACAGCATAAGCTCCCGCGGTCCCCCGAAGAAGATCTTGCTTGGCGCGTGCTTCCGCGCCGCAACGTGCGTCCAGAGCCCGTGGCGCAAGGCGCGGATCTCTGTTTATTCGCTGTGCATTAGCATTGCGCCCCGCATCAAAGCATATAGAGAGATCTATATTCCTCCCCCGATGCGTGAAAAAGGTTGGGACTAGGGACTGGGGACGCAAACTCACCGTCCGCTCCGGTGGCGACCTTCGGGCCCATGATGAGGGTTGCGTCGTCCGTGAAGCTGGCGACGTATTTGTCGTGCCAGGCTTCTGTGTCGCTGGTTTGGTAGAAGGATTCCATGAAGGAGATCATGGGCTGGGCATTGGGGGGGAGGAGAGTGGGGTCGGTGGTGATTTGGTAGGTCATTTCTTCTCCTTTGCTTATTGGGTTGGGGACGGTGAGGGGTGTTATTTTATTAAGGTGTATTGGGGGTTTGTATAGTGAGGTTCTGATATGTTGGTTGTGAATATGTATAGGATGGGTTGGACTATCTACTAGTTAGTATACTGATGTCAGTGGTAGTATGCGAGGGCTGTAGAGAGCTTCGGGCCGATGGCTCGTTGTTCGTATCCGATTTCCGATGTGAAGGGTCGGACATGTGGAGAATCAGGAATGGATGGTGGGAATATGGTATGTAAGCAGATAGTAGAGACTGCCGATGATCAAATGATATTGATGGTGCAAAGTATGTACAGATGTAAACCACTCAAGCCTTCTTGTGGTCCTCCTCGGGTAGGTTGAAATCCTCCCAGCTGGCGCGGTCCGCGCCATTGGGTCGACTGGCTCGAACAAAACTGTTGTCTACGCCGTCAATCTCCGCGATGGGTCGAACAACCTCGATGTCGGCGTTGTACGCCTTGGAGAACCACTTCTCGGTGAGCGCCTCCTGTGCAGATTCGCTATCTGGGGCCACATAGAGATGTGGGAACCGCGAGTGCATGATCTTCAGGACTGTCGAGGAAATGCGATCTACGCTGTCACAGTGACGCAGCTTGAAGAACTCTGCAGGTTGGGCTGCCCGCATCTTCTCCTGAACAGCGTCCGAGTATTTGCCCACGGCGAAGAGCAAGAGGTCATAGTGCATCAACGAAGCCATGCCATGGTAGGAACCGCCAGTCTTGGCTCTGTGATAGAGACCAGTGAGTGCGGCAACAGCAGCCATGCAACCTGTGCCGTAATCGGAAATAGGGAAGGGAGGGACCACTGGGGTGGACAGGCCCATAAATTGCCCTTGGGCCCATGCAACACCAGTCACCTAGAAAAGAGAAAGAAGAGTTAGTCGCTTGCCCAGAAGTCACCTTGTAAAAGCATTACTCACACAGTCTGCAATCTGCTGCCAGCCTGGCCGGCCAGCCCATTCTCCTTCATAGCCAAAGCAGTTCTCGTTCACGTAAACAATACCCTTGCCACGTTTCTCTGCCAAGAGGGCCATAGCGTCAGGTCCGTAACCGAGCTTCTCCAATGCACCGGGACGGTAACCATCAATAATGACGTCCGCGTCCGCAACAAGTACTTCGAATTGACGGCGTCCTTCCTCAGTCTTCAGGTCCAGATCCGCAGCGTGCTTGCCCATATTACCATCAACTTGGAAGAAGGGAACGTCGGAAAGATTGGGGCTAGTGATCTTTAGAATATCTGCGCCATATTCGGCCAAAATGCGCGTGACTGTTGGGCCCGCAATGATACGGCAGAGCTCCAAGACTTTGACTCCTTCAAGGACCCTTTTACTTCCACTGCGGCTAGCAGGGAAGGGAGTCGGGGGTAGGTCACTTCTGAGACGCTTCACCTTCCATGGGGGCTCCTGCACGTTAAGTTTGCCCTATGATCCGATTAGCTAAACGTTCCTGGAAAAGAACGCAGCCTTCGGCTGCGAAACGTACATGTGGAGTGTTGATAAAGTCTTCGTATTTGAAGGCCGTGACACCAGCCTGTCTCCTCTCCCTATTCATCTCCTCCAGCTCCGCAGCGCTGTATTTCTGCACATGGCTCTCGATGACCTTGATGACCTCCTCGTAATCCGTCAGGTCGGGCCGTTGGCCTTCCAGGCCAATCATGTTGAGGGTTGTGGTAGCCTCAAGCGAGCCATGAATATGAAAGAATTCACCCTCGTTCTTAGTTTTGTAGAGATTGGCGGACATCCGACGATAGCCATCGGATTGCGCCGCGAGCAGATCGGTGTCTGACAGATAATTTGGAAGCTGAGAACAGTGCGTGTGATCTCTTCAAATGCAATATCAACTCACCCTTGATCTTCGACTTGACGGCCAGGTCCAACTTGGAGAGTCCATCCACCTTGGCCATGTAAGCCTGGCATCCGAAAGCCGTCGCCTTTTCCAGATTGATCTTGACATTCCGATTCTGTTGCGATTCGCCATATCTCAGATCCGCAATTGCGCCTGCTACGGCGCCTTCGATACCCTTCAATGCGGCCAAAGTCTCTGTCTCCTTGAACGGAATCGGGTAGTAGATCTCGTCGTGGGAGGATGAAAACGACACAGCATCTTTGTGCTCCGCGATCTGGGGCGGCAGGCTGAGTCGTTCGGCTTGGTCACAGAGATACGAAAAGATTCGGCCTGCCTCTTGGACAGGTGAGTATCTCTTCCCGGTCTCTGTATGCGTCATGATCTCTTCGATTCGTACCCAAGCCAGGTGCAAAGCTCTGCGAAAGAGAGAAAAGGATGTGAGGGGTAAGCTGGGTACGCGCTGCAAGTGTTGTACGTTCTAATATAATGGCGTCTCTACAAAAGCAAAAGCAAGTTTCGAAAGGTCAATAGTCTTCAATATAAGGACTACATCCAGAACAATTTATTTCGGCAAAGACACGCGAGGTGGAAGATGATGCGGGAAGCATACTATGCGCATGTCCGGTTCAATTCCGAGATATCGCCCGTCGGGTGGACGCAAGTGATTCTGCACTGCAAACAATTTCAGTATAATCATGATTGGAAAGACTTATGGGACAACGAATCATGGCTGAGATTTGCGAGACGAAAATCTCCATCCGAAAGCAATGCGAGATGATGTTTTGATCGGATGTGAAGATTTTAGAGGCGATAAGATCGGAAGAGCCCTGATTATGTCAGCTGCGGATGGTGTCACGAGTTATTGACCTGGTCTACAGTGTATACGGATGTTGACTGGAACATCCAGGAGATGCCGGTCAGCGAAGTTATAGAGTATTCTCTTATTGCTGGAAGATAAGAGTTGAAGATACATAAAAATCAGTATAGGCATGAGAAAGGATTTTATGTTCCTTGCTAGTGGATATGCAGTCCTTGAACTCAAGAAGTGCAAACTCTATCGTTCAATGGCTCAGTGCTCCCGCCACATTGTTCGACACCTTAAGAATAGTGATAGTCTCTAGTGTTCAAGATGCGGTGACTCGAGTTGCAATAAATAGATATCAAAGATGATGGGTTTCATCTCAGTCACCTTCTTCGAGGGGCGCAAATGAAATCAGAATGCAGAATCGGTGAGAACTATTGATACTAGCATCTCAGTATGCATATCGGGTGTGTCATTTCAAACTGGTCCATCTGGCTTGTTCCGTATGTAATGAGAATACGCTTACAGGGAGCGTCCCTGAATACTTCCAGTTTCATACTCCGTACTCCCACTGAAGAAGTGAATACCTATATACTACAGTTACTACTGTCTACTAGATCTGAGTCTCCACAGTCAAGAAAAGATCTCACAATGTTGCGTCATCCCGTTGTTGATCTGCCAAGTATACTGAAATCAAACAATTTCCAAGACAATCCGAAATACTCCGTAGACTCGAGGGATATCCGCCGAGGTCCAGAGTATCTATCCTAGTCTTACTTTGTTAAGATAGGTATACGTAGGCAAAGTCGATGCATGTTAAACGTGATCATACCGAATGATTTCGATCTGATGGGATGGACTCAGCATGTCACTGCACTGTCAGAGTACTTTGATAATCATTTGAGTGGCATTGAACATTGATAATTGATTAGATAGACAGTCCCCACGTTCAACATGTATCCATCCCTCCACATCGCAACGGCATTGCTACTACGGGTAGAGTAGACATTCAATTCACTGCTCGCTTATTATTATTGAGAGCCTGGTTAGTGGTTAGGAATTAGTAAGGGCAACAGCCACCCTGACCAACAGGAAAAAGCCACTGTGAGCACAGACTTCTTTTTTTGGATTAAGTCGATGAATTTCCCTGGGCATCATCAGGGGGAGGTAGTCTAGTCCGTCAAGTGTCAACTTTGCATAATGCTTCCAGCAAGTTCGATGCATTTAAATGTACACTCTTGCACTGCTGACGTCCTGTGGGATCGACTGGTTGGCCTGATGAATGAAAGCAACCTCGCGAACAGTCACAACACTGGTTATTAGATAGATATCGATATAGATAGTTTATCTAGTATGAGTATCTACTGCTTGACCATTGCGGGGTTCAAGTTCAACCAGGACAATGCGCCGAATCCCAACCCCCACTGTCTGGACTCCGGAGTATCCACGGCACCCTCATTCCCAGATGCGCGACTTAAGGATAAATACCCTCCATTCATGGCATGATGGCACAAGCCTACGAGGACTACCTTACGCGACCATGACCCGCTGCTTATCCGGAAGCATACCTGATTAGGGTATTGGACTAGTTATTTGTGGGTTAATATTATTGTTAGACAGCGGATGTAGATGGAGCATGATATAATAGATAGAATATAGATATCTACCTGCAGTGGCGGACTCTGCTCCCGGCCAGAGACTCTAAGTGCAATACATTGGGAATGCATGATCACCAATGATCATGACATTCAGCACAATATACCTATAGGAGGGTGACAAGCGCAGCCAGTCATCAGCAGGAGAAATGCATGTGCTGAGTCGAAGATCCCACGTGCCCTAATCAAGGATGCTTATCGCCTCGTCTTGACTGCCTGACCACATCTGAGCCGTGGGGAGGATGGCAAGTGGCAACATTACGCCTGGTACTGTTAAGTGCAGACAGATGCACGGGCACGAGGCATCGTTCTTGATATGCCTGTCGATCCTTGAGAGGTACGGGACTGTACCTTTTTTTTTTTTTTTTTTTTTTCTGTTTTACTTCTCGCTCCCCATGGCCAGCCCCGCGGATCATACTACTACTTCCCAGCTGTGAGGGTTTACCGGTGTGTTTCCATGTAGTATTGTAGTCATCGGAGTACATCATCGTCGATGACATTGGAAGTTCCTTCCTTTTGCTGACTCTTACTGAAACTGTCCACCGAGTAGTACATGCAGGAATGAGGCCCGAGAAGGACTCCGTGCGGAGATACCAAGGTCCCTCTGACTTTGTACTATGTGGGAAGTCCCTTGGACTTCCTTGATTTACTACTTCCCTCTAAGTATATTGCTATGACGCCAATGTTTGCCTGCTTCAATACAGTTGATACAATCTGCATCTACCCCTTCCAAATCATATCTCGCTATCTTATTGTGATATTGGGAAATTGTGGGACAATAATCCAGCCCTAAAGTACATTGGGTACTATATAGGTACCAGCATATAACCAGATTCCCGCAGGCAGGTAAGGTATGGAAATTGATACTGTAAGTGTAATGATGCCGTAGCCCACAATGGCCCCGGAACCTCCCGGCGCTGTCACCGAAGCGGGCCCTAAGAGGTGACAGCCAATAACCAGGACCACGCGCCCCTATCATTGGCATGGGCCTGCTTTCATCCGTATGGATTCGTATGGATCCGTATGGAGACTGTATGGAGACCGTATGGGGCATTACCTCAGTTTCTACTTTCTAGGTTACTGCCCGCTTGTTGAAGGATTGTCGTGGATCACCCCCCCAAGGCAGATAGACAAGATACCACCGAGTATAACTATAGATAGACAGATGAATAGAATTAAAAACATGATTAATCCCTCACTTCATGAAGAACATCTTTCTTCAAATCGAGACTCCCAATCGTCATCTATTCGTCTAATAGTCCAAGGGTCTAATCGAACCTTTTTATTACATTATTTTTACCATAATACGCGACTCCTTTCCCCCGCGTGAGCTGACACTGTTGAACTCCCGGGTATGCTTCACTGCACCTGCTTATAGTTCTCCCTTCTGTCCCTTGTCACGCATACTTACCTACCTCTTATCCCCCTCTTCCTCTCTTTCTCTCTCTCTTCCTTATCTTTCATCTCTCCTTCATCCCAAGAGCAAGTCATCCCATCTCCGCTTGGTTAAGAATTCTTCCGTTGTCTGGACGGTCGCGTGTCTCCCAAATCCATTATCCGCGCGTCGTAATCGCATCTTATCTCCCTTACTTCCTCCTACTATACTCAGCCCCAGCTGGACTGCTGTGTCTGCATCTTCACTTTGAACTTCATATCACATCTGTCTTCTACTGTGACGTGAGTAATTTCCCCTTCCTGTTCCTCTCTTTGTCGTCTTTCTGTGTTTTTTTTTTTCGGTTCATTTCTGGCTTTATGGCACCCTATTTGCGACTTGCCCCTTTAGTCATCCCCTTTCCATTGTTCTCGTATCTGCGACGATCTATGGTTGGCGGCCTCCTGACTCATGTGATAAATAGAAGTCCATACTTGAGCATCCTCCTCCTTCTGTCAACAATCCCATCCTACAATCATGGCTCCTCAGACCGCTACATCCAGCATCGCCATGGCCTTGGCTGGCAAGACCGCCTCTGTTGATATTCCCAAGCCCCGTTCTGGCTTTTCCTCCGCTGGACGTGGCTCGCTTCGTCCAGGCCATCCTGCCATGCTGCCCACGCCCCCCAACTCCATTTCTCCGACTCTCCCTCCGCAGACTTTCAAGCAACGAGCGGTTGCCCTTCCAGGGTCTCCTCCGCTCGCCACATCGCATGAGGAGTCTGACCTTGACTTGGGCGATGCCATTGGTGGCCAGACCCAGTCGGCCATTGCGGCGCACGGCTTGGATACTGTCGGCGAGATTACACCGGGCATGCTGGCCAAGTATCACCTGCCAGAGATCATGCTCAACCAGGGTCCTCTGGCCATCCGTCATGTTATGGCGTACCTGACCACTTCGGTGCCCGGTTTCTCGCGCATCCCCCCTGCTAAGGCGCGTAGAATCGTCGTGGCAGCGCTCGAGGGGCGCGGAAACGACAGTGGCGGACAGGATGGCGATGTCATCTTCGAGAAAGTCGGATGGGGTCGCTGGGATGCGCGACGTCGTGGCGAGCCGTTGCGAAGCGCCTCGCATCTGGCTGTCTCGCCCCCTGCCAGCTTCTCGAATTCTTTCTCTCAACGAGGCATGATGATTCCGACGAGACGAGATTCTCACCCTTACGGAAGCAGCATGACTGGCGATTCTGCTGTGTTCTCGTATACGGAGCGGGAGTATGGCGGACATGGTGATCTCAGCATGCTGGAACACGAAGCAGACAAGATGTCCCTCGACGGGGAGGAGCGTGAATATTGTTCCTCCTCGGAGGCTCCTGATGATGAGATTCCGGATGGGGATTGGAATGAGGAAGACATCACCGACGAGGAAGACTGGGCACAGATAGGTGCCGCAGCACTCCGCGCGCGGTCTTTGAATGGGACCGGAGGCTTTGTGAATGGACCGTCGCCTCTCTTGCGAGGTGGCGGGCCTGCTCCTTCCTCGCTGGCGAAATCCGCACCACGGCACATCCCCATTCAACAGCTCGGGTTTTCTGTGCCTGATGGTATGGTCGGCGATAGAGAGGAACGTGCCGCAGTCGAAGCATTGTTACGACTTGGATCTCGATGATATTTTCTATTTTTTATGTTTATTTTTTGGGTCGGCGTTGGCGAGAGGCACGGTTTCGATCACCGATTTACACAACGATTGATTTCATTTCAACGATCAAGAGGCGGGACGGATGGTCTCCAAACATACCTCTCTATCCTTTTTACGATTCATCACGATATACATTTTTTCCAAGGGAGAAATGCCACATACTTCAACACGGCATCCTTGGGTCGACTGGTTCGACCGAATGGCCCTCAATGCATTGGGACTGGAAGCATATGGGACAGGTTATGGAGTTTCTTTCTTCTTTCGGTGGCTGGATGAACTTTATGATATTTACCCCTTGTTGATACCATGCCTGAGCATAGCCTGCTCAGCTGCTGTCTTTGCAATTCTTCGACTGGGTCTCGCGGTTTTATTTTTGATGCTGTCGCCCATTTTCTTATTCGCTTGCATGTGCCTGGTGCAGGATGGACATTCCATTCCTCATTCTCCACTCTAATCTCCTATTTTGTTCTGATCCAGTTTGACACTGCGTACTTGTTCCTGGTGGACTGAACTTACAGATAGTTCAACAGTATATTTATATAGATAGTATGTTTAGCATACAAAGAAACAATAAAAATTGCCTCTGGCAAGACCTAATGATGACACTGTCCTGCCGATGTGTTTATATATTCTTCAAAGTTATTTATTCAACACTGCTTCTTGTTCAACATTTATCTATAATAATTCCAGCGTATATCCTTATTTATCCAAAACCTAGCATATCATGAACAAAGTATTAATACATCCTCCGTTGTACCCATACCCCATATTAATCCAAGCATACAAATACAACCAAAACGCCATCCATCCATCCATCCATCCATCCAATCCACGCCCATTACTTCTCACTCCTCATCCTCATCGATCATGCGCCTCATTAATCCTCCTCCACACCTCCGCCTCCACCTCCGCCAACTTATTCCCCGCCGTAGCCACCCACCCCCTCGCACTCTCCATCCACCCGCCCATCCCACCTCCATCTCCACTTCCACTTCCACCCCCATCAAGCCCCTGGTCATTGTACAGCGGCAGCTGCGCCGACCCAGCGCCGCCCGCCCCAGCAGGAGGCTGGTAGACAGAGCCGTAGGGAGTGGTCGTGGAGTTCGGCGGCGCATGTGTCCCCGCTGGGGGAATTGAGGCGGGATACGCATATGCATGCCCTGAGGGCTGAGCTGGTGCTCGCGTTTGCAGCTGAGCCTGTTGGTGATTGTGGGGCACAGGGACGGCGCCTGCCCTCGGAGCCGCAGGGTGCTGCTCCACCCCCGTGGCCATGGCAGTCGCAGCCCGCGCCGCGTGGGGTGCTGGCTGGGGTCGTGCGCCGGGCTGGGGTGGTGGCGGCGAGGTGCTGGTGCTGGTGCTTGTGGCGGGGGTGTTGATGGGCTGTGTTGGGGTTGGGAGGGGAGAGGTATCGCTTGATGACGGGATGGGTGCTGCGGTTGGCGCGGGTATGGATGGGACGCTGCCGGGCTGGGCTTGCGCGGTTGTGTGAACTGGAGAGGACGAGGGTGCTGTTGCGGTGGCTGCTGTGGAGGCGGGTTCGGATTGCGCTGGTTCGTTCTGCTTGGAGGGTGTCGGTGCGCTTGATGTGGATGGCTCGGGGCCGTCTGGAAGTGCGGTCGTAGTCATGATGCGGACTATGTGAAGAGCCCTATAGAGGTTGATATTACTGCAGTGGAAGGGGTTGGTTATAATTCTGAGCAAGGGAATCTCTATGAAAGGGATTGGAGTCGCCGACGTCATTTGAGTGATTTATGATCACGTGATATTATGGCATGTGACGGGTTAGGTAGACCGGAGGGAGGAAGTTCGGTTCCCTTACGAGCCTTGAATACGTACGAGACACGGCGAACTAAGTCCCCAAAACAAAGCAGGCGGGTTTTTTGGACCAGAAGGAAGTACAGATTGAGAGAAAAATAAAAAAAAGCTTGCAGGCAGTAAAGTACAACGGGTACAAGAGGGAAATATCACACTGCTCTATGCTCAAGATTTCCCAACACCCTTCTTGAAGCATATTTTCTATAAGTCATCCACAGCATCCAGTTTCAGGCAGTTACACCTGGCACCGACCAACCCCTTCCCCAGAGATTCTGCATCGACGGAAACGATTTGAAGTAAATCAATCGCTTAGCCAGAGCCACCCTTGAACTTCTTGCCGAAGAGGATGAGCTGAACCTGGTCGTAGATGGACAGCACACCAGCACCAGCAACACCACGGAGGATGTTAGCGCCAGCACCCTTGAAGAGAGACTTGACACCCTCACGGGCAATGATCTGGCGGGCGGCATCCATGGAAGACTTGTACTTGACGGCCTGCAAAGAGTAAGTTAGATATCGTGATGTTGCTGAAAACGGAATTCAGGAGATACATACCTCACCGGAGGTCATCATCATACGACGACGGATGGTGTCAAGAGGGTAAGAAGCAATACCAGCACCAGTGGTGACAGTCCAGCCGAGCAGGAAAGAAGCGAGGAAGCTGCCCTCAAGAGAGCCAACCAGGACAACGGGCTTGATGGAATCGTACATGCCGAAGTACAGACCACGGTAGACAACAATACCAAGAACGGAGGGACCGAAACCACGGTAGAGACCGGCAATACCGTCGGAGGCGAGGGTCTTACGGTAGACATCAACGAGACCGTTGAACTGGCGCTCACCAGTGCCCTTGGCGGACTTGGCGTCGTTGGCAAGACGGGTACGGGCGTAGTCGAGGGAGTAGACGAAGAGGAGGGAAGTGGCACCAGCAGCCTGCAATCAGTTCATCAGCCCGAGTCCTTACCGGAGACATGTTTGTTCTGGGGAATACATACACCACCGGAGGCAAGGTTACCCATCATCCACTTGGCGTATCCATCACGCTCCTTCTTGTAGGCGAACATAGCCTTGTAGGTGTCACGGAAGGCGAAGTTCAGAGCCTGGGTGGGGAAGTAACGGATGACGTTGGCGGTGTTACCTCTCCACAGAGACATAACACCCTCAGCGGCAGCGGTACGACGGAAGCAGTCGACGATGCCGTTGTACTTGCGGTCGAGACGGCCAGCACGGATCATCTCATCCTGTAGTTGATGACATTAGTCGTTGTTCCGAATTGGGTTCGATATGATCCGATCGGCCGGCTTCTGCGAAGTGGAGATTTTGCGAGCAGGTCCACGCGTCTGGGCCCTTAGCGACAGGAAAAGAGGATACACGACATCGCAAAATCTCTGCTTCACTCGAATGGCTGATCGAAAACTGGTCGCGAGGGGACTGTCGCTCAATTGAGAGCCTTGCGGAGTTTACCAACCTGGTTCTGGACAAGGAGCTTGATACGCTCGATAGGGGCAGCAGCAGTCTTGGAGACGGCAGCGGAGACACCACCCACTGGGAGTTCGTCAGTATGAGTTCATCAATAAAACGAGGGTCCAACCCAATTCCCAACGCTAGGAATTGATATTTGTTGACGATTGGACGAGGTTTGTTGATGATTTGGGATGAAACATACTCATGAAGTCAACCACGAATCCCTGTGAAAATTCTGTCAGCAAGCCATTCCGACTGTTGAGCAGCGGCGTCACGCCAGCAGAATCGAATTGAAGATGTTAAAACGAGGGCGATGGATATCAAGATTCCCGATCTCAAGTTCCCCCAACATCTTCCTCATTTCATCAAACTCCAAGATTCGATTCTCACCGCATATTGCCAAAACAGGGTTGGAAGAACAACTTACGGGCATGCCGAAGACCGACTTGTCGCCCTGAGAGGCCATGATGACGGCTGTGAAGGACGATAACTAAGAAAAACACAAAAAAAGAGGGGAGATGGGTTGATAGTGTCAAGAAAGACCGGACACTTCAAAGGGGATGAAAGAGAAAAAAAAAAAAGAGAAGAAGGGAAGGGGAAGAGAAGGAAGAAAAATAGCGAGCGAAGGGCTCTTGTAAGCGGGAGGAAGCGAGTGGAGCCGCTAAGACGGTCTAGGAAAACTCTGGCTTGCTGGCCTCAGGAGTCCAAACTCCAAACAGTTTTTCGCAGCAAGTTTGGTGTTTCTTGCTTGCCTTCTCTGCTCTTTCTGCCAGGCGGTACGAAGGGCCAAGGGAGAAAAATTTTCATTTTGGAAAAAAACACCTCAAAAAAAGAAAAAAAAAAAAAAACCCAAGGAGAAAAATTTGGATCCGGCGCTAACGCCGGCCCAGGCAACGACAGCCGATATCTCCCGATCGAGAGTAACGACGACGTTGCTTCATAACAACCGCAATTTCAATACAGCATGCAAACATAGGTGTTTAATTCCATCGACAATTCTTTTCGGATTCCTCATCGTTGGTAGATATTTAGTCTAAATATAACTCAGATATAATACCATCAATCCTATTCACTTACCGGTCATAACAGACATCATTGGTCTCCATATTCTATTCTTTATGGCAGGTGTGTGGATGCTTGGATTCCCCGTGACTGAGCCAGCCGTGACCAGGAGAGCCTCCGCCCACAGAGAAGAACAGCATCCACACGGGGAAACGCATGAACTTAGTTTTTCCAGTCGATAATATCTATCTCTCTTAGTCTTCGATAGTTAGTTCTCGCCCTGGTCCCGAGTATCCGATGGCAAATCTTAGCCACCCAAACAATAATAATATGCAATCGATGGGTAGAAACATGGAGTAGCCGAGTCACAACTCCGTCAAGATCAACCACTGCTAATAATTGACTTAGGCACATAAAAGATAGTGTCCTTGTAGTAGCCGTTACAGGATCTCTAAATAATATCCAAATCATCAGAACTCTTCTCTTCAAGCAGTGCTGGTTGATCTCTGATATCCGTTTCATGAGGAAATTTCTGCCGCGGTCCGTATGCGTTACAACCGGTTTGGTAATATTTTTCCTAGATACATCTCGGGAGGTCAAAGGTACCTAGGTATCACGTCCGACTCCCATCTCGATCTTTTCATCAACTGTTCATTTGGAGTTGATCTAAACTTCCAGATATCTACTGCTTAGCTGAATCTGGGGGCCCTGACATAGTCAATTGTTTCTCATGCCGATTTTTTCCACATCCCGGTTGATGGGAGTCCCTCCGGTCGGCGTTGAAACAGAGTGTAGTAAAGAGACCCACATAACATGGGGGAACAAGGTAATCTGCATAACCAAACCCTGTTGTATCAAATAGTTACTGGGCCAGTATCTGTCTTCTTGATAGCATACTGAATTTCTTCGAGGTGAAGCATGGTGCCGCCTGGTCAGGCCGCTTGATGGAAAAGACCATGGAATACAGACAGAAGGTCGGTACACTACAGATGAGAAACCATATATAAACAAAGCCACCGTACTGGCAGATGCGTGTGGTATTTTCAAGACAGATATCAACTCGGACAGAATACTACCATTAGTGCTTCTTAGACCTCTTTCTCTTCTTCCGCTTAGGCTCTCCTTCCCGAATGTCAACCTTGCCATCGCCAGCATCAGCCTGCTCGGCGTCAGCGGCAGGCTTCTCTCCACCGAACTTGAAGACGGGCCCTTCCTCATCTCCGAAGATATCTTGGCGCCATTGCCTCAAACGAGCCTTCTTGCCCAATTTCTTCTGGTCACGGCGCTTCTTCTCAGGGTCCCGGAAAGAAGCCAGCTTCTTCAGACCGGCAAACTGGTTCAGCGCTGCATCATCTGCCATGAGAATGTCTCGTGCTGTCAGCCCAAAGCTTTCAGGTGAGGTCTCGCGGTAGCGGAAGCGCGTCGTGTTCTTCTTCGTGGCGCCAGGGAGAAGAGCAATATCGAGATCCAAGTTGCGGTCGAGCGCCTCCTCAATCCGGAGTCGCTCCTTGCGAGCTTCCCGCTTCTGGTCTCGTCTTTCCTGAGCTTTGCTCTTCTTGTTTGTGCTCTCCTCGTCATCATCGTCGCCTCCGTCCTGCATTTCGACATCGGACTCCTCCAATGTCGGCTTTACCGTTTCCTCGTCCTCGAAATCCGGTACCAAGTCTTTAATGTCAATATCATCGTCCCAGGTAGGCTTCTTTGGACGCTTCTTCTTGCCCTTGCTCTCACCATCGCTACCGGCGCCATCATCCTCTGCATAGTAGTCCTCGCCGAAGCGCTTCTGCATTTCCTTTTCCCACTTGTCGTCCTCCCAAGCATCGTCCAGGAAGTGAGCCCAATCCTCATCTGTGAAATGAGATGCGCGAAAGCCAGCGACTTCCTTAATCTTGTTGACCTTCTCCTGGAGCTCCTCCATCTTGAGTTTGCGCAGGCGGCTCTTCTCAGCATCGCGCTGCTTCTTCTCCTCTGCCTTGCGCATACCCTCAGCCTCGCGAAGCTTCTTCCTGGTACTCTTTTCCTCCCTTCGGACCGATTGTTGGTTGGTCATATCACGAGCGTGTGTGATCAAAGCCGCGTTCATCTTGCTAGGGTCCTCGAAGCGGAAGTTATATGCCTCCTCGAAAGCTTCGGCACGCTCCTCCTCCTCCTCATCCTCAGACTCAAACGGCTGCAGATCAGATCGACCAGCGGGGATCCAAGCCTTGGAAGACATAAAGTTCGAGAGGAAAGTTTCAGGATCTTTGTCCGCGTTTTCGACGTCTAACTTGATTTCCTCCTTTGGTTCCGGGGCCCGCTTAGTAGTTGACTTCGGAATGAGGAATCCTCCATCTTCGTTATCCTCATCCGCAACCGAGTCCTCGTCTTCAGCAGCGGCGTGCATCTCCTTGACGATTGCACTCTTCAGGTCCTCCTGTTCTTGGGCGTAGGTCTTGGGGGTTTCGGCTGCATCGTCCTCCGCCAGATTAGCGCCACTCAGAAGATTTTCACGGTGATAATCCCGCAGTGTCATGGGCTTATCCTTTTTCTCCAAGCTCGGCGCTTTGGGCTCTTCTTCTTCTTCTTCGAGGGCAGTGTAGAATTTCACATCTTTGTTGTATACACGTGGGTCTTTTGATCGAATTGCGTTAAGTGTTGCCATGATCTCCTGGTCAACAGCCTCTGTAATCAGTTCTCCATCCTCATCTTCCTCTTCATCGGACGACGAGTCTTCCGAACCGTCCGACTCATCTTCGTCGCGGTCACGGCGTTTCCCAAGCGCAGAAGTTTTCCCTAATTTCGATTCCACTAAGATGGCCAGCATCGTTAGTAACCTGCAGTGATAATTGCAAGCAGCGAATACATACGTTTCTGTAGTTCTTCCCGCTTCTTGTTGTGTTCAAAGCGTCGCGCATACTCTTCGTTGATCTTGAATCCAGGTTCCGACTGATCGGTGATGGGAACTCCGCCAGATTCGTCTCCTGAATCGCTGGAGCTATCATCATCAAGGAGCTTGCGCGGTTTCTTAGCTGGGGGCTCCATTTTCGCTACAGCCAAACGAGAAGCAGAATCAAGGATTAGTTCTGTGAAACCCGCCCAATTTGCGAAATTGCTCCTCAAGAAAAAAGGTTGGATTTAGTGGCAGAAAAAGAAAAAAATATTCCTCCGGCGCTCACCGCCCGCGATCCGCCCATCAGTTGCCTGAGGATACAGGCCGCAACAACGGAGCACTGACGTAGCCAATTAGATCATGGGCGGACTGTTTGACCCCGAATGGCTTGAAGAGAGCGTTCCAAAGTCCTTCTCTCATCATGACCGTTGCTCGCAGTCACCTATCTACCAATCGATTTTAAATGGCGCGTTGACCTCTCATTTCGGGTAATTCGAGGTCTTGTTGCTTGTGTCATCTCGCACCTTCCCCCTATCTGCATCAAATGTATGGCTGGAGATATTCACTAGATGTCGACTCAGCCGCAGAACCCATTGCCCCTGGTCGGGAAGCTCATTAGTGTGGTGTAAGCTTTTTGAATGTGTCTTCGCAATCGCAGACGAGATGCTGACTTGGCTCTGTCGATACAGCCCGGTGGGATTGAAAGAGGCTGCTCTCGACTCCCCGACCTTCCGTGCAACTACGCTTCATTTCTCTGATCAGATTGAATACGTCGAAAAATGGCTGGATGGCTATGCAAAGGCCGCGTCAAAGCTTGTCGCAGAGCTTGCGGCTATAGATACCGTCGTGAACACATTCCTGGCATATTCGTCGAACCCTCTCGCTGTTTCCGAAGCCGTGCTCGACCATGATTATACTCTACAGGCGATGAGCCGATATGGGGAGAGCGCGAGGGACCTGTGGAATGGGATGACTGCGACCACGAAGAAAATAGAGTCGCTTGTTGCGGAGCCTATCAGGACCTTCATACACGAGGATCTACGGAATTTCAAGGTACACGCGCTGTCTGCCCCTGTCAAAACGTATGGGAGGTGCAATATCTTACCCCACTAATAGGAGACTCGACGAGCCCTCGAACTCGCGCAAAAACAATACGACTACCTGTTGTCGAAATTCTCCTCGCAATCCAAGTCGAAAGAGCCTTCGTCCCTTCGAGAAGATGCCTTTCAGCTTCACGAAGCCCGCAAAGCGTATCTCAAAGCATCAATGGATTTCTCAGTGCAAGCCCCCCAAATACGAAACTCCCTCGATCGATTGCTCGTTCGGGTCTCGTCCGACCAGTGGAGGGAATTCAAGGCTCTCCATCATAACAACGGCGCATCCTTCGCTAAGTGGGGCCAGGAAATGGATCGCATAAAGGGGTGGATTCATGAAATGGAGGGCAGTGAAAGGTTCTCAAAGCGAGAACTTCTCTCTGCCAGGAAACAGATTGAAGAAGCAGCGGAGCTGGCTGCACGACCTTCTCGGGAGCTGGAAGACTATTCAATATCCACCGTTCCCTATCTAGGCTCACGGCCTCTATCAACCCTCAATATGACAAAGGAGCCCCGCCCAGAGAAACAAGGATGGGTGTATCTGCGAACATTGTCAGCCAAACCAACCCGTACTGTTTGGGTAAGACGCTGGGCTTTCCTGAAAAATGGTATCTTTGGCTGCCTCGTGCAGGGTTCCAGGACTGGTGGTGTTGAAGAAAGCGAGAGAATAGGTGTGCTGCTGTGCAGTATACGGCCAGCTTTCCAAGAAGAGCGCCGATTCTGCTTCGAAGTCAAGACCAAGAGCAATACTATACTGCTTCAGGCGGAGACGCAGAAGGAGTTGATGGAATGGATTGCCGCATTCGAGGCAGCCAAACGTAAAGCGCTGGAGAACCCGACGAGTACTGATATTTCGGTTTCCGGGAAAGTGACCGTTCAAGATCCAGCCTTTGCGATCTCTCAGCCTCCAGCCCCCGAATTTGCCGCAGATCCAGCTGACTCTCTCACACCACACGCAAATGATGAACAGGCATCATCGGATCGCAGCGGAATCCTAGCTCTTCCGGAGCGGGACCCATCTGTCTTCCGCAATAGCAGCGATCTCGGCAGCCCTCGCCGGATGACTGCATTGGATTCCGAGAGTTCCGCGCGAGATCATACATCCCGAATTATTCAAAAATTAGATCTCCACCGCAAGTCCAACAATGCAGTCCCGCCCTCGGTGTCTCTACCGGGGGGTGGTGGCGGTATAGCGGGTTTGCTGTCCTCCGGCCATAGTGTCCTTTGTCACCACAACAATCCCTCAACAGGTGGATTAGAAGGCGACGTGAACAGAGGCCGTAGCTTGACGAATAACAGCCTTCCCCCTACAACACTTGCGCCGCCGACATTAGCGAACCCACCTGCTCCCACAAGCATGAGCAAGGCGGCCGTGATTGTAAGTAATGAACGGGGTATTGGTTTAGGACAAGCCGACAAGACGGGCGGGATGCCCAGTGGCATGATGGCGAATCTGTGGGGAAGTTCCAACTGGGGCTTCATGAACCGGCTAGAACACGAACACGAAGCCCAGGCCGCAGATACAGCTCATGAAACCACCCCCGTACAACTCACATCATCTCCAATAAGTGATTCGTCGAAACACCAACAGCCAAATGGTGCGGACGCGGTCAATGGCTCTACAGCAACCAAACCGGTATCTGGGCCTCGCCATAGGCAGACTGTCAGTCTTGATGGAGATGCATCCAAGGTACAGAGGGCGATCCTTGGTATCTCGCACGACTATCCCAGTTACTATCCTCAGCAACTCAAGCAACAAGATGCACAGTTTCGTCTGCTTTTCCCTGATGTCAAGAGAGAAGAGCCTCTGGTTATGGTCTTCCGTGCCACGTGGAATCCGAACGACCAGCAAGAGTTTCCAGGAAGGGCTTATGTCACGACCAGGAGCATTTACTTCTATAGTCACTACTTCGGATTGGTATTGACGACGGGAGTCTCGCTAGAGAGCATTAAGGAGGTCACAGCTGCCTCCGGTAGAGACTGTGACTTTTTGTTCCTACATACTATCCCTCCCATTGGTGGTGATACTCCTGGGCGGGTCACGGTGAAGACGTTCCTCGAGCCTTTGAGACTTCTTCAAAGACGACTCAATTTCTTGATTCATGACTCAACGGCGGTTGAGCCTTTGGGCTTGGAAGCGATCTTCAAAGCTCTGATCAAGATGGAGACAGATACAAGGACGCGTAGTCCTAGCATGAATAGCTGGGAAGATGTGGCTGCCTTGGATGATAATAATGGCGACGGGGAGGACCATGTTGATACAGCGCTGCGGAAAGATATCAGACCCCCAATCTACATCGACAATGATCTTGATTTGCATTCGAAGAATGGCGGTCATGGCAAGCATACGACAAGATTCCGTTTGCCAACACAACCTGTCCAATATGTTCCTCAGGGCAATCTCCATCTTGCAGCGGAAAAGATATTCGATATCAGCCCGAAAGCTATCTTCCATATTCTTTTCGGAGACAAGAGTGCCGTGTGGCAGCTTCTTCTACATGAAAGAAGATCCAAGGGTAGGCCTCACATGAACTCTTCTAGGGCTCGAGCTAATTATGTCGAAGATATCAAGCAAGGACCATGGATTAGGAACGAATCTCGTCACTTGAGACGCGACTTTGAATATCATATCGAGACGACGGATTTGCTTGGTATGCAAGCTTTGTTGTCGCTTGCCAGCCTACGCATATCACTAACATATCATCTCACTAGGACGTACCCAAGACAAGACGATTTCCGATTATCAAATGATCGATGTTCTCAACGACCATCTATGCTATGTGGTGACGGATAAGCGAACCCCATGGCATCTTCCTTTCAAGCGCTCGTTCAGGTTGGTCAGCAAAATCGTGATTACATTCGTCGCCAAGGGAAAGAGCAAGCTCGCTGTCTATACGAAAGTGGAGTGGCTGTCCTCGCCTTACGGCCTTCAGAGTAAGTAATCTGTTGACACCGTGGGACCTTCTAGCACCCAGTCGCTCACCTATTCCCAGAGATCATCGATAAGCAAGCAACAGGGGACCTGGAGCAAGATTCCCTAGACCTAGTTGATCTGGTCAGCGACCAGGTACGCAAACTGGGCGCCCACAGTCGGACTAAGAAAGCCATCACGATATTCGGTCACGTCGGAAGGCAGCATCATGCATCTCAGTTGTCGCGCAACGAATCAGTCCTGAAACTCGAACCTCGCAAGCCTCGACATCAGAGGACTTTGACTCAACTCTTGCTTGAGACGCTCCTATCCTTCATTGAGAGCGCTGTTTCATCCGTGATGATGTGGACTTTTGGTCTCCTACGCTGGGCCTGGAAAACCACAAACGCCAACATGGTGATTATTGCGCTCCTTATCGGCAGCGCCATAGTCAATGGACTCTTTACTTCGCGGTACACTTACGACTGGTGGCATGAGAGGAACGCTGGGAACTTCATGGCTCGTCTCGGGGTACACCCCGATCATGTGATGAGCAAAGCGATTTATTTGAGCGATATTGATGAGGTGATTGCCAACTCGACTGTGGGTCAAGCCAGCAACAATATGAGCAATTGTTTCTCTACTTTTTACCAACAAACGGTGCGTGACCCGGGCACAGGCCTGTCATTTGGTGCCCCGGGTCCGCGAGACTCAGTGACAAAGAGCGCAGCCAGGCGGATACAGCAGACCCGCGAACGACTTGCGGAGTATCGGCACAATTTGCTGGTGGCACTTCGCGTGGTGAACAGTATCGAGAGGGAGGTAATCCAAGGTGAATGGGAGCGTTGGCTTCGGCAGGAACTGCGACGCTGCCACCAAGTCGAGGTTCTCCTTGGAAAGGGTGACAAGGATGCTGAAACCGACGAGCATGCGGGCCAGGCTGGCCAGACTGTCTTTGCTGAGCTTGCGGATGATGTCGAGCAGTGGTACGACAAGTACTGTACCAGTTGCCAGATTGAACAGAAGCAGCTTGACGAGACTGGTCGTATATATGGTATTTAGGAAGCACATAGGGGGCCGTTTGTTCGTTTTCTTTACTCTTGACGGTGTGATAGTTTTTGAACGATACCCGGTTGTGATTGACCAGCTTATTGCTAAACTGTTGTCTTGCCGACTGCGTCGATTGGGCTGTTTTCGGGCAATTGTCGCTCTCCACTTTCCCAGTGTATATAATTTCTTGGTCACTTGCGTTGAAGCGAATTCGACGGGTTTGTCTCAAGCTCGTGTCTGTCTGCCTCAGTCCAACTTGGGAGCATGGCCTCAAGCCAATGACCTGGTCATGGAGAAGCGGTGGCGTAGACAACTTTCCACTGTATCGCAGCCATTGCACTAATTCTGCCTTGGCTTGACAGCACCCTCCTGAACGACATAGTACACCACAGTACCATCACCACCCATCCCGCGATCGACCATAGCGAGGAGGAGTCGTTTCCCGCCCCACTCTTTCGAGAGTCGGGCCACTCTCCGGTACTCGTAGTACGCAGTCAGCTTGGCCACCTTCTCAGCATTATTCCCAGACTCGTCGGCATTGGCATCATCTAATGACTGAGCGTGCGCCTCATCACCGTCCTCCGGAAGCGCATCGAAAACGGCGGCCATCTTGCGCAAACTCCATGACTGGCCGTGTGCAGTGGGGACCACATACATGCGCTCCAATTCGATGTCATCGTCGCGGAGGCCGCGCTCAAGCATGAACAGCTGCTCGTCGGGATGGGTGTAGACTCGGTGCGGGGGGATGCCGGAAATTAGGAACGGGGGTGTGGTAGCTTGCTGTTCGGCGGAGGCCGAAGATGGAAAGTCGGAGATGGGTGAGCTAGGTTTCGGCAGTTCGTGGATCTGGAGGGATGTCCAGAGGTGCTGGTGCTGGAGGTTGTGGAGGACTTGGACTGCGGTTGCAGAGTGAGGATCTGAGGCCGCGGAGGTGGACGCCAGGAGGGCTGTGAGTGCAGAAGACTCAGGCGCCTGGGGCGATGACCTGATGACAGCAGGCATATTTAATCGCTGAGGACTGAATGTTCTCAAAGGTTGTTGTTTGAAGGAATAGGCATTGATGCTGATCGAAGCTCTTATCTTTTGGCGGGGAGGAAAAATCTAGGGCGATCGCGCCGAAATTCCGCAGAAGCGCGTTTCTGGCTTAAAAAGAAGAACACATGGCATCATCATCATCAATCAATCTGTGTTTCGAACTAAGACGCTGATCTGTCCTCCTTCTTATTTTTTTTTCCCTCTCCGGGTCTGTTGAGTTGTCCTATGTCCTCGCGCTTGTTCAATCTCATGCTCTGCTTTTGATTCTGGCATAGACCTTGTAGATCGCGTTGTTCTGTCCTTTTGTCAATTCATTCCGTCACTTTGTATGCAACATCGTCTGCTTGCACCAATGGCGCGCCAAAAACAGGCAGTGCCTCTCCAACGGACCACTTCGTCTGAGCTGATGCATTTACAATCTGGAGAATCCGAATCGAAAACTAGGCAAGAGAATGGCAACGCTCACAAGTCTGTCGTTACAACTGGATCTGCTTCTGCGAAGAAGCCAATGCTCGAAGTTCCCCTGGAGACTCCAGGGTTGACGCAACTCGCAATCTGCGTCCTTGGAATTTATGCATCGTTGTATGTGTTATATCCCGGCGCATGAATTAGGACTTTTGAATAGGTGACTGACGAAATCTGTAGCCTATCGTGGGGTGTCTTGCAAGAAGCGATCACCACTGTCAAGTATCCCGTCCGTCCTCCCAGCGCTGCGGAACCAGAACCACCAACAGAACGTTTTACCTTCTCGATCGTCCTGAATACCATCCAGTCCACCTTTGCAGCGATCACCGGGTTTCTCTACCTCTACTTCTCCACTCCTGCGGGCAAGAAAGTCCCCTCCATCTTCCCGACTCGCAAGATCCTCTTCCCCCTGCTTCTGGTCAGCATCTCCTCGTCCCTGGCATCGCCCTTCGGATACGCCAGTCTCGCGCATATTGATTATTTGACCTTCATTCTGGCCAAATCATGCAAGCTTCTGCCTGTCATGTTCCTCCATTTGACCATCTTTCGGAAAAGGTATCCGTTGTATAAGTATGGTGTGGTCTTGCTGGTCACCTTGGGAGTCGCAACCTTTACCCTCCACCATCCTGGAACGAGCAAAAAGGTAGCCGCCTCGGCAGCAAAGAACCAGTCGGGCTCCTCTATGTACGGAATCTTTTTGCTCTCCATCAACCTCCTCCTGGACGGCCTCACAAATACAACCCAAGACCATGTCTTCAGCTCCCCGCAGATCTACACGCGCTTCACCGGCCCACAGATGATGGTCGCCCAGAACGTCCTCTCGACTATCCTGACTACCTCCTATCTCCTGGTCATGCCCCATCTGTCCTCTACTGGTCTGCTGCATGCAATTCTCCCCATTCCCATTCCACCCTCTACCGACACGGAGCTGGCATCCGCCATCTCCTTCCTGTCACGACACCCAGAGACCCTGAAGAACGTCCTTGGATTTGCTGCGTGCGGCGCTGTGGGTCAGCTCTTCATTTTCTACACGCTTTCCCGCTTCTCGTCGCTGCTTCTGGTGACCGTGACGGTCACACGCAAGATGCTCACTATGCTCTTGAGCGTGTTCTGGTTCGGACACTCTCTGTCCGCCGGCCAGTGGCTCGGCATCAGCCTTGTCTTTGGCGGCATCGGTGCTGAGGCGGCCGTCCAGAGACAGGAAAAGAAAGCCAAGGAGCGGGCGAAGGCGTTGGCCGGCAAGAAGGAATAAATTTTGAGGGGAGCTGTTGATCCGCTTCGCCGTTCATTGTACATATACACATTATATTAGATCTTCGTCTCAACCAAATAGAGATCTGCGCTAGGAGCTTTCCATAGATGATTTCACGGCATTTCTTCGGTCACATAAGCATTTAGACGACCCAGACCCCGTAACACTACTTCCTCCCCTCAACCATGATGATATGATATCCAAACCCGGTCTTCACCTCCACATACTTAGGGCTCGCCGTCGTGCTGGGCTCAAGGTCATACGCCGCCTTTTCAAAGTCACCATTGAGACTCCCACGGACTTTCCAGCCAAGCGAGCCGCCTACAGCTTGTCAGCAAGTTGCGCGCACGAAAAAAAATCAGAGAGGACAGCATACCTTGTCTGGCTTTATCCTCGGAAAACTCCCTGGCCACCTCGTCGAATTTGGCCCCGTTGCGCAGTTTCTCGAGCGCTTCTTCCTTTTTGGAGAATTTCTCGCACTAAGGGTGGTGAATTAGCTTCAACTTGCGATATCTCGAAGGAAGTTGGTACGAGGGTGTGGTTTGCGTCGCGTAGCGGATACATATAAATATATGTATATATCGCACACTGATACACATAGATGACGATGACGATGACGATGACGACGATGATGATGCTTTTGTTCTTACGGAGTTGAGTACATACAAGAATATGTCTGACATTAATCGAAGTAGCGGGCTTCAACCCCTTTCCCCCCTTCCCCGAGTCGCCTGCTTCCTTCGCCTTGCCTTTCTTGTCGCCGCCTTTGGCGTTGTTCTTGGGTGCCATGCTGGGGGCGTGGTGTTTGATATGTTGACGGAGCAGGAAAGATAATCGGTGAGGAGTGGCCAGTCAGACTTGTCAGAAACTCTAAGCAACAGGGAAAATAGATCTAGATGAAACTGGACGGCTAGCGATTAGCGATTTATGTCTGGAGATGTGTCTTCAAGGGAGGAAGATCTCTGATAGGACTTTCAAGCTTCAGAGATCTAAGAATGATGCTGGAGTTGGTGGGGGGTGGGTGTGGTGGGGTGGCCTAAGGCAGACATTGCTTTGGACTACGGGAGAGGCGCAGACATGCTAAGGTACGGAGTACTCGGTCACCTTTTCAGGACAGGACAACAGAGCACTCCTAGGTTGTGATCTGAGCAGGCTTAGATTTGGAACTGTGAGTTGCAGGTTAAATTGCTTTTGTTTTCCTTTAAATGCCCCGATTTATCTGGGGACGGGCTTGGGCCATTCGCATCCGAATCCGACGCTCTGTGTTGTTGGACATCATCCCCTTTGAAGTCATTGAACCGACGCTACTATACAGCTTCGAAGGTGGAAGTACTGTAGAAAACCTCCCAACAATGGAGTTCAATCTTGAGGCAGCCCGAATCACTTCCTTGCCTGAAGATGCATTTTATATTGCAGACTTCATTACCGAAGATGAGGAGGAGTTGTTATTGCACAAGGTATGACACTGGCACTAAGATAGCCTGTGTAGCCCAACGGAGCTACCCTTCACCACATATCACGGTGGCATGGTCTTTCGAAACAAGATGGTCGGATGTGATATGTCAAAGTCACTGATATTCAATATCTGCAAGACGCAGTGTCCCACTCCCATCATGTACGAGACAACGCTAACTCCACAAGATAACCACCGCCCCTCTTCCTCGGTGGACACAGCTCTCCCATCGGCGTTTGCAGACATGGCCCTCCGCTCTGACTAAATCGAACACACTCATCGCCTCTCCCTTGCCTTCATGGCTTGTCTCACCCATCATCGCGCCTCGATTCGATTCACTTGGTATCTTTACTGATGCGCCGCATGGTTCTCCCAACCATGTCTTGATCAATGAGTACCGTCCAGGACAAGGGATCATGCCACATGAGGACGGGGCAACATACTACCCGCTCGTAGCGACTGTGAGTCTGGGCGCATCGATCGTACTGGATCTGTACTCGAAAGACCAATCAAGTAGCGAAGCGAATGGTGATGGTGCGGCAGGGGTGCGGCAACCTCAGTATCGGATTATGCAAGAGAGACGTAGTTTGCTGGTTACGAGGAGAAAAATCTACACGGATTTCTTGCATGGGATCGCGGACGTTAACAGCGATGAGGGCCTATCGCCTGACATGATATCCAACTGGGATTTGCTGCGCGAGAAGGATCGGTATCAGTGCGGCCGGTATGACCGGGGGACTCGCATCAGCTTAACGTATCGAGATGTGCTCAAAGTCTCCAAGCTAGGGAACACGATGAAATTCCTTGGCGCACAGTGATTTCACAGCTGAGTGTGAAGAATCCGCCCGCGTATATCCAGGCTCATCTTAGAAAACTCCAGGAACCATGTTCCATTTTCCCTTCACAGCCTCGGGCCCGAACTTTTGCTTATACCATTGCTTGCTGATAGCAGCGGTTACGCCCAGATTCACGATGACGAACGCGAAGCACGACAAAAGGGTCTTGTTGACCCATTCGCCCTGCGGTGCCGCCAACAGAGCCAATGACAAGTATATCGCACATTCAGCCGTGTAGTGGGGACATACAATTGCACGAAACATCGGATGGGTCGGAAGAGTATACTTCTTGAGAGAGAAGAGATAGTGATGACAGTCGTGCTGAATCCCCGAGGCAAACAAGAAAATTGGAAGACAGAGGAAGGTGCGCAGCGTAGGGATAGTGGCTATTTGAACGTCGTCGAGGCTCAACTTGTGAATCATGAGCGTACCTAGATAGTCCAGAACCATTAGACTTGCCAATCATCAAACCCGGCCGACTCGCGCGTACCTGTCCCCTCAATCCAAATGGCAGTTGTGGCCATGAGGTAAAAAGCGAGGCCTAAAAGCCAATGAACAAACCACATCCGAGAAGAAGACGGCTTCGCAAAGATGCGGCTTTCATGCAACCGCCGAACCCCCTGAACGAACATCAATACCCAGCATAGAAAGAGCTGATTGATATTCATTGACTTCTCCAGATGCTCCGGACCGACCCTCGCTGCAATGGCCTGGAAGACAGCACCTCGCGAAACCAACTGCGCCGCCCAAAAGAGCGAAGAGAGCACGGCGGCGACATAGAAGTGGAGGAAATAGCTGTGCGGGACTCGCAGAGAGGCAAGGTAGTCAAGAGCGAGTGTGACGAGTGATGTATCCGAAGCCTTGCGCGCAAGGGACTCCGATTTAATCGGGGGTGAGGTTGCACGAGCGCCGTAGGTGACGAAGCGGGAGCGAAGTGTATCTGGCAGGCTGACCGACAGGATCTGGGGGGAGGGTTCGATATGAATTTAGTCCTATCATGGCAAAAATATTGTTTTGATGGACGGATCGCCGTCCAAAGCATCACTGTGAATATCGAGATGTTCGTACCAAGCAGGTTGCGAAGATGAAGAAAGCTCGAAGAGCATCAACGGCATCCATGTGTGTAATGGAGAGTGTTGTGTCCACGAGCTTGGTGATGAGATCCATTGCGATGGACTCGAACCAGGCGTAGCTGGATACTATCTGACTTTTGTCAATGTCAGAAGCTGAAGAAATTCAAATCAGATTGAGATTCTTGAACGACCAGATGATCGTTGTCAGAAGCACATGCATGTTTGTATGCAATAGTTATTAGTTTTGTTATGATGGATATTGAGAATGACCAAGTGTAATACATCCGGTATCAACTACGTACTGGCTTGGCCTATTTGAGACCTCACACCACGCCAAGCTACGGACACACTCCTGCTGGCCTCAGGCTCAACTTCAGCCAGGATCGATCGGAAGAGCGGGATAGGTGTCTCAGTGAAAACTCGATTGTGACTTGCGAGATAATATCTATCAGTATATCAAGCACCTAGGGTAGATAGATCATCTAATGATATGTTCTAGTCCGATTGGATCTTATCTCTCGAACCACAAGCTGTCCACCACCACCACAATAACAACAACAACAACATGAGGATAATGATGATGACACCTAGTCTGTACACTTTTCCTTGTTTGAACTGTCGGGTGTATCATCAGATTTCGCCCCTCTCTTTTTTGCAAACCTGGCAACAGTTAAAACTTACTGGGAAGGGGCAAAGGTGGGGCGATAAGCTGAGGGATTAGGCCCGGTAATTGGCCGAGAGAAAGCAGATCACTTGCCAAGTGGGACGCTAGCGGCTTTGGTTGAGGCAAACTAGGCCGGAAGCAGTAAATTCTTCTGCTACCTCCGCAACTATTGGTTTGACTGGAGCCCCAGTTGATGCCTGGTGTGGTCGACTGCCTGGTACGCATTTTCTTACGAAGTACGAGAGTTCGAACAAAAAAAAAAAAAAAGGTGACATTTGGGTGGGTGGAACCCACTTTTCCATCCCCTGGTCTGTTTGCTTCAAGAATCACGAATTTCTTGAATCTTGAAATATAAGCATCGTGACAGAGAGCTCTGTATGGATGCTTCCATAATTCGATTTGAAAAATAACGTTATCAGCAGCCCCATGGAAGACATGGAAGCAAACTATAATGTACGGAGTAGATACCTATCTACATACTGAGGCAAGACCTGATGATCGATGATTACAGAATATTACGCCTGCATAACGGACCTCTCGTGACTCACCAACCAAGTTCCAGTCTCCCAAACTATCTATCTACCTACCTTACCTAGGTAGTAGCCGAGGCGGCCTTCTGGTCGGTGGCCAAATAATAGTACAGAGTACTGTAATAGGAATACCTCGATACTCAAGTCCGTACAGTACCCAATGTAGGCTCCGTTTATTCTTGGAGCGCCTCCTCAGTAGTATCTCGTAGGTTGCCAGTAGTACCTACTGCTACCTAGTAGTACCTCCCTAGTGAGCGGCCGAGATAGTTGGTGTGTGTCTGTACTCTGTAGGCGTTATTGACGAATTGCTCCCAGAATGCCCTCAGGTCTCCAGACTCAATACTGCAAAAAGACAGCCGAATCCAGCATAGGACCACTAATGAGTTAATTACTATTCATCTATCTACTGACAAGATACGATACTACTAACTGTCTACGACTCCCACTATCATCAGACTAGTTCATCTAGTCTGGAGTCCCGCAATGTCTGGAGAGTGCGAGACTTGAGACTTGACTGAGGGATGCTCTTTTTCCCACACACTACGGAGTACTCACTAACTAATCCAACCAACCAACTAAACGTGACTAACCACCGAAAGCCCGCTGTTTCAACTTCCTTCGTTTCCCTCTCTCACTCGACCTTTCTCTCTTCCTTTTCAATCTCCACCATTTCTTCTCCTCTCTCTCCTCTCTCTCCTCTCTCTCCTCTCTCTCCTCTCTCTCCTCTCTCTCCTCTCTCTTTCTCTCTCTTTCTCTTCTCTTTAATCTTCCCTCTTCCTATTTCTCCTATCCGCTTTTCCCTCATTCTCTTAGAATATTATCTCTCCCATAATAACAATACTTCTTCCATCTTTTCCTCCCTTCCATCACAAAGGTTACCCTTTATTTTATTCCGCGCCATCCTCCCAATCTTTCCATCCTCCATCCTCTCCCGCCTCGACTTGCTTCATACTTCCGAACGAACTGCTTCATAACCGACGACTCCGAGACGATCACACGCCACTCCTGATCTACCTCCCGGCCTTGCCCGGTGTTTCAGAGCTTTGTGAAAATTACGACGACAGAAGTCTTCCGTTTTTTAGGCGTGGTTGAGCACCAGCTTCCGCGCACGTTTGCTGGTAGTTTCGACTGCGAGTCAACTCTGTCCGCCACGGCCCCCGAAAATGACGATCAGAACACCCAGACATCGATTAATTCCGCTATGAGTGATGTCGATGCGTTCTCCTCCTTCCCAGCTGCCTTGCACGCCGGACAAAATGCCCCTTCTGTCACGGCGAACCCCCGGTCCGCTCCTGGTCAATTGCCTACCAAGAGATTCTCTTCGCCATCCCATCACAGAGGAGCTGATCGCTATACCAAGGAGGTTGAATCTGCTGCTGGGGAAGGGGATGGACCACCGAGCCCCAAAGCTGACTCGGAGGCAGAAACGATAATCCAGTCGGGTCGTGAATCTCTGTCCCCAGAGAAGAGACGGAAGTATATTCAGCATGAGTTGAAACGGCGCGATCACGGAGATGGCAATATTCATCCAGTGGAAAGCAGTTTACCAGCCCATGAGCCGCAGGTCAGAAAGCGAAAGCGATCGAGCGATGAGTCCTCTGTCGAACGCGACCTTGATGGGTCTCCTGTACTGCAATCTCGAAGGACAAATTCGCCATCCTGTGTGAAAATAGAGAAGCCCGAGGACGCGCATCCTTCACTGAGCAAAATCGACTCCTCTCAGCCTCCTTACCACCGGGAAACCGGGATCAGTCGTGAAAGCTCTCAGATTTCGAGAAAACGTAGCCACAGCGACGGCCTTGATGGTGATAAAGACAGAGCCCGACCCGGTCGTCACTCAGCGGCACCACGCGACAAAGAGCGAAGAGACATAAATGGCATAGCTCTACCTCGTCCGCAGTCCAACGATCGTTCCATTTCCCCTACTCGCTCTATTCACAAGCGAACAGCGTCTGGTCCGCAGCTCGGTGGCACTGATATACAAAAGAAAAGGAAGGCTCCCACTCCTCTCATCTCCGGTTTTCAACGCCAGAGTTCTGAAGACAGACAATCGGTGTCGTCTTCCACCAGTGGCTCTCCTCTGCCAAGCGCCCACCTTCGGAGACTGACTGGTGTTGATGGTGCTTCAGCATCTCCGGCCAGACCGTCAGGCCACAAGAAACAGCGCGATCAGAACGGGAGGACACGCCTGGCAAGAGCCTGCGCTGCCCAGGAGCTGGAAGTAGCGATTGCTAGACACGCAGAACGTCCAGAGGATCTGAACGTGGCCGATAACGCTGGCAATACGCCTCTTCAGATTGCTGCACTCGAGGGCTGTGCGCCTATTGTGAAATTCCTCCTTGAGGCTGGCTGTGACATCGACACCAAAAACATTGACAGAGATACTCCTTTGATCGACGCAGTAGAGAACGGTCATCTGGATGTTGTGAAGCTTTTACTCGAAGCTGGTGCTAACCCGCGCACCGTCAATGCGGAGGGAGATGAGCCATACGATTTGGTACCCTCTGACTCGGAAGACTACACTGAAATTAGGCGTGTCCTCGCGGAGGCCAAGTCCAATCCAAGGCCTAGTCGTCGCTCCGAAGAACGGGCCGGTTCTGGCAACAAGGAAACAAGCTCGAGAAGGGTGTCTGCCACGAGTCCGCGCGAATCTCCCCCAGTGAACGGGCCACGTAGCCCTCCTCTTGGTATCGCTACCAAGCGAAAGAGTGTGCGAAGTGAAGCCACACGGAACGATCTCCTCTGGACAAAAGCCACCCCTGAGAATTTACAAGCATTCGCGGCTAAAGGCGATATTGCTGGAGTTGCTAACATTCTAAACGTGGGACAGAAAGCCGACCCGGAATCGATGATCGCTGCAGCCAAAGGTGGCCATGATGAAGTTTTGTCTCTGCTGTTAGGGATGGGAGACGCAGATCCCGATCCTGAACCGGTACAGGGAGGGAACCAAAAACCTGGTTACAACACCCCAATGCTGGCTGCGATTGGCCGAGGCAATCTTGCTGTCATTCGCCTTCTTCTGGACCAGCCCAAGTTCAATCCAAGTCGCCGGCTTTATCGGGATCGTACCTATTTTGAGTTATCCCGCGATCGGGGAGCCGACAATTGGGAGGAAGAATATGACCTTTTACGGGATGCCTATGATAATTACATTAGGGCCAGACGAGCGCGCAAACAGGATCTTCCTTCGCCTCGACGACCGCGGGACAGAGAAAAGGAAAACAAAAGATTAGCGCGCAGAGAGTCGGCATCACCTGTGGCTTCTTCCAGGAAGGCTATCAGAAGTCCGAGTGCCGGCCATCATCGGGACTCTTCTTCGAAAGATGCTTTGTCTAAAGATAAAAGACGAGACGGCGTGACCTACATGAAGGAAAAGTCTGGAACAAACCTTACGCGCCCCAAGGTATCCCACAAGAACGGCGACCATGTGATGACAGGATCGGATCATGATGGATCTCGCCAAGAGACAGTCCACTCCAAACCTTCAGGAGCGGTTGCCAAAGACGAGGACGCCCCTAGGAGAAGACGTTTGATTCCAGGGCGACCTCCTCAGGATCGTGACCGTAGACGGCCCAGCATACCATCGTCGGATTCTTTGTCAGGGCGTGAGGAAACCGTCAAACCTCGAGTTGATCATCATACTGAAAACCCAAACGTCAAGCATGGGCCTCCCCTCTTGAAACGTGGACGAAGCAGCGCGAGCCCTGAGCGTCCCCATTCCCGGGGTCGTGATTCCGATCATAATTCTCGCGATATGCAAAAGAAGAAACGGCGCGTTCTTTCCGAAGATGGAACACCAAATATAACCAATGGCGGGACGAAGAAGACTCACGAAATCAGCCCTGGGGCTGACTATAAATCGATAGCTCGCCCAAAGAAAGACGAAAGTCGATTGCCAGATCGCGAACGAGACCGGCACGTTGAAATCTCATTGCCCAAAGTGAACGATTCAAAGGCTGTGAAACAAGAGCGAGAGAGACAAGAGACTAGCCACCTGGCCGATATTCCGACAGAAGACGCGAGAAGCGCGCCCAAGGGGCCGAATCCGGATCCAGACGAACTCCGTCGGGCCGAGGCGAGAAGAGCTGAAAGGGAGCGTTTGGTAGAGGAAGAGCGTATTGCTGCTGAAGCTCAAAAGGCTCAACTGGCCAAGGAAGAAGAGGAGCGTGCTGCTCGTCTTGCCAAAGAAATGGCCGAAGAAGAGGAACGTAAGCAGAAAGAGGCCGAGCAAAAGCGGCTCAAGCAAGCCGAGGAAGAACGCCAAAAACAACTCGAGCAAGAACGATTGCGCCTGGAAAAACTCCGACGGGAGAAGGAAGAGCAGGAGCAAAGACGCCGCGAGGCACTGCCTAGCCGACTTCGTCTCGCTGCCCAGCTTGTTGGTTCTCATGACCCCCAGGCAAAGAGCCATACGTGGTTGAAAAAGTTCATGCCTGTGGTCACTGCTCAGACAAAGCAACTCGATCCTTTCTGCGACCTGACTGTTGCAAATGAGAAATGGGTACCGAATTATCTAGTTGCGCCGTTGTTGGCGACCAATGATCTGCAGCTGTCTCAGTATACCAGTTGGGAGAAGCGCCGCGCGACTCCCACTCAGCGGGAGAATCTGTGGCGTGTCACCCGAAGGATGCTGGTCCAAGCCGATGAGACAGAGTTCATGAGTTCGTCCTTGGGGCAAGTGATGCAGAAGGATTGCGAAACACGTCCAAAATACTTTGATATGGAACATGTATTTTGGGTTAGGGTAAGTTATTTTTCATCACAGCATCTCTTATCGGATGTTGTACAAGCCGCTAACATGTCTGGTTATTTAGCTTTCCGACTTCATGGATCTCGTTCCTCACGTTCCGCATCTTCACGGCCTCGATATACAGTTCCTTCGGATGCACATTGACCAGGAACCATCCGAAGCAACACCCGTGTTCTTAGCGCGTCCTAATGGGCATGGACCCGAACCTGCTCCTCTCGATGATGCCAATGGCATCCCTGTTGAGTTGCCAAACCTCACCAACGGATATGGTCACCACGGCCAAGTACATATGTTTAGTGCTTAGTGCTTTTGTTTTTCCTCTCATCATCTTGGCGATCATTGAGCACAGCCTTGGATGTACAGGCGGCTTGTTTCCTTCATTGTATGACTATGATACCTCTTACTGTTGATGTGATGTGTGATGTGATGTGTGATGTCTCAATCGTTCGGGTAGCGGTCTATTGGATAGAGTCAACAGAGTCGATCTATCACTCGTCATTCTACCTATCGTCTTTCAATCGTAAAGGAAGTGTAGCTCATCACCCATGCCTCTATCCACATCGACTCAATGGGAGTGTAGATCACGTGGACGGGGTGGCTTATCTAAGCTACAGGCGGTAGGGCACACGGCAAGACCACAATTTAGAAAATAGCCGAGTGACCTCCACCACGAATTTTCCCGCCCGCACACATTTCGATCCCAGATCAACACTCTCCACGAAACTCTTTGAGGATAATCCGACATTAACGTCAGAAATATCAACAGCCAAAATGGTATGTACCTCTTGGAATTCGATATCCAAACCCCTGTGTACACGGAACATGTTGGAAGCAGCGGACAATGGATCACGCAAGTTTTGAAGATTCATCGACGAACGAACAAGTGCTCCAGAACGGTCTGAAAGCGTGTACCGGTGCACTTCACACAGCGTTATCCAGTCCGAAACCTCCGCCCAACATGTCCTCGTTGCACATCGCAGCTCGCTAGACAAATCAACCAGCAAAGCTAACCACACCTTTCCACAGTCGGACGGAGAAGAGACCATGTCCAACCCCCCCGTTGCCGCTGCCGATGAGGTCGAGGTTAGCGCCGATGCCGGTGCTGGCGGCCAGATGTCCGTCCTCGACGCTCTCAAGGGTGTCCTCCGCATCTCGCTGATCCACGATGGTCTTGCCCGTGGTCTGCGCGAGGCCGCCAAGGCCCTCGACCGCCGCCAGGCCCACATGTGTGTCCTCAACGAGGGCTGCGAGGAGGAGGCTTACAAGAAGCTGGTCATTGCCCTGTGCTCCGAGCACAAGATCCCCCTCATCAAGGTTCCCGATGGAAAGATGCTGGGCGAGTGGGTTGGTCTTTGTATGTTGCCCCCTCCGCATTGGTTGAATGAGGCTAACGGGTGTGTTTTTTTCTTTGTGGTATAGGCCAGCTCGACCGTGAGGGTAACGCTCGCAAGGTCGTCAACTGCTCTTGCGTCGTTGTCAAGGATTGGGGAGAAGAGTCCCAGGAGCGCTCCGTCCTCCTCAACTACTTCCAGACCGAGCAGTAAATTGCTCCATTCCATCCTGCCGCCGCGGATGGGGTGTGAGTTGATTGGTTGCGGAATGTGAAGCGGGGGATGTCTTTTCCACTGTCGACTTGTTCGTCTATGGATCGGAGACCTTCCATCTATCCTATTTTCGTGATCAGTTCACTCTGGCCTCACGTCTTAAATACTCACGCATTCACAATGAAAATATCATTGAAGAAATAAGCTGTTCTGCATGTAGATCACTCAGAAATGGTGAGATTGTAGATATAATTGCTCTAGCCAGTAGTAGCATGATACTATGCACTGCTTACCCCTGATAAACGAGTCAATCCAGAAATGCCCCTGGAAAACCAAGAAGTGTAGTCGAGCGAAATATGTACACCAAAGAAAACAAATGCAAAAAACTCCCAAGCTATGCGATAGCGAATACCTGGTCGACCCAAGTAGTCGCCGAGTGACAGCACTGAAGTTGAAGCAGCTGCTGTATGAACATAGAACCTTTCCAAATATGGAAGACCGCAAGGCTACCTGAAACCGTAAGAAGGACGGATCATCTTTTCCGTCTCCGGCTTCAAAGACAGTTGTTGGTATGGCGAGCTCCCTGGATCATAATAGAGACCTTCAATATGACCTGTGTCCCGACGAAGGGAGATGTAGTAGAATCCAGAAATCGTGAGACCTTGACGAACGTCAGTTGGCGTGATGAAACAGCGTTCTGTCATAAAACGTTAGCCAAGATCAAGGAACGACATGAAGAAAGAACAAACCTTTCCATCTCATCAAGATCCATCGCCTGGATAACTCTTCTGTTATCCATTTCCGACTCACAAGTCTCCTTGTCATTTCGTCATCCGTTAGGTGCTTGAACGGCTGCAGCTCCCGCCAGTAGGTACTATCAGTCTCAGCATCGGCTTTAAAGTTCTTCGTCTCGAGAGTATGCGTGTTGAAGTCAATGATCTCCCCCTCTAAAAAAGTAACAATGTGTGCATCATGAGCTGGCGAGGTTTTGTCAGGAATGTTGTAAGCCTCCATGGTTCCCGAAAGAGTCATGTCTTGGTAATTAATGTTATGGATGGTGACCTTCACGGGCCAATTCTCATCCTTGCCTGTCCCGAGATTGTAGATGCTGTTTGCTAGATAACGCCGACCACTAGTAGTGTAAACACTCACGCGGCCACTCTCACTACCATTTACTATCATCGGTTCACCAGCTGGATGTGAAGTCGGTCCACGGTGCGCTAAAATCGAGCTGGGAGTACATGCGGCCATCTGCGAGCCTGTAAATACCATTCCCGGACGGAGCCACGAACATGGCGGCGGCGGGGGAATTGAGGTTGTATCCAAGATAAAATCGTCCTCGTCCCAGGGGAAGAAATCGAGCTGGACAAATCCGCCTGCGGCAGCCGATGACAAACTCTCTTCGAAAGAAGTGGAGTAACGTAGACGGTCAAGATATCGAATAGTCTCTTTTAAGCGCGGACTGGGGGAATGCTCTAGATGTAACTGCCGGTGGGCGTTGACTCGAGCACGAATGTCACTCGGTGTCAGAAGCCGTTGTGTTTCTCCTCGACTGCTCGGTATAAAGCGATATGCACGAGAAGTCGATGTTGCTCCTCCTCGCTCCCGACTGCCCTCCAAATCCTGACTGGTCTGGTCCCGCTCTAAGAGATAGTTGTGCAGGGTTCGTGTCCTCGAGAAGCGCGGTTGACGCCTCACTGATTGTAGCAAGGTCTCTGCCGTCGTCGCCGTCGCCGCCGTTGCGGCAGTGTCATCCACCGGCTGAGTACTACTCTCTGAAAGCTCGACGCGAGGTACAGGGGGGCTTCGTCCATTTGGATCCTGTCGAATGTGGCGTCTTGAAGTCGCATTGCGATCCGAAGGGGGACCGAACCACGATGAGATGGTGCTGGCATCCTGCAAAGGCCCATAAACCAAGTCGTCCTCGTCTTCGTCATCAGAGCCTGGTGCCCAACCATACAACGAACGTATATTAGAGACGTGACCTTCATAGTTCGGCATATCGGTCGGCCCTTCCCGCTGTCGGCGCACGATAGGGATGCGACGACTGACTTCCACGGACATACGTACACCAGTCGGATCGTCCAGTTCCATCGGATCAGATTCGAATTCGGATAAGACCTGGTGTCGGCGACGGCGTGGGCGACTTGAGGAGGAGGTCCCGTGAGGAGAGCGAACACGAGATCGAAGAAAGCTCACATTATCATCATGAGCGTCATCGGAGGCGGCCGCTGGGAGTGTTGAAACAGGGATAGAAACGACGCTCAAATGCTGAAGGGGCGATGCAGAAATCGATGGAGAATGAACAATATTTCCCTGCTATTTGAAAGAATCCATGAGCTAAAGTACACAGAGACTGGAGCGACGAACAGCAAACTGAAGATTCAGAAGGAGAAGTGGCGGACATCTAATCGTGCCACGTGCGGTACTGTGGAGTTGATCGGTCTCACTTTGGGCAGACAGGACACTTGGAACATCTCCTAGCTGAAGAGATAAAAAGAAAAAAAAGATACTTACTGCAGGTGTATTGGCTGGGGGCATGGTCCTCAGGATAGACTATCTCGGACGTCGATAAAGCCCGCCGTTGAGACACAACTGGCGCAGAGAGGAGAGACGGCGGGGAGACGGAAGACGATAGGAGGTGAGGAAGAGGTGGATGCGAAGGCGTGCGGGGACCGCTTTGGCTTGAGTAATTAAGAAAGACTGGACAGAAAGAGTGAGCACTTTCAGGATATGAATACTAATCCGATGGTGAAAGAAAGGATGGTGGATGATGAGATGGTCGGATGGAAATTGGATGAGGATGAAAGGAAGATGAGCAAGTCTTGTGTCGTTTGCCTTGGTTTTTCCTCTTTGGGAAATCCTCCCAGCCGAGTAGTCTCATCAAACAAACGACCGACAAGCTGGAGATCTGCTAGATCATGAGGCGCAAGATATCAAATCTGCTGTATGACCACAATCGGTTGACTTGCTGGACAATAAACTGCCAACCATGTGGTTGTTTGACGTTGGTGTTTGGGTGGCAAAGGGTATACTAGAGCAACTAGTTACTTGATGCATGGAAGATTCTCACCCTCTTCCACCAGGTCCTTACTGGCGATGATCATTTCGCTGAGAGCTCGAGATCGCATATCTACAATCTCCTTTGATTCAAAAGTGCATGTTTTGATCCTTTTCTGTTGGCGCTCTTGTGCTCAATTCTCCTCTTCTATGGCCTCGTTCGTGATGAGCATCTCAACAGCCATTAATTTCTCCAAATCCCCTTGCATCAATCAGAGTGCTAATCCCGGGGAAGGGGAGGAGTTTCTATCAACACGAGATGCCACTGGACGACAAAGGCGAGACACTTTCTCACACTCAGAGAGATACATACTCGATGAGGGAAGAATCTCGACTTCATCTTCTTCGAGCAACGGAGGCCCTCGGCCGGCTTGAGTCCGAATTGTCCTTCCATCTGCACACTTCCATCTGTCTAGAAGATGGTCTGCCGCCTTCTGAGCGATCATGGCGAAGGACTGTTGACATCCCACGGTCGGCATTCTGTTCCCAAGCAAAGCGGAGAAATTCCGACAAGCTTGACTTCCTCCACCCCCACATCCCATCACATACTGGAGGAGTGGAGAGTCATGGAGAGGTGGGTTATCTAAAGCTTTTCTTGCTCTTTCTCGAAATCCCCCTTTCTCACTCTTCTCTGTTTCTCAAGAAGGCGCGATTTACTTCAGTTGAGGTTGTTCAACGAGTGCAATAGCTTTCTATCCTCCCTCCACTCTCCCCGCATTACCCCGCAAACAATATCAAGATGGTCAAGATCAAGAGCATCGAGTATTTCCGTGTTCTTCCCAGATGGCTGTTCGTCAAGATCGTGGACGAAGAGGGCCAGTACGGCTGGGGTGAGAGTACCCTCGAGGGTCATACTGAGGCTGTGGAGGGAACACTGAATGCACTGTGCAAGAGATTCGTGGGCTACGAAGCGGAGTATGCACTCAAATAAGTAATTGTCACAGTCGCCTTCCTTACTGACTCATCGACTTCTCCAATGGCAGTGATATCGAACACATTTGGCAGATGGCCTGGCGCCTGGGGTTCTACCGTGGAGGCCCCGTCTTCATGTCGGCCATCTCAGGTATCGACATTGCACTGTGGGATCTCAAGGGCCGCCGGCTCGGCGTCCCCATCCATCAGCTTATTGGAGGAAAAGTTCGCAACAAGCTCTCCGTCTATGCCTGGATCGGCGGAGACCGGCCCTCCGACGTAGAAGCTGCCGGCAAAGCACGACTCGCGCAGGGATTCAAAGCGATCAAGATGAACGCCACCGAGGACGTCAACTGGTTGGAATCGCCGAGCGTGCTTGACTCCTGCGTCGAGCGGCTCCAGGCCGTCAAGGCGCTCGGCCTGGACGCCGCCCTCGACTTCCACGGTCGACTGCACAAGCCCATGGCCAAACAGCTCGCGAAAGCGCTCGAGCCGCACCGCCCGCTGTTTCTCGAGGAACCCCTTCTCTCCGAGCACCCGGAAGCCATCAAGCAGCTCTCGGACCAGGTCTCGTGTCCCATTGCGCTCGGCGAGCGGCTCTACAGCCGCTGGGACGTGAAGCGATTCCTCGAGGACGCGAGCGTCGACATCCTCCAGCCGGACATCAGCCACTGCGGCGGCATCTCGGAGCTGCGCCGGATCGCCTCCATGGCTGAGGCGTACGATGTCGCGATCGCGCCACACTGCCCGATGGGCCCCATTGCGCTGGCGGCGTGCATGCAGGTTGATCTGGCGACGCCCAACTTCGTGATCCAGGAAATGAGCCTGGGGATCCACTACAACACAGAAGCCGGCGAGTATGATATCACAAGCTACGTGAAGGATGCTAGCGTTTTTGAGGTCAAGGACGGCTATGTCGATGTCTTGACGGCGCCTGGCTTGGGTATTGAAGTCGATGAGGAGACTGTTCGTCGGGTAGCACTGAAGACTGAGCCGTGGCTTTGCAAGGAATTCTTCGGTGTTGACGGCGGTATTCGCGAATGGTGAGCGGCCATATTCATTTCATGACTTGATTGGATGTGTTTTGTGCTGTATTTCGAATCCTTCTCTTGTCTTGCATGGCGGTGTGTCTTCGGGATATAGACTAGATAAAATGTACAATTGACAGGACAGCCTGGGGATATGTCAGTGAGAGATATGCAGGCTAAACTTTGAGAAGCACTGTGATCAAGGATTTCCTTATTCAGATGAATGTTCTATACCACGAGCTCAAGCAATAGCAAGCCATCTATATAATGTTTATCATAGGCTGCAGAAAAACAAAGTTCAAAACGGAATAGGGATTTCGTCTCGAGTCGTCGTCAAACAGCGTGCGACCTGCATCATCACAGTTTCCGTGCCAGGTTGCACTCATCGGCGCGCTCCAGACAGTCCGAGATCATCTCCCAGAAAGCCTCGAGATCGACCCCTCGCGGAATGGCTACTCCATGACTAGCCAGAGGAGTCGCCAGAGTCCGTCCCAGCTGGCCTGTCTCAAGTACATTCGTGCTATGAATGCCATCAGTGACGACATTCACAGCAAACCTCTCGCCATTCTTGTCATTGAAGGCCAGGGCTTGCTCGGGATGCCGTTTGGCGAAAACCGGGTTGAGGTTCGAGACTGCCACGGCCACGGCGAGTGGATCGTGGAGAGGAGGGCCGGTTGCTAGGCCAAAGACGGAGTCGTAAGTTTGCGCGAAAAAGATGAGAAGGTCGTGCATCATTCTTCTGAGGATGGATGGCGGGTCAGCGGGGTTCTTTGATTCCAGGATCCGATCCTGCACTTTGCGGGAAGCGAGGACTTGGTGGGTCAAGTCCAGAGATATCATTGTCGTCTTTGGCGCAAGAACAGGGTTGCTGAAGATCGATTTGGAAGATTCAGGGTCACACTGTTAGGAAGGCGCGGTTAGTTGACGACACGGAAGCACAATCGCTTGTATATACACACGTAGATGTTGAATTCTGCCCAAGGTGTCACATTCCCGATTCTCGCATGTTCTCCTGGAAGTCTGCTCATTGGGGCACCTGTAAACCCTTCACCAATACCACCACCCATTATACTAAGACCTTGAATGTGCTCTGCGACTTCAGGAAACGTGGCAAAGAGCAAGGCAATGTTGGTCAAGGTGCCAGTTGCGATGACCCAAGGTGTTCCCTTTGGCTGTGCGAGCAAAGCGTCACGCATTGCGAGGATCGGATTGACATCTGTCACGGGTGGTGTTGTCGCATTGGGCAACAGGTCTGTTCCGTCGAGTCCCGAGTCACCTATGCGTGAGACGATAATGGATCAGTATCCGCTGCTTTGAGAGACTTCAATGGTAGTAATGCGTACCGTGGATATCAGGTGCATGAACAGCAGGTCGGCAGAATGGGTTCCTGCTACCGGGATAGACGGGAATTTCTGGTTTGCCAATAGCCTCGAGAACCCTCAATGCGTTGGTCGTTGTGTTTTCGAGGGAGGAGTTTCCGTGGATAGTCGTTAATCCCAGGAGATTCAAGGATGGATGATGAGCAGCTATGAGAATAGCAAATGCATCCTAGGACAGTTGCATCTCAAAACAATGTCCCATGTAGATGCGAGAGTGTGGAGGTATGACAGAGCGAGGAACTTACATCGTGGCCTAGGTTGACTGGTCAGCAACAGGGGTGGTAAGGATGGTATGTGCGAACCACGAACCTGGATCGCAATCCAGCCATAGTGGGATTGGAGTCTCGGGAGAAGGAGCCATCCTGAATTTCCGTTGGATGGAAGAGGATCCAGAATGCGTGAAGCCCCCTGGGATTTATACTATGAAGGCGTGCCTGATAAGATGCGGGGATTCCCGAGATAAAGGCGGGTTTGTTGTCTTATCGGAGCGCCAATCACCTGCTAGAATCCAGCCCTGAGCCCTACTTTCCTATTTTAGACAGCATGTGGTGGATCTGCGGCGTCATTGCGATTGAAGCCGCGACGCTGCATCAGCCTGCACGTTCATGACGGATTTGCTGGCTGTCTCAAATTGAGACTAAAGTTGTTCCTGACAATATACAGCCGTCTTTCTATGTGATCTCGTATGGTCTTGCCCTTCCCGCATCACCACTGAGATGAAATGACCGTCGAATCTGTTCAACCAGGTTTCGCTCCGCTGTCGAACCTCAAGGCTGCGCCGACAACATTCAACTCTAAGTCGGTTGCATTACGAAATTCGTCAAACTTACAGATATCTGCGCAGCTACCGCATCGCTCTCGATCCCAAAAGAATGTCACTCGTGATGAACCGGTCAACGCGACCAGCGATAAGGCAACTGTCGCTCTGATCCGACGCGTTCTCTGCCCGCAGGCGGGCCAGCAGCCTCTGGAAGAGCTGCTGCCTCCCCTGACGAGTTCGAATGAAGTCGACCTCCAGCTCTATGCTCTGATTGCCGTCATTGTCAAAGAATTTGTCTTTTCTTGGTATTCGAAGATCACCTCGGATCAGGTCCTTACGCAAGAGGTCATCCAGGTGATTGCGCATTGTACACGCGCCCTCGAGCAAAGGTTACGGGAAACGGATATAGCACAGCTGGTCTTTGACGACATACCTGGGCTGGTAGAGACACACATCATCTGTAAGGAATTACGCCCTTACTACAATCGGCCGAAGAGGCTTCTATGCTCACTTTGGGAATCGCTCTCTAGCGTACAGGCTGGCCCGCGGCGAAAGTACATTATCTGGGCTCTCCCCTTCAGTCCGCGAAGTTTATCATGCCCTGAATCCACATCCGAGTCTTTCTCCAATCCCCTCTGATCCGCAGAGCGGTGCAGAGCAACGCGAAAATGAGGCCATCTATCGACAGTTGCTGGTTCAAGGGCTGCTGGCTGTTCTTCTACCGACGGAGGATTTGGAGAATATCTGCCTGCGGACGTTAGTCTGTGACATCCTGGCAGACCTAATCATAGGAAACCAAGTCAGCGGAAAGATATGTCAAGGATGGTTCGTGTGGGAGACTATCAGCAAGCTTCTGCCTGCATCGAACCAAATGGACAAACATGCGGAGACAGCAGACAACGGCCAGAGGGATCAACTCCAGAAGTTTGGTCTCCTCTCGAAGCACGAAAAACCTGAACTAGATCATCCGTCGTCTCGTGGCTCTTTCGGCCCGACTTGGCTGTGGAATATCCTCCAATATCTGTATCTGGCCTTCACGGCCCTGCAATTCATCATTATGGGACTGTTTCGTGTCGCAAGAAGCCCCAGGGCCACTTCCTCATCGTCTCCACCGGCCTCGGGCAATTCCCTGGAGCCCGATAAAATATTTTCATCAGGTATCTTCACGATTAGGCGTCCTGTCCTCGACTACCGAGTCTATGGTCTCCTTTCACAACTTCTAGACATTTCTCAGCGAATGCCCTGGCTTGGAGGATCCCTTGCGCTTGTCCAACAATTGGGTCTAGCTGGTCCAGGCAGGTTAGGCGGTACGGGCAGCGTTCTTGATAGGTGAGTCACGTAATTTGTTTAGCTTTCTACTAAGACATCACACCCTTCTCTCTCTGTACCATCCACCGTCACGCACCCGAGACATCAAGAGGTCAGACCACTCTTTACGGGCCCGGCAATTCCTCGTGCGCGCGAGGACTGAGGACTGTGGAGAGAAGTTGTGCAATCCAATCTTCTCGAACTGTGATCTACGCTGGCGTCGTCAAATGCCAGTGCTACTTCATCGTCAGCGCGTCTCAAGCGAGTCATTGGCGAAGGCTCGAGTGTTGAGAGGGGCCGGCGGGACGGAAGATGCAGTGGATGCGCATTTCTCGCATACTGCACCAGTCACTTGATCCGCTACCGGTGGAGAGTCGTTCAACCGCATTGGCCTGCGATTGACCTTCATACCTGACCGTATTGTCATTACCCACCATGACCGGCACGTACGGTCATGTTACCGTCTGGTATTGTCCTGACCGTCCGAACGATTTATCATCAGCCAGCCCATGATCGTATCCAAGTCTCGATGTTGATCCAATCAAACAATTCCAGAAGAGCGCCGTCGTCATATTCTCTTTTGGTTTTTTTTTTCCCCTCTCTTTCTGTCCATTGTCTTGGGCATTTTCTTTGCTATGTCCCCTCTTCTCCCCGATTGGTGGCTGAGCCGGAGTGGCCGAAAGTGTATTGAAGGTGGAAATCCCCTGTCAATCCTCGCCTCTATCTATCAACGACCTTACGAGTTACGACTTACGTACAGTTGCTGTGGTGGGTAATTGGCCTGGGCCGGCCCTTTCCGTGCCGCTCAACTGCCAGTTTCACCGTTCAGATCTGATGGGGATGGCAGAAAGGTGCTTCGAGCACAGGTCGAAGCAAAGAAAAAGGCCGACAGAAAGAAACTCCTCTTACCAACTCGAGCAGCATGCGCATCAGCCTCATGGCGTGACTCCAAACGGTTCGAATTAGGGATTAGTCAAGATACCCTTGCACCTGCAAGAAGCCCACTTGCTCCTGTTTTGTCCAAATGGACGCCAAGGAGAACGCTACTCAATATGATTCGTGACGATCATCGACCGTGCTGATTTAAACGGCCATGCGGCCTTTGAGACCTACGCATGGATAGGGCGAGGCCAATTTGGTTTCCCTTTCGAGCCAATCATAGAAGATGCTTCCCAGCAGAATTTCAAACCCCAGCCATGGCCGAGGTTGCTCTCGACGGCGCTTCGAATTGATTGGATTCGAGACGATGGATAAATGTCGCAGAAAAAAGAAAAAAAGCAAGCAAATGCGAGCCCTGCCCGCCAGGAGCCCAGCCCATTTTTCTATCAGATTGTCGTCGTCTTCGGTATCGATTGGCCCTACATCTTCGCAATTTCGCACCAATTACTGGCCCAAGCTTCTCTACTGCCAGTTGCGGGTCCTGGCCAAGGAGATCTTATTAGCTCTCCACCTATGCAACCTTTTCAGAGCATGACCTTTGATTAATTCGACACCCACGCCATTATTGTCCTTGAGACACGTCCATTCAGAAACAATGATACCTGGAGTTTAATTTGTCTGCCTCTCCACAGTCCGGGGTGCTTCTGCCAGCTTCTCCCTATCGTTATCTGGGTCCTTTTTGGAATTGTTCTTTCGCGCTGCTGGCTACGCCATTCGATCGCTGATTCCTCATATCTTTCATTTCTAATTGGCAAGAGTCTGCTGAGTGCTAACCCCTGACCGAAAATTTTTTTTTCGGGCTTCTCCACCAGGTTCCTTCACGAGACCATTCAGGACTATATTCTGACCCCCACCTTGTTGCCCAACCTGCTTCGCGCATCCAGGGCGGCGCTATTTCCATCGAATGCTCGTCCAAATCCACCTCCCGGCCAAGAATCCGATGTAAATCGCATTTCGACGCCGGCTCTGCAGCCTCCGCAGTTGTCCGTGCATCCTCCGACTCCCCCTCCGGAACAAGACCCTGCTAGCGATGCAACACCAGCAGCCCCAGGTAACGCTCACGCTCACGGTAGCACCCCTGCTCCTCCTCCTGCACCTTCCGATCCTCCGGATCAGGCGCCCTCCGCGCCAGAGATTGCAGCCATAAAGCGAGAATGCGCGGCTCGCATCCTCTCACTCGTTCCCCGGCCAGTCGCACGGAGTTTCTTTGGCGTTTCAGCCGGTAACTCCGGCTCTACGACCCCTAACGGCTCCCAGGGAAATGACGCGCAGCAGCAGCAGCATTCATCCCGAGCCTCGTCGCCTGTATCCACTTCGTCTAACGACGCGGAGGAGGCGCTCCTCCTGGAAGCAATTGAGCGTGATATCCTGGACCTCTTTGCGGACGAGTATTGCAACAAGCATCTAATCTACTCCATCATCGAAATAGTCCTGGTCAAGATTCTGCCCGAATTGTCGGAACGCAGTGTGGCGGAACTGATGGAGGACAGGGGCGTCGCGTTCGTCACACATGATGCCCCAGCATAACCTTTGATACAACCTTTCTTTGCACCCTTCTGTCCTTGTATCGCCGATATAGCGCAAAGGCATGATTAATGTAATGATATGATATTCTCTTGAGTATGACCCCTGGCTTCCTTCCTCATCTGTGGACTGAGGGCGCGTGAGCGGGAGAGTTAAAATCGTCCCATGATGTCCAACACGACGTTGCGAATTGTAGCTGAACCCGGCGTGTCCAAGTGTCAGGAACCTGTGACTCGATCTGGTTCAACGTTCAATCCCCCTGTCTACCATGTACTGAATCACATGATGACAAGACTCAAGAATAATGAGAGAAACTGAAAAAGCAAAGAAGAGAAGGAAGTAATTGTTACAGCTGTACGGAATAATCAATACCAAATTTGACGATGATGACAATGGACAGGGGTCATTAATATGGAAAAAGGGGGAAAGGGGAACCTCCGTAGAGAAGCTTTGTCACGTCAGCTCTGCAGAGACAACCCGCCCCAAGTGGCGCTGCCAACTGGGGATGCAGACCAACTCCAAGACACCTTAGTCTTCATCAATCTCTTGGGCCTTAAGCAGATAGAGACGAATGAGAAGAGAAGAGAAGATAAGAGAATATAAGGGAGAAAAGTAGAATGCAAAGGACAAGTAAGTAGTAAGAATAAAACCTCATGGCCTGTGTGTGCGTAAGCCTACACTGTTTCTCGTTTGTCCAAGTATTAGTCCTGTACCATCCATAAACCCCAATGATCAGACTAACAGTGAAGAGAAAAGGGGGGAATAAAGTATGCAAAGCCCTTGTGGGCGATCTGGTTTAAGTGAGAATCAGACGGGGAATCAAAAATGCAAGGTCAAAAAAAAAATGCCAAAAAGGAAAAACAGAAAGACATTCCAAAAGATACTCCAACAATATCCATCCATCTTGTAGTTTGTCACGTTCACCATTTCCATGCTGTCTGTCGGTATGAAGAACACTCCCTGCGTTCCTCACAGGGATTGAGATCGATATGAAACCTGAGGTTGCCCTCTCGTATAAGTGTATGGTCCGATATTCCGATAGCTTTTTCACGGCCCGGCAGCTGTCGAGCGTACCTAGTGAAACAGAAAATCATTGGTCTGACACGGACAATGCGAAACTTAGTCACTTGAACGCCACCCATAAATACAGAAACAAGGAAATATACCCAGAGGGCGTGATAAGAAAAATGACGGGAAATAAAAGAGAGAAAAACGGAATGACTGGGATTCAGCCTCGACAGGCTACCGCCAGAGATTCAATGGAAAAACATGTTGATTTCAACGATGGACGAATCGTAGATCGGTGGGCTGTACATTCCTCAAGACGATCCTCTTCAAGAGTTGCGGCTTAGACCATGTTTTGGATGCTTCGCTTCTTGGTCACTTGGGGTACATCATCCTGCTCGTCAATGCGAGTGAGTCCGCCTGGGAGGGCAGCCTGTTGAGCTTTCGCGAGCTCGAGTCTCTCCATCAGTTTCCCGATGGTCACTAATTCATGCGCGGTGCATTTCGCTGGCTGGTGTTCCAGATAGTTCATGACTAGCTCAAGAGCTCTCCGGGCCTCGTCCTGGGTTGGTGATCCCGGGGAACTGATCGGTGAAACGGTCGTCGACTTGGAGAAGAACGGCGGGTAAATGGACTTTGTCTTGATCTCGGGATTGCTGCGATTGCGCTTGATTGTGTTGGACGTGTTAATGCCAGAATCATTATTTGCAACGTAATCGTCCTCGAGCGGTGACTCGAGTGTCGTTATAGACAGTGACCGCTGCAAAGCCGCCTTCGAGATTGTTTGTCCGGAAGACTCGTCCGTGGGCATCGAGATCGGGTCTAGGACACCGCCAGGTAGTGTCTGGCTACGGGCTCTATTGAACTGACCATCTGCAAAAGAGCCGCGGGACTGACTCGTGGGCGTGAATGGGCTTTCTGACAGCAATGTGGATGTGGGACTGGTAAGGCTGGCCGAAAGCGAGCAATTCGTGTCAAGTGACGTTGTGCTTTTCGCATGTTTGTGCTGGTATTCTTCAGCAAGCTGATCCAGGCTCTTTGCAAGTTCTTGTTGCATGTTCTCAAGGCTGTGGATGGGGGATAGCGCTGACGGCGATGCGAACCCAGGGGACGTGGGGGAGAGCACACTGGGCGATTGGACGGCCGACGCGAGAGCCGAATTGATGGTCAAGCGAGTCGGGCTTTCAGAGTCACTTTTGGCAAAGGAGCCTTTCCGGGACTTTGCGCCCAGCAAGTTGTTTTTGTGTTTGAATTTCTCCAGCCAGCTTTGCGTAAGGACCTTTTCTTTGCCGTCCGGGCTGCCACATGTGCTGGCAAAGAACAAGGCTTTTTCTCTGATCATCTCATCGCTCAAGGGATAGCCCTGCTTTTGGTAGTTTCGCACCCAATTCGACAAGGCTTTCTCGATGTCCGGAACCCGGCCTTTGGCCCTCTTGATGGGGGATCGGCTTCCCTCTTCAGGGTTGAGGTACTTTTCCTTTTGACGAAGCACCTTGGAGACAGTACTTTTGACAAGCAAGCACAAGCGTTAGAACTGGATTTTCTTTTTTTTTTTTATCTTTTTTTTTCTTTTTCTTGTTTTGGTAGAGTCTCAAGATCACAACAAGAGTGGTGGACTATACCTTCGTTCTACTCCGAATAGGGCTGTTCAGACGATTGTCAGCATGACCCATCCGACAGGGGGCTGAGTGAGTGAGTGAACAAGCAAGGACTTACCTCCAATGTCTGTCTGCTTAGCCGACTTGTGCTCTTCATGATAGAGACACATGCGTCGACGATCCTCGTCCGTTAGGGTCCTGCGCGGCGTGGAACCGCTAGTCGAGGACTTGCGAGGCGGCTGAACCGGTGTGACTGGCGAAGCCGATGCTGGAATAGGCACAGGCGGCAGACCTGACTCGGGAAATGGTGACTGGGTTGTGAGCATGCTGGGCCATGTGTGCGAGGGCATTGTCAAGGGCAACGATGTATATGGGGGAGGTATCGATACCCCATAGCCTGTGTCTAGTGGCATCACCCCAAACCCGAACCCTGAGTAGTCCATCGGGGGCGAGTGTTGGGCGGGGGACTGGAAGGCCCCCATGTCCATCCAGGGTGACTGTGCAAATTCATTGTCCTGTGTGTGAGAGCTCTCCGTATCCATGGTCAAGGAGAGAGCTAGGGAGCAAGGGCGAAATTGAAGTCCGGGAAAATGGAACGGACGGAATAGAGCTATAGGAGTGTTGACAACAGCGTCCCAGGAAGATTCCAACCAGGGAACTTGTCTGGACTGGCCGCTAAGTAGTTTAAAGAAGAAAAGTATAAGAGGGGAAACAGGTCGAATGGGCGACAGGGAAGAGGAAAAAGCAAAGAGAGGACAATCCAGAGCCAAGAGGAGAAAAGAGACGATGCATGCTCAGCCCAAGGGCATCCAGACAAAGCAATATGCGATTGATCCAAGTTGAAGAATAGATTGAGGTTCGTTAGGAAATTCCTTTGGAGGAGTCCGGAGTAGTAGCGGTAGTAGACAGGTACCACTACTAGATACTAGATAGAGGTGAAAGCACCAATAATCCCGTGAGGGTCAATTCTTTCAGAAGATCAGGGTGATTGATCCCCACAAGCCCATCCGAAGCTATTCAGAAAGGTTGATGACAAGATGTATGTATGTACGAAGCAGTCGGTATGTTATGGATAGGTATATGAATCTGGATAGGTATATGGATACTATTTGACTACCAAAAGGACATGCAGGCTTTTACTTCTTTTTTTGTGTCTTTTTTATTTCATTTTATCTTTTCTTTTTTTTCCCTCTCTTCCCAGAGTGTAAGGGAAAAAAGGTCAAGAAAATGGAGAGGGGTGGAGGGTGCGCACCTGCCGCAGCATGCGGTTAGTTGAGTTCAGATTGGAGGGGAAAATATCAGAAAAAAAAAAAAAAAAACGAATAAATGATATACTAGAAAAAATGGGCCAGCAGAAATAAGAAACAAGAAAGGAGATTGGCTCAAGGCACAGGCACAGGGTCGATCAACAGACAGAGAGGAAAAGGGTAAAAGTAGCGAATAATAATGTTTATCTAGTGCAAAAAAAAAAAAAAAAAAAAAAAAAAGAGATAAATCGTCCAAAGTTGAGCAGTACTTCAGAGGACTAACTACTGTGTAGATAGATACTGATCGAACTATGGACTAGTTACTACTTACTACTAGTAGGATGAGGTAGATAGACTTTGCAACCGATCTTGGACTCTTCCTAACTACCTACGCAGCAGATACTCACACTCCCATTGATCTATCGAACTATATCTGATAGTATCTATTTACATACCTAGAACTACTGACTGACCTAGGAGGTATCGATCTAGGTAGTAATCATTCAATATTCCTGCTTCCAGATTCGGCGCACGACCGACAAGAGTTGCCCTGAGGAGAAACCCTCGGCTGATTCGACGGGCAGAGAATAGCAATCACTGCCGGCGACGGAGAAAACCCCAGATAGCGACCAGGGAGAAAAATGCGAGCTTCCGGCCGATGATTGGGCCATCAGCAGGATGTTCAGGATGAAATAAATAAGCCAGAATGGTCTTGCGAAAGGCAAAATGGTGGGGGAATCCACTGCTGATTGGCGTCTGCTTCATCTGCTGAGATTGCGGGACAGGGATCTTGCTAGTTTGGGGTCTAAAAAATCCTCAATACAGCTAACAAGTAACAACTACCTACCTACCTACCTTACCTTACTGACATTCTTACTCCGTAAAGGTAGTCCGCTATCTTTTCTACTAGTACACCCGTAAGGCTCCGTATCATCGTATGACCTTGTGTCAGGAAAATCACGATACTGTAAGGTACAAAACTTCTTACGGAGGAGTACCGATGGAGCACAGAGTTACGGTAGGTGCCAATCTCGTATTCGTGACGGCGACGCCGGTTCAGAGAGATTGCTGATAGTCCCGAGTACCTAGGTAGGTAGATATAGAGATCATCGGCGGAAGTAAGCAAGTCCTCTGGCATAGCTGTCTGATGAGTCTGAACAACGAAAGTCTGATCGTGGAAACACGCAGCTTGCTTCTCTACGTAGTAGACATTTCCCTACCTACCTACGGGAATTCCGGCAGTGTTACACTGAAGGCGACGAACAGCCCACAGCTGACCACTTTGGGATGGGGGGGGAGGACCTGCTCGCCTACCTGGTTGGCTTAGAGACCTCAGTGGATTACCTGTGACCACCCCTAGTAATACTAGGATCGGTCAAGTATACCTAGCATCACGGGCCATCCATCACCAGGATGGGAATCTGGGTACCCGATCCAGAGTGGAGCAAAAGATATGCCAGGCTTTGCCAGCAGAAACGAACCGATCATTGGAAGGACTCCGAATTCCGGATAGAGGAGAGCATTTTTTTCTTAAAAAAAAAAAATAAGCAAATATCAGAACTTGAGAGCCAGTCGGCCTCGCCAATTTTGCTTTTCACCGAGCTTCCTTGCTCTCATTGGTGTCATTGTTTGGGGAGGGGGTTCATTTGACAGCCCCCATCTGGACTGGAGGACGGCCTGTTCCAAGCTGTTAATGGATGATCGTTCATTCAAATGAAGAGAGATCGTCCTCGGACGGAGCATGCAACGTCAAGAACAGCATGGGGTCGACAGTAGTTCTGGACTACTCTGAGTACTCCCCTAGTCCCTAAGGCCTAGGAAATTGACTTGACAACCACTGATTGCCTTGGGAGCAAGCCACGACGGGCAAATTGACAGATAGAGAGCGGATCGATAAACCGCTGAACCTAAAGATCCACATGACATACGTAGAACAAATAGATGAGTAGGGCAAGTAGCGTAGGTAACTTGGATATGGATAGAGCAGATTGGTAGTTAGCAAATCATTGTGGCGCCTCGAGTTCAACGGTTTTCCTTCAGGTGTGCTCGGCCATAACTGTACGACCGAGGTCCTAGATACAAGCCTTTGAATGTCCGGACTGTCTCCCCCTTCCCCTATCCAAGGGCTTGTTGGGCACTTTATAAGGTCACGAGATTTAGGCCATGAATGGCCCCAAGAGGGAACCGGAGACGGTGTTTGAACAAGCTGTTATATCGGGTTAGTCGTTGAAGAGGCAGATCTTGATCGTCCTCTGTACTAGTCTTGTATCTTGACTACCAGGGATGGTCAAGCCTCATTTTTTGCAGGTCTTACTTAACGAATGGAAGAGGCGCGATCTCCGGGCCATCAACTTTGCGAGCGAGGATCTGACCGAACCCTGTTTTGGTGGGGGAAACCTACCTTTTCATTAGCTAGGCCGGTAGCTCTTAGTACAGGAAATGACAATACCTTAAAAGAGAAAGAGCTCGTAGGGGGGGGGAAAAAAGAAAGAAGAAAGCCGAGAGGCGCAATATCAAGCCCCACCGATATTAATGAAGGGAAAAGAGTGCAGAGAGCTTCAATCACTTGGAGAGGGAGAGAGAAAAAAGCTGAAATATCCACGTCCAATCTGCATAGTACTTTGTCACGAGGCGATATTCCAAGACACGGCATGGCCGAATCACAAGTCGTAGATTGATTCCAATTCATTTATTGTCGCATGGACTAAAACGAGGTGAGAAGATGCGAATGGCCCTATCATAACGTGCAGAGGCAGCATGGTTCATCTTAGGTTCAAGTGGTGATGGACGGACCAGAAAGATAGCGTCCTGATTGGAACTAGCAGCATCACCAAACCCTGGATGAGTGTATTATTAATTATTGTTACATGGTCTTGCTTGACTTGCCCAGTCCCGATTAGTGTTTACTCTCGGGTACTAGGGTCTACCTACACTCTACAATACTGACTAGTGACTACTGAGTAGTGAGTACTCAAAGTCCTCAGCCTAGTCTACTCCGTCTCCATCTCCATAACAAGTTACTTCGTTACTTTGCCTAACCTTAGTCCTTACCTAGGAGCTAGGACCCCACGGTCCACAAGGCCCGCAGCGGTCCATGCGGTCCACTCCGGGCCGGCAACCTAGCCTAAGCATTGCAAATCCTGACCAGAAAATCCGAGCAAACTTAAAAACCCATCTGTATTGAAAACAGGAGGAGAAATTCAGGATACTCTGACAATCAGCCATATCTGACAGACTGCTTCTCAGACGGGGTTTGTTTACTTATCTAGACTATTATGTACTCTCTCTGGTTGATGGGTAAATCTTCGGGGCTTCTGAGTTCTCATCCATCATCCATGCTCCTGTTCCCGAACACCTGGCCTACTCTATGCTGACCTGCTCTCTGAAGTACAAAGATAGAGAAGATACATAGGTAAGGTACCACAGTAAGATTGAGTAAGGTAAGGTGAAGTATGGTTGGCACGGCTGGCCAGGTACCTCTTAGACTGCTGCATGTCTCTGGAGGCACTTGATCTCTATGATTATTACTCGCTCGGCTGCGTCGGGAAGGCTCTACGTAGTACATTATCTCAATGGATTGTTGATCGAATAGACAGCACCATTGCTGACATGTACCAACAAGGGTATAACCAGGGTGTCAAACACAGCCCATTGCTAGCTTCATCAACTAGACTGCAGGTGTAATGAACATCGGGAAAAGAGTTGCGCCTTCTGGAGCAAGTCCCTCTCTTAGTGCCTTAGGCACTAAGGTGATTGAGATTCCGTCGCCCTTGTACAGCCCTATTGAGGCTTTCGATGATACATGTCACGGCATTGTGGTAAACAGAGCACCACTGCTACGGCTGTTGCACGAAGAGAAGTCTATGCTTAATAATGTCCCCCCCCCTTTGGAATACCTTTGCAACTGCGGAACAGACTTTGTAGGTCGAGAGGTTTGTTCGGTATCACGAACATGCCCCACTTGTTCGGAATGACCACGAGGGATTAAAGGCTGTCAATTCACCTGGAATCATGAAGGGAAAGTATCTACAGAATACATGGCCTCAAATCTCTATGTACAACATGATACATCCTAGCGTTGCCCTCGACTCGGAGCGACTAGATGCATCGAGAATGTAGATATGTGTCTATCCCGCATCATCGAGACTCTCAAGCCCCTTCTCTTCACAATCCTCCAGATCGGGAAACAATAAGACAAAGAGTGGAACAATACAAATGGACACCTGCAGGTATCTTGGTTCCTTGGTTCCTTAACTCTTCTTCGAGGAGGTTGCACAACGGAAGAAGCTGTCCTGGAACTAAACACACAGAGTCACACAAGCCGCATTAGTCCCTTTTGCTTTCCATCTGTGCCAAGATCAATACCTGAATAGGTATCCGATTTTGCTCACCCTACTAGAAAACCTACATCATGAATTTCTCTATTCGTTCTCCGTATTGGCCAGAGGAATGACGGGTCTTCCCCCTTCTGTCATAGAGCCACAGACATTATATGGGCAATCCTGCCAATCGCATCTATCGATGAGAGAGAATTTAAAATCGAAGCCATCGATGAGCTGCAGGTGGGGCAGATGAGCGCCATCGATGTGTATGCTGTATAGTGATATACAGCAAAATCGGAGCCACACAGTCAGAATTCAGACTACCAAGATGGATAGATACCATCGGTCTACACCGTACATTGCCTGGTTCACGGCAACCTGGGCTATTGCTATTGCCACAGTTGACACAGATTCTCTGAAGTCGATGCACTCATCCAGTGGCAATTCTATAGCTAGTAAGCCATCGAGCCACTCAGCATCTCTCAAAGCCAACATCTCTTCAGAGAGTCTACCTACGGAGTACATCCCTCAAAATTTCATGGTACCCAGGTTAGGGCGGAAGACAGCAGCCAGGGCCACGGACACACAAAGACCCATCCGGGGGACACATGACAAGGTGTCATGATAGCCTTATCCATACTCAAGCCAATTCAGCGACATCTGTCAGGTACGCACGTCAGTGCAGCTGTCTAACTGCATCTGTCGATGTTGTTTCAATGTCAGCAACGAGGTCAGCCAGTAGTAGATAGGTACCTAAGGTACCCAACCTAAGGTACCTACCTACCTACCTACAGATACAGCTTGGTACCGTATGCAGGACTGACGTAATGTTACGAACCCCGTACCTTACGAGACACACGATACATGCATAACTCACCGTAAGATCCCATGCGCTGATTATCAAGAACTGACTGGACGGAGCGAAGTGGGAGGAACCCGAGTTCGATTCAATTCCTACTTGCGAAATTAAGGCCCATGACATCAGTCGAGAACATCAAGCGGTCTGTGAAGAGAGCAAAATCATCTTCTTTCTGCTACAATGGATACGCCACCTGATCTTGTGTGGGAGGGAACTGAGATCCAAGCGGAGACGGGGGTGCTCCAGGCCTGTCCAGCCCAATGAGAGAGAGCTTGAGACTCTTCTCGGCCTTGCTTTCATATCTATATCTCTGGGCCTATGGGCCTATGGACCTCCGTGTCTACTGTCTACATACATACTACAGACTATCCAGTTAGTATGTAGAGCTTCAAGTCCTAAAAAATGGCAGACTTGCCTATCATCCGGCTCATCGAACGCACGTACAGTTAACAGTACTCCTCTCAAGGGAACACATTACACAGCGGTTTGTGTGGCTGCATAGAAGGATTCCGCTATGCCGAAGCAAGCGACCCAAAAAACAGAGACGGACGGAAGATGAGTGTACTCTGTATGACAGCATATTTTCTGACGGGGGAATTGGGAAAGATTGCGATGAGGACCAGCAGTAATCATGCAGGCACTATGGACCGGCAGTAGGGAGAAAGGAGTAAATGCAGCCTCCACTGAGTCCACTCTGATGAAAGCCTGCATCTGTTGGTGCTTTTCCAGTCACCTGATGGAACAGATTTTGTTCGCTTTGCATCGATTCTGCAATGAGTGCAGCTTTGTTCTCGATCTCTGCCATCATAGTTGCTGGATTAGATTGCCTTTTTTTTTTTTTTTTTTTTTTTCTTGCATGGCATTTTGACTCTGTTGCTGTGTGGAGTGTGGACATTGGAGTTGAGGTAACTAGAATGACCATGGACACTCCAAAGTATCTATCTCATCTCCCCCCTCGATCCATCCCAATAATCAGGGGCAATATAGCACTTCTCCAATGGACATTTACTTTGTACTCCGTAGCCTACCCGCAGAACTACCCACGGGATAAAACATTCCCCTGTCGCCAAGTTCCTGCATCCTATGCTGTCACTCGTATCTCAACAAAACGAACAAATAACTAACAAATAACTAACATAAAAAAAAATGGAGAATAATAATCATAGCATAATCAAACACCCTGCAGCTAAAACATCTCAACAAGCATGGATAAGGCTTTGGTTCCGCGCAGACCGCTTCTTATTCTTCCTGTCTGTACGATGACTGCCATGGCACGATCATATTATCGACGGCCATTAAGCGCCGCGGAGACAAACCACCTCCCCTCCCCCCCCCCCCGGGCCGGAGAGCAGGAAAAAGCCCTCCCCACACTGGATGGGACTGGTTTGACAGGTTGAGGCCAATTGGATATGAGCGATGACGATATTGCGATTGATGTCTTTTTTTTTTTTTTTTGGTGGTCTCTGGGATTTCGCTGCCGCTTTTCGCTTCGTTCGGCATTGACTGTTAACAATTGCGTCAAGGTTCAAGGTTGACTCCGGCTGTAGGCTGGTGTTGCCGGATGGAGATCACGGGTTGTACCGTAACCTTAGTAACCTATTTAAAAGTACAGGAAGGTGTAGACTGGGTGCCTGAGTAGCTGAGTACTACGTAGATTGGGGCGCCTGAACTACTCTGCCTGACTTTGCCTGGGTGCCTGAGTACCTGACTGCCTGAGGCCCAAGTAGGGCACGAATGTAGGGCATGTCTGCTTTGGGTTACACTCGAAAGGGGGGGGAAGCTCTTCGCGCAGGGAGCATGCAGGTTATGCTTGCTGGTAGTTCTTAGTTACCCTAAAGGCCAGCTAATTGTATTCAGGGGATGTCCGGCCGAGAAGGAAGAGGAAAAGTAAAAAAGAAGAAAAAAGAAAAGAAAAGAAAAGGAAGAAGAGGTTTGGAATTCGATCCTTCGTCTTGGATCATGGCTGATGGCTGATGGCTCACTGGTCCTAGCCTCTAGGGTACTGGACCTACCGGGGTACAGACTATCTACGTAGTACATACTCCGTAGATAGGTATGAGAAAGCTTGTTGGGAAGTAAATAGAGGTACCAATATCGCCATTATGTATTTCTGCAATTCGGCTTACATACATACAATGGGAGATCTTGGTCCAGATTAATTGCAGTATCAAGACACGCCGGGTATAGCCATAGCCATATAGGTAGGCATAGTTACTTACACTCACCGTATGATATCCCAACTCCGCCAACACGAGTCACCGGCCGGGCTAGAGTGTCATCAGCGTCGCGGGTTGCAAGTCCACTCGATACTCGATAGTTACTCTCTAACCAGGCTTTCCCCCCCTTCGCTAAAAAAGCCACCGGAAATCTAGATCAAAGAAAAATCCCACATGGCCAGAACTCCAGCAGCACAGATTACAGAATGACCTGTCTGATCTGATTACGCAAGAAGGAGGGATTCGTACCTACGACCATAAATTCGGGGCCCTCATTGGACGTGTCTCGTCAGTGGCCGGAGGTTCGGACTTCCAGACCCTGTGTCCGGCCGGAACTTTCGAGACGAGGCATGTCTCAGTTCGTTTCGAGCTGGGCACTTTCGTGGGAGTTTGGAGTACATGGTAGGGCTAGGAACCAGCAGGGGAGCCTTGTGCTTTGGCGGGCCACTTGGACACGGTTGGGAGATGGGTTTTTTTCGTGGTTGAGAGAACCTGAACGCCTCTGTTTGTGAGGTTATTGTTGAAAATCGACGACACGATTGACAAGAACATCGGGTCCTGGACTGGTGGTTGAATGGCTCATCTGGTCTGGCGCCTCGTTCCCGTTGACGATGAACAATGTCAGAGGCTATTCTTAAAAGGGACAATGCACTTGAATGGAGGGAAGGGCAAGAGATAAAAAAAAAATTTCGGCAGTCTACTCTCATAAGTACGTGCTGCTAAACCAAAGACGTAAGATCCCAGTCTCGAAACTCTCTTTTGTTCTCAGACACCCATCACTAATCTCCCCCGGGATCTCGTCCCCCTACCTCTTAGAAGAAAGACCGCAAAGGGCTGAACTTCACGGGTAGCAGTGCGATCATTCTCTAGCTCATAGTCCAGTGGTATATATCCACCTCCTCCAAATCGACGAGTAAGGGTCCCAAAATAGTTGCTGGCATCTGGCAGCATGCTGCCCCGTGCGCGGACCATCATCTTGACCGATCCCATCACATCTCTGTAGCGTCTCGCGGAGCTGTGTCACACGAGGGGCGGCCTTTTTGTCGTTGATAGAGCATCTAAGCGTAGCATCACTGACACAGACCTTCCGTACTCTCGTGTGCAATTCGCCACAGCCTTTTCCACTACCGCGGGGGATTCTCAGGTTTCAAGCTTGTGGCGCATGCTTAGCGCTTGATAATGGTCACTGTAACGACCAGTCAGTCTCTGATGATACGCCGGGTGGCCGTTGTGGCTGTCAAGGGGCAATGAGAGAGTACGAACCGATATCTTCATCTGCCAACTCGTGCGACAAACCGACGCGCTGAGGTTGGTGCTTAACGGAGCGGCCGTAAACGATTGCCACCTTGAATTGATCCCGGATCGATCTGTGGATGGAGTTACACTATAATGCGCATCAGTATCGGGTTTCTCCACGAGGGCGTAAAAAGGAGTCCATACAAAGTCCTCAATGGTGCACGCGTTGGCTCTGAGCACGACGGGAGCCGTGTAGTCAGGCGCTCTTCCCTTAGGCTTAGTGTAGACGCGCCGAAGGTTGAGTTTTTCCCACATATGCTCCAGAAGCTCGTCGATGTTCCAGCCATGTTCGGAGCTGATGGGCACGGCATTGGGAATTCGATACAGGAGATCCAACTCCTCGATTGAGATGGAATCAATCTTGTTCAAGGCGTAGATTACCGGGATATAGCTTCGACTTCTGGCCTCGAGGACATCGATGAGATCGTCAATTGTTGCGTCACATCTGATAGAAATATCCGCAGAGGAAATCTTGTATTCGCTCATCACAGCTTTGATTTCCTGGTTGTGATAGAAAAGAAGCATGAGCATTTGGCCCTCGATAGAGTCAATGAGAGCGACTTACGTCATGATCAATATGCGTCAAGGGAACGGTGCTGGTGACTGCGAGACCACCCTTGTCCTTCTTCTTGAAGACAATGTTTGGTGGCTGTTTGTTAATTCTGATACCGAACCCTTCCAACTCGTTCTCGATGATCTTTTTGTCGTGCAGCGGTTTGTTGACATCGAGGACGATGAAGATAAGATGACAAGTCTTGGCCACTGCAATGACCTGACGACCACGACCCTTGCCATCCTTTGCACCCTGAATAATACCAGGAAGATCGAGGATCTGAATCTTCGCGCCGTTGTACATCACCTGGCCCGGAACAGTCGTCAAGGTTGTGAACTCGTACGCCGCAGCTGCGTGATCCACAGGTCAGATCTAATACCCAGAACGCTCGCAACAATCAACAAACATACCCTCAGAGTGTTGACCAGTCAATTTGCTCATCAGGGTACTCTTGCCGACGGAAGGAAACCCGATGAAACCACTACTCAGGTCAGCAATGTTATCAAAAAATTCGTTTGAGAGTACAACATACACACTGGCGACACCAGTACGAGCAACATCGAAGCCAGCTGTGACCCCTCCGTCAGCATTCTGCGAGCGAACATCATCCTCCAAGAACACTTACCACCACCGCCACCACCACCGCTGGTCGGTGTCAAAAGTTCTCGTTTTAGCTTCGCAAGCTTAGCTTTCAATAGACCTATCCAGTTGTCAGTCGCCATCACCAGTACGATGCATATATTGTCCAGAGCCATATGCGCGCATACCCAAATGAGCATTCGTCGCCTTGTTCTTCTGAGTCCGAGCCATCTAGATATTCGGTCAGTCGAAAAGTACTCGCGATGTACGATTTGGCGATGCGCGGCACAAACCTCGTCCTCGATTTGTTTGATCTATTCATTGAGAAGCATAGTTAGCACAACTCCTTCGATTGCAAGCAACAACGCAGGATGAGACGAAGAAGTCTCAAACCACCATAGGCATACCTTCTCCACGGTTGTCGACATCTTGACGGTTTGGTACGAGTACTACCCTCGTACAAGGCGCAATCTTCTAGAAAGGAAAAAGAAACTTTTTTAAAATGAAAAATGGACTCTTTTTGTGTCCTGTCCGCCGTACTGCCGTTCTAAGACCGAGACAATTCGTATGCACGTCAGTCGTGAAGATGTTTCTTTCTGTGGAGAAACAATCTTTGGAATTGTGGCCGCCACTTCATTTGCTGGTCGACGCAGGGCGGTCTCCCATGGCGGGGTTGCGGCCTCAGGCATCTACAAGGCATCAGTGGCAACTGGCAAGCCTTTCTGACTTCTGTTCTTGTGCTTCGCGGTGGAAAGAGCAACTGGCTGGAGATGGCTCTCCGTTCCATCGTTATGACCTGATACCATAATGGCTTATGGTGTTGCACCGTCCAGCAATATGTATATCACCTCCTATTAAACACCCTGAATCCTCTAATCACATCTTCCATTTCGCTGCTCAAGCGCTCAAGCTAGGTAGTATCCGACTGCTACTATACTTGCTCCTCTCGACGAATCACAGCCCATCTGTCACTCCCAACAATGCCATACCTCAACCCCAGAGCACCATCACCATCGCCCCCAGTCACGCCTAAACATCCACCAAATGCCTTCGAGAATCTCGTCCAAGATCTCAGCGCCGCTCTCGGTCCAAGCTCCGGCCTGGATTCTTCCGACGTCAATCCACTCGACATCCAGCGCCTGATGGAACAGTACGTCTCCGATCCCGTCGACTGGTCCCCGTTTGCCCTGGGCGACTACAGCGGGGGGTATACACGGAACCTCATCGACGAGGGAAACGGCAAAAGCAACTTGGTGAGTGGACTACTATCTACTTTCCTGTAATGTACTTTGAGCCGGGAGCCGGACCCGGCGATCGATTCGATCGATCAATCGACCACTATCCACCCCACAACCCACCCCCTGGTATCTATCATATTCATACATATCATACGCATACATCAGAGCTCCGTATCACATGGCATTCTGTACCTGCATGCTGCATGTACCTTTTTTGAAACCCCGTGAAGCCCGAAGGATCTCGGTCACTCCGTCCAGCCGCATGCTAATGCGGTAGCAACGTCATCACTAGTTGATCCTGGTTTGGAGCCCCGGCAGGGGGAGTGCGATCCACGGCCATGCCAATGCGCATTGTGTGATGAAGGTGTTTTCCCCGACGCGCGCACCACAGGCGTTGTATCTATGGCCTACAGCCCGGGCTGATGAGGTGTGCTTACCACTAGATCCTCAAAGGCTCGCTCCAAGAAACCCTGTACACATGGCCTGACCAGGAGAAGGTGCAGCGTGGGCAGCTATCCTCCCCGCGGGTCATCAGGGAGACAATATACGAAGAGAACGAGGTAACGTACATGTCTGATGAGGTCTGACTTATCCCCTTCTCTGGCTTGGGCAAACGGCATGGTGAGGCTAAGGGATGCAATAGCTCGGTCTGCACAAGATCTCGAATCCGGATCCTGACAACGCCGCTGTCTCGTTGCATCGTGAGTGTTTTGAGTGTCTGCTGCGAGCTGCGTCTTGCTGACTCGATCCAGTCTATACGCCCCCAAATGCAGCTACGTATGGGTTCTACTTGTTCGACGAGAAGACCGGCAGGGCGAGTCATATTAAGCAGACCAACTTCTATTCGATTAGAGGGGAGAGGTGCTGAGATGCAGCGTTTGACTGCGGGTTCTCTCGTTGCTCTTGCGGAATGCATGGCCTGTGGTAGTTGTGACGCCTCCCTACACCTATCCAGCTTGAGCTAGATGCTCGGCTATTAGGGGCATAACCTTACTCCCATTCTTATACTTCGTGCGAAACAATGATGAACGATATCGATAGAGACGTTGGCTGGCTGTTCCAACCATCCATCCGTGTCTCCCCATTCCTCTGCGATCAGTATGAAAATCCAAAGTCGGCTTCTAACAATGTCTTTGAAAGAAGCTAAGTGACCCAGTGCCAAAAATTGAACAGAAAATTATCATTCGCTCCTCATGAATGGCTCGATTAAGTCCTTAGAAAGATAATGCGCATTCTCAAGACATACTGTACAGAGGTTCATGCACGAGACATGCGAGATTGCCGAGTAAATCACAACAGAAACGCCGGCGGTGGAAAAGAGGAAAACTCATTACCAAGAACCATGTGCATTAGATCATACCGCAGGAACAGTCATGGGCCCATCAATCACACACACACACACACACAAAACCACAAAAGCAGAAAGCAAAATGGAGAGGAAGGACCACTCTCTCAGCCATGCTTACGCTCACGCTCAAGCAGCAGAAAATCTGGATTCTCCAAAACCTCGGACTGGCGCCGGCAGAGCTCTTCGAGGCGTGCCAACGGATTCTGTAAACTTGCAGTATAAGTATGTCGCCCGAAGGAGGTGCAAAAACACATCAACCGTGAGACCCACCCAGTCGTCCTGGTTTGGTACGCCTTCCGCGATGGGTAACTGTTCGTCAGTGGTATCACCGCCTGAAGCTGGTCCGGAGTACCTTCTGATGAGCGCGGGCGTTACGGGGAGGCTGGGACGTTCAATTTCGGTGGGATAGTCCGTTACACGCATGCCCCTCATGCCATGCTCGGGTGTTTGCCCTCCGGGGGGCTTATTTCCCGGGCTGGGCCCTCCGGAGAGCACCTGAATGTTGCCCTTTCGGGCTTGCTGAATGGACCGGATGTACTTTTGTATCTCTGGGACTTCGTCCCACGCGTTCGAGCGGGAGTAGCTGTCCCATGATACTGCTGATGGTTCATCGGCTGTCCATGAGGTCCACGATGCAGTGGATGGCCTGTATTCTTCTCTGCTAGAGGTCGATGGTGATTCTACGCTAGTAGTGGAAATGGTGCTCGGTTGGTCCTCCAAGAAGACACGGGTCGGTTTCGGCGCATGCCTCTCCCAGGGGAAGAGTTGCGTGACCTTTGCTGGCTCCGGTTTTGTAGCAGGGACCTGATACCACATATTTTTCGGGGCCTCTGGATACTTGGAGGGGGGTTGGAAAAGTTGTTGATCCTCCGACATGGAATAAGTTTTCATTGCCAGTGCAATTCCCTCGGGCTTGCTGTTGACCGGGGGCGGCTCCCTAGAAGCGAGTGAGAAATGCTTTATTTAATGGGTCTCTGTGGTGACTTACCGAGCGGCATCCCATTCAGCCTTGGGCGCCTCGAAGATATCGACCTCTTCTTGGGGCGGAGGCGATGCTGGCGGCTGCTCTTGTTGCTCGGAGAAGGTCTGCGCTGGCTGCTGGTGAACTGGAACTTCAATGAACGCCGAAGATTGCGCGGGGGCAGGTTGGAAGCTAGTATCCTGATGGGGAGGTTGCTCGGTTTGCAACGTGAAAGCTGGCTGGTCGGAGTGCGGTTGAATGTAGGCGGATACGTGTTCTTCTCCACGAACATACTGCGGAACAGCACTTCGGATCGGTACCGGCGCTGGTAGTGGCTCCGGTGCAGAATCCGGTACTGGCGTGGGTGCTGGCTGGTGGAACGGCTCACCTTGACTCTGACGATGCTGCTCTGGGCTCATATGTAAATGTTGTACATTTTGTGCATGTTGCACATGCGATATCTCGACACGATGTGTGCTGCCTGTTCCATGGGGAGCTTCCTCGCGAGGTGCTTGCTGGGGCGGGGGTGGATGATAGCTGTACGATGAATGCGAGACTATCGGCGGCTCTGGCTCTGAGTGTGCTTCCTGCGGTAGATCATGTTGGAAACCAGATCCTTGCGCATAGGAAGTAACCGCAGATTGGCCTTCAGATGGACGAGAAACCAGTACGCGCGGTGGCTCCATCACAGATCTCTGCGGATAGACACGCGGATTACTCTGCGGTCGAGCAGGCTGACTGCCTACAGCGTGAGCGGGCATCTAGTAACAGTGAGCAACCAGCCAACAACGCGATGTATCTGCAACATAGAAGCCCGACTTACCGTGGCAACGGGACGATAATGTCTGTCGTAGATGGCCCACCACCGCCCAAGCAGCTGATTATACGGCGACTCCACGGGAGTCACTTGTCTGGGCATGTTCCACGGTTTTCGAGCGCCGATAAAGTGAATCAGACTTATAGTACTCTGGAAATGCTTGTACGCAGGGATATACTGGTAGTTGGCGCTCGGGGTGCAGTTATACGTGAAGCTCAACCTCTCCCAGTTGCGAAAATGCATGTTTAGTAGCCCCTGGTCGGCGCCGTCGAAGCTGATGCCTCTCTCCGCAAGCGCCCTGAGCGCAAAATAGTCTTGCATATTGGGCCGAAGAACCATGACACCGCTATTGAAGCAATCCGGCCAGCCGACGTCTGGCGCCGCCGCAAAATCCGCATCGAGCGTCAAGAGCTCATCGGGGGCTCTCAAGGCCACGACGTCGCAGTCGATGTACACGATGCGCGTGAATTGCGTTTGTCGCCAGAGTTCGATCTTAGTAAATGTCGATACCAGGTCCGGGCGATCCATCAGCCAGAGGTTCGCCGGGGTGTGGTTCGTTGCTGTCCGCACGGGTATGATCTCATCATATATGGTCTAAGGGAACATTGTTAGCAAGACTGCGATGGAGATACCCCCTGCGTGCGGTTCAGGCGCAGGTGCTAATGGCAGATCATACCCGAAGCTCATTGATCGTGGCGTGCTGTAAAGTATCCGGTGTGTAGAGAGCGACAAGCTTGGCCTTGGTACCATTGTCACGCAAGGAATGGGCCAGGACCACGGCGCCTGAACGAAAAAAAAAAACGGTAAGATTAGAAAAAACGGAGGCTCAACGCTCATCAAGCATCACTTGTTTACCAGGAAGATAGTGATCGGTCAGGACAAGCTGTAATTGGATTAACACTGCTTGCGATAAAGCCTATACAGCTTGAGGAATGCGGATAGACACATACAGTGCAATAAACGGCACTCCCATCAGGTGCCATCTCGGCGGTACCTGAATCCCGCTCCCAGCTCCAAGAAATCGGAGGAGGGGGATCGAGAGAGAACGAGGGTGGGAAGGGGGACGGTTTAAAGGAATAAAACGAAGTCGTAAGAGATTAATAGAAAGAAAATGGAAAAATGAAAGAAAGGCGAGAGAAGGCGACAAGAGGATGGGTTGAATCGAGCACGGGAACTTCGTTCAAGGGTGACGTTGAAGCAAACCCAGCCCAGCCCCGCCCGGCAGCAGTGTACTGGATGTATCTGTATGTGAGTCGAGGAAAGACTCCAGGGATCACTAAATATAGTAATCATAGCTAACACGATCGGAACGACTGTGTCCACAAGAGCTGCATCGCGTCCAGAGAGGTTACAGACTGTTGTCCATTCTGAACGGTCGCTCAGCAGCAGGAGCCATTAACTGCTATGTAGATGGTAACAGGGAGAGCTTCAACTCGCTCAAGAACGGATAGCTCTCACTAGTTAATCGCTCGATAACCAACAGCTACCCATGGATGATCGCAAAATCAAAACCGACGATCGCAGTGAATTTCTCCGGTTGTTATTTGGGTAATAATAGCCGCCCAGTCTGACCACGGCTCGCCTCAATCAAAAGCTTCCCAGTCCAGTCGGCGTAGCTCCAGCTTCCAGTCAAGTATTGTATGATGGGAAAGCGAACAATACTGTGTCTGTACCTGTCCCTCATCCAGTTGCTTTGTAGGACCTCGAGCTCTTCTTCAACGTTCTTGTCTGCTGAGTCGTAAGTCCTGAGTCTGACAGCAACACAGTTCAACAACAGCTAGTTAGTTTATGGAGCTGTCATAAGTTGACCCCCTGCACCAGCCCGTGCTCCATGCCACCAGCGGCGCTTTGATCCCCGTTGAGAAACAGCCCAGGAACCAGTGCGGCCGGTGAAACAATTAGGATGGCTTGAGGGTAAAAACAGAAAGAAGTGTGAATTTGATATGTCCCTTGCTTGGGTCTTCGCGCTGCTGGTTACTTTCTGATTGCTACTGAATCTCTTCAAGATATCAATGGCTCGGTGCATGTCCTGGAGAAATCAAATGTTGTGCTGCACAGAGGTGCAACCATGATAGGATCAATCCATGATGGAAATGAAAGTAGATCGTCTCCCAGTCCGTTTTGGTATACCACGCACTAACTCAACCGGCGAGTCTGCATCTGACACCAGTAACGTACACAGGCAGCAGGGAAAAGAAAAAGAAACAGAGAAGGCAAAAGAAGATCAACTACCGCAAAGTACAACGCCCCGTACCAATGCGCCAGTCCTACTTCCGGATAGTCACCACCGCGTTGGGGTAACAAGCCTGAACCACAGCACCGATATCCTCCTTTTCCCCCTTCACGGCCCATTCCACCGTCTTCTCAATAGCGACTCGGCTCTCCCGCTCCAACGGAGTAAAGTGGCCGGATCTCGGGAGCACCACGACCTGGCTGTTGTAGACCAAATAATCCGAGATACCATCCAGACACAGCTGGGCGTTGAGAGCAATATCGGCCTTGCCCCAGAGGATCGTAGAATTCGCCTTCAACACCCCAGCAGGTCCGTCGTCGAACAATCCGGCTCCACTACTGGTGCGTCGCATTTCGTTTCCTCCCGCGATGCTATGCAGGTCGGCAATGGTTTGGACGGATTTGCGCCAGCGCGATACTGCCGCCCCATCGCGGTAGTAGCCAACCATATGCTGGAAGTTGGAGAGCGCACGTTCATTCTTCACAGTAGGTGGGTACTCGGTGCCATCAGCTGTTCGAGTCTTGCATTCTTCTGTCGATGGACCCAAGCTGCTGGCCATGCACTCTGCAGCATCCCGAATCGTGAACTCGGCGTTCCCGTGGGATCTCTTATGGATCGCCTTCAACAAAAAGAAGTTGCCCCCGGTACCAAAGTAGCGAACGAGGACCATCGGCAGTTGCATCACAAAAACATAGCCTGAGAGTTGTAATTGGTGGAAGACGGGCCAAAGGGACTTGACGGCCTTGAGAAGCGTCGAACGCGACCGAATTGGAGAGCGGATGGAGGTCTTGAACATCTTGGACGAGGAAGACAGCAGACGTCGAATATTCGCCACAACGAGTCCTGGCTGAAACAGGCAAGTCAGTATCAAAAGAATGTCACCACCAACAGCTCTTCGGGAATACATACCACAGGCCCATTGGTGAGAATGAACCGATCCGCCAGCTGGGGAGCTTCAGCCGCAAGCCGCGTCGAAAGAACACAACCCCAGTCATGCCCCACAATCACCGTCCTGCGCTGACTGTTCCCACTCTCCGTGTCGATTCCGTACTTGGCTCGGATCGCGATGATGAACTCTGTCAAGCTCTCCAGCACATTTGTCCCCGAGTACTTGTCCAACCCATCACTACCTCCGTAGCCCGGCAAGTCAAGCACAACCAGCGTGGCCGCAGACCGAAGAGACTTCGAGCTCACGATATACCGCCACACAGCCCAGCTATCAGGAAACCCGTGAATAAAGACCACCAGTGGTTTCTGAGAAGCGGTCGCGATTTCCGGGGTGTCGTTGCAGAGATAGTGAAACTTGAATCCGCTTCGCAGGGCGAGGATATTGTGGGAGAGACCAGACCATTCCTTCGAAAGATTCCAGAAGCGTTCACGAGCTAATGCAAATGCAAAGATTGGTGAGCTGAGGAAGCTAAAAGCCACCCGACTATTGCGAAAACTCACCGAGCTGTAGTTCCAGCTTCTCCTTCTCCGTCATACGCTTGAAAAAGGTGCCCTTCACCACAGCTGTGACTCCATATAGAACCAGCGTAAAGATTCCATAGGCAAAGACGACGGCAGCCGTGAAGCCCTTGGTCAGACCACCTGCCATGTTGCAATTGTTACTCACCGGAACCACTGCTTACTCTGGGTAAAGGAGTGCGATGGACGGATTCGTCGTTTAAAAGGAGAGGATGGCAGTGGCACCGGGTATTTTGTTTATGGGATGTGTATAAAAGTCCACAATCCAGTACTTGTCTGAATCAAGTTCGGGAGGAAAAAAGAAATGCGAGCTATGGAAGGCTGGGAGCTGACGGAGGAGCCCCGTTGGCTGCCTGGAGATTTCTTATTACTATTAGACTAGAGTTGCTAGAAGGGAAATTGTGCTCCGCCTATCTAAGACATGCGTCATCTTGCATGTGATTGTGCTCATTTGATGCCACAATTGTAAGGCAACAAGCAAATATCCAAAAGTATTTAAAATAGCGTCCAGGCGTCAATAGTAGCTCAAGGTCAAGAAGAACATGTTTTTAGGTTATGCAGATCTATACTGGACGCCTCAAGCAGCTTCCAGAAGGGCAATAACAAATCAATAGATACACCTGCTGTGACAATAGGAACAAACCCCAGTTTCAGCAGCGACCATGCCGGAACCCAGACTCAATCAAATATAGACATGTTTTAAACAGATCGAAAAAGAAGACAAAAGAAAACAAAAACGCCAGCTCATGAAATGCAGTCAAGTACTGAAACATCACTCCGCGAAGAATGGGTATTGGTACATAGCAAACGCGAAAGTCATCAAGAAAAGATATCATTACATCCCGAAATGGAAATTATTAATCCTGGCTCCGGTCTCTATCAGAGAAAGAAGCCCAGGTTCTCCCGGTTATCATCCACTAACCGGCCATATCTGTGGATACAAAATTAGCAACTCGCAAGGCCTTGTCAGATTGAAGGATAAAGACTTACTCTAGTAACAGTCGGAAGAACCAAACTTCAATATCCTCATTCCGTAGTGCCTTCTGGGCCCAGCTCTGACCATTCTTTGCGATTGAGGTTGCCGCAGTCTTGCCCTCGGCTTCGGAGACAAAGTAGCGCATTGTCTCAACGGACTCTTCACCCGCCAGGCTCATGGGAACGTAATGTAGCCAAGGCTTGATCCACTCGTCATGCCATTCACGGAAGATGGCAACCTTGCAAACAAGACTGTTACTGTGCAAGAAAGCATAGTATCGACCACTGAACGCATTCCCGTCGATATCAACCAGATACTTGTAAGCCCAGGCATCCTGCTGACCGGCTGGCCCTACTACCTCAAAGAATTCCAGCTGGGCAGCGCAGTCATCCGGGTCACACTGCCCAATGAATGTGAATTTGACGTCGAATAGATCACTGTACTCTTTGCGACGGACATCCTTGGTCACCCACTGTCCATCGGTCTTTTTCGCGAGAACCTTGGCATTGTTCAGGCTGTTCATGTTGGTGACCAAGATCTGACGGTGTTGCCGTCGCCAACCGCCAGCGCGAGAGAATCCTCCCGTTGTGGAGCCTCTCCAGTACATCTTATCCTGTTTCTCTTCCCAGGCATAGTCCTTATCTTCTGAGTAGGGGACTTTATTGGCCCAGTACCACGGGCTCGGATAGAGAATGTCCTGGAAGCTAGAGATCTTGCTCTGCGAAAAGATCGGGAATAGGTCATGAACAACGTCGAAAGCGTTCGGGCGGTCAAAAAATCCGTACGTCTTCCTCAGAGAAGGTGTATTGCAAATATCGGAGAACGCCGTGGTGTTGAAGATGAACCCTAATTCCCCACGTCTGTACGCACCAACATTGTCGGGGGCATTCTCGTCCAGTGACCGGACAGGGCTGTCTAGCGGGCAAGAAGCCCGCGAGTTGGTCCAGGTGGCCTGATGGGCATAGCGATTAAAGCGTGTCGTGCGCATCCCATCAATGCGGTCGCCCTTGTTTAGGTCCTTCGGCCGAGAAGACCATGAATTCTTCGGCGACTGATTCTGAAAGGATTTGGGGAGAACATGGCCTTTCGCGAGATTGACCAGTCTCTGGAGATCATCGCTCGGGACGACGACTCGAGGCTCGTCGTGGATATTGAAAACGAGGTCCATGTCGGGTAGGTATTGCACGAACTCCTTCATCATCCCAACCGTAGCGTCTCGCTGCCATTGGTGACCATCGCCACCTCCCTCAACCAGACTAGCCTTCCCATTTCTGATAAGAAGTCCGATCACGGCATTATCATATCCCAGCGTCTCGCGCGCGCGACTTCGGATCGTCTTTGGGTCGATACCCCAGAAAGGCAGCAGGGAATGGTAAATGGTGTCAAACTCGTCGATCAACTGCACGCCCTTCGATTGAGCAAATTTAAACCACTTATCGAAATGCGGCGGAGGGTGCATATTATATCGGCGGCGATACTCATTCACGGCCTCCGCCAGCGACTTCGATTGACGTGAGTATAGTCCATTGAATTGCTGCTCGGCATTTTCAATGAGGTCAGCGATAGGATGTCGATTTGTGGGGGTGGAGGACTCGGCGACAGTTGCAGGTTGTTGTTGTTGTTGTGGTGGTGGTGGTGGTGGTGTTTGTGGTGGCGGGTGCGGTCGTTGCTCCGGTGGTGATGCTTGCTGTAGCTGCTGTGCATCATTGAGGGATGTATGCCCAAAAGGAGATCGGTTTGTTGCGACATTGAGGTCACCATTGCCTTTGAGCAGGACAATTGAGAGGCCTGCAAGCGTAGCAATGGCTAGGAGAAGCAAAAGTCGTAAGAGGCGCATCCTGCCATCGGTGGAGGGTCTTCTAGTTTTGAAGGCAATTGGGGTACCAGGGAAGCATTGACACGATAGCGATAATCACAAGAATGCGTCCCCCCTCTGTGTGATTTATGTAAGGGTCTTGCGTCGTGCGATGGGAAAGATAGGGAGGAGCCTCCGTTGAGCGAGGACAAAATGGATGGAACGCTGCGCACGCGGGGACAGATGAAGCAGATGGCTGGCCACTCGGCCTGAGTTTCCTCAGGACGAAGTTAAGCTAACTATTAGCACAATCTAATAATGAGTCGGATAATTTCACGAAGTCGGCGGGACCAAGGAATTGTCTCTAAAATCAACCCGAGGACCCAAAGCCCCAAAAGTCAAAACAAGGGGAAAAGCTAAGTCCCAACTCCCAAGAGATCAGAGAAAGTAGAAACAGGGGTCCAGGACTCCAGATGGCCCAGACCACTGATTGTTCCAGCTTCCACGTGTATGATGTGGTACGTCAAGCAAGCGAACGGCACAGAGAACAAGGGGTCGATGAGGATATGAAGGTGAAGTTATTTGCTACCTGCGGTCTTGTCTAATGGCTATAGTTCTTGTCTATTCTTTTATTATTATTGCCATTATTGTCCTGAAGTGTGATGTGGAATGAACGCCCCTCAACCTGTGGCTAGTCAGAACGGGCAGAGTGCAGACTGCAGACGACAGAAGCCAATTTCGCAAGCGGGCAACGCAATCCGTTTCTCGTTAAGATTGGAGTTCGAGAGTCAAGAAAGGAAAATCATAAGGGGGTCCTACCATCCTGAACAATCAGGCACAGACCACGCTGACGCAGCATTTAATATTGGAGACCCTCAGTGGCGGTTTCGTCAGCGCACTGGGTTCGTCAATTCATCATTAGCTGGGGAATTTTGGGCTTGCCAAGTCCCTAGCGCACCGTTCTATTCAAGTCCCTTTCTTGGCGCTACACTTTTTTCTAAAAAAATAAAAATAAAATAAAAATAAAAAGTTGGTCTCGGAGTCGGAGGCTTATGGGAGATTGGCGTTGACGAGATTTTCCTGGCAATGAACTTATCCATTGAACTCATATCATCACTGCTGTTCATTTCATTTAGGAGTGTCTCGAATCGCGGATTCTAGAAGAACGTCGTAGACCCTAGACAGTAGATACAGGCATCATAAATAATAGGCGCCAGACATTCCCCTGGGCCCAGGCAACAGTAATATATATCCCAGCCCTCTAGTGCTTGCACTACTATAGTCTATGACAACATCCAACAACATGCGGCATTGACCATTGAAGCCCCCAGCGTTTCGATAACGAACAGTTGAGCATGAACAACGTGGTTGTAGGCAGCCAGACAGAGCACAGCAACCAATGACACATGCACCAAGTAGAATACTCGTCGCTTCGACTGGACGGACGTCGCCTTCCTTACCCACAGCCCAGGGGATGATCCCGTGGGCCGCGTAAAGAGAACAATGATGATCGCCATCAGTATTCCGAACACGCCCCACTGGACATCCAAGTCACGGATCCGTTTGGCCAGCAAAGACCTGAAATCTGGGTGAGTCGACTGGATGAAGAACGACAGGTACAGCGCAGCGTGCGCGAGTAATAGCGGCGAAATAACTAGCCGACCAAATAGACGGTGGAATGATGTCAAAGTTGATTGCGGGGTGTATGTCAGAACCGATATGACAGACGGCGATGACGGCCTCAATGTGGATATATACCGGGCCGGAGAGACGAGCACCTGGAAAGGCAGCTGCGAGAGAGCAACATGACCCAGCGCTTTGGTCAAGTGAAGATAATCTACCAGAAGAACGGGCTCTTAGCTCATATACTTCGCAGGCTTCGCAGCATCGCAGTAGGATGACCAGGTAACACTATCCATGATATCCTACTTCGAGCGAGGCAAGTAGTCGCAGTTGATAGTCTCGTGGTCCCCTCGGCAGACAATATCATGCATAAACAACACCCGGAATCACAGCGCGCGAGGTTGAGGTACATACCATCATCACTCCTCCATATACAAAGGGCAGATAGCCAACCAAGCCAGAGCAGACAAATGACATAATGCGCTCGAGCTTCCCCCCAGCCGCGAAAGGGAGGTGAATCCCACCATGACTTCTGCTTTCCTGAGCTGCTCGGAGTCTGCGTGGATGAGGTGTAGCTATTGTACCCACGGACTGCAACCAATGCAAGGATAACAGACAGTTGAGCATAATACCCGCGAAGGTCAAGAAGCTCACGACGATACTGTACCTCAGCTGGAGAAAGCCCAACGAAATGCCACGGCCACGATAGCAACATGATGGCGGTGGTCGACAAGGAGCCGGATTTTCACCAACAGAGGCTTCACAGGACACTTGAAAACGATATTGCGCCAGATGATGGAAGTAATCACACCCGAACATACATCACAAAGTCAATTATACTGATTGTATATTTAATGACCTGGCGGATACACCATTAGCCGATCCATTAACAATCACCGGATATATAGAGCTGTTCGCAAAAGCCAGCCCTGCATATTGGAGAAAGACGTGGCCCAACCAAAGCCAAGCTCGAGAAGAATAATCTATTGATACTAGATCATTCCATTTGGCAGAGCAAAAACAAACCAATCAAGTCTAACAGAATGTGCGTGGAGAAAAAAGAAAGCCGTCAGCGACAGGACTCGAACCTGTGCGGCCGAAGCCAAGTGATTTCTAATCACTCCCCTTAACCACTCGGGCACGCTGACTGATATGTACATTGCTCCGTTATTTGAACATATGGTTCAATCGCAGGGAAGTATATCGAGTCTTCCCTTGATACCTAATAGTCGACTCAGAATGCAAGTGACCCTATCGCAGCGACTATAGTATATTAGCCCATAGATCTATGGCCCAACAAGAACACCCTGGATACTGTCAGCGACAAGGCTGACATATCGGGTGCATGTGGTTGAACACCTGGTCCTGATAATTCTAATCTTATTAGTACAGAAAATGCTGTACTCAATAAACTGACAAT